TGCACCTCAGCCTCTCGTCACATGATAATGTCTTCCAATATGTCTTGCAGCATGTCTTCTCCTCCGTCCTATGCCACACGGTCATCTGTTGACTCCATGATCCGCCATGCAGCCCATGGATGAAGATTCCGAAACCCCTGCCAAGCTGCCTGCCTTCATTTCTCGCCGCGAACTGGACTGCATCTCAACCTTCGATTTCAGCCAGACCGTCGCAGATGTGAGGCAGGACTTTGACCAAGACTGGATCAATACTTTGGAGTGGTACTTGGAGAAGTTCTTCGGGGATGAGACGCGGCCATCATGGTATCTGCATTGCTCGGGAACGCCCCGAGCTGGCAAGGTCTGGACATCTTGATTTTCGGCGCGCATGAACTGACGGAGTGTGTCGCTTCAGACAACATTCGTGGCAGCGGCTGCCCGTCATCTGCGATCGTCGAGCTCAACGACCGCCGTAGTCACACTATTCTTCCATTCTCGCGACTTTCTGCAGATGCCCGGCCTCCCACAAACCAGCGTTCTGGAGGTAATCTTGCGCGTTCTCCTCAGACAACTGGTAGAACGTGCAATTCCACTCCAGAAGTCGGGGTCGGGGCCGGAAGAGCGATTGATCCCTCCAGTGGGAGTGGACCAGGTCAAAGCGGTTCTCAGAGTTGCAGTAGAGCACTACGAGCGCACTTTCGTGCTGATTGATGACATACAAGAGATTCCAGGCCTCGACGAAGAGACGATCTTCCAAGAGTTCCGTGTGCTTGGCATTCATTTCGTCATATTCGTCGGCACCCCTCTCAATCGCCTAAGCAGGAGCTCTTCCCAACTTTGCGACATGAAAGACTGTGGCCGGACCACTGTGCTATGGGCGGAATGTGAGAATTGCATTTGCTGCTATTGTACGGTCTGTTATGACCCTGACAACAACTCTGGGAGATGTTGCTCGAGGTGCGCACCAGTCGCCTGTTGAGCATCGAAGCGACTGACTCTTGCAGCATGACCGGACCGCTTCCAGTTGTGGAGGTCCCTCTGCGGATTGAGGAAGACTGGATCGAGCAAGACTTGAAAAGAGTCCTTGTTGATGACACCAATGTGAGTCTCGTCATGGACGCCAGCAATGGCTTGCTACCTTTGGCAAGACTTGCGCTGGATGACCGCATCGAGAGGCCCGTTCTCGACGACTTTGAGACTGTCCGAGATCGGATGCCGATATACGCTCTCCGCTACTTCAACTTCGCGTTGTGTCGTGTGAAGCATCAACCGTCGACCGAAGACAGGCATCTTGGACTGGCAGTCCTGGAAGTCGTTGCCATGGCCGGTATCTACGAACTATCGTTCAGTGCCTTGCTAAGCATATTGGCCTCCCAGCCAGATAATCAAAAGTTTGGGAGAACGCGGGATCGGGCTCGAATTTCTAGAGTAACGCAAGGCTGGATAATTATCGACCATCAGGGATCATTGGGCAAGGACACGAAAGTGAAGATGTTTCATCCTGAAGCCCAAAGATACTTGTCCGAAGAGTGTGAAGCATTGTACGACCTGCAGGGAGGACGAGATATGGCACTCCTGTGCCTGACAGAGCTAAATAAAGCGCGATCGCAGTCGATCATTCGAGGTCTTGCTGGACAGGATCCGAGGGAGACCCTGAAACGCTTCTCGAAAGTATCTTTGCTAAGCTACGCACTGGATCACTGGGGCGTCCACTTCCAAAGGTTCGGCTCCGAGAAAGCCAAAGTGGCTGCCCTTACCTTTCTTAAATTCTATCAGGACACACCGCAGCTTCGGTATCTCGAAATTCTCCTATGCCAGCCAGGCGACCGGGTTGGGGGGACTAGACTGCACCTACTGGCTGATCTAGGACTCGACGAATTGATCGACGGCTCTCAGATGCAGGATCAGGCTTTGAACATCACTGATCCGTTTGCAAGACGTACCGCAGCTATGGTCGCCTGTAACGCCGGTCACAAGGACTTTGTGACGAGACTACTCGAAACAGAAGCTGATTTTACGCTTTTCTGCGGCAGAGATCGCACTGCACTGTGGTACGCTGTACAGAATGCTCACTACGACACTTTACAAGCTCTTCTGGCGAAGAAGGGTTCGCTTGTGAACCTGCAAGACACGCAAGGGCGGACTGCACTGATGCAGGCAGTTGAACTCAATTCGCGAGCCATTCAACAGGATTCCCTGGATCAGCCGACGAGATATGATAAAGTCCTAAGGATACTGCTAGACGTCAAGACCTTGAGACTCGATCTTGCGGATAGTCATGGCAGCACGGCACTGCATGTCGCTGCAAAATTGGCAGACCACTTGGGTTTAGAACGCTTGCTTGAAAGTACCCATGGCAGAGACAAGGTTGATATACGGGAACAAAATCTACTACAGAGGACCCCTATGATGGCAATGTTGTCTGGACGCTGCGTAGATCAAACGCGACGTCTCAGAACAGCACGGCTCCTGATCAAACACGGTGCAAGCACGGCTGTCCGCGACAACGAAAACCGCACCGCGCTTCACTACGCAGCGACGTCGGATCAATCCGTCGAGATCATGCAGATGCTACTCGCCAAAACGATCGGCTCCGGTGTAAATGTGCATCGATACTCGCCGATGCAGATTGCTCAAGCCCACGGTTGCAAAAACATTGCAAAATTATTGGTAAAGTGGACAAAAGATCAAGAGGCCCAGTACAAGATAAAATCGCCAACAGCTTCGCCATTAACGCTTGTTGCGATGAGAAAGAACACCGAAGCTATCGCGCCTGCAGCGACGGCTGACGGACAGGCCAAGGGCTCGACAAACACGAAAGCGTCTCTGGTCGAGGATGAGCAGCGCCCTCAACCAACGGAAGTCCCATACCTTGCTCTCTGGAAAATACTGGATTACAATGAGCTCCACATGGCTGTGCATAACGCCTGTCATGAAGACTTTGTTGAGCATTTCCGGCTGTCCCAAAACCTCAACGCAACGACAGCTCTCGGAGACACAGCCCTGCATGTAGCTATTGAGGCTCTTGGAGACGCTCTTAGGACCAAGGACAAATTCAAGCAGGTCATATATGAGGGTATGATTGGGATGCTGATCAATGCAGCCACCATCGAGCTTGGAATCGCGAACCACAACCACGAGAGAGCAATCGACATGGCTATTCGGTTGCCTGATTTCAGCAAAGACTTGGTCTTGGATATCGTTGAGAGAGCGCTCGCATGCGGACATATCGACCAGATCGGGCAACTACCAGACATTCATCGACAGTTCTTGGAGCCAGCATTGAGAGGGAAACCTAGAAGCCTTGATCTATTGACCGCACTTCTGGATGCCGGAGCCAGTGTGTTTCACGCTATTGGATCCGAAAACAAGACAGCCCGCGAGGTTGCCTTGGAGGCCAATTTGGATCAGGCTGTTATCGACCTCCTTGAAGAGCGGGAAAGAAAGTTGTTGGAGTCGCTATAATAGTGTACCTAATTTGAGCGTGCCACCAGCCTGGTGCCAAACGAGCCTCTCTTAATGCACCATAGCCGCCGGGACTTGACAAACAGCATCAATTGGACGACGAAGACTGTCTAGCATACAGGGCAATACTGAGGGCGCAATGTACTTCGGTCTCCCCTCGCTTCCCTCAATACCGGCAGCGGAGTACTGTCCTTATCTAGTCGGAAGACTGAACAAATTTAGCACCTCGTTTCTGCCTCCATGCAGCAGGGAGATTAGCAATGCGCAGGATGCTTCTAGTCCCAGGCACACCTGCAGATGGCTTGTTGAATTCAAGTTCAGCCGCACCCACATACGCGGGCGCAGTTTGTGCCGCAGTCTCGAAATGGCGGAGCAGCTATTGTGCGACACGGGCCTTCTCCTCACTCTCGCCTATCTCTTCCAACTGCATTACGTATCAGAAATGCCGTCGACGTGGTCATCGACGATGTCAGAAGCCCTCACTTTGACGAAGAGTGACCCCAAGTGCGAGAGTAATCGTTCATGGCTCGATGGTCTGCAGAGCCTCAGCTCAGCCTGGCCTGCGATAAAGGGCTTTCTGGAGCGGACTCAGGACACAGCACCTCGGAAAACTGTGAAGGAACAGACATGGAAAAGATTCGGTCGAATTCCGGGACGCTGTGCTCTGCTCACATTCCAGGAGAAGCATGTTGAAGAGCAGGCTTTCCAATCTCCGGATGATTTAGCCAAGTATCTCGACGCAAACCCGACACAGCAAAACTCTGGACTGTGTCGTCTGTGGATCCTCGAGGACTTGGATCTGCGATGGGTTGAAGTCTTGGGCAGTCGTCTAAGGGTCGATCCTCTGGTCTTCAGCGAACAGACCAATACGTTCAATTTCACAGGTACCAGTACCGTACTTCGAGATCTTGCGCTATCATCTAAACAATTTTCCAAGACTCGCAGACCATAGTCACCCGAGCATTACCTTCCCTCGTGCGTCCGATCAAAGCCTTTACTCTGAGGTATTTCGAGTTCCGCCAGCTCCGAGACGAGAACAGTATACAGACCCATACGAACCAAACGACGTTTGCATTGAATGCAAGACGGATCGAACGCTGGCGAGATATCGACTCGCCGAACTTCAAGTGCAAATGGAGGCATAGCTTGGCGAGGAGATGCGCTAGTTTCTGGACGAACGAGAAGAAAGGCATCTCTGGTTGGGATGGTGAGGGTTTTAATGCTCCAGATCACGCCTTGTCCGTTCGCTGACTGAGTGATAGCTGTTATGCTGGTAGACCCAGCCTTCGATTCGTTTCCTCACGAGGGTACGCATGTGCCTGAAGTCTGCACCATCTTGCAAGATCCAACCACCCATAACAGACTGGATGCGCTGTGGACAGCTAGGAATAAAGGCATGATGGTGCCGACGAAAGATACTAGCGTAGCCTATCACGGTGGCTCTCACACTTTCACGGAATCAACTCTGGATCTCGACACCGCGAGAGCCAGGCAATTGGTTGACGAAGGCCGAAAGCTGAGCTCGCCTCTGGATGAGGTTGTGCTACATTGGACTCGGGTTGCCGACCCGGAATTGATCTCGGAAGCTCGCACGCACTCCGTGAACAGCGTCCACTACCTACTCAAGTACATTGCCAATCTCTGGGTCCACCAGCTCGACTTGGTGCAATCGACCATCGCGCAAAGTGAATATTTCTCCGAAGACTATCAGGCCTCAGTGGACATCAACACCACATCAGAGGAATGGCGGAAAAAGCTTAGGGAAGTGCTCCGTGCCACGGCTGATATCAACAGCCTTCGACGACAGATGATGCATTTCGACCACCACCTGACTCTGAACCTTGAGCGTCTCGGCATCATCTTGGGTGCTGAGAGTATTGATCCTGCCGCACCAAATGCCATTCGAGAGGCACAAATGGATTTCATCCACATCCATACTCGTCTTCGGCCGTTCATCGCCCGGGCCATGGCTCTAGACAAAACGGCCAACGAACTTGCCAATTTACACGCCAATTTCAAGAGCATTCAGTACAGCGAACTTGGTTTGGCATTGTCTGTCTTCGCAAGTGTTGTCTTCCCGGCTACCCTAGTGTCGAGCATGTTGTCCATGGGGAACGATTATCTACCTGGGCAGGGCAGATTCTGGGTCTTCTGGGCAATCTCTGTACCGGTGGTTTTTCTAGTTGCGATGTCTCTGGTTTTCAGCCGGTATTTGAAAACTTACTTCAAGGCTAAGATTGGACAAGTATTCAAGAAGGCAGCATGATTGAAGAATCGTTGCGCGCTTAGGCGAATGTCATGGAGGTCATACTGTCTGCTCAGGATCCTGAACTAGCCCTGACAATTATGGAGCGAGGAAGACAGGTAGAGAGGAGATGTCTCGTCGCTAGGGGATCCAGATCGCGGCCTCTATTGCCCTGTATCTCTACGGTCATGGATCGAGCAGAATTCCCAGACAACCCCTCCATCCAACCGCCTTTAACCGCCTTTAACCGCTTACTCCTTAACATCTAACAGATAACTATCAATCATATGCTCCACCTCCTTATGTGTAGACAGCGTCGGGATCAAAGTCGTATCAATGCTCTCATCCTTTTTTTTACAAACTTCACTAAAGCATTCGTATTATGCCCCCCATACCTATTAGGTTTCGTAATAGTCCACGCGGCATTATCGACATAGACATACCCTCCTCTCCTACTGGAATTAACGGCCTAGTCTGTATTCTTTCTAATGACCCTAATCGGCATAGATAAAGACAAAGTCGATACATATTTTCTTCGTCGTCGCTTAAGTATACCGGTGCAAGTCCTATACCGGTCCAGGAGCGGAGCACAATCAACCTACGTGCTTATTAGTCTGTTTTCTCGATGCTTAGGAAGACACTCTCTATCGTTTCTGCGAAAATATACTCATTTTCAGAATCTACCCTTATAGCGACGAATGCTTCTTTATATAATGCGAACCAAATATTCTGACGGACATAGCGCGGCATCCTTAGCAAATCTAGCACGGACAAATCGGCATGTCCTATTAATAATGCTTCTTAAGCCTCGGTTCGCCGAATAATAAAATTCTCTCACGGTCCTTCTAGGCTATGGTCTAGTACAGCTTCATTGTAAAGAGAGAGCCCATAGACCGATAACTACCGTGGGAAGGATCCCTACGGCTTGATTAGGCGCAATCTTGCTACCATAGGCACCAGATGTCGGTGTGATAGAAGCTAGACCTATGGATACGCCCGTCGTGGAGCCTAGCGGCGATATTTTGGATAGACTGGTCGCATTTACGATGCTTAAGGTCGAGACGATAGCGGTAAGTGGATCTATCGTACACGTTTGCGTTGTGTAAGTGAACGGGTACGAAAACTTGCTATAGCACATTCCAGATATCTCGGCATTGGCGCCAGAACAGGTCCCACTCTGTACGGATGACAACGGGATATTGCCTGAACTCGGGTCCGACGCTGTTTTGTTCCAGAGGGCCCAAACGTCGATGCCGCCGATAGTCGACCGCGTGGAATCGCAGTTCCAGGAGTATCGAGGGTCGAGACTTGGCTGCGCAGTATAATAATAGAACTGCTGGCAATATGGGAGCTGCGGGTTAGTACTTCGCAAGGTAGTCAGCATCTTGAAGTCGGATGACACCGTAGGAAGGGACGGAGAAAACCACAGTCGCGCGCCCGTCACTCCAGTACAGTTGCTCTGACTCAACTGGGTGTAATCAAGGCAAGTTGAGGCAAAGTCACATGCCAATGGGTTGTATTCAATCCCACTGGAGATGTTGTCCAAGACACCCGCTGTCAAGCAACATCCAAAAATCTGGGGACTGCTGAGAATTGCGCAACTGGCAGCCGAACCGCAGTAAAGAGGCTGGCCCACTTACGTGTCAGTCGAGCGTCATCAAGAGTCATATGCTTTTGCCTGGCATACTGGAAATCCCATCGATATAGCCGCACAATCCGCCGGAATCATCACGCCTGTCAGAAAAGCCAGGTGTCGGTGGTGGTGTTGGCTTTGGGGTCCAACCTCGCGGGTCCAGCACATCTTGTGCAGCGTTGGTAGAACTTGGAATGTGCCTTGTCAGGGCCGTTACCCAAGGTAGAATACTGGAACATGTAGTCCAGAATCTCAGTCCCGCGCACATGCCTGCTAGTGACGACTGTTGGTATCAAATTTGTAACAAAGACTGGTGAATCTTGATACAATGCAAACAGAGAACAGGCTCGAGCGAGGTAGTTGTGTTAGGAAAGGCTCGGCTCACCACGAGTCAGATCAGAGTGACGAAGCAACTAGGTATGGGACGAGTGGTTAATCGGCGAGGCTGCGGATGTTGATCTCGACAATTCCGTCCAAGAGACGAGATACAGCCTTGCCTGACTGCATGGTGGAGGCGAGGTGCATGCAGCTTGCCTTCAGGGAGATATAAACACCTAGCCTCGTGCGGCCACATGAGGGCTTGTTCCAGGGACGAAGATGGAAGCTGAAAAGGCATACATAGGAATGGCAAGGTGCTTCAGGCTATAGCGATGTCGTTGAGGAACTCATATGAAGTCATGAACAAGATAGCAACGTCGATCGAAGCTTTCCCACAACTTATACCGATGAGGCAAAAGTCGAGGTCGGGATTGAAGTGCCCGTAGACACCTCACATCATCCTGACTATGAGCATTCCGAGGTGCAGACTCAACATTACACGAATTACATGTACTACGACCATTTAACACACGCATATCGCTTATGCACTGACCGTAGCACCACTTTAAAAGATTATCGCCACCAATACTGTACCGACTCCTCTGGCACGCCCTGTCCCCCTCTCAGCTTATCGAGGCAGCCTTCCGAGAATGCTGCAATACCTAAGATACATCTTGCACATGACCGCCGCTTGGAGCTGATGATGAGGTTCCGCGGCGGATGGAGCGGCGCAAGGCTGCGCCTTACACTTCAGCTTTTGTCTCGTCCTTGCTTGCTTCCTCGTCGTTAGCCACCAGGGAACCTCTTACTCGCCATGCCTGTCCATAGACAGTCTCCGGATAGACCATGGAATACACATCCTCCAGTAGCGGCCAGCTTGCAGACACAGGAGCGCAATGCAGACGAAGAAGAACCGCATGAAACTGGAGGCAACGCTGCGAAAACAGAGCCAACGGCGGAGAGCCTGCTAATCTCTAAAACATCGACCGCCGCGCAATCGAGGTCGAGACGACGGAAGAGAACAGCCTTTGCTCTTTGGGGCAACGAACTCGCGGCAGCCCTTCTTGTGTGTGCAGCAGTGATCGCATCATACGCGACTTTGACGCCCTACCATGGCAAGTTTCTACCAGAATGGCCCCGATACATAACGATAAGTGCGCTCCTGTCTCTATACTCGGTCGTCCTGCGGCTCGCTGCAACTTTCCTTCTGGCTGAAGGGCTTGCACAGCTCAAGTGGCGCTGGTTCAACAGAAGCGGCGGTGCCCCTCTGCGCGATTTGGTTTTGCACGACAGTGCCACTCGCGGGCCCACAGGTTCTCTACGACTCTTATGGAGGCTGCCACTGCCTGTGACCTGGCAATGGCTCGGCTGCGTCCTGGTCGTCAATGCACTCGCAGTAGGACCTCTTACGCAATTGGTACTCCGATATGAACAGTGCCGAGTCCTCATGGACGTCAGCACCCGCAGCGCCAGCATTCCCCGCGCCAGCGTGTTCCTTGGACAAGGCATACATTCTGGAGCAGCAATCAATACTCTTACCCTAGCCGAACAGAATGCTATCAATGCCGGAATTTATGGTCTCGGCTCCGTGGCAGTTGATTGTGCCTCAGGAAACTGTACCTTCGCGCCATACACATCGGTTGGATACTGTAGTGAATGCAGTGACGATTCTACCAGTATGCAGTTTGCCAATTTGAGTAACGGCGGAATATCAAGCTTCATCCCCGGTGGCCTAAGCACCACCAACTTCATGCCCGGATCAGATACTACCGCATACTATGCTGCAGGAGGTGGTTCCTCCAATTATGCGATTGTCATTGGACCGCCTCATCTTGGCAAGGACGGCGCACTACAAGACTGCAGCAATAATCGCACCTGGGCATGTCAAGGCTATGCCGCGGCCACGTGTAAACTGAACCCTTGTATCAGAAATTACAAAGCCACCATGACCGGGGGAAACTTCCAGGAAACCGTGGTTAATATATGGAATTTTTCTGCCACGGCTGCAGAGATATCTATTGGTAGCGGCTACGCTTACTCGTCGATTAACAAGTCGTGCCTCACAGTTGAACAATCGTCGCAATTTCGGGCCCTAGGTTACAATCTAGATGGCGACAGCCCCTGGCTAGAGTACAATGGCTCCTTTGCGAACGGAGCGAACGACTCGGTGATGCGGCCGATAGAACGCTCTTTGATGGACCGCGGATGTCTCTTCGCAGTTGACATGTTCTTCCGCCACGGCATGTCGCAGTTCTTTGACGGAGCGCTCGCCGGCAACATCACCGCTACTCTTGACTCGTACTCTCATATCCTTGGCTTCCAAGGGCCCCAACTGCTCCTCGCTGTATACAACGGCGGAGATATCAGCTTCGAACGAACACAGGCCGTTTTCAACGATATCAGCTTATCACTTACCAACTACATCCGAACGAATCCCTATAGGTCGGACGCGGATAATTTCTATCTCAACAGGACAAACCTGCCCGCACCAGGCCTCGCTTACACCACAAAGACATGTCTGCAGGTTCGATGGGGCTGGCTGGTCTTCCCAACCGCTCACGCAGCTCTAACCTTGGTTTTCTTCACAGGCGTACTTCTCAGCTCTGGAAGCCTGACCAACGATGTACGAACATGGAAATCTTCGCTCTTGCCCCTTCTCTTCTATAGCTCTTCGCTATTAGAGACCCCTCCAGCCTCCCAGCACGTAAGTGATTTGAACAGTGTGTCGGAAAGGACACGAGTTAGTCTGACGAAAGATGAGGAGGGAAATTTGGTGCTAAGGAGGCAGGGTGGTATCGCGGAACGGGATAAGGAGATATAGAGGGAAGATGCTAGTTAGCGAGCAGTAATTAAAGATACTCGCCGTTGCGACAGGCAAGCCACTTGTCGAGCGACCGACTACTGAAGACCTGCTAGCTACAAAGGTATATAAGGGTACACACGACGTCGCGATAAGAACTATCGTGGGTGGTGCCTCAAGTACTTGAGTCAACTCGTTGGGCCCACCATTCCTTCCAGCATACAACCTTCCTCTCCCGTCTCGCTTCCTCTGCAGCAAACACAGCAGCATGTGAGCGAATGACTTCCTCCATAGTACACCCCATAAACTCGGTTTGCGCTTCGCTCACGCTCATGGTGCCCGTCACAGAAGCCGCAATCGCCTTGAGAAATTGCTGAGTCAGACCATCATCACCACCACCATGATGCGAGTTCTTCGGCACTTCAGGATTGTACGTCTGTGTAGTGTCGTTCTCGAAATCATGTACCGTAATGCTCTTGCTGTCGTAGGAAATCTCTCCCGACGTGCCGTAGATGCGGCCTCTCCGCTCACACTGCGCGAGGGACTGAGCAATCATATGGAAATTGGCAGTCTTTGCCTTTCGATCCAGAAGGCGGTCGCTTGTATCTTCTTCGTCATCCCATTCGATGGTAACATATTGATCGTCACAGACATCGTTATCACTTTCCCAAACGCAACGTCCGAACCAGGGTCGCGCTGCGATCTCTTCCACACTGGTGGATGCGACGTCGTAGTCTTTGGCAAGCGAGGACATCAGGGCGTCTTTCGCTCTTGCTGGAGCCGATGTGAGCAGAAGATCCTCAATCTCCGGGTTGACAATCTCGACAGGCCATTTTGCGTTGCCTTTGGCCAAGTGCTTGTCGTAGTATATTCGCTCAGCTGAATATTTACAGGAATCTTTGATCGGACAAGATAAGCAATTAGTGGCATTGCCAGCGGCTTTCGGTTTCTGAGATCTTCGGAATTGCTTCAGAGATCCGCTCGATGTCAGTCGTGCCGGAAGGTGGGCGCTTTGGTTGCTCTCGGGTGGTGGCGAACATAGCATCCACAGTATAAAGTCAATATCGTGACAGCTCTTGGTCAGAAGACTAGGCGCTGTCTGTGACTCCTTCCTCCAATGGCCGCGCACGTAAGAATGGCTGAAATGCCACCAGCCGACAGGTTCTGTATGCTCAATGGAGATCACATCACCGATGACTCGCTTCCCGCGCACAAGATGCCGAAGAAGCATGTTATGAGGACTGTATCGTAGTACATGGCCAATGGCAAAGATTCTCTCCGGTGCAGCCCGCAAGGACTTCTCGATCCGCAAGCAGTCTGTCAAGGATGTTGCCAGCGGCTTCTCGCTCATAATATGCAGACCGAGCGGAGCAATGGCGATCAAGACTTCGACATGCATCTCGTCACGTACGCAGATGAAAGCGCCGTCAACACCGGGGGGTACAGGCAATCCAGCCGTCTCATCTTTCCGTCTTTGCTGCTCATATCTGATGAAGTTGTTCCAATGGTCGAATTCTTGGCCCGGACTTGGCTCTGATGTTGGCCATGCGTACCGTGCTCCGAGCCATCTTCGCTTGAAATCGATAGGTTCCGCGACAGCTGCAACAATTCCCCGACCAGAGTCCACTGTAGCTCTCGCATATGCATTCCCGCGGGAGCCAGCTCCGATGATGAGAAGGCGAGGCTTCCACGCATTGTCTATTCTGTCAACATTAGCTGTGGAAGGTTCTTGGTCGTTCATGAGAGGCGCCATGGCTGAACTCCGGAAGACGCTAGTGGACGATATCGCGGGCGTGTGAGTGAATGCTGCACTGCCTGGGGAATGGTGGATAGTCTGCGCCTTGGCCAGGCACCGCTCAAAATGGACGGCTTTCGGTCTTTCGATTCACTGTATCACCAGGATTGTACTTTGTTCAATGAGTCGACAGCTGATGTTGCTTGAGGTCGAGGGGAAGACCAATGGACGGCGAGGAGATGGTAAGCCGGGATGTACTGTAGATGGAAGGGCAGATCGGATGCCTGAGGCAGGACACGGAATTCGCCCGACACGGATCTTTGACAACCGAGGCAAATCACTGGGACCTCGTGCGTTCAGACATTGCCGGCTACTCGTTACCGACGATATCGAGCATCGATCTCGCTCTTGTAGGCAGACTTGGTAGGTTCCATCTCTCTCTCACATCCATCACACACCTCCACATTGGACAGCAATGGCACAACGAGCTCAGCAGGTCTCCGCCCAACTGAACTACCCCAAGGGTATGTTTCCCGGCCAGGTCGCCATCATCACGGGATCAGGGCAAGGCATTGGCGCCGAATGCGCTCGATTGTTCGCCAACGAGGGCGCTTACGTCGTCGTCTCGGACATCGACAAAGGTACGCTGGGAAGAGAGTCGAGTTGAGTTGAGCAAGGCACCGAGCTGAGCTGCGGACTGCACAGAGAAATCGCAACAGGTTGCGGACAGCATCAACAGGAATGGCGGCAAGGCCATCTCCGTTCCCGGTGACATCCTGAACGATCAGTACATCAATGAGCTGGTCAAGAAGGCGGCCGAGTTTGGCAACGGCAAGATCCACGTCATCATCAACAACGCCGGCTTCACATGGGACGGCGTCATCCACAAGGTATACAGCTGGAGTAACAGATCCAACGTGGGGAGATGATTACTGACAGTACCAGACCACCGACAAACAATGGGACACGATGCTGAACCTCCACGGAACTGCCCCCTTCAAGCTCATCCGCGCCGCAGCGCCCTACTTCCGCGTCAAGGACGGCGAGCCACGCAGTATCGTCAACATCTCCTCCACCTCCGGCATCCACGGCAATGCAGGACAAGCCAACTATGCTTTCGCCAAGGCAGGAGTCACGGGACTGTCAAAGGCGATCGCCAAAGAGTGGGGACCAACCTTTGGCGTCAGGGCGAACACAGTGGCATTCGGATCCATCCAGACCCGATTGACCGCCGCGAAAGAGGAGGGCGCCTTTGTGACAACGCCGGATGGACAGAAGATCGCGCTTGGAATTCCACAGAAACAGCTCGATCAGAGGCAGGGAAGTCCGCATATTCCTCTGGGCAGGCCCGGCACGGCCACTGAAGCTGCGGCGGCCGTCATGGCTGTTTGCAGTCCCCTTTTCAGCTATGTCTCTGGACAGACCATCAGCGTGACAGGCGGGATGAATTGCTAGAGACCGCGTATATATCTACAATGCAAACTTGATTGTTCCATTCTTCTTCCAATGGCACGAATGACTTCCGGACGACGATTTAGAACGGCATTTCTTTCGTACTGCTGCGGCCGCGGGATTAGCACCGCGAGCTATTGCTTTCAGTCTCTTCGCCTTCATTGCTCCAATTCGACCTTCATATGCTCGTTGGGATGTACTACCTCGAGTCAAGTCCATCTTCGGCATGCGACGAGAATTCGATAGGATCCGTACCGTACTCTTTCTTGCGCACGAACGCTTCAGATAACAAGACAGGAAGATTCATAGCTAGGTTGGTCGAAACGAAGGTTCGCGGAAGATGTGCTGAGACTTTTGACATGGTGACTTCCCTCATCTTTGAGGGCGGACAACCCTACGGCGACAGCAAGACTCTCATTCGATATTACGACGAACAGCACCAGCACTCCCAAAGCTGTCTTCTGGAGTAGGGACTGTACACACACCCATGTCTTTCCCGGGCCGTATCTCTATTACCTAGGAGTCAATGGACTACGCCTCGGTCCCTTTCTCGGCCCTAATGAATCCGTCCGACAGCTCAAAAGTGACACTCAGCCCCGGCTGGAAGAGCTGTCACACCTAGGCATCGCACTAACACTATAGTACATCTAATACTCCACCTTTTACCTAGCATGAAAATCATAATACAGCGAAAAGGCAATGGCGCCAAACCGTGTCTTCTCTTCCCGTCTCTAGCTAAGAAGAAATTGGGACAACGGAATAATCTTCAACGCAATGTTCGAAGCAATCAAGTCTGATTCAGAAGCCGTTTGGTCACGGTATGCCTCTACATTCACCGCCCGGAAAAGTCATAGATAATGCAGTGATTCGGATATTGCATACACTCAGGCGGACTACGACTACGCCGACGCTGATCAAAGCTGCTATATGGCGGCGGCGGCGAACCCACCGAGCTTCGCATCACAGCACTAGAGACCCAGTATGGTGGCGGCTGACTCGCAGAGCCCGGAGCGTAGGCAGTAGGAGAGCGACACGAAGGGAGATCCGGATCGGCCACGATGGATCGTCGACCTGATCCGCCTCCGAGCTGGTCAGCGAGAGGGTCACAGCGGTCGGCAGCATTAGCAGAGATGTCATACCAGCGGCTCCTCGACGGCGGAAAGCTTCTGGTGGGCGAGAGGAGATGTCTTCGGAGGGGTCCAAGTAGCCTGTGTGGCGGGGGCCTATATTCCAACACCGTGATCTTTCGCCAACACCGTTGAGCTTCCAAAACCTTCCGACGACAAACGCTTCCCGGGGAAGAATACTCCACAGAGCTCCTGTAGTTGCCCCAACAAAGGGACACGAGCCAAGCACGAAGCGGTAGTCATCTTTTCACTTAATATCGACGGGGCTGAGCTTGTGCACTATACCTGCATAATGGGTCCATAATCGAAGGAGAACCAGCCATATCCACTGAGCTTTTCACACGGAGTCACTCCGCAGCAACAACGGGTACCTGACTTGACGATGATGCCTCTGCTCATCCGCTCTGTCGTAGAGGTTGCTTTGCCAGCCACATGATGGAGTGTAATACACTGTAGAGGGGGAGAAGTGTAATGTGGAGGGGAGAAGTGAGGTAATGTGGAGGGGAGAAATGTGGAAGACGCGAGAAGTGAAGTCAGAAACATCTGCGCACGGACTGCAAGCAAGGTCGCGGCCTGCAAAAGTGGAAGGACGATGGAGAAAGTTCAAATCCTTCTAGCCGACAAGATGAGATGATTGAGGCGCCATCAAGGTGCAGCTCCAGCAGTGTACGGCAGGATTTTGATGGCGATATTGATGGATGTGCAGGTCGAGAAGTCCGCGATCGATGGCGCCGGCCGCGGTCTGTTCGCGACCAGAGACTTCGCACCGGGCGACATTATCGTGCAACTCGATCGGCCGTATGTGGCAGAACTGGACATTACGCGCCTGCGCGATACCTGCGCCTGGTGTTTCCGCCGAGGAGCCACGACAAGCACGGATCCGGAGGCGGCTGGCCGCAGCACGACAGAGACCTCGTCGGGCTTCTTTGCCGGCGTCGACGTCGTCACCAAGGCCTGCACCGGATGCAAGCGAGTGCGATACTGCTCCAAGACGTGTCAGTCCCGGGCGTGGAAGCGAGAGCACAAGTACGAGTGCAAAGTCCTCGCACCGGAAGGTAGACCGGATCTGCCACATGGAGTGAGAGCGGTGATCAAGCTCCTGGGCAGGTTGAAGAACGATCCCAAGAACGAGGATGAGCTTCTCGTCGACATCTTGCAATTCTTGCCAGCTGGCGGTGGTGGCGCGGAGCTCGAGCAGATCAAGAGAGACAATCCACAGCGAGTGGAAGACTTCAGCATGCTCGCGTATGGTGCGTGGAAGTATGCTGGCGAACCGAAACTGGGCGACATGGACTCCGAGACCATTGCCAAGGCCTTCTTCTTCAATGTCATGAGCAACACCATGCAGTTGAGCAACCCGCTCGACGATATCTCTCTCGGCGTAGGCTTCGATCCCATCATCTGCAGCGCCAACCACTCCTGCGATCCCAACGCAGTCGCCATCTTCAATCAGCCCAAACAGCTCCTCCGCGCCAGCAAACCAATCAAGAAGGGCGACGAGATATTCATGAAATATGTCGACGTCTCGAACCCGTTCAGCGTACGACAAGCTCAGCTCCGTGAGTCGTACTTCTTCCGATGCAGATGCTCCAAGTGCGTGAAAGGAGCCGTCTTCGCAGAGGACAAGTTCTTGAAACCGCCCGAGGAGCTGAGGCCAGAGTACGTGAAGATCGCAGACGGACTCATCAGTCGCCACGAAAGACAACTCCCCATGTTCTTCGTCCCCGCCAACGACGAAGCCGCACAGCGTCGAGTAGCGGCCATCCAAGCAGAAGCCTTCTCAGTATCCGGCATCACATTCGACTTCAACCAAGGCAACGAGAACGCATCCGAGGAGGAGGTCCTTGACGCTCTCAGACTCTGTCTCAACAGTGGTCTATGGTCGTACTCACGCCAACCCGTCCCCCATCTCATCCGCCAACTCCTCACTCTCCACCTCGCCCAAGGCCGCGTCTATCAGGCCTGGCGTCTTGGCCTTCTCCGCCACTTCCTCATCGCTCCTTCACTCTACTCCAGACCATACATCCCCGACCGAGTAATCGACTGCTGGCTCATGGCGACAGCAACCAACAGCCTCTGCAATCCCACAAATCCGAACCACAAGGAAATCTTCGCCAGCTGTATGAAAGCCGGTCTGGACCTTCGGGTCGTCTATTTCGGCTTTCTGACCGAGACACGAGAGCAGATTGACCAGAGTTATGGTAAAGACTCTCCGTTTGGGAGAGTAGTAGAGAGCGTGTATCAGCAGACGGTACAAAATATGGATATCGGGGTGGAGGAGATCGAAGAACGCGTCAAGGAGAGTTGGCCCAAATTGGAAGCTGTGGCGAATAATGTCGATGTCTTGAAGCTGAGTTAGCGGGTGAGAGAGATGGACATTACTATCGTCAAGTCGATGGAGGATTTCTTGGCCTCGTCTCTGTGCAAGTGCGAGGGAGAGCCACGGCACTGTAATGCTGATCGATGTGCAGACCTTCAAAAGCTTTGATTTCGTCTCGTGCACGACCAGATCGCGTACAGGGAGCAGAGATACAGTTATACATACGGTGCGGTACACCGAACGAGACGCAGGTTTCACGGTACTTCGAACAAGACGCCGCAGATTCGCTTCAACGGTCAGCCGCAGTTCTCCGCTCGCTTGGTCTCCCATTCTCGCCATCGAATTCGAATCAAGTAATACCACCTCTCCTTCGGCATCATTGCCATAACCGAGCCATCGCGTGGAGCAGTGTTTCAGATTCATGAACACCTGAGACGGTGACACTAGCCAATGGAGCCTAGAAATTGCTTCAACTTCAATCTCACAGGCACTTCTAGTCCAGTTTATTAAGACTTGAAGCGCCGGCCGCGGCGGCCGGCGCTTCGCTTCGCTTCTGCTTGCTTGGGAAATTTCTTCTCTCCGTGGGTACTTGTGATGCCTACACCGACTTCACACCAAGGATATCTACTTGTGACGACTAGGCGTGAGCTTGATCATGAAGCCAAGTTATCTGGGAGTGTGTTTTTGGGGACATCATATGAGAAGGTGAGAGCCTTTGAGACTTGTCATGAGTCTGAGGTGCCAGAGTTGGAGTCTCTTCTTGTCGGATTTTCTCAATTGCTCCGGGAACATTTCCTCCTATTCATTCATTCGTTTATCCCTTCCTTCATTCAATTCACACATTCGTTCCAAAATCGCAGAGAGCACCGGGTTCTCCCACATCTCCTCGAGCAAACAAACGACATCCTTCACCACCCTAAAGACGAAAAGAAAATGAAACTCACAATCCCCTCCTCGCTCCTGACCCTCGCCGTCCTGGCCAACGCCCACGGCTACTTCGAATCCCCCATCGGCCGCCAACCGGGCGATGCCTTCAAAGCCGCCTGCGGCCAACAAGCCTACGACATGATGCAAGCCGACATCAACGGCAACATCCAAGGGCTCGAGCAATTAACGGCCAACCAAGCCGATTATAAAGCGTCGGAGTGTGAATTGTGGAAATGTAAAGTAAGTATACGTAGCGACTCCACCGAAACAAACCGCACATTGAGGGGTCCCTATAACTCACGCTCGCTGAAAAAAATAAATAGGGAATGAAATACACCGACAACACGGCCCAGGTACAGACCTACAAAGCAGGCGAAAAAGTACCGCTATACTTCAACATCCGCGCCCCCCACGACGGCTACGCCAACGTCTCCATAATCGACACGACATCGAATGCCATCCTAGCGGCGAACCTGAGCGCGTGGGATCGCTACGCTCTGACAGAAGTCCCGATAAAAACCACCTGGACGAATTTCACCGTGACGATGCCGACGGATCTGGGAAGCAAGTGTGCGAGTGCGGGGACGTGTGCGATTCAGATGCATTGGAATGCGCAGAGTATTAATCAGACGTATCAGAGCTGTATTGATTTTACTATGGCGGGGAGCTCGAAGGGGAGGAGGAAGAGACATGCGAGGGAGTTTGCTTGAGATGGGTGATGTAAGGGGTACGTCGTGCGCAGGTGGTGCTCATCCTCTTCAAGGATGGGGCTTATAGGTGTTCCCCTAGCTTTGCTGCATTTCTGTTGTACTGTAGATATTCTTGGATCTGTTCTCCCCTCCAGTGTCCAATCAGCGCATCCGACCATCGCAGAATGTCGAAGACTTGGGCCACATCTAGTGGAATCGGATGTTCTCCGTCTCGGCCACAGAGAGCGCGTCTACGTCCAAGGCCAAAACCCACTTCTTAGTAGTCATGTTGTGCTCTCTCCATCCGTCGAGTTGTAATGTACGCTCCGTGTATATGACCAGAAAGGTCCATGAGACGTATGATCCACATCTCACCCGAGACAGGCGAGTGGGTCTGTAGAGCACGACTTTCACCAATTACTCCAATCCATCGTAGACCAGTCCCACGGGATCGGGTCCAGTCCGAGCGTATCTTGCCCTGCCGTCTCGCCAAATGCGCCTAGATGGTCAAAAAGATCCTCGTCGACGGGATCCATCGGTATCGGCATCAGAAAATCGTCCAGGTTGAAATTCGCAAGTGCAGAATCCTCTTGTTCTACTGCGCCCTGTGAAGGAGTCGACATTTCACTAAGCTGGCGCTGGAAGTCTGAGATCAGTACCGGGAGTGGTTCCTCGGGTCCTCGCGGTGATGCCGCCTGCTTTGCCGCCCATGCCTGAAGTACCAGCTTATGCGCAATCTGGAAGAACGGGCTGTCATGTTGCTCAGATCCGGTAAACCGCGCCTGATAGCTCTTGTCCGCCAGCTCCCAGGCTTTAGAAGCGTATCGAGAATTTGGACGCTTTTTGAGGTCCTGGAAGACGTGGACAAGAGCCGGGAAAGGGAAATAGAATCTCACAAGCCACGTGTAGCCCTTTGTAAGGGTCGAGGTCATTAGTTGGGCGTCGGAGCTAAGCCAAGTCATGGCGCGAGACAGCGCTTCGTCCTTTTGAGCCTCGGTCTGTTGTGAAGGCGCCTTTGCTACCTTGGAGTAGTGCTCCAGTAGCCGAATGCTCGCCATCTGCCGACGTGCTGTCCAAAGAGTCATGAAGTGGAGGGCATTTTCAGGATTGCAGTTATTCAAATAATGTCGACCGATGGAATCTTCCAAATCAACTAGTTCGCTGGAAGCTTTAGCAAGAGGTTTGAGAGCAGGGTTGGTAAAGTCGAGGTGAAAGGTGCTATGTCGGACCAGATTGCTCAGTCCGCTGCGAACGACAACGAAGATGGCCTCAGTCGGCTGTCCTCGAACGGTCGGCGGAGTCTTCATGTCCGGCCAGAGATCAAAGTCATCCACGTTCTGCGGAGTTTTGCAGTTCCAGCCGGGTAGCAGACAAGTGGTTCTTTGATCTGACATTTCGCAGATTCGATGGTCGAAGGTGACCATCGCCCACCACAGCCTGCGTCTCATCTCGGCCTCGAAGATGGTGCACTTGACATTGGCTGATTCATTGTGGATACCCATGCGTTGCGCGATACGAATAGCGGTGCCCATCAAAGCAGCCACGGACCGTGGATCAACATTCTCTGGTCGGAGTGAGGCCTAGATTTCGTGAGTGACGGGTGGAAATGCATTCTGTACAAAACTTACGAGGTAGAGGAACTGCGCCGTTAGACAATCTCGATCAGACGTGCTCATGAATTGGCACTGAAATAGCGCCTGTTGGCATCCCAGCTGATATCGTTCAAGGAGATCCTTTTTAGGCAATCCAAAGAGCTTGGCGCAATCTTCGTCCTCGAGGCTCACAACGGATAAGCAATAGATACTAAGCATCAATGCCGAGAGATTGGGACTGATATCCGTGAGATTGCCAATGGCTCCTACAATTCGACTTTGCAAGGTGGGCGTGTGCGTGACCTTGAAGAGCGGATTTACGTTCTCCAGGTAGATCTGCCACAGCTTAAAGATGTGCACCTGCGAGGGATGCACAGTATCGAGGTCTATGTTGTTATTGCGATGTCCAAAGAATGGATGGCTGTTATTCTCGTAGAGAGGTTGCAATACCCGTCGCACGTCCGATTCGTGGACACCATCGAGCGAGGAGTCGCTACCATACTCATCTTCTCGTTCAGCGTCCTGGAACTGTATGAATTCGTCAGCATTAGCCACCTTGGTGCAAACTCATTCCTACTGTTTGATTCATAGCTTGCCAAATGTTGCTAGACAGTAGTCAGACATCTCGCTCAATGGACTGGGCGTAGGTGTCTTACGTGGCCTTGTTTCCTTCATCTCCCGAATGAAGCGAAGCCTTCTTCAAGTCTTTGGCGGCTTCGTCCAGAGCGTCTGGGTCATCATACTGCGTAATATCATACTGCGTAGTACTCGTCGTACCTTGTCTCTCGGGACGTGATTGTACTGACGATGGCCCATGGAGAGGCTCGAAGGCAATGTTATTTTCGCTAAGCAGCCCTTCGTAATGGCGGAGACGGTCCAGTAGCTCTCGCTCCGCGAACCGACGACGGCGTTGACGGGGATGCAAAGCAGCAGGCGTACACTCCGATGCCTTTCCAATCTTCTCGCAATTAGTACACGGAAAGCGTCTGCTGCATCTGATCTTCCGCTGTTGGCATTGTAGACAAGACAGGATCCGCTGCTGTTTGGGTGAGGTCTGCTGTTGCGTAGCGCTTGCAGTACTGTAGCTTTCTGGGGAAGCCATGGTGGGAAGTTGAAGTGTTACGGTACACTCCTTCTTGGATCTCGTTTCGATGCTGCTGGCAATCGGGGACGATGTCTCTTCCCGAAGTTGCTAGACGTCGTCTGGCAATCCTACGATTGTTATGATGCGGCCAGGAATCATGGATTGCGGGAGAGGCTGAAGCTGGTACAGCGATGGGAGGACAAGAGCAGTGGCATCATCTGACTCAAGAGATATCAATTTTTCACACCATGGGAAGGGAGAATACTGAAGCGATTCAGGATATTCGAAGTGTTGATGCATCGAGGAAAGCAGAACAAATGTGGAATTGAGGGTAGGTAGGCAAGTAGGTGAATCTTGATGTACGTCCACTGGCTTCGGCTGCTTCCGAGCCAATCGTTGCGCCGCTCGACATACCTACGGCGATTCCTTCTTCAAGACGCCACTCTCACAACGCCATCCTCTTCTGCAATTCCCACGCCAGTGTTCACTCTCACAGTCTCTAACTCAGCGAATCTGGCCTCACAAAGCTCACAGAGTATTACATCTTGGCGCGGTAGAAGTTCCTCCAGGACAATCTGAATTGACTCGTGTCTGAGATGAGAAGGATCTTGAATGCAACCAACACGGAGATGAGAGTGATCGCAAGCACCAGCTTTCCCAATCGAGATGAGACTAGGCCACTGAGAGATGCATTCCGAGCTGATGCACACTCCGAGCTGATGCACCTTGATCTTCAATAAGCAGAAACTGTACTGTGGCGGACCGATGTGCCGAAGTTGACGGCGTAGAATCACACACCTGATATCCCGGTTGCAGATTCTGAAGGACAATATATATGGTGGTCACGATACCGATACCAAGAGCGAGAGGGTCTCGATCGAGTAGCAAATGCAAGAATGCCCGCCACCTACAACACGCTGACTGAACTGCGCTACAGAGACCCCGAAGGCATGGTCGCCAAAGGACCTCCTCATCGACCCGTTCAACGGATGTAGAGCTCTGCCGCTCGCGGAAGATGTTGATTGCATCATGTCGATCTCGATCAAAAATCTCCCCACCAGTAGATTTCATCCTTGGCACCACGTTCTCACACTTTCGAAGACCAGAAGATATTCATCAGAATTGCGATCCGCTTTTCCACGTTGACCCTAATCACGACGAAGACGAGAGCACGTCCAATGATTCTGACATGAGTCCCTGCATTCTGCAGCTGTCTAGCTTGAAAAATCACCAGCGCATGCTCCTCTTCGACGCCAAGAAGAGGATACAGTCGTTGGGACAAGGTGGTAGCCCGGAAACAGAGGGAATTAGCTTTCGACTTTGAAAGGCTATGGAGATCATGGTGATGAAGATAGGTGATAAGGGTTGTATATGTGCACAAGTCCTTTCTACAAAATTTGTTGGGGCTCTTGTTCTGCGGTATGCACCGTTGCAACGCATGGCTACTTCCGTTTTTCAGGGTGGCTTGACGACGCCGAACCCGACGTCTTTGCATGTCATCAATATGGTGTTGTCGGCTGTTGTTGCCAACAACCCAGGTAGATTGCAAGGTGCATACGTGCTCAGGCATGCCGGATCCGTGGTAGTATCCTTCGAGATACCCACTCCATGAGTGAGACTGCTGGAGCGTTGCTAGCCGTCCGAAACTCCCCGTAGTTGGTTGAACGATTCTCATCCTCACTCCATCGCTTCAACGCTCCAGGAAAGCGGATCCATACAGCGGGCGTTGCAGGGAATACTGCCTATAGATAAAGCCGATACTCCTTACGAATCTCCTCCTTCAAGTCAGGTGCCAAGTACCAGCCCACAGAAGATTGCAACCACCAACGCAGCGAAGCTGCTGGCGGTCCTAGCAGCGACCACCCCTCCACTGGCATACTGCGCAGCGACCAGGCATGTTCCCTCTTGATCCATCTGCTTCGTGGGCCCAATGGCAAAGCTCACAACCCCATAAGGCAAAGTTGAACACTGCCCCTGCGGCTTATTACAATTCCATCTTATCCAAGGCCTCAGCCGTCCATCGTCATGCATAGCCTGCACACATCCCGGTCCATCATACGTCTGGAAGAACAATTTTCCAGCTTTATTAGACCCGCCATCTGCCGCGCTGTGATTTTGTTGCGCGTAGGAGATCTGCGAATAATTGGCGTTGCCAACATAACCGCTGGCCCCGGTCAAGGTATAATTGAGTCCACAGGTTGTATTGCCTACACAGTTGTAGCCTCCGGTCGTGTAGCCGTCCGTGTTGTTTCCGCCTTGGGAGAACGTCGTATTCAGGTTGATGCAGGTTTGAGCAATGGGAGCATGCGTAACGTGAAATGTTACCGCATTGCCCTCCCCTGTTGTGCCGCGCCCACAGTCCCGTGTGCCCGGCGTGCTGAATGTTAGGTCCAGATATGTTTCGGCGTCGGAGGTTGACTGTGCCAACGTGGTACCTACTAAGGCCACGGTCGACATGAGATGTGTGAACAGCATGTCGAGTGGTCTCAAAAGCCAGTTGGTGCAGTCGGCTGCAAGAGTCGCCCCAGGCAATGTGCTCAAATGGAGCGCACGGGAGCCCGATTAAGAAATACTGCCTGAGGCGTTCCCAAAAAAAATTACAACAGGACCATTAAGCTCCGCGGAGTGATGGTTCTAGGCCTCGGCGGCGTCATGTTACCGCGGAGAGCGTGAACGCCTGGCAAATGATCCGATGGAAGGCGTGCTGAACGGCCAGTTTGACAGCAGCGCTCCCGCCGCGGGAGCCATAGTGGAGAGTGAGTCCCGAGACGCTTGGCTGAAGTAGAATTAGCGGTGCAAGAATGCAGTTCAGAGGAGGATGCGTAGAGATGATCGACGTATGCCAAGAGGCGGTTGGAGAGAAGCCACGGGACGTCGGCTCGCCGTTATCGACCTGCCAAGGCTGCCCGAAGGCGCCGAAGTGGGACGAAGCGTCTGCGACTATATATAGTATGACGGCAGAAGAGAAACATCATACGCAGGTTTCCAGCAATCGTAAGAGATCGCAAAAACATGAACGCACTGTCACACAAGCCCAAACGAAGAATGTTGCGACTCACTCGACGTGATATTAGCAATTGGTTGCGAAAATTGCTCTCCAAAGACAGTGGACTGCAACAATCGTGCCTACCCACTACTCTCCAAGAACGGTGTAGAATGCTTGATGCACCCAGCCGCTTTGCTGGTGCTCAATAGTACAGCGTCCCTCGCAAGACTGTGGGCGAGCCGGCGTTCTAAGCGCTTGCCGCGCGGATACCATATGTTCGACATATCTTCAGCCGTCGAAGTGGTCCAATGCGATGAGGTTTTTAGGGCGCGACAGATCGATTCGTGCTTCACGCGGAACGCATTCCCGGAAGCCAGATCAACATATGTAGTTCGATGGAGAGATACGGCCGTTTCAATCATCCGCAAAATTATTGATCAATTTGAGGTCCAATCGATCGCTTTCGAGGGTTGTGCAGTAGGCACGTGGAGATTGATCAACCACCTTCGTGCATGGAAGCCGGACTCCAGTACTCAGTCTCCTCAGACTGCTCATCGACCCAGACCAGACTGTCCGCCACAAGATCATTAATTACCGCAACAGCTCGCGCGCGCTCCCAGTCGAGATTGGCTTGGAGCATCGATACCGTGATGAAGCCCATGACTTGGATGACCTCGAGCACGGTGGATTGATCGGGGTTCAACTCCTTCGGTACGCTTCGAATGAATTTAGTAGATCCAAGCTGTGTAATTTTGAACTGTCCTCCCAAAGGCTCCAGACTCTCCAGCGCTCGCTGCACATCGTCGTCGGTCACATCGATGCTGCCTCCCACTAGCCCTCTGCCTTTCGCAATCCGTTTCCTGGCTTCAGAAAGCGCAATCATGCCTCCGTTTTCGCTCCTTGATTCTCGACATACCCCCACAAGTCTCACTCCTAGCTCGAAGTAGAAGTCATTCACACTCGTTCCCAGCATCTTTGCCCAGACACTTCCTCCCTTCCCACTTGCTGCATCTTTGGCCTTGACATTGCTTCCGGCGAGAGGATCTACGCCGATGGCATGGCACATGCGAGCGAACTCCGCGCGGAAGGTTGGATTGCTGCGGATGTCTTTGGCGTGTGTGAGTGAGAAGTTGTGCAAGGCTGCTTGGAAGACGGCGAGTTGGTTGGCGAGAGCGTCGGCATGGTTGGAGCGGAGCTGGGCACCATGGGCGGCATATTTGTCTGATGATATCGCAGCATTGGAGAAGGCGTTCAAGCCCACGCCGCGGCGGTTCGAAGCCATATCTACATCGTTTCCTTGTCTGGCGAGGGGTGTAAGGTGGAGCTCGGGAGTCGAAGCCTGAGGCAGGTACAAATGCCAAGATTCTGGAGAGAGCTCGGACCAGCACACTCAGCTTTCCATTTTCTTTCCCGCCCGCCCTCCAGATCTTTCTTTCTCTGTAGACTCCGCCGGTCGAATATCGCCAACCTCTCCCTTCCACGTCGACAGTGCAATACCGCCCCCAATGGCTCCATCCAAGCACCAGGCAAACGTCAAAGTGTATGTTGCCTTCATCATCACCGCCGCCGGGTGAAGAGGTCGCAGCACAGTCGGTCCGCCATGCTCACGCAGCATCACACTCCACACACCCGCCTCAATCCTGCACGTTGTCATACTCTGGCACGTCAGAATGTGAGTGCGGTCGGCGCGCATATGGAAAAGAGCGAAAGCCAATCCTACGCCGCCATCTGCCAGCTCGAAAGAGATTCGGCGCTCTCGCACTGCGAGGCCTTGTTGGACGAGAGTCACTTCTCACCGATGAAATACACGCTCAGTCATCTGAACAGATGATGAGCGCTCAGCGGAGAATGCATGAGAGCCAGCAGACCACTGTGCCGCACTTCTTCGTCTCGAGCAACTTTCCGCGGACCGACTAACATTCTCCCACAGGAGCGTCCCGACCAAGGACCAGATCTTGGTTCCGGAGACTCTGCTCAAGAAGCGCAAGAGCCAGGAGAAGGAGCGCGCCGAGAAGGCTGAGCAGCGTGAGGCTCGCAAGAAGGTACGGCATCTCTCCACTCCCCCGCCCATTCCACTGTGATGATATCTACCAACCATACACGACTAGCCTCCGGGCAATGTTGTCGTTCTGTTAACCATCTTTCGGGGCTGATCGTGCTTGTCTCAACCCAAATGAGAGTTCCATGGGCGCATGCGAAGTACAGTCGCTGACTTCATTCACAGGAGAGCAAGCAGAAGCGTGCTCAGATCTTCAAGCGCGCCGAGTCATACGTCAAGGAGTACCGCGATGCTGAGCGCGAGAAGATCCGCCTCGCCCGTGTCGCCAAGTCTGAGGGCAGCTACTACGTCCCGGCCGAGCCCAAGCTCGTGTTTGTCGTCCGCATCAAGGGTATCAACAAGATCGACCCGAAGAAGCGCAAGACCCTGCAGCTCCTCCGTCTGCTCCAGATCAACAACGGTGTCTTCGTCCGCCTCACCAAGGCCACCTCGGAGATGCTCAAGATCGTCGAGCCATTCGTCGCCTACGGATACCCCAACCTCAAGTCTGTCCGTGAGCTCATCTACAAGCGTGGATACGCCAAGACCAGCCAGAAGCACCGCATCCCTCTCACCGACAACGCCATCATCGAGGAGCACCTCGGCCAGTACGGCATTGTCTGCATGGAGGACCTGATCCACGAGATCTACACCGTCGGCCCCAACTTCAAGCAGGCCAGCAACTTCCTCTGGCCATTCAAGCTGTCCAACCCAACTGGCGGCTTCCGTCCTCGCAAGTTCAAGCACTTCGTCGAGGGTGGTGACCTTGGCAACCGGGAGGAATACATCAACCAGCTCATCCGCCAGATGAACTAGATGGTGCACGAGTGCGCGGTTGATGGCAGGATTTGGGCATGGGGCGTTGATACCACGGGCTTCTCGTCAGGTTGAGAAAGCTAGCGCAAGGCAAGGCGTATGGCGTCGGTAGCTACGAAAAGGATTGATCAACGTTAGCTTCACGTCTCCAATGTCCACAACCTTCCTCAAGTTCACGTTCACAGCTGTTTCTTGTCTGTCTCTGTACTACCAGTCGGCGTTGGTAGCCTGGTAAGATCGCTTAGTATCTTAAGATCCGTGTCGGTGAAACCTTGTTCCGGTATGGGCTTCATGCGTGGGAATGATTCATCCGATAGTCACAGCCATCCTTCAGTCTCAGATTGCGACATCTGCCGTCGCGAACTGCCACACTTCCTCTGTCTTCCTTCAAGTGATCGCAGTGTTTGCCTTCTGGTGTGGCCCATGGAGCTGCTCTTCTTGCGCCAGGATGGTGTTTCGAAGATGGGGTCTGATAACACGCTTATCAGATCCTCGGCGGACACCTCAGATGTCACAACATCCGATCAAGATCAACATCTCAGCAGACTGGGAGAGGCATTTCAATTTTCGAGATGGTTTATTCTCACATATCAAGCCACGCTTGTATGTGTAGTACTAGCCATCTCACTATGTCGCTGGACCGAGTCACGAGCAAGGAGGAGGCGGACAAGAGCGGGAAGGGTGAAGAAGAGGGTGGATGAGATTGGATATGGGACTGTGAAGGGCGGAGAACAGTATAGGGGACATGCCTCTGCCTCACCGAGCAGTAGTACCAGCGGTACAATAGGGGGAACCAACACACCGCCGAGCTTGGCGAAACGGGAGGATGGGTGGACTCGTTTACTCGATCCCGAAGGAAAGACAGAATCGCAACGAGGAAGAAGATGGAATCCGTGGCCACGCTTCCGATCCATGACAATGTACCAACCATCTCCAATCCCCGGAATCGACAAGGTCCTCCCACCAACAGAAACCATCCTCTGGATCCTCTCCCTTTGGGCGCTCAATCTCTTCTACCTCCTCTACAACCTCCTCCCTCTCGACGCAGAAGCTCCCACAATCCTCTCCGACAGAGCAGGACTCCTATTCGTCGCCAACCTTCCGTGGCTATACCTCCTAGCAGCCAAAAATCAGCCCATCAAGAGGCTGACGGGTGATAGTTATGAGAATCTGAACATGCTACATCGCAGACTGGGAGAATGGATGTGTTTCCTCGCAGCCATACACCTAGCCGGGATGCTATCCGCATGGTTTACATTCCTCCGTCCAGCTGGGTTAGGCTTGTATAGCTTCTTGACGATAGGGTATATTTTCTTCGGATGTCTTGCCTGGGTCTGTTATGAGGTGCTATATCTCACGTCTCTGGGGAGTTTCCGGGAGAGGTGGTATGAAGTATTTCTAGACTCGCATGTTTTGTTGCAAGCTGGAGCATTGGGCTTTCTCTTTCTCCACCACTACGCTTCGAGGCCGTACGTTGGAGTAGCGCTTCTGGTATTCCTGCTGGATCGGTTGATCTGGAGACTGGGACTGAAAACGTGCACCGTGCGAGCAGACTTGCAAGTAATGGATGATGGAGAAACAGTCTCGGTAGCCGCCGACTGGACCCTCTTGCGCCGCGAGGAAAGTTCCTGGTGGAGGAAACTACTCGGATACGACATGCGATTCGGCTGGAAACCAAGCGAACACGTCTTCCTCACAGTAGCCGGAATCTCTCCCAAGCACCGATTCCAATTCCACCCGAGGACGATCGCTTCCGCCGCTCCAGCCTCCGGACAAACTCACGCATGGTTCAATCTCATTATCCGTGCCAAAACGGGATTCTCCAGAGACTTGCTTCTCTACGCCCAAAACAACCCATCAACAATGATAAAACTGGACGGTCCCTACGGATCCCTTCATGCTTTGCAAATGTTACAATCAAGCGATGTGGCCATAATAGTAGCCGGCGGCAGCGGCATCGCGGTTGCATATCCATTGCTCTGGGACTTGCTCCGTAGAAGAAATCGCGAGCAGAGGGTGTGTCTGATCTGGATCGTGCAGGAATCCTCACACATCTCGTGGATCGGGCGAGAACGACTCGAAGAGCTCCGCGAACTCGGGTTGCATCTCGTGATACCTGGGCCGAGCAGGGAAGCAGGCAGACCGGATGCGAGGAGCATACTGACTGAAGTCGTGGAGAACGAGGAGAAGGCAGCGGGAGTTGGGGTGGTGGTTTCGGGTCCTGATGGGTTGAATCGGACGGTGCAGAATACTTGCGCTGCGATGGTAAGGTGTGGGAGGAAGGTTGAGGTTGCCGTGGAGAAGTTTGGGTGGTGATTTGTTCGAGAGTGGATTAGACTAATAAAGATTTAGCTGATGAGTTCACGATATGGGTAAAGTTAGAGGGCTCGGGACTGAGAGTGCCGATGTACAGCGAAACGAATGCCAAAGACAAAGCCTGATTCTTCTCGTGCATCTCGAAGGTGCAGAAAACACGAGCCAAGAATATGGTGCCCGGCGAGGGTGTTAGATATCAAAACATCCCAGATCATAGCGGAAATTTGCCACCTCAACGCAACGCTTACCCCTTTCGTGGCGCTCTAAACAGTGTGGCCGCCAGACTCCTCTCGACTCGGATGATATCTCCAACATCAATCTTGTTCACGGGCTCCTTATCCCGACACCGTCGACGAAGCTTCCTCAAGAGTCGCACCTTACGAGACGAACTCGAACACAGAGGGACATTCTCCGGTCCTTCGACCTCGAATCCGTACTGGTGGACACCAGCGCATCAACTCGGAGAGATAACAACAAGCGTTTTCCTGCCAAAGGATCTCCCCTGAGCAGCTATGGTGTCGAGGGCGAAGCGAAGATTCCCAGTTTTACTTGAAATTGGCTTGCAAGAGACCAGGCAAAATGGAGCGAAGAATCTGTATCGATGCGTGGGACTTGCTGTTCGCTGCCCCTTTCTCATACGATTGCGTCTTTAATATCGATTGTGACACGATCATGGAGCAGCGGTAGGATATACAATCTGATGAGGCGATGGACTCGCGAGAGAGAGAGAGAGAGGGGGGTTGAGCTGATAGATGGACTTTTGACACGAGACACTGCGGCGCTTGAGTTGCTCACCTTTATCACGAAAAACGATCAACGAGAGGATCCGAGCTTCGAAGATTAGAAGATGGAGGTGGGAAACAGAAGCTTTTAATGAGCAGTTACAGTTGCCGGAGATAGCTCGTCTTTCAGAGCGGATGGCCGGTTGCAGAGCGCAGGAAAGCTGAAGCCTCTCTATGGCCCCAGAACTTGTGGTGAACGTTCGGGTGTGTAGGGGCTGCTGAAGTGCTGTGCAGAAGTCGGCGAAAGGAAGTGTCGAACAGGGCAACACTGTAGTATCCACAGTCTCAGCAATAGGTGACTCGCTTCTCCTAGCTTTCGAAGATCTACACCGGTCCATACTGGTGCTAGAGTGAGAACTTGCAGGTCCCATGATAGGTCAGTGTATCGTGCAGCGTCGCCTGGCAATCTCCACACTGATTTTCTCCAACTCCAGTTCTCTTTGGAGGCTCAGCGGCCCGAACTGTCGTCTGATCATAAATGGTAGGGAAGATGCGTGTGTATCTCTCGCAGGGTACTGATGTCTCTTGAGTTCTTGAAAACAAACAGAAAAGGAGGGCGCTATTGCCGCTGCTTCTGCTGAAGCGCCTCGACTCCCGCAGCGATGTTCAGAATCCTCTCCTCGCTCAACGGAACCCCCAGTATCTCCAACCCAACAGGGAGTTCCGGATCATCCGGGTACCGATCATCTCTGGTCTTCCCAATAGGCACGGAGAGGGCGGTCCAGAGCAGTTGGCTGCCAATGACCGTGTTTGGAAGATGAGTGAACCTAAACATCAGCTTGGTCTTTCCCGGAAAGAGCTTGACACTTACTCTCGATCCAACACGCTCTGCGTCTTCGGCGCCAGCTCTGTGCAGGTGGGATAGACCATCGCATCTAGATTATGCTTCGCAAAGATCGATGCTACAACTCGCTGGAACTCATCCTTCTGAGTCAGATGCTTTGCAGAGTGCGGACTCTGGAACGGATCCGTTGGTCCCTTGACGAGCATATCAATGAGATCGCACGCTGGATGATAGTCGCCGTTCTGATAGATCTCCTCGATCCGGAGATGTTTCAATTCCTCCCGAGATTCCAGAAAACTGTTAATGTCCTTCTTCGATCGTAGAATGTAGGGTGAGGTGGAGGCTTTGTAGTCTTCAAGACCTGGGATCGAGACGTCGATCAGCTCAACACCCGCATTCTTGAGATTGGATATGGTCTGATCGAGGACTGCGTTGATGCCCTTATGGGTGCCAAAGGCTTCCCGCAGAACACCGAGGCGCTTTCCCTCCAGGAAGGGCTGTCTGACGGCATTCGTGAATTGATCTGGCAAAGCGCTGCGCCCGGTGAAGCTGTTGATGGAAGTGAAATCGTCCTTCTCATCGAACCCAACAATGACATCAAGGATGCGAGCTGCGTCTTCCACAGTCCTGCACATGGGTCCGGGGGTATCCTGGGTCTTGACAAGAGCACTCATACCATCTCTGCTGATTCTTCCGGGAGTCACTCGCACACCGACCAGCCCGCAAAAGCTAGATGGCAATCGGATACTGCCACCGGTATCGCCTCCGATAGCTGTCAATGCCATGTTCGCAGCTATCGCGGTCCCGCTGCCCGCTGATGAGCCTCCTGGATCACGCGACGGGTCAATGGGATGCTTAGTGGTTCCGCTCAGGGAAGAAGCCGAAAAGAATCCAGCAGCCCAGTCGCACATGGTCGTCTTCCCCAGGACAATCGCTCCGGCATTCTTCAGCTTTTGGATCAGTTCAGCATCTCTCCTCGGGACGTAGTCTTTGCACGTCTTGCTGCCGAAGGACGTTGCAATCCCTTCGGTTTCGATCTGGTCTTTGATCAAGATTGGAACGCCAAACAGAGGCCCTCTCTGATCCACAGGTAGGTTCTGCAGACTGATTAGTCTCGCTCGTGGGTTGGCCGTTGCTTCATGCCATTGCCGGCTTCAGTTCCGAATGATACTCACGTCAAGTCTCTCGGCCTCCTCGATAGCCTTGTGATTCGTCAAAGTCACAGCATTCAGGTCCGCATTCTGTTTCTGTATCACGTTCAAATACCCCTCAACAGCACCCTTGACAGTAGTGCGGCCATCCCGGATGGCCGTCTGTAATTCGGCGATAGATCCGTAGGCTGGTCCGGAAGAAGCCATGGTGGCAAAAGAGCTTCGTTTACAGATCGTCCAAGGCGGACGATGCGAGATTGTCGAAGCTATTTGCGTGTGGTGTGAGAATCGTTGCAGAAGCATGTTGCTGTAAGATAGTAGTGATTGGGTGTTGTGAATATAAAGGGCGCAGATAAGGTTTAGCGCGAAACAAGCAAGCTGGGCGGATGCGGTGATGGCATCTTGCAGATGAGTACAAACATGTCTGGAGAAGATTTCTACTGAAATGATGATGCGGTATCCTACTATGGCGGAGCCTCACCGCGAAATTCCAGTCACTAAGCGCATGTGAACTGTGCGTCCGTGCGTCGTAGAAATCGAATCGCCCCTTTCGGGCGCTTGTGCACCAGAATCGAACTGCTCGCTGTTGATGGACTGAAGCTCTAAGACCAGCATTGTCGTCCAAGTTTTTCTGCTCTCAAATTAACAAGTAGTGGGACAGGAAGGGAGATTTCGACTCGCCGTCTAAAATCTTCGCATCCTCCTTGCCGCTGCAGTGTGCCACTTGTGTCCTTTCTCTGCACCACCGACCCACTCACTCGTATGCAAGACCATAATCCACTTGGCACCTCTAACATCATCCATCAATCGTCCCTGTACCCGTTGAGAGTTACACCCATGTTGAAAGTCCTGGAATTCCTTAGAAGCCGCCGGAGCACCAGACCGGCCAGTCTGCATATACAGAACAAAATGCCCGCTCCCATCTTTTCTGAGATAGCAGAAAGCTATAGTGCCATCACTGCCATTAGCAGGCGGCTTTTCCAGAAAAGACTGGTACGCCGTCTTCGCCACCTCGCCTCTGCTGTTCTTCGAAGGCTTGTATTCGGTCGTGTGGAACTTGAATCCCACGTGGCGGAGCATGGCGAGGATCTGCTGCTTGGTGAGTGCCCTATCCGGCCAAGGTTTGGATCGGCCGTAGACATCATCCCAGAACTCGTGGACAGTGGAATACCAGAACATGCGGGCAAAAGTGACGGAAACGCAGTTGTTCTTCATGTCGTTTGGATTTGTGGAGGAGGCGCCCCAGAAACCGATCTGATCAAGGCGGGATGCGAAAGCAGTACGGCCGCCGAGCTTTTTCACCGTCATGATGGATGTCAATCAAGTAGCTAGAGGAGCTGTCGCTTGAGATTCGATAATGTTGGTGCGAAGTTGAATCGAGCGTTGGAGGGCAGGTAGTGGGCGAGCCAGTCTATTTGTTCCCATGAGGTCGGTGACTGACGGTGGCAACAAGCGAAGCCACCTTCGACTTTGCCTCCGCGCTCGGATCGGGAGGGTGTGTAAAGTGCTGTAAGCCGCCCACTCGATAGGACTCACAGCATCGATTTCGGTTTGGTCTCAGGCAGAGGTATCTCATACGGCTTGTGTACATCTGGGCTAAGCTTTAAGCCGTATAGCGCAGCCTCGCTGGCCAAGATAAAGTTCTTCCTGCGCCCCAGTAAGGCAACCAGATATGCATCTATGCCTCGTTGTTCATACGGGCGTAGCATGTGACGCATGCCGGACGGGAGAAGTCGCTCAGAAAGAGAAGGCGACAGTTCAAGTGTTCGCCATCAAAACAGTTCTCTGGTCCGCCTGCCCGAGGCGTTGCACCATCCACACTGGAGCCAACATCAGTACCAGGTCATCCCAATCAGTGACTTTAAAGAGGAGACATACCTCAGTCTTCGAGCAACCTTCGTCATGTGGAAGACAGTATTCAGATCGGCAAGTCCGACACTGCCCTATAAGTCGATTCTTGCATGCCAGACAAGTCCTGCCACAAGCAAAGCAGTCTCGATGAACGCCCATCTACCGTAAAGAGTATGTCAGCAGAGGCGATGATAGATGGTGAGAAGGAAGGTGGGTTTGAGGCCGTCGAGTAATGAGACGTTGAAATACCCGTACATTTCAACAGTGCTCTTGAAATCCTCATCCCCACATCCCACCACTACCAGCACCAGCCATCATCTCACCAACAAGACAGTGCTCGACACAGAGTTTTGAGAATACCTTTACTGTTCCTGCAGGATCAGCGCTGCCAGGAGCCCGGGGCACGCTCGCCCAGCCGTTCCTTTCCAAGTCCTCTCGAAGCTCGACCTGTTGCATTTCGGTTCGGAGATGGGCACGGGAAATAGGTTCCTGGTAACAATCTTCGCACCACCAGCGGTTGCATTGCTCGCACCAACGACCCCGAAGGCAGGCTTCGCATCTGAGTATAAGTTTTGGGGGAGAGCCGTTAAGTAAGTGATCTGGCCGAACAGCTGCTCGGAGTGTGGATGAGTGAGATGGCACTGGTCCCAGAAGGGGAAGGGCATGGTCCGGACTAGAGCCAAAGACAGCTGGACTCTCAGGGCAAGAGCCACATGCTTCACATCCACCCGGTCCGAGAGCGACCGTAGCAATTGCGGGTTGCAAGAAGTGTTTGCTTTCCACTTTGGTGATATCATGGTGTGGCCCTCTGCAGAGGACGGCATCGAAGTGAATCAAACCCTTGCAGACCTGTAGAGTTTCTGCCCAGTCGGAGTAGGGTGGCTTGATTGCCCGTCCAGTACAACCGTACCACTTCCCTTCGTCATCTAGTAAGTTCTCCTCGAGGGTGCTTGTTGATCGTTGATTCCATTCAGCCCCGATCTGAGCTCCCTCTGAAGCCATGACGCCCAGCTCCCTCCCATTAGCGACATGAGGCAGGGTCACCAGCGTCCGACTGCCTTCCTTTGGCCCAAAAATGTACAAAGCTCTAAGGCTAGGAGTGCCTTCCACACGTGTCGGTCGACAGACATATCTCAAGACCTGCTGTATTTTCGTGAGATTCAGATTCCTACATTCCCTCAAACTCAGGACTTTGACACGGTACTTCTTCTCCTCAGAGATGATTTCCCTCACCAGATCCGCTGGAACAGAGAGACCATCCAGCACCAATGTTTGAACAAACTTCAATACCCCCTTGGTATGTAAGGTTCCAAAGATGCCGCGTAGTGGGCCAGCATAGAAATCGTCTTCGGTTAGAGATTCATCCATTCGTTGCGCTCGCCATGAGAAACCGCCGACATCGATGGGGGAAGAGTCAATGATGGCCCTTTTGACTTTTGTGAGATTGAGGTAAGACCAGGCTTCGGGAAACGTGTATATCAATTCTCGTAGAGCTTTGCAAGTTCTTGATAGGCAGAGGAGTTCCTTAATGGGGATGTAAGGTGCTGTTTGGCGGAGGATTAAGGAGTTGGAGAGCAGATCGAGGAGTGTAATGGGTAACTTGTCGATACCTGCCGTTGCCATGTTTCCAGCGAGCTGATGGAAGCAGTGTTGGTTGTAGGATTTCGATGACATTGACATCAGAGTGATGGAGTCTAGAATTCCCCGCAAGATGCTCGGGGATTTCCCGGCTCGGTCCGGGCTCGCTGATTAATTGTTCGAAGCATGTCGCATCCGGTGGCAGCTCTTGAGCGATCAACTTCGCAACATCATCCTCCACGCCCACCATGTCTGCTCCTACTGTGTCTCGAACCTGCCTACGATGCTTGCGAGAGGCCAGAGCCTCCAAGCAAATCGCGATCCGACGAACGGCGCCACAACGAAGCCTCCATTTTCCAGCGCCACTCTACCTCGACTTCCTTGCTCCATCATGGACAACATCACCCACACCTAAATCATCGCGGCGGCGATCTCCAACGGTCTCGGGTATAGCGAGAATACCGCAGCGAAGGCAGATGTCCGCGACAAGTCGGCGAGATGCATTGGCAATCCAGAACCCACGCAAAGACGACGAAGGCAACGTCATGACCATCAACATTACGCCGCGTGCCGCACATCGCCTGCAGAAGATCGCCTCCACGGACAACAATCCTAAGCTTGCCTTACGAGTAGCGGTAGAATCAGGAGGTTGCCATGGATTCCAGTATCTCATGAGCCTGATCAATATGGAGGATGTGGACCCGGAAGAAGATACGATCTTTGAGAATGAAGAGGTAGTCAGTGGCGGTGATGAAGGATATAAAGCGAAAGTCGTCATGGACCAGCCAAGTCTGGAGCTGCTAAAAGGAAGTTCGGTGGATTACACGATGGAGTTGATTGGGAGTCAGTTTAAGGTGACGGGTATACCAGGAGCAAAGAGCAGCTGTGGATGTGGGACGAGTTTTGATATTGCGACATAGCGTACAGCATGGATATCGGCGAGGAATGTGGATACGGTCATTACGTCTTTTCTTCGGAGTGGTGTGGGAATGAAAGGGTGGCTACTGGTATCGTCCAGCACGAGGCCGTCCAACGGAGAGACACAGGACGTGGCATGTGAGCACGAAACATCCCACTTCTTCTCTTCTACTCTCAACGTCTCGGATGCCCCGTGATGCAATTGGACTGCTGCATTCGCTCCACCCGATTGTGCCTGGCGCTACTGCATGTCCAACCGGTTTGACAACCGCCCGATAACCTCACCCACGTGAACGCTCTTCACCGTTCCTCACGCTTCGTCTGATTCCCCCTTTTCCCAATCAACTGAATGCAACGGGCCCGTGTCGTGGAAGCGGTGAAACAGACAGCAAGAGAATTGTACCGGCTAAAGGTAGAGTGGTAGTAGTAGCGTTGAGCCGGAACTGCATCATCTCGCCTCGCGCGGCAGACGGCCCCACTTTGGAGGGGTCACCTCACCTTCCATTACCTTACTGTCCTCGAGAGTTTCGGGGTGCTCCGTCGAACTTTTTGGAAACAACCAAACATCCGAAGCTCAACAACTCCCCCCGTTCGACTCTTCACAATACCAACACGAGACGCATCAGCCTCATTCACAAGCACATCCACAGACTGGGCCCAATCATGAGCGTCAAGACGGTCCAGACAACGCCCTTCCAAGGTACGACCTCCACCAGCTACATGTATAGCTTTGAGTATGGCATTGGAAGCTAACAAAAGGCATTCGACAGACCAGAAGCCTGGAACGTAAGTCTACCAGCCCACTATCGAGCTCGATTAGCTTCACGACAAGCCTCCACCCCTCATCGCCTCAGTACATACTATGTACCGTATACACGGAGAAAGAGCCGGTCCTGACGCAATCGTGATAGTTCTGGCCTCCGCAAGAAGGTCAAGGTCTTCCAGCAGCCCAACTACTCCGAGAACTTCGTTGCCTCCATCATCCAGTCCATCCCTGAAGGTGCCCAGGATGCCTTCCTCGTCATTGGCGGTGACGGCCGTTACTGGAACCCTGAGGTCACCCAGGTCATCGCAAAGATCGGTGCCGCGTACGGCGTGAAGAAGCTCCTGATCGGCCAAGATGGCATCATGTCCACTCCTGCCGCCTCGCACTTGATTCGACTACGAAAAGCTACGGGCGGTATCCTGCTCACAGCCTCGCACAACCCCGGTGGTCCCACCGAGGACTTCGGTATCAAGTACAACTTGGCCAACGGCGCCCCAGCACCTGAGGGCGTCACGAACAAGATTTACGAGTTCTCCAAGAGCTTGAAGGAGTACAAGATTGCGGATATCCCAGACATCGATCTCTCCACCATCGGCACCAAGACCTACGGCCCATTGGAGGTCGAGATCGTCCACAGCACCCAGGACTACGTCAACATGCTCAAGGACATCTTCGACTTCGATCTGATCAAGTCTTTCCTGCAGAAGCACTCCGACTTTAAGATCCTCTTCGATGGCCTGAGTGGTGTCACTGGCAACTACGGCGTGGACATCTTTGAGAAAGAGCTTGGCCAAAAGGGCAGCACACAGAACTGCATCCCCAAGCCAGACTTTGGCGGCCACCACCCAGACCCTAACCTCGTCTATGCCCACTCGCTGGTTGAGCGCGTGGATAAGGAGGGCATTCACTTCGGCGCTGCCTCTGACGGAGATGGCGACCGCAACATGATCTACGGCGCCAACTCTTTCGTCTCGCCTGGTGACTCGCTAGCCATCATTGCTCACCACGCCGACCTGATCCCCTACTTCAAGAAGCAGGGTGTCTACGGTCTCGCCCGCTCCATGCCTACTTCCGGCGCTGTCGACTTGGTCGCCAAGAAGAAGGGTCTCTCTTCATACGAAGTCCCAACCGGCTGGAAATTCTTCTGCGGTCTGTTTGATGCCGACAAGATGAACATCTGCGGAGAGGAGTCTTTCGGTACCGGCAGCAACCACATCCGTGAGAAGGACGGTCTCTGGGCCATCGTTGCCTGGCTCAACATCATTGCCGGTGTAGGCCAGCAGACCGGCTCCACCCCATCCATCAAGAGCATCCAGCACGACTTCTGGAAAGTCTACGGCCGCACCTTCTTCACTCGGTACGACTACGAGGGCTGCGAGAGCGAGGGAGCAAACAAAGTCGTCGCACACGTCACGGAGCTCATTACGACAAAGAAGGATAGCTTTGTCGGCAGCTCCATCTCTGGCCGCAAGGTCGTTGAGGCGGACGACTTTTCCTACACCGATCTCGACGGTAGCGTGAGCAAGAAGCAGGGCATCTACGTCAAGTTTGACGACGGCAGCAGGATCGTTGTTCGACTTTCTGGGACTGGCTCCAGCGGTGCTACGATCCGTCTGTACATCGAGAAGCACGAGACCGACGAGAGCAAGTACTCCCTCGACGCTCAGGACTACCTCAAGGACAACGTCAAGCTTGCGACCGATCTGCTCAAGTTGCAGGAGTACGTTGGTCGTACTGAGCCGGATGTCAAGACTTAGACGTGCTGTTGAAAGAATTGAACAGCACATGCGAATGCTTTGGTAGCAGCAATAGAAGCGTGCATGATGATGTGATGTGATGGGCATGAATGATGTGTAGATAGCGATCCAGCGAAAGCATGATAAATTCAAGGAACATGAAAACTCGGCAGAAGCGATGCAGAGGTGCGGCGATGTTGCATTTTCATTTCATCACTCGTCTATATTCCAGGCTGAAAAACGGAACGCTCAATACTAATCTCCCATCATGGGTCATCAGAAGGGAATCTTCGTATCAATCACAATCACAGCTTCGACCCCAGATGGTGGTGGTGGTGTCATGTTCTCTATTATCCTAATCTGAACCCATCTCCTCCATCCATGCATGCATGCCCTGACTTAGGGTTGAAAAGAAAAGAAAACAAAAAACAAGAATTGCAAAAAAGCTCTCCGACCCACCCAGACCAGACCAAAAAAACTCAAATTCAGGCAAAACTCTTCTTCTCCTTGGTCGGACTCTCCAGGGAGAATTCCGCGCTGAAGAGAGATTCCCATCCACTCTTGCCCCTTTCCTTTTTCGTCGTGGTGGTGGGAGTCTTGACGGGACTCTGGGGAGGCTGCTGGGAGGAGGAGGAGGAGGGTGGTTGCTGCTGCTGCTGCGTGGGTTCGAGGTGTCGTTGGAGAGAGCGGACGGATTTGGAGGGGGATTTGGATCGGGTGCGGGGTCTGGAGTTGTTGTTGTTGTTGATATTGGGGTTGATGTTGGTGTTGATGTTGATGTTGGTAGGGGAGGCACGTCGTGAGGGGATGGTGGTGGGAGTGTTAGGGATCTGTAGAAGAAGAAACTGGGTGTCAGAAGAATTTGATCAGAAGCATGATGCGGGATCATCAAAGTCCGTGTTGAGGCGCACCTGATCGTGCTGTGGTGGAGCGGCAGTGATCTGTTGCGGCGGTTGTTGGCCGCGGGAAGGAGGTCTCTGTTGTTGCTGAGCAGAAGAGGAAGAAGAAGAGCCCTCATGGTCATTGGCATTCGACACAATTCCCAATCCGGATCCAGCGGGCGCGGGCATTGGCCGAGGCTGTTGCTGATTCAACGAACTCGCCTGACTCTCCGATCTCTGACGGTGATTCCCAGCGTCCACGGGCGTGCTACCGGAAATGCCCTTCTTGGAAGTAGAGCTACTCCGACGACTATCCAAACTCTTGTTTAGGTGTTTGGTCGCATCGGACTGCGCTTCTCCCTTGCTGTTCCTCTTCGGGGGCGCCATGCTGCGGATGCTACCTGTCGCATCGACATTAGCGGCCGCAACGGTGCTCTTTCCTAAGCCCGGCGTGGTGGGAGCTGCGCCAGCGCCTCGTTCCTCAGCGGCATGGACCATCCACCAGGTCAAGCCATCCGACAAATCGAATGGGTTGTCATCTTCGACGTGCATGGATGAGAACGCATCGCTCGTCTCATCGATACTGCGGCCATCAACGGCAAGATTGCCACCAGTGCGCTGTCCGCTGAGGTTCACAATCTTCTGCTCAACCTTCTGAATGCGAGCGACAATGAAGTCTCTCGTTCCGAGTCGCATGCCTTCCCGTTCGGCGAGGAAAAAATGTGGACATCCAATGTTGAAGGCAGCCCATGCGCCTTTCACTTGACCGCCCCTCGTCGGCAGGAACAGCGCGAGATCACCCTCCTTGAAATCTCGTACAGCAATTTTGGCATGAGCTTCGTTACGCAACCTGACCGCGCGCTCCTTATACGCGTCGGCTCGCTTGGCAGATTCTTTTGCCTCCTTGCTGTACTTCTTGGCGGTATATTCAAAGTCCTTGACGCGCTTCGTCACAGCATCGGCAAAGACGTCGAGGTCGAAGCGGGCGATGTGGCTGAGGAAGGATCCATACTGGAGAGTTTCTTCATCGGCACTCGATGCATCGGACCAGCGCAAGAGCTCGAGATCCGCTGGGGGCTCCACATCCGCTGACGAAGACTTTCGAGTAGGAGGCGGAGAAGATATTTGCCTGCTCATCTGAGTCTGAGGATCGAGAATTGTTGTACTCGCAGCCATCTTTGACGCCCGCTCTACTGTCATCCGGTCGTCCTGATATGCGACTACCAGGCCCAGGCGCTCCAGAAGGCGAGCAAGACGCATGTTCTGCGAGTAGAGACGCTGTGAGACCTGCTTCGCTCTCTCCGCACGCTTCGCGAGACGATCCGAGTTGGCTTCGGCTGTTTCATGGTGTGCCTCGTGGTTCTTCTGCAGACGCATCAACTCGATGTCGAGGACGTTGATGTGCGACCTGGCTTCCGTCAGCTCGGTGGAGAGCTTTCTGCATCTATCCTCCTCTTCGGTGACACGCTGCCGTAGAACTGCAGATCCAGTCTCGCCCTCAGCGAACTTGTTCCGGAGCGTGCGAAGCTGTTCCTGTTCCTCTTCAAGTTGCTCCTCAAAAGACCTGGCTCTCGCCTCTTCTGCGGCGAGCTTATTCTGGGCTTCGCGGACTTGTTCCTCAGTCTCAGCCTGCCGCTGCAATGCAGTCGCCAGCTCTGTCTTCTGTCGCTCATTGCTTGTCCATAATGATCCGTTCTCGCTCTTTGCGAAGTCAATGCCTTCTTGCAAATCCTTGACATGAGCGGCAGACTTGCGTGCGAGCTCCTCGAGTGCAGTTGCCAGCCCGATGAGCCCGGCCGGCGGCTCCGCATTAGGTAAAAGGTGACCATGAGCCGCGGTCAAGGTCTGCAACTGTTCGTTCTCTACTTCACGGGCGACCTCTCGTTCGTTGCGTATCTCGCGAAGTTCACGTTCGGCCTCAGCTTGAGCAGCTCCGGCAATCTCCAACCTCCGTTCCAGGGCGCTCCGAGCATCGTGTTCCGTGGCAGCTCTGGCAGCGTGCCCAGCCGCATCTTCCTTCAGCCTGGCGATCTCCTCGTCTGCACCGTCGTGAGAACCTGCCATTCGCTCCATTTCATTCTCGGCCTCTTCAAGTTTCTCCCTGGCCTCCGCGAGCTCCTGCTCTAGCTGACGCCGCTCGTTTGCAAACTCTCTGCCTTGAGCTTCCATATTCTCCATGAGATCTTTCTTGGTCAAAGTCGCTTCTTCCACTTGTTTTTGGAACTCGGCATCCGAGTTCTTGCGCGATGTCAGGTCATCCTTGTACGACTGCAGCTCGGCTTCCAAGTCCACAATCCTCTGAGCAAGTCGCCTCTCCTCGAGCCCTTGGCCCTGAATAACAGACGATCTCCGCTTACTCATGGAGTTATGGCGAGATGTATCCTCGTACTGGGCCACGGGGGTTCCAACTCGATTCGAGAATGTGCCATCGCTGGTGGGCGTGAAGACGTCGCCAGTGCTGGCTCGGGTGATCTGGGTCTGCCGATGAAGTAGGTCTTCCAGCTTCCGGACGCGACTCTTCTGGCCTCTGAGCTCCTCTGCCAGACGAATATTGCTCTCGCGCAAGCTCTTGTACTGTTCATCTCCACGGAGCAAGAGTGAGGTGTCGCCGAAGGCAGCTTCGTGCAGGCTCCCGTTCTTAAACGCTCTGGCATGCTTGATCTGTCGGCGGGTCGGTTTATCCAAATCCTTGATCGCTTGGTCCACTTCATCGGTCACTGGACCCTGGCCGTATACGCTCGTCAAAACATTCATGTAGTCTGTCAGCTCCTCTCTGGTAGTCATCGGCCAGCTCCCACCTTCGTTCTGCAGGCTCAGCTCAATACCCAGGACACGACTCTGAAGAGATTCGGGAAGAACGACATCGTCGACGGAGCGCATCCACTTCTTTCGCCTCTTGTCTTCTTCTTCCTGGTATGCAGCGACTTCTTCTTGTAGTGTCGAACAATCCCGCTTCATCTTCGCCACCCACTCCCGGCGTCGAACAGATTCCACGAGCAGTTGAGCATACACGGAAGGCAGTCGAGATACTATGCTGAGGGTGACAAATGCCTGCTGCTGGTCTTCTGGCAGGTCCAACTCTTTGATATCCTGGTAGAGCTTTGCGAGTTGCGATTCGATGGCAGAAAGAGTGCGCATGTGCTCCAAGGCCATCTCTGCCGCACCCTCGCGCTTCTCCTTGGTAGTCCGGACTAGTGCATTCATCTCCTCACAGTAATCGCCTAAATTCGGGACATAGCTACGCGTGTGCAGAAGTGCCATTTTTGACACGGCTGAGACGTTCTGAGCGCTCTGCTTCAAGGTCTGGACATGCTCGAAGTCCGAAGCCATCTTTGCAACGACCATGTTGATTTCCTCGATGAGCTGAGAAGGTTCGGAGTCGCTTTCGTTGGGAGTAGGATTGTTGATTTGCTCTACGGCCTGCAGGAGGTCGTTACTGTCGCTCGTAACATTGTCTAGATCAGCGCGAAGCTTGTCCACTTTGCCGCCCAGTTCACCGATCAATGACCTCGCCGATCCAGCGGCCTGCTTCACGGTCACGACATCGACGAAGCCCTGCAGGGTTGATATATGCTGCTGAGAGAGTCGCCGCGATCCCGTCGATGAGACCATGGGCTGTATGAAGCGTGTGAACTCGGCTCTCGCAGGTATATCCCGTAGGCTAACCAGGTTTCGCTCCCAGTTGTCGGCATGCGCCTGCTGATCCGCCAGCACTTCGCTCGCCCATGTCTCCGTGGATGCAAACTGCTTCTCCGCCGTCTTGATGTGCTGCTGCAGCCCGGCGACCGCGACGCCCAGGCTCCGCTCGATCGTTGCCCGCTCGCGCTGATACTGCTCCGCCTGCTTGGCGCGGGAGCTGCAACCGTTCAACAGCCCCGCGGCCCAGCTCTTCCTCAGCCTGAAGAGATTCTGCCACGACTGGATTTCGTTCTGGTTGGCGATGGTATCTGGCGCGGTGCCCGGGTGGAAGTCATGGTCCGCGGCCGAGGCGCTCTCGGTGGCCTCTCTGGAAGGGCTGGATGCCTTGTTGCCGTTCAACCTGACGGAATCGAAGACGAAGAGCTCCTTCTCGGTGAGCAGAGTCTGAGGACGGACCTGTTTACCGTGGGCGGTGAGGAGGATCTGGTTGCGCGGGAGGACGTTGGCGTGTGTCGCGATCCAGGCGCGGAGAGCTTCGAGGTTGGTGGTCAGGCTGGGATCGAGGGTGAGGCGCTGGCCGTTGTGTCCCAGGTAGACGGAAATCGACATGGCCCGCGCCAGCAACGCGTTCTGTATGCTGGCGCGACCGCGATGCAAGAGTCGCGAGGGAGGAGAATGGTGTAATAAGAGAGAGTGTGAAGGATGTTGTTGCGGCGTGTGACTCGGCGACGCGAGACCCGACCCGGTGATATCACCCACCGAATTATCCGGTCCACCGGGAAGCGTTGACCCGAATTATCCGGTCCACCGGGAAGCGTTGACCCGGAGAGATACATCCCTTACGTCTTGGTGAAATATTGTTATAACATTATTGACCTGACGACAACAACAATATCGCATCTTCAACTGCCACTGGCATCCACGAAGATACTATTTTCAGGTGACAGACACAACAGACGCTTCTCCGCCGCTCATTCGAACTTGAATCCGAGGAATGGATCACGAGGTCATCTTCCAAGAATCCCACGCACACGCACTCGACCACGCAGACCCGCTCCGGGAATTCCGGGATGCCTTCCTCATCCCCTCCCCGGCACAACTGGCTTCCACATCCAACAACGTCAACGTCAACGTCAACGGCTCGGGCTCCGATGAGAAGGCCGTCTACCTCTGCGGCAACTCCTTGGGCCTCCAGCCAACCCTCACGCGGAAGTATTTCGAGCAATACCTCGACACATGGGCGCAGAAGGGCGTTTTCGGTCATTTCAAGCCCGTGAGCAATACCCACCTGGCGCCATGGCTGCACGTGGACGAGGATGTCCGTGATGAGATGGCCAAGATCGTCGGCGCACGAGCGGGAGAGGTCGCGGTCATGCAGACCCTCACGGCGAATCTGCACTTCCTCATGTGCAGCTTCTACCTCCCTTCCAAGCAGCGGCATAAGATCTTGCTCGAGGGCCGGGCGTTTCCGAGCGATCACTTCGCGGTCGAATCACAGATCCGCTTCCACGGCTTCAATCCCGAGAACTCCATGGTCCTGCTGGAGCCAGCACCGGAGGAGGATGGACTCACCCTTTCGACCGCGCACACACTCTCTCGGATCGACCAGCACGCAGACGAATTGGCTCTCGTCCTTCTCCCCGGCATTCAATACTACACCGGCCAGTTCTTCGACATCAAAACCATCACCGCACATGCACAGAGCAAAGGCATCGTAGTCGGTTGGGATCTGGCACACGCGGCGGGCAACGTGCCCCTCGAGCTGCACGACTGGAACGTGGATTTCGCCGCCTGGTGCACCTACAAGTACCTCAACGCGGGACCCGGGAGCATCGGAGGGTGCTTTGTACATGAGAGACATGGCCGGGTACTCGTGAAAGAGCAAGACGGCAAGCCCTCCTCCTCCTTCGACTATCGTCCCCGACTAGCCGGGTGGTGGGGATCGCAGAAATCAAGCCGCTTCGCCATGGCCAATAACTTCGAGCCCATCCCCGGCGCAGCCGGATTCCAGCTGTCCAACACGTCCGTCGCCGATTCCACGGCGGTCAAGGCATCGCTCGACGTCTTCAAGCAGACTTCCATGCGGGCGATTCGCGAGAAGAGCCTCCAAATCACATCCTACCTGGAACGACTCCTCGATCTCCTCGCCGCGGAGCAGAAGCAGCGATTCGGCGCGCCGCTATTTCACATCATCACGCCCCGGAATCCGGCGGAACGAGGTGCACAGCTTTCCGTCAAGCTGAGGGCCGGTCTGCTCGACGCCATCATGGAGACTCTCGAGCACCATGGTGTGGTGGTGGATGAGCGGAGGCCGGACGTGGTGCGCGTGGCCCCTGCGCCGTTGTACAATTCCTTTGCGGACGTGAGGACGTTCATTGCCGTGTTCCGAATCGCTTGCACTGACGCCACGAAGGGAGTCGGCGGCTCGGAGGAAGAAGCAAGGATTACATAGAAATACCTCCCCAATGATAGACAGACCTCTAAGGATAAAACTTTTCCTAAAAGATTACATTAGTACTCGAGCAGGTCATCATTCACTCACTCACTCACTCGACGGCTTTACTCCGGCTCTCCATGTGACTACCAACCAAGAGAATTATTGCAGGAAGCTCCAGACTTGACGGAACCACGTCACGTCTGCAATACTCCGAGAATTAAAAGATACCAACGTGCATAAAAAGTTACGGATCCGGCTATATGCAAATGGAAATGGGGGGTGTCATCAAAAACTATGGATGCCTGCGCGAATGTCTAGTCTAGAGTGTTGTGACCAGGGGGAGTTCTTGGGTCGGCTCTCTGACCACCGCCGTCTGCCCTCCGCCGTTGCATTTCTCCTTGGCGCCTCGGGTTTTCATTCTTCTCTCTCTCTCCTGCTCAGACCCTCTCCCTATCCATCCATCCATCCAACCCATCCATCCATCCAACCCATCCATCCATTCCTCCTCCTCCACTTCCTCCACTTCCTCCCCCCTCCTCCTCCAAAAAGCACCTTCCCCCCTCCTCCTCCTCCTCTTCTGCTTCTTCGCAGCAGCACCATTCAAATCCGTCTTGACATTCCCCAACCACGGCTGATTCGCATACGCCTGACTCGCATCCCAAACCATGACGCCCCCGAAATTACTAAACCCCTTCCCATACGCGATGACCTTCTGCAGCTGCGCGGCGGTCAGATAGCCAGTATTCGCGGCGCCGGGAGCCGCGGGCGCGCCGACGAAGAGTTTGACGTTTTTGTTCGCGCTGTTCTTCTGCGCCCAGGCGTTCCAGGTGGCGAGGTTGCAATTGGGCTGCGAGGAAGTGGTGGGGAGGGAGGCGTTGAAGGATGAAAGGTCGCAGGAGGGGTTGTTGTAGAATTGGATGTAGACGGCGTCAAAGGGGACGCCGCCGCGGGGGTCGTTGAGCATGGGGTCGATGTTGGGGTCCGGGTAGGGGCACTGCGGCGCGGTGGTGAGGTACCAGGGCTTGGACGTGTTCGCGTTCATGAGGGCGCGGAGTTGCAGGCCGAAGGCGCGGAAGTAGTTGCTCTTCTGCTCCGGGTCGAGGTCGAAGCCGTCGACGACGGCGTCGTGGAACGGGCGCAGGGCGGGGCTGCTGCTGTTCACGGGGCCGAACATGTTCCACATCAGATTCGCCGCTGCGGTGGCGTTGTTCGCGCTGCTGAAACCCGCTTCGGTGTAGGCCGCTCCCCCGATCGACATGAGGATGGTCTTGTTGTAAGTCTTCTGACAGGTCTTGATGTCCGCGCCAATGGGGCCGCAGTCCCAGAGGTTTGTGTTATTGAAGATGGTGCAGTTGACGCCAGAATTGGCGAGGTTGATCTCGGGTTGCCCGCCTTTGCCCGAGTTGATCTTGACGACAAAGGCCATGTTGATTACGTCGATGGCGGCGTTCTGGCAGTATGATGCCAGGCCTTGTTGGGCGAGGGCGCCGGAGTTCTGGCCGTAGGAGTTCTGTCCCCAGTAGACGGAGAGGGTGTTTGTCGCGCTGAAGCCGGCTGCTGTTGTTTGGTGGGCGAGGAGGAGGGCCGTAGATGCCGCGGCTGCGGCTGTGGTGTGTAGGAGCCTCATGGCGGGAGTGTTGGGCGTTGAAAAGGGGGGGAAGAGATGTGGTCCACCGGATGGCTATCCAACAAGTAACTCGACTGTATACAAAAAGAGTGACTGTAGGGAAAAAAAAGGAGGAAAAGTCTTGCCTACCGTCGGCCTCCTACCGTACATACATATACACCTGGACGGTCTCCTCTAGACCGTTGATGCGGCGTCGTGACCCGAACTGGTAGAGTGTGCGAAGTCTAGCGCCGAGGTGTCGTGGTTCGAGAAGTTGATAGTGTCAACGGTCCGGGTAGCATGGCAGCCATGGCTGTAACGAGCTCCACGCTTGCGTAGTCTAGTATGTCGAAGGGTGTATCTCGGCTGAGAAGGATGCGGTCTATACCATTCTGGAAGAGCGAGAAACTTTCATCTTAGGGGTCTTCTGCTGCGTTCAGCCCGCCACCGAATCCTGCGGCGTCGAGCAATCTCGTCTGCCACGTTGGGTACCGGCGAAGACGAGTTCCATCGGGTGCTGCTTGCCGACGAGGATGTTCATTATTATTTTTCTTGTCTCTTGGGATTCGCCGTCATTGTAAGTACACCGAATGTCATCCGGTGTAGTGGTCGTTGATATGTCCGGTGCGTTGGAGATGAGAAGGAAGAGAAGGAAGAGGACCGGGAGAAATCTGACGACCTTCTCGGAACGGCGAAACGATGCGCCGGCCACAACCCCCAACTTCTCTCCTCCTGACCGCATTCAGCAACAATTCGTCTCTGCACTCCAATACGACCGTCAATAACCTCATCTCACAGGAACGCATGGTTTTCAACTGTCAGACGACTCATTAGCAACGAGAGTACTCATCCCAGCGAGATTATGAATAATCAGCGCCGCGTCTTGTTTCGTCGCCAACATCACCAGACGCTATCTTACGGCCTTCAACAACAACAACAACAACAACAACTGATCCTCGCCCTCTAGCACAATGGTGACCACGTCTAACGCTTGACTACGATCTATTCTCTTCTCCTCCCGGCACTTGCTTCACACTGCGTGCCCAAGCCCGGATCCTCTGCGGCTTTAGCCTCACACGATACTCCTGGCCAACTCGTTAATCCCTGACTGGGTCTGCCGGAGATAAGTCACTCAGGTGGCGTCGAGTAACACGAGCTTGGGCCTGTCGGAGCTCAAACACGCCGTATCTAGTGATTCTGTCGTGTGGATCGCAGCTCCCAGGAAATGGCTCTAACTCGACGACTTCTTCACCAGTTTCCACCTCTATCCACTGGAAAGGTTGTCCTCAGAATCCACTTTGCTCCTTCTCGCCGAAAGTCTCCAGTGTCGCGACCGCAGGACTGACGAGACTCGTGGTCGCCACTCGCTCCGGCTTCTCCTCGTTGAGAAACACTTGGTGGTGTTGTGGTGGTTGCTCATTCGCAAACAGCACCCTGTGTTGGGATATCCAAGCTGTGAGGTACACTGGCAAGCTGGCGATGATGAGAGCTGTGCCGTCAAGCTTGTTTGTGCCGCGTGGATCCTGCTGCTCGCTTGACTGCAACGCTTCGGTTGGAAGCGGTCTTTCTTTTTCGATGCATCACAGCTGTTCCACCAGTCGCTCCACTAGAGCAACGTGTGATGACCAATATCCTGACGGAAAATGCGCCGTATCGCTTCGGCTCACGCTGGTAGCGGCTCGTCCACAACAGCGGAACGATGTGCTTTGCGGCAGGGGCAATATGTACCTTGAGCCATGCGAAGTACGCGCCTCAGAAGCGACGGTGCCTCCATGAGGAACGAGATGTCAATGGCGATGGATTCCAATACTCGATGGAAGCAACTGACTGTGGGCGAAGGAACGTATAAATAAAGTAAAACAACAACTTCTACACGGTGAGACATTGGGCATCCAAATTTTCCGCTGATTATCTGCATTCTGATGGCCATGGAGCTCGTCACTCCACCAGGCTGTTTGCTTTCGAGCTCGAGTACACTTGTTCGTGCTGCTCCTCACCCAGTACAAACCATCACGGCAGTCCCGGTACCTGCTACAGCCCCTCCTTATCCGGGTACACCTACTACGGATCAATTCAAACACGAACATTCGACGAGAAGAGTAGTGAAGACAAAATCGACCGTAACACAATCCACAGAGACCTCGTACCGCGGACCATGGCCATTCAGAAGGCCCAGGAAGCCCTACTTGACAGGAGCGACATGACGCAAACTGTAAGAGACCACAACGACCCAGACAAAACCGCAGGAGAAGACGTTCGCGGCCACGAACTGGGCATTCCTCCGCCCAGTCCACAAATATGACACCAACCCGCCGGAGTCTTTACCTCTCATGACTTGGGGCCACAGCCCGATTTTCTGAAACGATGCAGAGAAAATACAGATGCCTACCTCTACCTCGCGAGGGAGACACGGAAGACAGACACGGGCAGGGGTTTCTTTTCGTATCTGCAAAGCCCCCAAAAGAATCTGACGTACGTTATCGAGCAGACAGACCACACCACACCTTGCCTCAGTCAGACCCACCACCGTCTACCGTCTCTGTGCCTTGCCCGTCGTATTATTACTCTCACCTACATTCGCCGTCACGGGAAATCATCACATGCGGAAAAGATGGTCAAGAGCGATGCCCCCCCGAGAATTTGTCCTATGTTATGCTGCGATGCAATGTAGAATGTAGTTTGATCAATGGATGGTATCTAATCATTGCACCTCTGCGGTTTGGTCCGTATCCCCTCCTGGAGATCATCATCACCATCATCATCGTCAGCGGCAGTCGAAGTCTTATCGCTGCTCAGCTCCCTGCGGTCTGGATGTGGGACTTGCTTCACGCGGCTCTTCACCCAAGAAGAAGACGACGACGACGACGACGGCGGCTGAGGAGATGAGCCTCTGCTGCTGCGTTCATCAGTTCGTAGTCTTCGCGCAGCGGACGCGTTTTCCAGATCTGCCGCCGTAGGAGGAGGAGGAGGAGGACCAAGGGGTGTCTTGTCAGCCGACAGCCCGGCGTCGGTACCGACTCGTGGAGAAGAAGAGGTGGTAGCGTACATAATTCTCCGATCGCCTCCCGTCGTGGTAGCACCGGGACTTGTTGGGCCAACAACAAAGCCATTGGAGGGAGGATGACGATGATGATGATGACGATGATTGTGCATCCCTCTTCTGCCCGATGATGATGACGTCCCCACGTCCTCCGTAGTAGTCCCAGGATTTTTCCCAAGACCAACCCCTGAATCCCTCTGCTCCGAAGCAGAAGAAGAAGAAGATAACGATGATCCTTCTCCTCCTCCTCCTCCTCCTCCTCCTGCTCCTGCTCCTGCTCCTGCTCCTCCCTCCCTCGCACGTCTCCCAGCCACCCTCCGCATCGCATCATTCAACTGTCCCAGATTATCCGGCCGCCGCCCGTCCGCCCGTTCGACACTCTCCATGGTACACTGCGGACACGACCAGGGATGTTGCTCTTGCGAGAAGTTTCGATCCGGATAGGGACAGTCTTGCGCCGAGAGGCCCGGGTGGGCGAGAGCCCAGAAGCAGGGTACGGAAGCCGTGTTGCGCATATGTCCACATGGTTGCCAGGTGTGGACATTGATTTGGCACATGTTTTGGGAGTGGGTGGGTTGATTCGGATGTTGTGTGTGTGTTATGGTTTCGCGTTCCGTTTGCCCGGAGGCTGTGCTGTTCTGGTGAGATTGTTTGATGCGGACAAAAATGCTGGACGCGTGTGGTACTTTGTACATTGACGAACGAGTCGCGCTACAATACATACAGGTGGCAGATTGGCCGCGCAGGAGGAGAGACAGCCGTGCATGCCGCATGGACTCTGAGAAATCTCCATCCATGTGTCGGCGACGAGGCAGCTGCGAACTATGCAGGGTCATTGCGCGCGGCGTTGAATACCCCTCTTCTCTTTCTGCCGGGGGGGCAGCTTTACTAGCTCAGCATCGGGTTTGCTTCCTCATGCTTCCTGTGGAGTTACTCGCACAGTCCGCTTGATCGCCTCCGCGGCACCCTTGACCCGAATTTCGATTGTGAAATCTCCGACATGTTTCACTTTCCTCTCTGTCTCAACTTCTCTGTCCAAGAACCTGATGTCTTCCTCCCCCAGAATAACCCTGGCAGCCTCATCGTTGGTGGCAAGGGCAGCACGGACGTGCACAAGAATGTCGTGGGTGGATACCGATCCATAGATGCCTTGCGGCCCAGCTGGCTTCGGCTTAGGTTTTGCTGTTCTCGCGGCGAGCAAATCTGCTGCAGCACTGGACGCGGTTCTTTGCCTCTCCCGCTTCGGCTCCGATGCGGGTCCCTCCGGTTCCGGCTCTGCCTCCTCGAGAATCGGTTGTCGGTAGAACTGTAGAACAGGTTTCACAAAGATCTCCAGCAGCTGTGTGCCCCTCTCCGGATCCAGCTTCTCGGGCGCTAACTCCCTTTCTTTCTCTTTCGCCGTCTGTGTTGGATCAGTCAGCGGCATTCCAGGTACCCATCCTTGCTCCGAATCCACGTCGGCCACCGGCTTTTTCTGCTGCTGTCCAAAGGCGTAGTCTCTTTCGATGGGAACATTGGAGGCGCGGATCGTTCGCAGTTCGGGAACGGTGATGTATTCTGCGATCCGCTGCGGGAAGAATCTGTTTCGCATGTGGCCGGTCGGGACAGGGACGATGGCGCCTATGGGTGGTGTCAGTACAGTCGCAGGACGTCTTACCAACTGGTAGCATAGTACCTCTCTTGCCGAAGCCCGGCACGTTCCTCAGCAGCCTCACTGTTGTAGTCGCAGAGTTGTTGGCCATCTTCTTCTTGCCCCTAACCTGCTGCTTCAGTGCGCATGACTCGGGTGGAGAGGAGTATGTATAGCTGGAGGGTGTATAGCTGCGGAGACATGATGTGCGTTGGGGTATCGCTCTGGTCCGGAGTGGGAGCGCCATCGCCGGTGTCGTCTTCAGCAGTGTCCAAGTAGAATAATGAATGCAATGCGAGAGGTGAAGTCTCAAGCTCCCCTCGGTGTCCTCGGTCCGGTGCTTAGGGTTCGCTCTCGGGTCAGGCTTGCGTCCCGAACGCTTGGCATTCGGCTTACAACAATGCCGATGCTTCTGTTTCATTCTGCTTCCTCCCCTCAACCTTCACTCCCCCTCGCACCAACGGCTGCCCGGTGCCTGCTCTGGCCGCTTCACTTCTGGATCATCCAGCTCGCTATGGAGCAAATACCAACTCATTCGGGAAGACGCGGAAGCTCGACACCCACTACCAACGAGATCGCACCCTCATAGCATTCGCCGGAACGGGCACTAGCACCATGCCTGACCGTCCCTTGACAATCGCAACATATGCCGCCGGAGCGTCACTAGCAGCAATCACACTGGTATACGTCTTCGGACCGACCTTCTTCTTCGACGACGATGCCGCCAACTCGTCAAAGTCATCCCGGAAGAAGGGAGTCGTAGGACTGGTCAACCCAGCAAACGATTGCTTCATCAATAGCGTCTTGCAGGCGCTCGCTGGGTTGCCGGACCTTCGAGCGTATCTCATAAGAGAGGTGCACCGGCGCAAGCTAGATGGCCAGGAACTTTACAGCGATTTGTCAACAGCGGCCGAGGAGAGGAGGAAGAGCGCGAGCAGCAAGCAAGCTCCAGAGTGGAAGACGCTTGGACTGCAGCAGGGCCTGGTCACACTCGGATTGAAAGAGGTTCTGGATGCGTTGAACGAGAGACCGCTCCACAAGAAGACAATCTCGGCACAAGGCTTCATCCGCTGTGTGGAGACGGCGTTCAAAACCAGGATCAGCAGGACCCAGCAGGATGCGCAGGAGTTCCTTCAGGTCATAGTCGAGAGGCTTGCGGAGGAGTACTATGCCGGGAGGAGAGTGCGAAAGAGGGCGAGGGAAAGGGGAATCGGGCGTGTCGTGAGGACTGGGCCGGGAGACTTGCACGAAAGTAGTGAAGGTCAAGCACACGATCGGCCGAGGGACAGCAAAGTCATGTCATTACATTCTGAACCAGAAGAATCAACGGCCCCCGAGCAAGCCGTGGGAGATGAAGGAGACCCCGAAAAGCACGAGAATGTCTTCCCACTTGAAGGCAAGCTGGAGTCGCAAGTCCAATGCTTCCATTGCAATTTCAAGCCGAAGCCGTCAGTTTCATCATTTTTGTCTCTCACGCTCAATGTGCCCCACGACACAACATCAAGCACGCTGAACCAATGCCTCGACCAACTGCTGAAGATAGAGCACATCGAAGACTTCAAGTGCGATAGATGTCGCTTGGAACATGCACTGCAAGTGAATTCTCGACAAATGTCCCAGGCACGATCGAAAGAGGAACGAGCAGCGCTAGAGTCCGATCGCGTGAAGATTGAACATGCTTTGAAAGAAGATCCGGAGGAGCCTCCCAAAGACGTGAAGCTCCCCGACATCTCAACAGCACCTAGGAGGAAGATATCTCGATATACCCGCATCTCATCCTTTCCGCAGGTCTTGGCAATCCACCTTAGTCGCTCGGTCTGGGACGGGTCGTCGTCCTCATTCAAGAATACTGCAAAGGTCTCCTTTCCTGAGACGTTACCACTCGGCGGGCTTCTCGACAGGAAAACGTATCGCCTGCTTGGTGTAGTCACGCATAAGGGCGGCCACAATAGTGGGCACTATGAGTCCCTCCGTCGTCAAGTCCTCAATCCGCCGTTCTCGACACCCACCTCGCTTGGTACGGAGGGCGTATACAGCATCAAGAACACACCTACGCCGAGCCCGAGGATGAGCGCTGTGCCAAGCCCGCAGCTCTCTGCAATCAAGGAACAAGAAAGAATGGACGATGGCGGAAGCAGTCCTAGTCTATCCACGGACTCTACACATATCTTGAGCACCCCGACATCTGCCACTCCGTCGATGTCATCTGGGTCATCGACACTGCAGCCTCCTTCGTCAGCAAGCCCGCTCGACAGACGGAAACATCAACCTCCCATCGAATCCGTTCCCGCACCGGGACTACCGACACCCCCGCATTCCGCCAGCAACAGCCCCCATGCAGAGAAGCCGAGAAGGCAAAGCTCGCTTTCTGGTCTGAGAAGTCGGCATGGCTCGAGGCGCAAACATGCAGTCAATGATCGCTGGTGGCGGATATCAGATGACAAGGTCAAGGAGAGTAAGACAAGCGATGTTATGGGTATGCAAAAGGAAGTGTACATGTTATTCTACGAGATGCTGCCCGGGGAAACATCGTCCTGAGAACTGGGACGAGGCATGCATCATTGCTCTTCAGGATGGGAGGTCAGGGTAAAACTTCAGCGGGCTTGATTGTTTTTCAGCGAGGCGTTGGTGGTGCTTCCGAGGTGGAAAGAAAGTCTTGTTGTTCTAAAGAAAGTTCTAATACAGCGCCAGTCTTCGTAGCTCCATTAATCCGCCGTCCTTCTACTTCTTTGCTGCCTCCTCCAAGGTTGCCTTCTTCGCCATACGCAATACCTCCTCCAACTCTTCGCCCAATTTCTTCAGCTGTTCCGAATCCTCACTGCCCGCTTCCGATTTATCCCGAACCTCATGCTGATCCAACTCTTCACTTTCCTCCTTCATCTCCTCCACGGCATCACTGTAAACCTCCGGTCCATCCGAGCCGTCATCCTCATACAACTTCCCCATCAGCTCGCCCACTTCTGCTTCCAGCTCATCGATCTGCTCGTTCGCCGCACGGAGTCTGGCCATATCAATAATAGCAAGCTCTTCCATCTTTTCGATTCGTCTTTCCTGTTCTGCTAGTTGCTCGTCTCTCTCTTGCAGAGCTCGGGTCATAAATTCCAGATCTCCGCATAAATTTATCATGACTTCCTGTGCTGATCTGGAGTACGTGGTTGTATTCACGGTGTCAACCTCCCACTTGAGAACTTGTCTTTGGTATTCTGGGAGGAGCTGGAGCCCTGGTGGGAGATGTCGGTCAATCATCCTCATTTTTCGTACAGTTGAGATGGGTGGATCAAAGTCATACAGGCTTGGACTCTGTACTCTCCTGGCTCAGAGATCCCAAAGGCGTGGCGGAGTAAGGAGCCTTCGCCGAGAGCGGCTTCGGGGCTTTCTCGTAGGCAGAGCTTTTGGAGGCTTTGGAAGAGATCTTGGGGGGATGCCATTTTTTCGAAATGATTGCGTTTGTGGAGATGTGATATTGGTTTGCTGCGATGCAGTTATTCGATGGGAGAAATGATGTGCGTGGTGAGGAGAGGTGGACTGGACGTTCAAGAACATGACAAGCTCAACCTCCAGATGCTGAGTGCTAGGCAGGAGGACCTTGGAAAGGCACGGCACTTACTTATTTCCGTTGAGAGATTTGCATTGCAGTTTCCAAGTGTAAGCGCGTCTGGGAGGCTCTTGCTTGGTGGTTTGATGGTCTCCGGCTAAGAGCAGGTGCACTGAAGCTTTGCCAAGCTTTTTCACGTGTTAATGATGATTGGGATATTGTTGAGTATACGTACATCACCTCACCATGGTTGTATTTCTGCGCCTTCTTGAGAGCGAGTATTCTTGTGGGTATTCTGTCTTAGTGCCGCATCAACGTTCCTCTCTCTCAAACCGGCACGCAAACAACCAAACAATTCCCCGTTTCTTCCCAAACCCTCCAGATATCTTGAATCCCGAATCCAGCCTCAGCCAACAATTCCTCCCACTGAGTCTCGCTTCGCTCCTGTCCTGCCAGACTCGTCATCATTAACAGATCCATAGCACAAATCTTCGCTGTCGCCCCGATATTCGGAACGACAAGATCGTCGAGCAGAAGCAGAGAATCCTCCGCCATCACGGATCGGATTTGCTTGAGAATGGTGAGGCAGTCCGTATCAGCCCAATCGTGTAGGATCTGGCATAGGTAGTATGCTTTTGCTCCGTGTACGAGGGAGGGTTGGGCAGTGAAGAAGTCGTGCTCGAGAGTTTCGATGTTCAGGCATCGTAGCTGCCGTTGGTCGAGAAGGTCGATGACTTGTGGAAGATCTTCAATAATCACTCGACCTTTCAGATGTGGGTATCTTTTGCGGAGAGCCATCGACTGGTGTCCAGTACCAGCTCCAATGTCAACGAACAGCGTCCGGTCCGAATTGCTGTTACCCAAGATCGCATCCAAGGGCACTTTCTCAACCCAACTCGGCTGATCAGCGCGGCTAGCCTGCATGACCTCGTGCAACACACGCAGCTCTTCTGGACGTTCCCTTATCCAATCGAACATGCCCAGATCAGTTCCGAAACTATGTTGCCAGACCGTCTCCTTGCCATCCGTGATATTCTGGTATCCGTTTGCCGCGAAGAAGGCAGGAATGCCGTTGAAGAAGGGTGCGAATACCAATGTCTGACATCGTATAAGGGAATCGGTACCGTACTCGGCGTAGATGAATGTCTTCCGCGAGGCCTTGAAGCTGTCCTCGTCGACCTGCTGGATCAAACTTTCGGATGCGAGGTACCGGAGCAGCCGCAGGAGGAGGGTTCCGTCTGCCTTGGTGACATCGGCCAGCTCTCCAATGGAGTAGACATGCTCTGGCTGTGCTGCGAGTTTCCTGAAGATGCTCAAATCCATTGCAACGTGGGCGAACATGCTCGACATTGAGCCATCCCGGACACGAGCAACGATATCTCGATAGGTTTCCGTCTTCTGAACAAGCTTTTGTGCAGCATCATGGATTGCCTTGAGTTCTTGTGGATCCAATGGGAGGTTATCTGCTAGCTCTCGTAACATGTCAGCCATATCGAGCAGCTTTAGCGTTGATCCTGTATTTGATTAGCGTCGAGTCCTTCAGGAGGCGGCGAGGGAACGTACAGAAGAACTCTAGATAGAGTCAAAGGCACACGAAGTAAGTGTCCGGTAGCAATGTCAAATGTAGTCGTCACGAGGGCGTAATGGTGTTGAAGAAGCTCAATATGTGGCGCAAGATCGACGACTTGTCATTGATGTTATCAGTCCTTGCCGCTTTTGTGATTCCAAATTTTGGAAGGACACTCTCAAGAGTCGTCCTCTTCCCGAGGAACCATGCCTCTCCGTCGCACCAAAGGTTCTTTACCTTGTGAGTCTCTACTGTTGGCTACTATGTCCAGGTCAGCCACTTATTCACCAGTCCAAGAGACAAAGCATACCTATGAGAGACGATGCTTTTATGCTTTGTCCTGAGAGACAGACTTACTGGAAAGGGAGTCAACGAGCCTCACAACCACGAGCATCCTGTCCAGTATCTCACTGTTCATTTTGCGCCTGAGCTCTTTCCTCCGTACTCGTTGGATCGCCCTCGGCATGTGCTTGCTATGCGGTCATGCACCGCAGCAGTCGGTGCGTACGGCCGGGCTTCTTCAATCCAATTGCAGCGCAGCTTGCCGGCACATCAACGACGCCGCAAAGAGCATCACACTATTCCTAGCGATATCAACGTTCGAACGGAGCTAGGTCTCTCATTTCGGCAATTGCGTACAGCAGATTGACCAACCGAGACAAAGTACCGCGATCCTTTGTCATGAATAGATTAATAAGAAAAGCTTGTGTGGCGTTGGCTAAGGCTGGAGATTGCATCCACGCCACTGATATAATGCAGGGGATCCGTTCAGATGCCGAGGTACGTCAATGTTGTGGCAAAGATTTCTTGATGATCCAGGTCTGTATACGAATCCCATTCCACTCACTGTTCTGAGCTTGCTGGTGTGTGGTGGAGTGGCGCCGAGAGGTTTCTGTTTGAGCATGCCGAGCGGCACGTGCTGTATGCTGGCTGTGGCCCACGAAGCGTGGGAGGGTCAGACGCTGTACATCGAATTAGCTGACTCCTTCATATAAGAAAGGGGAATTCCGCCTTCCAAAAAGAGAGGCGCAAAAGAGCAAGCAATGATCCGTGAGAGACTCAGTGAACCTCGAATGTGACAGGAGGGAAGCAATCTGTGCTGTCCTGAAGGTCCTCAAGACCGGTACAAGAACCCTGTCAATAGTGTCAAACGTTGCATGATCCAAATCTCTCCCACAAAGCCATGGTCAACAATGACTGCTCAAGAATGATCTCGCTTGCATCCAGGCGTTTCCCAACAGACAGCTTCCCATCACAATCTCATTCGCTGTCAATCAGGCACCTCCAATCTCTGCCGGCTCTTCCGTGGCCGGATACAGCTCGTCAATAACCTTCACTTCTTCTCCGGTGGTTTGGGCTTCTTCAAGCCAGCAAGAGTATCGTTGATTCGCTTCAATTCGGCATGGAGCTTTTCGACTTCCGTTCTCAGATTGTTGATCTCGGTGTCTTTCTGCACGATCGCATCCGTCTTGGCGGAGACATCGCCGTCCTTGGCCGTAAGTGCTCTGTCCTTGGTATCAATATCGCTCTGGAGCCGTGCAGTCAAAGCATGCTGTTGTGCCAGCTGTTGTTCTCTCGCCGCAAGTGCAGTGGTCTGGGTTTCCATCTCGGATTGCATCTGAGAGATGGTTTGTTGCAGGTAGGTTACTTCCTCGATCTTCGCCGCGAGTTTGTCCTGGTCTTCCTTCTCTTTCACCTCCAGAGCGGCAGCAGAAGCAGCATCCGTGTTGATGACAGAGTCTCTGGCGAGGATAATGTCGTTCGAGGCCTTCAAGTTTCCTTGTAGCTTGGTAACCGTCTCCTGCAAGCTGAGATTCTCATTTTCTCTCGCCACGATAACGTTCTGCGTTGCGCTTAGATCGACCTGCAGCTGCGTGATCGTTCGTTGCTGAGTGGTGAGCTTGTCGATGTTGGTCTTCATAATCTGTCCGGCTAGTTCGACGGCATAGGCAGATCGTAGAGAGGCATCCATGGTCTGTATTTCCCAGCCCAAACGGTACTTGTTCTCGGTACTCAGAGTCGACAGCCCTGGGGACGTTAACAAATAACTCTTGAGCGTGAAACGACAGGCATACAAGCTTGAACCCCATTCTCTGGAACCTTGAAGGCCTCAGTAAGCAGATGCTCGTCGCCTTTGCATCCCGCCGCTTCGGGATGTTGACGCAGCTCGTTCAAACCATCGAGAATCCCCTGATCGGTATACATCCTGTGCGATGCTAACGTGTCCTGTGTTCCTGATGTTACGAGTGGTAATATCTATATTGATATGAGGTCAATTTTAGGGGAGTCGTAGAGAGAATGGATGCGTATGCTTCCCAGGTAGTGTCAAATTTGGTAGGCACGCTTCTGCTCTGCTCCTTGACATTGGTGTGGAAGGGACTGTTTGCTCCGAATGCGGCTGCGGTCGCGGCATCCCGCGTGGTGTCTGGCGTACTTGCCCGTATCCAAATCATCACTGCGCAACGAGGCTATCAAACGCTTGATCTTTCTTCCTCCAAAGGCTTCACACGTGTCAGTCGCGTAAGTCTGTGGCGCATCTTGTGGCACTGGAGATTTATCTCGACCGACACTACAGCCGATTATCTGCAGCCGGACTCGCTGTTGCCGGTCTTTGCTAGGTTAGTTGGAAGAAACAAAATCTCCAAACACGGAAGAATGCCGTCTCCTTTCGGCATTGCAACGTGACAGGGGCGTAAGGCATATGCATCCACGTGAGAATGTCGGCCGGTCGCACGTCTGAGGTGAATGATTGCCAGACCACTGTGGTGTTAGCTGCGTGAAGCGACAATATCGTGACTTCTCCAGAACTCAACCAGAAATGATGCTTTGAAGGTATATCAGCCTAACGCCCTCGCTCCTCTCCGAGTCATGGCAAGCTGCCCCGTCCTTCGTAACCCATGGTATCGTCCAAGAGGATGGTCCCCTCCTTACTCCGTATCCATCTGTCGTAGTGACATTTTCTATTTCTTTCCAGACTTCTTGATCCCCTGTGCGCCGCTGTTTAGAGGGCCCTTGCCTCCGGCCTTCTTGGCCATCTCCTCACGGGCCTTCTTGTCTGTCGCGCGATTTCTTGTCAAATTATGCCCAAGAATGTTCGGGGCTCTCACACATACCAGCCTGCTGCTTCGCCTTGTACGCTATCTCGTCCTCGTCCATCTCCTTTGTCGCCTTCTTCTTTTGCTTATTGTGAATCGGGTTGGTGCCCGCTGAGCAGTCGTCAGCATGCTCCCTGTTTGAGTTGTCCCTGCGCTGTTACATACCTCCTTGACCTGAAGGCATGATTGTGAGTTGTGCTAGGTCGGTCGTTTGCAGGATGGCGAGGAGAGCGAGATGGCGGGCGTGACTGGCGAGGTGTGCGAAGAGAAGAGGTGCCGTGATGTTGGAGGTGCAGAGGCTGACCCACAGATCTCAGCCACTCACGATCGACGCCACGTGCAAGGGAAGGCCCGCGATCCCGTCGACAATAATTAGGTTCAATCGGCCTTGATTCCGTCCTGGAGAATAGATCCACGCAATCCTCTGTATTCATTCCCAGTCTATTCATTTTATATATCACTCTCCAGCGCGACAATAGCTCCCGATCCTGTCGTCTCCGCACACTGTCGCCGTCCGGTATATACCAGTTTTGACACCGACATCTCTTCCTCGCCGTCCTCTTCGACATCAACTACCACCAACGCTGATGCGACCGCCCGACGACACGCGCTCCAACTCTCCAGACGACCGAATCGACCAATCTCGTGCGCCCTCATCTTCGATCGTCACGCTCTGCGCGCGCTTTCCGGCTGGTCTCAGTCGTCTGCTGTCCGCTTCCAGAAATGCCCCAGGCCTCGAGCACGACTCATCTCCCGCCTACACATCCCGCCACGCGCCAGCGACCCAAATCTCCGAACAGAGTCCTTGCAGAGGCAGAGGCGCAATGGCTGTTCACCGAGGCCGAGCTTGCCAACACGCCCTCCATCCAGGATGGCATGAGCCAGGCCGAGGAGAAGGAGATGCGCGCCAAAGGCGTCAACTTCATTGTCCAGGTCGGCATTATGTTGAAGCTACCACAGCTCACCCTGAGCACCGCATCCATATTCTTACAGAGGTTTCTCATGCGCGCGAGTTTGAAGAAGGAGCGCAATGGCATTCCGAGGCTTCACCAGTACCAATCAGCTGCCACGGCCTTGTTTCTGGCCACCAAGGTGGAGGAGAGCAGTCGCAAGATGAAGGACATGATATTGGCTTTCTGTCGGGTCGCGCAGAAGAACCCAAACCTGATCATCGACGAGCAAAGCAAAGACTGGTGGAAGTGGCGAGACTGCATATTGCACAACGAGGATGTCCTGCTGGAGACTTTGTGCTTCGATCTGACAGTGGAATCACCACATCGTCAACTCTTTGACATGTTGAAATACTACGGCATCGAGCGCAACAAGCGCCTCCGAAATGCCGCCTGGGGATTCGTCACCGACAGCGCCAATACTCAGTTGTGCCTGCTCTGCAGCAGCCGGACCATCGCCGTGGCTAGCCTTCTCGCTGCTTGTAAATACTGCGAAGTTTCCATTCCGGATGACTCCAAAGGACGACCATGGTGGGAAGCGCATCATGTGCGGCTCAAGGAGATTCGACACGCCATCGAATACATGCTCTCCAACTACGACCCCGAATCTAACAAGATCAATGGCATCACCACCAGTGGCGGCTCGGAAGGTAATGGCTCGATATATCAGGGCCTGAATACCCCCAACGACGGTGCCACGGCGACTACGAACGAAGGATGGGACAGCACCAGAAATCGACCGACTTCGACATCACCATTCCCCTTCCCACGTGGCAGTGAGCGGAGAAACAGCAACGCAAGCAGTATTGGGGTGAAGCGGGGACGCGACGAGCTGATTGATGAAAGACCTACTGATAATGGAACCTCCGATGACCAGGAGAACAAGCGGCCACGGCTTGAGGAAGACGCTGCGATGAAGGATGAGAAAGCGCTTGGGCCACAGCTCACCGAGAAGTCAGATCCAAAGGAGCGCGAGGAGGCCTTGCGGGTGGCGAATGGCAACAAGCAGGCGGACCTGGCCGTGAAAGGAGATGAAACGAAGACTTCTCACAGCATCAGGCATCGGAACAGCGAGGAAGGGGAGGTCAGCGAAGAGGGGGAAGTTGAAGGATAGACTTCTCTGTCAACCTCACTCAGGACATTTCTCGACAGTCCACCGTCTGTTTGGCGAAAACAGATTATGAAGGGCCATACTTCGGATGAAGAATCGAGCGAAGAAGGTGAAATGGAGAAGAGATCCTCGTCTTATCCTCCACCACTACCTCCGTGGGCTATCAAACCTTATTTTTCCAACGATTCGAGCGAGGAGACGGAGACTTCCAAATGGGCGGATCCGGATCTGGGAAAAGATGCATAGCGACAGGCGCAGGGCACGGGAATCATCTTTTTGTTTTTGTGAAGAGAGGCCGCTTTTACTTCTGGTATGGAATATGTGCAATGGACGGCCGTGTTGTGTCTCATTATAAGGAACTGTTTCTGCTACGAGAGATACCCATGGCTATTTTGGCGCGGCGTAAGAATGAAATGGGAGGTTTGATTTATTGAGTGAGTGAGGGAGTGCGAGAAGAGCGCGGGCTTCGAGGAGCAATGAGGTTAGCAGACAGCTTTGCAGTGGAATGATACGGTTCGAGACTTTGCTGCGTCTTTGACTTTCACTCTCCCCCAATCTGGTTCATCGTATACACCGCTCGGAGATGCCCAGTCTGTGGTATGAGTGGACACATCTAGGCTCCAAGACGCTATTAGTAGTGATCAAGCTCAGAAACGCCGTCGAGATGTAGATAGATAGCTGGTCCGAGCTCGAGCTCCGGCGCAGGACCATCCGAAGCTTCCCAGCAACTTCAATCCTTACATGTGAAAGTCTCCGTACATCCTGAGCATCTGCATGCGATTATCCTAATGGCTTCGGCGTCGCTAGGTGACGACGTGCGTATCTCGTCAACACGCCGTGCGCCACTCACTGACCAGGAAGGCAGGTCTTCGAACAGCTCCGGAAACCCATTGACCCCAAGGTCCTCGAACAACGCGACAAGGAAGTCAACGACCGTAATCATGCCTCATATGAGAAAGCAGAACGACGGCAGAATGAGCTGGTAAGGCGTCAATCTGCTGTGCTCTCGAATGACTCCTGCTAATCCGCTTCTAGATCTCCATCAACTCCACCGCGCCCGTCACTCTCTCTTCCGTCCGCGTCATTGGCGCGCAAAATACCCGCCATGGCTTCCTCGAACGCATCCTTGACCCATTACTTACTCACAACCGCTCCAATCAGTCCTACTATACCCTTCGCGAAGCCCTCACGGAGATCAGCGGCGCTGTGGACAAACTGAATCGACTCGATATCTTCCAGCAGCCAATCTCCACATACATTGATCGGCCAGACCAGACAGATCCAAGCACAACTCCTACGGACTATGCCGTCTATGTCACGGCGAAAGAGAGGGGAAGATATACCATCAAGACTGGCACAGAAGCAGGAAGCTCAGAAGGAAGCGCATACGTCAACGCTACACTGCGGAACGTCTTCGGTGGGGCGGAGAGATTGAATGCGAATGCCAGCCTGGGAACAAGAACACGGAATGCTTACAGTGCTACATTCGACACGCCTATCCTTTCCAATCCGGACCTGCGCTTGGAGCTCGGAGCGCTGAAATCCAGCACTATCAAACCCTTCGCTTCCCACGAAGAGATACTGCGAGGTGGACAAAGCCGCCTCTTATGGCAGACCTCTCCCTACAGCAGGCATGACTTTGCATACAATGGATTCTGGCGACAGATAACCGGCCTTGCTGAGAAAGCCTCACCAACAGTGCGTGCTGACGCTGGTGATAGCTTCAAGTCGAGTATCTCCCACACGTGGACGCACGACTCCCGAGATATCCCCATGCTGCCTTCGCGGGGTTTCTTGATGAAGACTGTCAGCGAGATTGCGGGTGCTGGGCCCCTCAAGGGCGACGTGGCATTCGGCAAGTTCGAAATGGAGAGTCAGGCCGCGGTGCCAATTCCGATTCCTGGCATTAAAGGCGACAGCGGAGTGTCATTTACAGCAGGCCTCAGGACCGGCGTGCTGTGTCCGCTCCCGCTTGCCGGACAACAGCATCCGACACAAAGCAGGATCAGCGATCGATTCCAGCTGGGCGGTCCAACCGATGTGCGAGGTTTCCGACTTTCTGGGCTCGGACCACGTGACGGCCAAGATGCGGCTGGTGGAGACATCTACGCTGCCGGAGGCGCTTCGATACTCTTTCCACTGCCGCGAGTTGGCAAGGAGACTCCGCTTCGTCTTCAGGCCTTCATCAACGGCGGAAGACTGCTGCCATTGAGAGACATGAGACAGGGCGAGGCGAAGGATTCACCGATGAGCATGAACGACGTCGGCAATGGGCTGTCGAGGTCTTTCAGCGATCTCACAAGTAGCTTACCCAGCGCTGCCGCTGGCTTCGGTCTGGTGTACGCCCACCCCGCCGCCCGAGTGGAGATCAACTTCAGCCTGCCACTGGTAATTCGAAAAGGCGAAGAAGGTCGCAAAGGATTGAGCTTCGGCGTGGGGCTCAACTTTCTGTAGTAGGTCATGCTGTGGCTATACCGCGTGTTTGTACGGCGGAAATTCATTACTTTTCCGAAAATGCCAGCAAACCCGGGGCAACAAGCCGGACGGCCCCATATGAGCGGTAGCCGGCTTTGAGATGTTCCTACAATGTGGGAAGACGCTGTAGAATGTACATACCACGATGCCACCGTGTTCCACCCAGCTCTCCGGCTTCCCCGCTTTGGTAGTGCTCGAGGCCGTCCAGAAGCATGCTCCTTGACTGATTCGGACTCATCATTTGCGCATCTAGAATACTAGCCGAGGCGGCTTTGGCCCCGGACGGGGGTGCACGCATACAATCACACTTGAGTCTCTGCAATATCCTGCTAGCCACCTCTCCCGCCCGAGTACATTGCCAAGACACCTCGGAGCTAGGTGCTTCTCACCTTCTCTTCGACTCCCACAAGTTATGCGCTTCGCATTGAAGTCCAAATGGTCACCACGCTCTTCAGTCCCGATTGCAGAGCCGCGTCAGCGTAGCAGCACATGGCGCTCAAAAATTCACATATTGGATCCAGAGAGGGACACGGCATGTTATTAGGCTTTCGCGCTGCTCCAGAAGAAGAATCTGCAAATAAGGTAGTGGTGTCTATCCCGCGCACGGCGACGACGTAATGAATGAATGAAGGAGCGTTCCGATGCCTTAGTTGGGATACGATACATGTAGCTTGCCATCCATCCTAGGTACACTACTACTCCCGACCACCAGCCAACACCTGACCCGTGAAGCAGGTTAGGTTAGGTTAGGTTAGATCCCTCGCGTGGAAGCCCCTCGAGAGGGTAGGTCCTCGCGTGAGAGAATGGAAGCCTTCCAGGAGGAAAGAGGGCTTCCTTCGATTTCCATTCCGATTTTCCAAGAAGCTGCGCAGTAGGGTACGTACGTATCTGAGACAAACAAATGCCACATGGCTTGCAAGACAACTTAACCTATGAAAAGTATCCTACTCCTCGGAGGAGGAAGGATGTCTTGTGTTAATCATCATCATCATCATCATCCGGCGCAAGAACGAGGCGGCTTCTTAGCATCAAAAAATCGCATCGATTGGATGTGTCTGCCAAGGACTTGGAAGGTGATGCGCTCGGGACGAAGTTGGGCCGTGTCTCCACCTGTAGTACACTTTTCATCTTCACCTGTCCTTCTCACGGCCCATGAGAAATTCGGCATGCTCTGGAGGGAATGAAGGAGAAGGCAAGAGCAGTCTGTTCCGGAGTCGATTTGAATGCTCGTGGCGGTCTTCTTGACGAAGATCTAAAGCCAAGTCGTCGACGCCTTTCCGGAGCCCGTTTTCTGTAGATTTGGGCTGTGCGTACCTTAGGTAGCTATAGAACAGTAGCAGTAGTAGCGGCGCGTACAAGTCAGGCCGAGAGGGGCATAAGGCTACGAAGAGGTACCGAAACAGCCTGATCTGTTGCCTTTCTTGCTCTTATTCTGTAGTAGCTCGATTCTGTTTACCCGTATGGAGCGATTTTCGGATACACCCGTGACTCGTTAGATATCCGGCGAAATCCGTACAGAAGAGTTGATCCGTGCAGTCAATCGCTTCTGCGCGAGAGGGAAAAATAATCAAGACAAGACACCTTCTTCCCCCCAAGAAAAAGGTACGATCTGGGCACGGCTTTGCAGTTTCACGACGAAGCAGCTACAGACCACCTAGCACAGGGCAGTGCGGAGTCGACGGGCTGGCACGTCCAAGAAAACTTGGAGGCCGCCAAGAGAAGTGTGAAACGGAAGCCACCCAAGAAGCACGAGCGAACGAACGACAACGCAACGGCGTAATCGGCAATGGGAAGCCTTCCCGGAGTCCTCATGGGGACTCACATAAATTCATCAAGTCACCACGTCCCTCCTCCAACCAACCATTCTTAAGACGTAAACTTCACCCACACTGCATTGCGCACAGAGAGTTTCGTACTGTCCTCATCTTTGTTTTGCACCTTTTCACTCGACCTTCAAAACCTGCCATCCTTCCCTTCTCGTCTCCGGTGGAGCGCAAAGATGTTCGGAAAGGATAAAGAGAAGAAGACGCCACAGGTCGATGATCTCGAGCCTGTGTCTACCAGCGACTTTGGGGACGTAGAGGACTGCATCAAACCCGCCGACGGCCAACAGGATGCCGTCTTTGGCGAAATCAGTAAAGATGGACCGAATTACCGCGACGTACGTTCTCTTGCCCCCCTCTCCCCATCCGACATCCACCGACTGACATCCATACTCCCCGCGTAGGTCGGTTGGAAAGGCTCCGCCATCATCATGTTCAAGACCCAGTGCGGACTGGGAGTTCTCGGAATTCCAGGAGCGTTGGATTCCCTCGGCATGATCCCGGGAGTCATCATTATCTTGGTGATAGGTTTCATGACGACGTGGGCCGCTTGGATGGTTGGACAATTCAAGACCAAACATCCTCAGGTGTATGGAATCGATGACGCCGGGCGAATGATCGCAGGCAGGGCTGGTCGGGAATTTTTCTTCTGGGCTTTCGTGCTGCGTGAGTTATTACGCCCTGCCACGGAGGAAGAGACGTACGTCAAGACGTTCTCCTCAAGACTGACTGACGCGGTGTGTAGATTTCACGTTCCTGGCCGCATCCGCGATGCTGAGCGTGTCGATTGCCCTGAACGCCATCTCGCTTCATGGAGCGTGTACCGCCATATTTGTCGTGATTGGCGCACTGATTGGATTCACGTTCGGGAGTATTCAGACTCTGGGCAAGGTGTCGTTCATTGCGTGGGGGGGTGCCATTGCGATTCTGACGGCCATCTTCACGGTGACGATCGCAGTCGGCGTGCAGGATCGGCCTGCTGATGCTCCTCAGACCGGACCATATGTACGACTTCCCCCACGAGCAAACTGTGGTGTTGCGCCCGCAGAGCGAAAGACATCTGACTGACCTTCTTCTTACACAACAGGTATCCAACTTCAAGATGTGGGGCGACGCCGATTTTGCAGGAGCCATCTCTGCCGTCGGAACGATTGTCTTTGCCTTCTCGTGCCTGCCGGCGTTCTTCGCTTGCCACGCGGAGATGCGAGAGCCGCGGCACTTCACCAAAGCCGTCTGCTGGGCCCAGGGAGTCCTCACGGTCGTCTACCTCATCATCGGCATCGTCGTGTACTACTACTGCGGCTCCTACGTCGCCTCGCCGGCCCTGGGAAGTGCGGGTCTGCTGATGAAGAGGGTGTGCTATGGAATCGCCCTACCCGGTCTGATCGCCAGCTGTATGTTGTTCGTCCACATGCCGGCCAAGACGATCTTCATGCGCTTCATGCGTGGCACGAAGCATCTCACCTCGAACACGCCGATCCACTGGATGGCGTGGTTGGGTTGTACCATCGGCATTACCCTCGTAGCATACCTCGTGGGCTCCGGGATTCCCGTCTTCCAGCAACTCCTTTCCCTGGTCGGTGCTCTGCTGGCGACGGTGACGTGCTTCCAGCCTTCGGGTCTCATGTGGCTGTACGACAATGCGAAGCGTCCGCAGCGTGGCGGGATGTACTGGGTGGGTGTGGTCTTTGCGCTCTTCATGGTCATCGGCGGCACGTTTATCACGATTGGTGGAACGTACGGCGCCATCTTGGGTATTGTCAACGCGAAGGAGCGCACCAGCCCTTGGAGCTGCGCGGACAACAGCAACAGCGTGTAGATGCAGTCTGGTCACAGTAGAGACAGTCTGGAAACAGCAGAGACCGTCTGAAAACAGTAGACAAGGCAGTGGGATGCAATCCTCAACTTGCGCAACCACCGTACCTCTCGCTTTCATCTCTCTTTCTCTCTCATCGATTATAGCCACGACAATTCATGCCAGGAGGTGCTTTGATTCTGATGATAGCCAGGCCTGTGATGGCTAACCCTAACCCTACCAAGCCGGTGTCCGATATAGTTGCCAGCGTCTTGGTCCATTGGCGGATCTTCTCGACGGCTGCTATCGCTTCATCTCGGCGGTTTGACTCGTACTGTGCCGGATCTTGGCTAGCATTCCATCCTTGTGTGAACACACGATGACCTCTCGCGGTGTGAAGAGGCTGTGCACGCGACCTTCCAAGCAGCCGAGACATTGTCGAGGCTGCCAAGGTTGGAGTCTGGCCGGGTGAATCTGCCGGTGAGATCTTCATGTCCATGGTCCCGGTTAAATCGGCCGATGGGCGACGACAGTAATATGCCATGAGGGAGAGATGCTGAAGTTGAGGGTGTGTTTGAGGAAGCAGGTTGTAAGGTAATGCTCGTGCGAAAGTTGGTTAGAGTTGACTCGGCACCCGGGACGACGCGTTTCTCGGCATCCCGCTAACCTGACGTGACGTGGAAGGAGAGCACCTCAACCTCACAACCAATCTCCATTTCTTCCTTGCTGCTCTCACCACTCCCACATCTTCGAATCCCAATCGCGTCTGTTGAAACCGCTTCGGATCCTCCCTGGCGGAAACGTCTCCTTCGCGATGCCGACATAGCACGACCGGCCACACCCACACCTCCAACGAGCCGGCCGCGAGCCGCAGCCCACCGCCGCCGCCGCAATGGAGGACGAAGACAAGTACAAGCGCTTCTCCCACATCCCCATACCCACATACGACGAGGCGACCACCTCTCGACCCTCGTCATCGCAGGCCTTTCGCGGCGCGGAGGAAGTGAGCGACGATGCGGAGAGGCAGGGCTTGTTGCCTCAGGAGAGCACCTATCGCCCTCCGACAGCAGAATCGCCGCGCTCGAGCGAAGACAGCGATCTGAGACTGCCTGAGGTGACGGGAACTGGCGACGACGACAGGCGACGGGTGGAAGAGCTGGATTATCTCGATCCGAACGACCCTGACCCGGCGCAACGACAGTCGCGTTTATATCACCGCGCAAGATTACGCTCCAAATTCTCCCAACACCTCTCCAATCTCGGCGCCACCCTTTCTTCCATACGACTGCCTTCGTTTCGATCCTTATATACCCCCGTGTCCGCTTCCCCAGACGCTGACGCCTCCGCCGAAACACCGCCCTCCCGACTCACCTGGCTCACTCGTCGCACCGAGACCCTTCCTACCATTCCCGAACGATACCGCATGTCCGCCGGTACTGCTGCGAGATTATGCGGTCTTCTCTCAATCGCACTCCTCATCTACGCCCTCTTCATTCTAGATGTCTTCCCTGGAAATGGCCGATATCCCGGCACTCGCTTTGATCCGGAGTCTGTCCGCTCGTATGTACAGGATAATGTGAATGCTGGTAGGATTGAAGAATATTTGACACACATCACGAGCTACGACCATGTGGCTGGCACAGCGGGAGACTTGTATATGGCCGAGTGGATGAAGGAGAGATGGATAAAAGATGGGAACCTGGACGACATTGCTTTGATGAGCTACTACGTGTACCTGAACTATCCGGAAACGGGGGGCAGGAGTGTGAGTATAGTCAGTCCGGCGGAGAAGAAGTGGGTCGCTCGTCTGGAGGAGGATGTTGTGGACCCTGGGAAAGAACAATCGCTCGCCTGGCATGGAAACAGCAAGAATGGGGAAGTTGAGGGACACTTGATATACGCAAATGGGGGCAGCCGGGAGGACTTCAAGTGGCTCCAAGATCAGGGCGTGGTGTTGAACGGCAGCATTGCTTTGATGCGGTATCATAGCACGCAGCCGGATCGAGCTTTGAAAGTCAAAGCAGCTGAAGAAGCGGGTTGTGTTGGAGCGTTGATCTATTCAGATCCAAAGGACGATGGAGGCGTTGGGGAAGAGCGAGCGTCATGGCCGGATGGACCTTGGAGACCGCAAGATTCAGTGCAGCGTGGTAGCGTGGCTCTGTCCAATTGGATCGTTGGAGATCCGCTGACGCCTGGCCACGCGAGTACAAAAGACGCGAGTCGTGTGTCAAAAGAGAACAATCCAGGATTGAACCAGATTCCGTCACTTCCTCTGGCATGGAGAGATGCGAGGGTCCTTATCGAATCATTGCAGAATCACGGGCATACAACTCCTGGACCGTGGGTAGGAGGAGCACCGGAGTTCTCAGACGTCTGGTATACCGGCGACGACAGCAAGGATGCGCCAATCGTTCACCTGAAGAACGTCAATGATGAGAGCGAACGACAACAGATATGGAACCTGCACGGCCTCATTGAAGGACTGGAGCAGAGGGAGAAGAAGATCATCGTTGGGAGTCACCGGGACGCATGGTGCTTTGGCTCGGTGGAACCTGGCAGTGGAAGTGCTGTGCTGATGGAGATGGTCGAGATCTTCGGCCAGCTGCGCAAGTTGGGATGGAGGCCACTCCGCAGTATCGAGTTCGTGAGCTGGGATGCCGAGGAGTACAATCTGATGGGCAGTACCGAATACGTTGAAGACAACATGGACTATCTTCGCGATAATGCGGTTGCATATCTGAACGTGGCGGCGGGTGTGTACGGCCCAGACTCAGTCTTCCGCGCAGCCGGCAGCCCGATGTGGCAACGAGCGCTGTCGCATGTTGTGGATCGAGTCGCCATTCCCGGAGATGGAGCCACGCTGCGGCAGATATGGGAAGACAAGAACAGCCAGCTAGAAGGCATGGGTGCGAGTGGTGATTATGCCGGCTTCCAGCATATGGCTGGCACTTCGTCCATCGACTTTGGCTTCGAAGGCCAACCCAACGCGTATCCCCACGGCTCTTGCTACGAGACTCTGGAGTGGATGAAGAAGTTTGGGGATCCGGAATTCAATTGGCATCGTACCCTTGCACAGGTCTGGGCCCTTCTCATCCTCGAAGTCGCCGATCGACCTTTGCTTCCATTCGACTTGCGCAACTACGCCGAAGCGATCAAAGGCCGCTACCTCGACAGCTTGCAAGAGTCCGCCGAGCAGAAATCAGACAAGAACACACAGTTGGACCTTGAACCTCTCCGGTCCGCCGCGAACCATCTGACTGAAGTCTCGGAGAAATTCCACCGATTCGAAGACGTCTGGACAACACAGGTTCTCGGCTCCGGAGGGATCGAAAACAACAACTTCGCCAAGAGGAGGCTGGAATATAACAACAAACTCTCCAACTTTGAACGTGATTTGTTGGATTTGCCTTCTAATCCTCTCGACTTGGAGATTCATGGTCTTCCCGGTAGAGAGCAGTTCAAGCATGTCATCCTCGGACCTGGTGGATGGGAAGGAGGCAGATACGGGGTCTTCTTCCCTTTGGTGAGGGATGCGATTGAGAGGGGAAACTTCACGGAAGCAAAGGCCGCGGTGGAAAGGACGGCTGCGACTCTGAGGAGAGCGACGGAGAATTTGGATGGTTAGAGGCTATGTCTCCTTGTCGTGATTCTGGAGCTTTTTGTTGACTGTGCATCTGCGATGGTGTTGAGTGGCGCATAATGCATGCATGCTGGATGGGAATGAGCGACAGTGGGATTGACTCTTCCCGCTCCTGTCTGGAAAAGAAGCTGATCTTGTGACTACTCTCGTATAGCCGTATTGTATATTCCTTTCTCTTGTGGTGTATCCGATGTTCTCGGCGGAATGTTTCTCGGCGGAATGTTTCTCCGGATTTGGGTCAACCTCACTTCACGTCCTTCAGTCTCCAGGAAAGACTTTGATCCACATTTCTTTGTTTCTCCTGCCCTGTTCGAATAGTAACTTTGTTTGCACCGTCTGCGAAATGTCTGCCTCGTCCGCAGGGAGGTGGATAAAGTGAATGGAGCCGCGAAGACGCGGCTGCAGAGATTGATCGGAATGGTAATACGCGCGCGGTACAACCATGCATTTCTCCTTAGAGCCGCTCTGCTTCTCGCGTCAACTCGAACATGAGCATGAACATCAACGGACCCCCACTCCCACTCCACTCCGGAAAAGACGAGGCCGAGAAAGAGCAGGCCCCATAGGCTGCCGAGTCTGCTGCGAAGGACTGGACCACACCGCTCGCCTAACGAAGAAGGGCAAGAAAAGCTTGAGTTTGTTCCCACCGCACCTACCACAACATCAAGTACCTCAACGCTCTCTCATGGATCCAGCCTGCCCTGTAATCTTTGGCATGGCCGACACGGCATCGAAGTCTTTCCGGACCTGCAGCCACGATGAAAGTGATGCGATCTGGCCTTTCATGCGTAGCTCTTGAAGCAAGATCACCGGTTGACGGGGGACTGGGCGTAGATCAACGAAACCGGTCAAAGCAGGATGATAGATCTAGCTCGTCAATTTCGTCTTGAGATTATTGAGCAGGCAAGCGAATGCTTCTGTGCTCGTATAGAGCTTTTCGCTGATACAAAGCTCAGAACATAGTAGAAACACGTGTACCGCAGACCGAGAACTGGCGATTTAGATGTTCTTCCGTACGGCGAACTTCCTCCGGTGGACCTCTAACGATCGAGCGCTGGAGTCCTGCGGATACATTTACAAGTTTGACGAAATCACTGAAGCCAATGTCGCCTTTGTTCGAAATGCAGCAGAAGCAGAAACTGCCTAAAAGTCCAGTGTGCAGATCCTCGCAATGGCCAACTAGAATCGACAAGCTTTGCGGCATACATGAGGCAAAATGGAGCGACAGATGAAGCCCTTGAAGACTGCAAGCATATGGACCCGAGCGATGCTTGGGCATGAGACAGAGAGTATCTCGGCATTGGTGGGTGTCTCTGGAGAAGTACTCTTTGAGCGTCCACTAATCTCGTCAGTTCTTCCTCGACTAATGCAAATCTGGCGGTGGGCGGCTGCAGATGCGCTCTGGCCGCAAGCATGCACTCGGTCCAGAAGTCGTGAGCCCTGCAGATGGGGGCATCAGAAATGCTCTCGAGTGTTCCCTTCCCTCAGCGGTGTCTTCGTCTAGTTCTCCAGGCGTGGAATCGCTGTATGTCTCGAAGCTGCGATACTCCGGGGGAAGCTCATACGAAGGTGGATCTTCTTCTCCATATGGAGGCGGAGGAGTTCGCAGTGTTACGGAATGGTCAAGCCTGGCTTCTGATTCCTCATCTCTGCGTTGTCGCATCTGTCGCTGATGCCGCGATGCTTGAAGGTAATCGTGGGCGAAGCTGAAAGTGATGAACACGAAGAGGGCGAGCATTATCGAGAAGATCGCCCGGTTTGGTGTCTGATCATCGTCGTCTTGGCCTGATGAAGCCTGTGACAAGATGTTGGAGATGTGAGCGTTTTGCGCGTGAATACCGAATTGTGCTCGCATGTTTAAAATTGACTGGGACGTTTCTTCGTTACAATACATCCAAGACAAGGCTTTCGAAGAGCTTTTGTAACGCTGATGATTATCTTATTCACTAATGAAACAGATTCGGATCCCTATTCACTGGCTAGAACGTTCATAATACTATGAAACACCTGCTCAATGCCACGCAATCAAACATGGATGTCGAGAAAGAAGACATGTCTTGAACACCACGCTCGACCAGGCTTCAGCTTTCAGGAAGTTCTTACTGCTCTTGTAGCTACAAACCTGTTGTATTCTTGCAGGAGTACTTGAGAGGGTTGCTAGCCACGACTGGAAACGGATCGGGGAGAGCAAGCATTTGTCAGGTTGTCTCGAACCGTCCACGCCAGCTCTCAATTCCTTTATACCGTTCAATCCCATTGTACCCACTATGAACAAGCAAAGAGTCAGACGCACTCTATGCCCTATGCTTAGTTTGCATTTTCCAGGATCTCTAGCGCAAAGATACTGCAAGTTCCTAAATCAGAATCCAGAATTTCGCGCTGACCTGTGTCATAATGCTTCCCTCTCATTCCCCATGAGTCCCGGACATGCCGGATGTCGCATTCGAAAACAATACTTCTACATATCCAACCACTTCCCCATCTCCACCAAGCCCCAGGCTTCTGCAAAGCCCATCTCGAAAACGGTACCCACCACCAAACTGCCCAAACCTGCAGCACTCTGACCTTCTCCAGCGGGTCCATTGCTTCACCTTCCGCACGTACTAAATCTTCCTTCCTAGCCTTGATGACCTGCGCAGCGTCCCTGCACTCATCCGACCGACTCCGACCTCGAACTGGCGGATGCTCAACAAGTTTCACGTACTCTGCCTTTGCGATCTGGAGATGAGTGCGAGCGGAAGCCAGACGGAGGGAGAAAGGGAGGGCTTCTCGTTGGGCTTTTGTCAGGAGGTGCTTGAGGAAGCGTTGATGGTTCAATGCTGTGTCGATGGTGCATGCTAGAATGAGGAGGAGGAGGCAGAGGAGGCAGTAAAGGAGGACGATGTCCGTGAGAGACGATCGTGGGGAGCTGGGCATGGTGTTCGTCGCTTGTGTGAGATTGCTTGACATGGGTTTAGTACTCCGGTCTCTTTTTGATTGATAGGGAAGTAGTCTGTGTGCTTGGGATTCCGCGACGCTGGGCTTCCGATCGAAGGTTGCTTTTGGGTGTCGAAGATATCGCGACTGTTGAAGTTGAGGTATTGTCCGATTGCGTTGGGAAGGGCGCGCTTTATGTGCCTCTTCGATCCACCTTTGAAGCCTCTTATCAGGCCTTAGTGAATCAGAAGGCGTTGTTAATCTACAATGACTCTGTCAATACAATGGCATTGTAGGTATTAGCTAAACAAAGGAAGATTAAGCAGAAAAAACCCAAAGTCAGAGCTGTAGTCATACTTTGGTGCCAAACGAATTGAACCAAAATGCAACGACTGTGTCTTGGGCCAAAAGAAAAAACCAGAGAGTAAGCAAAGCTTCAATCGGTCATGTTCATACAAAAAGCCGTCCATTTTGAAGCGCAAAGCACGCTTACCTAGTCTCAGAGACCCAGCCTAACACTCACTACAACGATGGCAAGTCTGTGATCCACTGTGTGAAATCGAGAATCGCCTTGTTAATATGCGGAATGTAGAGTGCCGGAAACCACCACCACCGTCGCAAGACTTCCGCTTTCCCTAGTCGTGACAGTTCCTCGGCCCGAAGCATTCTCTCACGAAGTCCTTCAACGGCGTTGTGATGGCGTCGTACGTCGCGTCTTGCCCGTTCTAATCTTGTCAAATAGTCATCGCTCTCGCGGGCGTTCGATGGCGAGAAAGGTAGCGCAGCTAAAGCCATGTGGGTCTCTAGTCGTTTCACGGCGTCCTCTGTTTGCATGAGGTAATCATTCATGCGGTCGACCAAACGCTGCACCTCTGCCTGAGCATCGTCACGCTGCTTATCCAGAGTGTCTTGAATTTCGAAGACGGTCCCCAGTACCGCACGAGCCAGGTCGGTAAGCGATTGGACATCGAGTTCGTAGTAAATCGCGGAGTGGAAAAGCGCGAAAAAGAAGGCAAGTGAGATTGCCGCCAGCAGAAAAGTCCTAAGGAAGGGCTCGCACGAATGCATGGTCGATTGTGTGCCGAAGTGTGTTAGTGCTTTGGTGTTGCAAATTCGTTCTTATGAAGATGCTGGACTGTGTTGCTGGTGTCTGTCAAGTGATCAGTGTCAAAGTGTTGGACAACTCGCAAGATTGGAAGATCGATTCGGGCTTTATATCTGGGCTCTCTGGTTCTGTGCCGCAGCTTCACAAACCCATTGTTTTCTTTGTACCATTCAGTACAAAGACTTTGCTCGAGATCATGAGCAATGCCATTGTTTGACTAAGGGATTGTACGGTAACGCACAGCCACGTGAGACTCGTCGAGGTCAATTGAGGAAACTTTCGGAACTCGTAGAACCTCCAAGCGTGATGCAGCAAGGGCAGAAAAGCGCCGTCGTCGTTGTCATTTCTCGTCCACGTGATATGCACACTTTCGGCGCGCGGAGACGATACTGACATAACATGTGCCTCCGTCTGACGCTGTGAAGATGCCGTCAAAGCAGGATGTATTCTTCGAGAGGATGAAGTGAGGTCGGAACGCTGTCTGGCGGCTCGGCTCGTCGGGAAGTCTCCGGCCAGCGGGAGCTCTCGTCACCTCCGTTGCCTCACGAGCTCCAACTCCGAACAAACATCCACCAAACACATCATCGTCAACCACTCCACCTCGCTGCCATCACCCAGTCCTCGGCAAGTAAACTTGCCGTGACCTCAGACGCTCCTTTCGCACACGGTCTCATTCGGAAATACCGCCACCATGTCGACGCTCGAGGATCTGGATGACATGGAGCGCGATGGGAAGAAGGAGGAGAACAACGACGACGGCGACAAGGACAAGAAGCCCACCGGTCAAACCGGAGATGAGGATATGAAGGATGCCGATAAGAAGGAGGAGGAAGAAGAGCAAATCGATGAAGAGATCCTCAACTCATCCACACGCGACATCACCTCCCGACGACGCCTAATAGAAAACGACACGCGCATCATGAAATCCGAGTTCCAGCGACTATCACATGAAAAGCAGAGTATGATGGACAAGATCAAGGACAACGTCGACAAGATCGATAACAACCGTCAACTGCCATATCTCGTCGGAAACGTGGTGGAGATACTAGATCTCGACGTTGAGGCCGAGGCGGCTGAGGAAGGTGCAAACATAGATCTTGACGCGACACGAGTAGGCAAGAGCGCGGTCATCAAGACGAGCACGCGGCAGACTATCTTTCTGCCGCTGATCGGCTTGGTGGACCACCAGAAGCTCAAGCCCGGCGATCTGATCGGTGTCAATAAGGATTCTTACCTCATTCTGGACACCCTGCCAGCCGAGTACGACAGCAGAGTGAAGGCGATGGAGGTTGATGAGAAGCCGACGGAGAAGTATACCGATGTGGGTGGGCTGGACAAGCAGATTGAGGAGCTCGTCGAGGCTGTGGTCTGGCCGATGAAGGAGGCTGAGCGGTTCAAGAAGATTGGCATCAAAGCGCCCAAGGGTAAGCTTATCGCCTCAGAGATACACTCTCTACTATACTGACCATCTTGCAGGCGCACTTATGTACGGTCCTCCCGGAACTGGCAAGACCCTTCTAGCCCGTGCTTGCGCCGCCCAAACCGAAGCGACCTTCTTGAAGCTCGCCGGTCCTCAACTCGTTCAGATGTTCATTGGAGACGGTGCCAAGCTCGTCCGCGACTGCTTCGCCCTGGCGAAAGAGAAGGCCCCCTCGATCATTTTCATTGACGAACTGGATGCAGTTGGTACAAAGCGTTTCGACAGCGAGAAGAGCGGAGATCGTGAGGTGCAGAGAACAATGTTGGAGCTGCTGAATCAGCTTGACGGCTTCGCATCGGACGACAGGATCAAGGTGCTTGCAGCCACCAACAGAGTCGATGTGCTCGACCCTGCGCTGCTGAGATCAGGTCGTCTCGACAGAAAGATCGAATTCCCGCTTCCGAATGAGGAGGCGCGAGCTCAGATCTTGAGAATCCACTCACGAAAGATGACGGTAGATGAGGGAGTCAACTGGCCTGAGTTGGCACGGAGTACGGATGAGTTTGGAGGTGCACAGCTAAAGGCCGTGTGCGTGGAGGCTGGTATGATTGCACTGCGGAGTGGACAGAGTAAGATCTCGCATGAACACTACGTGGATGCCATTGCGGAAGTGCAGGCCAAGAAGAAGGTTAGTGGCACCTCACCCCATTCCAATCTCTTGGAGCGATTGCTAACGTGGTCTTGCAGGACACCGTCAATTTCTACGCCTAAGCTGCATCTGCATCCTGCTGATGTGAGTTGCACTTGCGCCGTTGCATTCGAGACTTGGCCACGTTTACACCGACGTAGCGAGCAGATAGATCGAATGACACCTGTACAACATTAACAAGACCAATATCGGGAGTCTACTCAAGCCTCGCATCCGGCCTACGAGGCTCTGCGGCAGGCAACACTGCGGTCGTTGGCCTTGCGCCAAATTCGCAGCTGAGCCATCTCAACGGCTGAAGTCCGATCGTTCCTATCAAAAGTGGCCACATACTGTTGCTTTGTCTAGTGACTGTGTGATGCAGGGAAAGTGTATTTTGGAATTTGAAGGATGCCAACAAGATGCCACTGCCGTCCACTGACGTGAAGTCTAAATTCAATGCAATCCAAGGAGCAACGTGCCGACAAGTCATGCGCAGAAGTCTCAAGCATCTCATCTAGGCTCACTCCACAGTCTTTACCGTGACTTTGTACAAGCCATTGAGCTCTTTCAATTTTGTCTCGTAGCACTGTGGCGCAGGCGAGATCAGCGGGATTCTCTTCCCGTCTTTATCGAAGAAAGAGAGGCCGAACTCACTCCACGGCCTTCCTATCCAGTCTTCTTTCGCCAAGAGGAGCTTGAACTGCCCGATCGTAAATCGTAAGTCGACGGTGGTCTCGAAGGTGCGGGAGCCGACTCTGTCGTCTATTGTGATCGTTCTCTTGTAAGGCGCTTCACCGCGGACAAACTTGGTCGAGCGTCTGCGGTCGAGTGGAGTCTCTGGCGTGGGTGGTTTCAGAGCTTTCGGACTCTTCGGCGACTGGGCAGACAGCTGAATTTCAATGGGCTGTAAGCGCGTTTTCTTCCTCTGCAGTTCTTCCTCGAGGCGTTCCATGGCATTCTCTCTCTCGCCGTAGATGAGGGGGAGAAAGATGCCAAAGAGGCCGAATTGGCAATACGCCAAGTCTTCGGGCTTCGTGGTAGTGCGACCCTCCATCCAAGCTTTTCTGTCCTCGATGCTGTAGTCATTCGATTTCCTGACGTCGAATAGCACGCGCTCTGGGATTTCGGTGATCTTTGAAATGTGTGCACTCAGGTTGAATCCGAGTAATCTTGTACTCAGCTTTAACGCTTCAACATCCCACAGCCCTGCTCTAGGGGCCTTGTGTCCTAGAGGTTCCCAGTCTCGGTTGAGGAACAGAACCAGCTTCGGCGCGAGGAGCTCTTGTAATGTCCAGCCACGAGTAAACCATTCGCTGCGCCAGAACTGCCGCATGACCCATTCCGGAGATGAATCCAGGCTGTCAACATCGGATAGATAGGCAATGCAAATGGAAGCTTCCGCATACCATCGGAACATGGAGTTGATGGCTTCAGAAAACTCAGTGAAGTCGGCCTTGTTTGTGCAGCAGGTATCCATCCACAGCCATTTGATTTCACCCGCCGCTTGAAGCTTTTTGACTGCATCACAAAAGCCTTTGACTTTTCGGAACCCAGTGCTTTCCTGCTTGAGACCGTCGCGGACTTCATGGTAAGTCGCCTCTGAATCGAGCCAGTGGTGCGAAGCGATGGCATACGGAGGTATTGCTCCATTAAAGTCCTGGAATTCGAGTGTTTCCACGTCAAGGAGCCGCATGACTCGCTCGCGGACAGGAGATGACAGAAATGTGCGCTGGCGTTTTGTATCTAGTGATTGGAGAGCGCAGTAATAGACAGGCCAAGGCTGAAAGCTGAGATGACGGTGGTCCAGCGCTTGCATGCAGCCAGGCTACTGCGACCCCAGCGCTGGCGTTCGCTTACGCAAGTGCAAAGTACCATCCTTTCTGATGGCGACTACAATTCGTGGATGTAAGAGCGTCGCAGAATCTTCGCGACCTCAGCCTTTGTGCTTGTTTTCGGCTAAGTCGGCGTGAGATCGGGCATGATAGGCTACGACAGATATCTGTCGAGAAGCGAGGCGACAGCAACGGATCCCCAGTGCACGACTGGTCATCGGCACAGCGCACCGCCAAGGCTTTCCGAGAGGCTCTTCAGTCCTGGCGTGTAGCTGCAGATTGCCGCCAACATATCGGCGGAAGAAGTGGACAACAAGCTGGAAGTGATCCTGGATGGAAAAGCGGTTGCTGAGGTCGAAACAATGCGACGTTCAGCCTCGATCCGAAGTGTACGACAGCAGCGTCTTGGAGGATCGTTAGGGAATGTTCTTTAGCCTGATGAGTGCCTCATTCGCCTAGGCACATGTCCGAATTTGAGCCCGGTGCCCGCGATTCCTACACGGCACTGCAAATGCTGCTGGACAGGGCTCCCGCAGGAACCATCGTCCTACTAGTACACTTGAAAGACAAGTCGGAAGAGTTGTGAATTCGGGTCCGATGGTTCAAGTGATATGAAACCGAACAAGGCGGGGTATCTGATATGTTTGATGGCATTCAGAGAAGCGAGATGGAGGTGGAGACTGAGAAGAAGTACAGACTGGAAGTCAGTTCTTCCGCGCACGTGCCGGACACTAGCACCGGGGCGAGCCTCTAGCGCCAAACTCTGATCGGAATGGTACCTTTTGAGACGAACCGTCTCGCTCGCATCTGCATAGCATACATACACATACAGCTAACTCGCTCGTCCGATGACGTTGCGGCGCAAGCGCTTCGTAGAGATTTCACTCCCTCCTATGAGCTTCTACCAGAAAGATCCACTGACGGGCAGAGCACTACTGGAACAGAGCATGAGTATCCCGCGATGCCAGAATCCAATTTTTGAAATGCGGCAGCCGAAGCACCCAAATCTGGAAGGTCGTGTGTCTAGATGACTTGCTTGGCTCTAGCGAGACAAGTGGCGGGTTCGCAAGCAGTAGTGGCCGTACTGGCGAGAGTCGTAAGGTTTTCGATAACATCTTGAACCCGTGAAGATCTGATGAAGGATGAGTGTCGCAAGGAGCCCGTGGAGATATATATATCTCAGTCCATACATCTCAGCCTCATCCTCCTTGCCTCTGCGAATGCCGCAATACTTTCAGCTTGCTTGTCTCAGGCGAGAATCGTGGCTTCAGTCGGCATGCTCGACAGGAGCGAGAATCGCAGCGCCTACCGGATTAGGAAGTTGGGCTGGAGCATGTGAGTCCTTCGGGCGCGGTACGTGCTGGGGGCCACCAATGAAGTTGTAGAGCGAATTGATCGAGGGCAGGAAGAACTCCAGAGGCAGGCGCAAGCGATGTCAGCGACCTTCCAACAATTAGAGACCTTCCATGTTGGTCGGAAAAGCCAACTCATACTTCCACATCTTGGCATCTGAGATCTTTTCTGCGCATGCTCCGAACCGAATTCCATCCTCAGAGTTGCCCAACCACAGTTCTCCCTCTTCAAGCCTTTCAACTCATCTCCTAACCCCATGACAAACGAGAAAAGGAAACCTCATCTTCTCCCCTGCGTCCTTCGCCTTGGACCCCCCCTCGGGTCCGAATTCGCCCTCATACCTCTCCACAATCTTCTCCTCACTCCAGTGAGCCCTCACATCCACATCCACAAACCCAACCTCCCTCATCAGTCCCGCGATTTCATCGGCATCAATTCCATGTCTAGCAACCCCCACCATCTTACTAGCAGGATGAAATCTCTTCGCCTCTGGCCCAAAATCTTCAAAATCTGTCAGCATCACACACCCTTCCTTTTTCAGACAGCCATGGAGGGTTTCCAGAACGGGTCTCAAGGAGGGGATATGGTGAAGCACTAGATGTGACGTGACGAGATCGAATCTCTGCCTTTCACCGCCGGGATGCTGGCAATCCGCGGGCGGTAATCTGGTATCTTCGGGATCTTCTAGTAGTAATGCCAATGGAAGGATATTTTTTGGGAGTTCGGGTTGTTCACATTTTCTCCTGAGGACATCGATCATGCCCTGAGCGGCGTCTATGGCGACGATTTGTCGGACCTTGGGGGCAAGGAGGAACGAGAGGACTCCTGTTCCGCAGCCGAGTTCCAGGACGTCGAGAGATGTAATTTCGGGGGTTGTATATTTCTGCTCAAGTATCCTGATGATTGCTTCTGCGGCTCCTTTGCTGGCTTGGTGGACGAAAGGTTGCCAGTCCCATGCCGCGGCTTCGGCGTTGAAGCGGTCGTTGCCGGTTGTCGTTCTCGAGAGGTCGGATATTGCGCTGGCCATGCCGGGTATCTGTGCTTTTGTCGTATTTCCTGCGATGTCGAGAGATTGTAGTAAGCAAGGTCGAGGTAGAGGTGAGGTAGGAGACTCCGCACCGGTTATTGCGGATATGTAAGCCACACAATTGTTAATCCGCTTCCGGCGCTCACGTCCCTCACTCTCGAACTCATCTTCGTGGCCCAGCATTTCTACATTCTCATACTATTGTCGTGGGTTTTATTTGCGAACAGTTCACGAGTACTGGAGTGCTGTGCCGAAGATAGCAGAAAAGAGACGCCATTGCTGTGATAGTGGCCAGGCCTCTTGAGTACGTGAAGCGCACATGAGCTTCCATTTAATCGCTCGATCCACCACTTCGCATGTGAATGCTATGCATCCACAAACCCGAGTGTATCTGCTTTCTGAGATGGGAAGAACTCCCTCGACATTTTTATTGCAAGACCGCTGTTTCTCGTGATTTAGAGCGAAAGGAGGCGACCGCTGTAACTACTCCGTTGGACTTATAGGCATTACCTTGGTTCGCTGAGTCTCTATCACGTTCTGTCTTGCGGGTTTGGATTTCGCTCTTGATGCCTGATACCGGTGTGCATGCAGCTCGAAGGGAAACGTCGCTGTACATAGTTTTTGTGCAGTCAATGAATGCGAACGATAAAGACATGAGCACTCGAGACCTGCGGCCGAATCGCTTTAGGCATCAGGGGTGTCTGTTGAGAACGCATCAGCGACTACAATAGTCTAAAGCTGGAAAATCAGTACTCAGACTCGATAGGCCCAATATGAAATTTGCAAGAGTGCATTTCCTAAGAAAGTCAGCGCACTCCGCCAGTCCCCACCCAATGCGGGTAAAGTATGCCTTTTGACAGCCGCCGTAATCCATATGAAAGTGCCATCCCATACGCCGAGCGATGCTCCACAAGTTCGCGCCCTATAGAATCTACTCAATCGTCTGTTGTTGAGCCATGCGGTCGTGCTCGTCGATGTCACTGTGTCCATGTTAACAGGTCTGCAATGTCAATCAGTTGCGCTGTGCACCCACGTTGCTTCCCACGGGTAGTTGATCCACACGTCTGGCACCGTCCGAGCTGCGATGTAACGATTCTTATTCACCGTATCTTCTGGCAAGTGTCCGCGCTTGGGCTTGTCCTTGTTATGTAGTACAAAGATGGAGAACTTGGTGCTCTCGGGATCCTTGCCTTCGTTCTTGGCCGCAATCGCAACGTCCTTCTGCAGCTCCTTGACCGCGTACTCGAGCGTCGTGCGCGTATCATCTACCTCATCCACGATCAGAATGCTCTTGCCGATCAGGCTCGCCATTTCCAGACTGCTCAGGTCGAGCCATTGTGTTCGCGTGACCTTGGTGCCTGGCTTTTCGATCTGGTTGTCGGTCGGGAGGGACTCGTAGAGGGAGAGGCCGATGGCTTGTATAGGGATGTTGGGGCTGCCGGGCTTCTTGAGGAATGACCGGAGGATACGCGCGGGAACGTATCCACCACCGCCTACTAGATGTTAGCAAGAAGGGACTAAAGGTCGAGGCCTGTGAACGCCGAGGGTCGCACCGATCGCAATCATGAGGTTGGGCTTGAACTCTTCGAGGATACGACCGGCCGCATCCTGGCAGAGTTTGTGGATCTGCGACGAAGACACAATATTAATCTCCAGGCTCGATGATTTGGCGGCATGTGACAGATCGTCGAGTGCATTTACTTGCCTGATTGTATGTGATGTAGACCTTTTCGACCATTTTGGATAGCTCGGATGTATTTGACGCCTAGGAATAGTTTGTTAGAGGATGTTCCAACTGTCGGCGAGTTTGTATGCAGACTTACCTCGAGAGAAAAGAAGAAGAGCGCGCGCAGTGAAGCAAAAAAGTGACTTGGAGATGCCGTCGGCTGGCTCGGATGACGCAGCGCTCCGTCCCGTGCGCTCCAAACCTTAATGTCTTGTCGAAGTGCTGCCTATGCCATCCAATGCACTTCACTGCTTTTCACCTCATCTACCACTGGGCCAACTCACGTGTACAAGCCGACGACTTTGAAGAAACATACTGACGACAATGAGAGGAGATATACAAGAATCCATCCTGCACATTGGAGTTGCAACGCACACGACCGCGAGTCTGAGATACCACCTGGAGCAGGTCCCACAGGCAAGCGGATGAAGGCCAGCGTGGACTGACACACTGTTCGACTGCTCCAAACGCTATGCTATTCGGTCTGCGTCAGAACGAGCTGCCATTTGGAAGACACAAGAGCACCTAGACACTTCACACCCAGCTTCCTCATCAATCAACGTCCTAAGACAGCGCTCGAACGGTGGTGCAGTGGCGTGGATGGATATACTGACCGCCAAGTCGTCTTCCACATATGCATCATCGGCGTATCTGGCGCCACTGGTGGCGAAGCTCCTCTGCCGATGTGAGCGAGTCAAAGTGCCTAAGGATCAATTGGCCTTCCAGTCCCGCTCCCTGCATTGGTGTATCTACTCATCGGCGGGTACCACTCGTTCTCGCCCCGGGCGGCCGCTGAGTCGGGTGAGGTAACAATCGGTGCCCGCGATTGCAAAAGCGCGGGCGCCTTACTGACTCCTTCTGGACACGAGCTATGCAAAGCGGAGAAGGATGGCGACCGCCTGTCCCATTTCGAGATGCTATCCGGCTGCCCTGCCCGGAATCGACGGGTTGTTCATTTCATGTACCAACCTCTAGGCCATTTCTCGTCGCACCTTGCTCCCCAAAGACGTACCCGCGTAGGAATTATAGGTGTCCTTAGCAGGGTATCAGGGAGACCGCTCTTCACCCTGCCGATTGCAGACCTTGATGCGCTGGAAAGTCCAGCTGTGGACAAGCACTTCCAAATCGTTGCTCTCAGGCTTTCGTGTGGGCTTGCAGAATTCATCGTCGAGAAGAGATGCCGACATACTGATCAGGCCTATTTGCTCTGGATAGCGAGACAGTAATTGCTGGAGTGACGGTCTCAGCCAACGTGGATTCCGACCAAGTTCCTCGCCAGCGGACCGGCGACATTTCAGACGCTCATTCAGATTGCACTGTCCATAGACGAATGGTGTCTGAGCTCAAGAATGCGCTCGTTCTGACCTACTACAACACCAACAATATGACGTTCGTATCGTGGAGTTTGTTCTCGGCCTGGTGCTCAGATCTTGCATCCATTCAATCCATTTTCGTGCCGCAGGTCAACCAGGATGCTAAATGAGTTCTACAGCCCCCAACCACTACACCAGTCTATGTGCGGCTGTCTCCAATCCCAGTACCGTAAAGGAAGAATCCTCGACTACGTAAAACTCCGAGCCGAGCTTTGTGAGATCTACTGTCGACTTCATCACGCTTCACATTGTTCGGGAATCTTGTGTCGGACATCATCGTCAACACTCTGCGGACGAAGTGCAGCTTCAGTCTCATGTGCATGCCACCAGACTCAGCCGCGACGTGATCGTCTCTCTGAGTGTAGGAGCTCGAGCTCAGCACGATTGACCGCGCCACAAGCTCCCATGTCATTGAGACGCGAACTCGAATAGAAAGTATCACCGCCAAATAATGCCACCGAGCGACTTGTGGTCCTCCTGCTCAACCTACCTCAAATCACAAGCGTCCGTCGGCAATGCCTTGACGCACTTCAATAGCGGGGTCCAATACCTACGACGGACTTGTGTGCTTCAAGCCGAGTCCCATCTCTGCCCTCTTGAACAACAAATGCTTCAATACACGTCAAGGCACGAAAAGGCCACATTAAAGCCCCCGAGCCGCACCGAACAGGTCTGGACGAAGAGAGGAAAGCGAGGACCATCGAACACTCCCATCCAGGGAGCACAGAAGCATCACCAGTACAAAGCTGCCTCAAGACAAGCTGCAATACGTCTAACCAAGCTAGACTGGACTGTAGCCGCTTGCGCACGATAATCAAGGCGTCCATGACTGGATAGACTAGATCCCTGTCGACGAGAATTTCGCAACTAAGCACAGGTCACTCACCACAGTAGTAGTAGGACGCAGACACATACACGATCCAGTGGACTCCGCTCGTCAGCGCACAATGGTCGTCAGCAACAACGACCTGGATGTGGATGTCAACGAAAATGGTCAGCAGGTCAGCAACGACTTAAAAAGTCAACCGAAGCCTCCATCCAACTATGCAACTATCCAACTATGCAACTATCCAACTATCCAACTATCCAACTATCCAACTATCCAACTATCCAACTATCCAACTATCCAACTATCCAACAAGCGACCGAACCACGGTCGAGAAGAAATCGGTAAGAATCTCATCACACTCCCACTCCCACTCCCACTCCCACGACTCGGATTCGGATGCGGACGATCATCTCGAACCGCTTTTCTCATCATCATCATCATCATCAATCACTCACTCCCAAGCCTCATGATGAGATTGGCGACAACCACAAATCACACATCACATGACATTCCGTGTTCCGTGGTCTGAATGATAATTACGGCGCAAACAGCAGACAGAAAGAAAAGGACTACGAAGCCAAGCCGGCACAGCACAAAAGTGTTCCTTCCCGTTATCTATTAAGACTCTCTTCCCGCGCCAGAAAACACTGAAACAAGTCAAACGCTTTTTTTCTCACTTGCCGGACGTTTCTTCTTCATTTCAGAGCCATGGGTGACAGTGTACCGTTGTACGCCTCGTGTTTCGAATAAAGGTCAGACTCTCTCTCACACACACACACACACACACACACACGCACGACGACGACCATGGTACTCGCGCAGCGCGAACGTGGAAAGCTTCCAGTCTTTCGTTCCGTTTCTGGCAAGAAAAAAAAGCTTGGCGCTGCTAGCTGACCACCACCAGCTGAGCTCTCCTCCGCTGCCAAGTGTGAAGGGCGGACTTCGTTCCATTGTCGAACGTTCAATCAACTCTGTAATAATGAGAGAGCGAGAAAGCAAAGCCTGTATGATCATGTCCGTGCAAGGGCAAGGGCAAGGGCAAGGGCAAGGGCAGCGCGGAGTTGCGAAGAATCTCTTTCTTCTCCATGGGGGCGTAAGATGGGATGGGATGCGAGCACGATCATCACACCACTTGTAAGCTACCTACCTTACGACCCAACTTTGACGACGATGATGATGATGATGATGATGATGATGATGATGATGATGATGATGATGATGATGGCGAATCGCATCTGCCGAAGCTGGAGCGCTGTGCTATCTATATCTTGATTCTGATTTGGAGGGGGGAAGGGAAGGGAAGGGAAGAAAGAAAATGAAACCCCCAAGGATCATCAGGCCACAAGACATGACAAATTTCTTTGGGGGGAAATGCTCGTGTAGGGTCGGATGGGAGAGGGGAGAAGAAAAGACATGGCCAGGGTAAGGTAGGGTAGGGTAGGGTAGGGTAGGATACCTACCTCCAGTATGGAGAGCCGGTAATTTACCGTTGGTCTGGGGGACGACATAACGACGATTCGAGGCCTTTTGGGAAACATGATGCCCGGAAAAGAGCTCGATGGGGCGTTATACCAGAGGAGGCGGCGTTCCAGACCACTCCGCCTTACCTGTTCCCTCATCTCACGCTCGTGGGTGCTGTGCTCATCCACGGGCTTTCGGCGAGAGGCATGGATATCGTCGACTGGGGCCGGGAAAAAGTCACACTTCACGAGGCAGTTGTCGATGCAGTTGTTGTCGATGCAAGATTGGACTGTTGGATGACAGAAGTTTCCGGGGAGCGAACGCTGTCGATCGCTTGCTTTTCCAATGCAGTCCCGGTTGGACATTTTCATCTACGCCGACCTCACGTCACCTCCTCTCACCTCTCGCACATGCCGAACGAAGTAACGTGCGCATCAACGACGCCGAGGAGATCGTCGCTGTCTCTCTGTGTGGGAGGAGGTGGTCGTCCAATCGCAACCGTCCAAGTCTTGGGGACATGTTGCATGCCATTCACAGTGATTCGTCGGGCTGCAGATTGTGGGCTAAATTCTACAGCGGGAGGCTTGCATGTTCGAGCTCTGCCCTGTCTGTCATCCACATGTCGTCCGAGCAACTGTGGGGGTTCTTGCAGAAAATGACTCTCTGAAGACCAGTAGTCGGTCGCCAAGGCAACACTCCGGAAGAGGATGGTGGTCTGAGTGGACACGGCCAGATTGTCGACAGCGGGCTCTCTACCATTCGACCCATCAACAGTGCAGTGGCTCTTCGCCAGAGCGGTCTGTTACACCCAAAATGGCTCCATGGCACGGCTGTGCTGAACCTACACTTGTTATTACCGGTCATGCGTAGCGAGGAAGGTGGCCTAGCGAGGAAGATGGCCTAGCGAGGAAGATGGCCTAGCGAGGAAGATGGCCTAGCGAGGAAGATGGCCTATCCCGAGGAGAGGATCAGGACCAGGACTCGCGCTCTGTACCAGCGCACGAGAAATCCAGATGGTGTGTCCTTCTGCCCTACCGACATCACCTCGGCGAGATTCACCACTTGACTGCGGTTGCCGCTGCCGTTCGCTGCCGAGACCAAGCCATGCGTCTGGCACGTGTCAGGAAGACATCAGCCGGGCGACGTGAGGTGGGAGAGATGCGCGGACCACGCACCGCCGCGGAGCACGAGTGTGGTGGTAGGAGTCAGTCTGTCAGCCGTGGCGTCCAGACAAGCGCCTGCCGCCAAGTCACGGGACATGGACTGCAGCAGCACACACGCATGACAGGACGGGAGGAAGACGGGAAGCTACAGACTTCTCCACCAACAGACCGCGTTTCAAGCAGGCAATACCTCACAGCGTGGGCGGGAGAGGGGGTCGGCGGTATGCATCTCTGATTGGTCGTCTGGGGGAATGAAGCAGTGAAGAGCATTTTCCACTTCCGTGAACAACAAGCCGTGAAGGACTGTGAGCAAGGAGGGAGAGACTCGGAGGCTTGAGAGGGTAGTCGGTCATCGAGATGCTCCGATCGTGTGAGACGGGACGCTCGGCGTGCTGCCTGCATCCACGATGGTCGTTAGGCTGGGTTGTTAGCGTGCGCCAAGGGGTCGACGCTCCCCTGCAAAGCATCGTGTGTAGGGAGCACGAGGACGAGGTGGACATCATTATTATTATTATTATCATTATTGGGAGGGTACATGTAGGCAGCAGTAGCGGCGGCGGCAGCGGCAGCGGCATCGGTGACGTGGTCCTGGAGGCGAGAGCAGTTAACAGGAAGTGGCGAGCAGCAGTAGCGGGCAGTAGCGACCAGTAGACCAGTACTGTACCTTCGCGAGCGACAAGACCCTGCAGGCTACGGAGCGCGAGGAAGGAGCGATGCTCTGCTATACGATTACACCATCACACTATAGACGCAAGACAGGGGCACGTGATGAGCATGTATTGTAGTGTACGTGTGTGGTGTCTTGGGTGCGTGCTGCGTGTCTCGGAAGATGACTCAAAACGTCCGCTCGAGCCCGCAGTACGGCGCGGCACTTCCCAACGTTGCGCCCATCCAGCCTATCCAGCGAATCCAGCCATCCAGCGCATCCAGCGCATCCAGCGCATCCATGGGAGAGATGAGTCTACTCGATGGCTGTTCTCGAAGCATGGCGCCGTCGGCAGGGAGGAGTGAGGAAGACACAGGAGGGAGGGAGGAAGGAAGAGATTTCTGCGATACTGGTCACGGCAGCTGATCTTCGTTCAACAAGCGCCGCCAGGCTGATGAGTGCTTCATCTCGCGGAGGCCCAAGTGGCAGGCAGCGAATCAGAGGGGAGCGAGTGCATCAGGATAGAGGGCCGACGATCAGCCAGCATTGGTCCCAAGGGGTAATATTACCGTAATAAGGACAGGGAAGCACCGTGAAGGCATGGTGTGTGCACTCATCTCATCAGTACCCGGGGACGGTATGCGGTACATACTGTACACGTACTTTACCTGCGGTACACTCTACCTGCGGTCCAATGAAAACACACGCCGTCCAGTCCAGGTTCAGGCAAGACAAGAGCACGGGGAGAAGACAAGCTGGAAGGGAAGCTCGGGGCAAGGCTGGATACAGAGGCTAGCGTCTCGCTTGACGAGAGCGATCTTTCCGGAGCGTGCGTGCGTGCGTGCGTGTGCATGTCGGGTGCGTGTGTGCGTGTGTGCGTGTGTGCGTGTGTTGGTGCTGCTGCTGCTGCTGCTGCTGCTGCTGGCTTGGTCCGCGCGCATGCACAAGTCAGGAAAGAGAGTGTCCCGCGGTGATTGGCCCGCCGAGCCCGTCCTCCGCCAATCGTCAATCATCCATCAATGTTGATTCATCATCCATCAATCGTCCGTCAATTGTTGATTATTCATCCATTCATCGATCATTCGTCCATCAATCATTCGCCATCTACCTTCTTCATGGTCTGCGGCGCGGGAAGACGAGTGGTGGTGGAAGGCTCGTATCCCGACGCAGCGGTACAGAGCGCTCTCTCAAGCGCCGAGCGGGCAGGCTCATCATCATCATCATCTCATCAGCGCGTGCTCGACAAAGAAGAGGCCGGCCTGTGCAGCGAGTGCGGCGTCAACCGTCGTGTGCACTGCATTACACAGAGTTTGTGTGTGGTGGCGTCTGGCAGCTACTACTAATTCCGGTGGACCAACGACACGCAAGCACCGGGGCGGCGTCGTACAGGGAGCAGGGAGCAGGGAGCAGGCAACGAAGCAATCAGAATCTTCTCCACGCCAGCGCGAGGCTAGGCTGCGGGCCATGGGTACGTGGGTACGTGCTTGCTTCTTGGCTCCTTCTTGGTGTTTCTCGAAAAGAAAAGAAAAAATAGGTGTGTGGACGGGATGATGGCAGAAAAAGGCTGGGCGCATGCATCGATCGAGGCCTGTGCCGCCTGGGTGCTTGGGTGCGCGCTAGTCCATGCGACGCTCGGCTCCATGACCTGGTCGTGCAGCTCCTGCAGGTCGTGCATGCGCCTAATACTGTAACTTCCAACCGTCCGTCCAGCGCCAGCGCCAGCACTAGCACTAGCACTAGTCCCAGCAGCTCCAGCTCCAGCTCCAGCACCAGCACCAGCATCTCAGCACCAGCACCAGCACCAGCACCAGCACCAGCGCCAGGGATCGCAGAATGTTGCCGCCAACGCTAGCGCACTAGCCCCCGGAGAGATGAGATGTGTCGTTTGGACTTGGAGGACGGCATCTCACAATGAATCTTCTACTCATAATAACATCACCCAGCCTCCATCACCCCAACCTACCTCGCCTCGCCTCACCTTCGACTTATCACCTACCTCCACTACCACGATCATCACCACCACCACCACCACCACCACCACCACAACCTCTCCGCCGACGCACCTCTCCGTGCCCCGTCACACGCCGACCTGCTGCCCGACCCATCCACACCCATCCACACCCATCCACACCCATCCACACCTGTGCTCCTGCCTCCATCCTTCGTGCCTTCCCAGTAACGGAACTCTGTGTGTCCCGCCTTGACTGGGGTCTGCCGGCTTAATCCCCCTCGACTGTATCGCCCCGCCATTGCCTGAACTACATCATCCGTCCGTGCAACCCGCCTCACCTTTTATGAGCCTCATCCACCACCTCCCTTAATCAACAACCACTGCACCCTCACGCGCGCCTTGCGACTCCCCTCCGGTGCTCAACAACCCACGACTCTACGACTCTCTCTCTCTCTCTCTCTCTCTCACTATCTTCGACCACCTCCTCGGACTCCTCTGGACCTACTTCCATTCCCGCGGTCGGCCTAACTCTCCGGACGCTCCTTCCGGACTCTCCTCCTTCCCGGATATCCTTCTTGCCGTTGCCTTTCTTCTTCCATTGCCGGCCCATGAGTCTCTGCCGCCAGTAATCTCGCTCCGTGGAAGGGAACGCGTTGAAACCAGCTCAACTATGCTCCCCACGCCCCCACCATCGCCCAGCCCTCTTGCACTATGCAGTCCGGGGGAGCAGGTCGGTGCCATCTTGGCCGGTAGCATCCAACTCACCGAGGTCATCGGAGTCGGAGCCTATGGGACTGTCTACCGCGCCCGCGACCTCGTGACCAACCTGCCCTACGCTGTCAAGGCCCTTCCCAAGCTCGGACTCGACCCGCGTCAAAAGGCCTTCCAGGACCGAGAGATCAGGCTGCATTACCAGGCCAGCCAGCATCCCAATGTCGTTTCCTTGTTGAAGATTCTCGATAGCCCCGAGTGCACATACGTTGTCCTCGAGTACTGCAAAGAGGGTGACCTGTTTGCCAAAATCACCGAGGATGCCCACTACGTCGGTGACGATTTCAAGGCGAAGCAGGTCTTCTTGCAGCTCATCTCCGCCGTCCAGCATTGCCACTCCAAGGGTATCTACCACCGGGACCTCAAGCCGGAGAACGTGCTGGTGGAGGACAATGGATGGACCGTGAAGCTCGCCGACTTTGGATTGGCCACGCAAGAACGCATCACTTCCGACTATGGATGCGGCTCGACCTTCTACATGTCACCAGGTACGTATCGCCGCCTCACACACGTATCGCCTCACAGCATCCAGCAGCGCTAACATGCTCCTGTAGAGTGCCAGCAATCGAGCCCGAAACCGTTCTCATGCTACGCTTCCGCGCCAAACGACGTCTGGTCCCTCGGAGTCATCCTGGTCAACCTGACGTGTGGACGCAACCCATGGAAGCGCGCATGCCTGGACGACAACACGTTCAAGACCTTCATGCGTGATCGGAACTTCCTGAAGACCATCCTTCCCATCTCCGACGACCTGGACTTCATCCTCCAGCGCATCTTCGACCTCAACCCGCACCATCGTGTCACTTTGGACGAGCTTCGGGACTTGGTCATTCGTTGCCCGAGATTCACGACCCAGGGATCTTCGGCTCCGTCCACGGCGCCTCCCACTCCCCCATACAGCCCCATGAGGCAGCCCGTCGACTCTCCACTCGCGGCCTTTGCTGGTGCTTGCGAGAACGTTCCTCACTTGGACCTGCCGGCCCAGCGATACCCGCCCACGCCACCTCCCGAGTATTACTCACAGCAGCCGCCCCTGATCCTGACGCCTCCTAGCTCTGGGCAGTGCAGCCCACAAGCTTCTGTTTATCCGTTACCACCCAAGCCGGTGGCGCCCGTCGCCTCGTCTGGAAATCTGTTTGCCCATTTCCCGGATCTCCGGCGATGCGGTCAGATGTTCGCCAACTTCAACATGCCAGCGCAACACGCCTGGACTCCTCAGTGCTTTTAATTCATGACCACCACGGCCTACGGCCCTTCTGGACCCACGGCCTAGGACCCCCCCCATTCGATTCACCCATGACGTATATATTCATGCGCGCCGAGGAAGTTTTTGTAAAAGGAGTTTTGCAAAAGGAGTTTTGTTACTACTACCGGGACGACTACAATGACCATGACAATCTGAGCGGTTTTGGTTGCCTGCGAGCGTTGTGTTTTCATCATCCTCTCTCCACCCGATGGAGGAGAATTGTACTAGATACCCACCAAATGTGTTATTGTCGCCGACCAAGGAGGGAAAGTTTGTCATCTGGCACCGGCGTTCGACTTGGAAAGGATTTGGAAACGATATCATGGTGCGCCCCAGTCCGCAGGCCACTGCCCAAAGAGGGGGCACAAAAGGATAGATCAGGGCAGGAAAGGATCTGGAGCATTGCCTCTTCTGGCAACACGAGTGATGAGATTTTACATGACCTGGAAACTTTCTTGTATCCATGAGACCCCAACTCCCAGTGGATTTCCCGGGAAGGGCATACGAGTTTTGCTGTATACTATTATCTATTGAACCTTGTCCGATCCGCGAGACCATCACCTTGGACTTGACACTTTTCACCTCTTGCTTCCCTCGGCTCTCTTCACATCGTAATCGATCCCCACTTCACACATTCCCATCCGCGTCCCTACTCGCAGATCACCATTCCTGAAACGTGGCAAACCGTCCCAAGCTTTTTCTTCCTTCCTGAGTCAATGCCAATAAAAGAAACAAAAAATCGACCCCTCGATGTTTCACGCTGCCCTCCCCTCCCCTCCCCTCCTTATCATCCAGGACTATCCCTCCTCGTCCTGCAACTCTCCCCTCCCCTCCACACTTCCCGGTCACGACGGGTAGGCCCGTCAGGTCAGACACGCAAGACATGGGCGGCAGGAGGTGGAGGGCCCCAGTCTTTTTGTCCGATGGTACCATGTGGTATGCCAAAGACAGGGCGGCGAGGGATTGCCGAGGCAGCCAACCAGATGGATGCATCGTGTACCGTGTGGGTGTGTGGTGTATGCACTTCGCCTCTTTCTGTGTAACCACCACCACCTCCACCTCCACCTCCATTACCACACACCACGACCACAGCTACCTGAAACGAAACAAAACAGCAGCCAGACATTATCTCTATCTACGTAGGTGGGTCGGTCGGCCGTACTTTTACGCCCCGCCGCGCACGCATTCATCAGCATTCAGCATTCCCGCAGTCCCGTTGTTGTCTTCTGTACGACGTACGTAGGATACATGTATGGTAGCTCGGGACGATCAAATCCCCCTCCCAGTCACTCACTCACCAACCAGCAATGATTTTCTTTCTTGGCCTATCTGTGACCAACCAGCAATTATCTTGCTATCACCATCGCATATGAAGATGATATGATTTCAACGTCAGAATACATTCATTCCTTCATTCCGACTTCTCCTTCTTACGAGCATGTGATGATTGTGATTGTGATGCCAGTGTGAGTGAGTTCCATCTCGCTAGGAGTTATCGCCGCCCGCCGTGGATTTCGCCCACCGGTATACATACCTACACGGTACCTACTCTGCCTGCTTTGTCTGCCTTGGACGTCCATCTCGGACGCGTGCATGCGTGGATACCTACTGTTTGATGATTGCAATGCGTGTATTGGTTCCACCTACTCTACGATCGGATCCCGTCTACGAAGGCCAAGGTAGCTAGGTGGTGGTATGTGGTATGTGGCACACCAGACAGACAGCTGTCACTCACTCACTCCCTCCCTCACGTCTCATCTATCATCACCAGAAACAAACGGTACGTCGGCAAGTCTTAAGCGATTTCCTCTGCAGCTAATTTCTACTTTCTGCCTGCAGGATTCGTTGTATACCTAGTATAGTATCCATCCATGTGGATAATAGCTCCCATCCGCACTGCAGCTGCAGAATGGAAGGAGAGACTTGCATGACGTCCCCCACCCTCCCCTTCCGTCTGGGATACACACAGCAGCAGCAGGCCATATGAACTCGCCTGCTACCTCTTCTCTCCTATCGCTCCTCCAGAAACCAACCTCCCGCCTCTTTTTCCATATCTTTGTACGTTGCGTTGCGGTGGCCTCTCTCTCTCCGGTGGCTCGGGAATTCATCACGTTTGCGGTGTTTGCCTCGATAATACGCACGCACCTAGCTAGCTAGCTAGACTCATCGTCAAGGCAGACCAAACGCGGACCATCATCTCTGCGCGGATCGATCATGAGAAGGGCTTTCCGCGCCACTTGACCAGCTTGCTCCACAAGGTCCCTGATCTTTTTGTCGAAGCGAGAGCTTTCCTCCTACTCCGTCCGACTCCTCGTCGAAGATTTCTAGGACTCCAATGCTGCTTTCAAGTGCAGTGCAGTGAGAGAGGAAAAGGAGCCCCGCAGATTGTCAATCGATCGGTTCTATGACCTAGCTTGCTTCCCTCGACGCAGAGAATGTCAACCTCCGTGGCACAAAAGACGAATGGATCGTCTCGGTCGTCGTACCCGTTTCCAATAGAGAGTCTTTCCCGCTATTTTGAGAGTCTGTACAGCATCGTTCAACGCTGGAGTCCGAGAAAAAAAAATCGTCATCAATACTCGACTCGTCTGCGTGGGAGTAGTAGTAGTAGTAGTAGTAGTAGTAGACATGTCGTAGTATGCCAGCACGTACGGACTGCGCGACGACTACGGGCCCATATCGTTAGTGTTCCGCCGGATGAAACTCGTCCCGTCCTATGAAGAGCTTACAACCCTCGAAAGGAGGCCCGGACTTATGCTGCCTATCACCAGAACCGACGATGAGGAGAGCGAGCGGGCCGGCTGGCCATGTCTCCTCGCAGAACCGCTGGAAGATGTCCATACCTGAGACCGCCTTTGCCGCCGCGTACTCCTCCGCAATCAAGGGCACGCGGCTGGCGCTGCTGGACGAGAGACAGTTCTGGCACCTCGCCGTCGTGGTAGCACAGAATGGAAACGAACAGGCATGTCCCCAAAGTGCTCTTCTCTTTTCACGTACGACGCGACCCTCGTTTCGAACCTGAAGAATCGGGCACTCGCAATACGTCGAATGAACGCTGCATCCGTGGTAGCGGGATTGTATCAGCCAGACATCCTTGCAGCCGCCGCCGCCGCCGCCGCCTTGTGCGACTGATTTGATTGATGCCGTTCAGTCGGCCGGGCCGCGTGTTCATCTCTGGAATGCGCCACCAAGACGCGGTGCGAGAGGAAACAGGCGAGTGTGACGATGGCCTCAACTTGACTCGAGCTACTCACGTCAGCACTTCTTGAAGAAGTATCCATCCGTTCACGCCTTGTTTGTAAAAGACTGCTTTGAAATATTGGTCGCACTTCACCTCATGGTCTTTGCAGAAGCCGTTATTGCTGCAAACCTGAGAAATGACGCCAGACCAATACGGACTGAGGATATCGAGGAATGGTTAGCCGTCCACAGAATGCAAAACGGCGATAGAGAACCACGCTGCCAAGACCAGCTGAGGCCGCGACTTTGGGGGGGGGGGGGGACATAGCACGGAGTGAACACCAAGGCTCCAGCGCCTCGGACGACTTGGAGGAGGCGGCGGCGGCTATGGAGCTAGCTTTCGAATTCGTCGAGATTGCCGTGTGTCGCCAAAACCACGGCGTACTTGGAAAGCTGTTCGGGGAAAAAGCAATCATGTGAAGACTGAGCTTCACTGGCCACATGCTTTGAAATTCCTCCCAGTCAACGTATCCTATGGCTTCCAGGCTGTCGCCGGTCGTTCGCACGTAGGGTAAACGTATGTCTTATGTCTTATGTGTCAGAAGAAGCAGTAGCCTACAGCCTTGCATACGCGACAGGATAGCATTCGCCAAAACGGTCCGAAGCAGACCAGGAAATTGTCAAGCGCGACTTTGCACACAGTTCATATCTGTTTTCTACGTGAGCTTGCCTGCTGAGCTACTGCTGAACTGACCGTTTGGGATGATTCACGCTTCCCTAGACCCGCTGGAGTGTTTGATGCAACCATCGATACGCGCAACGCCTTCTCCAACCAACATTCCGCACGCCAACCAACGTCCACCACAATCCCCGTCTCGTTACTTCTCACGGCCACGCACGCAATCAGATTGCTGCGGCGAGTACGAATGCTGTGTGTTCTCTGGATCCTGAGTCGTGCAGCATGGACGAATGTCGATACCTGTGAGCGTCTATACTGCAAAGAATACAAAAGCATCCCGTCCGGGCCCCGCAGTATCATGATGCCAGCTTTCGAGGTATCCTACCATCGGCACCCGCATTCTATCCAGCATGCTGAACAGCAATGGGCCGGAAAGTCGGCGTAGAAGCGACAGAGGTTCTCGGCTTTGTCTGCGCTCCTGGACGGGCAAAGAAGTGGTGATGAAGAGCATCCTTCGGCTTGATGCGCTTGTCTGGATCCAGCTGCAGACACTTGTCCAGCAAGTCGACGAAAGCATGGTGCTCCCTCAACACCTTAGCCTCCATCCGGTTGACGTTACCACTCAGTCGCGACTTGAGGTCTCTACCTGGAAGGCCTTGGCCGAAGTGCATCGGCCGCTGCACCACGTTCCCCGTCATTTTATCCCGCTCCAGGCCGTAGAAGGTGAAGCTATCATCGAAGTACTTATCCGCAAGCTTTGCTCGCTTGATGAGTCGGTTAGGAAGCTTGCCGCGGCACTCCTGGATCACTCGCAGCATGTTGTTATTATCCGAGCCATTGAAGAGAATTCGGCCCGCGTAGAGCTCGTAGAGCGTGCATCCGATAGCCCACATGTCAATGGCGTAGTCAAAGTCCATCCCCAGAATGACTTCTGGTGCACGATAGAAGCGCGAGACGAGATACGGCGTCAGCTCCGCGTCTTGCTGCAGAGTCGCAGTACCAAAATCACAAATCTTGATGAACGTGCGCTTCTCGTTGATCAGGATGTTGTCGGGCTTCAAATCTGCGTGCAGGACCTCCGCGCTCTTCATCAGCAACAGCGACTGGAACATCTGGTATGCGTACATCTTGACAGCCTCCAAGTTGATGCCGACATCCCGCCCAAATTTCTTCAGCACCTCACGCAAGTCCATATGAAGGCCTTCGAAGACCAAGCAAAGATGGCCTTTATGCATGAAGTTACCGAGGAGCCGCACAATGTGCCGCTTGTCCTCAGGATCCTTCTCGTTGAGGCGCTCGACGAAATGCATCTCCTTTTGTCCCGCCTTGAACATCGTGTCGTTCCTGCAGGCAATCTTGATAGCAACTTTACTCCCAGTCTTGGCGTCGCGCGCTCGCACCACTGTCGCAAATGTTCCCTTGCCAACTTGTTGCTCGACCGCATATCTGCCATCCAGAAGCTCACCATTGATGATGCGGTAGTGGCCGTCAGGATAGTCCCAGTTGTCCAGGAGGCTCTCGTCGAGGGCACGGGCTTGCTTCGACGCGTCGCGATCCGCCGGCAGCTCCTCCGCCGCAAACATGTCGATGTCGTCTTCGGCAAACATGTCGAATTCATCTGCAGACTTCTTGTCCTTGTTGGCGTTGTTTGAGGAAGCTTCGTCCTCTGGCGCGAGTTGGGTTGCCATCTCCTGAATAACATCTTGGCGTTTGAAGTCCGGCCTGTCTTCGTCCATGTCCTGGGCCGGGTCGTAATCCGCGGCGGCCTGACCCTGGTCGTCAGTTGCCGCATTTACTTGAAGAGGATTCACCAGATCCTCGTCTTTCATTCCAGTAAGCTCGGCAGGCGAGGCTGGAGCTGATGAGCTATCCCTTGGAGTACCCGGTGAGTTTGCGGAAGACGGCGGAGAGTTTGCTCCAGGGCCGTCGCCCTCGTTGCTTGGGGTTGGGTCAGCCGAAGGTAGGTTGGATTCCAAAGTCGCGCGAAGTAGAGAGTCGTTTGCAGACGTTGCCGCATGCTTCTTCCTAATTGCCTCACGCTTCTTGCGGCGTTGCTCGATTAGTTCAGCTTCTGTAAGCTTCTTCTCCGGCTCTGCACTCTCCGCTTGTTGACTGTACGAGACGGTTTCAGTTTGCGGTACGCATGCGGTCTCAAATGACTTGACTGACCTTGCCTGGCTGGCTTCATCCGCGACCGGTGGCTGCTGTTCTACATGTGGTGTCGACTTAGTAATGACCTTTCCATTCGAAGGCTGTGGAATGGACTCGCGTTGTGCGTAAGGCAGATTTGCACGCCCGCTTCCCGCCTCCACTTGACCAGCGTGTCCGGCTCTGCTGTGAGGTCGTTCATTCGCCATCGGTGCTCGATAAGGTGATCGGCTACGGTCGCGGTTGCGCTCGCCGTGAGAGTCACGGGTACTGGCACGGTCTCGTTCGCGTCTGTCGCTGTGCGCAGGGCCATGATCGACTTGGGAAGGCCGATCAGGATCGCGATAGCTGCCGTGCCCATGGCCGCGTCCCGGTTTGTCCTCGTACACCTTGTGACGTCGCGGATCTGACGTGCCCTTGCCGTAGTGGTCCTCCTGTCGCCGCCGCTTCTCCCCCTTTCCATCTCTGTCTGCGCGATACGGCGATCTCGAGCGCGAGCGATCACGGCGGTATGGCGACCTGGAGCGGTCACGGGTCCTGACGTGGTCGTGGTCTCCAAAATGGGATTTCCTGTCGTTCATCAACGCCTCACGGCCGGAAGGTCGCGAAGATCGAGATGAAGACGCGAGTCTGACGGACGAATCAACATCGGTGTTTTTGCGGTGAGGTGCGTATTTTGTAACCTTCTCCCCGTCCTCGCTGATCTCGCCCTCACTGAGCGGCGACTGCGAGCGCGGGCTCATCTTGCCGGCCCCGACTGACTGCGTGGCGCACCAAGAAGACGACGCCCTGCCCGAGAGTAGTAGAAAGTGTTAGCAGATCACGTTCCGTCTGAGAATGTGTTGGCGCCAGTTCGCAACACAGAACCGGTGGACGATGTTCTCACAGGCTGATGTGTGCGCAGCTGAGGTGGACGGATGGGTAGCTGTGCGGTCTCACCAGCAGCGACGCTGGCGACGAGGTATGTGACGTGAAGATGAAGAAGCTGCAGTGCCGTGTGTCGATTGCGACTGAGAGAGTGGAAGGATGAAGTTGCAGTGTCGAAGTTGCGGCCTGCCGGTGCGTCGCATCGCATCTGCGGGGCGGGGAATTCCGGACGAACAGTTTTGACCCACACGTGACTGTGGTCAGAAGTCGATGCATGGATTCGAGTTAGGGAGTGCGTTGTCGCGGAGTGATCATTGATGTTGGTGCGAGGATCACGTACAGTACAAAGGTAGTGATGTTGTAGTATGCGCATAGAAGATGAGTGATGATACACAATAGACAGAGCTCGCTTCCATGCCGCACAACGCTACAAGTAAGTAATGCAAAAGAGAAAATGCCCAGAATCGCCGGATCAATCCATTCGTTCGTTCTCCTGTCCACCGAGAGACCAACTCTTGCGCACAAACCCCTTCACCTGCCTTGCCTATCCCAGCCAGTCATCCAACAACGCCACTCCACAAGCTTTCCTTGGCCCATTCACTTGGCCATCCATCCCCATTATCGTCCCCAGCGAGTCAGGCGATCTCATCCTCGCCTCTCACAGCGCCTTGACTGGCAGGCAACCGGTCTCTCAGCCACCTCAGCGTCGCCTCTGTTCCCTTGCCTAAGACGTGGTAATTGGGGACGCGGAAAGCATTGGCACCGATTTCCAGACTCCTTAAGCCTTCCTCCCAGAGAAGCCCGACCTCTGCAGGTAGTTGTGCGATATCATTACTCGACAAGTTGACGGTGATCAGGCCCCGAAGAGTGTTCGCGGAGATGGATGAAATTCTATTGTCGTACGCGAAAAGAGTCGTAAGGAGTGGATAGGTCTCCTTGAGAGCCGGCAAAGGACCGGTAAGACGATTCGCACTGACGTTGAGAGTGGTCAGATTGGGCGCCTGAAGCTGCGCAATGAGAGGCTCGAACGACGCAAGCCGGCACTTGGAAAGATTCAATTCCTGCAGTTCTGGCAGCTGTAGTTCCTCGGAAAGGTAGTCCGAACTCATGATGTTGCATGACAGATCCAATACGCGCAGTTTCTGGGCCATCCAGAGCGCTGGCGGAATGCAGGTGATGTGATTCGAATGTAGGTCGATCTTTATGGCTTCGTTGCTGTTGAGAAAGGAGCCGAGCTGGTCGTTCAAATCATCACATAGGTCCTCGGAAGCGAGATCGAGGACTCTCCCGTTCTTCAAAGACCACATCGACGAGGGGCAGTCTGAGTCGCCAATGACGGTCACCGGACTAGTCGGTTCTTCCACGCCTGCGAGCTCCTCTGGTGCGAGTCTGGATCTCAGATCGCGCTTAATGTCAGCCGCACTCATGGTCAAAAACTTCTTCTCCCGCAACGGGTTAGAGGCCAAGATGAGGAACTCCAAGCTATCCATCATTCCAATCGCAGGATCCAGAAGACGTATCTCGTTGCTCGTGAAGTTGGCGTTCCGTAGCTTTTGCAAGCCCGTGAAACCTACTGGAAACTCCGCAATCTTGTTATCGCCGACAGCGAGCGTAATGAGCTCTCTCCAGCCCGTCGTATCTGGAAGTGCTTCCAGGTGGTTGTTTGTCAAGTTCAGGCTAGTCAGGTGAGGCATGTTCAGGAACGGCGTGAAACACAATGCTGCGAGGGAGTTGTTGGCTGCATTGAGGACCTGCAATGTCGGATGGCCATCCACGTTGCTTCCAAGTGGGAAGATCGAAGCTATGAGAGCGTTGTTGCTTGCATCGAGCTCCACCAGTGGCAATGTATGCAAAGCATCCATCGGCAACGCAGTCAGTTGATTCCCAGAGACATTCAAAACTTTGATGTTAACGAGATCACGCAGCACTTCCGGCAGACTCAACAGACGATTATTTTGCAGGTCCAGTGTTTCCAGATTCGACAACTCGCACAGTTTTAGAGGCACCGCTCCGCTCAGGTTGTTGTGACCAAGGCGAAGGTCTTTGAGTGTCTTGATTTGAGAGATGACATCTGCACAATCGTTGTCCAGCTTGTTATGGGAGAGGTTGAGACTCGTGAGCCTTTCCAAACGCCGCAAGCCCATTGGCAAGGATACAAGTGAGTTGTTGTGGAGGTCCAGTACGGTCAGCCCGCCGAACTGATTGCCCTCGGTCTGGTCATCCGCAGCCAGCTGATCCGGTGAGAGGTCTGGAAAGACTGCGTCTTCGAGGACCTCGAACTCGTTATCGGCCGCAATGAATTTGACGAGATCAATCACTTCTGCCCAGTTGACTTTGCTTTCCTCCATTGCGGCCGAGCTATACATCGAGCGAACTTCATCCGGTATTTGCTTCAGGCCCAGTGCAGCAATGTTCAGCCTACCATCCGTTCGTGCGGCGTTGATGCGATTTCTCAGAATGTGTTTCTCGTCCTTCGGTGCTTGATTGAATGGATCAGAATGCAAGTCCTCCTCAAATGGCGCGCCATCCTCAACCGCAGTCGACTCCTGTGGGGAGTCATGCGCCGCTTCCTTTTGCGTTCGCGCGGCTGCCTTTGCCGCCGCAATCTGTTCTCGTAATGCAGCTGATGAATTCGAAACAGCTTGTTTTGGCTCAGCCGACGGTGCTGCTGCTTTGGTATCGTTTGTCTCCTGCCAAGAAGGAGAAGCGAACGCCTCGCCTAGCTGAGGTCTGGGCTTCCTCGGCCTCGAGGTAGCAGCCGGTCTGGTTCCAGATGATAGCTTCGGGCCAGTGCCCATGGCCTGCGTGGTGGTGGGCTTCTTCGCGGGCGATGCACGCTGAGAGGCTGTCCTGACTTCCTGAAGCTTGCTCGTGAGGCCGCCGCTTATGCTCCTGCGAGTAGAGCTTCCAGACCCAAGACTGGGCAATCTCGAAGCAATCCGCGTGGTTGGCTGGGCAGTAGCAGGTATCTTCTTTCCAGGCGAAGCTGACCTGCCAAGCGGCTTTGGGAACGTGCCATCGCTAGTGCCGGGCCGACTTCGACTGCCATTTCTACTGCTCAGACTGGAGCCCGGGCGCGGTGGCGGGCCCATTGGACTCTCCGGTGGGTTGAAGAAGCTGGAGCGCCTCCGCTCTTTGGGCGTGAGGGGGATGCTCTGCAGACTCTCCAGGGTCCGGTGGGAGAGTGAAGGCCGGGAACCATCTCGCCCTCGCGCTTCACTGGATTCACTCGGGTCATACACCTCGTCAGGCGAGGCGAGGGGCGGCGACTCAAGGGCATTGGAATGGAAACCTTGCTGAGAGGCAGAACGGAAGCTGTCGAGGGAAGTCAATTGGTCGATGTGCTCTTCATCCTCTCCATTGATCTGGATCTTGGTCGGAGGGGCGGAAACCTGTCGTTTCTGAGGCTTCACTAGCGAACGGTTGGAAAGTGATGTAGTTGTGACAGTCGTTGACGTCTTGGCAACTGGCTTGGGTGCAGCGGGAAGGTTTGTCCGAGAGGCAACCGGTTTGGCTGAAGGAGCTCTGGTGGTCGGTTTGTTGGGAGGGGTCAGCGAAGAAGTCGAGGCACGTTTAGCCAGTCTGGGCGCTCTATTGGGTGGGTTGAGAGATGGCGGGGCGAGATTGGCGAATCGAGGTGGTTGTGGTTGTGGTTGTGGCTGTGGTGGTGGTTGTTGTTGTGGTGGTGCTGGTGCTTGTGCTGGTCGCGGCTTCGGCAGCTTGGAGAGGCGCGGAAGTCCCGAGGGTTTGCTCGCGTTGCCGGATGTACATGTATCCATGTTGACACCTGCCAACAGACTGCGCTGTGCTGATCAGTGGCGGGGCCTCGCGTGTGCCGTGTCGATCGCCAGCAAATCCAGCAACAATACCAATGGACCGCATGCACACGAGTCGTTGGAGGAGTCGTTGGAGGGAGCAGCGAGCAGCAAGGAAGTGGTGGAAGCAGGGCAGGATAGCAATTCATGGGCAGGGGGGTAGTCGGGATTATTACGCGGAGCGGGGCGTGCCGTCCGTCGTGTTGCTCCTCGTGACAGCCGCCTCCGTCGATCGGCTCCTCCAGCCTCGCACTTCTCACGGCATCCTCCATCCCATCCACCTCCAATCCCGCCTCTTGCGGTCCGGTCTGTATGCCATCCGCCGTCCACATCCATCCTACCCGCCCCAACCATCCTCCAAACCACCTGCATTGCGGTCCCCTCTTCCACCTTGCGTGCCGCCCTCGCGACGCCGAGAACGACCTTGCAGCCGACATAGCGACCACTTGCTCCCACCGCCGCACATAAAGTGCGACTGATTGTCGCTCATTCCGTGGCTACACTACATGTACGCCGCTCGCGCGCCCTGTACACTGCCCGATATGGACTCGCAACGATTGTCGCAAGAGCCGCTGGACTCGTTGATTGCCCCGCCCGACATCAGCCTGCCCACCACTCCCGACCCACCGCACGCAGATATCCCCCAGGGCACCGCGCTCGCCGTCAACAAGGCTCAAGCTGCGCGGGTGGAGGATGCGACGGCCGGCAACATGACACCACCTCCTTCTACACAGGTTCCGCCTTCCAATCGAACCAAGACTCGGACACCTACCCCGCCTGTGTCCCACATCTCAACCCCACCACCGACCGTGGAAGGCGCTGCTCCTTCTCAAGGAAGTCGCATTGGAGGAGCTATCGTGGCTTCCATGACGGATGCTGATCTGGACGCCGCGACCCCAGAGGACTTGAAGAAGAAGATCACCGAGCTGCAGGCGGCCATGCACGAGGCCAAGATGTCCGCCGCCCACCACAAGCTGCAATACCAGATGCTGTCTCAGGAGAGCCGCGCTGCCATCGAGCGCATGACTGTGGAGGCTCGCATGGCTCAGACAGAGAACGATGTCATTCAACATGCAGAGCAAGCCAGAGCTGCTGCCACACCCGCCCAGCCCTCTCACCAAGACGGCATCATACCCGTGCACCGAGATCTGTACCAGAGGATGATTCGCGATATTCACCTGCTGCGGGAAGCCAACGCGGAATGGAAGGCCGAATGCGACCGCAGGGACGCCATAGTCGAGCGTCAAGACAATGAGATTGCGAGCTTGACTGACAAGGTCACCCTGATGCGCGAGCGGATCCGAGACAACAGAGACCACCTGCAGAGATACAGGATGAGACACGCACCATCTTCGCGAGTGGACGCTACGCCGCGATCAACATACTACGGCACTCCGCACCGCGGTCACGCCAGCAGCCAAGCCCAGTCACAACCCTTCGCCGCCCTCCTCCAGGCCTCTGAAATGGCCAGTCAGGAATCGGCAAGAGCAGGAGGACGGGGCACATCGAGCAAGAACCCCGGTCATGTGCGGAACACGCACAGTACCTCCTCGCTGCCGTCCACTCCACAGCGAGTGCAAAAGGTGCCATCTTCGACCCCGCAAGGCCGCAACCAGCCGCTCAAGATTCCTTCAACCGCGCCAATGCCACGCACGAGCGCCCTTCGCACGCCAGACGTCTACAAGCAACCGTCGCTGCCAGTCTCTCAGACTTCGCAACCAGCCGCGCCACAATCAGAGGGCACCGTCAGCGCTTCTGACCGGGAGGAGGAAAACGACAGCGAGGCGGAGACGGACATTCTCGAGCCGGACGTAGAGGTTGGGCAGTCGCAGGCTTCACTTAGGGCATCGCAGATGCTACGCTCAAGTCAGGAGGAACGGCATGTCAAGGCGAGCTCCCAGGCCAGAGGCATGCTGAAAGAGACTGGAGGGGAAAATCTAAGACAGACTAAACTCTTCGGCACTGTGCGCAAGGCTAATGTGGACAGGAGTCAGGAGCCGCCTGCCAAGAGAGCGAGGACAGGGGAGTCTGCTGTCGGACTAGGCATTGCGGGCGTAAGGCACTAGAGCATGCCTCGCCTGGAGAATTGTAGACCTCTGTAAGCTTTGGCGTGATTGTATCAACGCGTCTGTCCCTCTTCTCTGCACTGCGATTATCAGATGATTCCTCAGCTAGACGCCTCATTTCACATGGGCTGTCACAAGCAGCGCGAATAGTCGGACACCTCATTTCACATGGACTGTCACAAGCAGCGCGAAGCACATGCCACGCGCGAAAACAAAAAGGCAGGGCTTTTCCTTTCGTTCTGTTTCAACTGCTTCAGACGACACCGACAGCACCCACGCAGAAGACAACACACTCATCTCCCCATACGATATCCACCATGGAGTCCATCACCAACCCACAATACGACGAGCGTCACTACGCCCTCTTCCCCCCCAACTCCGCCAAACCCTCGGCAGAACCCACGAGTCCCTCCAGGCGGCTTCCTCTCCGAGCCAAACAATTGGCCAGTCGCTGCGAAGGGCTTCAAGCTCTACACGTGGGAGCATGGTTTCCGGCCCCCGCGGGCAGACCCCAAGACCGGTATCTCACCACACCCAAAGTCCGTCGACGACGTGTGGAAGATGGGCCCAGCGCAACTCCCTAAGCTCCAAGAGGAGGACACCTGGGAGCACGAGGCGGGCATGATGAAGATCGACATGTGGAGAGAGACTTGGGAACATCTCCTCGAGTGCGTCGTCCTGATGGCGTCCTACAGAGCTCAGCTAATACACCTCTCTAGTCCCAAGTCCAAGTGCACAGTGCGCGATGGATGGTGCGTGAATGCGGCTTGCCGGCCAGGCTGGAAACTGCAGCGTCCGTCAGACCATCCAGTCTACCAGAAGAAGGATGACGGGGAGGGTTCAGACTCTGGAAACAAGGTAGACCAACACTGCGCACATGCCGGTACCGTTCGCTGACCTGCTCTGCAACAGAAGAAGCCGGCCCCTTCCAGAGGTAGAAAGCGCGGCGCTGCTGCAATGGCCAGCGGTGAGACGCCCGCTAAGAAGGTGAGTCCCCGGCGATGTTCGTACAGGATGTGAAGTCTTGCTAAGTTTGAGCAGACCAAGACCGCGACGTCGACCAAGTCCACTGCGTCTAAGCGCAAAGAGGCAGAAGCTGGCAAGGGCAAGGGCAAGGAAGCAATTGTCTCGGGACAGGAGATTGATCCTAGGGATACCGGTAGCTTGTGAGGGGGACGAGACCGGTAGCTTGTGGGGGACGAGACCGGTACCTTAGCTTGTGGGGGACAAGACCGGTACCTTAGCTTGTGGGGGACGAGACCGGTACCTTAGCTTGTGAGGGGACGAGACTGCTCCGGGGGAGGGGGGTTCCTCTTTGACAACTACGACTGCGGCTGCTAAAAGTTCTGCTTTCTCTACGGCTACTTTCTACGGCTACTACGACAGGCAACGACCTATTGCATAGATAGAAAAGCAGTCCACATTGTAGTTTAATGCCTGTGCCATGTTGGAGCAAGGAGCTGGTCAGAGGATCTGAACAGTTACACGGCGAGATATCGATACTTGTATGCGCGCTGAAGCCGAGGGCGTAGATTCACATGCGGCAGACAGACCGGTCATACACAAGATGAGGTGGCACTGAAATCGGGAGGAGCAGAGTGGGGGTATGACTGGTTTTTATTCTATCTACAAAGAAGGGAACAAAGCCAAGAAATGGTACCCTCCTCGCTCGCCCATATGGCTAAAGTACGTCTTAGCTCAGAGGATGGGTTGCTGGAGTGAAGAGGCAGAGACTCGCTCATTCGAGGAGTGGTCGTAAGATGTGGTTGTCTCGTGTTGGAATTGGGGAAAGTGTCGTGGTGATGGGCTGTATTGGTGTGCTGGGACGGGTGAACTGAGTGTCGTGGTGATGGTGAACTGTCGAGGTGAGGGATCGATCAAACAGACGGCCGCCGATTGGGATAGGATTGTCCGAAATGAGCTGCTGCTGAGACATCGGACGTGCATGAAAAGGCCAAGACTGGTTTTTATAGTGTTGGTCCCAGGTCAGGGTCAGATGTAAGGATGCTGCTCGTCCTCTCCGTCGTCCTCGCCACGAAGACCAGACTCCGTGTACGTTCCAGATGCGGTCGCATCTGGGGCGAGAACACCAGTACTAGACACGACGCCGGCCTCATGGAGAGCCTCCACGAATGGATCGACTCTCTTGCGAGTGAGATCCTTCTGAACGTAGCGAAACGGCCACCAGATCAAGCTGCCGTAGTTGTTGGTGATTGCTCCGAAGCTGTCGTGCAGATAGCGAGTGCCCAGGCCCAGACTCAATGGCTCGTAGGTGCATTCCCATTCTGCCCGAGCGACCGAGACGAACTGGTCGATATCTCCACGGGCGAGGCTAGCAAAGGCAGCGTCTGGCGAGACCAGTTTGAGGAACTCAGGGTTGGAGAGGATACGGGTGTCGAAGGAATGGAGGCACTCATGTCGGATGGTGCTGAATGTGCTAGCGGCGGGATCGGAGGAGGCTGCGTGGCTCCCCTGAATGTTCTCCTGAAAGTAGTCGACGTCCAGAACGAAGGCCAGGCAATCACCCTGTGTCGTATGGATGAATAGAAGCTCCAAGACCTCGCCGAAGTAGCCGTCGTCGTCGTAGTCGGCCTGAACAGCAGCCTTCTCGAATTGGACGGTTCCAATACGAATGAACGGGCCCCAGTTGGAATGCTCGCGAGGGAGAACGTCCAAGCCACGTGGGTGCTGGATGATGGTTAGTCTACCAGAAAGAGGACATGCAGCAGGGAATACCTACCACGTTGGGTGTGATGCTGTCGGCGACCGGTTCCTGGGCGTGGCGCTCTTCCTGCGCGGCGAATGCCTCGCGACCTGCTCTCTCCAGCCGCAGCAAACCGGAAGTATGACCAATCGCAGCGAGTCGACGATTCTTGCGCGAGCCCTCGAGCGCTTCAGCGCGCGTGAGACCAGTACGAACAGTCAGATAACACAGAGTCGGCGAGACCATGCCGCGTCCAAGGACATCCATTACAGCATGCAGCGAGCGTATACACAGCTCCAGTCTCTGTTCGAGGAGAGAGGCCTCAAACTGACCGATAGCACCGACATCACCGCTACCGGTCTACTGAGATCCGTTGGTGTGCAGGCTGTCGATCAGATGGTCCTCGTGGAGGAGGAATGGCGCGCGAAGGTTGGTGCAGTCCGAGCTCAAGCCGCCTCGAACCAGGCCGAGGCGGAGCTTGAGAACCATAAGCTGCGGAGGGAGAAAAACGTTTGGGATCGCAGATGTGACTTCTTACAAACGAAGCTGGACGAGATCGAAAGCGCAAAGGGTATTGTGGACACCGCCTTGATGCAGCGTGATACCAGTTTGGAAGCTCTTCGTTCCGAAGTTCGAGATGCAAACTCCACGAACGAGGATTTGCAGACCAAATTGAACGAGGTCGAAAGCGCGAGAGATCATGCGAAAGATGATGTGATGCAGCGCGAGACCGATTTGGAGGCTCTCCGTTCCGAAAAGGATACCAAAATCAGTCGACTCGAAACAGAGAATGCAACGCTGCAAGCCGACGTTACTCGTCTTACCACCGAGAAGGAGACACTCGAAGCTCAGATACGGAACGGCACATTGCTATCGGAGGAGAAAGACACTCGAATTGCGGACCTCGAGACTGGGATTCGGGACTTGCGAGCCGAGAACAAGGCCTCCTCTGACACCTCTATCGAGAAGGACTCCCAGATCGCGGACCTCAAGACCGAGATTCAGGACTTGCAGGCCAAGAACAAGGCCGTCTCCGACACCTCTACTGAGCAAGACTCTCAGATTGTAGACCTCAACACCAAGGTCCGGGACTTGCGAGCCGAGAACAAGGCCTTCTCTGACACCTCCATCGAGAAGGACTCCCAGATCGCGGACCTCAAGACCGAGATTCAGGACTTGCAGGCCAAGAACAAGGCCGTCTTCGACACCTCTACCGAGCAAGACTCTCAGATTGTGGACCTTAACACCAAGGTTCAGGACTTGCAAGCCAAGAACAAGACCGTCTCTAACACTTCCATCGAGAAGGACTCTCAGATTATGGACCTCAAGACCGAGATCCAGGACTTGCAAGCCAAGAACAAGGCCGTCTCTGACACCTCTACTGAGAAGGACTCCCAGATCGCGGATATGACGGAGCAACTGCGTCTGGTGAATGAGGATGTGACACAACTTCAGACCAGTAACGCAGACCTGAACAGTAATGCGAGCGCACAGCAGTCCCTCGTCGAATGCAAGACGCAGCAGCTTGAGGCTATCGGTCGCATCACAAGAGAGATCCTCGTCGCCCTCCACCCGGAGCAGCTCCCGCCGTATAGAGACAATATCGAAGATATGGAGATGCTCCGCAAAGAGGTCTTAGGCTTGGAAAAGGCTGCCTGGGCAGCCCACGACGCCCTTGAAGCAACGTGGGAACAGAAGAAGTCGTAGGAAGAGTTTTTTTATATAGATGGCTCCGAAGTTCCTTACTATGGCTGCCCAGTTCGAGGACCTGATCGTCCGCTGCGAAAAGGGAATACCTCACCTAGCCGCGACAGCTCGGATTGCTCTGGAGACAATTCGACGCGAGTAGGCTTAGAAGCGTCCGGATAGAGATAGGGATCCAGGAGCACGCAAGAGACAGAACCGGTCGGGCGATGGAGGACAGTGACTACACCGGTTTTGACTACTTCCTGTTTCATTCCGCCTGCGGAAATTACGTCCTGCATCACCTTACCCGCGGGGGTTGCGTCCTACTTCAAAGTCGATGGTACAATGTAAGAGACACAACAGCAGTGTCTAGGCATTACCGCTAACACCTGCGAGCAGATTACAATACCAGTTTTACTACGACGCATGATTATAAAGGGTATACAATGATGGAACGAGAATGCCTCGCCCGCGGGAACTACTGTTGGGGCTCAGATGTAATGTTTAGTGGCGAGCAAAGTCGATCGTGTAGTGTGGGAGACATAGCATTTAGTGGCAAGCAAATCGATAATGGGTATGCTTAATGTGCTTGCTGCACTGTCCATACCACCTCCATCTCAGAGGCAATCTAAGGTGATGGCGGTGCGGAGTCCGTACGATTGACGTCCTGGGAGCCCCGCGCTGGGAGGAGAAGAGCCCGATAGGCCCTTGTCGGTGGTGCCTTTGCTAAGAAGGCGGCGGCGACGGTTCTCTAACAGTTTATACCCGGCCTCGAGGGGCTGGAGGGCCATGGTGTTGTCGAGGACGTTGAGACCGATTGCAGAGAGAGCTTCCATTATCTCTTCGCGCAAGTCCTCCATCTGCGACCGAGATTCAGTCATGTCACGGGGTATGAAAGCACAGGAGGTGAAGTCACTGCAAGTCCCGTTTTGTACTAGTGGCAACCTATTCTAATGTGGGGACAGAACCTCTCAACTAGGTAAGGTACCTAGTATCTTCAACCCCACTGCATTCTTCGTCCCCCGCTCTACCTACCACCTTGCACCGCCTTGATCAATGCCAACGGGCACGTTGCACTCTACGACAAATTCGAGTACGTCCCACGACAAATTCGAGCACCATCGGCCCACTCGCGATGTCGCATGGAAAACCTAAGACCGATTGGCGAGCCAGCTGCCATCATGCACCTTTGACTTCAGCATGCCCAACTCCTCGTTGGTGATGACACCCTGCCCAACCGCCAGCTCACACGCATAGATGTAACACGGTCTTGCCCGTCGAAACATGTCTTTGTCGGTGATGGCTTCGCCGCTTAGGACAGAGCGTCCGAACAGAGGCGGCGCGCGGAACGCCAGGAAGCGGGCCACTTCGATGTGGAGGTGGGTACTGATCGCTGTCTTCGAGTCCAACTTGTCGCTGTCGATTCGCTAGGCATCGGCTTTCAGGCGCTGTAGGTGGTGCATAAGAATACCGGTTCCATGGTCGCTAGCTACTGCCTATACTATGGTCGCCGCCAAAGATGGAGTCCTCTTCTCCACGTGCAAGATTACCCCATATGATTACCCCATGTAATATCATTACATCAACAGCAACAGAACCGGTTCTGCGGCGCATGTCCCGTGGTCACCGATGGCCGTATCCTCCTGCCCTGGCCAATGCCCGGCCAACGATGCTTCGGCCAATGTCCTTCCATGGCGTCTCACTGCCACACCGGAATACCGAAATCCCTGGCACGAGCTGGCTGGTCCGTCTATAGATAGGTGAGTCGGTTAGTGTTCAGACCGATCTGGTTAATAAAGCACGCCGGCTTGTCGACGCTGAAAACCTTTGCCCCTACGCTATCCGCGCGAGCAGATAGCCAGAACTCTTCTAGTAGTAGCCGTACGTATACGGCCCTATACGGCGTGACCGTGAAGCAGGGGCGTTGCTTATTCGTGCACGTTTTGCATGCGTAGAGGCCTATGCAATGCAGCGTATTAGCTAATACTTACTCTTAGCTAGGATAACCTATCGATTCCGTACCTGCATCTTTTATAGACTAGAAGTACTTAGAGTTGTTAATATGCGACGCTGCATAGCGATAGTTGTTAGCTATTACATTAAGATATCGGTCTCCGGACGCTTGCTTCGCCTGTATAGACAGTCAGTTAGCTGACTAAATAGACACATCTCGAACAAGGGCCCCGTACCTTAAGCAGCTCCTCCGACACTTGTTCGTATACTTCCTCGGGACATTAAGGGTTTAGGCAGCGAGTCGTCGGATCTACTACGCTAGCATCGACCCGAATTACGTCGTCGTCGTCGTCGTCCTCGTCCTAATCCCCGTTGTCGGATAACACGGAGTCCTAGAGCCTAGTACTAAGTTAGAAAGTAAGAACCAGTTCGGCGCGACTCGGCTTACTTTATAATATTATTGTTGCTTCCCCTAGGTTGCCTAGGAGTCTGTCTCTGCGCTAACGAAACGTCTAGCGTTATCTAGGGTTGTGCTCCCTCGATAGTACTAGTGAACTGCTTATATGCGATATCTAGGTCGCGCTGTAGCTGTCGAACACGCTCGTCCGCTTGTCGAACACGCTCTTCCGCCCGCTAAGCACGCTCTTCCGCCTGCCGAGTACGATTATCCGTGTGCCGAACACGCCTTTCGGCCTGTCGAACACGCTCTTCCGTCTACCGCGTACGCTCTTCCGTCTGCCGAGCATGCTCGTATAAGAAGTCGTCCTACTAGCGGGACATAGCGGCGATATTCTTATCGTCTTTTTTGTACGGAGGCGTTGTATCTAGGCATTAGCGGAGTGTAGTTACGCTCTATAGTGCCTTTGAACCGGTCTCGTAGCTCGCGGAATGCGTCGTCTAAGGGCTCGGTCGTGTCTCTAAGCAGGCTAAACATCCGTTAGTATGTATACGAAGACACTATAGTTAGGAAACTTCACTTAGCGAGTACGGTCTCTACGGGACGCCGCGGCCCCTCTCTAGCTTAGTCGGCTATGCGGGCTATGCTACAGTTAATACCGGTAGGTAGTGTAGTTAGTAGGTTGGTAGTAAGGTAGGAAGGTAGGTAGTGAATTTCTTATCCGTATGCCGAGTCGCGACATGCCGAACGGCGGCAGGATAAGTCTTACTACCGGGAACCCCGCTCGTGCCTATTACGCGTAAGGTAGGTACTACCTGCATTCGGTCATACCGCCTCGTCGCGGTAAGTGCTTGTTCCCCGCCTTAATACGTTATTATTAGAGGCGTTATTATTAGAGGCGTTATTATTAGAGGCGTTATTCTCGAAGACGTTGTTCTAGTATAGTTATATGTCGGCAATAGTGAAGCGTTAACGGTGGACCGGCAGCGCTGTCAGCTGCTCTCGCATCTAATAGACGAAAGCTAGAAGTCCCTTCCTAATTAGGAAGGTACGACCCAGCCCTGTCTCGCTTATCAAACTTTAGCGGTGCGCTAGTGTGGTCTTGCCTCTTCTAAAGCTCGTTACATTTTGTTCTGTACCTACTACCGACACAGCACCTACTACCGACACATTTTCCTGTCGTCTGTTCTACACCTACCTCCGACACATTATACCGTTCCTTACCTACCTCTAACACATTATACCGAGAGCTACAATAGCGCCCGCGTCGCTCCTTAACAGCGACGACTTCGAAAGGCTGCCTTCGTAGGCGCCGCCCGCCCGACCAGCTCGCAATCGCCGTACCGCCTAGATAATAAGTGATAGCAGCACATTTATGCCGTCTCTAATAGCCGAATCTAGTCACGCAACGATAACTTGCAGCGACCGTCGAGACCTAAGAGCGGACCTTAACGCCGTCGGTCCTATTATTCCTAGACCGGTCGTCGGCACCTCCGCCCTACGTAATATAACTTTACCTATTCCCCGTGCCTAGGAACAGGACGGGATCCCCGGGCAAGATGCAGAACGGGACTATAACCTCGACAGCGATCTTCTAAGTCAGGCTGTAGGCGCGGCGCTTAATCGGGACTAAGCTAAAGATAATAGAACCGGTCTAAGCGAAGTGGACAACGAAACTAGTTTAGACGAAGGGGCTAACGAGCTAGAGTCTATCCACGACGAGAATAATAAGCTAGAGTTTATCGACGACGAGCTAGAGTCTATCGACGACGAGGATAACGAGCTAGAGCCTATAGACAGCAACCCGTTCTAGCTGTCGCAATCGGACATTTCCTAGCTAGAGGACGAGAGTTCCATAGCACTAGAGGCTTCAATCCCTATCTCGACCGGTCTCGGCTATAATGTCACTTAGGCTCTGAATCTATTACAGATAAAGACTCGAGATTAATTGATACAGACGTATTAAGAGGCTAAGGACAAAGGAAACTTTCCCTTTATCGATTTCGTCTATAATATCGAGCTAGCTTGTACTACGCTTTAAAGTACTAATCGAGACTGGACTATATACGAAGCTTACGAAGTCTATATCTTATTCCCGGAAGAGATTATTACTAGGCTAATTAATAGGACACTTCTACGGCTATATAACTAAGCCGGCTCCGAAGAACGTCGCATCTAAGAGCAACTATAGGACAGAGCTATCGCTACAGATCACCCGGCCTACTATATAGTTATAATTATAGACCGGTCCGGCGAGCTGCCGGAACTTATAGATATATCGAGTGCGCTTTAATAGTTTAAGATATATATCGATAGTAACTTTAGTATATATTCTATAATTAACGAGACCTATAGAAGAGATATCGACGCTACTCGGGCTAGCAGACGATTATACCTCGATAATAAGTATAGTAGGCTTGTTCCGTAGAGGCTACAGGCTTGTTAGACATTTGTACGCAATCTATAGGCAGAGATCGATCGGCTAAATCTTATCGACTCCTATATACGGCCGTTCCTATACTACTTCGTCTACTTTAGCATTACTAGCCGACTACTAGCCCGGTTCGAGTAACACGAGGATAGACGTAGCTCGAACTATATACTGCAACTGTTCTATACTTGTCTAGCTAAGGCAATCCGATATAAAGACGACCTAGAGAAGTATAAGCTTAGCAAGTATATCGTCGGGCTATATAGGCAACCTTAGTATATAGCCCTTAGCGAGATACTCGTTATACGCCTCGGTTAAGGATATATAACTAGTGGAACCGGTTTTGCGCATTATCTAGCTAGCCGGGCTATTAATATCTCGCTTTCTACGAGGCAATAGACCGCATACTAGCAATGGATATATAACCACTTGCCCTCGGAGCGTAACTACCAGATAAGTATCGCGCAAAAAAAGGCGAAAAAGCCGCGCCTGATTGTCTTGAGTCGGAGCGTCCCTGTCGAGAGGATGATGTTAGATATAGCGGAGTGGATGCGCGAGAAGCATAGAGAGTTCATGGAGGGACGACTGGTAGAGACAGAGTAATCGGTATGAGAGTTGGAACTCGTCGGGCAAATGCGTCGGAAGTGTCCGGAAGGCTTTCTGGAGGAAATAACAGTTAAGGCAGAGCAACCGGTATGAGGTCTGCTATCCGACATGTATACTTTGTAGCGAAATAAGTGTAACATCAGTCCAAGGAATTCAATTGCACTGAGATCTCCGAGAGTAGTCATCACGGCAACAAGAGCGTTTCGTAAAACTTCAATAACAGGAAGCCGTCAGTGCTCGCTATAGTCTTAGTCCTACCAGGCGACGACCGGCCATGTTCTGAAGTAGTAGAAGTCTGCAGCAAGGGGGAGAATCGTGAGCCGCAGAACCTATACCCTGCAATCCAGATCGCCTCACCCTAATCGTAGGTGATCATCTCCGCCTATGCGCGAGAGTCGAAGTCATAAGCTTGAGGGTATCCGCATGATTGACCGGGCTTGCAAAGAGCCTGGGCAGTAATCAAGTTGAGCTTGAAAAGCACGCTTTCAAATCTTTTGGCCTTCGTCGCCGGCATTATCTTGGACTTCCGGGCGTCTTCCAGCTCCAAAAGTCACGCAGAAGACGCACAGCCGCTCGCAGCGCTATCACGACTTGACTGCGAGCCCGAGACGAATTGTCTGTCCGCCTCGAGACAGAAGCTGACCTCGCAGTGCACATCGCGAAATGTCTCATCTCCGCATGCATGCTGTACACAGCACGTATAAAAAATTGTGTCGCTGCCGATGATGCACGTATTTTTTGCGAGATGTCTAGAGTAAACGGATTCAAAAACTCAGGATGTCTAGAGTGCACGGACTTGAGAGCTCTAGAATGTCTAGAGTGCACGGACACCATCTGCTCCGCTTGACATCTATCCACAGTATAATTAAACCTCGCATAGAGACTTCGTCGCGCGGAAACCTAACCGAACAGGTCCTATAATGGACAAATGGAAAATATTGTTACTATACTGTAGCAAGGTTGTTACCATACTGTGGCAACTTAGCGAGCTGTTACTATATTGTAGCGAGAGATGTAACAATATTGTAATAGGTAGCTAGGTTGCTACAGTATGGTAACAACTTCCAACAAGTAGTAGCAAGAGATGTAACAATATTGTAATAGGTAGCTAGGTTGCTACAGTGTGGTAACAACTTCCAACAAGTAGTATGCTATCGGCTGTCGGCAATGCTTCAATGGATCGTCGTAGTGCCAGCACTGGCTGCATGCTTGTTCCATAGATGTCTGTATCTGTTCGTGGGCGTATTAGTCGCGTTAATGAAGAAGTGTAGGTATTTCGTTACTAACTTGCTACGATAGGTGTTACAATTAGCAATTCGTAGCTATTTTGCTACGATAGGTAGCTATTTTGTCACGATAGGTGTTGCAATTAGCAATTCGTAGCCTTTTTGTCACGATAGGTGTTGCAATTAGCAACAAGGTTGTTATAGGTAACTATATTGTCACGATAGGTGTTGCAATTAGCAACAAGGTTGTTATAGGTAACTATATTGTTACAGCTTATTGTGGCAACTAGCTACTATATTGCTGCATGTTGCTACATATTGCTACATATTGCTGCATGTTGTTGCATGTTGCTACATGTTGCTACATGTTGTAATCACTAAGTAACAATTTCCGTTATTTTGCTTGGGAACATCGACATCCCCGCTTTCGCCCATCGCTTGTCCCATTTACTTTGCGTTCCTGCCCGTGTCGCAGCGATGGAATGTGTGCGAGAGATGATTCTCGTTTCACGGCCTATGTTTGGGGCGCTTAAAGTCGGACTGAGATGTCTAGAGTGCACGGACGCGGCCCTTCATCTCTAGAGTGCACGGACGCAGCTTTGGATCATAAGACTGCATAGGGGACATTTGTGTTAGAAGGCGGTAGCGTTGGCTTCCACGCTCATCCGACGTCGTGCAGAATCTATTCTGAGCCTTCGGACCGTGTAGCAGATGCGGTAAGACTCACATGGAAGCATATCGATTTCAGCACAACATGGTAGAGGCGGGTAAGTGGACTGGTCAACCGGGTGGAGCGTTCGAATAATCACGTTCGAGCACGCAGATCTGCCCACTGCTACAGGTGTCAGAGGAGGGACGGAAGCAACAGGACAAACCGGTGTATGCCCTCCGGAAGCACTGTGTAGTTTGCCTTGCCTCGAGCTCGACTAAGTCCGTATCGCGCGCTATGCTTGTACCTCCGACATTCGTAGCCAGCGATCTTCCTAGCTTTGTAGTCTTCTAAGAGGGGCAGTACGATGCACCAGCGTGAGGGCTTGTCTTCAGCTGGCGTATGCGGAGCGCTGGCTTAATATCTATTCCGTAGTGCGCACGCTGCATGCACCAGTTATATCACTACACTGGGCCTGAGCAGCCTATCTTGCGCTATAAACACGCGGGCGGTTGCTATAGCAGAACAACAGCACTACCTACATACCCGTAGGGCTGAACAGAGCATAAGTCTCTTACACGCAGCAGGACCTCGCGCGCCGCGGGCTCTGCTCCTTGCGTATAGGAAAGTCGCAGGCTGCGCGCCCTGCCCTTTGCGTTTCAGGACCTCGCGCGCCGCAGGCTCTGCTCCTTGCGTATAGGAAACTCGCAGGCTGCGGGCCCTGCCCTTTGCATTTCAGGACCTCGACCGCCGCCCTGTCAGCGGGCCCCGGCGTCGCGCGCATACACTAGCATCCATGGTTCGATTATGGACGCAGACTCCCTTGCGCGACCGAGCCGCTGCTTCGTAGTGCTCTTCGTACGCTCACGCATTCGTTCTACAAAGCACTAGCACGTCTACAAGCTCATTGCGCGCAGGATGATCTCGTGCGTCGCGCATATACTAGCCGCAACCGATCGGGCAGTGCCATATACTGACCTCGACGCGAGATCTTACATAAGCAGATGGAGGACATGGACGACGCTGGACCGGGATGCGCGACAGACTACGATTAGGAGGAGGCCAGCCGGCGCTACTTGCGCAAGGAAGTTAATGGCAAGTCAATAATGCGAATTCGGGTCAGATTAACTCTGGACAACCAGTAGCTAGAGCAGCGCACCGCCTTCTAGCAATGCGCAAGATAGCACTAGAACCCGATGTCGGTAGCGGAGCCTTTGCCTCCCGGACATACTACGAGGGACGAAGATGTAGGGACAGCGCTTCCTGTCGTCAGGTTTGGAACGATATGTCCGACAGTAAGCTCGATGCATCCGGTCTGATTCGGTATCTCGCGCTCAGGGTACTTCAGAAAGGAGGCAAGAACGGCCGCAGCTTGTTCTTCTAACCTGTACCTATCCCGGATGCCGATCTCGTATCTGCCGGACGCCAGACGACCGACGCATACTAAGACTATCGCGAGTAGATCATTCTTGACCATAACATCCCCCTTCGCCGTAAAGACTTGGCGTGCTGCTGCGGGCTCTTACTAGAGTTGTAGGCGTGCGATGCTTGTGTATCGGGCTCAGTGGGACGAAGTGGGTACCGGTAGCGCGGTAGCGACGGGCTGACAAGGTGCCGCGCGCGCTGCCGTATTGTAGCAGCGTGGGAGCATCGGGCCGGTTAAGGTGCATTCAGGCTCAGTGGGACGAGGTGCCGGTAGTGTGGTGGGTGCCGAGTGCGCTGCCCCGGGACTGCAGCAGATGTAAGTGGGTTCGCTGCGAGCAGTTGTTCGTCGGCAAGATGCCGGGTACGCTGCTCTAGAGCCGGATGCAGCTGCAGTCGGCGCGTGGTGAGGTACCGGTAGTGGAAGTCGGATGCAACCAGAGTCGACGCGTGGTGAGGTACCGGCAAGTCGGATACAGCTAGAGTCGGCGCGTGGTGGGATACCGGCAGTGGGATGGCTACAAGTCGACCTTGTAGAAGTGCAACAGGTGTCACTAGAGTCGCCGCGTGGTAGGGCACCGGTAATGGAGCAGTCACTCGTCGACGAGATGCCGGGTACGCTGCTCGAGAGCGACAGCAGATGCAGGAGGAGTCGGCAGGTGATGAGATCCCGGTAGTGGAGTGGCTATGAGTCGACGAGTACGCTGCTTCGGAAATGCAGCAGATGCAGCCTGAGTCGGCGCGTGGTGAAGCGCATCGACAAAGTGCCGAGTGCGCTACTCTCGAATCGCAGCAGATGCAGCTGAAGTCGGCGTGGGGGATGTCCAGGACGATAGTCATGGCATCCACCGAACGTGCATCTCGATCGAAAGCTGTTGTATTGTCGTGGAAGACAGCAAAAGATACCTGTCGGGTGTTTGCTGTTTGCACATGAAAGCGTTTGTCGTCGCGGCTGGAATGTTATTAAGCGAAACTTTAAATTTTGATTGGCGCGCTCTGATTGGTGGGACTTACTACCCCATCGGGTCGCTTCACTTCGCTTAGCTCGCGTCTATCACATGCGCGCGCACTTCTTCGTGTGACCATTGACTTCCACCTGCGGGCAGTCTCCTTCCAAACACACACACGACCACCACACCACCCACAACACCGCCAAAGGACTGCAACACCCTGATAACACGATATCCGCCGCTGCGCCGCGATCGCAGCACCAGGTTCGCCTCCGAAACCAACATGCGCCTTCGTTGCGGCGACCAGGATGGCGCCGCCGCTGAGGTGGACGACGACACGCCGCGCGAGCGGCATCTTGGGCTGAGCCGTGGCCGCAGACGACTCGAGGCGGCACGACTTGCCTTGCGGATTGCCAACCCTTCCCGGTACTATCGAGTACCAGCCAACCTGTTCTTCTACATCGCACCATCCGATTCACGTCGATCCATGCCTGCGCTCAAGGACTTGCCGCGCGACAGGCGCGGTCAAGCACGTGACTATCGCCGGCGCGGGGACCCATCCTCGGTGCACGCCGTGGAGGCACCGGTCGCGTCGTCACAATCGGGATCCGGTCGAGGAGATACCGGTATGCAAGCTACTGGGACCATGTCAGAGCTCGCGCGAGCCATGATCGCAGATCCAGACGATGATCTGGAGCGCACCATGCAGCGGAGCATCGAGCAGTTCAGGGAGCAGCAGGTCTTCATGGCGGACGTCGTACAACAAGGCCAGCCTCCAGAAGACGTCGAGGCTCCCGCCAGGTCCGAGATCTACTACGACGCAACGAGGTTCTACATACGCATGAGGCCCGGAAGAACTGTAGCCAGACCTGGACCTCCGCTCGCAGAACGACTTCGCCGAGTTGCACAAGCTCTCGGCGTGACCAAAGAGCGAATGAAATTTGCGCTCAATCATGCAGCAGCGACCGGGCAGCGCATGGCCGATATCCTTGCGCAGGAGGATCCGGCCGTAGGTTGCGAGACGAATCCTGATATCCTCGACGAAATGGCGGCTCTTCACAACGAGGCCGATGAAGACGAGGATGAAGACAACCAGTCAGGAGCCGGAGATTCCATCGCCAATCCTGACGGCGCCGTGACTGCCAGCATCGAAGACGAAGACACAAGGACAGCAGACGAAGGCGAGAGCGTGGCGACTGGTCCGTCGATCCGCACCACGATCCTGAAAGCCAGTACTACAAAGGCGGCGGATGGCATCGCGCCCATCGCGAATGTGTCTCGTGAATCATTCAAGAAGGCATACAATCCCAAGAATGCGTCAGGATGGAATGCGGCCTTGCACTATTCGTATCTCGGATTTGACGAGTTGCAAGCGGCCCAGAGATTTGAATTGACGCCAGCCTACCTCAGAGGGGTGGCAGCATGGCACGAGATCGGAAAGCCGACAACCTTCACAGACGTGGCCTTTCGATACGAAGACCAGTCGCCATTGTGGACCCAGGATTACGCCAAGGACAAGGATGCGATGGATTTGGAAACCTTTGTGCGCCGCAAGCCAATCCGTCTGAAGAAGGATACTGGGGTCGATGCCAGAAGACAGCTGGGTACCGGTACCTGGACGGTCGAAGCCGGCGAGGGCGCGCAGCAGACAACCCTGTGCGCATTCATATTGTGGTGGGTCATTACGAAGACCGAGGAGTTCTTCGAGAAGACAATCGAGGAACAGCAAAAGGAGCATGAGCAGCTAGACGGCGCTATCCCATGGACACTCCCGTCCTGGAACGACCTTATCTTACCTGTCAAACCAAAGTGGCGCAGCGACCAGTATTCCGAAGCATGCCCCGTGCTGGAGCAGGCAAACCGTCTCCTCTGCGCGTTTCGCATGACCAATCGCAGATTCACCCATTTCTCTGGTACAACACAGAACTTCCTAGCCGGCTGGCAAAAGTTCTGTCACACCGAGACCGGCAACAAGCTGCGCAACCAGCAGCAAGACATCAGTGCTGCGAAGCCATGGTGGATGCAGCCTGTAGAGAACAACATTTTCGATCTTGACGTGGTGGAGAAGACACCCAAGTCCGTCTCGCGGCCTCGCGCTATCGGTATTAAGATCGCGTCCGCAGCCGCTTGGAGATTAGCGGGAGCGGAAGACAAGGCCGAATACAAGGAAATACTGGAAAATTCTGCAGACTACATACGCATGATCAAGAGTGCAAAGATACTGCCGAACCAGTACGACCCCCGCGACATCGAGCAAGCGGATCGTTGGCGGGATATGCTCCGCAACTTTCTACAGACTCAGGCAAGCTCTGCAGTGCTAAGGAGGCTGGTTTTCACGAAGAGCGACAGCGAGGACGAAGATCCGATGGCCTTCTTCGATGTAACGGGGACAAAACCGTCGCTGACATGGAACGAACTCCAGCGAGCAATCGACGCCGAGGACTGCTTGGAGCCTATCATTACAGTGCTTCTGGGGTTTTCAGAAGATGAGGCTAACGACTATGAGTACACTGGGCCTCTGGACGACCAGACTGCTGCTCTGATTGAAGTTGGGCCAGATATGAAGCTGAAGAAACGCGCGCTCGAGAACGAAGACGATACCGTGGTCGGCGGAGACAATGGAGAGCTCGAGATACCGGTACCCTCTGAAGCCACGTCTGGGCCAGCCATTCAACGCCGCGCGATCAAGAACATCCAGACAAGGAACGGGATGCTGAAATTTTCGTGAGCGAGTTCAATCTTCTCGTCGATTGGCTTAACAGACTCTACGACATACTGATTGCGGAGCCACAAGGCAAACCTGGTCTCTGCCACGATGAGTCCCTAGTTACCGGTGTTCAGAGAAACCCGTACGAGAAGTAGTCATGGGCAACTACGATGAGAGAGCAATGTTTGTAGTGTAGGGCGATTTCATAATCCGATGGTCTCATTACACATCTTTCATTGGTCGCTTGTTTCATTTCAATCGTCGTGATTCGTCTTTCGCTTTCTCAGCGAATTCGTCATCCGTGCCAAAATACATGCCTCTCGTTGTGAATTCTCTAAGTTTCTTGCTTCCCCCACGACCCTGTCCAGCCCCAAGACCACGTCCGCGCGTTCATCCCTTGGTTAGTCAGTTGTCTTTATTGCTGACTTCTTCATTGGTGGCTCACTATCCGCCGGAGACTCAGACCGCGAGTGTTTCTGTGCTGTCTTTGCGGGAGTCGATTTTGCTTTCTTCGCATTACGGTCGCCGTCATCCAAGTCACCTTGATACTCGTAGTCATTCCAATCCTCATATTCGGTATCATCGTTTTTGACACGAAGCGATATAACAAGCGTTATATCGCTGGTTGAATTTGCATCGACGAAGTCCTGAGCCTCACTCCATTGGTCCAGTCGTGCCCTCACCGACCTATTGAACAAGAGTACCTTGCGGTCCACATTAGATGCGGTGATTTCCAACTTCCAAAGCAACACATCCTTCTCCAAGGTCCCGATAAGGTTCCGCAACTTGTCCCGCCAACGCATGGCGAGGTCCTCATCTCGAGGATCGAGCCTTGCAGGTAGGGTCTCCGGGTTTTGGGTAAACTTCCAGAGCCCGGCTTCTTCAAGCTTTTCCTTGTAATCGACGGAACTCAAGCCGCTTGCTTTCTCTATCATTTTGCTGATCGAGATCTTCCAAAGAAGTTTTCGCGGATCCAAAACTGCTTTGCGTGTTTCCATGTCCTGTCCGTCAGAGCTCTGGAGACGCCGCGCGACAGCTTGATGTATCGCATCGAGATAGTCGAGAGGAAGGCTCTGCAGTGTATCGTCTTGATGTGCGATACGAATCGGGAGAGGAGGCGTTCCAGACTCCGTTGTTGCCATCGAGACATGCTGCAGCCGGTGAAGGCGGATGCTTTCCTGAATCATCTCGCTCAACTGGTCGGGATGGCTGTGGGTCATCGCGTATTCCAGGTCGGAGAGCGGCATGTCGATGTCATCGGAACTGGTCTGGTGGGCTTGCTCGGTGGAGTCCTCGGTCTGAGAAGGGCTTGACGGGGAGAGCTCGCCGGGCCAGCAAAGTCCTCGTCGATGATAATCACGTGCAAAAGCTCGCTGGCCGCTTCTGCAATCGTGGTATGCCGGGATATGTCGACGGGGGTGGTTCAGAGGCAGATAGAAGAACAAGTTTTCCGGGACTCGGTAGTAGCGCGACTGGTTTTCAGCGCGCAGCCGCTTTCGTGCAGCCGCGAGTCTTGCGCGACCGCGGCTCGAGTGTTGCATCTCCATGTCATGAGCTGTGTCGCTCACAAAAAGGGACGTGGCCGCATCGTCGGCGGCGCCGTGAAGGTCGCCGCCGCGAGAGCGCATGTTGCTTGCTGTGTCTTGGGCTGCTTATTGAAGCCAAAGGTGTGCTCTGGTATGTCGGAATCGGTGTGATGTGTGGTTGGTGTTGTTCGAGTGTGGTGTCGGTGGAGTGCAGCTGAGGCGAGGCGAGGCAGTAGATGTGAAGTCCAAGCGCGAAAGGCAAACGCATGTGATGCATTTGATTGGATGGTCGCGTGTTGCACTGTGTTATTGCACGTGATGCCCGGAGGGTTTGGCGTGAGGTACCCATGTGACTCATCACATGTGAAGACTGGAGTGAATGTGCGGGAGTTCCCGCCAAGCTAACCGCTTTGGAGACTTCACTTCCACAGCAACGAAAACAAATCTCACAACAAGAACTTGCAACATCAACAAAACCTACCACACCAAGCAGACTGACAGCATCTCCCTCCAGTAGAATCGACATGGCTGCGCCAGACGAAGGCACCCACGAAGCCGACTCGGCCTATCCGCCGGGTGGGCTCATGCGCCCTCCGACTGCGCACGCCGCGCCATACAGCAGAAATGGCATTCTACTAGACAGTGGTACCTTTCCCAAAAGCCAAATTTGGACCACATGGCCACTAGACGCGCGCACGGGAATTCCACCCGCCGGTCACCGTGTGCAGTTGGCCTTGCAGAACTTTCCAGTTGACTCCGGTAAGTATGCAGTGCGCCTACCGGACGACAGCAGCGGAAATGCGAGATGGACTTGGCATCAGCCCATGTATATGCAGAGTTTCTCTCGATTCGGTGTACCGGTCCATGCAGCATCTCGGGACTGGAGGGCTCTTCAGATCCAAGCCGCGGCGGAGCAACGAGAGCAGACGGCGGCTCGAGAGATGACAGACCACACACAAGGATTCGATCGCGTGGTGCAGGCGCAGAGAGCAAGAGAGGTCGCAGACGTGGAGCAGATTAGGCAGGAGGCGGCACGGCGAACGGCAGAAATCGAGAGAGCTAAACAAGCGCAATCAGAGTTTGCAGCGCAACAAGCCGCGAGGCGAGCAGGACGGGAGTTGATCGAGGATCAGTCCGTAGGAGCCCTTCAGACGCCAGCAGGCGGTAGCAGGCTTCAACAACAGCGCTCTCAGGAGTTGAGCGGGAGGAAGATCGGTCCTCCGCCACAGTCAATGATATACACCAATCCTCAGACTCCGCCAGTCGGCATGCCCGTCCCATCGCTACGTTCGCAAGGTCCGGTAGAAAAGAGCAAAAGTCGCGCAAGCGGCATCGCCATTCCCTCGTCCGAGGAGCCGGATGCAGTTGACACAAGTGCAGACGCCGAGCTTCGCTGCACCAACTGTCTGAGGAGCAAGAAAGGCTGCGATAAGGTGAGACCAGTCTGTGGCCGGTGTCAGAAGAACGGAATTGGCCCAGAAGGATGCCTCGCGGTCGGCCACAAGAAGCGCAAACGCTCTGGAGAGCAAGAGAGAGCCACGCCTGGTCTCGGATCATTTCGTACGCCTGCCAATCCGAGCTCCGGCGTGCCGATGCCCAGCGGTGGAAGCCAGATTCACGGAACACCAATGGCAACGGCAACGCCGTCTCCAAAACCACCTCTCGTTTCTTCGAAGCCACTCGAACAGCTTCTGGATTACAGCCCCGGCGTTTCAATGCCCAGCGGTGGAGCTCAAGCCCGCGCTCGTGCCCCAGCGGCAACATATAACACGCCTTCCAAACCACCTCTCGTCCCTGGTAAGCCAATTCAGCAGCCTCGGGCAGGTCTTGGATCGAGTCCGGCAATGCCTGCTAGCGACGGACCACAACAGAAGACCAAGCGAGAGCAGGCAACAGCGGCTGCCAAGGCACCTCGGCCAACCGTAGCTCCTTTCACTCCGCATACAGGTCGACTTACAGATGCAGCGCTCTCATCTAGCAGCGCTTCTCGCCCACCCACCGCTGCCTCTAAGCCATCGGCAACGCCCATGGCCTCCCCTACAATTGCCAGCAGCGGCAGAGGTATGAAGGCCGCCAGGCTGGAGAAAGCAGAGACTCCCAAGTCGCAACGATCTCGAAACATAAACACCAAAAGCAACGCACAGGCACAGGCAGAAGCTGACGAGACAGCAAAGATCTCCGTACCTCAACCATCCAAAATCACCACAGCCAACGGGCTGACGACACTGCACCTGACAAGCTCTTTCTCAGACGGGACAGCCCAAGCCACCGGAAAGAAAGATTTCGAGAACGACAATGCCTGGCTCGTGAAAGGAGTTGCGACGAGATGGGCCAGTCTACTCGGAATGCCAATCAAAGGCAAAGACCTGGAGTATCGGCTCGATCGATTGCCGACTGGGTACAGTTGCTACGGCAGACATCGGACCAAAGCCAAGGGTAGCCATACCGATCGAGAGATTTGGGGTGTGCCCAAGGGGAGGAGATACCTGCGGTCGATCAATGAGTACTGGCCGCATTTTGAGTGGTTGCAGAATGGGGGAAGTGGAACATGCGGATGCATGTGCTGCTCGAAAGAGACCAAAGGCAGGCGAGACACGGCAGTCGGGGAGGCAGGTGGTGCGACGGACGATCGCATGACGACTAGATCCGGAGCCGGGGCAACAGAGGGTGCTGGACAGGACCTCCCGTCGTTGGTCCAAGAGGAAGAGGATGACGGCGAAGCGGATGCCGAATTTAAGGAAGAGGATCGCTTTTACACTGCCCCAAGTCGCCAGTCGAGCGGCGGCGTCAATCTGCGGAACAGATTCTTGCAAGCCCAGAGCAACATGTCTCCAAAGATATCTGGTTCTCCCAGTCAACAGTTGGGACGACGTGACTCGCGTATGGAGGGCGGTGACGGAGATGTCTTCTTGAGTGGGTATGGAAACCGGATGCAGCAGTGAGGAAGCGACTGCCATACAGCAGGAGGCGGCTCGAGCACGGTGGCTGAATGTCAGCGCAACGTCCAACCCGTCTTGTACTAAGGTATTCTCTTCCTCAGATTTCAAGCTGCTTCCATGCAAGGTCTCCGGTCTTTTGACAGATGAAACGCAGCGATGGTAACGTCCAGATCGTACAAATGAAGTGTATATTAGACCCTCCCATAGAAACTCAGTCTGTCGACCGAGGAACTCCAAAACACCACGCTAATACCAAGGTCGCATCCACAGAATGATCGCAGCTTCCACTTTCCTACTCATCATCCACAAAACCACTAGCCACTTTCCCCAAAATCGGAACTTCCACCCGATCCAACGTCTCTCCGTTTCTCCACGCCCCTAGCACCAGGTATCCAATCAGGCACAGATCAAAAGCCAAGAGCATATAACTTATGATTGCCGTCCAGCTGAATATGATATGCACGAGGAACAGGGCCGAAAATACCAGCGCGCTCTGCCAGGCGTGGAAGCGGACATAGTCGCTTTTGTGTTCGAAGAGAAGCAGGACCACACCTCCCGCAGGAGGCAGCAGTAGGTATGCGAGACAAGCTTCAATCTTCAATGGCAGGCCCAGAGATGTCTCGAATACACTCTGATATGTTGCTCCGCCGCCTTGGAGGGCCTGGTTGCCGATATAGTCGTTGTAGCGATTGCTGTTGTAAGGTCGCGGTCCGTCTTCCAGATCTTGGTAGCCACCGGTGTCGGTGTCATCGGCGTATTGGGAGGGCGAAGGGAGTCTCTGTGCGCGCGCGGCGGCCCAGGGATCGGAGGTGTCTGCGACTGAGGAGATGTTGCGCGTATGTTGAGGCCGTTGCTGGTTTGGTTTCGGGGAGCTGGTGGGCGAGCGGAGCGGTGGTGGAGATCTCGCGCGCTCGCTCTCGGGCGGCGAGGATTGGTAGGGCGCGAAATTCATGGCCATTGCTGCGGTGGTAGCGGTGGTAGCGGTGTTGTGGGAATTGTTGTGTTGTGAGAGCTTGGTGCCTGCATGAGATGAGAACACACACCACCACGTGATCACTTGCCGATATCACCGCGTGCGGCCGCACGTCGTGCTCACACATCCGGTGCATCCATCTCAAATACCGTTGATCCCGTCGAGGCATCGTCTAGGCTCAGAGCTCTCCGCACGAATGACATCGCCTGCTACATGATGTACGGGCGGATGAACTCTAGATGGGACATGACATCACTGCAATGGGAGAAAGACGTAGATAGGCAAGGCGACGCGGTGCGGCAAGTCGAACAGAGGCCATCCAGGTATTTCAGAGAATGCTTCGCCATCTTCTAAGACCGCTCCACTCTCTCCCCACAGACACCTCTCCCATCTTCCAACGTACTTGCATTTCACAACCAAGACGTCACTTTCACCCCGCAGCTCCCAGCAACATGAGAGTCCTCCTCACCGGCGGCAGCGGCTTCATCGCTGCACACGTCCTCGACTACCTCCTCGAACACGGCCATTCCGTCGTCACCACGGTGCGCTCGCAGCAAAAGGCGGACAAGATCAAGGAGGCCCATCCCAAGTATGGCAAGGACAAGCTCGACTTCGCGCTCGTCGAGGACATTGCAAAGGAGGGGGCATTCGATAAGGCCGTGGTGTCCGATACTCCATTCGAGGCCGTCATCCACACCGCCAGCCCATTCCACTTCAACGTGACGGATGTGCAGAAAGAGCTCCTGGACCCGGCCGTCATTGGCACCACAGGCATCCTGAAGAGCATCAAGAAGAGCGCACCAAGCGTCAAGCGCGTCGTCATCACCAGCTCCTTCGCTTCCATTCTCGATCCAAAGCAGGGCGCTCGACCAGGACACACCTACTCCGAGAAGGACTGGAACCCAATCACCCTGAAAGAAGCCAACGAGAACCCAGCAGCCGGCTACCGAGCCTCCAAAACCTTCGCGGAGAAGGCAGCCTGGGACTTCGTCGAGAAGGAGAAGCCCAACTTCACCATCGCGACCATGTGCCCGCCTCTCGTCCTCGGCCCAATCGTGCACTATCTCAACTCCCTCGACGCACTCAACACCTCCAACCAGCGGATCCGCGACTGCATGCTCGGCAAATGGAAAGAGGAGATCCCCGAGACGGGAGTTTACATCTGGGTCGACGTGCGAGATCTCGCACTCTGCCACGTGCTCGCGGCGGAGAAGCCCGACGCAGCCAACCAGCGCTTCTTCATCACGAGTGGATACTTCTGCAACAAGAAGATCGCCGACGTGCTTGCGAAGGACTATCCACAATTGAAGGACCAGCCGACGGACAAGACGCCCGGTGGAAGGATGCCGGAGAAGATATTCGAGATTGACACGAGCAACGTGGACTCTGTGCTGAAGGGCTGGAAGCAGAAGGATTTCGAGACGAGTATCACGGATACGGTCAAGAGTCTGCAAGCTGTTGGAGGATAGACAGAAGTCTTATTGAGTGGGCTATGTAGTACATGAATCTAAAATTGGCAGCACATCTGTCCCTCCAGGTCTTGTCAGCGAATGTTACTCCAATGACATGTGTCGGTGTATGAGGAGTGACTTGTGTTGAGGATCAGACTGTTGAGCTTGAATAATTTTGTTCCGTCATGAAATGATCAGAAGTTATCGTTTGAAGAATTGGACATCATGTGAAGAGGTAGCCAGAGGGGAAGAAAGGAATGGTGCGTACCTTCTCTCGCCGCGTCCCGATGTAACGGAAGAATCCCCCTGCGGATGGCGGATGAACCGCTACGATAGTCGTACTGAAGTCCTTAGCAGGATGGATGTAATAAGTCACTGCAGGTCAAGTGATATAGTGATGTTGTTGGGGATGGGAGGTATTGGTGAAGGAGAAGTCGAGTGCGGAATTTTGAGCTGAGAAGAAGCACGGGCCATGTCTCGGCCGAGGTATTACCGTTGCATTACTTCCTCTCTCTTTAGAGACTGCTCATCGCGCATTTCCAGTATGCCATCAAAGCGCTTCAGATGGTGAAATTCAGTATGCGATCGACCTGGCCTCCAAGACTTTCGGCGACTGGTTACTTGAGAATACAACGACCCCCACAAAGTCATTGTCTAGAGGCCTCAACGATGCTCCGATTTGAGCCTCGAGCCGGTCGGAACACGACATGTTGATGCCTAGGCATCTTCGAGTACAAGGCACTTCCATCCTGTCAGAGCAAATTCTTCATGATACTATCTCGCGGGCTCGGGCACCATGCTACTGCACTTGTGGCTTCTAATCCTACAGATGTTCTACTGCTCCACTCAATAGCGAGAAAGCTACGACTATCTCATCTGCGGAGCCACCTTCCGCGATCTTTTGCGAGATGAGGCGATCGCCGCGGCAGAGGGCCTGCAGACAGATCTGTCCACTTGAGCCCAGAATGTCGTGAGTATGGTCATGACGTCTGTCGATATAGCAGCTTTTCATGTGAAGACAGAGTGGCGCATCAAATCTTAATCAATATTTCATGAATCGTTAGCAAAAGCTTACTTGCCGAATGCCGGAAGGCAGCTCGTGTTCGACTGGTCAGCAGCGCAGGTGTCAACTGTCATTATTATTCTCGAACCACATCTCCACGCAACAACTGACGACTGACCCATCTCACCACGCCCAAGGCATCTATCAGCCCTTCCCAGAACACCGACCAATCGACCCACCGTATCGAACAAAAGAACCGCCCAAAAGCGCAGACAAAGCGACTCTCTTCACCGCAAACCCTCCCCTCCACCGACTGCAACCGCATTAATCAGCCAAACAACCACATCACACCTCGCCCCAATCCATTCCAAAAGGGAGCCATTGAGCTCCCACCCTCCAGAAACCCTCCAAAATGGGCGGCGCCCTCTCCATGTTCACCAAACTCCTCTGGTCCAAAAAAGAAATCCGAATCCTCATCCTCGGCCTCGACAACGCAGGCAAAACAACCCTCCTCTACCGCCTCAAGATCGGCGAGGTAGTGACCACGATCCCCACCATAGGCTTCAACGTTGAGAGCGTGACGTACAAAAACTTGAACTTCAATGTCTGGGATCTGGGCGGGCAGACGAGCATCCGGCCGTATTGGAGGTGTTATTATGCGAATACGGCGGCCGTCGTGTTTGTGATTGACAGTACGGATGTGGAGAGGCTGGGGACTGCCGGCGAGGAGTTAAGAGGGATGTTGGAAGAGGAGGAACTGAGGGATGCTGCGTTGCTGGTTTTTGCCAATAAGCAGGATCAGGTCGGTGCGAAAGGAGCCGGGGAGATAAGTGAGGCGCTGGGCTTGGCGAATTTGAAAGACAGGAATTGGAGCATCATGGCGTGCTCCGCGGTTACAGGGAAGGGAGTCACTGAGGGGATGGATTGGTTGGTGGTGAGTGCTGACATTTCTTCCGGACGGTTTGATTCTGGGTTGTGCTAATGATGTGTTACAGCAAACCGTTGGCGAGAACTCATGAGTGGAAGAGCTGTGTCTAGATACTGAACGAGCTGGGCTCCGGATAATGCATGGCGCTGGGCGTCGGGAAAAGATGGTACAGTGAGGGACACTATACTGCTGATGCATGCAGGCGCCATATCGGGACGGCAGCACAGCACTGTACGAGAGTCGTGAAAAATGATGTATGAACCAAGCGTGAGATGTACAACTTTATCAACACTCGCCGTGTAAAGACAACCGACTGACCGCACTCCATTTGGGCGATCACTTCTACAGAATCTTACCGCTTTCCAGTGGGCATGGTAGAGCGCTACAGCCATGTCCAGACTACATTGCGCGAGACCTCAAGCAAACGCCATCCTGCAGGTCGTGGGTACCAATCCTCAGGAGCGCCAAGTTTAATGCATATAAAAGTGGCAACGGATGATCACGGGCACTTGGACCGTCTTTGATTTTGAGCATTCTCGGAGTGACCGACTGAGACATCAATCACCAGTCCCACAAGTACGCATCTTTCCTGCAAGAGTTCAAGCTCACCAAATCACATCTTGAAAGCATTCGCTATCCTCGGACATCCTTTGTCCTCAACGCACCGCAAAGACAAAACCAAAAACATGATCCTTCAATTAGCAACGCATCAATCCACACCGATCCCAAGAGTATTCAACAAGTACAATGCGCTTATGTGCCTGATGCGGCAAGCTACAACGAGACGGGTTAGTGGGACCAGACCTATTCGGTGTAGTTTGACATACCATAACAACAAGGCTTCAGTCCGCTCATCTTGGGGAAACAACACACTGCAGCGAAGGAGTTAGTAACTTCTCAAGGCCGCCAGCAGATCATCACATACCAGCACAGACGATCAGCGCATTCAATCGTCCATGCTACTCAGAATCTCTTCCACAGAACGGGTAGCAGGCGCTTGGACGGCAAGCGACGGATTCGTACGAGCAACGAGCAGCTTCACCGCTCTCGTGAACCAGACATCCAGAAACTGCAAGTACTTGGGAGGCAACACAGCAGTCAATTCAGTCTCAGAGCTCACGCCGGTGCTGCACATGAGGGCACCCACGGCGACCGGTGCAAGCTGATAACACGTGTCTGGATACGAAACAGACGCGATTGCAGGTATTGAAGGGTTTTGTAAAACGTTTGCGAGGCCATTGAGGACGATCTTGGTCTCTGGGAGATTGACAGGGGAGAATTCCGGGGGCATCACGGATCGTGGTACACGAAAGCTTGACAGAGTCTCGGACAAGATGTCGCGTAGGGCAAGCGGGCTGACTTGCACGGGCTGATGACCCGATGGAATAGCGGCGTTCAGATATTGCCACCATTGCTCTTGGATCTTGTACTGATCGCGCTCCTTCAGGTCGTGCATGATGGCAATACGACGAATGTGACGTTTTTGCATGATGGGCTCGCCGCACCTATCGCAGGTGTACGTCTTACATGCCTCTTCGGACAATCTGCCAAGGTGCTCGCGATTGACTTTCACATAGCAACCGCAGAGTGTGCGGGCCCAATCAAGTCGGCGGTCGTCTTCTATGACCGGCGATATGAGAGCGAAACATTGCAGCAATACTTCATTTGCACTGGCAATGGACCGACTGGACCACAGGTGTCCAAACTCGGCTTGATCTTGTGGTATCAAGTGGTAAGTATCGAACTTGTGAAGTTTCTGATGTACGGCGAGAAACGAGCGATCGCTGCATCGGTGCATGGCATCGAAGATCACTTTGATCCACAGCACATTCAGATTGGAGGACATAAAATCAAGCCATTCAGGGTAGTCGCACTCGAGATGTCGGACCTTCTGGCTTGAACGGCCTTGTGAAGTGAGCCACGAAGTCGTCAAGCGGGTTATCAGTCTCGGTGTTCCCCCATTTTGACTATACGCGACAACTTCCAAAGTGCTAACGCCGGGAGCCTCGTGTAACAGGTTCATCATCTCGACGATGCGCTTAGCGCCAAGTCCGGTATTTGGTAAGTCGGCAGCTTGTTTGCTGGGGCCAGATGGTATCCGTGCTTGCGATTGGACGTCGGCGGTAGGTAGTTTCACGTAGAAGTCCAAGTTGTCAGCTTGCAGCTGAAAGTCGTTCGGGCGAGGCTCTTGGCGGAATTCGACATCTTTGGGGTAACACAGGGACAACTTGATCCCGTGGTCGACGGGGACAAGCTCGAGGGCAGGATAGACAATGCGCACTTCATGATGCCGACTGTTTGGTGCAACCGTGCGCGCAGCGTTCAGATCAGTTCCTTCAAGTCCCTGACGGCCTGACAGGCGGTCGGTCAAATCATCAAGGTCATCAGTGATGCCGCGGTAGCCGTCGACAAAGTGCGCGAAATCGTCAGCGAGTTTTGCTAGGTCCGAGGAATGGAACGCCATGGTCCACGCGATCCTTGACAGAGGCGCGCGTTTCGCTGTTGAAAGATGAAGGTATGTTTGCAAATAGACGCAAGTTGCGGGGCGGGCGTTGGTCTTTTATCCAGCGTTCGTTGTGGTGACGCCAAGGAGCGCGTTTCGCTATTAAAACATGGAGGTATGTTTGCAAGTAGAAGCAAGTTGTGGGGCGGGTGTTGGTCTTTTATCCAGCGTGTGTTGTGGTGACGCTAAAGAGTGCGTGAAGTTGTCGCGTCAATGTGTGCGGCGAATGTCGACTCAAAATAGGGGCCTTAACATTCACCAGCCGGCACGAGCCGTTTGTTGAGCTCCGCCGCGACATTCACCTCCGCTGTAGCATCCACTTCAAAGCATACACGCCTCGGTATTGGCCATTATCCAGCTAACGCACCTGTTCACCAAGAATAAGTGACTCGTGCCTCGCCCCTTCCAGTCTTATCGCCTTTCCAGACTCCACCTGTCTTCCACAAAGTCCAGTAGATCAAGCACGTCCTTACAATCCATTAGAATCTTCCTGTCCTTCTTCGTCATGCCGGGCATCCTTCCGCTCATCTCGCTGATATGATGCAGGATCAGCGGGAAAGGTATCGGGCACCTTACAGCCCAAGTCATGAAGTTGCTGATGCACTGCCCGGTTGTAGTATCAGATCCCTCGAACATGGCCGGATTTTCTAAGATGCCCCTTGCGGCCATCACACCATCTGCTTGGGTTGCGGCTGCGATTCGATTGACGTCTGCCAAGGTGTAAGCATCGCCATTGGCAATCATCGGGACGCGGATATGGGGTCTGAGTCTTCGGATGGCCTCGTAGTCGGGCGGTGTGCTGGAGCGCTGGTGTCTCGTACGGCCATGGACGGTGATGTAGTCGACGCCCGCCTCCTGCAATACCTGCACCCATCGGATCGTCTGGCTAAAGCAGCAGTCAGTCACTTCAGAGTTCTGGCAAAGAAGCTTGGAATCCTACTTCAGGTCTTTATGGATGCGAATCTTGCAGCTCACACTTTTCTCCGGGGCGAGTCTCGCCTTCGCGGCTTTGACAAGGCTTGCCACCAGTTCGGGGTTTTCCATAAGCGAGCAGCCAATGCCTTCTTTGAAAGCCCAACTCTGGGGACAGCCACAGTTCAGGTCAACGCCATCGACCCAAGGCGCGACCACCTCTGCGGCTCTGGCGAATTCGGTCGGGTCCGAGGAGGCAAATTGTGCAATGAGGGCATGCTGCCGGCCGTCTGCAGTGGCTGCTCGCTCAAGATCGTGAGTAGTGAAGTCAGAGTGACGAGCAATATGAGACCGAATGAACTCGTGAGCCAGCATCATCGGAGTATAGGTGATGTCTGTGCCGTATTCTCTTGCGGCGAGTCGGAAGGGGAGCTTGCTGTATCTGTTTTGCGCGTCTTAGCACGGTCTAATCGCAGAGTCCAAGCGTACACACCGGACCATTGGCGCCGATACTGAGAGCAACTTAGTACGCGGAAACGGAAACAAGTCACTCTTCATACCATTTAGGGGTCTTCCATCCTTTTGGGCCGCATTGAAAAGCTCAAGGACCCTTGGCCGAACGAGAGTGTCAGCCATAACAGCCGTCCTTGGCGTTGGAAAGTATGGTCTACCGCGACCCTGCAGTACGCGTCTGAATGACCTCTTCTGACTGATCCATTCACGTTTGTGACATATGATTGACATGTGAAAGAACGGGACGGAGTGAGGTTGAGAGACTTCACGTCGGAGCGAATCGGCCCGAGCGCACGGGCCACACAAACCTATTAACACCATGGCCTCGCTTTGATGCTCTACGCCTCCACTCATTATTTCGATGGAGCACCAGTACGATGGTAATATCATTTGCGCTGGCTACAATGAGCTTCCGGACTCGAGCTAGTCATGCTGCGGTCGCTAGTGTCTATGGAAGTCCATATACTGGCGCAGTCCGGCTAGCTGACGATGCTGCAAGTGAAATGGAAGCAAAGGGCACGAATGCCCACAAATATATCATGGTACACCAGTTGCATGGCACTTCCTCGCATCTTCACGACCACAACGCATCAAGCGATATGATGCTGGTGGGTCACAATGACGTACCCAATACTGACCGGGATGTTTCTCTCACACACACCGAAACTGTCGCAGCAAATTTATAAACAGCAAACTTGGGCGCAATCAACGTCGACTTCAACACGATCTTGACCCCCTCCACTCACGACCAACTGAGAGCTTCAACAGCATGTTCTCCGTCTACCCATATACATCCCTGTCCTGGGCCGTTGCGGTCGTCTTCACCATCGGCAGTGTAGTCTGGATCGTCAGCTCATTCTTCACGTTTCATCCTACGGCCAACCCTGACTCGGCTTTCCCTGGCGAGGACAACTTTGGTGCGGGACTGACAGCCTGCGTCGGATCTGCCGTCTTCCTCATCGGGAGTATACTGCTTGTGCATGAGGTAAGACTGAAATGGCACAATAAATCTTCGAGGATGCACTCCTAACGAGAACATAGGTCGTCAATGAGAATCGAGAGGGATGTTGGGGATGGGCACTAGTCAGAGAGCAAAGCGATGGTCCGGCCAGCTTTCGAGTCGTGCCCGACAAGGATGATTCCGATCCCACCAACTGTGGCGAGACTTGGAGAGACAGCAAAGATCGAGAACCTGGAGCGGTGAGGACCAAGTGGGCATGGTGGCCTTCTTGGCATGACTTCAGAAATCACTACTTCCACGAGCTTCGCTTCTGGGCAAGTATGGTCCAAGTCACTGCCAGCGTGGTGTTCTTCTGGTCTGGTATCACCGCACTACCTGGGCTTCAAGATGAACTTCAAAAGCAGAAACTCGTGCTCGAGCTCTACTGGACACCCAAACTCATCGGATGCATCGGCTTTGTCATCTCGGGACTTTTGGCGACCGTAGAAGTTCAGGACGCCTGGTACAAACCAAAGCCTTTCATTGTTGGATGGCAGGTGTCGTTCTGGAAGACCGTGGGCAGCAATCTCTTCCTGCTGTACACCGTCTTCGGCGTTGTGGACATGCGATGGTGGAGCGCACTCGCCTGCCTCGTTGGCAGCATCATCTTCCTCGCTGTCAGTCTGCTTACCTGGTATGAGGCGGTCAACATGGCTTCCTCGGGTCAGCCCCACGAGCCCACAGTGGATCGGGCTGCGAATGAGCGCAGCCCATTGCTCGAGCGAGGAGACGAAGGCGAGGAGCGAGTATGAATTCGGCGTTCTCGAGACAAGCCACTTCTGCTGGGTGTATGAGTAGGTCTATAGATCAGCGAGGCGTCGAGGTAGATAGTTGGTTCGATAAGGGTCCCTTCTGCATGCATGAGAAGCACTGCATTTCAATAATATTGTATTTCGAACTGACAATCGTGGCTATTGGATAATTCTGGGCACTTTCAACCCGCTCAAGATACTGGCCGACGAAGAACTCATCTGCCTCAGGTTCTACAAACGGGCAGGAGTACGTGTCCTTCTTCAGACCAGAGGAGAATACTGACCCGGAGTGTGAACATTACTGATCTGGTGGAACTGACTGACAGAGGCACATGTCTTCAGATAGAACCGTGTTCTCCCAGACGGCCTTCCTACAGCTCCTTCGCACAGCCGAAGGTTAATGTCTCTCCGAGGACGCTAGCAAAGACCAGGGTGACAGCGAATCGAGTAGGACGAAATTAGCCGTCGCAGCCATTGAGATGACCTTTCGAGATACAGCAAGTTCCAAGATTCACCATGCCAAGAAGCAGTCTCGCTCCTAGAGCCTCTCGTAGGAACTCTTCAGATGCGGTCTTCTCTTCGTCTCTCAAGCAGCCGCGACCAACATCTTGTTCGCGTAGAAAGGACTCAATCTGCCTCATCTCCTAATCAGCGAAATCTCAAGAACCAATCCATCCCGCCTCATCTTGCAGCCTGCTAATTCTTCTACCACAGATCTGATTTCGACATCAAGTCTATCTTCAGCATTGCTTCCATCCGGATGATCAACAGCAAACGCATCCAACCCCGGAAGCGGCATTTCCTCACGGCGCATCAAGTTTTGGGACATATTCACCCTGTACACCATGGAATCAAGTTGCACCTCATCTCGCAAGAACTTGAGGGCGTGGCGCAGGCCGTCTCGAACATCCTCAGCAGCAGGGTAAACTATCGTCTCAGGGAAAAATATGATGTTTTCGATCACGATTTGCCGCAAAGAAGATTTACTGCCATCTAGTAGGGCGAAGAGACCTTTCGGGTCGCACGACAGAATTGCACTAGTGACCGGTCGGATAGTGACACGCCGTAGTCTTGGTTTACTACGATCCAGAACCTTCCCAAAGAGGACTAAAAATCGTCGTGGATGCTGAGTGCTGTCTTCTTCCCACATAGTTTCTCGTGGCAGAGTCTCATGCCCGTGCACTGGTCGCAGGGCATTCTTGGCCAGGCTCGATGCAAATTGGATCCGTAAATCTTCCAATGCGCGCATGTTTTTCGCAAGATGCATCAGCCACGCGACCCAGCCGTCGCCCCCGGGGACAACAAAGCTGAGTTCCTTTATGCAGGGTCCCAGATTCGGCACGTAGAGCGCTTCCTGTGTAATAGTCGGAGCACCGGTGATATCGCCCTGGTTGTATCTTCTCACAGCCGGGAAAGGTTGTCGAATATCCACAGTTCTCACACGCTCTTGCAGAAGCTTTGAAGAGAGGATTCCGGTAAAGACATGAGCATCGCTCCACCAGACGGTCCTCAGAGCCCAATGCATTTTCGGCTGTCCTTCGTTCCCAAAACACGCTTGCCAATGCTGTCTTTCCATCGCCCTACCGTACACGCTCTCATCCGTCGCGCCGCAGAACCCCGGTCCAAATTCGCGAGTCGAGCCAGCGTATCGAATCGTGTTTACCATCGGTAAGTTGGCCAGTCCTCGCAGCAACGTGGCATAGTTCTCGCTGAATGAGTGGAATTCCGAATCAATCAGGTCCTGATAAACGACATCTCTCTGTCGCACTACCCGTTTGCCATCACTAACCACATTGGGATCTGGAGGCCATTGATCCCATACATGAAAATCCAACTTGAAATCCAACATACCATGAACACCCAGTCCAGGCCCCATATCCCTCGTTCGCATATCAGGCGTACTCTGTCCTATGATGACAATCTCCTTCACCTGATCTCTCCACTTGTCTGCCCCTTCATTGTGGCAGAAATCGATAGCCCATGCCAAACTTCTGGGATGAAGATAAAGCCTTTCTTGCCTGTCCTTCAAGAGGAAGTCATTGACCTTTGCCAATGTTCTACTCGTAAGTCTTATGTTCAGAGCGTCCTTGAGATCCGCTCGTTCCGTAATCGCAATGAGGAGTTCAGAAGGCAGATCCAGGAAGCGAAGACCCATGCTGATGGTTCAATGCGCGAGTCATCCGCACAGGAGTCGGCTATTTCACAAGGTTCCCCCGACGGGTTGGCGGTACCAGATTGCGCTGCAAGCTGAATTCCTCCCGATCTGCTTCGCGCGTATTCCAGCAATTCGGTCGCCGTGATGTTCGTCATGTAGCTTCGGCGAGCGAAGGGGAAGTGAGACTGAGGTCACGGTGAGGTGACGTGAGGTGAAGTTAGTCCGGACACCACGTGAGGTGTCCGGGCCGGTGAGCTTCGACCGTGAAAGTCAAATCCGAACTTTAAATTAACAATCTTCCGGGCCGTGTCCTCATAGACATATCACACAATCTTCAGGAAATAATATGATACGGCCGGAGTTGAGCTGAATACGGAGATCCGTCGTATCCATTGTACTGTAGAGATCCCACGTCTCTCGTGGAGCAGAGGAGCATCCAACGCCGTCGCTGAACAAGCCAGCCAAAAACTGAGCCGAGATCAATCATCTTCTTAACGTCGCGCACATTCCAAGACTAACTCATCAAGCAGCGACTCCGCCGATTCGAGCGGTTGCCTTTGTATCGAGCAACTGGCCTTTCAGCCATTCGCTAAAGCCACCTCCGACGCTCGCAGAGAAGCGTACGTAGCTGGCCATTGCAGTGCTGCTTGTGCTCGGTGGACAATGTTCGATGACAGGCTCCACATCCACCTCTTGCAAATCTCTGATCTCCAGCAAGTACTGCATCCATTCCATGCCATCCGTACCTCGCAAGAGCTCAAAATCGCCGGCGTTGTATCTGCTCACTTTGTCCCAACCATTCTCTCCCGGCCTGCCTGCAACCACGCCGAGCTCCAGTCGCCGGAGCCGGATGTTGTTGTTGGAGGATGTGACATATCGGAGGGCATTGTGCCACTCACACTTGTCGAATTCTTTGAGATACGGCAGAGCGCGCTTGACGACGCGAATGCTCTTGATGCAGCTGCGCGAGTAAGGTGATAGGTCGGACAGGAATGGGATAATGCTCTCAATGTGAGTATCGAAATCAAAGGTGTAGCTTCCGTAGAGGAGCTCCGCAGCTTCGGCATGGATCTGCTTGTTGCATCTCATGATGGCAAGATTCTCTTCAATTCGAGGGTTGTTTACGCAGTGATATGTGGTTTCCATGCATCTTGCTCGGAAGCGATCTGCTCGGATACTGTACGTCGCGCGAGCGTGACCTCCCGGGTAGCGCGTCTTGTACACAGTTGGGTCGACGGTGCGGATTCGTAAGGTGGGGTGCGACAAAATCGTGCTCTGAGGCAGATCGGTGCCGTGTTTCTTCTTGTCGTAGTCAAAGTAATCTTGCGTGCTGGCGGTGATCTTCTCGAAAGATGGACAGAGATCGGTAGCATGCCGGGGGAGTACGAGAAGAGAGTAGATATGCAGTCGAATCTCGGTTGGCAATCGCAGGAAGGGTGAAGAGGTCGGGTCTGCCTTCTGGAAGATGGGTGACGTGGAAGGCATCCGGGGCAGAGTATTGAGGGTGAGGAAGCGTGGGCTACAGTCGCGTCTGGAAGAGTCGCTGTCGCTCGTGCCAGCTGGCGAGGTGATATCCTGGAGGTTCCTGTCAAGCTGGGCGTAGTGCTCGCTGCAGGAGGTATAAAGTGGCCGCATCCTGTTGAGTCCCAAGCTTATATTCTTCACCATTCCCTCCTGATCGGCGTGGCGCTCCGCGACGTGCGGCCTGTGCTCCGATGTTCCAGCCATGGTGTCCTCCTTCTCAAACATAAACAGCTCTTGATCGAGTCGCGATATCAGCGGCAGCAAACCGGCAACCGCCTCGTGATCGCCGTCGTGTCCAACACGTTGGGAATAATCCCTCGGGCGCGAGGCGAACAGACTGAAGTCAACGAAAGCAACAGGTCTCCTACGATTGGGCGGCTGGTGTTCGGCGGCTGGCGCGCAAGACAAGACCTGGAAGATGCAGATCGGATGATATGGGCTAACTTATTATGTTAGCTGATGCGGCAGCTTATCGCTTGGGTGTCGATTCGTAATCAGCAGCGAAAGTTGGATGGATTGTCATCACTCTGCCTCGCCGAGGCGGGTGGTGGAAGTGAAGTCGGAGTCAAGGCAAACACCTTGTTATTCTTGCCAGTGTTTGCTGGGCTGACACTTAAGAGTATGGCATCACGTGTTCGCTTGAGATGACTCGAGGCGAGGTCGGACGATAACTCTCACCGCTTCCACACCATCCGCTGCAAAACACCATCACATCTGTCCATGAACCACGTTATGAATCGAACCAGGACGCCATTCTCGCCTCTCAACCGCAGACATAACCTGCATGGTCACGGTGGAGATATCACACTCCGCCAATGGAAACGCGGACGGACGCGCCGAGTTGGACCTCACCTTCTTCTACCGTTCCACGTTGTTCTTCCACTGCTCCATCGGGCCTCCAGTCCGCTCGGCCGCGAGGTCAACGTGACGAATCAGCTGAACAAGAATCTTTCACCTATGGCCCACGTCTTCCGCCAACCCCGATTTCATTCGCACTGTCCTAGACCAGAACGGCAGCTTGGGGCTGTCACGGCAGACGGAATCCGGAGCTTGATGGATATGCCCAAAGTCATCCGGCCGCTACACACGGACAGCACCGCTTGATCGAAGGGGTCTATCTCCACAGAGTCAGCACGAAACTGGCTTGAGCTGAGTATGAATAGAAGCTTGTAAAACATTATTCTCTCATGAGCTTCGGGACAAGGTCAACTCGACGCTAAGTCGCTGGACGTGTCTCTCGTCCGTAATGCAACCTTGAGCTCATCAGTCCCATTACCTTGGCTACTGAACCAACACCAACACCAACACCAACACAGACCCGGAATTCGTGGCTCGCTGCTGTGGTGTACTCAGCGAGACTTGAGAGCTTTTCCGCGCCTTACTTGAGGCGCTCGGCCTGTTCGGCAGCTTATGGTATCTTTATCTCGGCCCAAAGCTTACCTGAAGTGGCTGCGGTGCGAAAGATTCGAGGCTTTGCGAATCTTTTTTACGCTTCAATGCCTGGTGAACTCTACTGACAGGTTTAGACAAACTTTAGCCGCACAGCACTGTCTCCGACGAGACTTCATAGTAATGTCCATTGCGTAAACGAACAATACCGCCTCTGCGAAGAGATTCTTGGCGATTGCATGCCTCATCACTTGCTCGAACTACTATTTCTATTCCGTTAGACATTCTTTCAATCATCACCATCAACTCCAACAAGCGCTCGAAGCTCTGCCCGTGCGTGGCCTGATCAAACTGACTTCTTATACCTAGCCACCACATGGGTAGAGAAGCTTCTTCGCCTTACTGACAATCGCATTCCGGCCGTTCGGAATCTGGACCATGTCGGTACCAATTATGGCGTCGTTACCATGTATGGCGACATGCTCCGGCGTGAGCGGCCCCAAATCGGTCTTGGCCTGACTTCACGTGAGAAAATAGATTCTGAGAAAGATGTACAGTCTGGCGCACGGAGGACCTCATCGCGGAGTCTGAACGGTATAAAAGCAGTGTCATTTCTCGAGAGATAGAGTCCAGCCCATCAAGCCTCACTCGGGTCATCAACCACAGCAATCATACGAACAAACAGCAAATACACAAGTCAAGAACTTCTTTTCAGATCTTTCACATTCGATCATCGGTCTTCGATTCCTACCTAGACGTCACTTCAAACAGATTCGCAATCCTCATCAACATGCAATTCAAAGTTTCCACCATCGCCATCCTCATCACCTCTCTCCTTGGCAACACATTGGCCGCTCCCGTTCCATCTGCTCTAGCCTGCGCAGCACACTCCGACACAGCCCTAGGAAGAGCAATTCAATCCCGCTCTTTCGAGAAAATGGCTGCCGCAGTCGATGGCCGCGACCGAGCTGCAATCATGCTCGATCTGGCCGGGGCAATTCATGACCGATCCGTCGACGAAGTCGTGAGCGACGTCCAAGTAGCTATGGAGGGACATGTGCCCAGCCTCGAGGAACAAAAGAAGATGGCTGCAAGCCTTCGTGAGGGAAAGGGACAACTTCAGAAGCGCTATTGTGGGTGGTATGCTTGGGGATGTGGTATGTCCACAGTTCTTTACGGGCTTGGTGGGTATTCGGACAATTTCTGGGGGGGTATCGGTCTTGGTATTGGTCTTTGGCTCTGAGCGCTTGGTGTGGGCGGTTTTAGGTTGGTCGTACTAGAGGGTTTGGTCTTGAGGGAGATAACGAGCATCTCTAATAAACACGGATCGATGAGCTCTTTGTAGAGAATGACGAGCTACGACTGACTACGATGCACTAAATGAACAAAAGGAATTTCTTCGTTCCATTCCATTGGTCCCGTTCCCTCTGAAGCAAGTTCGAACGTAGGAATAGCGTGGCGATTCTGCAGCATGTCGCCTAAAGGGACAATCTCGCAAAGCTAGGAGCGAGCGGTATGTGTTTGAAGGTGGACCGATTGCGAAGCTACTTTAGCAGCTAGTCGTCTCCCACAACAGATCTGACCATTTGCTTTCGAGAAGAATGAAGATGCACTTTGGCATGCTTTCCATCAGTTCAACGCACCTCACGCAGGCATTTAAGACGATTTGATGTATCTAGGTTGACTGCACATCAAGGGCATAGCTAAGCAGGGGGCGTTTCCCATTAGACTTCATTATGGAAAGGCCGTCAGCCTTTCACATGGTCCTCTTAACTAGAGGCTTTGCAACCGCTGGAGATATGCATGACCGTATCTCTGCATTTAAGCTCCCTGTTCTAAACGCTGTGCTGGAGCTCGACAGTTGTGCCTCATAGCTATTGATTCATACTGAGCCGCAAGGCTCCACACTTTTCCCCCCTTCACATCAATCTTCATGTTAAGATTCACCAGAGCTTGCTGTTCGGAAAGTGAAAGTGCAAGAGAGCTGCAAGATATCCCCAGAGCTTGTCAAAAGCCATATCTCCATCCCTCGCGCGTGCCCGATATCGTCAGATTCTGCAGAGCAGACACTCAACTCGCGAAAGCCCACCAAGATCCTGCTACGAAGCTGTTGGTACATGGCACACCTTCCAAGCCGAGATACCTCGATGACTTCGACCTGGAGACGCATCCGGTAGCCAATGAAAAGACATAGGCTTAGCTTGGAGTCGTCCTCAATCCACGAACCATCCCACACCCAGATGTCGCCTTCTCGGACGAGATCATCAGGATCATCCAGGATCAGAAAGCTACACTGAAGACCGTTACGTTTGAGAATTCGAGAATGTGACTTTTGACAAAGACCGACAACTCAGGTATGTACAGTCCGCGAGTGTTGTCCATGCGGGAGCTAACGTTCGACAGTGACATCCAAACAAGCATGTCACAGGTCATCGCTTGCCTCCAAGATAGTGAGTTGAGTCTCACTGAAGCAAAGATGGCTGTTTCTCGATTAGACGAAGACGACTTGGGCAACGAAAACAAACCTTACGTGCAGGAGACGGAGCGTGGATGGGACTTTGATGCGAAGAGGGTCGAAAAGCGTCGTGGTAAAGGCGTGGTTCCTGTGTAGGTACATAGCCATCCGAGATCATCGTCGTAGGTTCTTCGGAGAATCCTACTGGCAGGATCGGGGGCGAGAGCATGTCGCATAGCGTGGCATCGGCAGTAGCGACTGTCATGATAATGTTCCCATGTGCGAGGACGCTGTGTACCTTGGCTTCAGCTGGCAAGAGGATCAATGTCGGCAATCGAGTTCTGTTTCCCGGCAGACTGTGCGTTCATCGTACCGCCGCGTGGCCATCTGAACCATAATGGAACGCGTAAGTAAACAGACGATAGACTTTTATGGAAGCTCAGGCTGATACGTGCCAAGCCGGAGTTGTCAACGCACTGTCTCCCGCGTGATGTGCGAATGTCCGAAGAGGTCCGCAGAGAAAGGCGGAGAGCCTGCAGCGATGGAAATAGAAGAACTCAGGCCGTCCAGCTCATGTCATGCTTGTGAGAATCTCCGCGACGGGCCAACTCTGTCGTGCCTAGCTGCTTCTGTGACAAGTTGAGCTGCAATATGAACACTACGGCCTGTCTCAACTGGCGTTGTAGACTTTGCACGCTATAATCAATTCATAACTTCTCTTCACAATGTCTTTTCATAGTCATAGTCGTCTTTGCCCATCGACCGAACGTCGGTTGCCATGGCGAGAATGATCAAAAGTCCAGCTCCACGAGCGCCGACAAGTCTAATTGAAGGTTTGTATCAGACGCCCTCGGCAGAAGAGCTTGTCGAAGCGTTGGAGGAGATCACATCTGAGAAAACACGGAAGAACATTGCCGGCGGCCTGTCATTTGACAGCTGCAGTCCGGCTTCCAGGAGCGAAAAGGCTGTCGAACTCGAGTGTACAGATGATTAGTCCCATTCTCCGGTGGGCGGCTCTTGCGCAGGAGAAGATCAAATCTGACAGTCGCCAGGCTATCCGGAGGAAGATGGAAAGGCACCAGAGCTGCAGCAACCTGGCGCAAGGTCATGAGTCGATGGAGGCGGAAGTGTCGGAGTCCGACATTTTCAGCGTCATCTCCGGACAGTCGACGAAGCCACCAAGTTTCATGTCCCTTGTTTGAGCTAGAAAACTGTGCAGAGTCACGGGATAACAGAACAGTAAACAGCGATTTGGCGTGTAAGATCGTGAGGCCCGTGACGATGGTCCGTGCATTGGAACTAGCGTCTATTACACAACCTCACTAGTCGCGTCGACCTTTCTACTCCTTTCTTCACATGTCACCAGTTCCCTCTCGTGGTGCATCTTGCCGATTACCTTCACTATGATGAATGCAGAATGGAATCAACAATGCTCCCCCTCATGAGGCGTCACTCTGCCCTGCAGAAACACTTGATCCCTGCAATCGACGCGCCATTTGTCCGAGCGACAGCAAAGCTCTTCGTCGTCTTGATTTCTTCTCTCCTGCATTAATATTCTTGACCGACGTGCAGCGAGCAGCTCCGAAACGTACCTGACAGGAACAACTCGTCTGGCCTGTTGGTAGGCGCACTTCGACTCGTATCCCACCCGCGACGGCCGCAAAATGCTCCGGCTCGCCGCAAACCTTCCCCATCATCTTGCCTGAGGATGACAGCGGTCGACTTAGAAGAAATGGTCAGATCATGACCCCTCGAGTCGCTTCGAGGCGAGTATTGAATCACTGCCGACGTATCTCTAACCATGCCTTTCTTCGACCCTGAGACAATCGGCAACGTGAGCTCTCTCAACATGGACGAATACCGCTTCATCTACAATCCGCCCGATTCAACGCCTCGACTTCCACGAGAGTGGACACGGGGATGGCTCAGGAGGCCGAGATTTCAACTTGGACTTATCCTGCTGGTCTTAGTGGTGCTCACCACCATCACTCCACTGGGCCCGCGCGTCACTTCGATTTACGATTCGCTCATCGATGAATTCGTCACAACAATCCGAGACGAATTCGCAAAGATTCCTGAGGTTGTCGTGCCTCCGGGGGTATCTGTTGTCGAGCAAGCGCAACTACAAAAGGTCGCAGACCAGATGCTGCTTTTGTACCGCACTCTAGTTGATTTGCGCTACATCGACCCCCGAGGGGTCCAATATGGACCGCACAGAGTAGACGTCGAGGCAGGCTTGGATCTTGGGATTGATCCGCGAGTCATTTATTTACACCAGATACTTCCAACTGTCGATCCGGTCGAGGCAGGGGAGCGCAGGTTTCTCTTCGGCGGAGACTTCTCGGGCGCTACTTTTCGACAGCCACAGAGGATGACTTTGGATCTGGGAAACTTGACTCTGCCCGGCTCCCATCGATCACCGAACGATACTTCAATCGCTCGTTTGAGTGATTCTCCCGATGGCGCTCCAGTCATGATATATGACACAGAAACTGGTAAGTCTTCGTCAAACAAGATCGGTGGCGCGCACTGACCAAATGAGAGACCATATGTGGATTCTGGTCCGAACTCCACGGGAATCGCCAGAAAGCGCGAGTATACTGTTCAACCAAGGCAAACCGGCAGTCGAAGCTCTCGATTCGATAGACCACATGCTGCGGCGTCTAGACATCATTCCTGGAGTATCAGGGAGCTCAAGAGACCCGACGTTCGAATACAAGGCCGTCAAATATCTCTACGAAGCCACGCATTGGTACGGGGCATTTGATGGAGACTCGTTTGAGGCGTCTCGCGATATTCTGTATGCTAGTGCCCATGAATACTAAACTCCTATACACTTTGACTGCGTCTCGAACGGGGGGCCGTGGAGGCACCACTCGCGATGGCGTCCAACAATTCGCTGAAACCCCACTAAGACCATGGCATCTCATTCAGAATGCGCTAATATAGCGGCGAGAACAGAATGCTTGGCAGAGGAAAAGCTTGGCACAAGCAATGGCACGTCTTGCTTGGCATAGCATGTGAGAGCGCTTGGCAGGCAGTCCGAAGCCTTCGCAATCGTGGACAGTGGAGATCAATGTTCAAAACATCGAAACATTCGTGAGTGCAAATTGATCTATATAGACGCTGCATCATAATCTGGCCGACAAGCCGGGAATACCGCAACTTTGCGGTCCCTGTGTTCGAGACCCTGCTCCACTTCTAGGCGCCACTTCATCCATAGCTTGCGTCGTTCCGCACTCCTGCATAGGAGTGATCAGCATTAATAAAGCATCAAGAACCAGCGGCTTCGCCTAGAGAGTAACTCTTCTCCACCAACAGTCCAACCCACAACCCAGCAGTGAACACCCATCTCGGTCCAAAATGGCACAAGCAGCAGCATCAACATTGCCACCCAAACAAAAAGCCCAACTCCACGAAACAGCAGACTTCTTACTCGAAATCTACGAAACCCTCGCAGACATGCGATATCTCGACCCGAAAGGCATCATCCGCGGTCCTCACGAAATCTCCAAAGACCTGCTTGCCTCATACCACGAGCACAAGCTCGACCCATCCATCATCTACCTCTACAGCATCCTACCCTACATCGACGAACAGGAAGCAGGACAGAGCGATTGCTTCCATGGATCTTCGTTTGCAGATTTCCGGCAACCCCACGTCGTCCGACGAGGTCGTGATCCGCTCTATGCGGATCCAGATTGGAGTTTGGATTTCGATGATGATGACGGTGGGCCGTACATGAGGCCGTGGTATACGCCTCTGTCGAAAATGGGGAACCATCAGAGTGTGATTCTGTACGATGCACGGGAGCATCGGATCTGGGTTGTGGATCAGGAAGGCTGGGACACGACGGATCCGGGTCTGGTGAAGGGGTGGTTTGAGGAGGAGGAGCCTACTAAAGAAGAGAGCACTTGGGGCGATAGTGATGGGAGTAGCTATGATGAAGAAGACGACGACGATGAGGATGACATTGAATCCCACGGAAGTAGCGAGTTCTGGGAGGAGGACGAAGAAATCAACCAAGAAGAACTCTCCGATCTCCAGAGAGAGCCGCCATCGGACCAAGCCGACTTCGATGAAGGCTTCGAGCTGGTCGAGAAAGGCGAGACGGAAAAGAGCAAAAACGAAAACTCCTTTGAACACATCCGTTTCCGACCAGCGGGAGAATTCCTCCGAGATGTCAAGAGATGGTACATGGAACTGAAAGAACTCCCCGGACAGGGTGAACAGAGTCACGCGGAATGGCGTGCAGAACACGCAATTCTCAGATCCCTATACCGCAAGAACAACTGGCCATCACGCAAAGACTTTGACGGCGAGAATTTCGAAGTCGACCTCGCACGAGCCTACTGCGCCCAGAGAGCAAAACAAGCATCCGAAGAGCCCCTCCGGAAAGTCGAGTGCTTCCAAGGCTGGAGCGAACATGCCCAGCATATGCAGGAAAGACAGACCCAAGCCATCTCCGTCGCGAAGACCCCCGACGACGAGTGGAAAGCCCGCTTCGGCCTCTGGCAACTCCAAGAACGCGAACGGAAAAATCTCTCAGACCTGAGGAAAGCAGAAGAAAAAGCCGCCCGGCTCTGTCCGGGAGGGCAATGTCAGAGAGAAGAAGACTTACCTTTGTGGGAGTTCGAAGAATGTCGTGTCCAATTGCAATGGAAACGGGAGACTATCGACCGAACCGGCAGTGCGATACAAGTATCCGCCGATGACAGACGAGATCGTCAATACCACGAAGCCAGAAAACGCCACGCCGAGAAAAATCTGAAAATCTATGCAAAAGCATATGAAGCTTCCAAGGCAGACGCGGAGCGTATCTGTCCCGAACGAGCGTTTCAAGATCTTAATCTGGATAGGAAATCTTTAGGACGACCAGATACCCTAAAGAGTATCTCGCAGTGCGAAGAGGGGATCGAAGAGGCGCGGACTGAGTTTCGAAAAGTGGTGGAGTGGGAAGAGAAAGAATTACCGAAACATTTGGAGATCCCGGAGACGAGGAAGGAGGTGGAGAATTTGAAGGAGCAGTATTCGAAGTGGGAGAAGAGTGCGAAAGAGAGAAAGAAGATGTACGAGAAGTGGTTGGAGGAGCATGGGAATACGGACTGATCTGAGCTAGGCGCTTGCAGTCAGTCCTCTGTGTTCCATCAGATCTTCAAAGGTCCTAAGTGAATGTCTCTTGGAGATATCGTTCCCTCGAATTAATTTTTGATGGACAATACAGGCGATGCGTTGCGAGCATAACATCATTGCACCTCTGAATACGATGCTGAAGAGGAGGCGATCTGCAAGACAGCTGGGGAGAGTGCCGCACCGCTTTCTGGGGGAGAGCGCTACTCCTCGTCGAGCTCTTCCTCTTCCGCAAGAGCTTCATTCTGTGGTTGAATCTCGGGCAGCTCAGCTCGTATGTCGTGCAATCCTTTCTCGGCAAGCGTCTTGTCGAGGTTCTCAACAATGACATCCTCCACATTCGGCAAGTCAGACAGCCGCTGGACTGCCCAGTGAGCGACGCTGTGCGGATCGTAGTCTACGGCCTCCATGTCAGGGGCGGATCGGACCGCATCCGCAGGTTGCGGTTGGATCTCTACGAGTGCTGCCCGAAGAACGATTGAAATTGTCCGAGTGTTGGGCAATAGACCGCCGCGCATAACGAGGCCATCGTCGCCCTTCGCAGTCGGTGGTGTAGGTATGACTATTCGCTGGTACTTATCGATACCCCGAAGCCGCCGTATGGTTCCTCGCTCAGTGCTTCTTTGGCCTTGAGCAAGTCTGACCTCCGGAGGCCAGAATCGTTCCACCAAGCGTTGACCAGCAGCACTGCCATAACTGTGTACCACTCCTTCCAAGACGCTGTTGAAGTCGGTCGCGTCCAGTGTAAAATACTGCCAAGACATATCCCGCATGAGGTTGACGGAGAAGCTTGCCCATTGCCGATCTACCCCGGCGAGCACGAAGAGTAGAGTACGAAGACCGGCAAATTTGGAAGCTTCCCAGGTGCCTCTATATTTATAACACATCTGGAAAAGTAAGTCGCTCGCACTCTTGAGATCCCGACCGCAGGCCGGATTCCCAGCATCAGCGCCACGCACTTGCATGAGCATCGTCCGTATCACGCTGGCGAGATTGGAAATCGACCACTGGACATTGTCAGGAAGGTTGGCCAGCACGCGTTTTGCCGCGTCCCATCTACAGGCTCCAACGTGGCTATCGAGTATTGCCCGGTAAGATGCTTCGGCCAGGGGTATAGTTCTGAGCTTTTCGAGTAGAGCCGTGTCGTTGGACTCCGACGCATAGCGAAGCACCGCTGGCTGGATGAAAGGGTCTTCGAGCAGGTGCTCGCCAACTATAGCTTCCCCAATGTCATTTGGTTCGAGCAGTCCTTGGGCCAGGCTCAACTGCTTGGTCTCCGTCAAGAGCTCCAAGAAAGACCCGAGAATGGTTGTCGGAATTTCTATCGTGAAGCCCGGAAATTCGATTCCAGGCAGGTTGCTATTGAACATGCCATCGCGGTCGACGGAACGGACGAAGGATTCGCGCAGTAGCATGAAGCGCTGTAGTGACAGTAACTTATTCTCCTCAGTGCGTCGTTGCATCTCGCGGAAAACCTGAACCGTTCCCTCTACACTCCCCGCTGCGATCTGTCCGTACAGGGCTCGGACTAGCAGACCGTGAAGGGCGAGGTCTCCATCAAGCACATATTCGGGCAGGTCCCGTGTGTTCCTCGACAAGATGTCCTTTGCAAAGGACGACTCCAACTTGGCGGCTTTCCTAACAATTGCCGAATTCGCTGCCGCATCCACACCTGCTGTGTCAATCACGCGAAGCATTTGAGCAGTCCATGTCCCAGTACTGAGAGACAGCTTTGGAGGGGCGTCTCGGGGGCAGTCTACGGGTCTTCGCAAGAAGACGCGCAATTCCGTCAGTCGGCTGAGAGCGTCCTGGACCGCGAAGCCCCATGTATCCGCGGTATCGCTGACGTTCGAAGTGATGGCATCGACGTAGGCATTGACAACTTCGGCACTGACAGTGCGGTCGATTTGCGCACCTTGAGCAGACGGTGGGTCTGTAGTCGCGGATGGCCTCGTCTTGAACAAGTATTCCAACTCGGCCCAATTGGGAGATTTGTTGCCATTTGTGAGTGAGATGCTCTTCTCGTATTCTCTCCAGGACAGCGGCTTCCAGCCTTGTTTGATGGTCACGATGGAACGCAAGATGTCAGCGCCCTGAACAGTCCAGCCACCACGAATGCAAGACCAGAGTATCATCTCCATCCACACTTCGGGACGAAGACCTGCGACATGAACACGATAGACACTACCCGGCACCTCCGGGCGCAAGGCGGCATACTCGCCTCCCATGGCCTTGGCCTCTTCAACGACCAGCTTTTCGTGCGCGCGCCACGCAGCATCGGAGAGGGAGGTGAGGATACGAGAGGAAAGCAGGGATAACAGAGGCGGCTGCTGAACAGCGGACTTGTCGGGGTGTGGGTGCGACTGGTAGATCGACATGGGCATGACCTCTCTGTGGTGTAGATAGGCAATGATTTCCAGAACCTCTGGTTGTATCTCGCCACCGGCGCATGCTCGGGTCATAGCACCCAGCGATTGCCATATCTGGCCAAGAGCGTCGTGTTGTAAGTTGTCTTGAGGGGCATGCGTGGGGTCGGCGGTGAGTTCATCCAGGCTGCGGGCTTCTACCAGGCCGGATCTCGTTGTCGCATCGTCCATGGAAAGAGCGAAGGGTTCATCAAGAGTATCCGGGCCAAGTGGGATGCCATTCCAGAGCGAGTTTACGTTGGAGAGGCGTGAAGATTGGGAGTGGCGAACGGGAAATTTGTCGACGATCTTCTTGACCAGCCAGACGACTGCATTCCAGCGGCCTTGATTGATGCCCAAATGGTAGAGGAGATCCAGAGGCTGTTCTCGTTTCTGAGGATGTTGAGCGGCCAACAAGATTTCGGCGACATCGACGGCGCTCAGGTTGGGCGGTGGGGCGGCAGTAGTCCAGTCGGCAGTAGTCCAGTCGCGCAGGTGTGGCGGCAAAGCTCCATCGAGCAAGGCGGCCCAGGCATCGGGGTCCCTTGGTGGCAGATGGATCTTTCCAAAGATGGCATACTTGGGGACTGGAGATGCTGATGTCGTCGGAGGTAGATTAAGCGCCTTGTCTTGGGAGAGGGAAGCGGTGGAAGCAGGTTGGAATCGGACCAGTCGTAGTCGTGGTCGTGGTCGTGGGAGCGGTCTTCTGCATGCATTGGACAGCAGACCTCGCACACTCCACCTTCTCATTGGCGCAGGCGCATGTTGAGTCGTATATGAGAGGAGGGCGGCGGCGGCGGCGGTGGTGGTGGAGGTGGAGATGGTGGAAACGGTGGTGGTGGTGGTGGTAGTGAAGGTGAAGGTGAAGAAGAAGATGTCGAAGAAAAGTCGCGTGGAAGTAGATGACGCGGATAGAGTTGATGCGGGATGGACCGCCGCTGTCGCCTTGCGCCTAAAGTCTAATCACCCAACGCCGCTTTCCATCTGATTTCTTCCCGCTTCGAAACACTTTCAACAAAACACACTTCGCTTCTTCACTCTGCTCACTTCCATCCAATCCGTCCGACCACAGACTGCTCCCACAAGCAGCGCCGTCGTCGACATCCGCATACTGTCCCATCCGTCATCGTGAGAGACGCGTTCCAACACGCGACACGACTGAGCTTCCCGCACAGCGCATCACCTGATCGACGACAACGACGGGACCATCATCATGTCGGGAAACTACCGAGTCGGTAAGCCGGACAAGACGAATCCACCCACGAGCCGGGCCATCACGCTAAAAGATAATTATCACGTGCAGAGATCGCTACCACGGGCCGCGCTGGGTGCCAAGCTACCGAGTGCAAGAAGGAAGGCGTCAAGATTCTCAAGGGTGAGCTTCGTCAAGGGGTCACGGTAGTCATCAAGGAGAACACGTCTCTCAAATACCGCCATTGGTACGCACTGCGTCTCATGAGGAACACCTCCTGACCCTTCTTCTGACTTCCATCAGGGGCTGCGTCACGCCAACCGTCCTCGCCAACTGGAAGGAGAAGTCCGAAGGAGATCCCGAGCTGATCGATGGCCTCGACGAGCTTCCGCAAGACGCCCAGGACAAGGTCATGCGCGCCATCGAGCAGGGCCACGTCGACGACGAGGACTGGAGGGGAGTAAGTCTGTCCCGCACACCCCAGCATAATCCCGACTTCCCTACCTTTCGCTCCATTTGCCCGCCTCAGCGTACCACCTGCTCTGCTTGCTGACTTTCTTCCAGGACCCACAGATGAATCGACCTGGCATGGGCTCGGGCATGCACATGACGAAGAAGATCAAGAAGCAGTTGGGAATCGTAAGGCTCGTTGCGCTCTCCATTCCGCGTTTACGCTAACCCTCTGCCAAAGGAGGACGATGACGATGACGACGCGGAGAAGAAGAAGCCCGCCAAGAAGCGAGGCCGCAAGGAGGCCGACGGCGACGACGACGACGATGAGGCCGAAGCGAAGCCCGCCAAGAAGGCCCGCGGCAAGAAGGCAACCACAGCCGACGATGCTGACGAAGAGGCCGAGGAGAAGCCAGCTAAGAAGTCCAAGGCAAAGAAGTCGAAAGCAAAGAACGAGGATGTCGACGAGCCCGAGGACGAACCGGCTCCAGCTGCAAAGAAAGCCGCCAAGAGCAAGAAGGCCAAGCCTGCACCCAAGGCCGACGACAGTGACGACGAGCCCATTGCGCCGGCAAAGACTGCTCCTAAGAAGAGGGCGGCAAAGAAGGACGCATCTCAGGCGAAGCCGCAGAAGCGAGGTACGAAGCTGCGAAAAGACCCCGTTTTCATTGCACTCCATTACCCAGCTGCACTCAATCATCTCGTCTTGCCTTGTCATGTCTGAAACGAGAGCTGACCTTTTGTATAACAGGCAAAGCAAAGAAGGCCGCCGTCGAAGATGCCGAGGAAGAATGATATGTCCCTCCGCGAAAATTAGCTTGGTGCACGACACAAGCCATGCCTCGTCGTGCTCATTTCAGCGTCCACGGATTCATCGCCGCATGATGCGTTTGCGGTGGTAGAGTCCCAGCACATTCTACTTTCGCGACACGAGACTTGCCAGCGAATTTTTGCTGTCAAACAGCGTGCGAACCTGTACTATTAGTTCTCTGATCAGCTAGATACCCCTTTGCTCCCAAAGCGTAATGCAAACTGATACAACACTCACTGACGTATGCTGGACGACACACACACGACACAATCACGCATGCGCGTAATCTTCACGGCATGTATAAACTTCAAGATCTGACAGATCTTCACGCGATCGGATCCACGGCGCGAAATGCGGAGAGCAACTCTGTTCCTGCGCTAGTCTAGTTCCCCAAGGTCATTGACGTCTCGTCCCATGGACTACTACTACTGAAGAACCGACATGTCATTGTGACACCACCAGAGTTGGTCCTTACACGGAGCACTCCAGCATAGATTGGTGGAATGGATTAGCCCGGTCCTGGAGATCATACACTTCCACACCGATGCAGCTCGAGATTGTTGATGTCAAGACGGAGACGGACTGACACGTTCCCCCATCATCTACTCATACCCTAATTTCCCCATGGTCAGGGAGTGACGTTGGTCATTCGAAGCAGAGAAGTATAAGATATATAGTCCGGCTCTTCTTCACTGCTATCCTCTCCACAATACAGGACTGTAGACATCTACTTTGACAAACTCTCCACCCAACACATCACAACAATGTCTTCCAACGAGAACGACGTACCCTCCGACGAGGTCCAAGACAACGAATACGCCAGCCGCACCGGCCAGAAAGAACACATCCCCGTCCAGAAGGACGAAGAGAACGTCGAAGCGGGAGGGTACGAGGATGCCGAAGTCGCGGATTCGGACGCCCAGTTAGGTCGGTAGATCCCCAATCCTCTCTCCTCTCCTGTGCACACACTGACCGAATTGCGATATGCAAAGACCGCGATGACAAAGATGCCATCGACAAGGACAACATCGTACAAGGACGCACGAGGGGAGCGGCGAAGGAAAAGGGAGGCTATAGAGAGCCTGGGGATGATGAGGGAATTCCGGCTGACGAGTATAAATAAATCTCTCCCGCTCTGCCAAGAGAGTGATGATGAATATTTGAGCGGAAGGTATACTTGTGATATATATACTGTTTTCGTCTAAGCCTGTGGTTTTCGAAGAGAAAATAATACCATGGTATCTTCTTGAACGCTTTCAAATCCCAAGACCAGTACCAAAAATAACCAACCATACCGATGAAGATTCCAAGGGCTTTACGTTCCTACTCTTCAGAGCGCGGGTTTAGGCATGCCTTTGCCCTCTTTCTCCCACCCCATCAACCTCTTCGCTTTCGCTTCCCTGACCAACCTCCCGGCCTCTTCAAACCCCACCGCCTCAATCTGAGCAACGTCAAATTCCGTTTCTTCTCCTTCTTTCGCCGGCACAAAAACACCCTTCGCCTGCAAAGCTCTCGGCTCTTCCACAACTTTCCTGCCCCAAGTCCCCCAATTCCGTACGCATTTCTCCGCGGTGGACAAGTGGGGGAAGATGAGTTGGAAGCAATGCGGCATCGCCTCGTATCGCTCGAGGGTGACGTTGACGTTCTGGCTGGCGGCGCGTTTGGCCACGATGAGATCCTCGTCCATGAGCATTTCCTCGCCCACGCACATCCACATGGGACACGAATGCTCCCATTTCTCCGCCAACACGGGAGAAGCGAGCGGGTGGTCCAGGAGACTCAGATCACAGAAGAGATCTCCTCTGGGCGGGTCGGTGGGCCAGACATCATCTTTGGGGAACTTGGAAACTGCGTCTGCGTGATTGGGAGGTGGGAGGTAATCCCATTTGGAATTCGATGTGATGGAAGGCATGGAGCGGGAGATGTCGAACCAGCCGCTGTTGGCTGTTGCGCCTGCTGGGAGGGGGAGATAGACGTCTCGGCCGTGGAAGTTGACGAGGGGAACGCCGGTGCTGGAGCGGTGGAGTTGGAGGAGGAGTTGGAGGAGGGCAAAGGAGAGGTTTCCGCCCGCGCTGTCGCCCGCGAAGACGATGTTCTCGGGTGGGATGGCTTGGTGGACGGAGCCTGGGGGTGGGTAGAGGAGCGAAAGGTAGACCAGGAGGGCGTCGACGAGTTGACCTGGGAAGGCAGTTTGTGGTGCGAGACGGTAGCGGACGGAACAGACGACTCCGTTGCTTTCTTTGGCGAGGGTGCTAGTCAGAGCGCGATGGGTTCTCGGGTCGCAGAGGTAATATGCTCCGCCGTGGAAATATAGCCATACCACCTCGCTGCTCCTCGAAGGCTCGGCCAGCATGCGCTGATACTTCTCTTCTTCACTGATATCCGGCATCGGTTCATCCTTTGCAGCATTGGGTCTATACCCCGTCCACTCAACCTCAACATCCTCAACCCCAGGCTTCGTGTACTGCACCTCCCCTTCCTTCATGTCATCCACAGCTTTACAAACCACCTCTTCCACACTCTCAGCGCCACTAGCATCCATTTTGGCATTGACAATCCACATCTTCCCCTTCACACCAGGTTCCATCAACGTCCTCTTCTGAACCTTTCCAACCTGCGGAATCTTCCTCCCACCACCATCCTTGCCCGCATCCCCAGAACCCATTATCTGCCGCAGCACTTGCACCGTCAAAGTCGTCCGGAGATCCCATTTCGAAGATGTGGGCGTGGCACCAAACGTATGCTGGAGCGCTGTATAAGATAGCGAGGGGATCTGCGGGACCAGCAACTTGACCAGACCGGAGGGTTCCATTACTGTCGCGTCCAGGGGGAAAGGAAAAGTCGTAGTGAAGAAAAGAAGAAAGGATACTTACCTTTAACCGGTAGTGTATGCTACGCCATGCGCGCGGAAGACGCCTCTACCGAAACGAAGCAAGCCAACCAAGTGAAACTCTCAGGCGTGAACGTGGTTGTTGTAAGAAAGGCCGAACAACTGCGAGACGTCATCGACCTTCTACCCCATGCCGAGGCTCTTGTGCCAGGAAAGGAAATTGCAAGACCCCCACGTGACACCAAAGCGCACTGCACACTGCATGTGACAAGATACGGTGTACGAAGTACCGCCGAAGAAACAACTCAACTGCCACATCCGGTAGATGCACAGGAATATCGGACGACTTCCGGACTTCGCCCGCCAGGCAGGCAAATAAGCTAGCCATCGAGTGCTTTGTCAGCGCAAAGAATATTGAAAGCAATATTTTCTTGTCATACCATCGTCTATCCGATTACACTGCAGCATCTCAAACGCCATTGCCAAATACAAAGCAGCAATCTTTTTGGGTTTTGGGTATCGTGATGGTTGAAAGATCGCAAAAGCAGGACAAACGCCACTCGCCCCGTGTCAACCGCAACCGCCCATTTTAGTCGGTTACCTGTGATCCATTCTGTCCTGTTGATAATACAAGCAAGCATAACCAATAGCAATACCGTTCGAAAGCCCGTGTCGGGGGAGCAATTTCGGCAGAGCAGTGAAGACTGGTAGGAGCAGAGAGCTCCTGATGCCGTTGAAGCATGCCTCGTGGGAGAGACCGTGAGAGACCAAAGGTCATATGTGTGTGGAAACCATGCCGAAAGACCGAAACTGGTCAGATTTGTGTAGAGACCGTGCCGGAAGCCTTCGAGAGGAAATCACCCTCCTAAAACGGCGCGATCGGCTTGTGGCACGTTGGTGATGATGACAGAGATACTTTCATCCCCTTCCGAGCGAGAGCGAGACACTGAGCAGCTTCGGCCTTGCCGTCCTTCTAAGACGGCTTAGGGAGCTTCTCAGGATCTGCTCCGCGAGCGAGTATATCCTCAGTGATGAGCTTGTCGCGAGCCAGCCAGAGCATCTTGTACGCGTGGCGGATGGTGCTGTCAGACACGCGAGCGATGTTCTGCACCTCCTTCGCAGTCTTGACTTCGCCCATCATGTGGCCAGCCATGAAGATGCATGCCGCAGCGGCCGACAGAGGTGAGCGACCGGCGAGTGTGCCCAGCTTCTCCATCTGGTTCGCAAGTTCCTGCGCGACGACAACGGCCTTCTGAGTCATCCCCAGCTCGTTGCAGAAACGTGGGACTATCACGTCGGGTGGAGCAGTAGCGCTACCCTTGTACTCCTCGTTGTAGACGACAGTACCTAGATCACGCAAGTTCAGCAACAATGCTTGGACGTCAGCCAGGTGCAGATGTCCAAACTTACCGCCAGCAACCATGGACGTGCCGTTCTTCTTTCCCTCTTCCTTCTTCATGAGAAAGTTTTCGAGAAGCTTGAAGGTACGTCCAATCTCCTTCTTGCTGACTTTCGTCAACTCCATGACCTCACGGAACGAGCGTGGAACTTGATTTCGCCGACACGCCAGGAAGACGCAGCCTGCAATGAGAGCGTCCTGTGACTTGCCCTTGAACAGCTTGCTCTCATCCGAGTCCTTATAGAGATGCTTGGCGGTGTCCGAGACCGAACCGGGCAGCTGCCATCCGTCGCACAGTGCACCGATCTGCTTGTAGGCCTGCAGCAGGGACTTGTTGCCCTTGTCGAGGTTGGACTTGTTCTGCGCCCGGCTCAGCTCCCTGCTCTTGGCTCCGTCACCGAAGGCAATGTTGGTGTTCAGCTGCGCGCCGTTGAGCAGCGCATTTGGACCATCACCGACACGACTAGGGTCGTCATTGCCTTGGTCGTCGTTGGAAAAGGTACGCCATTCCGAGCTGGTGTCGATCTGGCGCTGCTGGAGGACGAGTCCGCAGCTACCGCAGATGAGATCGCCGCTGGCGTGGTCCTCGCGGAGGTCTGGAGGATCCTCGCGGCAGTCGTTGCAGATGACGCGCACGTTCAGATTCTCGCGCCACTCCTCTTCTTGAGGGGCCATCGGGTCTTGTGGGGGCAAGGCGCCCGGTGAGAGCACTTGCATCATGGGTGCAAAAGGCTTGCGGGGTGGGGAAAGAGAGGCGGGTTTCTTGATGGTGAACTCGAATCGCTGAGATGCACGCTTCTTAATGCCTTTAGAACTCTTCTGTAGCTTGTGGTTCCTTGCGTAGCAGCGAATGAAGAGTGGAGAATACGTGGTGGCGGTGTTGAGGGAGTATTTATGCGAGTTCTGGAGGCCGCACGTGCGACGTCAATACCGCAGCTACGTGAAGATCTTGTGTTAGCGCGCCCGCATGCTAATGACTGAGAGCAAATAGTGACTGGGGATTTGCGCGATTGTGATGGAGTCTTCTTTGTTTGCGGCGCACAATAGGGCGCGCGTGCAAAAAGGGTTGTCTATGCTATAGTGCCGGGCTCAAAGGCACTCACCCTCACACTCCGGTGACCAGCTGCTGTTGAGCGTTTGCTCGTGGTAGAAGTCGGTGCAGGAGTGAGAGCGGTGATCAGGCGTGATCTGTGCGACCAAAAGCGAGGGAGAGGTGGATGAGGCGGAGGAGGCGCTGCGTGTCCGGCCGAGTGAACCAGTGAAGGCGTCCTTGAGCAGCGTGCGGGTGATGTCGTCGCTGTCTCGCAGAGGATCGGCCGTGGAGCGCGCGCGTCGGGCGTCAGAAAACAGTTGCCAGCAACTATGAGCGTGATTGCGGGATTGCTATTCTGAATGCGACGTGCGTGGTCCGCGATGTGCAGGCGGGTAGGCGGTGGTCGGGAGGAGGATGGAGAGGGGAGAGATGGTTGGAGTTGGTATGAAGACTTTGACGACCGTGAGGCGAGACGCACGCTTGACTCAGCCGCGCGGTCCTTCCCGCTGGCGTCGGGTCAAGCCGAGTGCAACTCCCTGCAAAGCCCATTTGGAGACGGCAGAGCTCATCGCTTGACGACGAGGTTGCAGAGTGCACAGCCGCCACACCCAGCAGCAATCATGTTCCAGCACACGCTCCGAGTACAGGTACCGGCAACCGACAATTATACCTCATATACCGTCCACAATGCTGACTACTTAACGCGCGCAGGGCCAATCGCTCGCCAGAGCCGCCCTCAGGCAAAATGCCGTCACCCTCCGCCGCACCTTCATCACTCCTACTGCCGTGCGCCAGGGCATGTTCTCCCCATACGCGTCGGCACATACCTCGATCTGACTGATGAACAGCCGATCTCGTGCAAGACATGTACCTGAAGGAGCTCAAGGCCTACAAGCCCCAACCTGTCAAGCCCAACGATGCCGAGGGCCAAGTCCAGAAGTTTTCCATCCCTAAGCCACCACCATCCCCAGAAGAGGCCGACCTCCAAAACGACCTCTCCGCCTATGAGCAGCAGACACCCGAAGTTGAAGGCCAGAGCGGCGCCGAAGCCGGTTCCGGAGCTCCAGTCCAGGACTGGTTCGATGAGAGCGTTCTGGAGGATGAGGAGCCAGCGCATCACTAGATGAAGAGAAGCGCGGGTGATGTAAGGAGTGGACAACGGCATTAAGCAAGGAAGTGTATCATAAAAAGGTCAAGCAATGCGAATGCCAGAAGTCTGAGGGGTATCAATACACACACAGTTCCATCGTGTCCCACAGGATGACACCTTATTGCTCAGCCGTCATCGCAATCAGCTCATTGGCATGGCCATCGAAACTGGAGACAGGCCGAAGTCATCATATGCGCCGCCAAGGGTCTTCCGACGTGGAAAGAGGGCTTGAGGGCTTGATACCAGCAATCTCCACTAATCACGTGACAGCCACCTTCTTCTGAGAGCTCTCATTAAGCGCGATTCTTTGCTTTGACCGTTAAACTACCATACCTATCACGCTACTAATTCAATTTACAGCACTCTGCTAGAGCGACAGTTCGCCGATAAGTGGCTCCGCAATATTCATCTTATCTATGGATTTTCTGAGGACTCCGAGAAAGTCGACCTCCGTTCAAGAGTCATCAGAGGTAAGCTGTGTCAAACACTGGAACTACTAATGCGGCGATATAGGTCAAATATGGTAGCGCGCGAAGGAAAGCAGCGTTTGTCCTCACGCTAGCAATTTCCTGGCTTCTATAAATTCCCCCTTCGTACTTCGCACATTCTCCTATCCACGAAGAAAATCGACCCTGAACGCTTGCAAGTTCCACATCTTGTAATACATTGCACACATACAAGGTCCCGCGGCAAAATCGACAAAATGCCCAACCGCCTCCAACGCCTCGCAGAACTGCAAGATCCAACGCTTTCTCCCAGTTATACTGCCACTCCCCTGATGGAATCCGCTCCTTCCAGTCTCCGACACGCTCTTGGTCTGCATGGCCCTCGAGTCGGCGAAGAAGCCCCACCCCCAGCAGACATCCCAAAGACTGATAAGAAGACTTCCACCGTCACCATCGAGGGTCCCAGCTCGCCGCCTCCACCAGCAATGGCCCACATCGAACGTCCTAGATTGTCAGCCTACGATCTTTCTGCTCTCACTACAGCGGAAGGATTCCCATCCGTATTGCCAGTCTATGAGACTAGTAATTATCCTGTCGAGATCACGCAGCCCAACGGACAGACGTACACGGTGGTGAGACCGAAGCTACAGAAGAGAAATGGAAGGACGACGAGAAGGAGAACGACCGGAGCTTCTTTCTGTGGATGCGGGACCGGAATGGTCGTGATTACTGGAGTATTCGTTGCTTTGCTCTTCATTGCGGGCTTGGTGGCGGCGTTGTATTATGGTCTGAATGAGGCTCATGAGCAGTTGAACAAGGCATCACACTTGTGGTGATGTGGAGAAGAAATCATAGAATTTTGAACTTGTGGTCATACATCTCCCTGTACTATGTATACAAAGTCTTGGCAACTATATCCTCGCAGCCCGGAGATACCCGACCAACCCATTGACCATTCCGCCTAGCTTCTGAATCCTTCTCTTCTCCGTTTCTAGCGCATCCCGATATTGCTCCACAGCTTCCCTAACGTCTTCGTCGGTGATAACTACGTCTCCGTGAACACGCAGGAAGACCGCCATCCAAGCCTGCACGAGTTCAAAATCCCGCTTTGTCGAAAGTTGATACGTAAGTGCACGCGCAAAAGTGACGAATTCGCTGTTCTCGTATGACAAGGAGCGGATTTCGACTTCTGCTGCGGCAGGGCTGAGATTTTTGAGATGGGAAAGGAAAGCAGCGTAGTCTTGTACTTCGTTCGAGGCATGCAGGAGATTGGTGAATTCGCTGCGCATGCCTTCTCGCGTGAGTTTGAGGACTCTTGTTCGTTCTTTCTCGAGCTCTGCGGCTGTATTCGTCGCGGTGTCGGTAGATGGGAGGGTCTGTTGAGCCTGTCTGTCTTGGAGTGACGGCAAGAAGAAGGGCGCTTTTTCTGGCTTCTTTGGCGCTTCGATTGGCTTGTTGCGCTGTCGGATCATGTCCAAATGGAGAAGATTCTGCCAGCGAGAGCGAGGTACGAGAGACAAAGACAAGAGGTGTTCGGATAGTTGCTCGACTTCTGCTTGTGGGATATCCAATGCACCGAGTTCTGCATCTTCTTCAGACTCGTCTTCGGCTGTCTCGGCAATGAGATTCTGTCCGCCTTCCCCTGAAGCTGTAGGCGCTTGAGCTTCGTCGGAGTGAATGGTCTGCAATAGATCCTTTTGGCTTATGTGTCGAGTCGGCACATGAGTGAAGATGCTGCGGTTTGTCCAGATGTCAACGCCAACGCTGTCAGCCGTGGCGGTGGCTAGGTACTCGCCTGTAGGAGAGAAGGCAAGGCTGGTACAAGCAGCTCTCAGCTTGAAGGCGTCGACAAGATGACCCGTCGGCAAGTCCCAGAGGAAGACCAAGTGACCAGCGGAAGCTGAGATCCAATGACCATCATGCGAGAAAGCAAAATCGCCGATCTTCAAGGCCTTGAGCTCTGCGATGGGCACTCGAGAAGGCCATAGCTCTCGAACCAGCTTCTGTGTCGAGATGTCGATCATGCGAATACAGCCGTCGGCGCAAGACAAAGCTGCAAGATCCGATTCACGGTGGACCCGCAGACCTGTGACACGAGTGGAGCTCGACCAGTCAATCTGATCTCGTAGCAGACCATTACTGAAATTCCAGAACTTGATCTTGCCATCCGCGCCTGCCGAGAGCACGGTCCTGTTCAGGCTGTCGACAGCTAAACCAATGACTGCAGAAGCGTGTTTGCCCTGCCCGCGGTAGAACTTCTTCTTACCATCATCTTCTTCAATCAGGCCATGTTTCTCCACATCCAGTCGCAGCTGCTTGGCCTGCATGGGTGTCAGTCGAGCAGGGAAGCGCTGTCTATGCATGCCAGACTGCATGTTGAACATATCAATGCCACCCTTCTCCGAGCCAACGAGACCAAATGTACCGCAAGGAGACATCGCAATCGACGTGACATTGCTGCCATCTCCAGTGTCGAAGGCCCAACGTCCAGCGCGTTTTCGTCCCCAGAACCAGGTACGCGCTTTCTTGTCATTCTCGTGAGCCGTGAGCACACTCTCCCAGCCCGTCATCGCGCTAATTTCGGCCGATACCTGCTTCTCTTTCCCAGCTGGCTGCCAGATAGGGTGCTTTCCAGGTATGGCCCCTATACCGCCATCTCTGTTGAGGCTACAGGCCATGCTTATGATTGGAGGGCACTTGGGATCTTCGAAACTATCGCGGTTGCCAGATAAAAGTCCTTGCTTCTTCGCCTTCTTCTGTACAGCGCCTTGACTAAGTTCGGTGCTCTGGCCATCGCGCCGAAGCGACCATCCCCAGAGACTTCGATCTTTGCTGCTCGAGAGAAGCCACTTTCCTGTATCATCTGCACCATCTGAAGATGTGGGCAAAAACATCAGATTCGATACTGGCGCACCGTGGCCACTGCGATCGTGCAATATTCGCGGGACCGGATTGAAGGGTGCTTCATCAAAGATCCAAGTCTTGAGGCTATTATCAAGACCGCTAGACACCAGAATACCTTGACCCACAAGAAACTCAACTTTGCTAGTTCCGCCTGGTGAAGATGGGGTTGGGTGAGAATGCGCGGCTCGGAGCACGCCGGCTCTACGGCCACCGTTGTTCAAGTCCCAAAGAATCACATCGCCAGTCGCCGTCGAAGCAGTAGCCATCACTCCGGCTTTTCTCCCATCCTCTCCAGCGCCAAGGCCATCTGTGCGGAAAGAGATTGAAGTGACTGCCGCACCGGAAGGAGTACTGAGCTGGATTACCGTCTGATCTGCTCGCACATCGTGGATGATCAAGGGTCCTTTCTCGAATGCGATAGCAACCAGGGACAAAGCCGGCGTAGGCTCAAGCGCGGTCACAGCGCCATATGCAGTGGACGGCGGCAAGATAGTGTATACCAGCTTCCCGCTTGACACGTTCCAGATCTCCGCGCTGCCATCTTGTCTCCCCACGATGATCTTATTTAGAAACGTCGGCAGACTTGCAATGCACTTGGTGAGACGTACGGGTGAGATGCCGCTCAGCGATGTGTATAGCTCGTAGTTCGTGCTCTTCCAAACCAACAACCGAGTTTCGCAGACACCCACAATCCAGCTTCCGAATATGCAAAATGCTTTGACATTTTCTTCGTAGCCCGGTGGCATCTCTAGCTCTGCGTCTTTTTTGCCTCGCTTGAAGACCCACACTCCTCGTGATGAGTCCGTCTCTTGCCCGCCCCATGCTGCCAGTACTCTGTCTTTCCACGCATATGTTGCGGTGATGTCCGCCGGTGTCTGCGGTCGCGTGATGAAGACCAGGTTCAGACCTCGTCGCAAGTCGTATGTCTGCAAGCTCCTGCCCACGGAAGTCGTGATTTGAAACGTCGTCTTGCCCAATGGCACGTTCGTAAAGGGAACTGAGGTGGGAGAGACCAGGCCTACCGTGCGGTATGGCGCGAAAACTCTGGATGCGCCCGTCTTGCGCTTGGCTTTCGCGATGCCATTCGACAGCTTCTGGCGCTTGACAACGCGTTCATCGCGCCCGTCAATATCCATCTGCAAGCCTCTCTCTGTGTTGCGCCGGAAAAGACGAACTTTTGTATAGCAGAAAGTTTTGAAGACTCTGGGCCCCAAGCTTTCAGATTAGAGTTTATTGGCGCCGGCTAGATGAGTTAGCCGATATCTACCCCACCGCACACTATCACATGCCGATGACCGAATTTGATCGCGGTCTGTCTGAGAGGCCAATGCCTCACCAGAGATACACCGAATTTCCCCACCAGAACAGAAGATAAGTCACGCTTTACAGATTCGTTGTTGAAGGCGTTTTCACGGTACCCAATGGCTCTCTCCCTTGTCTCAATGGTGGAGTGATCCTTTTCCCGTCGCCGAGCCCACTTGCCTTTCTCCTTCCCCCTGTCCCTTCCAGTTGGTCGCTCGGCTGGAAGCAGCAGCGATGGAGACTCTTTCACGCACGACTTCCCAGGACAGCGCCCGTTCGAATCGCTCGCATTCGTCCGGACACCTCTTGTCCTCCGCCGCTTCCGCATCCTCGAACCGCAAAGCGCGTCATGCCGACCTCGACACCACGGTAGGAGAGACGGACCGAGCCAGCATCTCAATGCCGCCGCCGTCTTCGAAGCCTAACGATATTCGCTACCACAGCATCAGGCGGCGATCCTCCCGTTTCTCAGACCTCGTGGGTCCTGCTGCAGCACTTCCACCTCCCACCAACACACACGTCTCCCACCACGACAGCCATCCGACTCCCGGTAGCGGCATGGCAGATTCGGAAGAGGTGGCTGCCACACTCGAAACCATCAGAAAAGGTACATATCCAGTCTCCGGTATACCATCCGCGACGAGGCGATCCGAGGCAGATCTCGAATCCAACAGAATGAGCTTCTCTTCGTTATACGGAAGCGGCAGAAGTGCCGTGGCCAGTGGACCGAGTTCGGTGGGAGGAGCATCTGATCAAGATGGTTCGCGCCATTCGGACAACGCCGAAGCTGTCGTGCGTGAAACTGATCCTGCTGCAGCGAAACACAGTGACGGAAGCGATCGAGCAACCACCTCGACCCAACACCTCTCAGTCACTACTCAGAGCCAGAACGGTGCCCTGTCTCCTGCACTCGGCGGCTCGTTAAGAGAGAACCACCATATGAGCCATCCACAACCCTCCAATGGCAGTGGCTCGCCAGTCAACTCGCCCTCCTCGCCAGCGCCCACTCACTCGAAGCAAGGTAGAACCATTCGTGGCAGGACGCCTGGCAATTCGAGACGAGTATCTACCAGCAATCCAAACAGCGTGTCGCATTCGACAGATCGATCGACCATCGGTGGTAATCCGAACAGCATCGGAACGATTGGGATTTGCGCACTGGACTCCAAAGCCAGGAGCAAGCCATCGCGCAACATACTGAACAGGCTTGTGGGCAAAGAAAATGAATTTGACGTCGTTATCTTTGGAGACAAGGTGATTCTGGACGAGAGTGTGGAGAATTGGCCGGTGTGTGATTTTCTCATAAGCTTCTTCAGCGACGGCTTCCCATTGGAAAAGGCAATCGCGTATGCCAAGCTCCGGCGACCCTTCTGCGTCAATGACCTACCCATGCAGACTGTGTTGTGGGATCGACGACTGTGCTTGATGATACTGGACAAGGTCGAAGTGCCGACACCTCCGCGGCTCGAAGTGAGCAGAGATGGAGGCCCTGTCGTTCTCTCCCCCGATATCGCACATCGTATGCGAAAGTTGACGGGCGTGGAGCTCATTGGGTCCGACGATGGCAGGGGTGGCGGCCAGCCTGCGCCAGATGACGTACACCTCGAAGACGATAATGATACGCTCGTCGTGGATGGGAAGAAACTTCATAAACCATATGTTGAGAAGCCGACCAGTGGCGAGGACCACAACATCAACATCTACTATCCGAAATCGCAAGGTGGTGGTGGCCGGAGACTTTTCCGGAAGGTGAACAACAAGTCCAGCGAAAAGGACGACACGCTCGATATCCCAAGATGCATTACTCACCCTCACGAGTCGTACATCTACGAGAAATTTCTACAGGTCGAGAATGCAGAGGATGTGAAGGCGTACACAGTTGGCACAACCTTCTGCCACGCCGAGACTCGCAAGTCACCCGTCGTGGATGGCGTCGTCAAGCGTAACCCGAATGGTAAGGAGATTCGTTACGTGACCACGTTGTCCAAAGAAGAGCAAGACATGGCAGCCAAGATCGCATCCGGCTTTGGCCAACGCGTCTGTGGCTTTGATTTGCTTCGCGTACAGGATACGGATGGTTCAATGAAGAGCTATGTGATCGATGTCAACGGATGGAGCTTCGTCAAGGATAATAACGACTACTATAACCAGGCTGCTAAGATCCTCCGCGAGATGTTTATCCGCGAGAAACAGAAGTGGGATGGCCGAGCTACGCCGAGCGAAGCTGACGAACATGAGCGCCAGTACATGTCGCTGCCAACTTCTGTACCTGACAGAGAAGCAGGAGAGTATCGCAAGTTTACTTTCAGTAAGGACAAAGAAAGTGGACATCGGGGTGTTCTTGGAGAAGTGTTGCGAAGCCGGAGCATCTCTCAGCTACGAGACAGTGTTCATCACGCTACGCAGCGCGTAGGGCAGCATACAGGCCGCAGCTCGAGCGGAAGGCACAGCCCTATCTCCTCGCCACCGACCATTGAACGACCTTCGTTCCAGAAAACGTCGCCCTCGCAATCCATGTCCAAAGCGGACCTGCCTCCTCCCGCTGTAACTCAGCCAATGGACGAGCCGCATGCGATGTACAAAGATGTCTTGGAACCCGACGCCCTTGTTGAGAATGAAGAACCACCAGCAACCCTTCCTGCTCCTGCGCTGAGAAGTCAGTGGAAGCTCAAGGGGATGGTAGCGGTCATTCGGCATGCAGACCGCACTCCCAAGCAGAAGTTCAAATTCACATTTCATACCAAGCCATTTGTGGATCTGTTGAAAGGACATCAGGAGGAGGTTCTGCTGGTCGGTGAAGCAGCACTCAACAGCGTACAACAAGCCGTACGTCAGGCAATAGCTGAAGGTGTGGAGGACATGAACAAGCTTCGCCAATTACAGAACGCATTGGCCAAGAAAGGCGCTTGGCCGGGCACGAAGGTCCAGATCAAGCCCATGTTTAAGAAGCCCAAAGAAAGCGAAGAGAAAGAGGGCAAAGAGCAAAAGGCCAAGGACAAAAAGGCAAAGCGAGACAGCATCCCGATGGTCGAAACGGGCGAGTCTTCCCGCCAAGAATTGGAAGGAGATGCTCGCATTGATCCGGCTACATTCACTGCGACGGACAGCCCCTCTGGTCCTTCTGGAGCCCGTGCTCAACATCGCAGCGACTCGCTTGGAGAAATCACAATGTCCCGAGCTGCAGCCGCTGACCAGAATTTGGTGCTCGACAAACTGCAGTTGGTGATGAAGTGGGGAGGCGAACCAACCCACTCTGCAAGATATCAGGCTACTGACGTAGGTGAGAACATGCGGAACGATCTGCTGCTCATGAATCGTCGCGTGCTGGACGATGTCTCCATTTATACCTCCTCAGAGCGTCGCGTCACTACTTCAGCTCAGATCTTTGCAACCGCCTTCTTGGACCAGAAAGAGATCGGTGCCGATCAAATCCACGTGCGGAAGGATTTACTCGACGATTCCAACGCTGCAAAGGATGAAATGGATAAGGTAAAGAAGAAGTTGAAGAATCTACTCAGGCAGGGACACCAAGCGCCCGAGCAATTCGCTTGGCCTAAGGACGGCACGCCAGAGCCATACCTGGTAGTGCGACGGGTCGTTGGACTGATGAAGTTTCATCGCCGGGTCATGCGCCACAACTTCGCTAAATTACAAAACTCCGGCGCCGTCTCGTCTCTCGAGAAATTCAAGAAAACCTCAGGCCAGCAGGCTGACCCTTCAGCGCTTGCTCCTGGTGTGAATGGAAGTCAGGTGCAAAGCAATGTTGATACCTCTGCATCAACGATTCAACCAAGATGGTGTACTGGAGAAGATGCAGAGCTGTTCAGAGAGCGTTGGGAGAAGTTGTTCAACGAATTTGTTGACGCGGAAAAAGTTGATCCTAGTAAGATCAGTGAGCTCTACGACACTATGAAGTTCGACGCGCTTCACAACCGGCAGTTCCTGGAGTGGGTGTTCACACCTAGTACCTCGATCCTGGCTGAAGATGATGAGCTCGAGGTTGGTTCGAGATTGAAGAGAACTGAAAGCACGAACGCCCGCGAAGAGTTCGATCAGACCCACAGAGGCGAGGCACCTTTTGCTCCAGCAGGTCCAGTCCGAGGAGCGTCGCCAATGCCTGAGCAGAATCCCGAAATGGAGTCGCTTCAGCTCCCGCCACCTAGAAGAAGCGACACCGCCAGCACAGCAGCGTCAACGTTCAGTAAAGAAGATGCGCGTAAGGATAAAGAGAATGGCAAGGACAAGGCCACTTTCTCTCAGCGGCTGGGGCTCAGGCGTAAGTCACCTGACTCCATGGCCGTGGCAAAGAATGCGGTGGCTATTCCTGCGCCGCAAGACGACCCTTCAGCTTCGTACTTCAAGCTGTTCAGGGGCATCGTGCCGGCCGATCAGTCCAACTTCAAGAATGACGTCCGCCTCGAGAAACTCAACGAGATGTACAGCCTGTCCAAAATTCTTTTCGACTTCATTGGCCCTCAAGAGTACGGCATCACTGATTCGGAAAAGCTGGAAATCGGACTTTTGACTTCACTGCCTCTGCTCAAGGAGATTGTCAAGGACTTGGAAGAAGTTCAGGCATCCGAGGACGCCAAGTCTTTCCTCTACTTCACCAAGGAGTCACACATCTACACCCTTTTGAATTGCATCTTGGAAGGTGGCGTCCAAATCAAGATCGCGCGGAACGCCATCCCCGAACTCGACTACCTCTCTCAGATTTGTTTCGAACTTTACGAGTCCGAGAACACAGGCACAGATGTCGACCCCGAGGACCCACACAGCAATTTCAACTATTCCATTCGTATTACGATATCGCCGGGCTGTCACACCTTCGACCCGCTCGATGTGCAGCTCGACAGTAAGCATTGCATCGGGTACACGCCTAGACGATCCCTGACACGGCACGAGAACTGGAAAGATATTATCTCGACCCTGAGGGCCAAGTTCCATACTGTCAAGCTGCCGAAGAGTTTCACCGCGGTCAATCTGAGCGAGAGACACCCGCAGGAGTTTGTGGCGGATCCGGAGCATGGCCTGGCCAACGACGAAGACCTGATGGAGCAAGTTGAAACGGTGCAATCTCAGGGGGAGGAAGCCAGTCAGATTGCACCAGCGCATTAATCAGGAAGAGCGTTGCCATTCATGAGCGCGGCCTCTGCAGCGGAATGAGCATCCAGCGAGCATGGATCGAGTGTAATTCTACCCCATTGTGATCCAGTCACAGATAGGTGCGTTGTAGAAGTGTCATAAGTAGCATAGTTGCCTCTGCAGTAAAATGTACAAACGACATCCAAAGCCGTTACAACTATCCAACAGTCTTCACACCAGCAGTCTTCACACCAGCAGCCTTCCACGCCTTGGCTAACACCGCTTTCCCCTCACCTGTCAGCAAAGCGAATGGCTTCCTCGATTCCGCCCCGTTTTGCACAGCCGCGGCAAAACCCCCTTGCTCCTGAAATCATGGTCCAAGATACTCCTGTGCGTCAGCCTCTTGCTCTACTCCGAAGAGGCCTTTTGGGATTGATAATCTCAACAGCACCCGAGCAAAAGGCTACGTAGGAGGCCAAGCCTTACATGACCTCTACATGGCCTCCAGAGCATACCCAACTTTCGGCTCGTACGAGGAGAAAATCGTTCACATTCATTCATGCAAGTACGGCAACATCATGGTGCCATCTACAGCTTCGTGCCCAGATTGACATGCACCGCTTTAATCTGCGAATACGCCTCCAGACCCGCCTCGCCGAGTTCTCGTCCGATCCCACTCTGCTTCACGCCGCCGAAAGGTATCCTCGGGTCACAGTCATTACTGCTGTTGATCCACACCTAGAGAAATGTTATCAGAATATTTACTCATCACGCTCTTTGTTAAGGTACGGATCACAACTCACCATGCCGGCTTCAATCTCCGCAGCAACGCGATGTGCCCTTTCCAGATTCTGAGTGAAGACGGCAGATCCGAGACCGTATGTGGTGTCGTTTGCTCTGCGAATCGCGTCTTCTTCGCTGGAGAATCTCGAGATGACGACCACGGGGCCGAAGATCTAAAAACAAAAAAAGAAAGAGACTTCGTCAGTGAAAGTTGCAGAAATTTTTTGTCCGGGGGAGTAAAGTTGTGCTTTACCTCCTCACGATATATTCGCATCTCATCAGCAACGTCAGTAAAAACCGTAGGCTCGATGTAGAAGCCTTTGCCTTCTTTCTTCTGTCCGCCCAGGACCACCTTGGCGCCTTCTTGCTTGCCAGATTCGATATGGGCCAGGATTCGCTCGTACTGTTGTCGGGAGACCTGGGGGCCTTGGTAGGTCGACTCGTCCCATTGGTCGCCTACCTTGCTGACTTCCTTCACGGTCTCCACCAAGGACGTCACGAAGCCATCGTAGACTTCGTCCTGGACCAGAATGCGAGATGTGGCGGTGCAGATTTGGCCCTGATTTGACCTGGCGGCGGCGTCGGTCGCATCAGTCAGCTTCCTGTATACGGAGATTCTGAAAGTCACGCTTTGGCTGCTGACCTACATTATGCCCAGGTGCGCCCACTTGACGGCTTGCTCCAGGTCTGCGTCGGAGAAGACCAGCAAGGGGCTCTTGCCGCCCGTCTCCAGGGTTATGTTCTTCAGAGTCGCACTCGCCATCTTCATGATCTGTCTCGCGGTACCAGTAGAGCCCGTGAAAGCCACTTTGTCCACAAGCGGATGCTGGACCAGGGCAGATCCCGCCTCCGCTCCGTAGCCATTGACGAAGTTGACGACTCCAGGTGGGAAACCGGCTTCCTTGACCAACTGCCCGAGCATGAGGATGCTCAAAGGTGTTTGCTCTGCCGCTTTGAGCACGACTGTATTCCCGCACGCCAAAGCAGGACCGAGCTTCCATGTCGCCATGGAGAGCGGATAATTCCATGGAATGATCTGTGCCACGACCCCGATCGGCTGCCGAAGGGTATAGGCGAATTTCTGCGGCGCGGTACTGATCGTCTGTCCGAACGTCTTATCCGCCCAGCCGGCATAGTATCTGATGGTCGAGATAGCCTCCGGTAGATCGACAGTCAGGGCTTCCATGTAGCTCTTCCCGTTGTCCCAGGCGTCGATGGTCGCGAAGAGTTCCTTCTTGCTCTCGATCAGATCGGCCAATTTACTCATGAGCCTTCCCCGGTCGGTCGGAGGGAGGAGTTTCCATGAGGGATCTCTGAGCGCTTTATGGGCGGCTTTGACGGCGAGATCAATGTCCTCTTCTCCGGCTGCTTGGACTGTGGCGATGTCCTTTTCTGTGCTGTTTGGATTTTCAGCTACTCTCAGTCCTCGGCCGCCGGAAGAAGAGAGATGATACAACATACGCTGGGTCTATCGAAGTGATCGTCTTCCCATTCTGGGCGGCTACAAACTCGTTGTTGATAAACAACCCCGTTGGCTGGCTGTATTTCTGTCCATTAGGCGCTTCAAGGTCGATTGCCTGTGCCATGATCGATCGTGTAAAGGGTTGTAATTTTGAAGATCTGACGAAGAGGTCTCCTGCAAACACCTGCCGTGTACCACATCGCTGTACAACGTCCATCTGATCCTTGGCCGTCCTGCAGCTCACGGCCGTCAATCGGCGAAGCCTGCCTTTCTCGCTTGTGACTTCCTAATTGAATCAGGTCTTATCGATTACCCCATACAGGAGCGTATCAAAGCAGCTGCTCAGGAGCGTATCAACAGGATTTGATGAGTGAGTAGAGATAGCTTCATGGGCGTCACGTGCCGCATGTGCTTTTCATCTTGGAATATTGTACATAGAGCTGTTTCTAGTCTTCGTGAGCAAGTCTCATATGCTGACGCTCCAACCAGCTCTTGGTGGCCCGTCTTTCTGCATCTACGCCATATCCTTGCCACCAAGTGTCCCGCTCCCACTTGACGAGTGACTTGGCATTGTGACTTCGTCTTCTTCTTTTCCCGTCAAAACGAGACTGCTCATGTATTCTTGAACAGAAAGATTCCTTTCCCGCTCCTAAACCCCTCCAAAGCACCCTGTACAGCATTCACCAGCTCCTCCTGCTTCGTCGTATGCTCCCAGGTAACCGGGTCCATCGGGATATCCTGGAATTTGCCCTGTCTGGTGAGGTCCAGAATTTCGCGGACGCAATCCTCCTTCTGCTGAGGGTTCTGATCGCTCCATCGGCTTACCCAGAAGCCGTGGAAATTGATGTTCTTGAATATCAGAAGGCCCATGGGAAGATTGACGGGCTGTTTCGACATGGCCCCGTATGTCACCATTGGAGAGCCGGGCGAGAGATGCTTGGCCATGTTGTTGACGAGAGGACCGCCTACGCAGTTGAGACCAAGGCGGATCTGTTCCCTGCCGCCGTTTGTGAGTTCCTTGATCTTGTCACGGAAGTCTTTGCTGTTCAGTTCTTCGTCTGTGACAACAACGTCGGCACCCAGGCTTTTGAGGTCTTGGACGAGCTGTTCATGTCCACTCTCTCGTTTCCTCACAACGTTTATGCTCTTGTAGCCCCACAGCTTGCCCAGTTGAATCGCTGCTCTCCCAACGCCAGAGTTCGCTCCATTCTGCATGAACCAGTCCTGTCCCGGCTTCAACTCCACGAAGTCACGAAGCATGCGATATGCCGTACATGGATTGACTGAGACTGTGCCCACCTGTTCTGGTCGTAGCCCGCTCTTATCCTCAATCTTGACCACTTCCTCCGCTTTGCACTGTGCATGCGTGCGCCATGTCCCGAATCCTTGCTTCCTCATGATGACCCAATCACCCTTCTCCAGACCTTTCACATTGCCTCCTTTCGCGATGACTTCTGCAACACCTTCATTGCCTCCCACAGCGATCGGTTCTGGCGTGCTCAAGGATGTTATGAAGGTGGGTTTGGTGGGGTAAACGCCTTGGATCTGGTTGATGTCGGCTGGGTTGATGGGTGAGGCTATGAATCGAAGCGTGAGCAGGTCGCCAGTCGGCGGAGAGATGCTATGGCCGTGCAAACGCAGGACATCTTTTGGCTCTCCGAAGTTGGGTAGGACGAGGCATTTTGCCTGTTCGTATCCGAATGAAGAGATGCAGCGCCGTTGGATTGGTGTTGATGGAGGGTGAGTGCGGAGAGCTGTGACGGCCGTTCTGGATGCGGCGGTGAAGACAGCTCTCGAGGGCGCCATGCTTGTGGAATGTCGTTGTTCAGCGGTAGGCGAAGAGGAACTTGGAGATTGTACATGTAGAGCTCACGTCACTGCGCGATGATGTCGCCGTCGCCCTCGGCAGAGCATTGACTTTCTCGGCAGACGGAGCCGAGTCCGGTCTGTACATGTACTGTACTCACTTCTTCCTCTCCTAAACAACGACATTCAATACACCGAAGTCACCAAGAGGAATACATGATGCCATGAACCACTATCATCCTGTTATTAATATCTTTTACGAAGACTTGAAAACCAACCGGACGTTCCAATTCGCCTGCGAGGCTCTACTTTCTTCTCCAACCTCCACCGATTCTCCGGCAAGTGCTCCACGAAGATGCTCCTCCTCCTGTGATTGCGCGCCCATCGCGGGTCAACGCCGCTGTCGATACTCGTTCCGCTCTTGCTGCTGCATTCCGCTCCGCCGACGTTGGTGTTGATGGGCGGCGGCGGCGGTGGACGTCTTGGCATCGCGGGTTGTCCAATGGGCCGTGAATGGGCGCTGGCGCTGGCGCTGCTCGCACCGGCATCGAGGTTGAGCCATGCAAGAGAATCAGACGGCGCTTGCGTCTCTCCTTCCACCTGCAATGAGTCGACCCGGTAATCATTCTTGACGTCGACACCCTGGGCTACACTCGGTATCTCCTCGCCCCCATTGACAACCGCCGACCGTGACCAAGATCTTTCTCTCCATGTTGATATCATGGCGTGATGTCCCACTGATGCCCAGGCTGGTCGAGTCCGTCTCTCTGGCATACGGAAGCCACTCCCATCTTCGGACTCATCTGGACTGCCCTCCACAACTCGGATGGGTCCCTGTGTACCGCCGCAGTCGAGAACGTTCGGCATCGATGCCCATCTCTCAAGCCTTGTCGCGCCTTCGCGTCTACTCGGTGGCGAATCTGCTTGCTCTTGGCTTGTTCTGCCTGCTATCCCCGTCATTGTCGATCGCGTGGAGAGGAACCATCAATCCGTGTAACTAGCCCCTGGCATCTCAAGCTCATCGTATTCTGATGCGGCGGTGCTGGAGCTCGTCGTCGTGTGATATGTTGTGGCTAGTGATGTGGGACTTGGCGGCGCCGACGTCCAGTACTCAAGCAGCCAGGATTCTGTCAACGGGCTCAATGGTGCTGCTCCAGGTGCCTCGGCGGATGGATCTGCGATGGGGCCGCTTTCGTCTTCTGAAGCTTCCTCGATAGAAGCGATCTGTGATCGGATACTGACGTGTCTAACGACCGCCTCTCTGTCGACATGGCCAGTTTGAATGCGATTGCGATAGTCGACACGATCGTGGTACTCTCTGCGGATCTGTTCCCATGCAATGTCTGCCACTGCGTCGCTTCCTGTGCGCCGCCTGCCAGAAAGAGCAAGGGGCTCCTCGAAAGACAATGAGGCAACTCCATCCAGCTCGTGGTCCGCGACTACTTCAAGGGGTATTATCGGCGTACTTCGATCTATCTTCAGTTCGATTGGCTTGGCTTTGCTGACAACACCGATTCGACCCAGCGCGCTGGAGCTGTCTTCAACTCTGTGCGCGACATTTGTGGTCCAACCTTCCAAGCTTCCGGATTCTGGACCTTGCGAATAGCTTCCGAACTGCTGATATCCACTTGTTGCGGCGGTATCTGCGATTACCACTTTCGGTTCGGGAGTACCAAGCGAGCCTCTACTTCGTTCCTTTCTGGATTTGGGGGAGAAGATGGCCCTGCTCCCGTGACCATGTCCCGCCTCGCGACCTTGACTTCGCGACGGACTGAATCGCGGCATGGTATTTCGCATCCCCTCGATGTTACGATCGGTGATTGTCCTCAACCTGGTCACACAGACACGGTAGTCTTCACGTGCAAGTCGCGTTGTTGTCTGTCAAGCGTATTTGGGTTATTGCTGGAGCTGTGAGCTTGGTATGTACCCTGAATTTCTGGAATTTTGCTTTGCGTGTGGGAGAGTGTTGTGGAAGAAGTAGTTCGACTGATTGAAGTGCAGTATCGTTGGTATTATACCTAGCGAGAGGCCTGTCCTCACCCACTCAGCTATCTGGGTATTCTGGTTGGCCATCCTGGAAAACGTACGCTTGGCATTCATTCTTGCCACTCGGAGCTGCTGACGAGAGAAACGCACGTTGAATTCCGTCGAACTTCGAAAACCACCAACATTTCGGCATCTCCAGCGTCTGATCGTTCATCGCTCTTCCTTCTGCTACAGAACTACTTGGACTCGCTTTCGCAGTCCTCGCATAGTATACAGGCGTTGCAGACAGGCTCGCTACCATACCGGCGGCCACTATGGCGCGTCGAGAAGCGTACGCTGACATACGCGGTGTCGAAGATGAGTTTGCAAAAACCACCATCGCTGATGTGAAGGAGGAGCGAAAAGACAGCAGTGCCCCAAATGGACCTCATGGGAAGAGAAAGTCGGTCACGATAGCCATGGCCGTCGTCCGTACGTATCGAACCCGACGCAGCTTTCAGCCAAGAGGGCAAATTCGCTGACACTAGTTTCACACGCCACAGCAGGCGATGCGCCTGGATACACATCACTCTCAACGAACGCCCTACCGCCGAGCCCAGCAGAGCCAGCGACAAATCCTGCTACATCGGAGGAGTCCACTAGACGCATCAAGAGAAAATCCGGCAGGGGTGATTTGAGCTGGCACAGGAAGAAAGGTCGACCTCCATCTCCTTATCCCAGTCCTCCGAATACGAGTGACAACGGAATGTCTGATGACATTTCAACTGGTCCGCCGCTATCCTTCCCGTACAGCTCAATGCGACCAGCCACCATGCACGCGATACCAGCTGAGGCCGGCTTGTTCTTTTCCGATCATGCAGATGCGCACCGTGAGTACTTTGGAGCCCCAAAGCGCAAGGCTTCGGGTTTATTCAGGAATTTCAACGGAGATTCTCACGTAGCGGCCAATGGCACGAGAAACGCTTTTGCTGCTGCGGGCGAGCGCTCGGAGCAAAGATCCTCCATCTTCAGCACCTTTACCAGGCAATTCAGAAGCAAGAGCTTAGGTGCCTTTGGCTTGAGTAGCAAAAGGAAACGAGAAGCAGATGAGCCGTTTGAAGGTCCGACAGCGAGTAAGAGGCGAAGCAAACTGAGCATCAGCCATACAAGGGATTACAGAGCCCATGACATTGATGAGTTCTCCGGGAGCAATATCAACGCAGCAGATGTCGACGCTGAATCACAAATGGGAGCAGAGGAGACTTTTGAGGGCAATGCAGAAGGCAGTGCAGAAGGCAAGAGGAACACACGCGTCTTCACGCACAGACCGCGGAGGAGGACTGTCACGACGACACTCCCGTCAGGCCAGTCTATCGATCCTGATGTTGCTTACCGTCGTCCATCACCAGTCTTCCGAGATGCCGCAGAGGAGAGCAGACACCGCAACAATGATGCCATGGCGGCGCTGGAAGGAAGAACCCGGATGGTTGAGCACATCGACGAGGAAACGCCCGAATATAGAAGCTTCGCGCGCCGGTACAAGTCTTCAAAATTCGCGGCTGCAAACGAACGGGAAGAGATGATGACCTTTGACGGCTTGCAAAAGAAACACAAAAGCGTGCTACCCGCTTTCACCTTCGAGACTGCACCTAGATTCAATCCTCTCAATGACCCAGAAGTCGAGTCTGCTGGTCCGCCAGAGCCCAAGAGGCCGGAGACTATGCCAGCTCAACATGCGAAACGCACGCGAACAGATGAGTTTCCTTTCATCGCAGGCTCCGAGAAGCTTTCTGGATGGCAAAAGCAGGCTATGGAGGGAAGCGTGTCCGAGCGGAAGGACATGAATACGTACGACGCCATGGACGTAGACTATGAGGTCGACTGGCGTGGTAACAAACGGACTGTCAGCAGCTACATCCTGGCAGCCGAGGACAATATTTGGCCCGAGCAGCAGGAGGATGTGGACGAGGCATTATGACCGAAACTCGGTGCAAGGTATTTCTTTCGCACGTGTTCGTTTGCCAGTCAGTAACTGACGATCGCAGATCGTTTGTCCGACATGAAGCCCGCACGCCACGCGGCATATAGTGAATGTCCTGTGAATAAGCAGAGCAAACAACCACAGAACAGAAGCTGCTCGATTGTTCACGAATGGACAACGGTATTGTGTTGGAGCTATGTAGTGAATACCCCCTTTGTTCTGCGAGTAAGACCGTGAAAAGATCTGCGCAACACACATCTCAGATCTTGTCTCTTTTATGTATATAGCAACACGCATCTCTCTCATTCTAGCTTGGAGGTGACAAGACATCTTATCTGCAACTACAGTAATCTCCAGAACTCATCATCATCATCATCATCATCGCTATTGTCGGAGACCCCCCTGCTCGACTCCCGCACCCAGATCTCCCCCTAGCGCTCACGACACCCTTGCAAGCGCACTCTATCCCCGGCAAACCAGGCCCACGTCACTTTACACAACCCGTTGCTGCTACCAACAACAACAAACCACCTCCTCTTCCTGATCCAAACATATCCTCTCCTCCAACTCCCGCTCATATCCTTCCCCATCCATCCAAAAGCAGCAATGGGCTGCCTCCCCCTCTCCCTCCCCCTCCCTTCCATCTTCAAACGCACCCCCACCCCGCGCGCCGCCAAACACGCCCAGCGCGACACCCAACGCCAGACCACCGGCCTCCTCGCCATCGCGCTAGAATCCAAGCAGAATGACTCCGTCAACTCTTTCACGGCAAGGGACCCGGCTATCTTTTACCAGAGACGCGAGGATCATGAGGTTTGGGCTAAGCATGAGGGGGGTGGGAAGAGGTTAGTTAAGTTTTTCTTGATGATGATGGGGAGGAGGAGGAGGAGGAGGAGGAGGATATGTTTTTTTCTTGGGGGGGAGAGAGATTGATTCTTCTACATTTCTTCTTCTTCAATATATCATCATGAGAGAGGGCTTTTTTGCTAATTTTTTGCGTGTGTGTTTTTTTTCTTTATTAGGGTCGACGCGGAGCAACATCATGATTGGAAGTGAAAATGAAAATGCAAGCGATTGAAATTTAGAGTTTGCAATGGTGCGCGGGCGTGGATCGTGGCTTTGGTGGGTGAGTGAATGGGTGGATTTTTATTTTCCTCTCTTTCTCGGGCTGGTTGGCTGACGCGGCGCAGCAGGAATTCCACAAAAAGGAAGAAAACTCAAGATGTTATGTTTTCTTTATTGGAACAAGGCTACGGTCCTAGCATCAGAGACGTCTAAAAGCCGATCTTGTCATCGTCTCTCAAGCAAGCTGCGGCGCGGTCTTTTTCTGCGTGCATCAAGATAGATCTGCTGTGAAGAATGCATGCAGTATCTGCTCCCAGACGAAAACATTGTTGAAGATGGCAAGAGAAGTGACTGACAGGAACACTCTTACGGTGTCGATAGAATGAAAAGAATGATGATGAAGACTCAAAGAATCGAAAACTAGTGAGGAGAATCATCTTCTTCCCGATACATGGCAATTGACAGAATTCTGATAATCGCGCTGACCTTTCGGAATCCCCTTCTGGGGTCTGAGTTGTTGGGCATCTAGCATCGAAAAGAAATGACATCGTCAGAGTCCTCGTCGAAGTAAGTGGTGAAGAAGCCTTGCCTTGCCATGCCTAACTCTTCTCTATCTATCACCATGCACCCCAACCGCCGTGATTCTGTGGTGGGTGGTCATGGTCAGCCCAAGGCATCTCCCAGTTCTCTTTGTGGTCGTTATTACCGCCCCACGGCGAATTCTTGAACCATTGGCCGAAATTGGAGTACCACGATGGCTGGTTCTCAGCCGGCTTGTGGGTTTGCTGTTCAGGCTTCTTCGGCGGTGGAGGTTGCTTCTTTGGAGGGGTTGGCTTGTGGGCATCCTTGGGCGCAGGCGGAGGAGCCGGCTTCTTCGGGGTGGGTTTCTTGTGAGCCACAGGCTTCTTCTCGGGCGCAGGCTTTGGTGCCGGCTTCGGAGCGGGCTGGTGGTGGGCTGGTTGTATAGGTGCCGGCTTGGGCTGTGCGTTTGGCGCGTCAGGCTTGTGTTGTGGTTGAGCTTCAGGCTTTCCCGACTCCTTGCTGGCGGCCACGCTTGTCGAGGTGCATTTGGTTGTGGTGTGGAGAGTAGTGGATGGTCTTGCCTGGGCTGGGTCGGGTTTCTTGGAAGGAGCAGGGGCGGCTTTCGCGGGGAAAGGTCCTTGTGGGTGAGAAGAAGATGATGGCGATGCCGGGTGGCTGGATGACAGGGCGTGCGACGAAGAGCTAGCTGCTGGATTGCCGCCGACAGAAGCGATCGCGGCGCCGCTGCTAGAGGCAGCAGGAGATGAGGAGCTTGCGGAGGCAGCTGGCAGACCGCCAACAGCTGCAACGGCAGCGCCACTGTTCGAAGCGCTTGCAGAAGCCGACTGACTTGCGGGAGCAGAGTCACCCGCCGAGGCTGCTGCGGAACTTCCAGTTGGCGCTGCAGAGCTCTGGCTCGCCGAAACAGAGGCAGGACCACTGGCGGAGGCAGATTGAGAGGCCGATGCTGAGCTCGAAGCAGAGGCTGATTGACTGGCCGATTCACTCACACTTGCCGAGCCACTGGCGCTGGCAGACTGACTGGCACTCGCCGATTGACCAGCGGCAGCAGATGAGCTGCTACTTGGAGGATCAATCGAAGGGATCAAGTCCGCAGTGATACCGACCGCGGCAGCGCGAGCCTCGTGAAGAGCACACGATCCGCCCGACTGGGTAGATTTCCCAGACAGATCGGAAAGCAAAGTGCATGCTCCATTGAGGACACTGGCGGCAATGCAGTTGGAGTACTGGCTGCAAGACGAGAGACAGTCTTCGATGGTACTTCCATCTCTCTTCGACTTGCTGCTAGGTGTGATGACGGTGCCAGAGTAGGCCTGATCGCACTCCATTGGGCCATAGGTGACGCCGTCGCTGTCTGTTACGGGTTGCCCGCTCGAATCAGGGCAGTAGGCTGAGTCTGGCTTTGGAGTGGCGGTTGCGGTCGCGGCGCTGCTGGAGGAAGGTGATGATGATGATTCTGGAGCAGTAGCATCACTCTGAGTCGCGCTGGCACCTTCAGACGCTGGAGAGGCGGCGCTGCTCGTAGCACTGCCGCTGGCACGTGCGCTTTCAGAGGCCGGAGCGGCAGCATCGCTTGATGATTCTGGAGCTGGGGAGCTTGTAGCAGTGGTGTTCTGAGGTGCAGAAACAGCAGAGAAAGGTGCAAGTAGAGTAGTAGTAGTAGCATTGTTGAATGGCCCAGAAGAAGGAGACGCCGAATTGGCCGGGAGACCAGCGCTGGCGCCCGACAGAGACGAGACTGCGTTCTCAGTGTTGTTCACCGGTGTGGGAGCAACAGTGCCATAATTGGCAGCTGACGTTGCCGAAACCGTGCCGTTGCTGCCGGCGAGTGTAGCAGAGGCAGTACCGTTACTTGCACCACCAGTGGGGCTGCTGGCCTGCGAGACCTTAGAAGCGCTCGTAGCACCAGAGACAGTGGAAGTACTGCTGACGGAGCTGAACAGGGTGCATTCGCCATTGGAAACTGTGAAACTGACGCAGGAGGCTATTCCGTCGCAAGAAGACATGCACTCCTGATCAGAGATAGTGCGCTTGGTATAGCGAGACCAACGCTTCGTGTGGGCTTGCAGGACGTCGCCGGTGAGGGCAACATCACACTGTACGGCGTATGCTACACCACTAGTATCGCTGACAGTCTGGCCGTCGGAAGCTGGACAAAGAGAAGCCTGGGTGCTAGAAGCGTTGGCTGCCGAGTTGGTAGCGTTGCTGGACCCAACAGGAGACGAGCCAGTGCCGACAGCGGCGGGAGCAGTTGCGCTGGCTGGAGTGGCGATTCCCGTGCCTACGATGGCGCTAGCACCAGTTCCCAGATGTGCTGGAAAGCCGGTGCCCATAGATGCACGCAAAGTCGTGGTCGTCCGTGAAACGTTCAGCAGCGTGCTAAAGTTTGCAGGTGAGTCTGAGGAGGCAATCGGGCTGATGGTTCCAACACTTGGAGTCGATGTAGTAGTGACCGTTGAGTTCGAGACACTGCAGTTTGATGGGTTGGTGTTGACTGGCGTTCCAAGCTCTTCACCAAGCAATATATTTTTCATCCAGGTACTGTATCTCCATCCGCAAATGGTGTTGTTCTGGCTGTAAGTAGCCTCCCACAGCGCCAGACCACCGAAGCGGTCGTTGTCGTAGAAGCGTTGGACGGTGTCTTGAACTTGTCCTGGGCTGAGATAGTAGAGTGTGCTGCTAGACGCGGCAGGATCGGCAGGAAGAGAGATGTACATCATCACATTCGGGTTCAAGGACTCTTGCTTCGACCAATCGTCGAACGAGATGTCATCGGAGCCTTGATCGTTCATGTGGTTGATTCCAGCCCGGGCGCTGCACGACATGGTGTTGTAGAATTGGATGAAGAGGAAATCGAACCACGCGTTGGGGAGGAGGTCGGAGAAGTGGTCATCTGGAAGTACACACTGCGGCGCACCGGAGATATAGTAGTCCTTGGAGTCGTCTCCCAAGAAGAGTGAGTTCTTGAAGTGGTTGATCATGGCGATATATCCTGACGTCTTGTAATCCGGAGTGTCTTCCGGAGCCGGGTCCATGGTGCTCTCAATATCGAAGTCGAATCCGTCCACTACAGCACTTCCCCATGGACGAGGTCCAGTGTAGTCATCCTGCTCAGGACCAAATGCTTGCCAGAGGAAGTCGGCGAATGTAATTCCAGATTCGTCGTCCTTGAGGTAGTAGTTGGTTGGGTAGCTACCACCAAGCGAAAGGAAGATCTTCTTTCCATAGGTTTCTTGACAGGCGATAACATCAGGCTCAATGTTTGGACATGTCTCCAAGAGGTGCGTATTAGTTCCGTTGCTCGTTTCGTAGTAATCTCCCCAACATGCGTTACCGAAGTTGTCTCCTGGGTACCCATCGCCGGTCTGATCCGGGAATTGGTTAACAAATGCGATGTTGATGATGTCGATGTCATCGTTCTTGCAAGTTTCCAAAAGTCGCTTCTGGTAAGCTCCTTGGCCCCAGTAGATGGCGACGTTGGTCTTCGATGTCGGGTCGAACGCGGAAGATGTCGAAGCCAGAAGCCCAGCAGCAAGCAGAACAGTCGAGGTGAGAGAAGGCATTCTGAGTAGCAACACGGTGTCTGCCTAGAAATGAATGGACGCCTCAAAACCTCGAAGAGAGGCTCGAAGCAGTTGAAAGGAGCGAGGAGGGACACAAAGGTCAAACGAATGGACAGCAAACACCGTTGCTTTGCAGAGAAGACGCCTTCAACAGCACGAACGACTTCTACCCGGATCAGTGGGAGCAGCACGAAGCATATACTTACCATCCTCTGCCATCTTCCGCCTGTCTACACTGTAGCCGGACAGCAGTCGATTCATTTCCACCATTCTACGCTTGGCAGTGGATGGACTCCACGTGCGGGTAGTAGCCGTCGTAACGACGGTCGAAGCGTCGAACACGGGATAATCTCCCAGCGCAGAACAAGCACGGTCCAGTAACTATACTAGAATCGGACCTGCGAACACGCTACAGCACGTGGAGGGGATATTCTGTCGTCCCAGAGAGGCAAGTCCACGGCACGCTTGTCAATTTTTGTAGGATTGTGGCGGGCGTGAAGCTTCGCTCGCGGCCGTGGCCACAGCGCTTCCAAGTTGAGTCCGCCGCCATCGCGTCGGTGGACCGCGCTCGCGTGTTGAGTGCCGCGTTGAGAGCCACTGTTCCGGAGCTGTCAAGGGTGATGCTGAAAGCACTGTATAACGATGCAGAAAGGTATTGTAGATGAAGTCAATGAGTCGGGTGTCTCGAAGAGATATTACTATCCGCCAGTCGGATCGGAGCAGACCCGCTTTTCCCGTGACTTTCTCCGGACTCGATTCCTTGGCATCGTCTCCACTCCTGTTGAAGGAGCAGATCCTCCACACAGACACAGACTTGCCTTCGCCCTTTGAGAACACCGTTGAGCTGTCTGGATCTCTGGACGTTCGCAACAGCAGTCCTTTTCGGGGAGATCTTCTTAATCGCTGCGCCATGCTCTCATGTTTGTAGCCTCTCTTTTCTACTCCCCAAACCCGCGGTAATAACACAGCATCGGAAGCGACTCACATCAAGCGCCGGCGACAGGTGCGCCCTCTTCCCCTATGCGCGTCGACAAGGCTACAATGCTCAACTCTAAATTGCCGTCTTCCACCGCCTCTCGCAAGTACTTCCGAATGCCAAGATCCAACGCCTTGTCGCTCAACATGTCTTCGGACTCGTCGAGCGGGCCACGGTTGATTGGGTTCCACGAGCCTTCCAGTTCCCAGAGGTTGCCATCCTTTCCCTTGACGAAGGTGATGAAGTGGAAGCCGACGGGCTCTTCCGCCGACGGAGCGAGAGAGTCACCCTTGACAGCGCATGCCATGTGGGCCCTCTCTAGCTCTTCCGAATGGTAGAGGACATCGGCCCGCTCGACTCGCTTCAGCGGGAGCGCCTTCTTCAGGAGGCCGTCGATGAGAGAGTCCGGCGTGATAAATTGCCTGGCTGAGCCATTTCCAACGGCGTGGACGATTGAGTAGAGTCCACACGCATGCCCTGTCAGGAAAGCGCAAAGTGTCAGTGGATATTCAATACATCGAGAAGGCCGTCGTGCTCCCCGGGCTCACCGATGGTTTGTCTGAACCACATGACGGGCTCAGCTTCGCCGCAGGCATCGTATGTGATGTTCTTCGGTCCGTCGTACTTGTCGCGGACTTTATTGTAGATAGGCGTCGGACTGCACGGTGTCAGCTCTCCGTGTCCGCGCGCCTATGATAATCTGGACGAGATACTCACGCGATGAAGATGAGGGCGTGGGCGGGTCGTGGAACGAAGCCGAGTAGGTCTGGATCATCAATGCTGTAGATGTCGTAGAATGCGACCATCGGCGACACGCCCAGTCGGTGGACGAGCTCGGTGAAGACTTCTGGGTTGTTCTCGAGCGGAACGAACGTCTTCTTGCCCTTGGCGTTGATGTAGACGCCTGGGGTGGTCGATGCCATGTTGGGATGTAAGCTTGTGCTCCGTGGCGTATCGTATCAGAGCCGTGACCGATTTGACGAATTGGTCGAGTGTAATGCTGTCGGCTGTGAAGTTCGCTTCACACTTTGATGTCACTCCGATGGCAAGGGCAGTGAGTGTTTGGCTTACTGCAGACGTACGGCGTAGCGGCCTGCTGTATGCATGCACAGCTTCCTCATGCCTGAGGCAGCAAACATGAGACGCGAAAATGAACCTCATCTGTCCATCCTCAAGCGAATTGTCAGTTCTGCACACACGCATCACGGTGCTGAAGTTCACTTCGTCGTCGTCGATACCGCATTGGGATCATGTTATCGATTTCCACCAATGACCGGTCCTCGGAGCGAGGTCCGTACATTTCGGGGCCGGTAGCTCCGGACGAGCGAACTCGGTAGCACGGCGAGCTTCGTTGTCTCCCAAGATGGACATCCCGCGCATCGTCTTGACGATCGCTGCCATTCACAACGCCGAAACTAGGTCGATAAAGACAAGGAAACCGTCTCATAGCGCGATAAGCGATGGCTTTCGTGCCCCAAGAAGCAACGGCGAGTCGGGTGATGGCTCACCTACGTCACCATGTGCACTCTGCATGACACTCCCAACTTCATCTGCCTGGAACCTATCTCTCCCCTACTACAGAGCTAAACGGATCCTTTTCAGTGCCTGACACCAGCGATTGAATCCGCCATATCGTACACACGCGACCACCATGTTCTCCCTACGAACCTTTCGCCAATCTACCCTGCTCCGCTCAGCTACCAGCTCCACGAACCGCGTAGCAGTCTCCGGACGGCGTCTGTACAGCGACTACGGCTCGGGCGAGGCCAATCCAGACACCCCCAATCCCGCCGTCGACAAGGAACATCCAGGTCCGCCGCCGCCAAACGCAAAGGGCAAGGGAGAGCAGCAGCAGCAGCAGGACTCTTCCGCGTCCAAGGGCAACGACAGCGACAGCAGCAAGAGTACGTCAGGACCACAACCCAAAATCTTAGCCGCCAATCCACCCGCGCAGGGCGAGGAACCGGAGGATGTCGCCCGCCACAACCGCGAAATGCAGCAGAGGGCTGATCGACCGCAGGAGAAGGTAGCGAGTGAGGATGCTGCCGAAGACAAGGTCCCCAAGGGCTGGTGGAGTGGTGAGTATAGTCTCGTCGCAGACAAGCAGGCGAAACCTGATGACTACTGGACGGAAGCTGAAATTGATATGCAGGTACTGGCGGTGTCGACAAGGGCCCTTGATATGGCTTCGAATGAACGAGAGACGACGTGCGTTTTGAGTCCTATCTGAAACCGACAGAACATAGCAAGGAAGGGAAGCCTCTGTACCACTAGCTTGTACCAATTTGAGAGAACTTGATGAATCATCGGGCAGCATACCATAGCGAGCTCCCGCCTCTTGGATACCATGACGCGGTTGAATGAAAGCCATTCCTCGGATCCATGGTGATGGTTGACTGTGCACGACACTATCCGCGTACCCTGACCAGGCGCACTCGAATAAGATCGCAGTGTCATTCTTCGTGAACTACCTAATCGTATGACGCGCGAGTACTGTGAGACCTGCCCGTCATCATCCATCACCTCGCCCAGAATGCCAAGACCCTTCGAGCAGGCATATCGGAAACTCGCATGTGACAGGTAGGGATTGACGGTATACCTTAGTGTCCACATCCATTGTATAGTATTGACAGCATCGATTAAGAACATTATATTCATCATCACGCTGGTTGTTGATATGCGTTGTGTGTGTACCTAGTAAAGAAAGTGAAGCCTCTTGGCGCGCGTGCACATGCACATGCACATGCACAAGAAGGAAGGCAAACGGGAACGAGAATACAGCGGACCTAAAGAACAGACAGCACGCGTTCCGCCATGGTCTCTACACTCGAGGCGTCGCCTTCGCCTTCAAATTCGCAACGAAGAACACAAATTTCCCCTCAACCCGGACCTGTAATCCAGTCCGTCCAAGCAAGGCGCCATCTAGGCCATCTAAGCTATTTAGGAACATACAAATTTTGCCTCTTGGTGTTGACGATTTCTTCTTCTTCTTTTCTCCACAAGAGATAGATATCATGTCATATCATATCCAACCGATGACACCCGCCCGCCCCGACTCCGAGCGACCAAACAAACTTCCTTCCTGGAGAGAAGAAGTTCAAATTTTTGTCTTCTTTTCCTCCGTCGCAAACACTGCGCCATGCATGCATGGCCCTATCTACCTATGCAGGGAGGCAGGAAGGGGCTCGAATTGCACTCGGCCGTAACGAGGAAGGAAATCTACACGAAGAATCAGGTAGTGATGTGTCGCGGCCATGCCATATCCATGAATTTCCGTAGAAACCCTAACCCTAAGGAGCACTACGTAGACCCGACCAAATGCGTACATCAATCAGCACGAGATTATCAGAGCGATCATGCAACCGAAGATATCACGACGACAGCGAGGACAAGGATCGATGGTATGACACACATTTTGCAATAACAGACGACAAGAAAACCAGGAGCGACAAAAGCGAATCAACAATTCTCGAACAACCCTGATTAGAGAAGCAACGGGAAAAATTCACGCCATTGGACTTTCTACATTTTTTTCTTCAATTCATTTCATTTCTTTTTCGAGATACCATCGCTTCATACACCGTCATGCACATCATATCCTCCCACAGGGAAGGAGCAGTCTCGGACCAATGCTCTTCAAGAGTCGTTGAAAGCGATCGGGCAGCCGAATTGGGCAGCGGCGCCGGTGCCCGAAAAGATGGGGTTCAACTTCGTGGCGGCCCACGTGAGGGTCGCAAGGGGGAGGCTACCGGAGCCACCACCACCAAGGGAAGCTGGATCGTTCTCGGTGGCGAGTTGGTAGAGCGCACAGGCGACACCAGCAGGGGTGGTGGCGCTGCCGTTGGAGATGGAAGGACCCGTCTCGCCGAAGCCGACGAAAGAGTTGGGGTTGCCGGTGTTGGCGCCGAAAGCGACGGGGTAGAGCTGGTACTGCATGCCGATCTGGCTGGAGACGTCTTCGATGGTGTAGGGGGAGACGCGGGAGAACCAGTTCGGTGGGAGCTCCTCCTTTTCGAAGAAGTAGCTCATCGTGGTTGGGTCGGGGGTACCGGCGGGTCCGAGGGATGGGAACAGCTCGTAGACGAACGAGGCGGCTCCGTAGAGGAGGAGGGACTTGGGGCCGTAGTAGAAGTTGCCGTTGTGGTTCAGAGACCACTGGTAACGCGCATATCGGTACTTGGCCATGGCTTGGAGGTTGCAAGCATTGCCGCAGTAGTTGTTGATCATGTCCTCGTACAAGGTGCTGTTGAACTTGAAGTTGTCTCCGCCTGCAGTGAAGTAGTCGTTGCGAGTGAGCGAAGTGTCGCCTTCGAACTTGTTGTGGCCGTCGAGACCAAGTTCGGGACCAGCGCCTGGTGTACTATTCTTCTCTATCAGCTTGGAGTAGGGAACAGGGATGTTCAGTACTCACGCAGTACGGGGCGTGGCATCGCAGCCAATGCTGAGCTTCATGGTGATTGGGTCTCCGTCGAGCTCAACACCAAAAACCGCGAGCAGGATGGCAAGGTCATAGCCGACACCGTAGACGTTTTGTTGTGCGTCGGTCAACTCCTGGAAGGTAGTGATACCATCGCGGGCAAGGAAGCCGTGGTTGGCGGCGGTGTTGAGGCCACTGATCATGCAGTCAGCATCGTGTGTTCATTGAGCGTGAAGAGGGTGCAATGTCTGTGATGCTAGGTGGAGGTGAGAGGATGATGCCTCTGAGGCTGTCCGGCGGAACTATCCGCAATGGCATGTGCTGTCCGTGCGCAGTTGCTGCAAGCGCCAGTTGCTCGACCGCGCTGGCCGCAAGCAATTGTTCTTTACGTGAAAGGGGAAGACTTACGGGCAAGGTCCACGGATATCGTTCTGTCCAGGCGCCTGGTATTGATGGGCTGTGTCGCCTGGAGGTGTTTCTGTTAGCACAGTACGTCGGCACTGCCCACGGCAAGCTTGTAGAATCTCACCATCCGCAGGAACTTTGTTGTTCGCGCAGGTCTGGTTGCCGGGGCCGCCGTTGAAGGCTCCACAGTAAGGGTAAGTGGCTGAAAAACATCGTCTCAGCGCATTTCTGGATTACAGAACGTTCATGTTGGTATACCTGTGGCTGGAGCAGCTGGAACGTGGTTTGGGTTGACCGGGCAGCTGGCCTGGTCACCTGGAGTGCGTGCTTCGATCGAGCGAGAGGCGAACATGTCGCGTCTCTTCATCTCAGCGGCATCGTAGCCATGCATTTGGGCGACCCATGGGAAGGCCTGGGCCTGAGAGGCCAGAAGGGCTGCCAAGACAGTATTTCTCAACATGATGGCGGGTTATCGAGAGATCCAGTAGAATTAGAAGGGACCGAAGATCAAAACTGGGGAGTTTGGAGGCTCATATACCGAGTAAGAACGCCGATCACCCTCTGATCACCAGCCTAGGCTCCGAAACGCCTCTGATGCCGTAGTACGTGATTGGCAGTGCAGTAGAACAAGCTTACTCTAATAAGCCTGCCAATGAGAGCTCGATGGTGTGAGGGCATTTATGAGATACAGTCTGCGGAAAGCATCTCGAGCTCTATAATCAGTCAAAGCATTTCCCTTCTCAAACGACCTTGCTCTCTAGCGCTGAAGTCGACCAAGGCAAGTTGAGACGTTGTAAGAATACAGTGCAAGACCTGTACAGGCACGATGATCCAGGTGAAGGGCTTGCCGAGGTGGTGGAAGGCTCTCTCGAAGCATCGCCTCACAGCAATTAGGCAAGTCGACAAGTATTAGCTTGAGCCCGCCGCAGCCGTCAAAAGCATGGAGCAGAAATGTCATTCTGCTTGACAGCAAGGTTGGACATGGAGCTGGTTCGCACTGCCTGGCGCCGGCATCCGAGTAGTAAGGTATGGAAGGCATCATCTCGTCAGGTACAGAATGCGCCATCCCCTTGCCCGTCCCAAGTTTCGGCTTGCGGGCGGGAGCGTAGTAGAGGTACCCGACTAATAAAAGGCTTCATCGGGTAGCCGTTGGTCGTGGTGCTGGAAGCGTGTTCTTGAAAGGGGTCCGAATATAAGTTCCTCTACTGCCAGGCAATACAGCAGCTACGTTCGGTCTCCAGTGGCAGGATGTTTCTGATGCTCGATCGAAGACGCGACACCACCGAGGCCTTCGCTGCGGTCTGGTGCTGCAATTTCCCCCGCGCGAAAAGTGCTGTCCACAGGGGCGAAAGGTTGGGTGGCGGTGTTTCGCAATGGCCGAGGAAGGTCTGGAATAGGAAGGCAGTCGAAAGATCGACGCGGTACCTAGAACATCCATATTGGTTGCCTGATGTGCACGTGATGCCAAGAGTGTGGTGATGTAATGCCCTACAATAGAGTTGAGGCTCCTCCCGCCCCCACATTCCGTCCCGGCGGAGAGTGACGCGATGCCGGGCTTATCCCGTCCTCTTCCGCACTTCCGGGCATGGCAGACATCTTGACATCTCATCTTCACACGCCCGGTGGTGTTGATATGATGTGAATGATATGGTTGTTTGCTTGGCCATGCAACGGAACGACCTTCTAATCATGCCAGTATCGATGGTGACATCTTCGAAGACGCCAATGCGGTCGTCACTTCTGCTGCTATGCATCTTCGAACTCGATGCATCAGACAACCGAGGGTGCGAGGCGACCATCAACTAGCTATACACCATTAGTAGCTGCTACGTATGCCGTGCGATCGGACGGTCAGCTCCTTCCACCAGACGTCAACTGGTTGCTGGTCAACACTGCTCTGCCACTAAGGACAACGCGAGCCGCGGCAAGCGTTGCAAAATCATCACTTCCGCCAAGTTCCACGCAGACAACTAACCTGGCCGAGCTCCGAGTTGGCATTAGTTCTATTCCTGATCGACGTGCCAGCTAGAACGAAGCAGCCCCAGCCGGGCCCGGAAACCGAGGAATCGACCATGGACAGGACGCGATGCCAATCGGCACCCTCTTTGGGCCTCGGGACTGTTCCCTAGCCCATCCTCTAGCTTAACGTCACCGGCCTCAGGGAGAAGAGGGTATTGCCCACCATACCGTTGTTTTGACCTACCATGCTTCGGAGATGATTGTACTGGCGTGCATCGTACATCGACGGTATGACTCCGGTTCCCACGGATGTCCATGGGACACTGTACGATGCAGCTGCTCGAGCACTTTCGGCGACCGGCTGGAGCCTCGCCAGCCTCGTTGCTGATCTATGATTCTCGCCCGACTCCCGCACAGTAGCGACAGCTCTCAGAGCCTCAGCATGCTACTCTCTCGCGCCAACTTGCACGTATCGAGGGATCACGGCGGCGCGGGAGCAGGCTTTGAATGGCGGAAGGCCGCTAATGCATGTCAGGCACCTCGTTGGTCACGTAGGGTTGGCACACGGTTGCTGTGGTCTGGCTCTCTGGACCGTATTGCTCGGCCACCTGTAGGCATCCTTCGCCCTCACGGCTTGGTAGCTGTGGCATGATCACACGCGGCTTTGCCTTCAGTTTTGCTAGCGAGCCTCGGTGAGTTCAGCATGCATCGCGAAGCATAAGCCTCGACTCGTATGCTGCTTTCGTACGATGCGTCTCTAGTATCTCCCAAAGTCTTTCTCTCTGGTCTCTAGCCACCCTCGATGCCTTGTTCTGTCGGCCAGCTTGCCCTGGGCACTACTTCTCCAAACGACCAAGGAATATACGCCCATTGCAGTGGCCCTAATATGTCCAGTTCCACAGGATATCGACATTGACCAAAACACATGAATCATTCATCGTGAGCCGTGGCCGGCCGAAAGCATCGAACATGCCTTAATGCCGTGAAAGAGCCTGAAGATCGATCGAAGAAACCGGAGCGCTGCGTGTTCGAAACTGTTCGGGAGGATAGCAGGACTATCATCTTTCGGGAGAGTCTCCAGGAACGAGGCCGATCAAGTGCCAGCGCGTCTCCTCGCATGCTTGCTGTCGCTGCGATAGCCAAAAAGGCCTCTCTGGTCGTTCACAATCCCAGCATCTCCGCGCATCGGAAGGCTGTCTCGTCGGCTGCCGTCGCTCGTCGGCTGCTTTCGCGCTGTCCTGCTCAGTGTTGCGCTACTTCTAGGCGGCATTCTCAAGCAGTCGACGACGTTCTGCTGTAGGAATACGATATATGCTTCATCAGTAGAGAGTAGGTACCTGAGATGTGTGAAGCGAGGTATTCCACCCACCCATGCACGAAGTGCTTGCAATAGATAGGCGCGGTTGTATGCCCTTATCCGGTGTAGCTGAAGCTGGCCGGGGCCAAAGGTAATTACTCAGAAGGACCGAACATGGATTCAGGGCTGAGGGATGTCCCAAAATTAGAATTGGTCGCCTTTTGCTATTCGGGTGCTGTTCGACTCCGTCTACGCACCATCAGCACCGGCCAAGCAGCGGCCAGACGGGAAGAGTAAGCGCCGATTTCGGGTCAATATCGTTGCCTTTGCAGCTCCGCCATCACGTTTTCCAAGAAAGACGCATTTCCCATCTTGTAGGACAGAGGCTTGTAGACGGCCCATATGTGCTTCACGCTGAACTTGTGATAGCTGAGCACAAACCCGGGAAATCCAACAGCCTAAACTCGGCAAAGATTTCTCGGTCGGACAGCAACATGGCGGCGCGAGCCTCGGAAAGCAAAGAAGAAGAAGAAGAGTTCGTGATCCGCCGCTCGCAGAAAGCAGAGGAAACCCCATATTGGCAACCCAACGTCGCCAAAGTCCTCCAGCCCAGCACGCGAGAATTCTTCCAACGCTATGCTCAAATCCCCCCCGCGGAAATCGAACCACATATCCGGGAGATTCAAAAACGGGCATGGGAAGTCGCACCGTTTCCCTCCGTGGGAGCCATGACGTGGTTGAATCCCTTCTGTTCGCTGCTGCCGCAATATGAACCGATCCTGAACCGAGTCAGAGCCGGCGCATCCATTCTCGACTGTGCCTGTATGGTGGCGCCGGATCTCCGGAAACTGGCGTATGACGGCGCTCCGACGGGGGAGATGTACGGGTTCGATGTGGAGAGCGAATTCTTCGATATCGGATTCGATCTATACAAGGATCGCGCGACGTGGCGGGGCAAGTTTTTCCCGGCGGATGCTCTGAGACCTTTCCAGGAGACCGAGCTGGGCACGCTGGTCGGGAAACTGGATATTGTCTGGTGTGCCAAGTTCATTCACATCTTCGATCGGGAGGGACAGATCGAGATGATGGTCAAGCTCGTATCGCTGCTGAAGCCGGAGAAGGGGAGTCTTTTCGTGGGGTCGCAGAATGGATTTCCAGGCGGAATGACCGTTCCCGTGGCGGATGATCAGAAATTCGTCGGCATGAGCGGCGAGATCTTCCTCGGGGACACAGGGGATATGGAGGAGATGTGGGCCGAAGTTGCACGTCGGACCGGCACGCAGTGGGAGCTGGAGGCGACGTTTCTGGATATGAGGACTATTGGATTGCACGAGGACGATGGATCGCCTTACAAGAAGCGAACAGGGTATGGTGGAGCCCGAAGACCTCTCATGCTCGAGAAGAAAGCTGACTTTGTTCCCACAGGTACAACCTGCAATGGGTGGCGACCATGAAGTAGTCGACAGGAGCCTGGTGGTGACGAGTCGAAGCATGCAATAGATCTGGGTGGGCAAGCTGCTTGTCTCGCCTTCATATTTGTCCATTCTTCCTCGTGCATGTCGCTCGTATTGCTTGCGGTCGCTGCTCGATGATCACTTGCGAAGCATTCTCCTCGGATGGCAGGTATAATATTTGTGAATCCTGTTCTTTCACAAATGTACATTCTGTCCAGAGCAGTCTTATCATCAACTCTCCGTCACGAGCAGTAGAACGGTGTCCTTACCACAGCATCTCCTTCCCTGTGAAGATCGCGGTCGTCCGATATAGAAGCCGCTGTTCCCCTTAGGGTGTTTCTTTCCACACCAACACACTCGCACACCACCATCCACTCCATGAGCAAGCACTTCTTCAACAACAACAACCTCAAATAACCCCGCAAGCTCTATAATGGCATCTTCTGGTTACGGTGGCACCCAGGGCGAACCGCCTGTGATCAGCAAGCCCGGAAACCCTCATCCCATTGACAGGTTTCCTCTGAAGGATTTGTTTCCTTGCACTTTGGTAGCTGACATCCTTGGGTCCGCACATGACGTGTCATGTAATGTCATAGTAGTAATGTATTAGTAGAGTGAGGTCAACGGTGCAGTCCAAGGAGAGAGAGACTGCAAGCGGAGAAGCTTCGAAAGTTCCGCCGACTCCGCCGGGCTTGGCGTCGACGTTCTGCTGTTGCTGTTGCTGCACTGGGCAATACAAGACTCCTAACTCCGGAGGCTTGCTTCCTTTCTTTGACTTCTATTACGACAATACAATATCCGGCTGCCTTGAGCGCTTCCACTCTCTCACACATAAGTTGACCGTATTTCCCTTTAGCGTTTGCTCGTTCTTTGTTGGTTGCTATGCGATCACTTTCCCTTCTCTGCCCCAAAATTCGAATACATCCATATCCACATCCGTATCCATATCCATATCCATATCGACAGCTCAAGCTTCCCAGCAGCAGACTCGGCAGTCCTCACAGAACGAGGTGGATGTCCTCCATGGCGACTGTCCACGTCTCTCCGCCCTCCGAAACACTCCCTCGCCCGAGCGACGCAGACTCCAAGCTCCATCACCGTCAAAAGGGCGTCGGATTCGTCAATCCGTGGCCATCCTACGCCGAGCCCAAGCTCTCCGAATTCCTCAAATGGATCTTCTTGGGCAAAATCACGGGCTCCCGTACCGATCCTGACACCACCCCTCCCCACCTCTCCGTTCACGCGCCGTCATTCCTACCCACGCGTGCCACCAAAGCCCTTCGCGCGACCTGGCTTGGCCATGCTTGCTACTATCTCGAGCTCCCGAGTGGTCTACGCGTCTTATTCGATCCCGTCTTCACTCAAGTCAGTACAGTTTGGCGCACAGGCGAATGCTGGTATGGCTGACCACGCTCCTCACACAGCGATGCTCGCCCTTCACCTTCCTCGGCCCGAAACGGTACACAGACATGCCCTGCCAGATCGAAGACCTCCCGTTCATCGATGCCGTGGTCATCTCGCACAACCACTACGACCACATGAGCCATCCTACACTCGTCAAGATACGGGAGAAGCACAAGAATGTGCATTTCTTCGTGCCGCTAGGCAATCTCGCATGGTTCGAGAGGGAAGGATTCCAAAATGTGACGGAGCTTGATTGGTGGGAAGAGAGGGATTTGCGCATATCACTGGGTGCGGAAGAGGCTGAGAAGACCGGTATCAAAGATATGGAGGCGAGGATCTCGTGTCTACCGTGTCAGCACACCTCTGCTCGCGGTGCATTCGACCGGTCACACACACTCTGGGCATCATGGTCTGTTCAGTCTGGAGGCAAGAGCGTGTGGTTTGGCGGAGACACAGGATATCGCAGCGTTCCTCACCTGCCAGCGGAAGAGTTTGACTACGGAGACAAACACGCCGACCTTGCTCGTTGCCCGGCGTTCAAGCAGATTGGCGAATTGAGAGGACCTTTTGACCTGGGCCTGATTCCCATTGGAGCATACGATCCGCGCTGGCTCATGTCCCCGATGCATGCGAATCCTTTTGATTCGGTCAATATCTTCCAAGACACTAGGTGCGAGAGAGCACTGGGCATCCACTGGGGCACTTGGGTGCTCACTCAAGAGGAAGTTCTTGAGCCGCGCAAGCTCTTGAAGGAAGCGCTGAAGTGGAAAGGTCTGGACGAGGAGGGCGTTTTTGACGTGTGCAATATTGGCGATTCCAGAGAGTTCTGAAAGCTGGCGTTGCAACCAGATTCGCGAAGGATCCACTTTGAGGCTATCTATCTGGGGCCATGAGGCTCGCGCTCCATGCCGGGAGATTGCTTGTACGCTCCAGACGGATCTGTCACTCATCTCGTATCGGCAGGTCGGCCTACTTGGACGCGCGTGAGCGGGCGTAGCAGAGTCTCCCGGGCGTAGCAGAGTCTCCACCGCCTGCATCAGTCCGAGGAGTCGACATCGGCTGATCTGTTGTAACGCTCATTGTAACGCAGTAAAGTATGAGGAAGTGCGGATGGATGGGCGTGGTATCACACCACCTCTCGAGTCCGAGGAGATTGATTGCAAGGATCTCAGCTCTATGGCTGTCAGGCATCATGGATGAAAAGCTGCAGCATCTAGCTCCATCATCAGCACGTGTCGACAAAGTACGGAGAGCAAATTCTCCGAGACACTCGACCAATCTCTGCTCTTATTCGCCATTCGCCCACTGGACCGCGCAGGCGAACGGCGCGACGGCATACCAAAGCTGAGAGGCGTATGACAGAATAGGCCTTTTGCCCCCGCTCTGCTTCATAATGTTCGACGCTATTCAACTCTATTCAGACTTCAACGACTCAAGAACAGGCAAGACCCTTTGCAAATGGCCGGGGAATTTGAGATGCGGCTTGTGAACTGCTGGCGTGCTGCAGGAACATTACTTGATCGAGCTACGGATCCAGGTTCATCCGGGGAAGGATGCTCTTGAGCCAGCCATGACGGCCACGATGTTGACTTTGCCTGACAGGTCGACTTTGCTTTCTGTCTCACATCACGGCTCTGCGGCTCTGGTACGATCAGGCATGACGGCATAAGCTACTGATGAGAGCAGTATAACAGTGTCAGCCCTGCCGTACCTCCATTGCAGTCCCCTTCACGGCCTCTCTCTACCACACACTCTGCCTTCGCTTTCCAACAAGCTCTGCCTAACACCACCGAACTCGATCGACGACAATGTTGCCTCAAATTGCCGTCGCCGCCCTTGTGGGCCTGACCGCCGCTGCCCCCACCGAAAATCTGGTCGAGCGAGACGGCAGCTACGCCAGCTACGGCTCTTACAGCGGTGCTGGCACTGGCCAGAGCAGCTACGGAAAATATGCCAGCTACGGCTCCTACAACGGTGCAGGCGCAAGCTCGTCGGGTAGTTCGCAACTGCCTATTGGCATCGGTGCGCCAGCCTACAGCGCTGGATCGTTCTCCGGCCCAGCCTCTGGATCTAAGGCCCAGCCCTTCAAGTTCCCTCTCACCAACGGTTTCCCTAATGTCGCCATGGGCAGCCAGCAATTGACGGACATTGAGAAGCAGGCCAAGGGTACTTTGCCCAATGGTCCTCTCCCAAGCAAGATGTCCGACGCCACCGCGGCTAACTTCCAGTAAGTCTTCCATACTCACATGAACCGCATCTTAAATGTCTTGCTGATCCTATTGTTCACACAGAGTGATCGCGTTCAACGAACTTTGGGAAACCGCTTTCTTCACCTCGCTTCTCCAGAACATCACCGACGGTACCTACGACGTCGGATCTGGTGCCGGCAAGCAGATTATTGTCAACGCCATCACCGCAATCCAGGCCCAGGAGCAGCTCCACGCCCTTGGTGCGAATGCGATCCTCCAGGCTGCAGGCCGCACCACCGTTCAGCCTTGCCAGTACAAGTTCCCGACCACAGACTTTGACAGCGCCATTGCTTTGGCCAAGACCTTCACCGACGTTGTCGTTGGAACGCTCGGAGGTGCGCAGGGTGTGTTCGCCAGCGCCGGCGACGACGCCTACATTCCCCTTATTGGATCCGTCATTGGCCAAGAGTCTGAGCAGATTGGCTACTTCCGCGTCGTCGGTGGCTTGAACCCATCTGCTCTTCCTTTCCTCACTGGCTCCTCCGGCGTCTTTGCATTCTCCTACCTCAACCAGAACATCATCGTTCCCGGCTCTTGCGGAAACCTCAACGCCATCCCAGTTCCAATCCTGCCTGCTCTTACGGTCGAGACTGCCATGATCAAGCCAGCGGACCAGGCCATCACTTTCTCCTACACGGGCTCAGCCCCAACCAGCGACATGCGCCTCGTCTACATCAACCAGCAGAACACCCCCATCGTCGTCCCCATCTCCAACGCGCAGACCAGCGGCGGCAAGACGACCTTCCAGGCCAACTTCCCCTACTCGGCCAACCTGCTCAACAGCCTCACCATCGCCGCCGTCACCAAGAGCGCCGGCCCCTTCTCCAGCATCTCTGCCGTTGCCGACGCAGCCATGTACGGCCCCGGTCTGATTGAGGTCATGTAGAGAAAAAGAATAAAATTCGATTTCTTTGTGTGTTGGATGATTATTATGATGATGTACGGACATGAAGAATTATTCTATATTGTAATGACGCATGCTACTACTGTAGCTGCACCCTTTATGCCTCGACGGCCGTTGGATTTATACCCCAAAATTGAAGAAGCCTAAGACGGGCCAGAAGAGTTCATCAAGATATCTTTCCAACTTTCTCCGCTTCTGATGAGCTTCAGTATCAGCATCACTACAGCTATGCAACCATCCATGTTAATGTCGCCTTGGGCCGGTGATCCAAAGAGTATAGGGTTGGACCTATTTGCACGAGCCAATCCCCCGATGTCGACCACGGTATAAGGAAGCCATACTCACTGACTGTCCTGTGCGATTGATTGGAAAAAGGGAGGAATGTCTATTTAAGGAAATGACGCTTTCGTCCAACGCGGGCAAACTGACAGCATCAGGAGTGTTACCGAGTATATACGTGAACACCACAGCGTGACCAGATAAATCCCCAAAGCGCCGTCTGGGCAGTCAGTTGGAGATCCAATCCATCGTGCGGGGCGACTGCGACTGGAGATGACCGAGGAAAGAAGCGAGATTCCGCGAAGGCAAATGTCATGTCATCGTCAGGACAGTCAGTCCACTCTCCTCCGGGAGGAGAACATTAGGTTGACAACTCCTGGCCAAAGACAAAGGCTCGTTGGTGGCTGGCGCGCGGCTTCAGCAGTGGCGTTGGGAGCAGCGAGCTGAGGAGCGCCTGATTTATCTCTTATCTGCAGCGACTGCTGCAGCCACGACTTCACCCACAGTACATGTAGTACCCGTCAGCAGGAGTCGTCGAAGGTCTTGCAATTGCCAGTGCGGGAGAGGACGTGACTACGGTCCAATCCAGCAGGCGTGGGGTTCTGCCAGCGCGTTCGTGCCACGCACGATGACGATCGTGCAGCCAAGACCAGCATTAACGCTCGAAAAGCAGGTAGTAGCGTCGAAAAGGAGACCAGCTCACCGACCTACCTAGGACCTCTGAACTTGTTGTGATGGTAATTGATGCGATCCACCCGGAATGAAGGCACGCTTGCCACCCTGGAGGAGCAGGACAAAAGTTCCGCAAACTGTCTTGTATGAGACCTTCCACTGACTTACTGTGATGAAGTGGGTCGTCCGCCGTAGGGAATGTTTTGGCGTAGAGAGCCGTGTTGTTGTCTATGGAGGCGGGAGCATCAGCAACTACCCTGAGCCGATTATGCAGTATCATGCATCGGAGACGTTACAAGGCGGACTTGACGCGCAGCAGACGACGCAATTGTGCGACGAGGCCAGCTGAGCGATGCAGGACGACGCCTGCACGAGTGGCGGATCCAATATTCCAGCCCAGTAGAATGGTAGGAGGTCGATTACGCCGGCGAAGCGAGGACATCATGCCTGCTGTCTCGCGGTAGTGAGACATAACACCTCGTGCTTCAGGCCTCTGCCCCTCTTTTCCAGGAAGTCGGAGACGAGAACGTCATGCCGGCCATGTGTCACGTCTTGCAGAGTGTCTGCGACGTTGGAGGTTTGGTCGCCAAAGAGGTACGTACAGGCGTACGAGGCTGGCTGATCAGAGGCCATGTTGGACAACGAAGGGTTGGCGTTGAGGCACATTGGAGCTCTTGCTATGCTTTGACACAGGTGGGAGACCAATGCGCGGTACTCACCCCTCGTTGACCGTCCATACTGAAGCAATCAGGTTATCACGGCAATTCGCAATTCAGGATAACATTGCAGACATTTCGAGATCTTGATCGAATCACTGGGCTTGATTGCGGCTGCATATGCAACCAGTCTCTGGCACTCGTCAGCTTTGACACTGGCCTCGACGTCTCTGACTCTGTTTGCCCTTGGATGCTACGCAGTCATCAGTCCCGCGGTGGAAAAGTTGGATCGGTCCGTAACTGGGGACAACTCAGGGACCGCGGCTGAGGCTTCCAACGACTTTCCGGTGATCCGGCTGATGAGGTCGCTGGACGTAGAAGATGTAATAGCTGCCAGACATCACGTCTGGGACTTCAAAGTACGAGAAGCATGGTCACAAGAACAATCCCTACCGGGGCGCTCTGTTCGGACTTCTTCTGCGCCTACACCAGCGTCACTTTTACTTTCTACTACATCGCCAAGAGAAAGCAGGAGACATCGGCGATATGGCAGCGATTCGACGCGCAATCGAACGAAAGGGCTGTAACTGGCAAGATGACAATCATCGCAGTCGCTCATCGCTTGGCAACGATCCAGAAGGCAGAACGAGATATCTGGTGGGGACAAGGCTGTCATTGGTAGATCAGGCCAAGCATGGAGATTTGATGCGGCCGAGAGAAGACTCCTGGCAGGTGTGCAAGGTACGAGTACTGTTGTTGTAGATTTTGGAACACGCAAAGACGTTGGCAGGGGTCGTTAAATTCAAATGCCGCATAGGTTTGGGTCGGATGCCTCTCCCGAAATTCCCAAATCGCTTATGCGCCACTGCATGCTCTGCGACATCATCGCAGACCCTCTTCTCATAGACTGCTCCGTCCTTCTAGCTCGACTACAGAGCTTCCACTGCCAGGCTTTGAAACCACAATCGCTTCTTTCAACTTCTCATCCGTAATGTCGGGGAATTTCTTCTTGTAGTAGTCTTTGATCCACTTGTCCTTCACTGCCTGTACTTTGTTCTCCGGGACAAGATGCACCGAGCATCCTCCCCAGCCGGCCCCAGTCAATCTGCTTCCATATGCACCTGCGGATCGAGCTAATTGACACAGCTCATCGAGCTCGGGGCAGCTGTTCTCGTAGATCTCTCGGCATGAATCTTGGGTCTCGTTCAGGAGCTCTCCTAATGACTGCAGGAGTTCTGTGTTCTCCTTCTCGGTTTGTGGGGGTGGTGATGTGAGTAAATCCATGAACTTCAGTACTCGGATGGCCTCGCTAAAGACGTGCAATGCTCTTTGTCGTAGCTTGAATCGCTCGGCGCGGACTGGGAATTTGCTCATGTACTTCTGCTCCATCTCCTTGATGTCCATCTGGAGGATTTCTGATAGCTGTTCTCTGGTGTAGCCTTCCTCCTGGGGTAGGTAGTGGTCGACTTTGTGGATGAGATCTTGTAGTTGTTCTTGGAACTGCGCTTTCGAGACAGCGTGATTATCCTTGATGCCCTCCTTCTCCTGCATATATGTGTCGTGAAACCCTCTCAAGCTCACGCCCAATGGGCCTGCGTCTCGAGGAAGTGCCTTCAGCCCAAAAATCTTGGACAAGAAAAGCGCTGCCAGAGTGACCTCAACTACTCGCAAATTATAGCATACTGGAGCCGTCACATGCTTGTCGGCTGCCACAAACGATTGAGCAATCACAAATGTCAGAGGCGACTTGAGCTCCGGAAATGCGATGTTCTTCGCCGACAACTCCGGTACGAAGGAAACATAGAGAGCCGAGCCTTGCAACGGGAACACTGATGCCGACTGATCCATGCCGCCTGAATTGACACCTACTGCCCTCTCCGACACGATAGCCAATTCTACCAGCTCTTTCTTGTCCACCGCTTCAACGCCGTTGGCCCTCATGACAGCCAAAGCGCTGGCGCATACGAAGGCAGCACTGCTGGAAAGACCACCTCCCGAGGGCACCGTACCATCTGCCAGGATATCCATGCCGACACTGCTCTTAAAGTCCTTATGTTTCTTCCTCAGCAACTCCGTGGCACCGACAAGCCCGGATTTGAAATAATTCGTCCACTCGAGCGTCGCCGAGTCAATATGCACCTCTCCCGTATCTGGCATCTGAAATTCTCGCGACTCGAACTTTTGCGGGTGGATGTTCGTCAATCGCACTGTACTAGGACCCGACTCTTTCTTGTGAACTGCCACGGCGAGTAGAACGTCGGCTGTTACAGCCATGGGGATGACTTCGTAGAGCGAATAATCGATGTGCTCGCCGATGATATTGACTCTGCCGGGACTTCTCGAGACGAAATCTGGTAGCTTCGCATATCGATCCTTGAATGTGCTCAAGAGGTTGTTCCATCGTGCCGTCTGGCTTTCCAATGCGTCCTGTGGGTAGATGTCCGCGAGGGACCTGGTAGTTGGTACTTCCATGTCAGCAAGCTCTCTGCGGGCTCTATCCCTATGAGTGAATGAGTTCTGTCCTTCTCAGATATCGAGAGTAGTACAAGCTCGACTTTGGAATCGAGTCGCGTGACGGTAGAATTTGTATGGAGAGTAGTTGTGTAGGATGGAGAGTGAAGTTCTGCCGTCGAAAGCCATCAGAGCCCACCTCCGCGACCCCTCCTCCACTTGCTGCTCTCCACATACCGATCGATTGAATCGTCAATCAATATGCCTTCAAATTTTGACGCTAACTTTCGACGGACATGTTCAACAATGACAACCCATCAACGGTCTTCGAGGACTTCTGAAGATCTGTCCAAGACCTTCTCCCTGGTCATGATTGGATAGACCGAGTGCAGGTTGTTGAGTGGAGAACATAATCCAGATCGAAAGTCTGTACCAATTCCTCATCGCTGGCGGATTTCGCAGTTCCTTTTGCAGAAAAACAAGTTTCCAGCGAACAAATCTTCTCTTCACGTACTGCTTGCACTCCTCTCGCGCATAATCTATTCGTCTCAGGATGTCTTGGAGAAAGGCAGGTTGCTGAGATTTTGATTGATGGACATGTGAAAGGCGCTAGTCAGCAGACCCTGCTAGCGCCGGACAGTCCCGCGGCAAATCAACCCCTGACGTCTATCGTTCAACGTCGTCAACCAACAACGCCTGATGATGATCTTCACACCTTCAACCACACATCTTTCTCCCGTCATACTTCACGCGACATTGCATCGCAATCTTCTTCCATGGTACACATCAATGCTAATACCTTGCAGACCGCGTGCCATCTCAAGATCCGTGGTGCGACTTGTCACCCGTACGCCGTAAAATGGGATCTCCGTCATGGCTCTCTTGAACAATGGATGGCCATCCGGAGGTGGAAGCAAAATGGCCGAGAAGCCATCGCGACAGCTCAATCGTGCCCTCCTGTCGCCCAAACAAATACCCATGATGGGACGCCTGGACCAAGTTCAGAACACATGTTTTCCGATTCCGGAATTCAAAAGATGGAACAACAACGGTGAGAGAGGATTCATTCGCCCTGCGAAGGCACGCCTCCTGCGTCCAAGGCCACTTAATGACTTGAGGCCTCCTCTTCTCTTTCTCTTTTGCTTCTCTCTCCAACAAGCATCTACAGCGTCGTCACACACTACACTCTGTTGTCCCTTTCGGCCTTCGGGTCTCATACACTCTTTGTTGGCTATCACCCCGTCCACTCACTGAATTGTCTATTACCGGATTCCAAATTAATGGTAATTCCTGCTAGTACCAATGCATTCTCCTTCTAGCCTGGCCCTCATCGCGTTTGCGATTCAGTCGACCTACGCCAACCTTGGTCTACCTCCCAGATATGGAGCGCCAAGCGGCTCTGCTGGACTTCCAGCATATGGGGCCCCAGAGGAGATTAGCTCTGTCGAAGCTCCAGTATACTCTGCGCCTACAATGAGCTCCTACGAGGCTCCAACGTCCGAGCCTCCATCGTCTGAGGCTCCACCTTCTGAGCCTCCAGCACCTACGACCAGCACCTACTACGCTCCATCGTCTGAGGCTCCATCATCTGAGGCTGCGCCTACGACTAGCTCCTACTACCCTCCATCGTCTTGGGCCCCATCATCCGAGGCTGCGCCGTCGACTAGCTCCTACTACCCTCCATCGTCTTGGGCTCCCTCATCTGAGGCTGCGCCTACGACCAGCTCCTACTACCCTCCATCGTCTTGGGCCCCATCATCCGAGGCTGCGCCGTCGACTAGCTCCTACTACCCTCAATCGTCTTGGGCTCCCTCATCTGAGGCTGCGCCTACGACCAGCTCCTACTACGCTCCGTCGTCTTGGGCTCCGTCGTCCTGGGTTCCATCATCTGAGGCTGCGCCTACGACTAGCTCCTACTCCGCTCCGTCGTCTTGGGCTCCGTCGTCTTGGGCTCCATCATCTGAGGCTGCGCCTACGACTAGCTCCTACGAGGCTCCATCATCTGAGGCTGCGCCTACGACCAGCTCCTACGAGGATCTATCGTCTTGGGCTGCGCCTACAACCAGCTCTTACGAAGGTTCAACGTCCGGGGCTCCTGCGACTACGACCAGCTCCTACGAGGCTTTAACGTTCGGGGCTCCAGCCCCAACATACTCTGCACCTGCGAACATCTCCGTCGAGGCTCCCAACTATGGAACCCCAGCCCTAACGTACTCTGCGCCTGCGACTAGCTCCTACGGGACTTCAACATACGAGGCTCCGAACTACTCTGCGCCTGCCAACATCTCCGTTGCAGCTCCTAAATACGGAGCTCCTCCATACTCTGCACCGCAGCACAGCGCACCATCTGTGTCCCTCCCAAGTGTGAGCATGCCAGCTTACTCTGCGCCGTCTGGGTACGCTCCTGAGGGCTACGGCAAGCCACCCGTATACACTCCTGCCACCTCCACGGTTGTTCCACAATACACCCCGCCCGCTCACGCACCAGGCCCTCAGAACCCAGCACCATATGTGCCAGCAAACAGCGCTCCAGCGCCGAGCGTGCCAGCGGAGTCTCCTGCGCCGTTCCCTGTACCAACTCCCCTGTCGCCTCCCGGATACTCGGCACCAGCCGAGTCCAGCGCGGTCACCACAGATGTTACCGTTGTCACTTCCACCATTTATGAGACAATTGTGGAGTGCAAGACCGCCCCTACAGCCAGCGGCTCTCCAAGCACATGGACCGAGAAGTCTGTCTCTACCTACGAGACTACCTGGACCTCTACCATCATGCTCACTGCTGCCCAGTACATCACCATCTCCTACGCCAGCAGCTATGGCCCTTGGACGTCTCCAGCTGCTGCTGAGCCAACTGCTGCCGCTCCTGGACCAGAAGGACCTGCTGCCTCCCCAGCGCCAGCCCCCGCTCAGCCACAGGGACCCAAGGGCGGTGCCGGGAATGGCGGTGCTCCATCCTATCCAGCAGGCACCGGCAAGCCCATCGCACCTCAAGGCTCTGGTGCTGGCGTGGGCGCTGCCCCATTCTACCCAGCTGGCAACGCCACCTCTCCCAACGCCTCTCGCAGCAGTCCCAGCATAGTTTACGTCACCCCCGTCTCGGCCGCCTCCACGATTCCTGGTGTTCCTCCTCCAGAGAACACCGAGACCGTCGTGCCAATCCCATCGGCATCTGCAACTGGCGCGCCCTCTGGCCCCGCGGCCTATACCGGCGCCGCCAATGTCAACTCGTTCAGTCTCCTTGCTATCGTTATCATTAGCGCTGCAGCAGCCTTCATGATGTAGAAGAAATCTTGTCTCAGCAATAGCGATGGGATCATCAGTTTAAGATTTCAGGGCTTCAGGTCAATTCGATTAGATGTATATAATGTTGAACAAACAATGCTGCGCTCACAACACCCTCGATCTATATTCATTGGCCGGTATCACCAACCTGCAACCCCATCTAGCGCGAAGAATGGAGATACACTGTGAAGGGGTGCTAATCAGAAAATGCTGGTAGTCACGAGGTCTCGTTATCGCACACTGCTACAAACAGCTCAATGTATACATCAAGCGTCCGTTAATCGAGCGCCTGTAAAGCAGTTGTCTCGTCGAAAGATCATATCGCTCTACCACAGACAGGCCCATGTGTTCAGTTGCCCAGTCCTCGTAGCGGTCCGTTCCCCGCTGTAGCAAAACATCACCAGTCCAAGCTCTCCATCACCCGTCAGTTCTCAATAGCTTGCCTCAATAACGGCTTCGAAGCTACTTGAGCCATGCCTTCTCCACGTTGTTTCGACCATACTTGCCGAAATTGATCTTGCGCGCATCGAGCAGCGCCCGTAATAAGTCCACCTGAAACTCGGAAGGGTAGTTGTTGTCCTCATCCCAATTCGACGAAAGCCCGAATTTCTTATACAGGCTCACCATGCAGCGCCGCGCCGGGGAGTTGCTGGGCGTGCCTCCGTATATGATGACTACTGCTTTCGGGCCAGGCATACATATGAGCTTGCTCGCAGGTAGACCACTGGTAAGCTTCACGATGGCTTCGATGACCGTGTTGCAGAAGTCGTCGTCTTGAAGCTTCTCCCCCATCACGTACATCTTGGCAAATCTCTCGAAGCGTGAGCCACAATCGCACTCGTCATCTGCGGATTCATGGAGGGCAACTTCAGCTGAGACTTTCTTCTCGTAGAGCCATTCCGTGTACTCTAAAAATTGTTAGAAAGACAGCCTCGAACGCACAAAAGCGGCGCTGCAAAGCGAGCTTCTCACCTGCAAAGATCTCAGGCTTATCGTCGGGAAGCACAACCTTAAGCGAGCGGCCTTCCTTCCAGCGCTTATCGAGGGCGGCGGCGAAGAACTTGGAACTCTCTCTCAAGGTCGGTTCGTGGATGTTGAAGGTCTCCGCAAGTTCACCCTCACCGACGCGCACGCTCACGATCTTGCTGCTGTAGCTGTGAGATGGTCAGTGCATGGCCGTTGTCGACGTCCTCGCGATGGAGCTCACCGTGGTCGCTTGGCGGGACGCGCGCTTGCCATGGTTGTTGGTGTGCGCAGATGCCTTGTGTGCAGGTAGAAGTTGGCGAAGGCACAATGTATCAGAATTGGTGCTGTTGCGAAATGAAGGTTGCTGATATTGTTGTGTGTGGAAAGACCGTGGTCAACTATCAATAGAATTTCACCGCGCACGCTTGAGCGCGGGTGAGGTTCAGCGCACAGACCACGCTGAACTTCTTGCATGTGATCCAACGAGTGGTCCGAGCTTTACTTCCAGGGATCCTTACAAAGGATACCGAAAAGCCAGATTCTTCCGATCCGTAACATCCAAGAACGTAGGATCAATCTCATCCCCATTCTCATCATAAAACTTCTCCACCTTCTCGTGACCTAGAGCATCCCTTCTCTGATTCTCCTTGTTCAAATAGTACCGAATCCCAACCAAGATGATCGGATTGACGACATACGTAGCTAGAATAATGCCCCAGGGGATGTAGTATCTGGGTGCATACTTTGCCAGCCACATTTGCGGGGACAAGAGATTGCCAAGACAGTATCCGATGAGGAGCATAGCGTTGGTCGTAGTCTTCTTGGTATGGCCAGTGTTGGTGGCGGCGCACCAGGAGAGGGCGAGCACAAATCCTGGAACACCCCAGCCTCCGAGGTACATGGCGAACAGTAATCCGCCATGACAGGTCCATGGAAGTGCTATGAGGAGGACGCCAGATAGAATGTTGGGTAATGAGTATGATGCGCCGACGTAAGCACGGGCATTCGGATACTTCTTAATGACGAGAACGGAGGTGTAGATGGTCAGGACTTCAATCACGCCGGGGACAACAGCCAAGAGGGTTGTCTGCTGGGTCGTGAAGCCGAAAGACTCTAAATGAGGAATTAGCATAAGACAGGCAACAAGACTTGCATGCCTACTCACCAATAATAAGCTGGGTCATGTTGGTGAGAGAATTCGATATGCTGCCCAAAGCAGCATACAGCGCGAACTGTGAGCTCGTTAGCTTCGATCGTGATTTGCCCAAGCAGCTCACCAACAGCCCAAGGTTTCCAGTCAGTGATCGCTTCCCAGAACTGCTCCTTCTTCCAAGTCTTGTTCTCAATGCCGGTGCTCTGGTTCCGGAGTCTCTCAATAGCAACAATCTTCTCCTCCTTTGATAAGAAGCGAGCCTTCATAGGATTGTCCGGAATGAAAAACCAGAAACAAACTCCAACGACCAACGTCAACGCACCCGTGATGATCATAAAGAGTCTCCACGGAGCGATAACGTCGGGATTGACATGCCAGACACCAAAGGACACAAAGCCACTGAAGATCTGCGCGGTACCATTCATCAAGAACCAGTATCCAACTCGGCGAGTACCCTCTGCGTGGGTGTAGAACATGCTTGTGACAATGAGAAACCCGGCAGTAATGGAACCCTCGCAGATGCCGAGTAACAGACGGCAAACGAAAAGACCAGCGAAGTTGTGACATGCAGCATGAGAGCAGAGAACCACACCCCAGACGAAGATATTGCAAGCCATCCACTTCCCAGGAGGGAACTTCTGCAGTCCTAGCGATTGAGGCCATTCGAAGACAAGATACGCCAGATAGAAGATGGTTCCAAGCCAATTGTACTGCGACTGCGAGAGATGGTTGTCCGTCTTGATACCCAAGATTGAGGATGATCCTAGCGTAGTCTTGTCGGTGAATTGGATGAAGTATAGAATCATCATTAATGGCAGCATGTGTCTGTACAACAAGTCAGCTGAGGAAAGCAAGTACTGATGGGATGTGCAACTGACAAATCGATCTTCCGCCTAATGCGCCGGCTCTGCTCTTCTGTGACTTCTCCCTGGAAGCCCGCGACAAGCTTAGCAGCTTCGTCGAGATCTTCGAGCTTGACTTGGTGAGTTTTCACATTCGACTTGATATCAATCGGCTGGACACTCGCTGTCGCAGACTTCTTGTTGTCGACATCGGAACGACTACCATCCTTCTCAATTGACGATGCGAAGCCATGATCTTGTGAAGACATGTTGAGCAATGCTGCTTGACCAAGAAGTCTGCAACAGTTCAAAGTAAACCTTTGGATCGTACGCACTTATCAAGGGTCTCCCAATGCTATCACATGCGCTGTTGAGGCTCGCGTGTCTCAACCATCTCATCTGGTGTGATTGCCTCCGAGCACGCAAGATAACGCAGGTGGGCGAGACATAGGCACCTCGTACAGTCTCCATCGGCCTATCGACGGGATATCGGCCAACTCATATGAGCATTGATAGTTGATGTGACGACACTCTGTTGCTTTGGTGATAGGTTCGAAGCCTTTTCCGGATCGTGCGAGTCAAATACGTTTGGTGTGAGGTTGATCTCTGGGTAGCGAGTCCTGGCCTCTTCTAATCTAAGGGGAAAACGTGGTTGCCCGACGTTTACGAGGGCCTATAAGATGAGTGTCCTTTCCGACCGACCCTCCCCTCCTAAGCCGCGCCAGTCCGACCGCTAATTACATGTACTGTAGTACAAAGAAAACAAGATTGATATCACGCGGCCTGTATAAACTCCATAACAAAAGCCTTAGTACGCGTATACGCGCATATATATCGTAACGTGAGCAACACACATGACGAAACATTTGTTAGCAACCTACTGCGCCTACCTTGCGCTAATTCCTTTGTATCCTGTCGCGCAACTTCCCGCTACACATCGAAACCCCTCCCTCTACCCTCTACCGAGTCAACGTCGAGCTATATATACACTTGAGGGCCAACTCGACCGGGATTCTTGATTTCTTATACTGCCCTGAATGGACTGTGCGCATTAGATGTGCCTCAGGCACATCATTGAAACGAAAGCTGAAACCCACAACGGCAATACGGGGTATCTCGAACAAGTACCTTAACAATTCACACCGATGCATTGCAGCCCCTTAATCAGGCAACGTGCTCATACCCTCCTCCTTCCCACTCTTCTCAGCCTTCGCCTTGGCAATACTCGGACTAATCTGAGCCTCCACACTCTTCCTCAATCCAACATCCGCAACAACACTGCCAGGCGAAGTCGGAGTCTCCAACGGCTCAGGCTCTTCGACAAGTTTGTTCGTAACAATGGGCTCTTCAACGTCTTGCGCATCAAAAGTAGACTTGGTGGAATTCTTGGTCGGAGTCATGGCTTTCACTTCCTCCGAGTTTCGCGGACTGCGTGGTGATCGGGGCGAAATTGGTGCTAGACCTCGATGGCCGTCTGTATAAGTCGGAGAGCGAGGAGTGGAGGGATATTCGCTGGAAGAAGCCTCGCGGCGGCGATAGAGGGGTTCTGGCTTCTTGATAGGCGCATTCGGATTGAGGATCTTTGCAACGAGGTTCCTTTCATCGACAGCATCGCTATCCTCGCCATCAGAGCCCTCAAAGTACGAATCGTCCCAAACCGTGGAATCCTGCCTGTATAGCACAGGGTTCCTAGATGATCTTGAAGAGAAGCCAGACTGAACTCCATCGCGCGAGGTGTTGAGGTCGGCCAATTCATCTCTCGCTTCTCTGGCCTCGCTCTGCGTCCTCGGCAACACCTTATCCCGTTGATTCCTTACCTCTTCTCCTGTCTGCGCATCGATTGGTGTATCCATAGGCTTTGCTCGCTCTCTCGCCGGCTCTTCCTCGTCTCGAGTAGTGGCCGTGTAAGTGTCGGCAAAGTGCGTATCACACAGATGCTTGATCACAGGCCACCCATACGCATTGGCAAACATTCGTCGAACAATCATGTTGTTGTGTGCGTCTGGCTCAAGTCGAACCAGAACCTTGCGCCAGCTGATGTCTCGGTGGTAGGCACGAGCAATCTTCTCCTCGACTTTCATACCGCCACTTTCACCAGACGCACTGCTGTCAATGGTCTTCACGGTCTGGTCGGAGGCGACGGACTTGACGCTACCTTTGGAACTGGAATCGTTTCCGAATGAAAGATTGATTCGGGTACTGCTCCGCTTTACAGGAGGCGGTGGGATGTCTTCAGGGTGGTAGACGCGGTCGTGGAAAATAGTCCGGGCGCGGGTGCTAGGGTCCGTGATCCACTGCTTACTAGGCATAGGCGGATGAAGAATGTCCCCCGCAGACTCAAAGATGGATGTCTTTGGTGGAGCCTGCAACTCTCCTGTGTGATTGCTCGTCAAGCTATCTCCGCGCGTAGCAGCAGGTCGCTTGCCGTTAGCTGAAGCATGCGAATGTGTGTGGGCCATGTGTGGGCGCATTGTCGGATTCGAGTAGGTCTCTTCTCGGCTTTCAGAGACATTGTCACTGCTCTCCTCGTTGGAATGATAGATGGTCTGTCCTCGCCGCAAAGCCTTGCTGGTCTTCTTCGAAATCTGCTGAAGAGGCTTGCGCTCTGGCGTGTTGCTGATTTTGAAGAAGCTGGCGACCGTGTCCCACATGCCCTTGGACTGCTCAGGAGATGGCTGCTTAGTGATGGACGAAGCAGGGCTTGTGCCTGCTCGAGACGGGCCTTCTTCCTCGTAACTGACGCGGTTGGTAGATCGCTTGTTATCTTCGGCTGTCTCGTTTTCAGCTGGCAGAGGCACATCAGCACCTTGCCCAGACTGCGTCTGAACATTTTCGTCATCCTCAGATTCGAAGGCCTGCTCCGCGCGGACATTTGGTGGGATGGACGACGAGTTTGCACCCGTGAGCTCAGCCCAGCCCCATTCAGCCACCGTCCCGATCAAGCCGTTCTCTCGCCTCGCTTTGTCCACCTTACCTAGCCCTCTCCAGTCAAGAAAGAGAAGGCAGCTTGTTCGAAGAGGCACAATGCCATCGTTCACCACGTTGGAATACACAGTCCTGTTGCGAAACATCCGGAGCACCTGATGAGCCGGTCCAGTGGGCAATATTCTGAGCAGAGGCTTCGCGCTAGGATCCTCCTGCCTATTATTCGGGTCCTTATCCTTCTGGGAACTGGCACCGAACCCTCCCATCACGGCGTTCCACCCCTTGTTAGCAAGCGTTGGAGGTCGCCACGTCAGTCCCAGATCCTGTCCAGTACGGCCGACGAGTCCAAAATCCAAGGCGAATTTGACATACATGGGGTTCTCGTTACTCAGTCCAAGCATAGGCGACGCCATGCAGATGAAATTGACAGGCTTGATTTGCTGGAAGAAGGTCGGACTGTGCTTGTGGATGTAAGCGACGGCGTATGTCTGGATGAGACCTCCAAGACTGTGTCCAACAAACGATATGCTTGTGAATCGATACGGCAAATCTTCAGGATCATGAATCTGCCCGTCGTGGATACTGCTCCCTTGATGTGCGGCTTTGCCGTCGCGCTTCGCTTTGTCTGCCTCGCTTGTAAACGTATCGGTGAGCTTCCGCGTGAACTTCTTCTTAATGGGTAAGAACGGTTGATCCGGATACGTAAAGCGCAGAATGTACTTAGCAAGCCTTTTGCCCAAGTACTGGATGCCATTTTCAGTCCGCACTGCATTGCCAGTGAAGCCACGAACGATCGTCTCCTCTTCATCATCTTCCTCGTCATCCGGAGCATTGTCTAATTCCTCCTGTCCACCAGACAGAGGAGCAGTTGAGGTCTCGTTGTCACCATCCGCTGATTTCTCACCTGCTGGCACTGCATCGGCATCTGCAGGTTTCTCGTTCTTTCGAACAGCTCCATAGCTCTCTTTCCTCTTCTTGACTTCAGCACGAGCTTGCTTCACAGTCGCATCTATGCTCTCTTTCAAGAATAGCATGTCCGCGCCAAGGTTGCTGTGCAGACCATGTGTGACCACGACAAGATGGACGTTCCTCCGTTTCCGCTGTTGCTTTGCCTTACTCTCTTCATCCTTGCCTTTCGTATCCGTACCTTTCGCGGACTTCTTCTGGTCGTCGTCCCAAGAGGGAAGAGGCGGCTTATCCCACAGCGTTTCCGTATCTTCCACGACCAATTTCACAGCCTTCGAGTATACCCCTTCACTCTGTACATGACCTCTCCTTCTCGCCTCCTTCCTCTCTCTCTCAGACTGTAAATCTTTCACTTGTCCCGGTCCACCATGTCCATGTCCAGCAACCGCTGCAAATCCCAGATCTAGACTCCTCTCATCCCGTCCAACGAGCACCTCAAACCCTACCGAAGCAGAATTCGAGAAGAGAATTTGCGACGCAATCTCCACAATCCATGTCACACTGCCCTTCTCTTCTTGGCCCTCGCCACCATACTGCTGCGATTGTGATCTTCGTCCCAAATCCGCGCCTGTTTCCCTTATATGGTCCGGAACAAGCAGCTTCATCGACCAGCTCCCACCGGCCTTCACCATCGGCTCATACTCCGGCACTCCATCCCGCTTTGGGTGCTCAACCTTGTGATGGGGATTGAAAGTGGACGGATAAGCGCAAACATGCAGCGCATACGGACCGTGTACCCACGCCGCGCGCAGTGGAATCGCGGAAGTATTCTTGACCTTCAGATGTAGATGCGAGGGTGTAGGGAGGATGCGATCATTGCTAGGCGTATAGGTAAGGGTATATCGGACGACTTCGCCGATCTTGACGCTGCCAGCCTGATGAACGAGAAGCATCTTTCTCGCGCGACGTAGAAGAAGCTGAGCTTCTTGCTCGCGATTCGGTTGCTCGAAGAAGGAGTAGTCGGCGCACTGCCGCTCTTCTTGGTGTTTATCCGGGAGCTGCAGTGTCTGGAACAGGCGCGGTTGGAGCAGCATTCACGGCTTGGATAGCGCTATTGTATGGTGTGGTCTCGTATACTCTCAGGAGGAGGCATGGTGGTCAAGAGGTGGAATGCGATAACAGGAACAAGACTTAGGAGGTGGTTCATCATGGAAGATGGAGCTCGCGTGGTCTTATGATCAAGCGGCGGTCTAGCGCGATCCTAGTCAACATTTGACGTCACCCATGTCTTCGGCACGCTTTCACGTGTCGGATGTCCGTCCTTCAATAACACCGACGAACGCTACATTATGAAGCACTCTCCACGAGACTTGGCAATGTGCTTCCTCACTCTGAAAGGGAGTAAAAGTCTGCTCCTCACCAAGCATTTATGCCATGAAATGTAATGCAGCCACTTCCGCGTCTTCCGGCACCGCATCGGAGACTCCTCATTCCCGCTGGCCGTTCGTACCATGCCAATCATCGACTTTATCTTACTCCCAGCAAGATCGTCAGATCATGCTCACGATAGAAATGACACTCGTCTGGTTGGCGCGCACTTCGATCCACCCGCCTTGTTCAACCTTCACAATCTTGCCATCAATACACACCCGCCGCCAACGACCATCCTCCTCGCCGAACTCGATACGTAGCCGTTCGATGGGAATATACTGAACTCGGTCGTCATTGACATGTTGGCCGCCTGCATACGCCTTCTTCATGATTTCCATGGCCTGTTGCCCATCGATAGGACCAAAGCGAACCAAATGCATCTTTCCCTGTGGGGGTCTTCCGTGAGGACTGATTGCGAAGCCTTGCTCGAGATGAGTGACGGCCGAGGCCAAGACATAGCCGTGTGCTCCCTCGCCGATACGCTCGTACTGCTCCGAGAATTCTCGCATAACGTAGACTTCCCCTTTGTAGGAATGAGGCGGCGAGCCATCGCTAGGAAACAGAGCCTCATTTGCAGCCATCTTGAACCGGTCCGCTCCATGTCGGCGGTACCACTCAGTGTCGCTGTCGGCCACCAGAGCAGCGTGCAGGCCCCAAGAGCAGACGATAGCTCCATAAATGGTAGGTATATCCTGATGGTCGCGATCGACGGATCTCTCTCGCCGACCTTCGTCGGATATAACTCTTGCCCCTGATGAGAAGGTAGCTTTAAACAGCCGAAGTTCTTTTGGTTTGCCAGAGAACCAAGCGCGAAGACCATATGTGACATCGTTGTCTTGGATTATCCGGCAACTGTGAGCCAGCGCATTTCCAGTGCCCACCGGAATTATAGAAATAAGGGGCGCTTCGTACTTTTCGCTTCGATCTTCCGCCAAGAGGGCGTTGAAGATCTCAAGAATCCCTCCGTCTCCGCTCAAGAGTACAACGTTCAGCTTCTTGCCTTCATTCGCTTGAGGCAATAGGGTTTGTCGGGCAAACACGGTCACGCTCTCCTCGTTGACTGTGGTGACAACCTGCCGGATGTTAGCATGCAGGCCTCTAGAAGCTTTTCCGAGAACAAGTCTGCTGTGTCTCCGCGCAGAGGACTCACTTCGGGGAAAGGGGTGTCGGGGTGAAAGATTGCAATCGTGGGCATTACAAGGCTCCGAAACACGGTCTCCGCAACCCGGATACCGGACGCGGTAGACATGAGCACATAATCAGGCGGATTCGGAAGGGTCCCAACGTGGCCATATTTGCGCCACAGGTCAGTCGCGTATCCATCCCAGTCCAGGAAGTAAAGTGCAGCCTGCCTCGCGAGGACCCCGTGAGGGACCGTGATGTTTTGTGCTGAGTCGTGAGTATCCTTCTTCTTCTCGAGGAAGATTAAGGTGGCCAAGAGGAGCCAGCCGCATTGGGGGCCTATCTGTCGGTCGACGGTCTGGACAACGGCAATGCTCTCCTCTTGTATTTGCGTCCATTGCGGTTCGAATCCAGGTGCTTTCGATTCTTTAGCCATGCGAACCAGTAGAAGTCTCTGCAGTTCGCTTCCACTGTGGGCATGGCGCGACACTTACTTTTGAAGTCGGCAGTATAATAGCAATAGCTCAATGACCTGCTCTCATCGTCGAAGTAGAAGACGCACGGCTGCTGGTCCAGGAAGCCCCCCGTACAGTAGGGAGCCATGTCTGACGGTGAATGTCAAATCTGCTATATTGCCATTGGCATGCTCGATCCGGAGCGGAAGGATGAGTGGTTATGTATGTCCAGACTCGGAGGTGCAGTGACTCGGTCATGGTGCTCTGCACCTGCATCCCACATGTTTGTCTATCAAAGTCACTGCCACCTCAGCCTGAAGTCCGATAAACGCCGGGCGTTGCCGAGAAGAAGCTACAAGGGTCTCCGGTCGGGAAGGAGCCTTATATCGCTTTTGGATATGAGGAATCATCCTGCTTGCCATCCATCCCCATTGCATTACACTGTACAAGAGATAACGACATCGAATTAGCGCCACGCGAATCGCCTGCGATATCCCGACCACATCCACTGGCCCATCTCATCAATCGCTCGCGTGCCGCCGCATCCCGCGTCATCGCTCAATCCGTCAGCAACACCAGCGCTCCCCGAACTCCTCGCATGAGAGCGCATATCTAGCAGCAATGGCCATATCAGGCTGGGGAGTCTTCCTCATAATCCTCGTGCTCGTAATCCTCGGAGCAGGCGGAGGCTACATCGGGTCAGTCGTTCCGGTCTGATGATATCCCTCAGTTCACAATCTAACCGTCGCATCACAGCTACACCCACTACCGCGCCCGAAAACTCGGCTTGCCTCCTCCTAGCCTAAATCCATTCTCAAAGAACCGCCGCGAAGATAATGTATACCGCGCGCCTGCGCCGGCACCTGGCGGAATCCAAGGCTGGGTCACCGATAAAGTGAATGCTTTCCGCAACAGGCGCACAGCAGGCGGCGCATACGAAAGCACCACAACACGAGGCGGCGGCGGTAGTGGTGGAAGGAGGGGTTTCGGACCGCTAGACCCGGACGAAGCATGGGATGCGCGCGTCGATAACGAGGCGAGCGGATATTACGAGGAGCAAGAACTCGGGCTGCAAGACCCGGGCCATGGACCTTACGGAGGCGGTGGATACGGACATGCGCATACGGACAGTCTCGGGGGTAGAGGAAGGAGTCGAGACAGGCAACGAGAATTGGATGATAGGTACGACGAGGAGATGCATGGAGGCGGCTCAAGGGGGTTGAATCCATTTGGCGATCACGCGGAGGCGAGTAATGCGAGTCTGAGGAGCGTGAGCCCGCGGCCGGCGGCGGACAATACTGGCTATCATGGAGCGCAGCCTAAAAAGGGAGGACACGGAGGTGCGGACGACAGTCCTACGGAGAGACGGAGTATGTTCCACGAGGAAATGTAAGATTGTGACACCTTCGGGGAGTTCATTTCGGACGGGCAAAGCAACGGCGTTACTTGGGAAATGATGACTGGAGGACACTGTACAGGGAGCCTTACGAAAGGGATTGTACTGGGGGAGTCGCAAGGACGAGACTCGAGTGTGTATGAGTGGATCGATACGAATGTTTGATTCGCGTTCAAAATTCCGCGAACCTTCTCAAATGCCCCGTTACAAAGTCCAGGGCATCAGCAAACTGTGCTGTCGACATCATCTTGTTGTCTCTTCATATATACCAAGTCGCGAATCGTACATCTAACCCCTTCAAAGCTTCATATCACCATACACCTCACTTCTTTGCCGCTGTACTCGGTGTCGAAGTCGGTCTCGAAGATGAAGTGCTAGCAGTGCTAGTAGGCGCCGCACTCCTAGCCGTGGCAAACGTCTTCTTTGCAGCATCACCCGCCTGCTTCGCTACACTCCCAGTGCCCGGACTCCTCGCCGCGTCCCCAGTATTCGTCGTAGCCGTCGACACATCTTTCCAAGGGTACTTCAGTTCATCGTCCTTACGCATGTAATGCTTCCTCCTCTTCTTCGTAGCCATATGCTCCACCATCACTTCCTTGCCCATCTCCGCCATGAATTTCTTGATAAAGCGCGGATCCCAGAGTTCAGAAGCGATGCCGAGGTCTTTACAGCAGCGCATCAAAGCATTAGACTTGCAGCCTTCGGTTGCGGTGGGGATTCCGTCGGGGTCGAAGTAGTGTTGTTCGCCGCGGGCTATTGAGACGAGACTAGAAGGAAGTATGTTAGGAGGCTGTGGATCTGATAGATAGTGTCTTTTATCTCACCGTCCGCCGCAAACGAGTCCATATTCTCGGGTCACGACTTTTTGCGTGACAATGGTCTCTCCTCGCGGTGCTAAGCCCCATCCTCCCGGTCCAAACGCATGGTTCAGTATCCTTCTATACTTGATCTCCGGTAGATAAACAATCCCATCGGGTTTGATTTCGATATCATCGAAGTCTAATCGCTTCTGTAATATCTCCGACTGCTCTTTCGTGAAGGGTGAAGAGGAAAGACCATGGAAAGAACGTGTCCAATCGACTTGTCGCTCATCCTCGCTCAGTAGAGGTGGAGGGTCCTCCAGGCCTTCGGTAAGAGAGCGCACTGGCTCGGACTCGTCTGAAGGCGACAGTTCGTTCTGTACTTGTTGGGCATTCGCGGTCGCTTGGGCTGAAGGGGCAGATGATTCTCGCCATTTCGTCGTCGAGGTCAAGGGGCGTGTTTGGTACGGCGCAAATGGGCGTCGTGGCACAGATTTACAGCTCGATTCTGCTATGGAGTTGAATAGGTTTGCGCCGGCGCGCCGCGAGAAGGAAAGCTTCATGGTGGTGTTGCTGCAGCTTTTCTGGGAGCTCTGCTTGGAACGAGACGGGATGAGGTCGCGAAGAGTGGTCTGTGCGCAAAGGAGACCGAGAGTCCATTTGGCAGGAGAGCACACACACGCAACGACATTATCACCCTTCTCCACGTGCGAATATCCGCATTGGACTCCGTTGTTATTTGCGGATACTGTACAGCGATTTACGGGATTTACGTTGATTTATTGAGAGGGCATCTCTGCCTTCCCCTCCGGCGACTTCCTCCACCTCATTATCCCTCACAGGTCAAGCATCCTTGGAGTCCGTCCTCTGCTCGTTGCCCTGCCGCTTCCAGCACTGCTTGAAGGCTTTCATCTGGTCCGAAATTGTCAGTATTGCTGTCCTCGAGCTCCAGACACCGACTGGTGGACTGAGTGGTGGAGTTGGTAGGTGCCGATTTCGGGATTCGGGACTCACCTCATCTTTGCAAGCTCTCCAGTCCTTCTTATCCCGGAAACAGTCATTTAGCGTGGCATTCTCATCTAGGAATACTCAGCCATCTGTACGCTTATATCTAAGACTGGAGATGTACCTGCGCAGCCGGTGCTGAAGATCCTCTTATCCCTAAAGAACCCCATTAGCTGGAGCCGGCTTGGCTCACACGGCTGTGAGGACGTACCACTCATCGGGCTCACCATCGTCTTCGGTCTGGCCACTTGTATTCTTATCCTTCTCTGTGTCTGACATTCTGAAAGATCGGTATTGGAATTTGTTGATGGGACCTCGGAGAAGAAGAGAAGTGAAGGACGACTTTTGAAGACCCCGCACGTGACCCTATCGATTTCATCATGCCCGACAAAAGGGTGAACGTACTCATCTACTCTGGCCCTGGAGCCTCTTTGTCATCTGTGAGACATGCAACTTGGTCGTTACGACGTCTTCTAGGCCCACACTACTCCATACAAACAGTGTCGTCCGACCAGATTCTCAAAGAGCCCTGGCCGACGACATGCGCTCTGCTTGTCCTTCCGGGTGGTGCAGATATGGGATATTGTCGCATGCTGAACGGCCACGGCAACCGGCGGATCAAGCAATATGTGCAGATGGGAGGCAGGTACCTTGGCTTATGTGCTGGTGGCTACTACGGCAGCGGACGATGCGAATTCGAAATCGGTAAAAAGCCGATGGAAGTGGCTGGAGATCGCGAGCTGGCTTTCTTTCCCGGAGTCTGTAGAGGGTTGGCCTTTGAGGGTTTCGTATACCAGAGCGAAGCCGGAGCCAGGGCAGTTGACCTGAAGGTTCAGAAAGAGGCATTTCAAGGAACGAGTACAGAGCATTGCAAATCCTACTACAACGGAGGCGGTGCCTTTGTGGATGCCGAATCCTTCCGGGAACGAGGTGTCGAGATCCTGGCTACTTTCCACGACGAACTTAGTATTGACGCTGGCAAAGCAAAGGCGGCCGTGGTGTACTGCAAAGTTGGCGAAGGCGCCGCGGTATTGACTGGTCCTCATCCCGAGTAAGCATTGCCCTTCGGTATCTCATTGCGGATACTGACATGCTGTAGATTCGCCGGCATCAATCTCAATCGCAACGAACCGTCGAACCCCAAATATGGCGATCTTGTCGATACGTTAATTGCAAACGACAAACAACGTACAGACTTCATGAAAGGCTGTCTGATCAAGCTTGGCTTGGAAGTGAGCCAAGAGGCTCAAGCGGTACCGTCTCTCTCTCGATTGCATCTCTCGTGCACCCAACCTTCACAGGTCGCGGAATTGCAGCAGCGTTGGCGAGAGGCAGGCATCATCACATCGGATGGTGGCGAGGACCTCATCAAGGGCGAGCAAGACACCTTCAAGGTAGAAAATGTCGATTTCCTGAGTCTGAACAGCCTCAAAGGCGCCGTCAACGACGTCCTGCCCGAACCTGTAAAAGATGCTGCCGCTTCCGTTGCCAATGCGATTACTTCCGCGACCAAGTCAGATTCAACTTCAAAGGATCCGCAGGCTGATTCAAGTCCTGACAGAATCCTCGACTATGATGCTCTCACGAAGCGTCTATGTCTCCACCCTTCCTCTCTGCCAGAGCCGAAGGACACACCTTACTTCAACCACCACGCATTCTACTCCAACCTGCAACACTACAATGCGAAACAACCTGGCATCGTCGGCGACTACGGTAGAGTCCTTCTCTATGGCGAAGTCGTCACAAGCACACAATCTATTCTCGACAAGAATCCAACATGGCTCTTGCATCTCCCTATCGGCACGACAGCTACCGCAACAACACAGGTTTCTGGTAGAGGCAGAGGCACCAATGTCTGGGTCTCTCCGCCTGGCAGCCTCATGTTCAGCACGGTCTTGAAACACAGTCTGTCTCTTTCTGCGTCTGCCCCCGTCATCTTCGTCCAATACCTCGCAGCCCTCGCCATCGTTGCCGGAATCCAAAATTACGATCGAAACTACGAAAAACTCCCAGTGAAGCTCAAATGGCCCAACGACATTTACGCTCTCGATCCCAGCAAAGATCCCAAAGAAAGCTCCTACGTCAAGATCGGCGGAATCCTCGTCAACAGCTCCTATTCCGGCGGTGACTACACCTTGATAGTAGGCATTGGTCTTAACGTCGCCAACGCAGCGCCTACGACATCCCTCACACAGCTTGCGGCGAAGTTAAAACTCCCGCCGCTGACGCTGGAGAAATTACTCGCAAGCATTCTCTCGCAGTTCGAAGCACTTTATGCACGGTTCTGCGTGACAGGCTTCGACCAGCGTCTCGAAAAGCAGTACTACGCCTCATGGCTGCACAGCGACCAAGTCGTCACCCTCGAGGCAGAAGGAGGAGCCAAAGCAAGGATTAAAGGCATCACCACAGATTGGGGCTTGCTGATCGCCGAAGAATTGAGAGACGATGGCAAGACGCCAACAGGCAGAAAGTGGGAATTGCAGAGCGACAGCAACAGTTTTGACTTCTTGAGAGGACTAGTAAGGCGGAAAGTGTAAGCTATGGGCTACGGCAAAACACCGTCGGCGGCTTGTCTGAAATGCCCGAAAAGAACAAGGAATGCCGCAAAGCACATTGGTCAGTCAACCAGGTCTTTCGACCTTGCTCTCACGACCAGAAAATCGCGCAGCAATATCATGTCGCACTTTCCATCTATAGGCCCATCTTTTGCACACCCCTAAGTCGACCTGTCGAGGCTCCTTCGTATTCTTGGCATCCGGGCTCCGAACTTCGCGGCCGATTCGGTCTCACCTGGGACAGCCCTAATAACAGCAAGAGGCCGGCATTGTTGCTGACAGTTGTGAAACTCGCCGCATGCTTCAACAAACACCGACAGTGGACGCACGCGAGCACTAAGACACTTGCTCGGTCTATCCAAACGCAGAGGACGATGGGGATCAGAGAACTCATCCCTACCTGGGAAGTGAGTTGATAAGGCTGGAACAAGCATGGAGGCGTCATTGACGAACCTGGTCGGTATCAGCCTTACAAGAGTTTCCCCGATCTTTCTGTGATCGATACCGATGAAGATAACGAGTGTCGTCCTTCCATAGGGCAGGAGAACGGCCGGGGTATGCATGGTATCTCACGTGCTCCACTGCCGGTGAATGAAAAGCAACCTAGTTGTCCCACAAACGCCTTAAGCCGCCATATACCGGACGGAGTCAGAACCGCAACATCGACGTCGCCATGCCTTTGTAAGGAAGTCGCAAGCTCTAGCAGCGGATAACAACCCAGGAACTTGCATAACACTCGCTAGAAGACACCAAGAACGCAGCGAAACCTCCGAAAATAGCACCGTCAAACATCCTACAACCCACCACCATCAGCATCACCATCACCATCACCATGGTTCACGACCATTGGCAAGGCTTAGACCTATCTTGCTTGATAACTCCTTCAAAATGTCTCACATGTCTCACGTGCCTTATCGTGCACGGATTCTTCGGAGCGGCGAGCAATTGCGCAAAGAGCTCGGCAGGACATGGGTTTACAGTGGGCCGGATTCACGGTCCGAGTCTTCATAGGACAGAACAACTACGCACTGACACGTTCTAAGGAATTGGTCCGTTGCTTGTCGGAGTCGTCGCGGGACTTGCGCATTCAATCGCTGGCGATGGGACCCTGTGTGTCCCCATGGGCGAGTAATATTTATTGTGTGAAAAGAATGCTCCGATTGCTCTTAGACCTGCACAGTACAACACCTCCTTCATTCGGTTTATAAAGGCGGTCGAGGCGCGCTCCATTGCCGGCGGTCGCTGTGTTCATTGAAAGATCTGTCTTCTTGTGCCAGTCGGTTCGTTCATTGATTTGACGAACTCCATTCCTCAGCGTACAGCACTCCCCCGGTGGGCGATACGGAAACGTTGACTTGTGGCTGCTTTCTGGAAGAGCACGACTACCGCGCCTGACCCATCGACAAGACGACAATGTCCGGCTACGACGAGAAGAAGACGGGTGAGGCCCTCGCGCCCGTCCCCACGACAGAGTTCGGCAGCGTGCAGGACTACCCCAAAGTCGACGATGCGACTCACGATGCCGTTTTCGGAGAGATCAGTGAGGATGGACCAAACTACCGTGACGTACGTTGCGTTCGACGCTATGGCGGAGCTTCGACACTGACTTCATATGGCAGGTTGGCTGGATGGGTACGGTGATCCTCATGTGCAAGACCCAGATTGGTCTCGGTGTTCTTGGAATTCCCGGAGCTCTACACACCCTCGGGATGATACCAGGTGTTATCATCCTGATCATCATCGCTATCATGACAACATGGTGTGGTCACATGGTTGGAAAGTTCAAGCTTCTGCACCCGCAGGTATACGGTATCGACGACGCTGGCAAGCTCATGGGCGGTCGCATTGGCCGGGAGATTCTCTGGATTGGATTCATCCTCTGTGAGTTGGAGCCTCGGAGCATGCCCGATCAGCAGTCGTGCTGACATTCACAGACTTCACTTTCCTCTCTGCCTCGGCCATGCTTAGTATCTCGATCGGTTTCAACGCTCTCTCGGTGCACGGTGCTTGCACTGCGATCTTTGTCGTCGTTGCAGCCCTGATTGGTTTCCTCTTTGGCAGCATCCAGACCCTCGGAAAGGTCTCCTGGATCGCCTGGATTGGTGTCGCTGGTATTCTGACTGCTGGTGAGAATGCATAATACCCATCGCAAAAGAGATTCCTGCTCACACTCGCCAGTCTTCACCCTCACCATTGCAGTCGGCGTGCAAGATCGACCTGCCGATGCTCCTCAAACGGGCCCTTACGTCAGGAACTTCGAGATCATTGGCCACCCAACGTTCGCCGACGGCATCTCTGCAGTCTCGACCATCGTTTTCGCGTTTGCTGGAACTCCGGCCTTCTTCTCGATCGTCTCGGAGATGCGCAACCCTCGCGACTTCACCAAGTCTCTCTGCGTCGCTCAGACGATTGTCACGCTCGTGTACCTGGTCGTCGGTATTGTCGTCTACTACTACTGCGGATCGTACGTGGCATCGCCCGCTCTCGGTTCGGCTGGTCCCCTCATGAAGAGAGTCTGCTATGGCCTTGCATTGCCTGGACTGGTTGCCAGCTGCATGCTGTTCGTTCATGTAAGTCCTCGTGGCCTCAGATCCTAAGTGTGGTCCCGTTGCTGACAGCCCCCAGCTTCCCGCGAAGAGTGCATTCATGCGCATCATGCGTGGCTCGGAGCACCTGACCAAGAACACCCCCATCCACTGGATGGCATGGCTCGGCTGCACCGCCACCATCACCATCGTGGCATACCTCATCGGCAGCGGAATCCCCGTCTTCGACGGCCTCATCTCGCTCATCGGAGCGCTGCTGGCCACCGCCATGTCCTTCCAGCCCATGGGCCTCATGTGGCTCTACGACAACTTCAAGCGCAGCACCAGCGAGCGCGACAGCAAGTGGTGGATCGGCGTCACCTGGGCCTTCTGGATCGTCATCATCGGCACCTTCATCATGATTGCGGGCACCTACGGCTCCATCGTCGGCATCATCAATGCGGACCGCACCACTCCGTGGTCGTGCGCCGACAATTCGGGTTCCGTCTAAGAGAGAGCTGGCTCTTGAAAAATGATTTGACAGACAGTGTATATAGAACATCCAGACTCCAGTCCAGTCTGTCTGTCTGATGAGGAGACATGCAAAAAAAGATTTCGAGGAATGATTCGTTGTTCATGGTCGAGGTACGACCGCTATGTAGTCATGCGTCCTTTTTGGATCATGTGGGCAGGGAGCGGGAGCGAGCGGGCGTTTGTTGGAGGGTTGAAGGTTCTAGGTCTTCAAGGAAAAAGTAGAATTTGTACTTGTATTCAGTTCTGAGCCATCTCATTCCTCTTCATGTCGTGATTTGACACCTTTTATAGATCCGTCCACCCAACCCCCTTGAAGACCCAGTCTTGCATTTGAGACTGAACCGGGCTCTGGTATTGCGTAATATGGCGTTCACAACCCATCGAAGCGTGCCTTCACCCTTGCTCACATCGACTGAGACTATGCATATCTGTTTGCTAATGCAGACTCACAACTGCAAGGCACACGGCGCATTTGTCGTGGATCGAGGAGGGAAAGTCGCCGAGATAGAGTGGTTGACAGGGTACGTATTTCCGATAGCCTCATCAAAGTTGATGTGCTTTGTGCTTGGAAGGAGGCTGCAAATGCGTTTTTTTAGAGCGAATGTCGAGAATGCTGAAGCCGCAGAGATGACGGCGCCGAGGTGCTTTGGACGAACAAAAGGCATGAAGGAAGCGAAACCTGATAAGACAACGGCAGTAGTGGCTGAGCATTAGACAGTGAGTGTGGGAGAGGAAGTCACGGAGTGCGCCAGAGGAGGAGGTACTGGTAGTGTGGGCTGTGTACGTGAGTGGGTGACCACAGGATCTACGAAGAACACACCATAGCCAAGGTTTGTCTGGGCTCTTGGCATCTTGCATTACCGTCTCCCGAGATCAATCTTCAATACCTGCGTCATATCTCCTCTGCCTTGGGCTGCAGTCGTGTGCTCGATGCCGAAGAACGGACTGATGCCGACGTCGACTGTCTCTTCGAACAGCCCTTGGATGAGGCTCCGGAGCTCTCCGCCAGTCTGAGCAAAATCCGGAAAGGCATTGACTTCCAGCAGCCACGTCTTGCCCTTGGCGTCAACCATGAAGTCCAAGCCGAACACTTCAAAGGCGTTCGGAAGTGGCTGGAAATGTACGCTCATGCTCCTTGCTGCCGCTTCGAAGACTTCGCCCGTGATCGAGCAGATTTGGCCGAAGACATCTTCTTTCCAGTCTTCGCGGGTGCTCTCCGGACCTGCTGCAGGCAATTGCCAAAAAGAGTGCACGCTGCCTTCCCTCTCGCCGCTTTGCAGACATGTATTTGTAAGATGGCTGGAAAGATCTGCCTTCGGTGCGCCTTCCTCAGATGGCCCGACATAAGGCTTGCCAGCGAAGAGAGCAAGCATTGGCTTGTACACATACACCTCCAGCGCGCCCACTGCGAGCACATACGTTCGGATATGGAACTTGCGACCAGCTGAGGGATGCGGAGGAGGCAGTATCAGGGGCGGATGCACGTATGGCTGTGCAATGAAATGTCTCAGCTGAGAAGCCATCACGCCGTTGCCAGTTCCATTCTGCTCCTCGGAACCGCCGTGGTGCGAAGCAGCATCTTCGTCTTCGTCATCCGAGGGCGGGTCCCACTCCTGGAAAATGGCCTGAAGCTCCTCTTCGGAGCTGAAAAGACGGATACCTTGGCCACGATCGCTCATGCCCGGTTTCAGGATCCACCATTCTTTGCTCTCGCCGTCTTCTCCCAAGACCTCATTTCTCGCCCAGCTTTCCTTGAGCTCATATGCTTCAACCAGAGCATCATCGAGGAATTCAGCGTAGTCGACCTCGAACTCCACGCTGGGCTTCACATGGTCCTTTAGCACGCTCTCAGGATGCTTGGTGAGCCAGTGCGAGACGGTGGTCGAGAGATAGTGCTTTCTGATCAGAGCCTTACGGATGACATAACTATTGGCCAGAACGGAAGTCGACGATTCCATGAGGCGGTCGAAGTCTATACTTTCGTATTGCCTCCATTGCAGGAATTTGCTCTCCGGTGAGGGTAACTCGGATGCGTCTTTGATCAAGACCAGCAATTCCGGAGGTATTCTTGACTGGAGTGCTTTGAGAAGCAGAGGCTGGACGTATTCATCCTCGTAATCGATGAGAGCATAGATTTTGGAAGGTTTCATCGCGTGTTTCGGCCTGAAGTGTCTTCGCTTGGGATGGGCCTCCCGGAGATTATTTTCGAGAGCACCAAGCTTTCGGCTTCGGCAGATGTCAAGGTTGTCGGCCCGACTTGCCGAGCCAGCGAGGTGGATTTGTCTTGCGTCTTCCTTTCGACCTCACCTTTACCATCACCTTTGGTCTTCACACTGGTCTTCACACAATTTGGGAGTCATTTCAGAATCACACGAAGCTCATGAGGTCGTAGAATCTCGCCACTCGCCACCCGAGACTTGCTATGCTGGCGTTGGCAGGCCGCCGAGTCGAGGCTAGCTAGCGGTTTGCCTACCACCTCCATCGCTTCAGGCATTCTCTCTGGCGCTAGACGATGACCAGCAACTGGGAAGGTGCTTTCAGCTCTCTTGGACCTGCAAACAGCTCGCTGAAGGGCCATTCAAATCGATGGAAATGCATTGCCAAGCGGAACGCCGCCTTGGCACGAGATCCACCACGGTTGATCCGAAGAGCGATCCATTCGTGAAGCGGGCTGTTCGCGTGGTGGCTGCGCACGCTGCGGTGCACGGAGAGGTGTGACAGGGGCTCATGAGCGGTCAGAAGAGCCCCGCGGTGTGGCGGTGTAATCACCATCGTCGTCAGGTAAGGTAAGGTAGCTTCCCCTAGCGACAGCGCAACAAACACGCAAACGAGAAAATCACGCACCTGCACCTGCACCTGCACCTGCCTTACGTTTCCACCCTCAAATAAGACGCGACTCACTCCTGCCTCAACTTCTGCATCACCAAACGCCGAGTCAATACCAATACGATGTCTTTCTTCAAGAAGCTCACCGACGAGTTCAAGGACTTCAAACTCGGCGACAAGGACAAGCAGCAACCGCAGCAGTCCACCGAGCGTGGCTACGGCGACCAAGGCTACGGCGGTGCTCACGACTACCAGCAGAACCCCCAAACCAGCTCATCATACGGTCAGAACGCGCCATACCAGCAGCAGTCGTATCCTCCACCACAGCAGTACAACCAGCCGCCACCACAGCAATACAACCAGCCGCCACCACAGCAGTACAACCAGCCGCCATCTCAGCAGTACGGCCAGCCATACGGTCAGCAGCCGTACAGCAGCGGACCGCCGCCGCAGCCACCGCGCTGGATCCAGCAGTTTGACCAGGCAAGTCAGCGCACCTACTACGCCGAGACCACCGGCCGCTCAGAATGGAACCCACCGGCAAATGATGGCGGGCAGCGTAGCGTAGGCGGCGCGGGAGGTTTCTACGACCAGTACGGTGGCGCCATGCCATCGCAGGCCCCACCCCAGCCAGGCTACGAGCATCAGGAGAACGCACAGCAGTACTACGGTGAGGTGCAGAAGCAGGAGAAGAGCCACGACACCCGGAACATGCTGTTGGCTGGTGCCGCGGGTGTTGCGGTCGGCGGTCTCGCTGGAGCTGCCTTGGCTGGTAAGTGACTGCAAAGCAAAGGGAAGCTGCCAAGTTCCACAGTCAGCTAACGCTCGTGCTGCAGGCGACGACAGCGATGACGAGAAGCACGAAGCTCCGGCCGCCGATCCGTCGTATGGATCTGGCGGCGGTCCACCCGCGGGGGATAGTGACGCCGAATCACTCCGTGAAGCCCAGCAAGACTACAACGAGGCCGCCGCGGCGGCTGCGGACTCAGACGCCAGCAGTGATGAGCTGGAGGAGCTGCAGGAGGCTCGTGAGGAGTACGAAGAGGAGCGCGAAGAGTACTACGACGACTGATGACGAGGTATCTGAGGGCTTGGCGGGTGTGGAAGTTACGGGTCCTTCCCGTGCAGTGCAGTCTTTGTACTCTTAAGGTCAGAATCTGACAAAGTACGCATTCCAAATGTCCCGTGCCATTGCAAGTCCGATGTGCACCTCGGCCTCGACGCAGAATCCCCTCGCCTGGCTGAGGATCACATAGACGAAAGACAGCACAGGTTGAACCGGAGGGAGTGGTCGATCTTCTACGCGTCGCGGGCCGTTTTCCCGTTCAGCTATGATGGTTCCTAGATGTCGCCAGGGAGATTTCCACGTCTTCGCGCTCAAGTATGGGCTTCAAAGAGCGCGAAGCGTGGTGGGCAGCTTCCAGACTTCCTGCTGTCTGCGAGGGCGGAACAGCATTCGATCCTCCATCGCCTTCAACTTGACGGAGACATCGTCTGCAAAGAACGCTCGTGTGTGCACTTCGATGATTCGATCCATCTCTGGCCCAGGCCTTGTCCAGTCCTCCGTATAAAGCTGCCGTGCCATTTGAATTTGGCCTTGCGATACTGTGCAGGTCCCAACGAAGCAGAGTAGGATGAAAGCCATTGTCGATTTGTCACGCCGACCCCTGCAGCTTGTAACTTTCCTGACCAGGACTCGTGTTCTCATGCAATCAAGGAGTTGGTGCTTCAAAAAATGGTCACTGATAACTCGTTAGCGAGTACAACAATCGAGAGTCCAGAATAATGCCACTTAACTCAAGAAGCGCACGCTGGCGTCCACTGTGTCTTCCGCTGATCGCTTCGGCTCATCGACGACGGGCGCAACCGGCAAGAAGCGAAAGCGTGTCTTCGAGACTTCAATGAGCCCTTCGTGGCTCGGCTTGTGCGCCACCACCAGCGTGTCGTTCGGGCCAGGATTCCGAATGAAGCTCGCGGAGACGGATAGTCTGTTCCGAGGCGAGCCTGATACCAGCGGGTATGAGAGCTTCTGGGCGGCCCCATTGGGCAACAAATGAGGTCTCATGTACCATATCTGGAGCCGTCGCATGGTATCTGGCTGAGTAAGGGCCATAGCTCGTGCCGGTTAGATTTTGCTGCCGCGAAGATTTTGGCTGCGGATTGGGAAGGAAGCGACACTTGTCGTGATGCGATACCGAGCCACTGCACGGGCGGTGATTGGTACACATGGTATTTCTCGAAGCATCTCCGTGAATCTCCCATTGCGGTTCAATTGCCAGATGTGGTGGATTCTTTCGAGATGACGTGAAGTCCAGGTGAAGCCCGCGGGTGCTTTCGATTCCGTGTCCTAGTAGCTGTTTGCGGTCAGTATAGCTTGTAGGCAATGCATCTACACGCCATTGATGCACGAGGCAACGGAAGCTTGGGCCATAGCGGGGTGATAGAGTATCGCCATGATCCATACACCCTACCTGAGCGACACGTGAGGTCTGCCGCCATGCAGCGTGCGGGCGGAGCCATGTTGCAAAAGGGCCGTATACTCCCTCATGCTGCTAGAGATTGGAGGCTGTCCAGCTGTGCTCCAGTAGCATGCCCTCGTCGGTTCTGATTGGGATGATATACGACGGTCATGTAAGGTAGTGTCGTGTCGCGGGAGCTGAGTGATGAAGATGTAGCGGTTGACGCGGATAAAAAGCACGGACCTCGGCGCTTAGCGATTAGACGGGAAGCGCCTGGTGAATCCTCTCCCTTATCATTATTATTTTATGCGCCTGAACAAACAGTCACCGGCGTGCACAAAGAAATCTATTATCACTGTAATCACACAAACTCGTTAATAAGCTAGCATAGGCGAGAGAGCGTTCAGATGCACGGGACATCAGTGTAAGACAACGTCCACGTGTGAAGCATGCTCTGCCCGTTCTGGGAAGGTGCAAGCGTGGGCATTCCTGCACTTGGGGAGGCATGTTCCTTCCTTCTTCCTCTGCTGCGCCTTTCGAGCGTCGCAAAGACCACGAAAGAAAGTCTTGGAGTGCTGATATGTTCACTATCCAGGACTGGCATTCCATCTCTTGGTCCGCGGGATGATGTCTTTGGCCCTCAAAAGATGATGGCGTTTGGCATCATGGCGTGCTCGGCATTTGAATACCGAGGGATGGAACATTCGGAAGATTCGCATCTCGATTCCGATGCACCGGTAGGCGTGCAGTTGGCAGTCTGTTGGTCGTCAGAGGGTTGTCCAACCATCTTCTTGCTCGTCAAGCGCAAGAGATGAAGTTGGATTTAGTCCCGACTCGAGTCTGGGCAGTTTCCCAAACCTGCACGCTGCACGCGCATGCGCACGCGCACCCTTCTCCACCCTTGGCACCGCTTTGGGTACTGTGGTACCTTAGCCTGTGAACGGAGCGGGTGGCTTGGCGATGGCGTTTGTGTACTGCTGCAACCATGCCAATGGAACTTTCTGTTGGGACATCGCATGAATTATTGAGCAGTGAGCAGTGAGCAGGCGAGCTGGAGCTTGCAGATGGCCAACAAGAGAAGACACGTGAAGCCTCTGGCTGCAGCGGTGTTGAGGGATATATGTGTGTATGTATTGAGATTGCTGTAGGTCGGTGGAGTGGCTGAGCTTGCGTGATTTGTGACTGGCGGAGACAACGGCTCGGGCTGCACGTGATGATGCCAGGTTGTTGGCTGGGCTTGGCGGGAGAGTTCCATGAAAGCGAAGACACTGGCTTTCACTACTCCTCCTCTTCCACCTTCTCTCACAACAACACCTCACCAACAAACACCCATAGTCCTTCTCCCTTCTTCTGCTCTTCGCTCTAAACCACTGAATCCATCCTCCCGGAGGCAGAGCACCCATCCCCGCTCTGTCTTTACGTCCATCCTCCACCATGTAAGCTGCTCCTGCAGAAACTCTTATCATTGATTGCATGACGGGGACTTGCAGGAGCTCGTCCTCGTCTTCGCATGCATGGTCCTGGCGGCCGTCTGCCACTGGAGACATGGCCAAAGACACTACGAGAGCCTGCTAAATGCCTCATTCCAAATTCGCTCCCCCTCCTCCCATCCTCTCCCATCCTCTCCCATCCTCTCCCATCCTCTCCCATCCTTTCCGCTCCATCGCTTGTTTCTTTGCTACCTTCGCCTTACCTTATCTAGCACCCCCTCCAAGCTGTCCTCGCTGCACAGCCAGAGCACAGCCCGCGCACAGCCAGACGGGACACCCGAGGCATCTACTGACGCACATTCGCAGTCCTTTGCTTCTGGCATTGAGCACCACACTCGCCCATCATGTCCATCCCAATCGTCCCTCCGCGTCCGCAACGCAATCAGCCCGCCCACACCTCCGGCAAGAACGACACTCCTCTGCTCCCGCCGAGACCAAGCCGCAATCTCGACCCCTCTCCCGATCGTGAGGCCTCCACTCGTTCCCCATTGAACGCTCCCCCGACCGCTTCGAGCAATCGCCAGATCCGTCCCCGCTCCAGCCAAGATCTCCCACAAAGGCCTCCAAGTGTCTCGCTGCCAGACATTGGCCAGGAGGGAGCAGAATACTCCAGCTTCGACCAGCTCCCGCCCGAAGCTCGTGCCGTTTCCACTTCGCCAGGAGAGCAGACCAGAAATGTCTCTGCCGACCTGCCTATCCACCAGCCCAAGGCGAGCGTGCCGCAGTCCACTGCGACCAGGCAGATTCAGAATGTCACCGGCACCGACTCCACTCAAGCTGCCGCCGCTGGCATTGGTCGAGCTAGGCCCGCTGACGACGTCCACAAGCTTCCTCCTGCCGATGTCGCCGGAGGAACTGGCTCTCCTTTGAGCAGCCTGACCACCAATCCCAGGCGCGCTCCCTCCACCGACCTTCCCAATGCTCTGGGCCAGAAGGCTAGTTTCAATCGCTCGACTCCGAGCTTGCAGCCACTCGAACGCACCACCTCCCGCACGGGTAGCATGCACGGCGCCGATGATTACGAGCACGGTATTCCGGAGATTGGTCGTCAAGTCCCATTGCTCGCCATGGCCGGAGACGTCCAGGCTCCGTCACCGGGCCAGGGACTCTCCCAACATGCTCCAGGCATTGGCTTCTTCAATGACGGCTCTGGCAAATCTCATCGCAAGAGGGGTTCAAGACAGGATTTTGGAGATTCGGATGCGTATGGTCTGCAACACAGCACTCAAGATCAGTTCGAGAAGGAATGGGTCCGCAAACATCCCCGAGAGGCTGCCAAGGAGGGATACTATTCGCATTTGCCAAAGCCGGAGACTGCTTTGACGAGTGAACAACTGAACAGGCTTGTCCATCAGAGTGAACCTGGTAGGTGGATACTGTCATTCGTGAAGAGGACACAATACTGACCCTCCACTGCAGTGGTGGCTGCAGCCACACCGGGAACGCCCGACGAGCACGATGCTGACGAGTTCCTCTCACGCATGTCTTCAGCGCAAAGCTCTCCAGCTCCAGCTGCAGACCGTAAGAAGCGCTCCTCGAGCGGTGCGGAGGCTGCTTCACCATTCAAGAAATCGTTCGGCCTCAGCGAGAGGAACCGCCTCCATCCAGACGACGCCATCGACAGCGAAGACGATTTTACTGGTCAGAGAAGAGCTAGTAGATTCATGGATGACGATCACGAGCACGAGCACACTGATGGCACGCCGATTCTGGCTGCCGACGAGCTCATGAAAAGGCCCAGCAGCGCGTTCATGCACGCAGCGGTCACCCCGGATCCAGACGCATACCATGACGACTTTCATTACGAGAGCGACACTGGCAGTCGCAAGGGTAGCATTCAGCCCAATAGTCGCCCTTCGAGCCGTCCCAGTAGTGTCCACGGATCTCAGAGCTATCACGGTGGGTCGTTACATCGTTTTGTTTCCCGTGAAGAGGAGCATCATTCCGCCATGGGCACACCGTTAGAAGAGATTGAAGAGTACGAGCCGCTCTTCCCCGAAGAAGGAGAGAAGGAGAGTGCCAAGAGGACGTTCAAGAAGAGGCCGGAACTCGCACAACACCACTTCCCCAGTCGTGATGTTTGGGAGGACACTCCGTCCTCGTTACAGTACTCCGCCACTGTCTCTACGCCGGACCTTGAAAAGAGACAGGCAGCTACTTTGGAAGCGGACAGCAAATCTGTCGCCGAGACCTTCGAGACGCCCGAGCAAGAAATGCAGCGTCGTAGCCAGAACAGCCGAGAGAATGACATGACAAGCGACAGCAAGACTTTTCTGAAACCGCATTTCAAGCCAGGTGTTGCCGAAGAGATCCACCGACCAGGAGTACACCGCTTCCCCAGCTCGGACGTGTGGGAAGACTCACCTGACAGCTACACCCTTGTCAACCAGACGACGGTCAGCAATCTAGATGTCGAAGGTCCGAAGAGTCCGGAAGAGCCTCTTGCGAAGCCGAGCATTCCCACACGACCTCAAAGGAAATCAAAGCTTGCCGAAGGAGGTGGACTACCTGAAGACGCTCAGCGCGATGTCAAGAGCCCACCGAATGCACCAGAGAAGCCCAAAGTGCCTGTGCGACCTGCCCGTTCATCAAAACCAGAGCAGCTCGAGGGTGCCGGATTGGAAAGATCAGGCGATGCAGCCGCTGCAGTCAAGGCGAAACCTCCTGTCCCGGCCAGACCAGGTGGCAAGTTTGGCGCTCAAGCGGGTTTCTTGGCGGATCTGAACAACCGTCTGCGAGTCGGCCCTCAAGGTCCTCCGCCCAAGAGGGACCCCGAACCTGAAGCCGACGAAGAGGCACTCAAAGCGCCACTCGCCGATGCCCGCAAGACTCGCGCCAAGGGTCCTCAGAGGAGGAAACCCGCCGCCGCTCCATCTCACCACCGGAAGTCTTCCGTAACGTTTGCTTTCTCGCCACTTATCAACTGCTGGTCCATCGACGAAGGGGAGGAACTCACCGTTCACGAACGCGAAGAAAAAGAAGCACAGAAACAAGAAATCCCATCAAGTGGCATTGCAGCGCCGGAAGCGGAAAAGGCTCTCGCAATGAACGAACTGGAGAATGTAGAATCTGTTACTCCAGCAGAGGAAGCGGGTGATGCCCATGATATCGCTCGTCGGATCAGTACGTCTGAGCAGCCCGGTACGGAGGCGCGTCAACATGGTGAATCGGAGACGGAATTGAAAGCTGCGTTGGCGAAGGCGGGTGCGGCACCGACTTCGTATTCTGCTCCTGAGGATGCGATTGCGGAAGGAGGAGAGGAGGAAGAAGGCAAGATTGCAGCCGCCAAGGAAGCAGAGGCGTAGAGTAAGTGTAACAAGCAATAGGCAGGAAGAGGGATGCTTGCAGAAGAAGAAGAAGAAGAAGAGGAAGAAGAAGAAGAAGAAGAAGGAGAAACGGTAGAAAAGTTAATTACTACTCGTAATGCATTCATTGCGTCCTGACGTTCGTTCGTTTCGTCGCGCGAAGGGAGGAGAAGAAGCAGGAGTGAGATCTAGGAATTTTCGTAGACAATTGAACAGTTGTGACCGCCTCCTTTCCCTCTTTTCTCTCTCTTCAAAACGTTCGTTCGGGTGGCGTATGTAACTCCGTCATGTGAACTGAACTGACGCATGCATGGGTATTAGGTTGTTAAAAAAAAACATGATCAAAAACTCCTTTCCTTTCAAACCCGGATGGATGTTCGAAACCGCTCCGAACGCGAACGAACCCCCGCCGGTCATGCAATCCAATCCAATCCAATCCTTGAATCCATTCATTCACTCAATTTACTCATTCAATCAATCCACATCAAACCTCAGACCACGGATCCTCTCCTGCTCATAGGCAATCCCACGGCTGCGGACCTTTTCGATTTCCTTCTTGCCGAGGACGACGTGGACGAAATTCTCGGGCAATCTGCCATCGGCCCTGTGGAGTGGACGATCATCAGTAAGGTGGAGGTGGGGGGAAATTAACAACAACAAAACATCGCGGAGGGGAACTTACTGCAACATGACGACCTTCATATTCCTCGCCTTGAAGCGCATGTCCTCCGCGGTCCGCCTCGAGAGCCGCCTTTCGTCGGGGGGGAGATCGTTATCGATGGTCTTCAAGCCCGCGTAGCTGATGCCGCCTTCGCCGTGTTCCTCGATGAGCTCGATGAGGGCATTTTCTTCGTCTTCGCTCCATTCGGTGCGTCTTTGGGGCGCTCGGTCGACGGTACCGATGCGGTTGAATTTCGACATGGCTTTTTGACGGGCCCAGATTTGATCTTGGGGTATGTCATCGTCACCAGCGCCCAGTGGTTGGATGGGATCGGGCATGGAAGAGCCAGGGTTCTTGCGCTGGCGCTTAGCCGGGCTTGGTCCTGGATTGACGGAAGTGGAGGTGGATCGCGGTGGTGCTGCGCTGCTGGTGGCACGAGCTTGTGGTCTGGGAGCGTTGGGAAAGCTGACTTGTCGGCGTCGCGCGTCGGCTGCTGTAAGATCGCGTGTGTCGACCTGGAAACCGTCGTCCTGAGTGGGATCGGGAACCTCCTCTTCGTCTTCCACCTGCTCATAGCCTCGTTTGGCCGGTCTAGATGAGCTAGGCATAGCGGAGTCGCCGCGTCCTTTCTGCATCGGGCGAGGGCTGTCCCCTGGGATGGGAGATATGCGCTGCGCACTCGGTTGTGGGTCGGTCCATCTTGCCTTCTGCTTGCCATTGTGATGAGCACGAGACGAAGCGCTAGCTTGTGCGACTTCAGCAGCATTGGCTTGCAGAGAGCGCTGAGGCGCAGCATCCGAAGATCGAGATGGTTCTTGCTGGGTACCAGCAGTCGCTGTCATTTGCGCTGTCGGAGCTGGCGCAGATGCATTCCTCTCAGCCATTTGAGCCTGCTTCTCCATCTCACGGATTCTGGCAAGATTGTTTTTGCCACCAAAACTGCTCCTTCCCTTTGACGACTGCTTGCCGACACTTTGGCGAATGCCTTGCGCGATCTTCTCATTCGCCCTGCGCTCAGTTTCTTCCGCTAGTCCCTCCAGAATACTTGTTGTGCCGCCAGCCTGCTCAAGCCGCTCATGCAGGTCTCTCATACGAGATTCGGCATACTCGATAGCGGACCTTCCGAGGGCATCCCAGCGATATATTGCCTTCAATCGACCGTTGCTAGCTGTAGCGTTGGTTGCATTGTCTACTGGGAAGGGTTTCTTCATGTCATCGACGGATTCTCGGATCCTTTGCACGGCGTCGTTGCGGACCTCTTCATCAACTGTCTGTAGGCCGAGGCTGTCAAAGTGAACGAGCCTATCTTCATCATCGAAGAACTGTGACTCAATGACGGCGTGCGGGGAGAAATGCGGCTCGCTGTTGATATGCGCATCGAGTCGAGCAATCGTGACGTGCGCTGAGAGTTCCAGAAAGAAGCTGAGGGTTTCGTAGCTAAACTCACGGCCTGCGATAGCATCCAAAAACCACGTATGCAGTCGTTCCAGCATGGACGTGTGTTCTTCAGCCCAGTCAGAAGGATCGCACACGATGAGTAGGCTGTTCAGCATCTGGGTCAGGTTGATCTTGAAGATGAAGTTGTCCGGACGCCATGGTTCCTCTGGAATGTTTGTCGTGTCCGCGACGCCCAGCAGGGCTTTCAACACATGTCGGGGGGAGATGTATTCCTGACTCCCGAAGTTGGGCTTGTGGACATTGATACTCGCAAGCCGGTTGTGGTAGAGTTTGCTGTGCCTGGACCCAGATGTGCGGATCTCTTTCCATATGACTGGATTCGTCTCGGAGCCATGTGGAATTAACAGTCGCAACAGTTCCTCGCAAGACGACAGCAGGCCAGGAAGAACATCTATCATGACTTCGGGGTCCATCCTTGAGGTTTCCTCTTGGGAGAACGAGGTCTTTGCAGTCGTTCCAGAGATGACGGAGGCATTGCCACGTGAGATGCGTCGCCGCTCGAGATCTTCAGCATCGACCGCGTGCTCATCTTGCAGTTGAGCCTGCGCTTGGAGTTGAGCGTCTAGTTGGGCCTGGTCGATATTTGTGTCTTCTTCGACCTCGGCAAGTGCTGAGGAATTGATCAGTCTGGAAGACCGGTAGGAAGTAAGGAAGTAGCACGCGTTGGAACATGCGAAGGCAGTTAAGCAAGCTCGCTTGTAGTAGGCTCCGCGCCAAGCAGTGCTGAGGGCTTGTTTTGACAACAACAACCGCCGGCGCTTCCCGTATTTACCACTTACCTGGAGGCTCTACGCCCTTTTTCGACCTGCCTCGTCTCTTTGCATTTGCATTTGCATTCGCCGCGGTGTCTGCAGTCCCCGGGTTATTGCGAGCAGCTCGGGTGGCAGGACGCGCCCGCTCGGAGGGCTCGACGCTGGCGCGGGTCTGGCGTGTTGTTCTTGGCGGCAGAGGCTCCACGAGCGTTGCCTTGGACGGCTTCGCCATTGATTGTTGGATAATGCGCCACCCACGGTCGAGATGCCACGATTATTGATGGTGGCGGTGGGTTGGCGTCGGCGTATTTGGGGATTGTTTGGGAAGTGACAACGAGCGACGGGAGACAGAGATTCAGCTTAGGGTTCGATACCCTAGTACCCTAGTCCTCTTAGGGTAAGTCACGTGAAAGTCACGTGGACCTCCGAGTGAATCCTGTTCCCGGAGCAGCGCTCGGAGGTGCCACAATCTTGGCCCGGGAGCAGTTTCACGTCGAATGTCTTCCTGCGCCATCTGCTCCAACGCTTGCACGACACGCGTCCGTGGTGCGTACAGACGTGTAGCTAGCGAACCGAATCATCATCCGCCCATGTGCGCCTGTCAACATGAGGGAACTTCTGCTCGTCCCTCACCGCGGACTCTGCAGAGAGAGCGGTTGAGCGGAAGCGGCGGGACGATGTTGCCGAGCCGAGAGCAGTGAGTGCCCTGAGTGGCTTGACCGTCGCCAAGAGAAAGCTAGACTGCCTCGTGCCTCGTGATGAGTCAGTCGTGAGCGCGCGTGTTGCGTGTGCAGTAGTTAGTAGTTGTGAGCGCCGCTGCATCATCGTGTACATACTACTGCTTGCCTACATCTAGTACCATCCCTTTTCACCAGACCCCGGTTGATGTATTACCACCCCACCGTCTCCTGCCGTACGAGCATCTCCAGCGCATCGCATTGCGTCGAGAGTGCATAGCCGCGACCCTTCTCCCACCGCGACCGTGACGACCACTGCCCGCGATTCTGCCCTGCCCACGGAGCCGACTGCGTACGTCAGCATTCGCGATTGAAGAAATATCTCTCTGTCCAGCGGACGACCTCCTTAATCCTTGGTGGCTGACCTCAGGCAAGCTCCCATTGCTTCTGTTCATTATCCACCGCTACACTGCGCGCCATGCGCTTCACACACGCTTCCCCTCTCCTCCTGCTGCTCGCCCCCTCCCTCATCGCCGCAGACGCCCCTCGGCCTCCCACAAGAAGAGACACAGAAACCCTGGGAAAAGAGGAGATACTAGCTCTCAATGCTCGCCCCGGCGCTCCTCTCGGACGCGGCAAGAGCAATGGCCCCGACCCATTACCAAACTCCCCAAACACCATGGGCGCATCCAAACCATACGTAGGCACAGAAGATGCGCCGGTCGATGGCTTAGACGGCAAGCCACATGCGGGCCCTTTCGTGGACAGGATACCAGATGACGCCAAGCCGCGGAAAGGAGACGATGCCACCAAGACCATCAAATCCCTACCGACCTCTCTCGAGAATTTGAAGGCTGGCGGGCTGAAGGACATACCCGAGAAGAACGACGGTGTAATGAATGATGAGAATCGACCTCTACCAAAGAAGGGCACAACAGGCACAGAAGGAGGCATCAGCGAAAAGGAGAAGGCACGCAAGGAGCTGGACGGCGAGCTTCAGGAGACCAAGCCCAAGGCTCCGAAGCAGGCGCCTGTTTTACCGAACAGCGAAGGCGAGCACTCCGAGCAAACAGATGGAAAGAAGGGTACCCAAGCTTCTGACGAGAGAGAATCCTCTTCTGCCAGTGATGCTAAAGATCCTATCACAGGCGAGAAGATCGATTCGAGCAGAAGTAAGGACGGATATGGAGAAGCTGGTTATGGCATGGAGAAGCCCAAAGATCTCCCAGAGAAGCCACACAACATCCCTCATCCCGCACCCAAGGCTGCGAATGACGATCTGGGTCCCCCGGTCAATCCCGAAGGAGGCAAGAACAAGTGGCTACTCTCCACCATGGATTACACTGAGGGCGTTCCGAAGCCAAAGGCGAAAGTCGCGACCGATAGCGAGGGCAACAAGGTGCTCGTGGACGATGCACACCTTGAGACATGGCACGAATGGTTTCACTCTTTCGTTCTCTCCTTCACCATGATCATCTTCTCCGAGATTGGCGACAAGACCTTCCTGGTTGCGGCTCTGATGGCCATGCGACACGCACGATTACTCGTGTTCAGTGCCGCTCTGTCCGCCTTGATCGCCATGACGGTCCTTTCCGCAGTCTTGGGTCACGCATTCCCCTCGCTTCTTCCCAAGAAGTTGACGACTCTCGCAGCAGCAATATTATTCTTTGTGTTTGGCGCCAAGAGCTTGAAAGAAGGCCTCGAAATGGACAAGGATGCTGGCATTGGGGAGGAAATGCGTGAAGTCGAAGCCGAGCTCGAGGAGGAAGAGCATAAGATGCGCCGCAGATCGTCCCGAGCGGATCAACTCTCACCCTACGAGCTGGAAGGTGGTCGCGGAAGACAACTCGGTCTGGACAAGATGGGCCGTCCAGAGCCTTCTCCTCCTCTGAGTAGGTCGCCCTCGCCCAAGGGTCGGAAAGGGCAGTTCTCGGGTCTCGTGAACCTCTGCAGCCTTGTGCTCAGTCCGGCATGGGTACAAACATTCGTCATGACGTTCCTTGGTGAATGGGGAGATCGCAGTCAGATAGCAACGATCGCGATGGCTGCCGGGCAGGACTACTGGTGGGTGACTCTGGGTGCGATCGTTGGCCACGCTTGCTGTACAGGCATGGCAGTCATAGGAGGGCGAGCGTTGGCCGGCAGAGTGAGCATGCGAGTTGGTGAGTGTTTGCCCTTTACATACATTTCATGAAGAACGTTGTGCTAATGTCGTATGCAGTGACTATCGGCGGCGCCGTCGCATTCCTCGTTTTCGGATGCATCTATCTCTACGAGTGCATCGTCGAGTAGGGAGGTACAGCGACTTTCGCATTTAGAGCAACGACCAACTACAGCATTTTTCGCTTTGGCTCTTTTCTAGATTCATTAGCGAGCGGCGTTTGAAAGGCGAGCAGGGCCGAGAATCCAACACGGCAGATTCCGCGGGGGAGAACAACTTCACTAATATCTCTCTGTAACATAAAAACGCTGTCTGCTGTGGAATCATGTCCGAGAAAAAACGGTTTGGGCAAAAGCTGGAGGGCAGGGCAGGGCAGGGCAGGGCAGGGCAGGGGGAAACGGGATGACCATTTTCTTCGCTTTGCTGTATTGACTAGTAGAAGACTTTGGGAGTGGAGAGGATGAAGCAGAGAAGCAACAGTCTGCTAGTGTGAGGTCGACGAAGAACCTTGAATGAGGAGAATCATTCTCTCTATCAGCCTTGTGGCACGAGTCTTGTTATGGGAGAGATTGATGAACAGAACTGACTTTCTTCGCAAGAGACATACAACTCACAACGATGCAACTACGCGGACAGAATCGATGGCGGCGAAAACGTCCAAAATCAGGAAAATAAATTCGACAAGACTAATCTCATTAGGTTCGCGTAACGTTCGTCTTCCTCTATCTACCAACCGACTCCACCCTAAACGACTTTTCTCGAACCGAAAGCCCCCTCGCCCGAGTCCTCCTCTCCCACCACCACCGCCGCCTTCCGTTTCTCTTCAATCCCCGCCACCATCCGAATCAGAGCCACCATACAAGGCATCGTCACCACCAACACGGCACAATTGACAAAAAACGGCACCCTCCGATCTCCCAACCCAGCAGAATTAATCCCATAACTCACCGCCTGCCCCGCCGTCTCAAAAGCCCGGAATAAGCCCCCCGTCCTCGAACTCGTCTGCATGTCCGTCGACAAGCAGCCCAGGATCCAATACAGACATAACTGCGTCCAGTAGCCCGTGACGAAGATTATCAGGTAGGGGATGTATGCTTTCGCCCACCGCGAGGGAGTTTCGAGGTAATCGAGGGCATAGGTTTCTTGGCCGAAGTTTCTGTATTCGATTCCGATCCAGATGAAAGAGGCGATTTGGGGCAGGAGCCAGAGGAGGAAGGCGATCCAGGCTCGTCTGCGGAGGGAGAGGCGTTTGAGGTCCAGGAGGCGGCCGTAGGCTATCACGAGGGGGATGACGATCGAAGCTAAGGGGAGGGGGGGAAGTCTGTTATTCGAGAGTTTGTCGGAGAGGATGGAGGTTCGGCGGTTGGCGGAGAGAGACTTACGGACGATGAGGGAAGACAGGGCACGTGCTCGGACGGAAAAGTGGAGGGAGAGGTAGGTTCCCATTGTGCCGCCGTAGAAGAAGGAATAGAAGGAGGGGATGAAGACGAGCCAGGTCTGTTTTTGTTTTGTTTAGAGAAAGAGCCCAAAAGGTTAGCAGGAGATGGAGAGGGGATGAATTTTTGGAGGACGAACTTTGCTGTTGATCAGGTGGTCTTTGAGGGCGATGAATTCTTGTCTCCAGGTTATACGTGCTGCCATTTCGATTCTGCTGCCGTCTCGGCGGCGGACTTTGCGGGTCGTCGAGAGCAGGAAGGCCCAGAGGATGCCGGTACATTCTGAAAGAGAGATTTTTCTGTCAGGGATCTGGGAAATCAAACAATGGGGATTATTTGGTCGTACCGAAACCGACGAAGATGAGATATGTTGACCAGGCAATACCTCCCGCCGAAGCATCTTGGTGGTTATTGGCGAAATTGATGGCGCCCCCGATGACGCTTCCGGAGTTGCGCATTGCGGACCAGATGCCTACGTCTTGTCAGAATGCATAGCGAGACAATTGACTGAGGGGAAACCCAACCGAGATAGAACCCTCGATCGTCCTGAGGGGGATAAGACAACATCGCCGTCGTCTCGGCCACGTACAGAAAACCGGACGTGGCACCTCCAATGACCTTACACATCCAAGTCAAGTCATCAGCCAACAACATGACTTTGTATCACGTTTTTTTGGGAGGAAGACCCCTACCTACCTGAGAAGCGAGCAGATACGAATTGATCCCAAATTTGGCATTGGTATAGTATGCCGATCCCGTCAGAGGCATAATGACCGCGGCGATCACACAGGACCATTTGATCCCCAATTGGTTGATCAGCGGCCCGCCGAAGAGCGTCGTCAAGCAGCCGGTGGCGTAATTGAGGGCATTCGCCAAATTCGCCAGGAAAGGCGTCGAGAGGCCTCCGCCGCCGAGATTCGAAATGGCGTCTCCCATTGCGGGGCCTTGATGACTGTGTTGTTAGAGATCACAGCAGTTGTGGGAATTGATTCCATGGAAGGCATTTACCGACGAAGGAAAGACTGGATACGCGGCGTCAGTATTTTTGGTCCCAAGAATTCGACTTTTCTACTTACGCTCCAAACAATATCATCTGGAACAGCACACTGCGATAGAAAGTCTTCCAGGTGTAAGGCTGCCGCTTGACGGACTGTTCAAGCACTTCGCCGACAGCAACGTCGCCAGCTCCATTGCTTTCCATTTCGCAATCATGGACAACAGCGTCCCCTTTCTTGCCCGCGGCGGGCTGAGAAGTAGACATGATGAGAGACGTCCAAAGTGGGAGAAGGACGCTTCTGAAAGTGCGATATCAGTAGCTCTCATATTGCTCAGAGACGTTAGTTTGGGTTTATGAATGCCTGCTTGATCTTGGCAGGTGTGCTATCTTCTAGAGTAGGCCTATCATGCCCGACGTGCAGCTGGGGGAGGGATGTGATCTGCATGCAGGGCGTGGACAGCGAACGTTAGCGGATTTTCCCCCTTCTTGGGAAAGAGATGATACAGCGTCTTTCTACATCGGAGCATTATTTCGCTTGCCGAAGATCCTGTCAAAACCCAGGACAACATCGAGTCGGATAGCGCGATATAAGCGGTAGCAGCCGTCGAGATAACAGTCTGATGGGCGAGGACGCTGTAGTGGCAAGCGGAGAGAGCTTGGCAGGAAGGAAATTCGATGGGCGAAGCACATTGAACAGGCCATGATTCAGCAGAGGTTGAAAAGATATTCTGGGATGCCGATATGCTGTACGGTATTGAGTACTAGCATCAATCCCCAGAAGAGCAGTGCTCAAGGCGCTCTCGCCTCATTGCTGCTTTGAACTTTTCCATTGCTTACGACTTGCCCCGCAGAATTCCTTCTTGTTCCGTCTGTGGAGAGGACATGACCACTGGTGACCTTCTCAAGATCAGGTCTCCTGTCGATCGATTCTTGCAATTCGACCAGAGGGGCGTCACTGTCATTGCCACCAGCGTCTGCAAAGACAAAGCTGCGGCATTCGGTGTTGGACCACATGCGGGTGGTCTGCTTGCCATCCTCGTCCACATTGCCGACAATGAAATGCGCGAATAGACCATGGGAGACAATGGCGATGTTCTTCTCGGGCCGTTGCTTCAGAGTATTTCGAAGACTGCGCGCTCGCTCGATGAGTGAATTTCCATCTGCCGCGAAGCGTCCCTGGTTCGTGTGCCAGTAGGAAAATAGATCAAGACGTTGCGCATCCACCAAGTCACCGAAGATAGCCTCGATTTCTTCCTTGCTGGAGCCAGTGTCCATAGGCTCGTCGGAACCCTCCTGAGCGAGTGGCATAAGGAGGATCTTGTGGCCTGTTTTGACAGCTGGCGCGAATCCATATTGGCAAGTCTGGATGGTCCTCTTCATGGGACTGGCCATGAGCATGTCGATATCATCGTGATGAGGGAAGTTCCGACAGAGCTCCTTGGCCTGTTCGATTCCTTCATCTGTCAAGACTGGATCATGAATCTTTTCACCTCCTTTGGCTACGTTCTACGCCGTGTCAGTACCTCGACCATTACTGCAAGAGTTGAAGTGATGACTTCACATGATAGCCTTGCGCATGGCGAACGAGATGGATTGTAGGCGGCATCTTGACTAGTTGGACATGTGAGCAACATCTCAACGCATCATGATCTTTCAATTTTCTTATAGGATAAGCAAATTGTTGCGACGCCAATCTTTCTCGTCCTCGTCATGCACGCCGCCACGCCTTTGATTCGCGTTGATTTGATTGGCCTAATTGCCAAACCTTCGCGGCGGAGGCTGTAGGATCTGTGACTTGGCGACTTCCTAAGGAGTGGCTTCGCGTCTCTCGTCGACCGTGAGAGACATTCTATCGCCATGACGAAAGCATACGGACTGGAGTGTGTGTTTTTTGAGATGCGTTTGCCTGATGATGGATGAGAGTTGGAGAAAGGAAAGCAAGATCTTGCATGACACCACGCTGGTGCTTGGCATCCACGCTTCGGCCCGGAGAAACCATGTCCCGGATGTCTCAGCATCAGACCATCAATGTACCTCGTTCTGTTTTATGTTTCCAAGATCACAAGAGTCGCCGCGTTTTCTCCATCTACGCTTCATGGAATCTACAGGATAAGACGATGGCTTCTCGTATTCACAAAGCAGCTTGCCTGGCTGCCGATTCCGTGACCGGTGGAAGTGAACGAGATAGGCCAAGCACCCGGGTTTAATCGCTTCGCCCCACGGACGAACAATGGGCTCACGGTTGCATGCCAGGCACGTGCTGGGATCACATATGTCATATTTGATCTTGCTCAGTTGTTGACTTTCCGTGCCAGCTTCGGCGACTCCCTTCGAATATCAGCATCTCAGGACTTCATCTCCCTTCTCCGACTTATTGGGAGCGTCACATTGAGACACCATGTCTCTTCCACTTGTCGATCCGACGAAATCATATTGGATCGAGGCCGCAGAATCTCCGTTGAGAGATTTCAGATCCAGCGATGGCCTCCCAGCGGAAACCGATATAGCCATCATTGGAAGCGGATATGCTGGCGCATCCACGGCATATTGGATCCATAAGGTATCGTAGCGCATGCTCTACATGGCTACATTATGCTAAGAGGGATCAGTACACCGAAAACAGTGATGCCAAGCCTCGAATCCTAATGTTGGAGGCGAGAGACATTTGCGGCTCTGCCACTGGTCGAAATGGTATGCGGCCTAATTCTCTCATCCTTCGACAACGTAGCTCAAAGCTCGCTAGGTGGACAACTACGACCTCATTTATACTCTCGCTATTTGCCTTGGAAAGAGCGATTTGGCGCCGACGGTGCCATGGAACTGATCAGGCACGAACATGCCCATCTCTCGGCTTTCAAACACCTCGCAGACCAAGAAGGCTTCGCTGATGAAGTGTGCTTGAAGTTTGGAGAGACTTTCGATGCTGCCATGACAGAAGAGGCCTGGATTCGACTTCGGGATAACCTCGAGGCAATGAAGAAAGACCACGGTAAAGACGATGAGATTGTCAAAGCTTGCAGACTCATTACCGACGCCCATGAGGCAGAGGAGTTCTCACAAATGAAGGGCGCTATTGCTGCTGTTGTTCATCCGGCTGGTCAAATGTGAGCCCTATCTTGCTACGTGCGCGATTTGCATTCGCTAACTTCTAAACTTCTCAAACTTCTAGATGGCCTTACAAATTCGCTCACGCCCTCTTACGAAAGGTTCTTGCATCAGGCCAGCTAAACCTGCAAGCTCACACTCCAGCACAGACCATCTCTGAGCGAGACGCTGATGGTTGGATTACTGTTACTACCGATCGCGGAGTAGTGAAAGCCAGAACCGTCGTTCATACAACCAACAGATGGGCCTCTCATCTGCTCCCGGAATTTACTAAGCTCATTCTGGGCGACAGAGCCACTATGGCTGCTATCAAAGCGCCTGAAGGCTTCATCAGACATACAGGTGCTCAGCACTGGGACTCGGTTGTCAATAACTATCATTTACAATTGCCACCACCGCACAACACCATTATCCTTGGAGGTGGCAGACAGCTGTTAGTACACAGACCGCATGACTGCTTCTTGAACGACGAGGAAGATAAGCAGGTTCCTGGCATGGCCGAGTTCTTCCGGTCCTGGCCTTCATCAGATGTCAAGGGGTGGCCGAATCGAAGCCCTCCAGAGCTGGCGCTGGATGTGAACAATGGCGGGTGCTGGACTGGGAGTCAGTCAACCTATTCCCCAAAGAACATTCCCAAGTATGCAAGCTAACGACTTCGGACCAGTGGAAACGACCAGCATCGATTCATTCCCCTTTGTCGGTTCCGTGCCAAACCGAGTGGGACATTGGATCGCAGCAGGGTTCGCTGGCCACGGTGAGCCCACCTCACTCAGGTGAATAATCATGATAAACACTAATAATTTCGCAGGAATGCCACGAATCCTCCTATCGACAGCACACATCACGCCATTGTTGCTCAAGGAGCTGGGCTTCGAGCATAGCCCACCCTCGCTTGTGCAGTCATACCCGTCACTGCCAAAACCCTTCCATGCCACTGCAGAGCGTGTTGAAAGACTTCAGCAGACTGCCGATGTTGCAGCTAAGAAGCAGGCATATCTGGATAACTGCGAAGCTAGCGCGAAGAAACCATTCTGCAATACCGCGAGAACACGACTGCCGAATTAGAGACTCAGTCACCACAGCTCGGAGTAAGGAAGAAAGAAGTGAAGATGCCTTCATCCTGGAAATGAACGAACGGTACAGGGATAACCTGCAGAATCATCCATCAAAACGTACATAGTATTCGAAACCGACTGAATTCAAAACGCGCAGCTTCCACAAGAATCAACAGCATGCGATATGGTACACAACGCAAAAGCAAAAATCGTTGGGTCCGCATCAATGTGAAATCACGCCACGCAAGTTGAAACCAAAATCCTCCGCGTTGCTCTAGGCTCGCAGTCCTGCCTAAATGGAAGGCCATATGAGCCGCAATATCCACACCAGGAGCAATTGTTAGCCGTTCGCTGGGCTTGACAGCTGCTCAATCAAGCATCTCTAAAGATGACAACTGCAATAAGTTGGGGGCTCTGCCCTATTGTGGCGTCAGTCTTCATGGCCTGTTTGGGGACAACGATGATTTGGTCCGGGATCTTATTGCCGATGGCCCAATGATGGTTCGCAAAAGCATAGAACTTGCTTTTGAGATTGTCGCTGCCCATATAACGCTCAAATTGGGGGGTTCCGCTTTTGAATGTCAAGACTTTGTCCAGCGGTGTCCTCAGATCGTTGTAGTTCTGGATGGTGATCGCCCAGAAGCCTTTGTTCTGGATGTTCATCAAGAAAGCGGCTTTGAGATTGCCAGTAGTGCGCTGTGTCGTGCTCAATGCTTGCTGATAAAGCTGTAAGCCCATCTCACCGAGCGGCACTCTCTCGTCTGCTGGCGCCCTTTCGTTTGTCCGGAAAGCGTCTTGATACATGATGAAGTTTCCCAAAGGGTCGTAGGTGCCTCGATTGATGAAATTTTTCACATTTGCGTCCGCAGACCATACAGCCCTCAGTTGATATGCCTCTCTTTTGGGGTCTTTGATTTCAAAGGAGAAGCCAAGCTCGCTTGGCCTGAAGTTAGCCATCAATAGCTTTATGTATGGGTCCGCAAGTCCTAGTTGTTGCCCAGTGATATAATAGTTCTCGTTCCGTGTAACGTCCAAAAACGCTTTTTGCGGACCATGATTGGCAAGTTGAGCTTTATCTTCAACGACAGCTGTGTCTGGTGTATTCTGCTTAATAGTATTCTGGTACATGGCCATTTGGTTTCTCCCGTCGCGTTGATAGTCGTCCATAGGCCGCGGAGGACCACCTAGCTTAGCGCTTATTCCAGGAGCAGCCGTACTTGGTATTGGTGTCCACTTGTCCTGAGACTCGGGCTCAGGATTCTGTCTTGGAGGCAGTTGTTCTTCACTCGGAGGATCGGCGCCAGGAGGCGGTGGTCGAGCTGGTTCGCTGGCACCAGTACCAGTACCTGAGCCGGCCGGTCCTGGTCGAGGTGCCGGCCCTGGAAATGGGTGTTCCGGGACGATTGGAGGAGCATGGGGTACTTCTGGCACTTCTGGTTTTGGAAACCATCCGCGGGCTGCGATGGCTATGTCATCGTCGTCGTCGCTCGTAAAAGGCCAGTCGTGATCGCGTTGTGTGTTCTGTACAACGCCACTCGATATGTCGTACCAAACGCTGCGTTCGTCCTTATGCAGAGGAGTAATTGCATTGATACTTGTCGTATCATCGAATGTGGGAAGTCCAAAACTTAGACGAGGAAGGCATCCAAGGAAAGCACAGAGAAGAACAGCTTGGCGAGTGGACGCAATTCTCATGTTGTCAGACAATATTGATGTAACGAGGGGTATAAGAAGGTGCTGCAATCGATGAATACCAGTCGGTACTCGACATTGCGGGCCAGTGACGGCATCTTATAGATAAATTGGTGCTGGAGCATACGGCGGCGAGCAAGAACTCTGTACCAGGATCAGCGCTTGCAGACACGACTGTGCCAGTGAGGATAAACTAGGCAGACTCGGATTGAGCGTCTGGATCTAGCAGCCATTTACTTCGCCGCAGCTGGTCTCGTCCACTTATCTGGAATACATGTGCCGCGCTGCGTGTTGGAATTGCTTCGCTGGCGCGCAAATCCAGACGACATGAGTGCGAGTGAAGATCGTTGAGGCAGATGTACCGTTGAAACAATTTGTCTGTACTTCGCCAATGCATCGAATGGCGAAAGGGTTTGCGTAGTTATGAATGCTCACGCCGCAAAGGAGCATTTAAGCTATGTGCGTGCCATCGAGGCGGTGCCAGGTATAAAGGCCATCGAGGCACATCTTCAGGAACGGAAATGAGGCTATGTCGACGATTACCGCCATCTTCTTGAGTACTTTCCACTAGTTCACGAGGTCCGGTGGAGAGGTGAGGATGACACTTGCAAGGCGAAGGCACGCAAGGTGAAGTTTGTAGGCTCATGCACTACTGCCTCAGGCACTTAGAGACTGCGGCCCGCCCCAGCTTGGCAAGGGTTAGACTATCACATGCTGGTCCGTCCCAACTTCACTCGCCACACAAATTAAGAGGCACCTTACAGCACAGCCTGACCAAGCGGCGGGTTTGAAGCGCGTATGCGTTGCTCGGTCCCGTGCGCATGGTCTTAAGCTTTGGCGAGGCGCCGGTGGCTTCTGCGCGGTTTGACCACCCGTGAGATGTGTCATCTACCTAAGCGCGCAGGAGGGCTTGGGACAACTTCTCCCAAAGCCTCTCTATTAACAACACCGCCGTGAGGCACGGAGCTGAGCGTGATGTAACACCGCGGTGGCATTCAACTGAGTCCTTCAGACTTCCAACTCTTCTCTACGCTTTGCTACTCTTCAGAAGGCAACATGGCCATCTCCATTACCTCGACCGAGCCTTTGGCTCTTCATACCTTTCCAACAGAGATCTTTGACCTTGTCATTGAGCACCTAGTAGTGACTATCGGCATACGTAAGGCCGCCCTACTCCGGACAGTGAATCGAGCATTCAACACATCCATTCTGGACGCAATCTGCCTCAGTCAGGTCATTGACATACACCATCCTGGAACACCACGTATCGCCTCGTGGATGCCCCCAACTTTGAGAGGAAAGATTATCGCGGCCAAATCACGTTCCACCGAGGCTGGAGGCCCGAAGTACCTGTCCGTCGTTAAAGCCGTCCAACAAACACTGGAAAAGGTGGCCGTTTCACTGGACCAGCAGCTGGATGAGAGTTGGCTCGTGCTCATATCGGGAGAGATCAACATTCGTTCCAAGGGTGCCATCGATGCCGGAGTGCAGGCGCAGAACCTTTTGAGTGCCGCTGCTATAATCGGTCATTTGGCCTTCACAAAGCTCTTGTTAGACGGCGCATTGGGATTGCCCGTTCTGCCAAAGGTCGATGGACACACTCCATACTTCGAAAATGCACTTTGCTTGGCCGCAGCGTATGGACACCTAGCAGTCGTTCAATATCTTCTTCACACCGGTGCTCGACCCATAGTCCCCTCATATTATGAGAACGAAGAAAGCCTGCTTGATACCCAAGCAAGGTGGATCACCGAAGATCCAAATACCCAACTCTTCTCACTGCGCTATGAGGAACATCACAGTCCATTGCGTGCTGCTGTGCAGAGCGGCCACGCAGATATTGTACATCTTCTGCTACGTCCGGAACATAGACCACACCTCTCGAGCGTTGAGTATCTGCGCGCGGTTCTCGCAGGGGCGAGATTTGGCCGCATCGACCTCATTCGGACTCTTCTGCACACGATTGGCAAAGAACTTTCAGACTTCCCTGGATTGGGCGAAGAAATGCTTCGGACTGCAGCCCACCACGACCAGAGAGCCGTTGTGCGGATATTAGCTCACCAAGGCATTGACGTTAATTGCATTCCCTTCCCCGAGGGCCGAACTAATCAGTATGGTGCCTTATGGATAGCTTCAGCAATGGGCCACGTCGACATGGTACATCTTCTCTTGGAGGCCGGAGCCAATGTTCATCTGATTACAATGGACTATGGATCTGCAATTAAAGGAGCTGCTTGTCGCGGCCAACAAGAGGTTGTTGACATACTGATCGAGCACGGCGCCGATCCCGCCACGGCATTCTTGAGCGCTGCCCAAAGCTGTCAGCCTTTACTGATCAGACACCTACTCGATCGTTTTCCAGCCCTGGCGGAGGGTGAATGCGGCCAAGTTGCCCTGTCCGACTCCATTGTTGGATGCAATCTAACTGCCATATCAATCCTGGTGGAATCAGGCGTTTCCCTGAACCTACACAGCAGTGCGGGTTACGGGTTATACGGCCCTCGCTGGGTGACTGATCATTTGTACACTCTTGGTGCACGGACAATTGATTCAGCTGAGTGGACCAGGAACGACTATCATCTCGAAATTAGAGATGTTAGACTGTCGAAGCATACCTGGGAATGGGTTAGCAAGCACTAGAAGAGGCGAGCATCGAACATATCGTGCCAAGATTCATACACTCAGTTTCTACTCACGCAGCGGTGTCATTCGCGTTCGCGGTATAGAGGTGTTCCAGCAGAGGGCCATCCGCCGTGCACAAGCATGAAGCCACGAGGGCCCAGAATCAACTCAAAATCAGCAACAAAATATTGCACACTGGCTTCTGCCGTTCCGCAACTCAGCCCCAATCATGCTATGTGCCGCACTCTTGCCGAAGCCCAGCGTGGGCGTCAAGGACATTCACTGCCATTGGCGCTAACAAACATGTGGCGCGGTGAACCTTATTTCAACTGCAGGTGACGAATATCCTCAGTCGCTGGTCCAACGCTTCGAAAATACCCGCTTCTCAACAACTCAACTCGCAATCCAACATGGCCCACTCAAAGAACGCCCCATCTTCGTCCACCGTGGAACTCTACTCTGTGCGAAGCAACATGCGTACGGTACCCCTATCGACCAAACCCCCATCGAAGTCGAGATCTTCCCACTGTTTTTACCTGGTACTGTTCTCCCTAGTCGGACTTACCGCATCCTTTGCAGTACTTGTTCTTGCATTCAAGACCAATGCTGCAGTCTTGTACACCAATACCACCATTGGAGGCCAAAGCAAGTTCAATCTGGCAATTGATCAAGCCAATCCACAAGAACCAACATATCTCGCACTGTATCCAGAGAATCTGGACCGTACTGCAGTCTGCCCAACGATTGCAGCGGCAGGGATCAATCTGGCCGTGGCTGTTGCCATCGTATTGCTAGGCATACATGTTTTCCGCAGAACGAAGGCATTACTGGCGAGTAACTCTTCTCCTCTGCCACGAGCTCGAGATGTTATCCCTCGCAAAATTCCAGATTCTAACATTATGTTCAGCTCTCCGGTCCGCAGCGACTTCTATTCTTTATCATGCTCGGCGGCAATTGCATTCTCTCGCTCATTGTTACCATCGTTTGTCTTGTTCAGCATTTTCGATCGAATCAGTTCGACTTTAGCTACTACGCCACCCACGAGACTATTGGCCAGGAGAATTCGTACATCAACGGAACATTCGACCTAGGAGCGTGGTCGTGTCAAATTGCCCCATATGCCCAATCAGACAGCGATCATATCCTTTCTCGAGAATGCATAGACGAGACAGCGGCACTCTGGGTCCTAGTCCTCTTATCTCTATCAAATTTGGGACTGACCTCCCTGGTTTGGATGGACTTGAGAGGACAAAACAGGCTGATTCGCGACATGGGACGCGCCAAAGACCAGTACGACCACCTTGTCGGGGGACAAGATGCTCTCGACTGATTTTGACCTGGACTGGCCCTTGAAGACCAAAACTTGGAGGGAGAGTATACTACTTGAATGGCGTGAGTTTATCGAAGCGCAATGGCAGATTGGTTGTTTCTGGATCCTTTTTACAAGTCGGCACGCGTCTATCCAGTGTGTACTTTTTGGATTGTTTTTGGGTGATCTAAAGCGCTACAATAAGATGGAATTCCAATGTGAACCTCTTCAGCCTCTTCAAGATCCTACAAAACTCCCGAGGGAACGGAGCACACTGTCCATGGAAGAATCGATCTGGCAGATGGAGAGGTGAGGGCAGCGGACACCTACATGACAGACTTCGTGCTGCCACAAGCTAAGCCGACATGGAAATAGAAAATCGCTTTCCAACGACTGGTGCTCGCTATGCATGGCGTTTGCTAGCCATGGAACCACGTATACAATACACGGTCGAGCGAAATCTAGACACCGGATTAAGCGCAGTGCAAGCTGTCATGTTCGGTGCCGCTGCTAAAGTCTGGAACATCAGCTACAGCCGCCACAAATTCATTGGCATACAGCGTCTCCCTTGGCCAACAAGTTGCAGTCATGCTCGCGTACGGCGTATTGGTTCTGAGTAGCCGCCGCGTTCCTCTGCTCAATCATAAGCGACCACGAGGTTGCAGACCACAAAGGTAGAATCATTCCTTCCGTTCTCCTTTAATAATGGATTTGTCGTGCCGCAAGGGTACTTTTGCTCCTTTCGAGGCCTCCGAGTATTTTTTCAGTTATTCGATTGCTGCCGAGGACATGACAATGCAGGCGCTGCCAACAGAACAGAGCACCGTGCCTCATAACGTCTATCTTTTGAGCGTGAGAACAACATTCGATCACTTGGCTTCAAAAGATGCTTCAAATCGCTTTGGTTGGCAACATATGCTCACTCCGACCTTCAAGATACCTTCGTGGCATCAGATCATTTGAACAATACTCATCCTTGTCGATTACACCAACTCCATCCTATCTGTCATTCTCGAACTCCCTCTTCCTCTGCCGTCCAGGTCAGCTTATTAGCTATCAAAACCCGGGGCCCGCAGAACAATGGCTGGGTTCGTTGGCTTTGCCCTGAACGCTGCGGGTGTGGTTGGACCCATGGCACTTACCGCAGGCCTCGACAAAGCAGATCGCCAATCCGATGTCAATGTCGTTATTATCCTCGGGACCGGCGGCGGCCCTAAAGTCTCGACCAGTGGGAACATCCCACACGTTGCAGTATGGGATGACGACGGCAACCGTATCGGCCAGTATCACCCCGGCAAGAATCAGAAGTTTGGAAAGATGGATTCGACGACTATAGGCATCAATGCCTATCAGAATGGAGGCGCGAGTACGGATCCATATTACGTGATGGTTAGCAACTTGGACAACGACGCCATCTGCGTGGCCTCGATTGCTGTTTCGAACGAGAAGATCAGCAGTACCTTCTTTGGCGATACCGGGAAGATGTGCGGCCAGTCGTGGTTCTTGAGTGAGAACAAGATTGGAGATAACTTCTACAAACCGGCTTGTGTCTGGCTGGATGCGGACCATACAAACAAGATAAATGCGCGGGCCCTCAGCTTTCATTTGAACGACATGGCACCAGACCCAGACAAAATAAACGAGTACAACCAAAGACCAGAGACGCTCTGCCAGAGTACTCCGCGCTTTTCGTTCTGGGGCAATATGTTGCCCGATGGCATCCCTCCCTTCTTCAAGCCAAAGCTCGAATATCTGGTTGATGCAGATAACGCCAATGGCGAGGGCGCAGACAAGTTTCCGGACCGCGTGATCGACAAACCCCATCAGTATAACAAAGCGGTATACATTCAACAGGGCGAGAAGGCTGCAAGGGCGGCAAGGAACTTGCGACGAAGCGCCAATGCCACCATGAGCGCCAACCACAATCCAGAGCACCTGATCATCACCCATCATACGGAGGATAACGTCCGCGAAGTCTGCGAACATAAGAACTCGTATGGCTGGGACATTGTATCGACCGTGCAGAACTTGTATTGCGACATGGAAACCAAGCAACTCTATCAGCTTTGTAACGGCAAAGATCTCAAAGAGGACTGCTTCGATATGAACAGCAAGACGATTGTTCCGAAATGCGGTGTGAATGCTCGAGATGAAGTCGGCTCAAATATTCCGGTCAAAGCATACACTTCAGAGGCTCATTGGCAGGCGTGAACGGTCCAGTTGGACAAGGATATGTATCATATTTTGATTCTGAATCGCGGTTGCAGCCGTGTTCTCCCTTCCCATACATGGCGTGTTGGGATGTTGTTGTTGATTTGCACTGGTCCCTTTTCTGATCCCCGTGTGAATACTCACGGTGAAGTTTGTTAGTCAATTACGTCCGAGATTTTCAAAATGACTTCATGTTAGGTGAGCCAGTGTTAAGAACGGCGTTCGCTTCCATATAGCATGGTGATTCCAAAGACGAGGCCGAGGCGCGTGTTCTCGAGCATGTGGAAGGAAACCGTCACATACTGACAATGCCAACCAGAAGCTCTGACACAACTTAAAGTAACCATTACGTGCCTCTTTGCGAGAGCACCGAGATGCTGCTAAATTGTGTTAGTCAGTATGTATTCATGCGCGATTCTTTCGACGGCTTCGAGGAGCCTCTTCGAGATCGCTCTTCGGACTCCGTCCGTCGCGCGCTCGATCACTATAAGAGAAAGCATTGAGCGCCTGCTTCGCCGGGTCCAGCAAGTGTGGAGACCATTGCAATGGGCGTTTGAGCTTCGTCCAGATTGTACCATGACGCAGCGAGCAATTCTGCTCGAGGTCGCCCACCAGAGTAGGCTGCAACCGGTAAAAGAAGTGCGTCTGTTTTCCCGAGCGGTTGCGACATCTTGTTCTTCTTTTCCCGCTGTAGATTCAAAGCGCTCGCGTACGAGTCAACATGTCTTCCTTGTCTTCGCCAACAAACCGACGATATCAAGATCCCAATGGACTGCGTCAGTTACCAAATGAGTAACATGTGTTGCAGAATCCATCCATCCTCGTCAACGAATGTCTATCAGCGCGCCTGAGCTTGCGCGGCTCGACGTCCAGTCCGCTGCACTCTTGCCTTTGATGAACAACAAATCCTTTCACGCTCTCCTTGTCAACCCGAAAAGGATCTCTAACATCATATGCGGAACCGGCGCGATGACTTCTCTGCACTGGCACCTCTCTATCCCGACGCAAAAGTCATTGGCGTAGAAATTGCCGCGGTGCAGGATCGCCGACAACTGGAACGGCCGAATCTCGAATACGTCCAGGGCCATATCCGCGATCTGCTAAAATTCAGTACCGATCAGGAGTCTCGAGAGGGCTATTTCGGCTATGTATTCAGCAGACAACTCTTGCTTGGCGTGGTGAATTGGCCTGGATACATCAGGTCTGCGGCAAGTCTGCTCAAGCCGATTAGATGGCTCGAGGCTCAAGAGACGTCCATGAGATTCGCGTCCGCGACGAACGAATATATCGCCGATGACTGGCTTTTCTGTCCGGCTCTTGTCCAGGACGCCAGAGCTATCGGCCTTGATGTTGAAATCGGACCTCGCGTTATGGGACTGTTCCGCGAATCAGGCTGAGGAAGGTATGCAGTAAGAGCAGTGAAGCGGAAACCGACAAGCTGTAGCAGAGTCTTCGTTCCATCTGAGAGAAAGGCTTCAAGGATGGTGACCACTTTCGTTTCTGTCCGGTGACAGGACGAGAAAGGTTCCCTTAAGACTCCAGGCTAGCTGCAGCAGGAACCAAAAAACCGTTCTCCATGTGGTTATGAACCAGACGTGATTCGTTCTGCGAAGGGCCCGTAGTGCCAGTCTTATCTTCAATACTTGCCCAATTGTCCCGAAGTGTAATGGCTGAGGTTTGACAGAGGTAGAGGTAGTTATCCACAGCAACCTTCATAGGCCCGTAGAGTAAGCGCCGCAAAGCATGAACGCAGAGGACAAGACCACGGGCGAGCATTACCAAGAGTCCGCCTGCCTGATCTAGCCAAATCTTTGCTGTGCGATATTTCGCAGCATCTCCATCGTCTTCTCTTCCTTCCTCCTGAGTTCCGCCCTCTTCTCTTCCCGTTCAGCCTCCCTCGCCCTTAATACCTCTTCTTTCCTGATTTCCCTCTCATTCTTCCTCTTCTTTTCCGCTTTCATCTTCGCTTTGTACCCGTCAATACCATCATCGCCCATGAGCTCTTTGTCTCCGACCTCTACGTCACCTCCATCCTTGGCAGCTTTGTATTCACGATTCACCGCAGCCGCGTCGCGCTTTTTCTCAAGTTGTCGCTCTTTTGATCCAGGATCAGCGCGCGGTGCCATCTCCTCTACGCGTTCCTTCTGCAAATTTCTGTCCTGTTTCCGCTCGTGACGAAGATCCGCAGTTCTTGCGGAACGATCTTCGTCCGCTAACTCGCGTCGATGCTGAAGGTCGTCGAGACTAGGAATTGAAGCCCCAGCTCGCTTACTGGGAAGGGCAGGTCCGTATCCATCATCGTCCTCGTCCTCGTCATCTTCTTCCACCTCTCCGGCCTTGTGCAGGTCCCGGGCCGTTACTTCAGGCGTCGGTGCCCTCCACTCCGGTCTGCTGTCCCATCGCTCATCGGCCTTCGTTTTCGTATCCGGATCATACCATCCTTCTGCCAATTCTGCTTTGTTCCACTTTCCCAGGAAACTCTTCCATCTTCCCCTCACTTCATGCTCGGAAAGCTCGTCGATGTCCAGCTGTTTCTGAATATCAAGGTAGTCGGCGAAGAGAGCTTTGTATTGTTCAAACTCCTTCTTGTCGAGCGGCTTTTGCTTAAATGGCAGTCTTGTAGGTGGGTCCTGGAGGTGGTGATCGTGAGCTTTGCGGTATGGCGACCGCGACCTGCGTCTTTTCACTTCATTTCGGTCACGAGTGTACGGAGGCCGAGAGCGCTTCCGATCGCTGTGTCTGCTGTGGTGATGATGATGGTTGTGTGAGTCGCTCATAGCTTGAAAATGGAAGTAGATGTGAGTGGTGTGTGGTGTGGGGAAAAAGAAGCCGCTCATCGGAAAGCTACTGCAGGTGCATCATCTTCTAACCCAGGAGCATGTGACAACAACTATGTGACAAGATCCTCATTGGGCAAGACAGTCGAACAGTCGAGCATCGAAAGACTGAAGCTGGTCATGTCTATCTTGGGGGGAAAAGCTCGTATTCGTTCGTTGATACTCTGACAACATCGTCTAATCCGTAATAAAGTACACGTAACCTCGCGTACGCCGTCGCTTAATGCATTTTGAACGTGAATCTGCGCTCAGATAGCCGCGTCGTATAATTGCGGACATATTCTTGTCCAACTCAGATCAAGCTGTCCCATCCACGCATGTTCCCGAGTAATTCTGCCCTTCATCCAGTATCAAAGCCTAGACAATCATCTGTGCAACACCCTGGCCTCCCAACGTCTTACTGCTCTGAAACTCTTGTCCCTTGAAACCGGCCAGCGCGTAGAAGAGCGCTGCAAAGAGCAGTACCACAGCTGCGGCGATCAATGAGCAGGCCTGCACGATGAGGGAGAGCCACTGCACGATGGACATGACAGCGTAGATGGCAGCGCGCATGTAATTGGTCTCGAATCGGCGAATGAATTGATCGAACTTCGGCGAGGTCGGACAAATGCGCAAGAGAAGCGGAATCTCGATGAAGAGGATGATGAAGGAGCAGACACTGTACCAGTCAGCATACAGACAACTGCCCAGGTAGCGATTGGGAGGAATGTCCGTACAGGCAGATGATGCTAAAGGGGATGATCAGAACGGCAGTAAAGATGTTCGCGATGCCCAATGCAAAGCAGAGGACCACGCAGAGTACACCGGTCCTGCACACAATGTCAGAGAGCTCATGATATCTCATCGCATCAATTGGCGTACCATTGTCCGTAGATACCTGAGGAAAGCTTCAGTCAGCCGATGTCCAACCATGCAATTGATTGCTCCCAACTCACTGAAATTTCTCGATCTGAACTCTTCAGAGATCGTCATGGTGAACGATTCAACAGCTCGGAGCTGTTGTACGTTGTCCTTGCTCTTTGAACGCGATTTGTGGTCGTTGCTATGTGGATGTTTCGCTGTGCTTATTGACAGACAGCTCCGGAGGTACTCGTCGGGTAGGAGTTCGTGGAATGAGGTATCGCGTGAAGACTGTGTCGGTTTTAATGATCAGTACCCAGGCAGCGCTTTTTCGAGGCAGCTGATAGTGGCGCGATGTGCAGTTGGCAAAGCCTCAATCAATGCGACAACATCTCACGGTAGTGCGACTTTCCGAGAGACACCAGTTGGCTCTAGCGTCGATTGGACCCTGCCACGTGCTTGCCTTCCCGTCTATATACAAAGCAGCAGCCAAACATACACCTCCACCTCCGCCACATTGGTGGCATGCTCCACCGCACCTCTTCCATACCTCAAGGTATCCATCTCCATCAACAACTCTGCCACCCCCACGTCTTTACATCAAGACTGCCCCGGCGGACTGTAAAAGGGACTGTCGGCAGCCATAAGGCCGCCGCCATTGCGCGGAAAGGCTGTGCAGCCACGGCAGCGCACAACAACTCGGCATCACGCGGAAGGATACGCGCAGTTAAGTCTCGCTCATTTCGAAGCGGGACAGGTGATGACCGTCGAGTAACATACGCTCCGAGCGTATCATCGCACAAGGTAGGGACGCAGAACATTTCCTCTACCACTTTCTTCCCACCTATTCGCTAGGAAAGGTCAGGTCCAAGCGACTCAGCAGCAGCAGCAGCGGCGGCGGCGGCGGCGGTGGCAGTAGCAGCAGCAGTAGCAGCATTGACAGCAATCTTTCAAGTTTCAATTCCCGGCGCGACAGAAGGCCTTTTCTCGACAGCATGGCCCCTGCCCAGCCAGAGCGGAGGGCGCACCCCAAAAAACAACGTTCAGACAAGGACTCTCCGGTCCACCCATGGCGAAAGATGCTCGATGATTACGGCGCGATGTACCCTTTGGCACCTACCTCAGCGACAGCAAATCAAAATACATTTCGCATAGAGTACCCTGTCAAATTCAAGGCGTTTGCTGCGGACGGTCTGTTTGCTGCAGCAAGTCCGTGGGCTCCGAAGCCTCCTCATTCCAGCAAGGCTTCACGCGGAGCCCCCAAAAATCGATCTCACCAGCGAGTTCAGCCTTCCAGGTTCCTCGAATTGCCGGCCGAACTCCGCAATTCGGTCTACGAGCAGTTTGCCTACAACACGTTCTTGGAGGGCTGGCCCGTCACCGCAACTGCGGATGCCAGATCCTTCCTCTCAACATGCCGCCAAATCCGTCGCGAGTGCATTCCGGTCCTGTTCGAGCATGCAGAGATACGGCTCAAGGTAGACAGCTGGAACTTTGACCTGTTTGCAAAGATGTACGCCCATGTTGAGGAGTTTCCACTGGCCAGAAAGGCCGTAGATGCGAATCAGCGAATTCACTCGGTACTCAGGGCCAGCCAATGGCATTTCGATGAAGATGTGAGAAGGATAGATTTATGGTTTGCGACCTGCTTGGACCACCCGACCATGGGCTTCACTTATGGCGCGAAATGTCCTTCGGACTTGCGCATCGAATCGAGCCATCAATTTGCGTGGATGCTGGGTCTCGAAGAATTGCGCAGCCTCGAGCGCAGTCTCCTATTTGCTCGGGAGGGCTTCCGCGACGACTTCAAACGTCAAGAACTCCGCCTGATCATCCAAGCCTTCGAGAAACAGGTTCAGCTAGAGGCGAATTGCACCGCAACAAAGGAGTCGCATGAGCAGCGTCAAAATGCGTTAGCTACTGCATATGGAATGCAGCCCACCAAGCAAGCAGTGTTTAAGAAGCATATCCGAATGATGAAGGAAATGAAGAAGAGGGAGCAGCGGAGCGAAGAGAAGTGGGAGAAGAAGATGGAGAAGGAAGAGAGGGGGAGGGAGAGGGAGAGGGAGAGGGAGAGGGAGAGGGAGAGGGAGAAAGCGAAAAGAGGAGAAGCATTGAGCTAAACTGAAGAGCCGCTTCTCAAATCGCATCAGCGCTAATGGGCGCAATGCATTCATCAGTGGTATACCTGAAGCACTTAAACTCCTTACAAATGCCTTGCTGCATTTCCTCCGTCCTCGCACCAACCCAGCGCGTCGGTGGTGCACTTCCCATCTGGGTTCCAAACATCCGACTGGACTTCGGAAGTCGCTCTATGCAGCGGGGTATACAAGGCGGAAGATGTCGTTGAAGATGAAATAGCTGCCTTGGCCATCGGGCAGCAGTTGGAAGGTCTGGGCGTAGCTCATGGGGCGTCTCTCCTCCTCGACCTAGATAGCTGTCAGAATCTCTTGGAAGCAAACTCCCTTTATGTCAGATCTCACCAAAAGAGCGCCGCTCACAGAGACGAGAATGCCGCCTGACTCGTTGCTAGGCTGAGCGTCAAGAGTAGCGACCTGGTGCTCGACTTTCTGGAATGGCAATGACTGGCGAGACTTTCGTCAGCTTTCCTCCGCTGCATAGGCGTTCGTTACATTCCACTCTTACCGAGAGCTTTTCAATGATAGCAGCAGAGCCTTGCACTGGTGAGTTCTCGAATGTCAACATCGAATGATCCCTCTGGGCTACGTCAGCCTCGCGCTCTCTTCCATCTCTCTTGTTTCTCAAGCTCTTTCATACGTAGAGGGCAGCCAAGCCTGCGCGGTTGTTGTCGAATTGCTTGTAGTAGAATTCGGTGAATTGCTCTACGGGCGTCAATTAGATATGCTCGGGGAAGAGGCTAGAGATGCGGGCGCATACTCGCGACGTTTTCAAAGTCTAGAAGTGTCTTGGTCAGTTTCTAGCTGTTCTCCTCCGAGTTTCCCATGCAATGGACATACCCGCCATGGTGATGGACTGATCTGCGTAGGTGGAGAGGAGGCGGGAGTTCCAGAAAGATGTGACGCGCTCGGAGAAGGCGGGCAAAGTGCACTGTTGGGCAGCAGTCGACGCCAAGAAGTCTTGACTGTTCGTGGTATGGAGTTCAGGTTCGCTTCACGTTGTTGGTGGGGTCGAACTCGACGAGTGCGGCTCGGCCGGGAGAGACGGGTGGACCCGCGATTCCAACCTCCCCTCGCTCACCATGCTCTGCCTCCTCCAAGCAGTGTCTCGAAACAAACCCAAACAAGTCTTCTGCCGCGTATGTTCTGCATTCTGATAATTACCCAGGCAGCCAACCCCTCTGAAAGAACACGACAAGATGTGGTCTGCCAAGATCGGCTGAATCACGTGCGCAATACCCCTGCATTCGCCGCAGGCACTATCTGCTCTTCCATCCACATTCCTCAATCTTCATCGAGGCAACTTCACACCATACTCAACGGCACCGGTCCCGTCCACGATAATACGAAACTTCTTCACGGGATTTCAAATCAACAGTAACAGGATGGTCGGCAAGAAGAGCGCACGTGCACTGGAAAGAGACGAGGGCATGTACTGCGACGATTACCCATTAGCACATCCTTGACACCTACTCACCGCCCATCTCAAACCCGACGGTAACACGCATACTAATAAACATTTCATAGGTCTTTTACGGACAGACAATAATCTCGGGCTTTCACAATGGGCTGTGGTCAACCCTATCAACCAAAAAAATTATTATACGTGAGTCGTTTGTCTTTTACCCGGAACTTTGGTGCGCCTTTCAGCAGAAACCTTGTTCTCTTCTCCTGCGTTCTTCATCACAATACACAGCCGCCGAGATGGTTGGGAGGAAGGTCCTAGACGGTTTGAGAAAGGGAAAGAAGGACCTATATGCGCTCAATGTGCAGTACTGTCGGAGGTATTTCAGGGCGAGCTATTCCCCAGCATTTTACCACAACATTTCTTGTCGCGTCGTTACTCACCGCGAAATCGATGCGCGTCGCACAAGCTGATTCCACCTCAAACAGCGACTTCCTCAAACGGGATGACCAAATCCTGGCCAATCGCCTGTTGCAAGAAGAAAGCCTCGAACGTCGGAAGAAAGCTGCAGTGGACTTGGACCGAGCGCGCGCTCAAAATGGCCAGACTGGTGCTTACCCGGATGTTGACGACCTCGACGAGGACGTGCCCATGGACGATATCGGCAGTGAGAACTATGGCTCGAAGACGATTATCATCCACGTAGGGAGTGAGAACCTGCGATTAGGATTTGCCACCGACGCCTTGCCCAAAACAGTACCTATGGTAATCGCAAGGAGATCTGAAACTTCAGAGTCTGAAGATTCCGAGCCTGTACCAAAGCGCATCAAGCTCGACAAGGACGCGCCGTCTGAAGAGTGGTTTGGAGAAGAAGTGTGTGGCGGTGTTTCGCTTCATCTTGGAATGTACTAACATATCTCAGTTCGCGAAGGAGTACAATGCTATGGCTTCAGAGTTCAGAACATACAGGAGACAAAATAAGCGACGAGTATTGCCCAACTCTCGTGAATTGGTCACCAAATGGAATAGCACGACAGAACCAGAGATCATCTCCGAGCATAATGATCCACTACGCATCGATTGGACAGAACTACCACCGCATCCCTCGAAAGCCCCAGAGTACATTGTCGGCGCACCTGCGCTCCGCATCCCGGAGAAATCGGCCCCAAGATACCGACTTCACTGGCCCATACGGCACGGCTGGTTAAACGAAAAAGACTACAGCAGTCGTAATCTCCTACTTCGCGATTTTTTCATGATTATTGAAGAGAGCTTGAAGACGGAACTTGAACTGCCACACAAGAAAGATTGGAATCAGTACAGCTGCGTCTTTCTCATCCCCGACATTTACGAGAAGAATGTTGTTTCAATTGTGCTCGGCGAGCTGATACGTGGCTTCGGCTTTTCTCGCGTGTGCTTCATGCAGGAGTCGCTGGCCGCCACATTCGGAGCCGGCTTCAGTGCTGCTTGCATGGTCGATCTGGGCGCTGAAAAGACGACTGTGTGCTGCGTCGAAGATGGCATGTGCATCGAGAATTCCAGGATAAATATGAAGTACGGTGGCTTCGACGTGACGGAGACCTTCGTCAAGATGATGCTGTTTGACAAGTTCAATTACAGTGACTTCAACCTGACGCGACGACATGATTTTTTGCTTGCCGAGGAGCTCAAAGAAAATTTCACCACGATGAGTGACGAAAATATCAGCGTGCAGCTGTTCGATTTTCACCTTCGTGCTCATGGACAGCCAACTCGAAAGTACCAGTTCAAGCTGTACGATGAGGGCATGCTAGCTCCAATGGTAAGTGATTGATCCGAACGTTTTTGCACCACCCACTGAATCGTCATCAGGGATACTTCCGGCCGGCAATATTCGAGAGCTCAAGCAAGCTCAATGGACGAAGAAAGCTCATAGCGCCATCGGAAGATTTATACGAAGGTCATCCAAATGACCCAATGCCTGAGGCACAATTGGCCGTGATCAACTATGTCGCCCAGAACATCCCGACTGCGGTTGTTGCGCCCGCAGCAAAACCAGCACGACTTCTTGGTACTCCAATGGTGCAGGGCACACCCCAAAAGCCGCGTCCTCTTCCCATTCCGAGCCACGTGAATACAGAGGACGGTACTCCGCGATCCTCCCCAGCCGCCTCACCGCCTCCGGAAGAGAATGGCACGCCAATGCCAGACGCAGAAACTGGGCTTGGGGAAATTGATACCAAATCGCAAGACCCTTGGAAAACCTTCGAGATTAGTGAGCGCGTTGTGCCCATGATGCCACTTGACCAAGCAATTCTCACTTCGATCGAATACGCGAGCAAACTGTCCAAGGACCAAATTGACGAGCGCAAAAGGCGCGACTTACTCGGTAGCATCATGTTGACAGGTGGAGCGTCGAAGACACCAAATCTTCAGAACTATCTGGAAATGCGACTCCGAGCTCTTATGCCGCAGTATCCGAAAGAGATCCTGGTTGCTCCTCCGCCACGCGAGCTCGATCCGTCGGTCCTGGCATGGAAGGGCGGAAGCGTTTTTGGAAAACTGCGCATGACGAATGATAGCTGGATCTCGCCACTGGAATATGATCGGCTGGGAGCAAGGATTCTGAACTACAAGTGCATGTGGCATTGGTGAAAGCATCTGTAGTACATCTTTGCTACAGAAGTCACAGTCGCATGATTTTATGCAGCATGAGTTGAGCAGCCTCCGGTATATCTATCTATGGTTCAGACAGCACACTTGCAGCGAGATCTATTCTAATAATGTATTGAATCCACTCGACATCGTACTACCTAGTGCTTATCTACCGCGAGCGTCGTTCTCGCGTCTCGGGTCAACCTGTGAAAGCTTCCCCAACCCCGCCGTGCCGAACCTAACGACCTCGGGAAGCCCTTCCCGTCCTTCCCGCTCGGTCATGTGCAGTCGAGTGACGACTGATGACCCAGCGCCGAGGACCACAATCTGCATCTACGACAATCTCTCATGCTCCACCAGCTCGATCCGGTTTGTTATTTGCGTTTCCACGGCGGCAATGATACCTCGCGTCACGTAGGAAGCGGTCTCGGTCGACGGCGGTGATGACTGCCTGTCTAGTGACTACCTTAACACAAAAGATATTTGATGGCAGCTTTTGGTATGTCTACCTCCTGCTACTGATGCCTGCGGGCTCACCGGATATTCATGGGTTTCAGAAAGAGGCTGAAGCTGATATGTCGAGGGAAAGATACGCCTTGGACTACGTCAATGAACGAACGAGATTCCCAGCAGAGCAGCAACGATGGCCCTGGCCCTGTCGCCCCCGAACCCACCATAGCCGCGTTCTGTCCCAACCAGCAGACTGCTACGAAAAGTCGGAGCAGGGCCACTGTTCTCATACATCAGAAATCCGCCCTGTTGGCTGCTACTCCACCACAGGTCACAAGAGCTTTGGCATATTCGCATCCGTTCATCGTACCGCTGAACTATCTTGCTGGCCTGCTATCATGGACGACAGGCGATCCCTGGGAGAGCTTTCTGCTCGTGGCAGGGTTCTGGTTTATGATACTGTATGGGGATATCGTATTGCGGTACGCTGGGCCTCTGGTGGTAGTAGCAGCGTTGATCGGAGGGATGTACTCGAGAAGATATAGCCCTCTCAGCAGTACGGCTTGGAGCGGAGAGAAGAAGAGGAGTCGAGCGGATAGTGACTCACAGCAGAGAAAGAGCCTGGATGAGATTCTGGATACCTTGCAGATTTTCACAAACCGCTGTGATGTCCTGCTGGACCCGCTTTTGAGGCTGACGGAGTTCTTGTCGACGCAGACGACGGCTACTTCGGCGACGACGAGACCGGCTCTGACGAGTATGTTCTTGCGATTGTTGGCTGTAATGCCCTTCTGGACTGTGTTGGCTCTGCCACCCTTGAGAATCATCACGACGCAGAGGATACTGTTAGTATTGGGAACTATTGGCATGACGTGGCATAGCCGTCCTGCGAGGGCTACACGGTCGGTCCTTTGGCGAAGCAAAGTGCTGAGGAGCTCAGCGAGCATGATCACCGGCTTGCATTTCCCCGGACCTGCGACGAGTAACAGGAGCGGCCCTCCGCCACTGCCACCAAGGGCTCCAGCGGCGCTGGTCAGAGCACTTAAAGACAAGAGCAACAAGACAGGTGTTCGCTTCACGTTCGCCACCTACGAGAATCAGCGCAGATGGGTCCTGCTGGGCTTTACACCCAATCTGTTGCCGAATGAGCGGCAGGCTTGGACAGATGAGCACAACAACGCAGTCCCAGAGAAAGAGAACTTTCCACTGCCAGAAACAGATTCTGACACAACAAAGTGGAGATGGGTGCCTGGTAGCGAGTGGAGGATTGACCCTCGATGGACCGATGACGCCGACTCAAAGATTCCGCGCGATAAGGATGGTTGGACGTATTACGACAACAAATGGCATTTTGGTAGCAGAATTGATGACTGGGGAAAATGGACACGACGAAGAAGATGGATACGTGACGCCGAGCTTGTCGAAATCACTCCCGAAGAACTTGCTGCTGCTGCAGATGCTGCGGCTGCTGAAGCCGCCGCAACAGAAACCGACACACAGTCAATAGCCAACACAGACTCCGAAAGTGTCACTACAGCGATGAAGAAGAAGGGATGGTTCGGCAAGCGTCGGTTAACGAATGACAAGAAAGCAGAGACCGCATCGATAAGTGGCAGCAGTGAAACTGGAAAGACGTCTCGGTCGAGGGATGGACCGGAAGATGACGTGCATACGCCGTTGAGGTATCGGGAAACTGCGTGGGATCGGAGTATTGGGGATGGGCTTGCTGAGGGTCTAAGTTAGTGGTCTTTGACTCTTTGAAAAGGGAAATCCGGATGGCGTATGGGTGGTTGTTTATTAGCGAAGGCGCTGGTGGGGACAAACGGACTATCAGTGGGTGCTTCATGAAACCGTGACCCAGCTCATTCTGAAGCTACGAGAAACATTCAACGCTGGGGAGTATTGCTATACATACCAATCTCGAACTATCCCTTTCCAATAAGCAGTTTGCGAAGAGAGGAAAGGAAAGTCCCGCTTCCCGTCAACTCTCCATAGAGCTTCTGCACCGTAATGTCTCGCTCCCCTCGGTTCCAAATTATATCTTTCTGACTCTCCGGAACCAAAAGTTCGAGATTTCCACTCCTCAGCCCAGCGAGTCCAGCCGCCATCATCATGCAAGGCATCTTCACCTGCAGACTACCACCAAAAGCCCCACAGCCCCACGGCGGCATCTCCACCCTCAAATCCTCCAGCAACAACCCCTCGTCCAGCCAAGCGTGCTTCGCCCCCCGGAACGCAGCGTATAACTTGCCCACTTCCCGTTCGACATTCGATTCCAGGAGATGCGGCTGTTTATGACTCAAATCGAGAGGCAGTGCGTCGGCGACGATGTACCTTCTCGCGGGTCTGCGGGCGGGGGACAGATGGGACACGAGTCGGGCTTCGCGGCCATGGCCCTGCCACGACGCGTGCACGGGGAGCGGCGAGGTGATGAGCGCGGCGGTGGCGGGCAAGACGGGGGTGAGCAGGGCTGCGAGGGCGAGGGCGGGCGATTGGCCCACTAGGCGTTCTTCGTGGGTTCCGCCTGCGCCTGGGCCGGGCTGGGCGTTCGCTGCTACGAGGACGAAGGGCGCGGGGGTGGTGGTGGTGGTGGTGGTGGTGGGCTTCGCGGACGGGTCGAGGGGGATGGAAACGATGGTCGTTGGGATCTCCGGCGCGGGGGATCTGGACGTCGAAACTGAGGGGATGTGGGAGGCGTCGGAGTAGCGGAATTTGATCGGGGGGTTTGGATTCTTGTTGGGGGAAGGATATCCTCCCTGGGCGAAATGGAAGAGTATCGTTTCCAGATATGGGAGAGCTGTGTTGGGTACTACCGGAGCGATTTTGCCGTCGAAGTATTGCGTGAAGCCCGGGCGGCCCCAGGTGTTGCCTTTTGGGATCTGGAGGGTCCCAAGAAGCATGTGTGCCAGTAGACAGTCCATTTGTGCAGGCGAGAAGACTGCGGTTGGGTTTCCGCTAGAGAGCTCATCGAGATTGCCGTCCGGGAAGAGGTTTTCGAGCTGTAGAGCGGATTTGAACAAGGTCGTACGGAATCTAGAGCACCACTGCCGAGGATTCTCGATTCTTGTAGGCATGCTATGGAGGCCATCGGTGTTGAGATTTCCATCGCCGTGCAGGCTGTAGGCGATGTCTTGGAACAGTGTCGCCAAACGTCTGAGCCATGCCGAATCGATCCGCTGAGGAGAGTGTGTATCTTCTGTGCTTTGCTCAATGTGTTCCAGATCACGGCCTGCTGTTTGAAGCAGCTGTCTGAGTAAGGACCAGTGCGAGACGGAGGCTCCATCACTGCTGCAGATGCCCAGAGGGTCCTGACTTGTTAGAGATGAGTGATTCGGGAGGCAGTATGTCGACATTGGGGCAGATGAGAAAATGCAGGAAGGGGAGAAGTCGTGGAATGGTGTTACGGTTAGGTCGAAGACCTAAGGTATACAGGATGTGATGCTTTTTGCACCGCCTTCTCAGGCGGCGAGATTCGCAGGTCTCGTCCCAGGCAGCATAATAATATGCCTTTCGCTGACACTTTCGAGTGACCTCGATCTATCGGGAATCTTTCTTCTTGTCCGGTAACGTTGCGAGATTTAGATTGGGTTCTGGCAGGGAAGTCGAGAAGTGAGGCCTTCTTTCACATGGTAAGCCGAGACTTGGCTTTGGCGCTTCGACGTCATCTCCACAGCGAGCCAAGCTTCATCTGCAGACAACATCCAAACGACAATGTGACTGGAGCAACGGCCACGAAATGGCCTCCAAATCACTCCAAGCGGATGCGGAGGATGATGAACAGAGAGGTTTCATAGCCTCTCTGACGGCTACGATCACAGTACGAACTTCCCCCCGGCACGCACAGAGCTCTCCTGACATCCAACGCGTAGAATGCCATCCTCACGCCCATCCGACCTTTCCTCTCCCGCGCCGCCCTCAAAACCTACCTGACCACGTTCCTCCTCCTATCCACCGCCTTCGTCCTTCTCGGCTTCGCCATCACGGCCTATGTCCTCTTCTACTGGTCCTACATCCCTCGCATCGGCTTCGAGCGAACCATCCACCTTCAGTTCGACAGCGTCTACGAGAACCACTACAACGAGCTTCCGAAGGTGCCGCCATACCCCTATCCCTACGGCAGCGCAGTATTGGCATCGGATATCGTCGCGTCACAAGGCTATGACATTTGGATTGAGCTTTCCATGCCACGGACACAAGACAACCAGGATGCGGGCAACTTCATGCTGGACGTGAACATGTACGCACCCAGCGAGAAAGGAGACGGTCTACCCACGAGCGGCAACATCATCGCTCCCCTGAAGGCGGACATTTCTCCGACCTCTCCGACTGCGGACCCTGCTCTCCTACTCGCGACATCGCGGAGGTCCGCCATCCTTCCCTACCGTTCCCCCTGGGTCGACCTCATCCACAAAGCTACAGAACTCCACTGGTATCTGCTAGGCTTCCGATCCGAGTCCGCGACTCTCAAAGTACCCATTTTCGAACGCGTGGCCTTCGCGAAAGGGTTTCAAAATGTCCCTTCCACTCTGCGGTTGGAAATACAATCCACACATCGGTTGCAGATCTACTCGGCCAAAGCGCTCTTCCGCGCTAGATTCCGTGGAGTGAGATGGGTCATGTACAATCATCGCATCCTCTCGGCAATCTTTTTCATCTCCGCCTTCTGGATGACGGAAATACTATTTGCGGGATTGGCGTGGCTGGGGTTACATCTGATCCTCTCGAAACCAGCCGAGCAGGATCGAGCAGAAGTCAAAGCGGAAGAAGTGTCGCGGTCCATCAAGCGCGAAGCAGGCGTCAAAGAGGAAGAAGAGGTCAAGCCGGAGCTTTCAGACACGGAGCGTACGTTTCCTTCTTTCACGGGCCAGCCGGCCCTGCGATACCACAGTCCGCCGACGCAAGTCAAACAAGAAGCAGAGGATGAACATGCTGTGATGATACCGGAGAAGGCGGTGGAAGCGGACGACGAGGATGAAGAGGTGGATGATTTTCTGGATTCTGGTATCGGGACGAGTCTGGAGTCTAGCGGGCCGGCGCGAAGGGAAAGTATGCGACGGCGAAGAGGCCGAGCTCCTGTCGCTGGTGTGAGTCCGAATGGGTGGCACGATGGAGAGGATGAGCGTCATGTCTGAAGTGAGCGTGAGACATGAAACGATGGGGACTTTTCTCTTTCTGAAGCAATATGAATGATACCCATTTCGATTTCCTGAGCTGAGCTGGCGGAAGCAAAAGCTCTGTGGCTCCGGACAACAACAACTTTCGGAGATGCTCTTGGGACGGGGCATGCCAGTGACGATGATCTACAGTAGATATGTACATACTCGGTGCCCAAGTGAAGGATGCAATACGACTATTATGATATAGCGTGATGGAAGAGGGAGTAGTGGTCTGGTATGGTATGGTATGGTATGGGATGAGGAAGCGAGACATTGGTGGTGCGGCGACCAATGGGCTGGTCGGGTGGCACAAAGCCATGGATGCGATGCATGCGCTTCCTGCTGCCTAGTGGACCGGTCGTTCAGCCTTATTATCCCAAGCGGAAGCCTCGTGTCTTTTTAATCTCGACCTCACCTCACCTCCTCCCTTCTGTGTATCTGTCTTGTTCAAGTGCGTCGCCGAGGACGGAATTGCAGCATATCCGGCGTGTGGGTGGGATCCACTGTCGCTCTGCCGTGGCCCATGCACCGCCTTCCAAGCATTCTTCCCACTTCGCCAAGCCCGTCTCCCGGCTGAGCCTCAGGCGCTCACCTCTCACCTCTCACCTCTCAGCAGTCAGCATCCTCCCCTTACGCGCACTCAACTCTGCCGGGATTGAGAGGACTCTCCATCATCATCATCATCATCAACAACTGGACCCTTTCTTACCTTCACACGGTGTGCTGTGTGCTGTGTGCTGTGCTTTGCCGCGCTGACAAGGATCTCACTTGGCCGACAGCGCAACCTTCGGCGGCCGACAGCAACACCTCCTCCCTACGCCCATCTCCTTGGACTGTGCAATCCCTGGCCCACCTCGTCAATCTGCTGCTGAGCCGCCCAGTGATACGCTTGACACGGCGGAGCCTCCTGGGCATGCGGAGCGCCGGCCTCTTGGCACCGCAACTATGCACCCACCTACGAGATTCCCACCCAGCACCAGCACCAGCCATTGGTGAGTCCAAGGTCGTCCAGGGCTGCATCACAGCGTGCGCCAGCGTCGCCTGCTCTGTGCATCGCTATCTACGTCGGCTCTTTGCCCGCGCTGGATGCGCCTCGCACCTCCATCCATCTTTCCTTTTGTGCTTTTCCTTTCAACAACCCCTTCCCTCGCTGTTGGCCATGACGGCCACCATCGCCCTCCCCGCTCCCCTTCGAATCTGACATGGCCCGGACTTCCTGGAGCGTCTGCCTCAGACACCTGTTGGCCGCTCGGAGATGGACCGCCCTTGCACTCACCGTGCCGCTCCTATTGCTTCTAATACACCAGACAATCCTTCCACTCCTCGTCTTGCTATTTCCCGCACTCGAACCGACATTCTTTGACCTCGGACTGTACGGCGCCTATCCCTCGCAGCATTTTGCAACCTTCCCTCTCTGCGCACCACAACCGAAACACATACGATGGAACGAGAAATGTGACAACGGCCTGATCTTGATGACCCCCAACGGGCCCTCGGTGGAGAGACCGGGCCCCATGATCTTGGACTCCAAGGGCGAATTGGTGTGGATGTCAGACGACTTTGGCACAACCGCAAATCTCAAAGTGCAGAATTACAAGAATGAGTCGTACCTCACCTTGTGGTCCGGCGAGAAGGCGGCGACGTCTGGCAGCGGCGTTTACTTCATGGTGAGAAGCTCACTTCTACCGTTGCCACGGCATACGAGTGCTGACCACCTGCGCAGATTGATTCTACATACCAAGTGGCGCACATGGTCTCCGCCGTCGGAGATGACCTTTTCGGAGACCTGCACGAGTTCAAGATTACGAATGATGATACTGCCCTCATTACCGTCTACAACAAGACCACTGCCGACCTCACAGGGATGGGCCGGGGCCGCGGCCCGAATGGCTGGATCGTCGACAACTTATTCCAGGAAATCGACATCGAGACCGGGGAACTGTTGTTTCAGTGGCGAGCTTCCGATCACTTCAATCCTACCGACACTTACATGACCAATCCTCTGGGTGGCTATTGGGAGAGCATTCCGTTTGACTGGTACCATCTCAACAGCATCGACAAAGACGCGCACGGCAACTACATCATCTCGTCGCGGCACTTCCACTCGGTCACCGCCATCAGCCCGGTCGGCGAGATACTCTGGATCCTTGGAGGCCGTGACAACGAGTTTCAGGATCTCTCGGACGGGCAAGCGACAAACTTCAAGTGGCAGCATGATGCACGCTGGTTCTCGGAAGCCGAAGGGATCCTGACTCTGTTTGACAACAGTAAAGCGGGACCGCTGCACATCGATGCGCCCAGCAGCCGGGCCTTGTTCATTCAGCTCGACATTCCCAACCGCACTGCCAGGCTAGTGCAGTCACTCACTTCTCTCGGCGGCATCCTGGCCTCCTCCCAAGGTTCAGTGCAGACTTCGCTGGACAACGATCAGACGTTTGTTGGGTGGGGCTCTGCAGCTGCATACTCGGAGTACTCGCAAGATGGCGAGTTGCTCTGCGAAACACATCTCGGTGCCTCCTGGTTCTACTGGTTGGAGCGCATGAAGTCGTACCGGACGACGAAGACCTACGACTGGCACGCCATGCCAAGAGACGCACCGCAAGTCAAGATCGAAGATGGCCACCTGTTGGTCAGCTGGAATGGTGCTACTGACGTGGCTTCTTGGTCGTTGGAGATGGCCCACAGTGTTGAGGAGGGGCAGCAGACAGATGAACACCTCCGCGGCCTTGGCGACGCGACTGAACACTCTCCTGGATCTGGCAAATTTCAGAACATCGACATCCTACCAAAGTCGGGCTTCGAAGGCTCCTTCGACCTCCCTGCCATGTCGGCCTCCAAGAAAGCATATGCACGGTACCGCGTTGCTGCACTTGACGCGTCTCGGCACGTATTGCGGTATTCTGAAATCATCGCGCACAATGACGACAGCTCGGAGTCTTCGACTTTAGTCATGATATTCAAGCTCTTCCTGATTCTTGGCTTTTTGGTCGGTGTGAGTTTCATTTTCAAGCACTACCAGGCGAGTGCGAGGGCGCATGCGCAGGGCTACAGTGTTCTGGCACCTCCGACTTGGATGGAATGGAATGGACCTTCTTCGTGGAGCACTAGGCGACGGTTCTCGTCAGCAACGTACGCATGGCTTCAGGCGAGGTGGAGGAGGATGGCTGAAAGGCCGGACTGAGAACATGGAGCGATTCTCGACCTACGCAATCTACTTTTGGATGAGATGGAGGGTATCATCGAGAGCAGCCTCGTCAAGTGAGCACAGTGCAGAGACGCAACGCTATGCCACACCGCGACGCTTCCAAGAAGGCCTCGAGCTCGCGCGAATCAGCGGGCGCTTCTTCTTACAGCGAGCTACAGCGCAGTCGAGTTCCGACCGAAGAAATAATCCATCTCCGCCATTCGCACCCTAGCAAACAGACCACGGCCTCTACGCCGCGAAGATGTAAAACACCAACATGGGGGTCCCAGAGCCATTGTCGTGGGCAGAAAAAAAGGGAATGACCCGCCCGCGATGCAATCCTCCGCAAGATTATTGACGGCAGGCTTGTACAACAAGCAGGATGATGCTCCAACGCTCTGGACACGACGACGACGTTGACGACGACGACGACGACGACAGGGTTCTACATTCCCCCTCATCCCTAAAAGATTTCCGATTTCCGTACAAGGATGTGTGAATCCGGCCGGCTCGTCTATCTACCCTAGATAACCTCGCCTAATAATAATCCGTCTGCACGGAAAACTTGATAAAGATGAAGAAAAAGAAGGGAAAGAGCGGTGGACACTTACTTGGTCAGCAATGCATGCATGCATGCATGTATGAATGATTAAACTCACTCGTCATTCAGTTTTTGAGTTTTCACAATTCCACGCCGTAGGATGAAGGGTGAAGGGTAGGCATGCGGTAGGGATGACTTGTCGCTCGCTGTGAGGGTGGGGTAAGGTAGGTAGGTAGGTAGGAAGGTACCTTGGGTAGCAAAGAAGAGGGCAAAAGATGGTACTATTGTGGTAGGTAGGGTAGGTAGGTACCTTGACTCGACTACAACGATACTATTCCATCTATCCATCGGTCCCGTGAGAGTCTTCCTTTGAAAATCCGAACTGGACTATTATCTCCTTCTCCACCTCCTCCTCCTTCTCCTTCCTCCATCTCCTTCTCCTTCTTTTTCTTCTTCTTCTTCGTTAATTTGAATATATATGAATTTTTCCTTCTCCTCTATAATCAAATTAATCGTCCCAGAACTGTTTCCGTCTGTCTGTCTATTCCCGTCTTTCGACTCCGGCTTCGTTTATTCGTTCGTCGCGGCTAAGACGGACGCCAGCGGTTGTCAGCAGGTGAGATCCGATGCGCCCGGCCCCGGACCGTGCGCCGCCCCGCAGACCGACCGCAAAGGGGACGTGACGTGACGGATGGGTTTCGGATCTCCCTCCGCCTCCTAGGGAGGAGGAGGAGAAGAAAAGAAAAGACCTCACGTATATCTTCACCTTGATATCTTCATAGCCTATGTTGATTCGGATGGATATATCATGCGCCTGGATAGATGAAGATGAAGATGAAGTTGAAGAGGAAGACTAGAGGACGTTGCATGTAGGTGCAGGGATTTTTTCGGTTGGTGATTCCAACATATAACACACACATACACACATACACACACACAGACACAGACACAGACACAGACACACACACTTTTACAAGAGTGACGAGCGAAAAAAGGGAAAAAGGGAAAAAGGGAAAAAGAGAAAAAGGGACTAAAAACCTGCCGTTGTTTGAACATTTGGAAAAGGCCAAAGAGAAAAAGTTCCTGAATGCTTGCTTGCAAGGAACATATTTTCAATACTCATTCATACTCAACCCCGTTCCTCCTCCCTACGCGAACACCCACCTCTTCTCCTTCCCCTCCCTTCTTATCCCCCTCCCCATCATCAGCAGCAAGAATAGCCCACTCAGCCACACTAGCCCCGGTCCCATTCCCACTCCCTTCCTCGGGCGAGCCCTTCAAAGCCAAATTCCCCGAAATCTCCAGCGTCGCGAACCGCGCGCTCCAAACCGGCCGATCCAGAGTGACATTCGTCGTGTTGCTCGCGTACGGCCGGATGACGAAAGCGTCGTGCATGCGATAGGGCTCGGAGATTTGCACGTGATCATCTTGAGTAACGACGACGGGCGGGACGGAGGTGGTGTCGCTGAGGTTGTGGAAGAGGATGCGATAGGATTGCGGCGGGGATTGGGCCCAGTCGAGGCGGAAAGCGGTGATGGGGACAAAGGGGGGCGGGAGGCGGACGGTGAGGGAGGAGGTTTGGTTGGAGTGCGTGGGCTGCCATTTGGTGCTGCTGGCGCCGTCGATGGCGCTGAGGGGGAACTGGCCTGGTTCGTAGGGGTCCGGGGAGGAGACGTCCGTTTGGCACTGGGCGATGTTGCCTGGGATGGTCTTGTTGAGGCCGCTTTGGCGGTTGGGGATCGTGAGGGTAGTGCCGTCTGGTGGGAGGCTGTAGACTTTCGTCCCGCTCAGGGAGATGGTGACGGGGATGGGAGTGCCGGTGAAAGTGCTGTTTGCTTCCGGGAGAGGGGAACCTGTGCGTCGGAGGGTGGTGTGCGTTTGGTTGGATCGTGCTTTGATGGGCCAGCCGTTCCAGTAGATGGTTCTGTATTCCAATTGAGGGATCTGAGGAGGTAGTGAGGGATCGATGTCCAAGGTGTCTAGGTCGAGTCTGAGGCCGAGATAGCCAAAGACAGCGACACGATTCGCTCCTCCAACGCCCGTCAAGAAAGGGAAGGCGGGATGCGTGCCTCCGTTGGTTGAAAAATCATCGATAAGCTGCTCGCTAAATTGGAACCAAGGCCCTCTCGTGTACGGCTGCGAACCATACAGATCATACGTGTGGCTGGCACAGCCGGAAGGACTCTCCCTGTTGGCCACGATACTGAAGACACCATAGGTCATGGCCGGTCCGTCAGGCGACTGAGCGGCAGCGTAGTAATCCAGGTCACTGAGGGTGTAGGGGTTCTCGTATTGCAGGAAGTCGTCGATCAGTACAATGTCAGCCTGCTTGACAGTGATACTCCCATTCTGCGTGGCATACTCCAGGATGATGTTGGCATCGTGGTTCACAGGGATGGTAATCAGGGACGAAATGTTGGCCCAAGTGGCATTCGCTTCCATGCCGAATCGCCCTCGGATATCGTTTGTACTGTTCAGGTGGCTTGACATCAGGACCGAGGTGAACCCGGTGTTGTTCTGAAAGTTGGCGTATTCGTCAGGATCAGTTGCGTTGTATAGATCGTATAGTCCCGTAGTCTGGTTGTATGTGACGAGATCCGCATACATCTGGGCAATTGACTCGTAGATAGGGAATAGCTCCTCACGGAAGAAGTCGGTATCACCAGTGACCGCCCAGTAGTTGTATAACTCCAGGCCAATGTCGCCGTTCAGATGGTACTCATAATCGAAACAGGGACCAGTTGCCGTGCAGTTACCAAACCGACCACTAGTCCAGGGGAAGATTGCACCTTCAGGCGAGAACTTGCCCGTCTCATTTTGGCTGGACTGATACGCCGTCAGGATATTCTCTCGGGCCTGATGGTATCTGTCGACTCGGTATCGAGCGATCTGCCTAGCAGCATGAGGAAAGGATACGACGAGACCAGGCTGCATCCATACTTCCGCATCCCAGAATATCAAGCCTGCATAACACGAAGATCCGAGCCCGCACACGCTGATACTGTTGACTTGCAGTCTGCTGTTGTTGCCGGCTGCAAGCACTGCGTTGTCGCTGATGGTATTCTGCAGCATCTGAAATGGATTGGTGATCGCCGTGATCTGTGACTCTTGCACATCCGGATTGAGTGGGAGGGAACCATTGGCGTCTCGGAAGCTGTCCACGCTGTCCGCTGGCATGATGGTCTTCCACTCCGTAGAGTGAGAAGCGTAAAGCTTGTCAAACCCAGCCTTGGACGCGGTCATTGATGCGTTGAGAGCGGTGGATCGAGGATCCTGGAAGGCATCTGACGAAGCACCACCGATGAACTTCGTGATAGTGGAAGTCTTGCCGGCGGAGAGAGCCACCTTGACTCCCTGTGCGATAGTTGAGCTGTTCCCTCCCAGTACCGCGGTAGCATTGACCATCATCCTACTGCTCATATCGCAAGAATCGTCTCCAACCAACGTTGAATAGATCGTCGCCGTGACATCCCGAAGCCCGTCCGGACTCACGGTGGTCCAGATCATCGGCTTTGCTTGATCGTAGCCCTTGTCGTCAAAAGTAGAACGCACCGCGCAGTCACCCTCCAACAAATCCACAACCGTCGCACTCACAGCCTCCTTTGCCGTCATCTCCAACCTCACCACAGCCTGATTGACGAACAACTTATGCACAAACATCGAATACGCCATCTGAATCGCGGGCCCCGAGCTAGGAGTCCAGGTATAATTCCAATACATCACCGCATTCCGAATATCCAGACTCGAGCTGAAATCCGAAATCTGTTCCGCGGGGACTTTGGCATCGAGGATCTCGTTGCCAATCTTCACGTGCAGACCAGACCAGTGCGGGATGCCGCTGATGACGCTCTCCCCTCCATACTGATACAGCCAGTTGGCGTTGGAACCGTTTACTTTGGGTTGCGAATCGAAGAGACCGGCGATGGTGGCGAAGCTCTGTCTCCGGTCGAAGAGCGGCCAGCCTTGGATGTTGTCGCCGTCGACGGGAACATCGACGTCGAAGAAAGGACCTACTGCTGCGACGTTGATGCCGAGGTAGCCATTTGCGAGGGAGAATCGGGATTGATAATGACCCTGGTCGAGGCGGGTGGTCTTGATGATCCAGTTGTCGTCGTCCCAGGTAGTCCCGTTGAAACGAGTATTGTAGATGGCAGCGGTGGCGAGGCTCGACGTAGCCACCGTCAGGAGTAGAGCGCGCGAGAGCATCTTCGTCTGTGTTGTTGACCACGGTCAGAATCTCTCCTCCCCCTCCGTTGCGGCGCCTCTGTGTTGAAATGTTTTCCAGGCCCTTACAATCTAACCGCAGAGGCACCACTCACCAAGACTTCAAACGTAATCCCCATCCGTTCCAACGCAAGTGCCCTCAACAATAGTCAGCAACCTTCAAACATCGGGCCGAACCTCTCCAATCCGACGCGTCTCTCTATTCTTCACAACAATGTCACTTAAAGGAGAAAAGACAAGCTTAGTGGAAGGAATGAAGCCTGACCACCACTCGAGGTCCTCTCATGTAGGTTAGACCTGGAATCTCGAACACTGCAATCTCCAGACTCTTCCAGACGACCAGGGGCCCCCCCCCCCAGTCGTTCCGCCAAAGACCGCAATGACGTTCGCCACGCGAGGGAAACAGACGAGAACCTGAAAAATGCTTGGCTGCGTTGCCCCGCAATATCCCCACACCTTCAATCCCAAAGCGGAAAGAACAGAATCAAGGCATCGTCGTCACGTGCTAGACTCAAGGCAGGAGGAACAAGCGAAATGGTGCAGCATTGTTGTGTTGTTGTTCAGGGTAGCACGGAGACGTAATAAGGTAACAACGTCGCTATGCGATCGATGAAGCAGAATCCGTCATCTGACGCTGACTCTGTCCAGCTCTCCCTTGCTCGCCGCCACACCCGCCTCGGATGCTTCGGATCCGTGTCGAATACGGAGGATCCTGGTCCATTGCCCCATTCTATCCCACCATGTTGAAAATTCATCGCCTTTCCGCCCAGAGATATGTTTAAATCCCCTTCAATGTGGTCAAAAACGCCTCGCTCGAACGCTCATGTTAAAAGTAGGAAGCTTGTGTTGAATCGTTCAGTCCGCGAGGACTCATATCGATGAGAGGTCTATTGGAGGTGGGGTTCGTTCGTACCGGTCATGTCATTCACGGTCTCGACTGGAGCACAGCTATCGATTTTGTCAGTACGTGACCTCGAGAGACGAGCTGTTAGAAGTGGACATACCTGCAGAAGAGATTCACATCACCATAAGCATCATCAAGCCTGGTCACACTGGGCCAGAACTTCTTCTCCTTCAACCAGTCCAGTGGGTAGGCAGCAGTCTGCCGGGTGTAGGGTCGATTCCATTCCGAGAGAATGAGATCCTTCATGCTGTGAGGAGACATCTTGAGGACGTTGCCCTCCTTGGGTTGCTTGCCCTGTTCAATATCCGCAATCTCACCGCGAATAGAGATGAGCGCATCGCAGAAGCGATCCAACTCGTTCTTCGACTCAGACTCCGTTGGCTCGATCATGAGCGTATTGGCGACAGGCCAGGACATGGTCGGCGCATGGAAGCCGTAATCCTGGAGACGCTTGGCAATGTCAATGGCCTCGACGCCCGCGCTCTCCTTGAACTTGCGCACATCGAGGATGAACTCGTGCGCGCAACGACCATTTTCGTTGGTGTACAGGATGGGGTAGTATGGCATCAAGCGAGACTTGATATAGTTCGCGTTGAGGATGGTGATCTTGGTCGCGTGGGTCAGACCTCGGGCACCCATCATCTTGATGTACGCCCAGCTTATAGGCAGGATGCTTGCCGAGCCCCACGGCGCACCAGAGACGGGAGCAATGGCCTTCTCGCCACCAACATTGGCAACGAGGGGGAATCCGGGCAGGAAGGGTGAAAGGTGTTCAGCTACACCGATAGGCCCAACGCCTGGACCACCGCCTCCATGAGGAATACAGAAGGTCTTGTGCAAGTTCAAATGGCAGACATCTGCGCCAATCTCGCCAGGGGAGCAGAGTCCAATTTGAGCGTTCATATTCGCACCATCCATGTAGACTTGTCCTCCGTGCTTGTGAACGAGATCACAGACCTCCTTGATCTCTGGCTCGAAGACACCGAATGTCGACGGGTAGGTGACCATGATAGCCGCAAGCTCGTCGCTATGCTTCGTGCACTTCGCTTCGAGATCTTTCATATCCAGGTTACCGGTCTTGCTGTCGCATTTGATCGTCACAACGCGCATTCCTGCCATAGCTGCAGACGCTGGGTTCGTGCCGTGGGCCGAAACTGGAATGAGGCAAATGTCTCGCGTCTTGCCCGGTTGGTCTTCATGGTACTTTCGAATCACACGGAGACCAGCAAATTCTCCCTGAGCACCAGAGTTGGGCTGAAGGGAGACGGAGTGGAAGCCGGTGATTTCGGCAAGATCGCTCTCAAGCTCCCGTATCATCTTGCGATAGCCCTGAGCTTGATCTGGTGGCACGAATGGATGGATATTGGCGAATTCTGGCCAGGAAATTGGTACCATCTCCGTGGTCGCGTTCAGCTTCATGGTACAAGATCCAAGCGGAATCATAGAGTGGACAAGAGAGAGATCCTTTGACTGCAGATGGTGCATGTACCGGAGGAGCTCCGTCTCAGAGTGGTAGGAATTGAAAACGGGGTGGGTCAGGTATTCCGAGGTGCGCTTGAGGAAGTCTGGAAGGCTTGCAGTGGCTTCAACGCCCTCTGCAAGTTCGTCCACATCGACTGGATCCGTTGTGAATGCGCGGAAGATCTCCTCAATCTGCTTCTTGCCGACAGTCTCATCGATAGTGATGCCAATGTGGTCGCTGTCAATGACACGGAAGTTAGTGAGGAAGTTCTGCACAGTCTTGCTGGCAAAGCCAGGAGCATTGTGCTTCTTGACAACAACGGTATCGAAAGCGACAGGCTGTCGCACCTCAAGTCCCTTCTCTTGTAGTCCCTTTGCGAGGACCTGGGTCATCTTGGCAACCTTCTCGCCGATCTTCTTCAGACCGGCCGGACCGTGGTAGACAGCATACATGGCACTCATATTGGCGAGCAGGGCCTGAGCTGTGCAGATGTTGCTCGTAGCCTTCTCACGACGGATATGCTGTTCACGGGTCTGCAGAGCAAGTCGAGCGGCATTGTCACCCAGGCGATCCTTGGACAGACCGATCAATCGTCCGGGAATCTTGCGCTTGTGCTTCTCGCTGACTGCAAAGAAGGCCGCATGAGGGCCACCGAAACCAAATGGCACGCCAAATCGCTGGGCATTTCCAAAGGCAACGTCTGCTCCAAACTCGCCGGGTGGAGTAAGCAGAGTCAATGCGAGAAGGTCTGTTCCTACCGCGAAGGTTCCATCCAGCTTGTGTACTTTATCTGCCAATCCCCTGAAGTCCTCGACGCCGCCTAGTGTATCTGGATATTGTGCGAGTACTCCGATCAGGTCTTGCCCAATGTCGTCCACTTTCTTGCTGCTGTCTGCTAGAATGTCCGCAACCTCGATGGTAATGCCAAAGCCATGAGCACGGCTCTCCAGAACGGCAATCGTCTGTGGGTGGCATAGATGAGACACTAGCCACACTTTCTTAGGCCGTCGCTGGCGAGCAATCGGCAAGGAGTTCACAGCCAGAGTCATGGCCTCTGCCGCCGCCGTAGGCTCGTCCAAAACCGAGGCATTCGCGATGGCCAAGCCTGTGAGATCCGTGACCATCGTCTGGAAGTTCAAAAGTGACTCCAATCGACCCTGACTGATCTCCGGCTGGTACGGCGTGTAGCTCGTATACCAGGCCGGATTTTCCAAGATGTTACGCTTGATGACCTCTGGCACTCTGGTACCCGCATATCCGCACCCAATGTAGCTCTTGTAGACCTTGTTCTCGCTCGCAATCTGACGAAGCCTCGCGAGCAATTGGCTCTCCGAGTAGCCACCTTCACTCGTAGGTACCGAGCCGGACTCTGGCACTGGCCCTTCGATTTCCAGGTTTTTGCTGGACAGGATCGAGGGAGGTAGCACCTGTGCCACGAACTCGTCCAAGCTGCGGACTGGCGGATCTAGAGCTCGGAGCATCTCTTCGGTGGTCGCGGCGGTCGGTCCAATGTGGCGACGCGGGAAGGTGTCGAGAGGCGCAAAGATGGACTCATCGTGCTTGCTGTACTTGGGCTCGGTGTAGTTCGTGTCAGGGGTTGAGCTCGAGTAGAAACTGTGGACTTTACTCTCGTGTGTGGCGCGCGACTGTACGGGTGAGATTTGTGATCGGGAAAGGGCCGTTGGACGATTCGCAAGGTGATTCAGTATGAGACATCGTGGTGAGAGCGGCTTCCGCGTGGCAAGCCACTGAACGCGGAGTCGTAGGGCAACAGTGCCAGACATGTTGCCGTAGTGCAAGTCGAAGCCGGCTGGGGCGTAGAGAGCGGTTGCTGACAGTTGAGGTAATCGAGCTGTTCTCGGCGAGGATCAAGCTGTGTTTTCTTAGCGCAGCTCTGTTCCCTCCACAGTCATCTTCTCTGTACGACGGGTGAGGTGGTGTCGAAAGAGTGCACCCGAGACTACCTTACGGTGTAGTGGTGGCGGGATATTGGCACCTCTTCGGGTTAAGGAATGACGATGGCTCCGACTGAATGATTGATGAGAACCTGGAACTGGAGGCTCACACCATTGAAGGCGGAACAGACAGGGATCGCCTATCGCGGACCGGCGACCGATAGCACGTGACCGCGGCGTTCGCTCTCCGTACCTGCTTCTCTTTCCCGCTAACAACGTTGAATTTTCCACCCGGATTCTTCCTCGCAACTTCTCAACCAAAACTAGTCCCGCGCACATGGAGTACATCTCTCAAGGAAAAAGCACAAAGGCTTCATTGGCACACTGTGGCTCCTTCGACAGGGTTCAAATATTCCTCACCTGCCTGTTCCTATGTCTGCTCTAGAATGACACCTTCCTTTCTCATCACCAATCGTCGTGTTGTACATGCGGTCCCCTCACGTCAGAAGTGTTTCAGGCTCTGCGCCTTCTCTCTGCCTGCAGCCACTGTCCGGCGATTCTCGCTGCCTACCAATGGAAGTAGTGCAGATCCTTGGCTGGACTGGTATAGCGAGTGCTGGCCAGCCCCGCGCCATCTACAAGGGCCGTCGTCAGCTCCCGTATTCCCTTCTACTTATTGAGCACGAGACGTCCTGTCAAGTTCACGTCTGAGAGGAGACTACAGAGCCAGTGCCATAATCGCAGGACAGTAGTCGCGGAGAACGGTACGCATCTTTACGTCTGGGCAAACGATACCGACAGCAAAAACACGCACGACGGAGTCTATCAACAACAACATCCAAAAAATGTGGTCAAAACTCACCTTCTTCACCCTCGCAAGCCTGGCCTCAGCCCAGGTGGTCAGCCAAACCACATCCAACGGCAACCCCGTCCAAGTCACAGGTACAAGCTCCTCCGTGACCCTGCCATTGTCGCTCCCAACGAGCTTCATCTCGACTCTGAGTAACCACATTCCAGGAACCGCATCGACCGGCGTGGGATGCACAACCATCACAATGCAAGGTCAGCCCGTGTTTACCATCCAAACCGACACTTCTACCCAATCTGGATGCACATACACGGTCTTTGCTGGATCTGGGAGTGCAACATCTAACACTAGCATCGTCTTCCCGACTTTCTCGTCTCTGCCAGTGCCCGTGGCTCCGGGACCAGTGATTATCGCCAATTCGACGATGAACGGTACTTCTGGCGTGGCGTCATCGACTGGTGGAAGGACGACTACGAGTTCTGGTGGTGCCGTGGTTGGTGGAGGTGGATCGACGAGCACGGCGGCGTCTGGGACTTCGTCTGGTGCTGGTGGTGCCAGTTCGACTTCGACGCGTGCTTCGACTTCTGCTCAATCAAGCGGTCCTGCCAATGCCAATGCGCCCTTGACAGGTGAGGGACTTGGGCTCGCTGTTGTCGCTGGCATCTTCATGATGCTCTAAGCACGCCAACCAAGAGATCCCAGGCTGGGAGCTTTGACATGAATCAAACGAAAGCGCGGAGGCAACGAGGCACATGTAATAATGGGAAAAGTGACGAACAATGTTTGAATCGTAATATCTCTAAACGGGTATCACCGCACTCTATAATAACTCAGTAGTATGATTGAATCCATGCATGGCACATACGATCGCCAAGACCAAAAAAATTCGCCCAACAGCACTTTCGCTATGTGAACGTCTCGAACTCGTTTCCGGATGGATTCGGACTGATCTCTCGCTCAAAAAGAAGCGCAAGAGAAAAAGGACTGCGCGATGGATCTGTAGGTGATCGAAACCTAGACCTCCCGCAAGTTCGCAGTGTAAGACAACATGCAAAGCGGGCGCTCTACCACTGAGCTACAAACCCTCGTGTGATTGGCTACTTCGAAACCTGCACTGATTATATAGCTAGCGTTTTTGATCGGAGGGGATCTGGCGGTGAAATGCCGGCGTAGAGGGCTTCAGCCCCGCCCTCTAAATGCTTTTCGACTTCTTGGATTGGAACAAGAGGTTGAGCGGCTAGCTAATGACAGGGTTCTAGCCCTAGCAATGGAATGGAAGAGGATTGAATCGAATTTGATGGGAGACATGGTTGGTTGATGGGGGCTGAATCGAGGACCTTGGGTTCGTTGGAGTGAAGTCGGAAAATTGATATTCCAGCTCGGCGCTTAGGCACAGACTTCACTAGATCAGGGCAAGAGCAAGGACGATTGCTCGTTACTTCAGGAATTCCATATCGATCGCCTCGAGGTCATTTCGGCCTTCGCGAAACGCGTCGGAGTGATATGTGTGAGACACGAGAACACGTGAGCTCAGCCGAAGCCACCGCAATCCTTCGTGCACCGCTGCCGCCTTGAGTTTGGACGATCACCGCATTGCCGCGTCCCCTGTGCCGCCCACGAGGCTGCTTCAGCTCCATGGCGGTGCTCAACTCTCCATTCGCCCATCCCCACGAGGACTGCATGTTATTCTGTACGTCTAGGGCTGGTTTTGGAACGGATCGCGAGTCTCTTACCCGAAGCCGAACAAGGCTGGCCATCCGGGGGCCTTGGAGCCGAAATTGAGGATACACCACACGCGACAAGCGTCATCGTAGAGGCAGAGTGTTGGTATGCCCCGACGAAGATCACTGGACGGCGAGGCCTGTTGATATCCTTGGACTCTTCCCAAATCCCACTTTGCTGCTTGAGAACTCAAATCCTGGGAAGTGAAATACAATTGCGCATCGATTCCACGCCAGCCAGAAGAAAGGAGGAGCCTCCACGTGCGAAGATAAGCCCCCATGGCTGTCTCTTTGACGCAATATTCCAACGAAATCGCAAGACGGCGCAACCATCAAGAGAAAGCGACGGTTGGAATGCCAACGCCAGAACACTTCCAACATACATATCAACAACATCCTTACTTTCAGCAAACATATCCGCCCCCACCTCCGCCGTCTCAACAGTACCAACATCCCTTCCAACAACCGTATGCGAACAACAATTATGTCCAACTCCAACCGGATTATGGAAAGCATCAACCAACTATCCAACAAGAACTACCACCTCCTCCTCCTCCACCCCGACCACCAAAATCGCCATTGCAAGAACCACCACCACCCCTCCCCCAACGACCAGTCTCCACCTTGACCGCGACATCCCCTCCTCTCTCCCAACATCCCACCCCGACCTCCACCTCCACCTCAACAATCGAACCAGACCCCCTCCCACCACACTCCAACCCGCAATCCCTCACCCTCTCCCAAAGCGCAGCATTCACAAACTCCGCCCCCATCCCCCCGCTCCGCCTCGGCCACGAAGAAATCTCCAACGCCCAGACAGGCCACGCAGACTACACCCTCACCCGCAGCTCTCCCCCGGGCCTCCTCCCCTCGTTCTCATTCCTCCTCTCCACAAAACCCCTCCTCACCGTCCATCGCACGCGCACGGGCATCCCCATGGGCCAGATCCGCTTCCACACGCTCACATCTTCCACCATCGACCTGACCCTCCACGGAAAGCAGACGTCGCTCAGCCACTCGGTGATTTCGAACAAGTGGAGTTTTGAGAGCATCTCCGCGCCGGAGAGGTGGTATTGGAAGAAGGACCGGAGCACCGGCGGCGCCAAGTTGGAGGATAGGAAGGGCAGAGGGGGACGTGCTCTGGCGAGGATGAGGGGGGATCTGCTTACTTTTGAGCAGGGGAGGTTGAGCGAGGCGAGCTATGAAGAGGTGCTGCTGAGTGCTGTCGCCATGGCTGAGGCCGCGAGGCGGTCTGGGAGAGGGCACGAGGTGGGAGATTTGGCGCGAGCGATTGGAGATCTCGCGAGCGCCGCGTCGGATGGAGATAAAGGTGGAGGTGGGAGAGCTGGAGGAGCGTAAGCCCTGTGGCGACGTTTGGCCCCCGGGGGTTTTTTCAAATTTGCTGTACATATTGGAGATACCCATTTTCTTTTTTCTTTGCCCTTCTCAAAGCACGAGATACCTTGAAAGCCCTTCCCTCCGTCCGAGGTCCTGACTAGCTCTGGTGCGCCTTCAGCACCTCCACCGGATACTTCTCCAGACTCTCGTACCATTGGATCACGCTGCCAATCAGGAACGCGACGGAACCTATAGACCACAGACAGGCAGGACAAAATCAGCAACAACAACAACAACAACAACAACAACAACATCACAAACCAGACGACCTTTGATCACCCCACTCACCCCAGAAAGTGCACAAAGCCGCCTGAAACTGCGGCCCGGGCGCGGCATCATACCCAAACCCAGGACTCAGCGCGAAGCCCACGGAACCCACCAGATTCCACATGCCCACATGCCAACCCAGCGTGCCCACCGCCGGCCGCCACCACCGCGCCTGCGTCTCCAGCATGAACAGCAGGCTGGAAGCGATGAAGCCCGCGGCGCCGACGAGCTGCGGCGTCCAGAAGAGGGCGTCCGTGAGACTTGCGGACATGTGGTTCAGGATGCCCGGCAGGGCGACGAAGCCGGAGACGGCGAAGACGGTCGCGGCGAGGCATTGCAGGGCCGAGGCGAGGAAGCCGAGGTCGTGGGAGTATCTGGCGTGGAAATCGTGGGGGGAAGGGAACCAGACCCAAGCGCGGGGGCCTTCTTCAGGGGTGGGATCTGGATCTTGGGAGTGCGGACGGCCGACGAGGTTGGAGCGGTTCTGATGGTGGTGGGTGCAGCCTTCCCTGTCGGGGCTGATGGTGCTTGCTGAGCCGCCGACGGGGGAGAAGAGATGGGCAACCGCCCAGCCGAAACAGCCGGTTCGGTTCGCGTTCACCGCTTCGAGGAGCCCGAGGCAACTCCCAACCTCGAAGACCGCGACTCCGATGAAGGCCGTGATGCCGCCGCCGTAGAGCACCTCTCCCGGGAATCGGATCGCCGGGTTCAGGAGCGGAAAGAGGGAGAAGAAGCCGTTGACGACCCAGACGGCGCTTCCGAGGGTGAACGAGATGGCCACCAGCCAGGAGACGTCCCAGTAGGGGAAGTACGTGAGCATTCGCTAGATGTTCCCGAGGACGCTCTTCGGGTGCGAGGTGGGGACGGGTGTAGTATCGCTCTTCTGGACGGCTTCTAGTTCGTCGGGCCGGACGAGTATAGAATGCCTGCGCATGGCAATAGTCAGACGATTGAACATCTTTGCTAGAGGCATTTTCACTCACCGGCCTTTCCGATTATCTCGAGTCGTGTACTTGAATCGAATACCGGCCGGCAAGTCAGCTTCGGGCCGAGCTCTTGCTCCTGCTTCATGGGTTGCGATGTTTTCGGCGGCGGCGGCGGCGGTTGAAGGGCCATCTCTTGCCGTTGCGGTGGAAGGAATGACAAATCTGGCTTGCGTAGGATTGAAGCAATGCACGGGTCCAGTGACAGTCTCGTGGTCCAGCCGCAACGATGCTTCCGCACGCAGAGGGCGAAGGTCTGGGTTGAAGTGGGTGCTCCTGCGATCCATCTGGGAAGGAGTGCCATGGAGCTTTTGCTTGCGAAACATCCTCGCTGATGGGATATGGAGTTGGTATTGTAGGAATGACGGGATGCTTAGGGTGATGCTCTTAGACTTTTGCAGACATCAAAGTCGACGTCGACGTTCCAAAAGCGAGAGAGCGACATCAGCGAACTCCTATCGCGCTTTCCATCTCCACGCCAGTACGTCGTTGATGTGTGGCGCCGGATAGTTGGGGTACATGTACTTTAAGATTATTTAGGGCAACATGAAGCGTGCATGTGATTCTCCATCTCGGTTGCCGTTACCGAGCCTGCGCATTCTTCAGCACGGCTGACAGCTTTCCAGCTTTCCAGCCACGCTCTTTTCCCCATTGGCATCTCTTGTCTTGCTATTGTCGCAACACATCTATCGAGGTCCATCGACTTACAAATCGCTCCATCTCCTCTTCCATCTCTTGACGTCTAACCACCTGACATCGGCCGCGAACACCCCAGTCAACCCAATCAACATGTCCGATCCCCAGCAGAACAACGCCGACGCCACTTCCCAGCCGGCCTGGAATGCCGTTCAATATGAAGCTGCGTTGGCGCACCTTTACAAACTGCAAGAACAGGTGCGCAATCTCTGTTAATGAGCTGGATGTTCTTACCTATTCTGACCGTCTTCAGATTGAAAGCCTTCGTGATGCCATTCCCTCGGTCGTACGTCCTCTGACGCGACCCATCACCAACAAGCCGCAGGCCTACGCGCAAATCAAGAAAGCCGCCGTTGGAGCTACAGACGAGCTGAATGCTTTCCGCGAGAACTGGATGTCGGAGAAGACGCAAAGCCTCCTCGTCCGAAGCAAAGAAAGCTACGAGAAAGATGACGACCTCGGCAAAGCGAATCAGGTTGCCCGCTGGGGTTGGGAGGACTATGTACCGGCAGAGGACGTGAGGGACGAAGGAAAGAAGTGAAAAGCCAATGAGTTTTTGAAGTCAGCTTTACGACTACTCTCATGAGCAATGCTCCCTCTCGAATATCCGGAAAACACCAAGCTACAAGTACCACGCCACCCATCCGACTCATCGGTACCTCATCAACGCAACGGCCTTCCGCCGGCCCAGAAACCCGCCGTCGGATGGACAGTCGTATGCCAGTCTCCATCCCAACTCCTCCAGCAGGTCGGCAGCGAATGGTCGCTTCTCTTCCCATTCGGCCAGTGTGCATCCGACCAGAACCTCGACCTATTCTTAGGTGTGATATGCTCATACCTGCGTGTCTTGAAATCGTACACTTCATTGGCGTCCCTTTTGGCCCAGCGCGTACTGCCCAGGTTGCGATGCGGATACCAGTCCATGTCTTCCACCCGAGCGCGCCAGTCTTCGTCCATCAGCCACTTCATCCCGGTGGAGTCCCAGTGGCTCCAATGCGCACGGCTCGGCAATTCTCGATGTAAAGTCCGGCGATCGCCATTGGCGACAACGAACACGTCCGCTCCTTCGCCCGTCAAGCCGTCCTTGATGCGACCCCAATGTCCGCGCCGTTTGCCGTCGACGGGCCGCGCCCAGTACTGCGACACATGCCAGATCAGCAAAAAGCGAAATTACCATTAAAAGCCCTTTGGCAACTCGTCGTACCTTCTTGCTCTTGAATCCATGCAACTTCCTCTTGCCCTGATACCATCCAGCTCCCTGCGCTCCCCCTGGACTCCAGCGAACAAACGGCTCCTCGGTCGGAGCAAGACGCCGATTCCCAAATTCTGGGAGGAACGGGAAGCCGTTGTACACATTCTGCTGATACTGCTCCGCGTACGGGCCCTTGTGCCACTGGTTCCAGCTCCAGTCGTGCATGATGCCCGAAGGCAGGGAAAGAAATCGAGAGAGGGCCTGAAGAGGAAAGAAATCGAGAGAGCAAGGGCCCAAAAGAAAGCGAGCGAGTAGTAGCCAGGAGGAGACTTGAAAGGCACTGACTGACTGCTTGGGATGAATTGGACCTCCCAGTGTTCCAGCACGAATATAACCTTCTTCGCCTCAACTCTTGTCCATTGCAAACATGTGTGTGTGTGTGTGTGTGTGTGTGTGTGTGTGTGTGTGTGTGTGTGTGTGCTGTTCATTCCTTTGAAGTCTTTGAAGTTTCTCGCGTGCGTTGCCTTCCAATTTGGGCAAACATGGATCCAATCCGATCCGGATCGGATTTTGTGTCATGTCACATGTCACATGTTTGGTTTGGTTTTGGTTTGGGTTTTTGGTTTGGGTTTGGTTTGCAGCAAAGCCCAAGCCCGACGGCGGCGGTGGCGGCGCTTTGAGCCCTCCCGTCAACAACTCCCAGATCCTAACGTTTGCACAAACCGAGACGAGACCAGACGAGACGAGTGGAAATTTTTGAGAAGACGTTGGAGGACAACAACAACAACAACAACAACAACACAACAAATTCCTCCCCCTTACTGAATTGTGTACTCGGCCTTACTTAGTACGCTCCGAGATCCTGGCCCGCCTGCGCGAGCGTCTCCCAGACCCGTCCGGGCAGCTTGTATCGGATCAAGCCAGCAAACACCATGACATCCTTCGCTTGCTGCGTGCAGGCCGCGACGTACTGCGTCGCGTTGGGGTTCTGCAGGGACTGGCGGCGGATGTGGTCCACCTCGTTGCTGCAGGCAATCACCGTCCAGAGCATCACGTGCCCGACCGTGCGAGCGACGCTGGGCGGGAAGCCTTGGAACTCGACGGCTTTCATGCGGATGGCGCTGAGGGTTCCGTTCTCTCCCATGGGGATGACGTTCGATGCTTTGATTTTCTGGGGTGGGAGAACAAATCAGTATGTTATCGGGGCGGGGAAAGATGTGTGATGAGAGCTTACCTCGAGTGCCAACGGCCACTGGCCGTCTTCGAGACTCTTCCGTGCTTCTGCCAATGTGAGAAGAACAGTGCACGTGCCGCGGACGTTCTCATCGATGTACGCGTTGTACATCGGATTCTTGTTGTACAAATCTTGAATTCCGAGAGCCAACTGCACCGGGTCATCAATGGAGGTGAGACTCAGACTTGCTTGTTGTTGACTCGAGCTTTGGTTGTTTTGACTGGCGGTATTTCGTGGCTTCAGCGGTTCCAGACGTTCCGGTTGCTCACCAAGCTCCGTGGTGAGTGCCAACGACAAGGCCTCGTTGATAACGTGGAACACCTTATTGTAGTCTTCGCAGAGGTGATATAGCAGCGCGGCATCGGCAGTTCTGCCCTGCTCTTCCGCGGTACGAGCCGCGACCTGTGTGATGTGTTTGAGGAATTCCCGCTGGTTCTCGAGACCGATGAGCTTCAGACGTTGAGCAATCGCACCATCGATGCGCTGGCCGTTATCTCGTACGTCGCCGATGAGCTGGGCAAACTCGCGCGTCTCCAACGTTACTTCTGTAAGAGCTTGGTAGCAAAGCTCACGTTGTGCCTTGCCAAGATCACCGGTGAGGTCGCCATTGAGACAGATCAAGGTGAGATAATCGACGGCTGCGGTCGCATTTGCTGTTCGGAAGTCCCGCGTGTAGAGTCCGATCATGCTGCCGAACGCAATTTGAGGCGCTTGTCGTGTGGTGTATGAGAGCAGGTCATCGCTGTTGCTGACATCGCTCACGCGTAGCAGGCCGTAGAAATCGAGACTGATGGCGAAGTGCACGGCCGAGACATAATTGTGTGCATAGAGGTCGGCAACGGCCTTCTCAAACATGCCGGCCAGTATTTGCATGTAGAAGTAGGTAGTCGGCGCGTTCGTGATATCGCTACCGGGGCCGAAATACCGCTCACCGACGTCCTTGAAAGACTGCCGCACATCTTGTAAATTGTAGGCTTCGTGCGCGAGTTCGTCTTCATGCAAATACTCGCGAGCAAGTGCGAATTGCAACCAAATCCAGTCCTGCATGTCGCTGTAGACGCCTTCCAGGACGCTACGACGAGCAAGTTCGCAGCGCCCAATAACTTTGTAGCACATTTGTCGGTATGGATCAACAGAGTCTTCAGGCGCGAATCGCTGTCGTTGGGCGTACTCATTGTTGATGCTGGTCTGTAGAGCCGATGGGAGCCTGTGTTCGTCCTTGTCTCTAACATATGCTTCGAGATATCTGATGAATTGGCCATCAATTTGCTTGAAAGCATTTCTGTTCTCAATCACGTAGTCGAGGGCCTCCTGAAATAGACCGCTCCGGAGGAGATAGAAGACCACAGCCCAACAGTAGTCGTTGTCGATCTGCTGCAGGACATCGAGATCCGATGTCAGCTCTTTGCGAGCGGCACGCACTCGCACATATCCCTTGACTTTGTCGATTGCACTCGGAACTCCACCAATCTGCGCCTCGCGTGGGTTTCTTGCGACAACCTGCTCCAGCTGCTGGGTGAAGAAGTGCTTCTCAAGGTAGGTTCGCGAACCTTTCAGAATACGCTTCCGGAGAGCAACGGCTTCAGCTGTTGACCGAACCGACTCGTCCAGGTACGCTACTGCATACTGGCGTTCTCTCACCACCCCAGGATCTGCAATGGCCTCCTTGGTCGCGTCCTCGCCTGTGATGTGGACGAGCGCTTTGTACGCAGCCACGAGCATCGATGTGTCGTCGTTCGAAGGCTCCGCCTCCACTTCTGCAAAGCGAGTGAGGATCGGGTATACTTTCTCTTGTAGGCGCGCCACGTTCAGGTCCTTCACCTTCTCCGCATAGTTGTCTTGTTTCCGTCGCTGCAGACTGTCTTCTGGCGCCGACCGAACGCCTTCTGCGGGCAGCTTCTCGGCGATGTCTCCAAAAGCACTGCCCCGTGGCCCGCGAGGTCCTATTGAGCCAATTACAGACTTGGACAGGCCCGGAATGCCGAATGTCGACTTCCCGGCCGTAGATAATCTGCCGCGCCGCGATGATCGACCAAAAGCGCCCCCTCCAACGACACTGCCGTCCGGTGCGGGCTGGCTCTCAGGCTTCTTGAGTCCGAAATGTTCATATATGCGCTGACGATGCGCATCCCAATCCACACCGTGCAAGCGCTCCTCTATCATCTGGTCGAACTCTTCATGGGCACGCTGCACGTGGCTATCCACCATCTTCTGGAAGTCATTCTGATATGTTTCTAGCAGAGTCTGCTTCACTCCTGTCGTGGGAAGTTGTTCGGGTAAGGACTGCGCAGTACTGGCTGCGAGCTCGTCTAGATCGCGCAGCGCCTGGCTCGTGTTGACACCGGAAGCAGAGAGGAGGTAGTGCGCTCTGGCATCTGTGAAGCCTTTGCCTAGGTTTCTAACCTTGCGCGCGATGTCTCCCAGGCCGAGCTGCAGTTGGGGTTCATCACTGCTTCCTCGTTTCTGGCCGCGTTCGAGGAGGGCCTGGAAATACGCCGGCGCGGCTTGTGATTGAGAGAGGGACATTGTCGCCGGCGGTAATGGGGCGCAAACGGGCGGTCGTTGGGTGGAAAAGAAGATGTTTGTTGTTTGTGGAGAGCTCAGCCGAGAAACGCGGCGGGAGTTCCTTGCGTCTTCCGGCCGGTTGGAGCCGAGGGATTGGGGGCCTGAAGTCATGAGACAATTCGCTTCGCTTCGACACCACTTCACCAACCTTGAAGTTCACTTTCACACTCTCTTCACCGTCATCCACTTCATCAACAAAAACACGATCCAACCATCATGACTTCCCAATCAATTCCGGAAGGAAGACATTGCGAGCTTAAAACGGACTCCTGACACTACGCACCTCACAGGCATACACCATCCGACTCAAGTCCCATATTCAAAAGTGCCTTGACATTCATCAATGATTATCCCTCGGCATATCCACCTTCTGCGCAACCCTCTGAAACCCCACCGCTCTCCGAAAAACCATCCCCTCACTCAGAGGCCCCGTTTCCCTCCGGAAAAGATCCTGAAACGGCGTATGGCTCTCCACCATCTGATACCCTCCGCTATCCAACAATGCCTTCCTCCTCCGGTCAATCTCATCCTGAGGGATCAACATATCGACCCGTCTCCGATTCAGATCCACACGCAGGAAATCTCCATCGTGAAGGACTGCGAGGTTGCCATTCTCTGCTGCTTCGGGGGATGCGTTGAGGATGGAAGGGGAGCCTGAGGTCCCGGATTGCCGGCCGTCGCCGATGCATGGGAGGGAGTATTTCAGGCCCTTTTTGAGGAGATGGCCCGGTGCTGTCATGTTTACTACTTCTGCCGCTCCGGGATATCCCAATGGTCCGGCTCCGCGCATGACGAGGATGGTCCGTTCGTCGATGGGAGCTGTTTCTATCCTTCGGTTGTAATCCTCGGGACCATCAAAGACCACAGCTCTCGCTTCGAATGCATTGGGATCCGAAGGGTTTTCGAGGAATTCGGAGCGAAAAGCTGGAGAAATGACGGAAGTTTTCATGATTGCGGAATCGAAGAGGTTCCCGGTCATGTGCAGGAATCCGGCATCTTGTTTCATGGGTTTGGTGTAAGGGAGGATCGTGCGACGATCCCAGGTGTGTTTTCCCTGAACATTTTGGGCTATGGTTTTGCCGTTACAGGTGAGGCTGGAACCGTGGAGCTTGTTCTGTTCGAGGAGTTCGGCCATGATTGCTGGCAAGCCGCCTGCTCGGTAATACTCTTCACAGAGCATCTCTCCCGCCGGCTGGACATTGAGCATTAGGGGAATGTGATACCCTATCCGGTCCCAATCATCCAACGTAAGAGGAACACCGATATGCTTCGCCACCGCGGACAGGTGAATAGGAGCATTCGTACTCCCTCCAATCGCCGTATTGACAACGATAGCATTCTCAAACGCTTCCCTCGTCATGATATCACTCGGCTTCCTATCCTCCCTCACCATCTCCACAATCTGCAAGCCGGTCTTATAAGCACACTGCGCTCGTTCCCGATACGGCGCCGGGATCGTCGCGCTCCCTGGCAAGGCCATCCCGAGCGCTTCAGCAAGAGCATTCATCGTGCTCGCCGTCCCCATCGTATTACAATGCCCCACACTCGGCGTGCCCCTCGTCACCAAATCCGTCAATTCCTCATCGTCAATCTCCCCCGCCGCATGCAATTCCCTCGCCTTCCAGAGCACCGTCCCGGACCCAATCCTGTCGTTTCCGTGATACCCATTCAGCATGGGTCCCACGTTCAGACATATCGCCGGGAGATTCATCGTCGCAGCGGCCATGAGACACGCCGGTGTCGTCTTGTCGCATCCCGTCATCAACACCACCCCATCGAACGGATACGCATACAACAATTCCACAAGCGTCAGATACGATAGATTCCGATCCAGCGTCGCGGTCGGCCGTCGACTCGATTCCTGGATCGGATGCGTGGGGAATTCCATCGCGATGCCGCCGGCGCTTCGAATCCCCTCTCTGACCCGCTTGGCCAAGGTCGTATGGTACTGATTACACGGCGCCAGATCGGAGCCCGAATTGGCGATCCCGATGATGGGTTTCCGCGACTGGAGTTCTTCTTTTGTCAGGCCGTAGTTCAGGTAGCGGTCCACGTACAGCGCGGAGAGGGCTTTGTCGTCCTGACGATGGAACCATTTCGCGGACCGGAGGTCTCTTCTTCCATTTCCATTGAGTTTTGCGAGTTGCGCTTCGAGGTCCTCGGTTCGCGCTCGGAGGGTTTGCAGCTCGGTTTTGTAGTCTTCGATGTCTGCGATGTGGCCGTTGGCGTGGGCGTGGGCGCTGGAGGGGGATTGAGCGCAGCCTTTGCAGGCTTCTGGGTCGGGTTGGCACGCCATGGTGGTCCTTGTTCCGTTGGCTTCAAACTTTTTGTCTCTGCTCGAGCTGTGAGAGGATGTTGTTGAGACATCGAAGTGGTGATGGAGAAGGCGTTACTGGGTCGAGCAGTTGCCGATGCACCCCACCAGTCGGCTCATCTCACGGCGAGTGAATGCTTGCTGGATGAATGATTAGCCGAGAGAACATCCTTCCCTTCCTGCCTTAAATTGCTAAAGTACCGTTGCAATGCCACCTCTTCCACATTAGCATATATGAGATGGTACTGAGGACGTCACGCTCGTCTTGAGAGCCAGGCGTTTCGCTCCACCGGTTCCATGTCCGAGAGAGATAGAACAGTATGAAAAAGACCACATCTCCACAACCCAACCTGATTCGCTTTTTGTTCGGCTGGCTTTTGACTTACTAGCAGCTCGACTGCTATCACGCGACAGTCTTGGCTACTGAGTCCTCAGCAAGCGAGAGAGTTGATGTTGCTGATGAGCCGTGCAAGCTGATTCATGTTCCGTCAAGTTCACGCCCAAGCCACCGTTGAAGTGACCATGCAGATATCACGAGGTCAAGTTTGAACATTCCTGCCCGGCCGCGATGTTTGAGACGAGATGACAGTCTCCAGATGGAGCCTTGGGGACGGAGACCGCTCTTTGCTGCTTTCCTTCTGGAGGATTGCTTTCTGGAAACGGAATTTGAACAGAGCACCACTCCGGTGTAATGGCGCCACATGCGCGGGCCATCAGGACGAAATGCTCGAGGAAATGTCGTGGTTGAGGCCTGGCATCTCGGAAGACGACCTCCTGGCACAGCGAAGGATGCTCGGTTCCGGCACGATTCCCAGTTGTGTGAGTGTATGTCAGCATTGCGATAAGGCTTGTGATGGTGCCCAAGCGAGACGGAGACTGCATCCAAGAGTACGGATATGTGGAATCTGGAGTGTCTTTCTTTCTAGCACAAGAAGCGCCCTGGAGAAAGATGGCGACTCAGGCGTGGAGAGGGGATGCGATGGCTTCATCAAATGGCCTGGAGGCCGAATAGGGTTGGATGGACATAGATCTTCGGTCAGGCCGAGAGGTTTCTCTTGAAGGATGGACCGGATCGCAAGCAGCTAGGCTTATGGCGTCCCAGGGTGCGAGGTACGTCTTGCGGGTGTACAGCCGAGCTGGACAGTTCTTGGCCATGCTATGGAATCGGACTGGATGCCTCTTGCATGTCGGGTTGTGGAGGCCTAAGGCTGCCGGAGCTGAGATGTGCGATAAGAGATAACGGCTGATCCGAGGCCTAGGGGAAAGCGCGAGGGCCAATCAGAGTCCAGGTCTTGGCGATCGCGGTCGAATGAGGCAGCTGGTCCGTAATACGAGTCGATGGATACTTGGGTACGTACTGCGTACCAGACTAATAATCCTTCAAAGGAAGAAGCTGTGGAAGCATGCAATAACGGAGCCAGCTTGGGAGCGCACGGCTCCAGGGACGCAGCGAATCCCTGTCTGGACAGAGACACTTCAAGTCGCACACGCAAGTGCAATCTCTGTCGGACTCGTTTCGGCCCACTCCGCATGCTTTGCAACATACTACGATGGAGAATATGATATGCGATATGAGGCGGTGATGCGATGGAATAATAGCACCAAGTAGTCAGTGGGCCGGCCGGACGGACAAGCCGAGCAAGCCAGTCTTGGTGCTGCCGTGGGCTGTTGGCAGAGAGAGCTTGTCGATGTAACCTCCACACCAAGCGGCAGGTGAATGGACAGTGAATGCAACACCAGAATGCTTATCTCCAACGCTAATGCCGCCAAGGGCCAATCACATGTGGCGAGTGGAGCGTGCGCATTCCATCCACCACGTTCTGTGTTCTTGTCTTCTTTTGTTCCGTGCCACTTTCTTCTCACGCGACCAACGAAAGTCGGATTCGCCGCGTGCAGCACACCGACCGCCGCGCCTGGAGATAGCGGCAAACCACTGACAGCGCCATATCCTGACGAAGATCGCATCTCGCCGTGCGCTTTGCACCCTGTAGGTTTGTGCCTGTGTTGGGTTGGGAAACAGCCAACCATCGACGCCACTTCCCGCGACTCTGGTTGGGTTGTTCGGAACGCATATAGAAGACCCGCGCCGCACCCCTCCACCCCCCCTTCCCTTTGTCTCTCCCATCCGCCAAGCTACTACATAATCCGTGTCCCATCCCTTGTCCCTCCGTCGCGGCGGACGCATTCAGACAGACATGGCGCAGAACCACGAGGACGCAGTGGCCGAGCTGCACGCCACCCTACAGCAGCGCAATGGCTCCATTGGCGGCAAGACGAGCGTGGACATGGCCGGCGCCAAGCTGCCCGAGGGCACAGACGTCGAGGTCTTGGACGATACCGAAGAGGGTCTGGAGCCGACCGCGCACGAGAAGAAGACACTCCGCCGCATCGGCGACAAGTTCCCCAAGTCCGCTTACCTCATCGCTTTCGTCGAGCTCTGCGAACGCTTCACCTACTACGGATGCCAGGGTCTGTTCCAGAACTACATCAGCAACGCCCCGGACGGTTTCGATGGAGCTCGTGGTCTTGGTCTGGGCCATGCGGGAGCTACAGGCCTCAATACCTTCTTCCAGTTCTTCTGCTACGTCACTCCAATCTTGGGTGCCATCATTTCCGACCAGTATCTCGGAAAGTACAAGACCATCCTCTGGTTCGCCGGCATCTACTGGGTTGGTCTGTTGATCCTCTTCGCCACCGCGCTGCCTACCAGCATTCAGCATGGCTCTGCTCTCGGAGGCTATGTCACCGCCATCATCATCATTGGCTTTGGTACTGGTGGTATCAAGTCCAACATTGCACCCCTCATTGCCGACCAATACACTCGACGCAAGATGGCCATCAGCACAATCGCAAAGACCGGCGAGAGGGTCATCATCGATCCTGCCATCACCTACCAGCGGATCTACATGATGTTCTACGCCTGCATCAACATCGGATGTCTGTCCTTGCTCGCCACTCCTTTCATGGAAGACTATGCGGGTGGCTTCTGGACCGCCTATCTCATGTGCTTCTTGATGTTCAACGTCGGTGTTGCTGTGCTGATCTTCTGCCGCGGCAAATACATCGTCCGACCACCTCAGGGCTCCGTCATCACCGACGCTTTCAAGGCTCTCGGAATCATGATCACAAACCGCAACATGGACGCTGCCAAGCCCTCTTGGCGCGCAGTCAACGGCAAGACCAAGTCTGTTCCATGGAATGACCATTTCATCGACGAGTTGAAGCGTGCCCTGCGTGCCTGCAAGGTCTTCTGCTTCTACCCCATCTTCTGGGTCTGCTACGGCCAATTTTCGTCCAATTTCGTCTCCCAGGCTGCTCAGATGACCGGACACGGCATGCCAAACGATCTGATGCAGAACTTCGACCCCATCAGCATCATCATCTTCATCCCCATCCTCGACAAGCTCGTTTACCCTCTTCTGAGGAAATGGCATATCGAGCTTCGGCCAATTGCCCGCATCACCATCGGGTTCGTCCTCGGTGGGCTGTCCCTTGCGTATGCGGCGATCGTGCAGCATCTCATCTACATTGCTCCGCCCTGCTACGGCCGGCCGCTCAATTGCCCAGCTGCAACCGTCGGCACTACTGTCATCCCAAATCGCGTGCATATAGCCGTACAGACCCCGAGCTATGTCTTCATTGGACTGTCAGAAATTTTCATCTCAGTCACCGGGCTCGAGTACGCATACACCAAGGCGCCCCCGAGCATGAAATCCTTCGTGCAATCGCTCTACCTCTTCACTTCGGCCATAGGATCGGCCCTGAACGAGGCTTTCGTCCCTGCAACCGGCGACCCGGATATTCTATGGATGTATACCGGGATTGCCGTTGCTGCGGTCATTACTGCGGGCATCTTTTACTTCACTTTCCACCATTACGATGAACAGGAACAGGAGATGAACGAATTGGACGCGAACGATACCGCTCTGGGCAAGGCAGAAGAAGAAAGCGAGGAGCATAGCCAGCATGCGCCTGAGAGGACGGTCGACGAGAAGCTGTGAGCTGTAGAAATGACGGTGGAATAGCACGTCTTTTTTGCAGATGAGCCCATAGTTCCCGCTACGATTAATGGTTCAAACAAACAACAACGTGTCCCCCTCTCCTCTCTTTCCTCTTCCCTTCCATGTCCTGATAACCGTTATTATTACAACCTGACCACCCAGCACCTCTGCAGCAGCAGTCGAGTTGACATATCGCACCGCGCACATACCTTACCCACTCTTTTTCCGCACTAGCCAAAACCTTATATATCTCCCATCCCACCATCATCACTCTTCACAACTCCGGCAACCAATGATTCCAATGCTCATAACACGTCGTATGTTCATGGTCATCACACTGCTTCTTGACATCATTCCACTCCAACCCCCGCGGGCAGTGCATGATGATGGGCTTCGCGGTGCCCTTGGTGACGTCGATCGGGTCGCATTGGATGTACGAGTCGCAGCCTTGGAGGTTTTGATAGAGGCAGTCCTGTTTGCGACAAGAGTTAGCCGAAAGAAAGGAAAAGAGAGGTCTGATGGTGAGGAGGTTTTTTCTTTCCTGAGGTAAGGGGGAGAAAGGGAGAAAGGGAGAAGGGGAAAGAAGAACGTACGCCTTTCCCGAGACAGCGCGTGTTGATGATGTCTTCGGGGGGACAGGCGAAGTTTTGTGCTTCGGTGCCGTGGTCCCAGGCTCGGACTGTGCTGGTGGCGGCGAGGAGGAGGAGGGAGAAAGGCGTTGTGGTGAGGCCGAAGTGCATTGTCAAGTTATTCTCAGGGGTTCAGTTCGGTTTGGTATGATTTGGTTCGGTTTGAAATGTGACAGTTCTCTGCCGACGGCGATGCTGGAGTTCGTTTGTTTGTTTGATTTTTTTTTTCGGGTGGGTGGATGGAATGCTGTCTTGTCACATCTTGCCATCTTGCATCTTCGCCCCAGGAGGAGACGGGGCAATTAGATATGGATGAGGTGGCCTCTGGAAGCGGCCGTAATTACGCTTGCGAGCTGGGTCCTGTGAGACTAGGCTGTCCGGGCTGTCAGCTTTCGTTTGACTTTGCGGGCGAGCGAGCTATCCATGTCCTGCTTGCTAGATAGCTATCTGTACACACACGAAGGAAAAAAAACAGGGGCTTCATCGTCAAGCATGATGGATGTTGTGGTAGCGAGGCGGAAGGGCTTCGCCGCACGTGCATGCATGACAACACAGCCGTCATCGCATGGATTTTTGGACCTGGGTACGGGCATGGGAATTGATAGGACTGGAAGTGTTATTGATGGGACTACCTTACATACGTCGCTACCACCACTCCCTTTTCCCCTTCCTGTCGATATACAACCCCAACGGTGAATGCGAAGAATAAGGTACTTTCTCCCTCCGCTCGAGTACGAACCCCTCGTGTCCCTTTCCTACGCAAATGCAATTGTACAAATACATCAAGTCATTGATGATTGAGAGAACCATGCCGCCAACGCCCGTGCTCGCTCGCTCCGTTTTTCCCGTGGAAGTGCCGAACCCGAAACCAGATCAATCCCGAATGCGAAATAATAACAGCAAAATACCCGCTCCGACACATGGCGGATCGGGGATCAGCACGGTTTCTTCGTCTTGACGAGCTCCCATTTGCCGTACGCAAAGACCGCGGCTCTCTCGTTCGTCTCCACTTTCGACGTGATGGAGGCTTCGATCCAGGATTTGCCCTGGGACTCGACGACGTGCGCACGTACCCGTACCCATGCCTCGGGAGCGACGTCTTCCAGCGTGTCGTAGTTGTAGCCCAGCTCGGCTTCTTCGGCCGCCGCGTTCGGACCGCAGACGAGCTGTGCGACGATCTCCTCCAGTGCGGATTCGAGAAATTCCTCATACGCCGACGGGTTCGCGGGGAGTCGTTGGACCCATTGTGCGTGAGTCGGCGCTTGAAGTGCAGTGTATGTGGATTGAATCGAGGAGCGTCTTCCTTGAGTTGCTGAGGAGCATTTCCTGACGGAAGATCGTCGGTTTTGTTGATGTTGCGTTGTCGTCGTTCGAGAGTGGGATTCGTAGGCGCGGAAGTCGATGAGCTTGACTTCTTGAGCGGTCCGTAGGATTGCGGTGTTCGGGTCACTCATGCGTTGGATGGAGTTTCTTCGTAGAGCCATGGCATCGTGGTATTGCTGGTATCCAGCTTGATAGATGCTGCCGACACATGCCATTGTTGACAGTCGATAGGTTTTGCGACGAAAGGATGAGGCTAATGACTTAGTGAAAGCTTGGATCTTAGTTTCAACACTTGATCGCCGCCGTCTCTAGTCGTACCCGGGTGGTGTAGATCGTGTTCTTGCTGCACCCGTTCCCCGGCTGGACCGCGCGACCTCTTTGGCATGCTGCTACAGCGGATGATCTTCTGGCGATCAGCTGAGCGTGCGGCTCCCGGCTCTTACGGCGGACTCCATTGGAAGCTTCCCAAAAGAACTAGCGCCTCTGGACCGCGGCGAGAGTATAGCGCATGGAAAAGTACGGTGCTCGCCTGTCAAGGTTGGCATTCACCGCCGCCGGCCTAGTGCAGCAGGTCGGCTGCAATGAGGAAGATCACTGGTGGTACCACGCTACTGCCATTGCGCCCGGGAGCGTGGTGGGGAGGCACAGAGTCGCCGGAACACGCAAAAGCCTCGTGTCAACTGTGGCGCCCCTTTGGATGCTTGCAGCTTGGGGGAAGGGCAGAATCCAGTTACCGATTGCGTACAAGGGCCTGTGATGAGTCCATACCGGTAGGGTCGACCGTCGCCCTGTTGCCCTTGTTGCATGCGGTCATTCTGCTTCTGGAAACCCGAAAACTAGTGGGTCTCTGGCGTACAATGTAGATATGTAGGACGGGACTTGATGTGAGAAGTTCCTAAGAGGAAAATCCTGGCGAAAATAAGGTTGAGAGCGCACTTCGGGCCGTCAATCACGTGTGATATAAAACGCACGATTAACGCACGGATCGTCCCCTGCCAGCCCAGCAACTCTACCGAAAGTTTGGAATGTGCATCGACGTCGTTTTGACGTCCAGTCTCGCGACAAGCCGCTTCTTATTCTCCCAAATCAGAGACACAGATTGGTCCAACATGAGAAGAATTGCCAAGATGCAGCAGCCGTAAACTTGTCGAACAGCCAGGTCGACGGTGTGCAGATGTCATCGGACTGACAGATGGATGCCTACATGTACGGAGTCTGGTCGGGTTAGCTCACCTCGCTAGGGCACTAGTACTCTGGCGTGCGACTCACGGACTCCTCGAAGAAGCGATTCCGGCCAAATCTGCGGCACGGAGACCAGCAATAGATACTGTCAGCTCTGCGTGATGGAGACAATTGCCCACGACCAGGCTGCTCGTGCGACGCCGTGTCCCCGAGCCAAAGCGACGAATGCATGCATCTAGGAGAGACGGTCATCCGGGAAACACGTGCGCCGATCATCCCTCGCAATCTCTCCACCTCATGTCAGGCTTCCACCAACTGGACACATGATTCAAGAATTTCGTTCAGACCTTTGAACAATCATGCCGACTTCATCAGAAGCCATTTCTTGTGGCGCCGGTGGTTCCAACCTGCGTAGGCCTGGAAACCACCTTCCCAAACGCTGCCAAGAAAGTCAGCAGCTGTTGCGCTTAGCCCCGTCATGTCGGTATGCCACAACAAAGCATCACAGCTGCTTCAAGATCAACACACCCGCTCGGCCAGTGCCACACCAAGACTGAGTCCCAAATAGTCAGGTCTGTCCTTCAAATGGTGACTGGAAGGATGGAACAGCTCCGCACTTGCATCATCGAATGGCTTCGAGCTTAATTGAGCTCCAGAGCTCTAGAAGCCAGAGCTGTCTGGATCTTGATATAAAGAGAACCGTCGCCGTGTTGTGTAACGTCGCTGGTTTCGCAAATACATTCGAGTGACACAAAAAAGCTTATTGCGATCATGTCTTCAGGTCCAGTCATCCACTATGATTATGGTATGTCCAGCACGGATCCACGTCTTGCGATTTGGCTTAACACCCGAAACTAGATTTCTCACCGTACGGTCAGAAGACGAAGATGCTTCTGAAGGCGGCAGGCATCGACTACCACAAAGTCGACGTCCCGGCAGTGTTGCCCCGGCCTGAGCTGGAAAAGCTGGGCATCACATACCGTCGGATTCCTGTTTTGGCCGTCGGGAAGGACGTCTACGCCGACAGCGACCTCATCTTCCAAGTGGTCACCAAGAAGCTCGCACCGGGCAAAGTTCCGGCTTCGCCAGCTGACGACGCATACAACGCCTGGGGAAAACAAGTCTTTTCTGATATTCTCAGCTTGATCCCGGGCGAGGTCTTGACCGACGGCTTCGTGAAAGATCGAGCTGCGGTGTTTCCATTCCTCAAGAGGCCAGACATCCTCACGCTGCGGCCGAGCGGGCTAGCACAGTTTCGCCAGCGGATGATGCAGATCGAGAATGAGTTCCTATCCCATGGCGGGCCTTTCATCGGCGGAAATAAGCTGTCTCTGGCCGACATCCACGTGATGTGGCCTGTCAAGTGGGTACTGAACGAGCTGAACGCAAAGGCAGAGCCTGGAGTTGGCAAGAACGACTTTCCAAAGACATGGAAGTTGGCGGAGAGCCTGCCGACTTTCGAACCACCGGTCTTGAGCGCGGATGATGCAGCCAAGACCATCACTGGCGCCCAGTACACGGCCAATGGACCTTCCAGTGTCCAGAACGGTGATCCGCTGGGTCTTGCGGCCGGAACTCCAGTCAACGTTGAAAGCTTTGAGTAAGTTCTCCATTTGTGTAGGGCGTAGATGATTTGGCTAAGCGTGAAACAGCACGGACCCAGGTGCCCATCCGCAAGCTGGGAAGTTGTTCGCGACCTCGGACGAGGAGACGGTGATTGAGCTCAAGGATGGTGTGCGGTTGCATTTCCCGAGGATTGGATACGTTGTGCGTGACCAGGCGACGAAGTGGTAGACCATCGTCTGGAATGGATGGATTTTGGGCTGTAAATTGTATAACGAAAACGAGAGAAAAAAGAAATGAATGCAGCTCTATTTCTGCGTCTTGTCTTTCTCATCGGTCTCAAGTTGAGCAGGTCAGCGAGCAAAAATTTAGCACAATGTGCAGGCAAAACGTTCAGCCGCGGGCTTTGAACTTGAAACTCGAGCAGCAGCCGCCTTCGAACGCCTTGCAGCCCTTCTCTTGAACTGTCGTATATCGCGAATCACAGCAAAAAAGTGGACGAACCCGGAGTCGAACCGGGAACCTTCTCCACTCAGCGAACACGTGGTGTTCATGCTAAGAAGATGTCATACCGCTAGACCATACGCCCTCTGTATACACGCTTGCAGCTCGAAGCCGGTCACGTGTTGGTGGGGTGCCGTCTAAATTTGATATATATACCTTAGAATACTAGATGAGGTTCCAGGAAGCCTCGAAGGCGTCCGCGACCAGCTCTGATCATGGACCATCTATCTTGTTCCCGAACCTAGATCACCTGCCACACACAAGCGTTGCTCTAAATGCCGACGCTTTGAGTGATATATCGAAGAAGCTAGAAAACCTCGACAGCGGATCCCCGCCGTGGATGGACGTCAGTCAGGGCGAACGAAAAGTCGGCCATCCGGTAAAACGATTTCCGCATCAACAACCAACCAACCAACCAACCATTCGACAAGCCGGAAAGAAAAAAAAAAAGTGAATTCCGAAATCCAAAAAAGTCGTCTCTGGTGGGATTTATTTGGAGGAGTCACTGGCATGTGATGTGATGAAGTGGATGTGACGTTGAAAAAACAGAGAGAGAGAGAGAGCCGAGCCTACCTAGGAGTACATGTAAAAATTCTGGGAGCAAAAACAGTGCCAGCGACGGCGACAGAAGAAGAAGAAGAAGAAGTGGAAAGCCCGGCCAGCGTCGAGTCCCTTCGGCATCCAACTTCGACAATCAAACATTACCGGAAACCCTTCCCTCGAGAGACAAAGGTCTCTCACAACTCTATAAAATCGCCGAAAGAACATCATCCAACTACAAAAAGAAGGAAACCCCCAAAACCCCCCCCCCCCCCCCCCCCAAAAAAAAAAATCATCCCATGGACTCCACCACCACCCCGTCCCTCCTCCTCCTCTCCCTCCCCACCTCAGCCCTCGCGGGCATCGACCTACTAGCCTTCACCACAACGCCAAAATTCCAGGGCGTGAAAAACCTTCCCCCAGGATTGCATTTCACGTTCGTGGGAACGAGTACGGCGTTTGCGGAACGCCATGGGCTGTGGTTCTACGTGCCCGGGAAGAAGTCGGGAGGGAAAGAAGGGGGGAAAGGCGGCACGACGCCGCTTTTCGTGGCGAAATGGGACGCGAGGGGGGAGACGCTTGTAGAGGAGACGGGAGAGGCGGAGATCTTAAGGTGGAGGGCGAATTTGGGGGGGTTATGGCGGGAGAATTTGATGCCGTATCGACAGAGTGCGGCGCAGAGAAGCACCGCGGACGAAGCAGACGATGCGGAAGAAGAAGAAGAAGAAGGAGAAGAAGAAGAGCTAAACGACTGGCCCAGCCTGACATCCCACATCACCCCGTCCCTCCTAACCCGCATCACAGCCAGCTCCGCCTCCGCCGCCTCCCACAGTAATAATAGTTGGCACCTGACAACCACCAGCTCCGCGGCCGGGGACCTAGAAGAAATCCCCAACCTCAACCTCTCCCTCTCCACCACCTCCCCCGCCTCCCAAAAAACCCGCCGCCCCCAGCCCCCCGCCGACGACGCAGAACTCCACCTCACCCCCATCGACCTCCGACAAACCTGGCGCCCGGGCGCCACGGGCCGCGAGAGGACCGAAGCCGCACAGGACCGCTCCTGGGCCCTCGAGCACATCACCGCCTCTTCTTCCTCCTCCTTCGGCAATCTTCAACATCACCTGGAAGAACTTCTGGGAGAACTCCAATTCACCTTCCTCACACTCCTAACGCTGAACAATTATTCCTGCCTCGCGCAGTGGAAACGTCTCCTGACGCTCATTTTCACGTGCAAAACCGCCGTCCAGACACATTCGGACTTCTTCGTAAGCGCGATGAAGATTTTGAGAGTACAGCTGCAGCACTGCAAAGGAGACGACGTCGCCGAAGAAGGCGGAGGGGAAGGCTTGATAGATCTCAACGACGAAGGCGGGAATCTGCTCAAATCGCTGCTCGTGCGCTTTCGTCGGGGGGTGGAGAGCCTACCACCGAGCGAAAAGAACACGGGCATCTCAGAAGTCGTCGAGGAATTGGAAGACTTGGAAGAATACCTGGAAACCTGCCACGGGTGGCGATTCGGGGGGGATTTCGCGCGGGCGGGGGTGCTGGAGTTGGAAGACGGCGAGCAGGTGCAGGTGGCGAGCACGGCGTTTGACGCAGAGGATGAGACGGGGGAGTTTGCGCCGCAGGTGGTGGAGCTGACGGCGGAGCAGGCGAGGTTGTTGGGGGTCACGCCCGAGGATGCGAGGGAGCTGGGGGTTAGTCTTGGGGGGATGGGGTTGGGGAATGGGGTCGCTGGGGTAGTGCAGGATGAGGGGAGCGAAGACGAGAGTGAGGAAGAAGAAGAAGAAGAGGAGGAGGAGGAGGAGGAGGAGGAGGAGGACATGCAGGATTTGGATGATATGGATCCGAGAATGTGATGGATCGCTCCTGTCATCGACAGGGCTGGCCTCTTAGCTAGCTCTTCGTTGACCGCCACAAGTTGATGGTGGCCGCGGTCCTAACTTGAGATTGACGATTGCGCTCCACTCCTACAGCTTGGGAAAAGCCGTCGCCACTGCGCCGCCCATCTCCACCAGCGTGCTCTTGTTCTGTATCCAGTTGTCCAAGCTTCGCCGGCCATTCTCGGTACCCAGGCCACTCATCTTCCATCCACCCACGGGCATCTCGGCAGGCGACTCGCCCCACGTGTTGACCCAGGTGATTCCCGCTTCGAGTCTGGAGACAATCTTGTGTCCAAGATCGATATTCGAGGTGAAGACACCAGCTGCGAGGCCCATCTGAGTGTTGTTTGCTCGAGCAACGAGGTTGTCCACCCAGTTGGGGTCCTCGTCGTCGTAGGGCAGAATACACATGACGGGCCCAAAGATCTCATCAGTCGAGATGAGCATCTCGTCTGTGCAGTCGGTAAACACAGTCGGCTTGACCCAGTAGCCGTCTGATGAAGCGCCTTGCGGGAGAGTTGGTTGGCCGAGACCTCCATAGATGAGCTTGGCTTTGTCTGTTTCGATGCCGTGCTTGATATACCGCACCACTTTCTCGTAGTGGACTTTGCTGACTAGAGGTCCGAAGTTGGTGTTTGGGTCGAAGAGGTCTCCCGGCCGAATGTATTCCATCTTCTCCAACAATTGCTTCTCAAAAGCCTCCTTTGTCGACTTGGGAACGAAGACCCTTGTGCCGTTTGTGCATACCTGGCCAGTCGAGAAGAAGTTTGCCATCATCGCGCCATCTACGGCGTTTTCGAGCACTGCGTCTGGAAGGATCACACAAGGAGATTTGCCACCGAGCTCCATGGTCACGTACTTCATGCCGCCTGCAGCAGAACCCGCAACCTTGCACCCTGTGGAGACCTGTCCCGTGAAGGAGACTTTGGCAATGCCCGGATGCGATGTGAGCATTGCACCTACATCGCCTGCGCCCTGGACCACGTTGAAGACGCCGGGAGGCACGCCGGCTTCCGTATAGATCTCAGCGAGCTTGAGGGCATGGAGAGGAGTGAATTCCGACGGCTTGTAGACCATGCAGTTTCCTGCTGCCAGACACGGCGCCGACTTCCAAAGCGCGATCTGGATGGGGTAGTTCCAAGCTCCGATGCCTGCGCAGACTCCAAGAGGAGCCTTGGTGGTGTATACCCAAGCATCGGGCCGAAGTTGTGTCGTCTCGCCATTGAGCCCACCCGATGCGATCAGGTTGGCGTAGTACTCCAGAACATCAGCTCCAGTAACGACATCGACCGTGCTCGTTTCGGAGAATGCCTTGCCGGTGTCATGCGTTTCGATCTTGGCGAGTTCGTCGTTCCTTTGTCTGAGGATGGAGACCGCTCGCAGCAAGATTCTCGAGCGCTCCATGGGTGGCATGGCTGACCACTTGGGGAAGGCATGTTTGGCAGACTTGACAGCGGCGTCGATGCTAGCCTTGTCTGCTGTACAAACGTCGGCGATGGATTGATTTGTTGATGGATCGATGTTCTGGAAGGTGTCGTTGGTCTCTTGGCGCTTGCCGGCGTAGTAGAGCGACTGCTTCTCGTACTTGGTGCCGCTCATGGTGGGCGCTGCTTTGTCAATGGTGGAGCAGACAAGGTTCGCGCTGCGGTGTGCAATGTCGCTAGAGACGGCAGTTGTTGACGGAATCACGTGTGGTGTATGCTAAGTGAAGGAATTGAAAGAGGACAGACCAAAGCGGCAGGGGCAGCCGATATCAGACCGACGAGCAGTAGTGGGCGGGAGGGTGAAGAGGTGTGGATTTGTGGTGTGAGATGTGCGTCGGATCGAAGGTGTTTTCGTGTTGCTCCTACGCTTGCTACGCTCGTTCTCTAGCAGAAAAAAATTTCCTGCAGGGTCTACGGTCAATGATGTGGTCACGGTGTGGTGGAGATGGCGGCGTGTCGGAGTCAAATGGCCGTCTCGCGGTGTGGTGGTCGTGGTGGTGGTGGCTCTGCAGCAGTGCAGAGTTGCGAGGTATACGGGCAGGAGGCAACTATCCGTGACCGGGAATGGACGACCGGATGCGTACCGAGAGTCCCGTGATACGGTAGACGACGAGTGCTGATAGCGAAGTGGTCGGTGGTGGGATGTCAATGTGTTCTGTGTTCCTAATAAGCTCGGCCGCGATCGTGCCAGACAACGTCGTCATCTGGTGCCAAGAAGGCATGGATTGTGCGCCGCTACCGAACGCTAAGGGAGGCGAGGTTCGCACTTTCCCTCCTCGCACACTACAGTACTTCCATCGCCCTCTAATCACACTTTTGGGGGGAAGGGGGGGGGGCACTCTTGGCACCGCGTCTTCGTCTGCAGCGGCAGCGACGGTACGCCGTCACAGTCTTGTGCCCCAGCAGCCCTAGCGCCCGGGTTTCGAGAGGGTAGGCAAGCAGGCATCTCGCTGTCACCGTCACCGTCACCATGCACACGGCGCACTGCACACTTAGTACTGCACACTGCTGGGCTGGGCAGATCCGAAGCGTGGCGCTCACAAGATCCAGCACCACGCTCCGAGCCTCGACGTCCTTCTATGTGGAGTGGAGAAAGGGAAAAAAAAAGCCCGAGAGACGCCCTCTTCTTCCGCTGGCTCTCTGCTCTCTGCTCTCTGCTCTCTGCTCTCTGCTCTCTGCTCTTGCTCTCTGCTCTTGCTCTTGCTCTTGCTCTTGCTCTTGCTCTTGCTCTTGCTCTTGCTCTTGCTCTTCTTCGAACATCTCCCCCCCTCCTTCCTCATCCGGACTACCAATCACTTCTCCTGCTGACGTCCGCTCCTTCCGCACCATCATTCGCGGGGAGAACAAAAGAAGCGAGCTGCACACGTGATCCAAGGTACATCCTTTGACCCTCACCTCGACACCCGCCACCATGCCAGACCGTCAGCCTCCACCAGGCACCACCACTGGCACCACCTCTCAACTGCCTGCCGCCGACGTCGACAGCTATGACTTCGTTATTGTCGGAGGTGGTACCGCCGGGTGCGTCATTGCCTCTCGTCTGTCAGAGTACTTACCCACCAAGCGAGTGCTACTGATCGAGGCCGGCCCTTCGGACTACATGGACGACCGCGTCTTGCTCCTGAAGGACTGGCTGAACCTGCTGGGCGGCGAGCTGGACTACGACTACCCCACCGTCGAACAGCCGCACGGGAACTCCCACATCCGCCACTCGCGTGCCAAGGTCCTGGGCGGATGCTCCTCGCACAACACCCTGATCAGCTTTAGGCCATTCGAATACGACTGCAGACGCTGGGAGGCCCAGGGCTGCAAGGGCTGGGACTTCAAGACCTTCACCAGGCTCCTCGACAACCTGCGCAACACCGTGCAGCCGGTCCACGAGAGACACAGGAACCAGCTCTGCCGTGACTGGGTCGAGACTGGCGCCAAGGCCCTCGGCATCCCGGTTGTGCACGACTACAACAAGGAAATCCGATCTACCGGAGCTTTGCATCCAGGTATTGGCTTCTTGTCTGTATCTTATAACCCTGATGATGGTCGCAGAAGCAGCGCAAGTGTAGCTTACATTCACCCCATTCTTCGAGGTGAGGAGCGCCGACCCAACTTGACTATCCTGACCAACGCGTGGGTGAGTAAGGTCAATGTCTCCGGCACCAAAGTCACCGGCGTGAACGTGACGCTGCAACATGGTACCAAGCACACCCTCCATGCCAAAGCGGAAACCATCCTCTGTGCAGGTGCTGTAGACACCCCCCGCCTGTTGATGCTCTCTGGTCTCGGCCCAAAGCAACACCTCTCCAGCCTCGGAATTGACGTCGTCAAAGACCTGCCCGGTGTAGGCGAGAACCTGATTGACCACCCAGAGAGCATCATCCTCTGGGAGCTGAACAAGCCCGTCCCCGCCAACCAGACCGTCATGGACTCCGACGCCGCTCTCTTCCTCCGCAGAGAGAAGCCCAACGCAGCCGGCGGCGACGGAGACATCATCGACATCATGGCCCACTGCTACCAAGTCCCCTTCGTCTACAACACCGAACGTCTCGGCTACGATGTCCCCAAGAACGCCTTCTGCGTCACCCCCAACATCCCCCGCCCTCGCTCGCGAGGCAAATTGTACCTCGTCAGCAAAGACCCCTCGGTGAAGCCCGCCCTTGACTTCCGCTACTTCACTGACCCCGAAGGCTACGACGCCGCCACCATCGTCGAGGGCCTCAAAGCAGCCCGCCAAATCGCCGAACAAGAACCCTTCAAATCCTGGATCAAGCGCGAAATCGCCCCGGGCCCCGAAATCACTTCCGACGAGGACCTCAGCGAGTATGGTCGTCGTGTTGCACATACCGTCTACCACCCTGCCGGTACCACCAAGATGGGCGACGTCAAGACCAACCACATGGCTGTCGTGGACCCCGAATTGAAGGTTCGCGGTCTGCAGAATATTCGAATCGCGGATGCGGGCGTCTTCCCGGACATGCCCTCTGTTAACCCTATGCTTACGGTGCTTGCCGTTGGCGAGCGAGCGGCCGAGATGGTGGCGCAGAAATGGGGATGGACCGGAATGGAGAGGGCTCGTCTGTAAGGAAGACAAAACCCCCTTCACCTCACCTCTTACTCCCCTCCTTCTCTTTGGATCCGACGTCTATCTCCTGCATTCTGTTGTATGTACTTTCGCAAGTTTGAAAGGGTGGAAAGCATGTGTGCCCAAAAGAAGAATGTTTTGTGATTTGAGACAAGACAAAGAGCAAGAAAGATGATCCGTCAAAGGAAGATGAAACTTTGAGCAACAGTTGTTGTCTTTGCTGCCAGAAGCATCCTTTTGCGATACCCACTTGCTTTGGAGAAATACAAATGTTACCCCTACCCGTATCTTGATTTCGAGCGTGTCAAAAGTGGGATTTGAGAGACATACTTTGTGTATCCTAACATGCACATGTAGCAATTTGAGCCAGAATGCGAAATGCTTGTGTATCTGGGAGTCTCCGTTCTGATCTGCCTTGAGGCTGCCGAGAGTCCTGTGCTCTGGTCTTGTTGAAGGTCGGCCTCTGCCGTCTGTATTACGGTCGGTTCGGTTCTTAGGCCGGCTCATCCAGCCGTGAGAATGGTCCATGTATGTATGCGAGGCAGGTCGGATGCCCATGCATGAGTTCAAGGGCTGCCGTTAGAAAAACCCCGGCATGTGAGTCTCTCTGCTCTCTGTAGCCAGCAGGAAATTTTTTTCCTCTGTATGTAGGAAACGAGACTCTTGGAGGTGGGTGGGTGGGTGAATCGAATCTGCGATGCAAGGCCGCGATGGCGGCGTTCGAGACCTCGGAACATGAAGCCCTTTGTTCGTCGCATGCCCGTGGGTTCTCTCCAGTTATATATCTCCGATGCAAGCGAATGGCGTTCGAGGCGTGAGGAGACTTCTGGTCGTTGCATATGCACGCGCGTGCTGTCTAGTCATGTGTGTCTGGTCTCTGCTATTTCGAGGCACAGGTGCATGTCCCCGAACAGTCACGGGGAAGGTCACGAATTGCCTCATGGCTTGAGCAACGTTCATATCTCATCTCATCTCTCCTACGACTCGTTCTCATCGTTTCGAAGCAGCGGGGACGCTGTATCCTCGCGTCATGAAATCGCTGTTCTTGCCCGACGACGAATTCTTGGTGGAGAAGAGGCTGCGAACATTGTCGCTTTCCAGCCTTCGCTTCTTGGATTTCGCCTGCTCCTGCATGACTTTCGCCGTCAGAGACGCGGTCGAGGCGTTGTTGATGCCGTGGGAGGCATGCGTCTCCGCGGCTGGTGCGTCGTCGCGTGTGCCGTGCTCTTTCTGGGACGCGCCGTTGGTCGTCACCCTTGCGGTCTCCTCCGAGCTCTCGTCCTTCTTCTTGCGCTTCTTTCCGCCGCCGCCAGTCGCCTTCTTCAGAGAATGCGTCAGGCCTTTCTCCTGCAACGTCTTGACTCGGAGCGCGAGGCGCGCGATGTCTGGCGTGGAAGTCGGGAGGATGGGGATGATGTCGTTGGATGCGTATTCCGTCTCGCACGTCAGGCACTTCTCGCCCGAGACTTCCTTGATGGCGGTGCCGGAGAAGGCATGGCCGCAGGGGACGATGTATGCCGCTTTCGAGCCAGGTCCTAGTTTATCCCCGGTCACGGGGCATTTCCAGAACTCGCGCTTCGCGGTAGCTTCGTCGTCCACCTCGAACTTGACTTCGACAATGTCCTTCAAGCCCTTCACTGCGCCCTGGGTGATTCGGTCGACCTCGTCCTTGCGCTTGCCCTCCACGAGGTACTCCAAGATAGTCGCCTTGTTGTATAGCTTTCCAGACGAGTCCGAGACGATGGGCGGTGCCAGCGGCTCCTGTGAGATTGGGTCTGTTGTCCAGTGGTACTCCTGCTGTTCGTGCTGAGATTCCTTGATCTCCGTGGCGGAAGGGTTCTTGGCGGCCTCTTTCACCAGCTCGCGGCGCGTCGGGATGCTGCCGCCATCATTGCCCATGGCTGAGAATGATGTAGCGACAGATGTTGCACGACACAGGATTCCTTAACTCGATGTGGATGTGGAGGAACTAGCTCACGTGATGCAGCTTAGTCATGATGCTCGGAGGCTTGGCGCGAGAATAATCGTATCAGATCGCGCTCGGGCTCCCGGCTATCACTTTATCGGGCACCCCGTCTCTCCCTCGGTGATGAGAGCTGCCCCTACCCGGAACATGAGCCATCAAAAACGAACGATTACCGATGGCAGCGTCACTTGAACCGTTCAACGCTTTCCCAGGTTCGTCCTGATACTTTGTTCACCTGACCGTCGGCTTCATATTGTTGTATCCTTCACCCATACTGGTCTCGGGGAATCGGAAAGACTCATATACCAGCCAGTTCAGCTGCTTACTGCCATTTACGGAAGTAGGCACGCGACATCCCAGGCGAGCCAGATACATCAGGCAAACGACGCCGCAACCATCATTCGGGAAGCATGGCGGTCGTTGCGCGGCCTGTTCTGAAGAAGCGCAGGCTTTCCAGCTCTGCGGACATGCAACAGGCCATATCGCAGCCAGGCGCCATCAGGATTAATGTCACCGGAGCATATATCATCGACCATGGAGACGAGGATTCCTCACCCGACCGATCACCGCCTAGTAGCTCGGAAGCAAGCGAAGAGCAAACTTACCAACATCATAAACGAGACATACGACTTCCAAATCACACCTCCGTCGTGAGCCATGTAGCCGCTGATATCGGAGGCTCCCTGGCCAAAGTGGTGTATTTCTCTCGAGAGAATGACAATGCAGAGTCTGGTGGAAGACTGAATTTCCTATCGTTCGAAACCGATAAGATCGATGACTGCATTGAGTATCTCAAGACCCTGCAAGTGAAGCACCAACGGGCCAATGGCATGGATAAGGCCACCAAGCTTAGCATTCAGGCTACGGGAGGCGGTGCGTACAAATTCTACGATAGAATCAAGGCGAGGCTTGGTGTGGAGGTGGAGCGGGAAGATGAGATGGAATGCTTGATCAAAGGCCTCGATTTCTTCATCACCCAGATTCCTAACGAAGTGTTCACGTACAACGACAGCGACCCAGAGAATGCAGTGAATTTCCAGGAGCCCAAGGAGGATGTTTACCCCTATCTGTTGGTGAACATTGGGAGTGGTGTGTCCATGATCAAGGTCTCTGGGCCTTCAGAATATCAACGTATCGGCGGTACTTCCCTGGGAGGAGGAACGCTCTGGGGCCTTTTGTCCTTGTTGACAGGTGCTCGGAATTTCGATGACATGCTGAGCATGGCAGACAAGGGTGACAATGGTGCAGTCGATCTTCTCGTGGGCGATATCTACGGCGAGGGCATGGGTTACGAAAAGATTGGGTTGAGTGAGAGGACGATCGCAAGTAGTTTCGGCAAAGTGCTCAAGCGCAAGCGGCAGGCCGAAAGGGAGGCCGAGGACGGCAACCTCACCAATGGCGATCACACTCGGAGCAAGTTCACACCCAACACCATGGACATGGATGACGCTGCCGGAAGCGGACTGGTCGGTGACGGTCGGATGTTCAAGCCTGAAGACATCTCGCGTAGCTTGCTATATGCGATCAGGTAAGTTGGGCAATAACACTTGGGAGGCAGAGCACTGACGATGCGGCCAGTAACAACATCGGTCAGATCTCATATCTGCAATCCGAGAAGCACAATCTCAAGCGAATCTATTTCGGCGGATCGTTCATTCGAGGGCACCAGCAGACGATCCACACGCTCTCGTTTGCCATTAAATTCTGGAGCAAGGGCACCAAGCAAGCCTTCTTCTTGAGGCACGAAGGATACCTCGGAGCCGTGGGAGCTTTTGTGAAGAGGAAGCCTGCGAATTGGGGAAGGGGAAGAAGTGCAGAGCCGGGGAACTGAATGGAGAGCGTCGCCAAATGCCCTTTCAACATTTCGCTGCCACAACCTTAAATGATGCTCAAATCTGTCCTCCTCGCACGAGATTTTCAACAGCCCGACCCAGGTCAGCCTACGTGGTGGACTCGGCCGCGTACGACCCAGTGCTACGTTCAAAGATGATTTGCAGCATGCAGCATGCAGCATGCATAATTGGGGTTTATGCATCAGATCAGATGAGGGGGAGGGCAGGCCCCGCTCCTGCGTCTGCCCCGGTGGGAATTGAGAGTTGGCCCCTCGCTCCTGCCCTCGCCCTGCCCTGCCCTCATTTGCCCTGCCCTTCCCCCAACTTTGCCCCGACTTTGCCCTCCCTCAACTTTCCCCCGACTCTGCCTTCAACCATTCCCACTTCCACTACTACGCACTGTACATCCTCACACGCTAATATGGCCAAGATTCTCAGCTTCGCTGCGTCTACACGCCAATAGCATCAGCAGATCAGCCAGCAGGCTTGCACGTCACCAAAAGTGCTCTTTTCCTGATTCCTCAGCGAGGCCGGAGTCTGCAGCGAGACGAAGGTCACCAGACGGGACTGTTATGCGAGGAGACAGATCTTCGTTTAGTGAAGAAACCAACGCGATGGCTCTGCAAATCTGCTCCAAAATCGGCCTTCGTGCCCCAAGGGAACGCGCCGACAAAGGCGTGTGGCCTCTGGTTGACGAAATGTACTTTCGAGACATGGGAAATATCATCCAAAAACATGCGCAGCGTGGGGAGAAAGTCCTGGCTCACTCAGTCGCACTCAAGGATGACATCGACCAGCTGTGCGGGAAGTACGGGGATTCCATCTGGCCCCGACAGAGGGCTCGCCCATGGCTGTACGACGTCGGTCAAGGCGATAAAGAGGCGCCATATAAGAAGGATTTGTATTACCATGACCCACGAGACCGCGAGTTGTACGTTCGTTCCTCTTCGACATCTGACTGGACCAACGTTGCTGACAGCACCGCAGGATCAAGACGGCGCTTTTTCAAGTGGCCGTTTCACGCGCAAAGAAGAAAAGAGGAAAAGACAAAGAGAAGGCCAAAACGTCTGACACTTCAACAAGGGCCTCTAGTAGCTCAAGGGCCTCTGCTGAGAGCTGGGCGTCTGTACCACCCTCCACGAGGAAGTCCTCTCGGATGTCTACGATCCGCCAGAATGACCACGAATGCTTTGCAAACGTTTCCCAGAATCACGGTGATGCAAAGAAATTAAAAGAGCGAGGCATCTGGCTGGGGGCAACGAGGGACAGCGTGGTGGCTGTGAACGGAGACACATTCGCGGTGGTGTGTGACCGTCTTCGTGAAGATGCCGTTATCAAAGCACCGAAAGACCCTTCCTTCCAAGTCGTACCTTACGAGTTCGACAGGGTCCCTCCGAAGGACAAGATCAGTGTCGCCTGCGCAGCGTGCGGAGAAACCCTGAACAGCGATGGTGAACCTCTTATCGTGCAGTGTGAGGGAGTGACGGATCTGGACGTAAGTCGAACACGAATGTAACGATTTCGAACGTCGCTAACGAGCTTCTAGGCCAGAGGCAATCAGCACAGCCTGGCCGTCGGAAGTGGAGAGGATCGGGAGAGATTCCAAACAAATGTTAGTCATCTTGGCGTAGTGTTGCGAAAGAATGCTAAAGCTTGCATAGTCATGGTTCTTCAACATGAAGCTCGGAAGGGAGAAAGTGTTCGCGTTTATGAAGCCAGAGCATCGAGGGTCTGAGCAGTACTGGACATTCTGGATGGCAGAAGGGGGGTACAGCTCGCGTTTCCGTTTGAGAACTGTGCCGGACAGGTGTGTACCGGAGAGGACGAGAACTATGCTCCCTCCACCATCCCCACCAAAGTGAGCACCTGACCTCCCGAATCTAGTGCAAGAAAATTGACCTGTCTACAGATCTGTTCCAGCAAGACCTGCCGCCGAGGCACCTCTCAATGTCCATGCGAACGGAAGAAAGCGACGTCGTTCGCTGAGTGCCTCTACTGCCAACAATGCGAGCTCCAGCGCTAGCGCAGCCCAAACCGCGTCCATACAGTATGGCAATGCGACAGCCGATGACGAAGAACAAGCTAGGCGTCTGGTCAGAGCGGCTACCAATACAACCGATGAAGACCAGCCACCAGCGCAGCGCCAGAGGCTCGACTGTGGACACGACGAAGATCACGACAGTCTCTACGACTTGACGCCAATACCGGAGCTAATACGCAGGTCCCATGCCATCAATGGAAGCGATGACCGGGTCAGTGTTGCGACTGTCAGTCACCTGATGAGTGCCGAGCTGACACGAAAGCAGGGCCGAACCATAGCCCCTCCTACCGGAACACCTGCAGCAGCACCCCTAGCATCTCACAGCCAAGCACCTCAGGATTCAGCACTGAAGATTTCTTCACAGCAGACCATCGAGTCGCCTAGATGCACGCACTCGGGATCACTGCGATTCTGCGTCTGGTTCCTCGTCGACTCGCGGAAAGCCGCCGTCATCCTGGATGGATCCATGAACGTCTACGAGGTCTTCGCTCGGCTGAATTCCCGTATGAGGCGTCGGCTCGGTGGCCAGAGCATCTCCGAGGTTGGGTTGAAGTTTCACGGGGATGAGACGATCCTGCTGGAAGCCGACGACGAGCCTGGATGGGAGATGGTACTTCGACGTGTTGCAAAGTATCAGGAAGAGGAGGTGGACGGGGAGGTTGTCAAGGCGGAATGATTGGTTCATTTGGGAATTGATACTCTAGCTCAAACGGGCAGATGCAGCGGGAAGAGACGGATGAGGTGATCACGACGGCAGTTTGATTTTTTTCCCCCCCCCATACTCCCTCCCCCCAAGGCTCACAAGTCACGGGGTATTTGCTCCGCGGGCAAGCTTATACTGATTATAGTGTCGGAGGTAGTTGGGAGGGTGATGCAGCACGCGGAAGATGCTTGCTAAGAGACGTCGTATGTAGCAACAAAGGTCCGTCCGAACGAAGGTGTGTGCCTGATAACAGTGCCGTTTTTAGGAGAGAGAGTCCAGTAGGCGTGCTTGTATCGAATTGTTGGTTCTTCGGCTTTCCGGAGAGTTAGTTGCTGGCTGTGAGAGTTAGTTGCCCTTATTATGGAAAGTCGACGTACCGATACGCCCGCTCTCCTGAGGTGATCCATGACCTATGTACGAACTCTATATCCGACAACAACTTCGGACTATTTTCCCCAGACCCCCAAAAAATTTGCAACTTTAAAACCCCAGGTCAGGCAACGGGGTAAAGGAACATACATATACCTAATTCTGTTGTATACTAAGGTAAGTGGAATGATGATAATCAGACGACGGGATAGAATGCAATTCCGGGAGATGGTGCGATTGGCCGCGGAGCTATGAGCAAGGGCCAAGGTCGCTTACTCGTACGGAAGGAAGGAAGGAAGTATAAAAGGGGAACCTCGGTAGAGAGCTTTATGATTATAAGGAGATAGGGCAGGAATAAAAGGTTAATGATAAGTTATTATTATTATATGTATTTTTTTTTTCTTGGCTGGCTGGCTGCTAGGCAGGGCAGGGGGTTGCTTTGGTACGGGAAACTAAGCGATATGCGCGAATGTTGGGTATATATATATTTATATTATAAATGGGACGGGATGGGTGTGATATAGGTAGGTAGGTAGGACTTGCAGCAGGTTTTAATATGTGTGGCACAGGAAAGCCGAAACGTGTGGCCCCCCGCCCGCCGCCCGCCGCCGACGATAGGAGAAGTGGTAGGACGGAGATGTCGGGATTTTTTTTTTTGGCCCACGGACGTATCTCGCCGAGTGCTTGGTAAGGTATGGAGATTGCGTAGCAAGTGCACAAGTGGGACATGAGGTTCGCGTTTGCTCGCTCTCCTCGCACGCAATGGCCAGGCTACGCGGGCGTTTGGCTAGGTTTTGAGTGGGAGTGGGAGTGGGAGTGGGAGTGGGAGTGGGAGTGTGAGAGAGTGCCGGATATGTTCCGTCCGTCCTTGATATGATTGTGATTACCTATCATCATCATCATCAGACAGGTAGCAGCTGCACAGGTAAGGTAGGTTTGGGATGATCTTACTCTTGGCCCGTGGCAGCGAGCGACGTACGTACGATTACGATGGAGAGGATCGGATACGATGATACGATGATACTCTCATGACGGTTCCAGACCAATTTCCTCGAGCTGGCGACCCACATTGTCGTCGAAGGAGCCGGCGACGGGCCAATCACGAGGCAATACAGTGGCTACGAGGGCGCGCCTATGGGAAGTGCGCCGCTAGCCTGCTTTTTCCAATTCCTCTCCTCGATTCTCGCGTCTCGTCTCGTCTCGTCTCGTCTCGTCTCGTCTCGTCTCCCGTCGTTCCTTTCCTGCGCCTGCGCCTGCGCCTGTGCCTGCCGTTTTTGTTTCTGTTTCCGTTTCCGCCGTCTTACCTGCCTGCCTGCCAACCTGCCTGCCAACCTGCCTGCCGTTGCCGTACTGCTATCGGCTGCTATCTGCGACTTGCTACTTGCTACCTACCTGCTCCCTGCTACCTTACCTCTTACCCACCTACCGTAATCCGATCCTTTTCCTACCTTACCTTGCCTTACCTTACCTTACCGTACGCCCGCCGCCTAAGGCCCACCTACCTGCATCCCGTCTCTTTCCATCCTTCTCTGTCGCCGAAGTGTCACACTCGATCCGTCCCTCTTCACCTCTCTCTCACCTCTCCTCTTCCGACTACTACTCGCCTACCTCTGCCTGCCTGCCTGCCTGCCTGCCTGCCTGGCTGCCCGCCTGTGCCCCCGCCGCGCACGACTGGACTGCGACCGACCTTAGCTTCTGCGTATGCGCCCGCCCGGCATGAAGGGCGATCGCGACCTGGTGGGCATAGAACGCTCACTGGGCCTGCGATCCGTCCGTGGCATCTCGCGCCAGGCCAACAAAGACGCCCCGCGTAAGTCGCCGCCATCGTCGCCATCATCATCATCATCCATCACCGTTCATCACCGTCCATCACCAACCATCATCGTTCTGTTTCCCGTCGTCGGCGTTCCAATGCCCGCCCTCTCGCTGACTCCCATGCACAGCCATCAGATCCCTGCTCGAGGGCATTCGCATCATCGCCCAAGCCTACGTGACGCGCTCCAACGGCGAGATCCGCTCCTCGCAGGTGCTCAAGGACGACGCGCACGACTTGCTGGAGCAGTACGGTCCTGACATCTGGCCTGGCCCCGAACACGAACGTCCGCCATGGTAAGGAACGAAGCGCCCTGCCCATCCAATCTTCTACCTCCATTACCTTGCTGACAATCCCTGTCTGTGCCAGGCTAGAGGAGCCGAGCACCACCAACTTTGATGGCAAATACCCTCAGCACCGCTACTACACGGATCCTGCCGACCGCGAATTGTAAGCTCAGCATTGCGTGCGATCCTGTCCAGCCTGCACGCTGTCAATCCGTGCACCCTGCTTGCCGCTTGCTGCTTGCCGCTGTACGCATTGCTGACCCTCCCTCTCGCAGTCTCAACAATACCTTCTACCAGCTCGTCGTGGAAAAGTGCTGCAACTACCACGACAACCAGCTGCAGAAGCATCGCCGCTCCAGCGCCAAGAACACCGCCGGCCAGGACACGCACTCGGCCTCGGGCACCCCACGACAGGGCGAGTATGCTGATGAGGCTGAGAGTGAGTCCGAATACCTTACTGCCCATGCGCCACCTGCCTGGCCCGCCGTGAATGACCCTGTTGCTCGCCGTGTCCTTTCATCCGCACCTCCACCAGCAATCTCACCTCCCTCTCATCACGCGTCGGAACTCGCGCCGCATGGCTTACCTTCCGTCTACGTCTTCGGCAGTAACGGTCATCCCGCCGCAGATACCATGTCGCCTGCTGTAAAGGAAATGTCTCCCATCCCGCGTCAGCCAAGGCCCTCTCCGCCCGTCGACTCTCATGTGCATGAGGACTCATACCAAGTACCGGAGCAAGATCGAGATGGCGATGAGGTCATGCCCGACAGTTCCGCCCGAAATGGCTCCGTCAGTGGCGATGAGGAAAACGAAGACTACTTGGGCGCCTACAAGCGCAAGCGGACTGGCTCGATCGAGTCGGATCGGGTTTCCAAACGGAGTCGCATCGGAAGCGTATCTGATGAGAGGGCTTCACTGATCGTGACACTCAAGGCCAACCCGGATGAACTATTACGCATTTCCAAGAGGTCTCGTAAGACACTCTACAATAACAATTTCCTCGACTATTATACGAGAGATTCCAGCCCGGAGGAGACGTCAAGTCGGCGCAGCGTGAGGAGCCTACGTAGCGAGCGACAGAGCACCATCCACAGCACGCCTGGTCCGGAGCTTCGACCCAAACAGGTGATACAGGTCCAGCAGTATAAGGACCGGAGAGGCAAGTGGTATGAAGTTGACACCGAAATCCGACCAGACTGGGCTGTTGAGGAGAGAACCGTCACCAGAGAGATACCTCAGGAACGCCGGCGCAGTGCCTGGGTTAAGCGCCATGGGCCCATTAGCCCCAATTCTGTGAATGCTGCATCTGAGAAGGCCCGTAGCGATGACCTGCTTTTCCGCGGTCAGGCGGATCATGCGCCGCGATCTGGGGATAAGATGCCAGATCTCGACGAAGCCTCCACGGAGAACGAGCCCTCTGTAAATGGTAGGAAAGGCTCACATGCTGGTACTGAAGATTTGCCTTCTTCGGGCAAGAGCGGTCTGTTGTCGCCGAGCAAATCGCCTGGTCCTTTCCCACCGAAGAGGCCGGACGTGCAAGACAATGCTCGTCACCTACCGAGCGTGTTTGGTGATCAACATCGGCAGGGCAGCATTGCCGAGAATACGTCAAGGGATGGGACTGAGCGCGATATGGCACCTCCTCCGCTGACCGGTCCCACTGCTGTTCCGTTCACATCAACAGCTACAGAAGGACCGCGGGAAACTTCTTCATCACCCGTGGAGGCTGGCGCAGACTTTCCTTCGCGCGAAGCGCACACGATCACCAACACGTCTCCCGATCAACGAGCCGCAGCTTCGGAACCTCCAGCTCGGTTTGTCGTGCCAGATCGACCGTCGCGGCCTACCAGTCGTAGTGATGCAGGACCACAGCTGCTGCAACATGTGTTCAAAGCGAGAGGTTCCGAGCCGCTTCCGGGTCTGAAGAGTAGGGTGATGGGTGGTTCGGAGAATTCCGTCCCACCTCTGTCAATTATTCGCGCTCGCGATCCTGAAGAAGACGAGCGGGCGCAAGCTCGACTAGGCGCATTCAGGCCGAGTGCTGGAGACGGCCAATTCATTCATTTCACTTTGCCACAGCAGGGTAAGGAGAATGGAGCTCGTCGAGAAGAAGACAGGCCCCAAGCTCGCTCGCCTCCTCGCAAGCCCGATGAGCAGCAGCTCAAAGCTTCTGCCACGCCGGAGATGACGTCCTCGGAGACCTTTCCAGCTTCCATCACGCAGCCACAACAACCAAAGAGGAGTATTCAACCGGCATCGCTTACAGGCGTGCCTCCAGCACCACCCAACTACGCCACTCCCAAGGCTCTTGTGGAGGAAGTGCTGGGTGGTATGGCTGTCTATCCTACCGTCCAGTACATGTTGACAACCTTCCCGACGCTTAGTAAGATCGAGTTGCAAAACCTGAAAAGGATTGTCTCGCATGACCAGTCGGCTAGGAATGACTGGCGCGCGCTCCAGCGATATCTTCGCGCGGAGATCATGTACGGGCCACTGGACACGGTCGATTTTGGCATTCTCCAGTCATATGTTTATAATCCCAATGCGGGACCGCCTCCGCCCGAGCTGCAGTCGCTGTTTAGCAAGCAGGGAGGTCCGACGCGGTCTCTGCCGAGTAATTCGACGGGCACGCCACGCCAACAGCCGGCTGTTCCAACTCCTCCGATCGAGACGAAGTCGGCGACCACGATGAAGCATGAAGTCATCCGACCTCTGACCATCCAGAGTGTGGCGCCAATCCCATCGACACGCCCACCTCCGCCTCTTCCTGCACCGGTTTCAGTCCCTTCGCAGCCCGCAGAGGCGACGAAGAGCGAGCCACCCGAAAGCAAAGGCAATCTCACCAGCTCCGCCGAAGACGAATCCCTCAGCAACACCTTTATCGAAATCAACTGGGGCCATCCGACCTACGAATTCGGGGACCACGCGGAACTCCGCGATTTCAAGAATTGCCGCACCGCAGCGGAATTCTTTGGACGGATCGAGGCCAAGATACCGGATGAGCTGGTGCAGGATGGGAAGATTATACGAGAGATTCGAATCAAAGCTGTCAGCGAGTTGAAAGGTGCGATGGGGCGGATGCCGAGGTTCCTGAGGGACGATGGGGGTGTGAGGGCCGGGTGGAGGCAGCTGATGAAGATTCTGAGGGCGCAGCCTGTGGGGACGGAGGCGGAGTTGGAATTTTCCATTATCTGGGGGGAGAGGTAGGGTTTGTCGATTCTTGTATGTGGTGAGAGGGACAAGAAAGCAAGGCTGTGTGTGTGTGTGTGTGTGGATAGGAGTGTTTGGGGAGGATTGTGAAAGATGGATGTGGGCTACCAGTTGCAGGTCCATGATTATTATTATTATTATTATTATTATCTTTGTATGAGGGGACTCTAAGGATATAGACAGACAGCTGTACAGATGGTAGACGATGGAGGGTTGCGCAGCCTAGCCTCGCCTCGCCTCGACTTGGTCTTCGGGGGCCCTTTTTGCGATTATACCGAACAGCTCACCTCAGTGATAGATTTTACCCTTACTTACCCTTTACCCTTTACCCTTTCTATATGAACAACATTTTGAATCGAGTCGAATGTTTTGATTTTTTGTTTTTGTCGTCTTTTTTCACCCCCGACTGTGTTTTGCGCTGTCGGTCTATGGAGAGAGGAGAGAGGAGAGAGGATCACTATGATGACTATCATTGCTCGTTTTTGGGGGAGGTTTCCTGGCTGTGGGTTTCTTTTTTTTTTTGGCTGTTGTTGTTTATATGATATATCAGTGGTTGTTTTTGCAGTTTGCTCGTTGTTTTTGAAAGCGAAGGCTTTTAGGGAAGTTGCTATTTTTGGCAAAACCATAAACAAACAAGACAGAGAGAGGGAGGGAGGGAGGGAGAGGGAGAAAGAAGATTCGCTTATCTCCTACCGCCTTTCTCTCCCTCTCTCTCCCTCTATTTTAATATTAGTAGTATAGTTTTATTGAAAACTTAGGGTTAGGTTTATTTACTATATCGGTAAAGAAGGTAGAAGCGACTATATATCTACGAATACTACGCGATACGACACTTCCTCCCTCCTACGAGGTATTTCGGTTAAGGAAGGGTATACGAATAATATTAATAAGGCTAGACTTTTATATCTCTAGTCCTAGAAGAAGAAGTAGGAATTTCCATCTCGTCTATCGTCTATCGTCGCTTAAGATACGGCTATTAGTAAAGCGAGATGGTGCTCTGTCAGCTGCTTGTGGATCAATGGAAGGCTTCGACGCGTGTTCGTTCGCGCCTCGGATTGCTATCTCGTAAGCGCACATGGGTAATTCTGTTTTTTTTTTTTTTTTTTGGCGAGGTGCAACAGCTCTCAACAGGCTGTATCAGGCTGGAAAGTTTGGCCTTCCGAGTGCGCGAGGACTGCGCCCCTTCCAGATTTGAAGAACAGAGTTTTCCCGAAAGATCCCCAGTGCCCACCAAAGCTGTGCACGTGGCCGACAAACGATGCGGATAGGGAGACAAGACGGCAAGATTTTTAGATGCCATGTTCTTGACGCCTTGGGAGCTCGCCACGCAATGATATCATCATCAAGGCCATTCTTGTCTCTGAGGGTGGAACAGGTGTCGTCGTGGTCGTCTGCGTGGCAGCTCCTCGAACAGGCTGCAGTGTTCCCAGGACGTCGATCCGTTCGATCCGGCGCACTTGATAAGTGCTGGTGCTAGGGAGACGCTTTCTTGCCCCGGATGGGAGCGTGAGTGGTGAGGTGATATGCTGTCCAAGAAGCAGATGGAAGCCTGCAGAGCTTACGGACATCCTCTTGGCGGGACTGACTGCTATTTACGGCGTGGGCAGTCTTATTCTCGGCGGCCCGAATACGGTGCCGCTGGAGGATTATTATGGCCCATCATCATGATCATGATCATACCTTACGGAGGTGATTGAGTTTACCAGCCTGGCTGCCTGGTGCCACTTCTGCAGGCTTTCCTATTGCCTTGGAATCTTGCCGAGATGGTCGGCATGAGGGCTGGAGGGATGCGATTGACGGTTCCGCCGATAGCTGTGGGCTGGTACGCGGATTCATCCTTTTCAGTCCACACGTGACTCTATTGTCGGCAGGAGGTGAATATGCCCGATTGGCGTGCTGCTTTGTTTGGGTGATGACGCCTTTTGAAACACCAGAGCGGCCTCATAATTAAGTCGACGATATCACCGCAAGCGTAGTGTGTAGGCGTGCTACGGGCCATGGCGTGCGTGTCAGGCGAGCGTGTTGGGGGGGCTTCGGCGAATAATGCAGTTGGCAGCGACTCGCGTTGGGACTGAAATTAGAATCTGGAAGCTCCCTGTGCCCTCGCTCCTTCCCCCGTTTCACTCCTGCTGGAAAAGCGCGGGTTTACGTGACTAGCGCGCCACGGGAGCTGCCGACACGCGAGGGTGGCGCCCCCTTTGGTGTTGCCTCAGGCCGCCGTCTCGTACGGCCAGCTGTCCTCAAATACCGCGCCGCCTGCCGCCTGCCACTTCCTCTCACTGCCTAGTCCGCATCCGCGCCTTCCTCAGCAGATCGCAACATCTGTCCTCTTCGCCTCCAGCCAAATGCGGAGCCTCCGCATGACAAGTCACCCACCATGGAGACTACTTCTCTAACTTCCTCCATGCAACCCTTCCCCTCTCCCTCCATCCACCCACTCGAGCACATATCGTCAGACGACAACTACCTCAAGATGGAAGACCTCCGCACATCCGCCTCTCCCGATCCCTCTGCCTACGACAACGACACCGTCGTAACAGAATCGTCACCCGCGCCCGTCGTCGTGCAGTCCAAGCCGGCGAAGAAGCGGAAATCATGGGGCCAGGAACTGCCTGAGCCCAAGACCAGCCTGCCACCTCGCAAGCGTGCGAAGACCGACGACGAGAAGGAGCAGCGACGCATCGAGCGCATCAAGCGGAATCGTGCCGCTGCACACAACTCGCGCGAGCGCAAGCGACAGGAGGCCGAGAATCTCGCTGTCCTGCTCGCAAAGGCCAACGCGGAGCTGGACGCATACAAGAAGCTGCACGGCCCTCTGCCAGCCCACATCGTCTTGCCTGAGGTGAAGCTCAGCTCGGATAAGTATGTCCTCGAGATATCACACGCATGCCCGGCTATGTGCTTACATCTGCATAGCTTGATCGAGTCTGCTACCTCCGTCACAGCCACCGTCGCAACTCCAGCACCCTCGCTCGTCGAATCACATGGCTCGGTCCAGGACATCCCATCAAGTCCGGCATCACCAGCCGACATCTTCCACGACCACGGCAGCCCACAAATCAAGCAAGAGCCTTTCGAGGCCCCCATCTTCTCCCACGCCCTCCCTCCACCCGTCTTCGAGAACCTGGACGCCAAGTCGTCTGCCCTCTCGCCGCTCGACCCGACACAACATTCTGCAGCAATGTTGTGCGACCTGCAGTGTCGGTCCAGCAGCGGGAGCCGCAGTTCGACTTTGCCAACTTCGGCCTGGTGGACCAATTTCTTCCTCTACCTCATGACTCTCCAGCTTCAGACATGCTATCGGACCCTTCTGGTGGCCATCTGGGCTCTTTCGCCTTCGCGGATGGCGCGTTTGATGCAAGCCTCAGCAATCCGCTCGACTTCTCGTTCGACGAGTTCATCGATGACTCTGCGAATCTCCCGGTCGACGCCCGGGCGTCTGGCGCGGCGTAATGCTGCGACGGCCCACGGCGCACCTCGAGCACACGCACTGTCACTCGATCGGACTCCGAGAGCGACGAGGGTAGAGCAGATGGCTGCGAGGCAATCACGGGCGCACCAGACACGGATGGCGTTTTCGGAGCAACGGGATACCACTACGGGGAGGGACGATCAACGGGTTGGGAATGGCAAGGGAGACGGAAATCTCGGCGTTGGGCGTGAACGGTCCCTGGACCTGGGTGATCTGGATTAGCGTAGAGCGGGACTTTTGTAACACCATAGCAAAAGAACTGCTTCTTTCCATGAGTGCTCGGCGCTCTTCACAACTCATGTGGAACTTTCTCATTGCTCTCAACTTTACAGAAGTGGTTTGCTCTGTGTGTGAACTTGGTAGAGAGAACTGACCAATAATCAGGCATGCGGCGAGTGCCGCCACCAACACCGCCTCTCCCCGAGTGTCTGTCGTACCGATAACTGGCCTGGTCAGGACACAGACGATGCAAGGCTTCGGGTTTCACATCATGTAGTGCAGCAGGAGAAGGATGTACGACGACGCAGCGAGAGAGAGAGAAGGGGAAAGGCGGACCGTAGCGTAGCACCAATAGATACTGCACAAGAATTCGACATCTTCTTCTTCAATTCATATCCTCATTTCCGTCTTCTTGACACAACTAACTATCTATGGGTATTCCCCCCAAAAAAAAACCATAAAAAATCAGCCAAACCACGAATTTTGTTCTCTCTCATTCTTCGTCGTCATCAGTGTCAGTGTCCACTCCCGCCGCCTGGGGGTTTGGGATAGGGAGGACGACTTGAGAGGGCGGAGACGGGGGAGACGGGGGATACGGGGGAGTCTCCGGGGCGGGTTGGTGAGGGGGCGTGGTCTTGTTGGGTGGGGATTGTTAATATTGGTGGGGAGTGCGGGTGTTGTTGTTGTTGTTGTTGTTGTTGTTGCTGTTGTGGATAACGAGGATGATGAAGCGGGTCCAGAGGCGTGACAGCGCTGACGGGAGTGTGGAAGAGAGCCGATGGAGGCGATTCGTGCTGTTGTGGCGGCTGATAGATTTCGTAGGAATTGTATTGTTGTTGTTCTGGCACTTTGGGTTCCTGATGATGGTAGGGTTCTGGGTGGAGAGTTTGTGAGGTAGGTGGGGGTTGGGTTGCTTCGACCATGGAGACGTCGGATTGGTGTTTGGGGTGGTATTTTGGTTCTGTTTCGCGGCGTCGACGGTTGCGGCGTCGGAGGCAGAGGTATAGGAGGGCTACTGTGGCTATGAGAAGTGTGATGCCTACGCCGAGACCGACTCCCAGGCCGGTTTTGGCGCTTGCGCTGAGGCCTGGGTTGGAATTCGACGCTTCTGATGTTGCGCTTGGTGATGGTGTTGAATATGATTGAGTAACTGGGGCCAAGGGGGGACCTCCTGGACCATTGGTAGTGGTAGGTATCTGCGTCATTGTGGTCGAGGGGACTGCTTCTCCACCGTTTGTCGTCGCTGGAAGCGTTAGCAGGGTGAAGCATTCTGAGTTAATAGACACGATCGCAATAGGACTCACAAGCAACGTCCTTCATGCCGAATTCATCCTGTTCGTCCCAGCCGTTCGAAGCGAACGACTGACGTTTTCCCAAAGCCGATTTTCCCACACGTCGTCCGGCGACCTCCCGCTTCAACGCGTCTTTCTCGTACCCGCAAAGACAGCTCTCGTCCACATACCCCATCTCTGCTCCTCGCGCCCTGGCCGTGCAATATTCCAGACACCATTGGCCCGGCGGCGGCGTCCTTCCTCCATCCTCTATATACCCAAGCCCTACCACCATACCCTTGGCATGGGCATATTCGGCCTTGATATGTTCCAGGACTCGCCAGAAGGGACCCAACCCGGGAGGGGACATTTCGTGTTACAGCGGAGAGAGGAGGGAAAGAGCTTGCAGCGTTTGTCGCGGGGAAGGGAAGAAGGGCGGGGCATCGCATGGTGTGGTGTGGTGCTGTGTAAGACCAGGCCAGGCCAGGCCAGGGCTGAGTTGTGTGCGATGGTGAGAGTGGAATCCTACCTGCCACCTGCGTCTCAGCCGCTCGTGCTGCTAGTCAGTCAGTCGGGCGGTAAGGTAATAAAGATAGACGGGAGGATGTGCTGATTCATTGGCGCGGCACGGAGTTCGTATTGCCGCTGCACGGGCTCGACATGCGCATGTCTGCGGTGCAAAGCGCGGCGCGAGGCACTGCACGGCACACAGATATGGAACAAGACGACCGTGACTGGTACTAAGGTAGTGTGCGTGTGAGTGGCGCGGGATGAAGTCGAATGGAAGGATCGATGGGGCACTACTGTGAAAGTGTGGAGGAAGCGACGTTGGAGAGGCGTTCTGGAAAGTACGTCTGCCCAGACTCGCTCCTGCTGTATAGAGTTCGGTTCTATCTTTGGCACCGTCCTTGGCACAGCTTGGGATGCCGGCACAGGGATTTCGTGACAGTGAAACACGACATGTGCACCTATATCCGAACCAAAGTCAGAGCTTGTCTTGTCCTTGTCACCGCCTTCGACCTGGGCCGCCACCACCGCGTCACAATGACCTTCCAATCGCACTGCACCACCTCGCACAGGCTGGACCAGAACCGAACGGCGAAGATGAGGAGACGTTCGTAGGAGGGAGAATATCCAGACCATCGCTGTACTTCGAACCCCAATGGAGACTGAATCGGTGGTCTACTGGACAGGCCTCGGTCGTTGACGGACCGCGACACTCTTCCGAAGCTGGATTGGGTTTGGAGCCGCAGCGAAGTCACACTGGCACATATAGTACCTAGGTTCAAAGATCATCTCTCGCACAAGACGCGGTGCGCTGCAGCGGCCTTGTGCTCTACGGAAGTCTACCGTGATGATGCAGACAGAGGTAACGGGAATATGGCATGGGGAAAAGGGAAGAATTGACATCAATGCCTAACTTGACGCCCGTCGTATCTTTGCAACAGGGTGAAACTTTCGGCCTGCTTTCTCTTCCTCTTGGGGGGGAGGGGTCGTTTATGCGACCTCGGGGACCGATTGCAACCTTCACAGCACGTCAAGCTTGAATCACTGTCGTCGGCAGTCATCAAGTTGAACGGCCTTTTCCCCGGAGCTCGCGCGAAAGTCTCAAAAATCTTGGCCATAGCCAGACGGGACATTACCCTGCACCGTGGCTGCATCTCCTGCACATTGATGGCGCTTTGAAGTCTGCGGCAAGAAATTCTGGAGTCACCATCGACGTCTTTGGTGCGACCTCATTGTTCTTCTCGGCCTGGCTTGGTATGCTCCACACATGCACTCTTAGCCTCTGACCGGTGATGTGGAGGGACTCGCATTCAGCGGGCTGTCCACAGGACGACTATCTCTTCGGTGGTCTTCCCAAGACTTGGCCCCTCCCTTGATCGACCACGCGACTATCCCATTCGCGCGCAGTATACTTGTCGCTATGCGTGAAGTGTCGCCTCCGTGGCAGACTACTATTGCCGTCTTGCCTTGGAGCTGGTCTAGCTTCTCCAGTTTCACCATGGATGTCTGCGATTTGCGGTCCAAATGCTGTGCGAGCTCCTTCCATTGCTGCTCTAGTAGCGCGCTGTCGTAGAAAGGACTGATCTGGTCTGCTTGGAGACTTTCGAGGGGAACGTGGAGACTGTGGCATGCCCTGGGCATAGAGACATCCTTGCTATCCATCTCCGCTCGAAGGTCCACAAGCACTGAGTCCGACCCGCGGCAGATCTCCTCGAGATATCTGCTCTCAGGATGAAGCTCCCAGCCGTCGTCGTAACGATACGGGTCCACGGCAGTTAGCCGGGCGTCCTTGATTGGATGGAACTCGCTAGCAGGCACTTTGTCGAAATATTCCGAAATGTACTGATACGGCAGATCGCAACACAAGAAGACGCAATCGATTTGCCCATCTTCTCCACGCAGCTGCTCGAGAGTACCGGCGTCCTTGCGACTCTGCAGGTACTTTGTCAGACCGACGAGATTGAAACCAGATGATGGACCGCACAGGATTCCGTTTCGAGTGAGATGCAAGGACGCGGTGAAGGCGTCTTGCGATCCGCAGTCAACGATGGTATCCACACAAGTTCTCCAGGGAAACTCCACGGGAGCCAGGAGAGCGTAACTTCGTGGACCAGGAACGCGATCTCCAGGTGCAGTCGTGACTCCCACCGTGACAACACGAGGCTTCGCCCGCTTCATATAACTCGCCGTGCCCGTAATCGTCCCAGCAGTCCCCATACCCGCACACAGGGCCGAAATGGTGGGCATCTGCTTCAAGATCTGAGGCCCAGTCCATTTCTCATGCGCTCCCCAATTCAAATCATTCTCGTACTGATTCAAATTCACCAGCGTGTCGTCCAACTCCGCATGCTTCCTGGCTCGCTGAATGCCGCCTCGATCATCTTGAGGTTCCGGCTGCGAAGGACCACCGAATAACCGCAAATCCAATCCGAAGAATTGGAGGAGTTGCAGTTTACTCGTGCTCGTTTTGTTACTGATATAAGCCCTCGTATCCTCGATTCCGTGCAAGATTCGAGCAACGATACCCATCGAAATCACCGTGGAGCCGGAAGAGTATTCCACGAGGGCTTTCGTCTTCTGCGGATCGATCTGGGAGGAAGAAAGCATCGCCAACGCCGGGAGTTCTTTCACATTGTGCGCTGGGAGGAAAGTCATCATCTTCGCGTAGATCCGGACTCCATCGTCGTGGAAAGGGTTGAGATGTTTTGGGATCTCAACCAGGGGAAGGGGAGGGTTTTTATCCGGATTGTAGTAATCTTTGAGGGCGTCGGGCCCGGCGAAGACGTTGTTTGTTGTGGTCATGATGGCTTTGATTGGAAACGAGTAGATCGAACGATGCCCGACTGGCGACAGGTAAAGTTCTTGCTAGGGAAAGCTGTTTTCTTATGCGTCTGCTGCGGAAAGCGGCCTGTAGATGTGTGCCGGTCATTCAGGTAGGAAAAAAAGTCTTGGTGGTTAAACGCGGGAGCGTGGCAAGCATGCCGTAGCACTCCTGCAGCCCTACCTCGCGGCTCGTGGACAAGACATTCCTGATGCACCATTATTGGCTCTCGCGTTGCGCGCAACACGCGAAAGAAGAAATGGAAACCGATAAACTTTCTCAAAAAGTCGCGGTCCGGTTCACAGCGTAGAAATAGACCAGCCAACTGCAGGTGTGCAACGCTCCGAATGACGAGTCCCCTCTGCCGAGATACGCTGTTGTCGTCGTGCCTCTTAGCTCGCACTAGGCCCGTAGATCTGCAGTCATCGCTACTAGTTTTGGCCCTCATAGTGCTCAAACATGCTCATGTGGCGCCCAATTACTCCATAGACTCGCGAAAGAAAAAAAATACCAGCGCGCGACCATCAAGAATAATTTTGTTCTGTACACATGATGGGGTGATTCGGGTTTCCCTTCGCCTCTTCGCGTGAGTCTGAAGAGGGATTGTCATCGTTGGGATAGAAAATGGCCAGCGCACCCAACGACAAACCTCTCGACGTGGAGGCATCCGCCATGTGGCTTGATGAGAACTCAGCTACGGAGAACATGCCATCAGGTCCTCCAAGCGAGCCGCAAGGTCTTTCTGACCAGACTCGCTATGTCACGAAGAGCAAGATCATCATGGTAGGCCCTACGCACGCAACGATGCGGACCACCACCGTTCGGCCAAAGGATTCCCGCGGGCTCACAGGTTTTGACAGATTTTCCTCACCTGCGCCTCGGTCGATTTGGTCGCGTTGATGGATCAGACGACGCTGGCCGCCAGTCTGACCCTCATCTCCCGCGCTCTGAGCTCCTCGGCCAACAACGCCTGGATTTCCGGGGCGTATTTCCTGACGTCGACCAGCTTTCAGCTGCTCTACGGTCGGTTGTCGGACATTTGGTCTCGCAAGACGGTGCTGCTGGCGTGTATCTTTCTCTTCTTCGTGGGATCGCTTGCTGCGTCGCTCGCGCAGACGGACACGCAGTTGATTGCTTTCCGTGCTCTGACGGGAGTTGGAGGTGGTGGGTTGATGACTCTGGCGCAGACGATTGTATCTGATGTGGTTTCCTTGCGAGATAGAGGCAAATATCAAGGAATTTTGGTAGGGGTTGTCGATCTTTATATCTTGGTCATGCTGATTGTGTCTGTTCAGGGTGCAGTCGTTGCTATTGCAAATGGTATCGGCCCCATTGTGGGTGCCTCACTCAGTGAGATCAACACACAATCTTGGTGAGACGAGTCGTTTGGGGCATGTACGTCTCCGGAAGCTGATGAGCCTGCTAGGAGGTGGATCTTCCGGCTGAACTTACCACTCACCGCAATCTCGACTGTTGCGATCGTTTGGATGATGCCTTTGAAGAAAGTCGAAGGGTCTTGGCTGTTCAAGCTCAAGGCTATCGACTTCACAGGCGCAATCTTGACTCTCTCTGCGTCAACAAGTCTTGTGGTATGTTCTCACTCGACAGTGCTGTATTCATTGCCGCTGATCAAGGTGTGCAGCTGGCACTGACGTGGGCTGGAGACCAATACCCGTGGCAATCGGCGGCGGTCATTGCACCCCTAGTCATTGGCGTGGCCTTGCTGGCGGCGTTTGTCTTATGGGAAGGCATCGGCCCACGATACCCTCTCATGCCTCGTAAGTTCTGCTTTTGAGCTTCTGCGAGAAAAGTGTTGCTCAGCCCTTACTAGTACATATCTTCCGGAGCCGGCTGGTCATCGGGGCATGCGCGACCATGTTCATCAACGGCTGGCTTTTCGTGACGCAGGTCTACTACATACCTGCTTTCTTCCAGCTTGCGTATGGACTTTCGCCCGTGATATCGGGCGCACTGCTGCTACCCATCACCCTCACGCAAACAATTTCAAGCACGACTTCCGGCTTGATCGTACATTGGATCGGACGGTACCGAGAAAGCATTATCGTTGGCTGGATCACTTGGTCCATCGGGCTAGGGCTTTATTCAACACTCAAACCCAATCAGTTCGAAGTAGGTAAAGCAGTTGGCTATGGTCTGCTTACTGGCTTCGGAGTAGGACAGACCCTGCAGCCTTCCCTAATCGCAATACAAGCAGGGGTTGCCAGGCAGGACATGGCCGTCGTGACCTGTACTCGCAATTTCGTACGGAACTTGGGATCAACGCTCGGTCTTGCTGTTGCGGCGACATTGATCAATTCCACCCTGCGACCCGACCTCACGAGACTTGGTCTACCTGTTCAAGAGGTCATCAATGGCCCAGATACATACCTTGCCAGTTTAGCAGCAGGTAATCGGGAGGAGGTGCGTCAGGCGATATTGAGCTCCTACTCTCAAGGCTTCCGAAGAATATTCTACCTCAACGCAGCACTTAGCAGTCTTGCCGTTGTTGTCGCATGGTTCATGATCCCGCAGATTGGACTGGATCGGCAGGATGACGCTGCCCTGAAGGTGCAGGCAGACGAAAAGTCTTCAAAGGAAGGCATTGTCCAGCGGCAGGCTTAGATAATTCTTTCAGCAACGAGGATTCAAGGCTTTGATTTTGGCCTTTCACATGCCGCCACGCGGCACCAACAGGCGCATCTCGTCGCAAGTCTCCAGACACGAGATGATCGCGGTAGGTGTGCACGCTCCAGACTGGGCAAGCTTTCGACATCTTGGTGTCGTTTGCCCGCCAGTGACCCAAAAACAATGGAAGATACCGTCACATGAAGTCCATAATGGTTTCCGGCCTGCTGTAGGGGTTCAATGGTTGGTGTTGGCCGAAGGAGGTGTGAAGTGAGAGGTTTCAACTCCTGCCAAGCCCGGCCCGTCTATTGTTCCTGAATGCCTGAGGCATGCAGCACTTCTATCTACGCCGGAGTGCGGGCAGGGATAGGCTATCTCAACCTCCCTCCTCCCATCTATCACCATTCAATTGCCCGACGTTCCACGAGGGCCTATAATACTGTAGACCCAGCTGTTTTGTGGACCCTGCTAAGCCGACCGCTAATTAGTGCAGTCAATGAAGGTCGATATTACGCGGCCTCTATAAACTCCACAACAAAGCCCACCAGTACCTCCTATACGCGCGTATATATATCGCAAGGTGCGCAACATACGTTACGAACATCCATTAGTAACCGCGCCTGCCTTTTATGTTGACTCCATCCTATCGCGTTTGCCCGCTACACCTCGACGCCCTCCCGAGCCAAGGTCAGGCTATATACTTGAGCACCAGCTCGACAGGGATTCTTTATATGTCCATGCTGGGTATGGAGTCCCCAGCATCCGCCCTCAACTGCACTATCAGACAACGGCGCGACAGTGATATCGAATCATGCGTGTCGGTGCTTGGCCGCGTCCAGAAGCAAGATGGCTATCCCGTCGCAGTTGCCGACTTCAGAGCCTTCCTCACACCCAAGACACTGGAGCAGGCATGGGTAGCTGAGCACAATGGCCAGATCGTGGGTCACATATCTGTCAGCGCGGCACAAGTGGGCGACGTCGCCGTTGACCTCTGGCGACGAAGGCATCCAGACGACCACATCGCGGCGCTCCAGAGGTTATTCCTGGCTCCGGAGTATCGAGGGTGCGGCCTCGCCTCTAAGCTCATTGAAAACGCCGTCCATTGGAGTCATCAGAAAGGTTACCGACATCTGGTGCTCTATGCGCTGAGGAAGGATCTCAAAGCTGCCCGGTTATACGACCGTCTTGGCTGGGAACACTTTGACACCGGAATGTTTGCGTATGGCGATGGTCAGGAAATGGAGGCTTTGTGCTTCTCAAGCCCTGGTCCCCGGTGACGAGCGTACTGGCATGAAGGATGGTAGGAATATCAGGACTATCTACTCCAGCGCGGACACAGCCGAGTTGGTCGACACGGAGAGTTGGCTCGATAGCTACAATTATCTTCGAATGGTGGCCTGAGACATACTGCCGAGCCCGTTACAAGATCAATTTTCACGTTAGCCAAATGTAACTCGCTGACACCTGCCTGCTTTGCTGCTCAATGTAAATTCTGTCTAGGTTTCCGACCTGCGACCTGTAGTCGCGAAGTGAGGGCCACGCTCTAGTGTCCAGTCTACTGCTTGCGCCAGGACGGCCGACCCACCGTTTGGAGTTTCTGGAGAAATATCATCTCACCGGACCCATGGAACTTGGCCCAAAAAGCCCTCCCGGGCTATATGAACGAGTTCCTGGCTCTTCCAGACTTCTTCAACATGCCCAGTGGTCAATCACAAAGTCCAGAGCTCCGACGCCACGGTTCGTCAGCAATGAGATATTCCAGAGAGAGTTGAACACTCATAGAGACAATCATGATAAGTCGCTGGAGACCACCCCGGTGTACAACACAGTCAAGACCGTGCCATATATCAGGAATGGGTTGCAGCATGTTCATCTGTTGGAATGAGCTGTGACATGAGACGCCCTATCGACGTGTATATGCAAGCTCGAAGAAATCAGAACAGAAAGCGAGACAGAACGAAGCAGGGACTGCGCCTACGACCTCGTCTGGTAACCAACAGTTGACAAGCTTATCGGACACAAGCCATACGACCCCCCCAAACTTGCCTTCGCTATCGCTAAAGGCAGGCGCCATGCTATTGATCTTGAAGTTTGTCTTGAACATGAGAGTATTGAAAGTCCCCACGATGAAGCTTAGACTTCCGGTGTAGGTAGTCTACACAAATGGAATGGCTTGAAGGAAAGCCGATTACGTTACTCTGCATATCGCTTCTAAGCCTGTTACTACGGGAGAGACGGCATTCGCCGCAATTCGATCGCCCCTCACGGCACTTCGTCGCCCATGAATAAAGCCAGCTTGAGCGAAGATCCAGATTTAGATGTCCTCGAGAATAACGTGCCGATGCAGAAGTAAGTCTGCTTAGCTACAAGAGTAGGCAAAACCGCAGTGTCATGGTGTGGGTTGTCTCAGAAGCGATAGGTGTATGGCGGTGGCAAGCAGATATTCCTTGGAAGGATCTGAAGGCCTCTATGCTGTAGTCTGTTTTGATTGGTCCGCAAGCCGAGGGTCCTGAGGAGGCAGGATCAGCGTCTGCTATCTTGGAAGTCTTGCTGGGATCTCCCTTTCTTCCTCTCGACCACATCTACCACACGATTGCTGCGCCTGCTCACCGTAGTCACAGAGACAGCCGACTCCAAGACCGCAGCTGTGGCATCCGAACCTACTCCGGAACATTCCAGGACTCGGCGATCGAGCCGCACGACGTTGAAGCCTGCTTCTGGACGTTGCCCACGGACGACCGAGAAATGCTCCCGACTTCGTTCAAGAATACCTGCTATGGAGCAGCAGAAGACGTTGCCATCTCCGAGATGGCCAATTACCGCGGACCCGCAGCGGATTGATGAGAGGATCGTGAGGTGACGGCTTGTACACCTCAGACCACCTCGTCCGAAGGGCCGCGATGGACGGGAAAAGTTGCACCCGTGTGTCAGTGTCCCGACACCCGTTCTTTGCGGCACGTGTGGCCTTGATGTTCTTAATTCAGGATTGCGTGCACAGTGCGTGGGAAGAGGGGGCGCTGTGTTGCTGTGAGGTATTCGTCAGCAGGCGGAGCGCAGATGACGACTGCCGAGGTGATCCCGGTCGCCTTTAGACGCCATCGCGCGGCAGACCACTGGGACGGAAATGGCACTGCCGAGACTGAAGATCGGAATGCCAGCATAATAAGAAGGCGTGCAAACATCTCTGGTGAGTGACTGTTCTCTCGTCTCAATCCTCTCTCCGCCGCTGTCGACCTTTCGTTTGCCCCGTATCTCTTAACTCTTCAAGCCCGCTACAAGCAAAATGTGGGATGAATTCGTGGAAAAGAGCAAGAGGAAGTCGGTGTTCTTTGAGAAGGAGCCCCCACAGCCGCGACGCGAGTCTCTTGAGAGAGAACACCTTGATCCTCTCATGGACGAAGAAGGCACAAATGAGACACGCTATTACAGGAGCGCGGAGTTTCAGCAAGCACTGCTAGAGGACCAAATCGCACGGAAGCTCACTGAACCATGCGAGCCCGTCGAGCAGGAGCGGACCGGACGTACATCTAGATATTTGACCAGACGGGGCACTATGAGGTCTTCCAAGTCATCTCTGGCCCTGTTCGACCTCGAGGACGCGCGAGCCAGACAGGCGTCGGAAGTGGAAATTCCATCACCGCCGCTACCACCAGCGTACGAGCTGGTAGTTCCTCCAAGTCAACCCACGGAAAGCGTCGCGGCTGGCTCTACCGACAGCTCGAATTCCGAAAGATCAAGCCGCCCGCGCGGATTCAGCGTGTATCTTATGAAGGGTCTCGCTCCGCTCATGAGTTTTGCTGCGAGGAAGAAGAACAGCGAAGCGACGTCCTGAGGAGACCAGGCTTTCCGGAGGATGATGTGCCGCTCAGCGACCGGGAAACACGAGATTCAGAAGACAGTCCTTTTTGGCAGAATCAATTCGCGGGACACCCGTGGTCGAAGACGACACCCAAGCGAAAGCCATGGCAGCTACGTTCTCGCATCGAAATACGTGTAGCAGGATTTGCCCACTCGCCTACCTGGACATGATGGAAGCGATGTTTCCGGCTTCGCAAGATCCGAGCAGAACGCGTATAAGCCTGAGCCTATGACTAAAAATCGTTGACGCTCTTGGGGCTTAGCGGTTTTGCAAGGGCCGTACGGCGGCCAGAAATACGATCTGCGGACGGTCGAAGGACCGAACGAGGAACAATTCCCGGTCAACGCAGCCTTGGTCACGCTTGTGCGCAAGGCTGCACGTCGATTGCAATGGCGTAGAGATTGCGGTGGGCTCAGAAGGAATGGTGCGAAGGCATGGTGCGAGTGGGAGTAATGTTGATGAACAGGAGGAACAGGAGGAAACATTTTGGACGTCGAATGGCAAGTCCAGCCGCTGGCGAACCGCGAACCGGCCCGTCTGCCGGCAGTAGCGTAATTCGCGGATAGAGCAACGAGCGCCACGCAAAGACATCTGATTCGTCACCGGAAGGCCGTACCTCACTTGGCGAGGCATCTTTTCCACACGCCTCTCCCCATCGTGAAACGCCGCCCCTTTCAAGGGCATGCGTGTCTCATCGCGTTCTTTCTATAAGACGCGGCGATCGTTCATTCCTTCGACTAAAATTCCTTCATTGCGGAGCCGGGCGATCCTTCCCATACGGCCTGGCCCACCGTCGTTTCTAGCGTCAACATCACTTTACGGCATTTACACCTCGATATAATCTCACGGCCGACCCATAATTACACCAAACATCCGAACACCCTCCTTCACCGACAGCCCATCATTCCAGCGCATCTAAGCCGCCATCATGGCCGAACCCAACGTCATCGACATGGCGAACCGCGAAACGCCGACCCCAGCAACTACCACCACCGATGCCCGTGTAGACTCTTCGCAGCCGGGATCAACACCGATGCCCAGTAAGGATGGCAGCGAGGAATTTGTGCCCCAGCCCATGTTCCATCACCCTACTCACCAGGGCGTGGACATTGAAGACTACTTTCGAGGACCGCGCGATATCAATCGACATTCGAAATGGCCCTTCTTCCTGAGATTACATGGCAGTATCCTACCTAAGATGATTGTGCCTCTCGCCTTCGTTGCTGGATGGGCCACTCTGATCACATGCATTTCGAAGTTCGTGCAGCGGCTTGCGATCAATAGCGTTTTGCTTACTGTGCTCGGTTTCGTAAGTGAGAAGATGATCATGGCAGGGATCAAGCTGCTGACTTTTGATGGGTAGGTGGTCGGTTTGTCGTTGTCATTTCGCAGTACTACTGCCTATGAGCGCTTCTCGGAAGGCCGCAGATACTGGGCAATGCTTACCATGTCCTCACGCTGCCTCTCCCGCCTCATCTGGGTCCACGTCATTGAGCGCCACGGCGAGTCCGACGAGATTGGGAAACAGGATCTCCTGGCAAAGTTGGCTAGTCTTCAGCTTATCAATGCGTTTGCTGTCGCTCTCAAACACCGTCTGCGATTCGAGCCGTCCACCGAGTATCCTGACCTGGCACCCTTGGTCCACAACATCCATACCTTTGCTGGAGATGCCAACCAAGCGGAGCTCCGTGAACGCAAGATGTCTTTCTTCAAGAAGACGGGACAGTTCCTTGGCCTCTCGATGGCTGAGTCTAACCCACGCAAGCTCTTCAAACGTACCAAGGAGAACCTAGGAAATACCCCACTGGAGATTCTAACCTATCTCGGAGCCTACGTGGAAAATGTCTTCCAGAACAAGACCTTGACTCTGCCAGTTCACCAGACGCAAGCTATGACCTATCTGAACCAACTGACCGACGTCTTGACGGGGTGTGAGCGCGTAGTCAACACCCCATTGCCGGTCGCCTATTCCATCTCCACTGCGCAGATAACGTGGGCGTACGTGATGGCTCTCCCGTTCCAGTTGGTCGGTAGCCTCGGCTGGGTCGCGATTCCGGGCACAATAGTAGCGGGGTACATAATCTTGGGCTTGGCTCAAATAGGGCGCGAGCTGGAGAATCCATTCGGCCAAGATGTCAACGACTTGCCCTTGGACTCCTTCTGCCATGAGCTCGCCAACGACATCGACGCGTTGACCAGTCGGCCGGCGCCATTGAATCATGAGCAGTGGATGCGCGACAACGGGTCCAAGGTGCTATGGCCCTTGAGCCAGATGGAATTCAGAGCATGGGAGCAACGGAGTGTTCAGGAGATCCGTGCTGCTCTCAAGGCGAAGGCTACCAGCAGGGACGTCAAGGAGAATCGGGCGATGACGGCTGCCGAGAGCGAGCAGTTGACAAGTCATGTATAGTAGACACGACCAAAAGTAATGTGATATTTTGCCGAGGATCAAGTGCTCGTCGTCAGATGCATTTGTAAAGTTCCTCGCTGATGAAAAAGGTACACAAGAGCAATGCAAGGTGGGGGAGCGTGCTGGCAAATAAGGGTCAAGACAGCCGAAGTTTACCCTAGAACGATGATCACGAAGTGCAAAAGAAAGAATGGAGGATCGAGCGACGGCGCGAAACGCTACGTACCTCAGCTCATCACCTGCGCCCTCGTTTGGCAGGCAACAACATGCATCAGAAGCAGATCACGTTCTGTCGGCGCAGGATCACTATTGTTCAACCGCTGAATATAGCGGATGCCGCGGGTGTTGCGTGATCGCGCTCGCTCACGCGACACAGTCGGGAACCGCTATACAGCAACGATCCAAGCAACAGATCATCGGCCTTACAAGGCCTAGCGACACTATGGAGCGGTCCTCCCACCGTGTGCAGAAAAGATACTACAGCCTCACCATCATCGTCTCCATCGTCTTCCTCTACCTCTACCTGCGAGCTTCGGCTTTCACAGCGCGACCCGTTCGCCACTCCGATGGCCTCTCCAAAGAATACCGCGACCTTTTCGCTACCAACGCAGTAAATAATACCCTGGTCATTGTCCCGGTGAATACAGGAATGCTGAACTGGGCCGAAAATCTCCTCTGCTCTCTCCAATCGACGGGTTTCAATACTTCCTCTCTAATCTTCTGGGCGCTGGATGCCGCGGCGGAGAGTACTCTGAAAGCTCAAGGACGGCTCACGTATCGAAATGCGGAATTGTTCGCGACGGGCGAGAATGAAAACCGGCATGGCGATACGCGAGCTTACAAGCGCATGATGCGCGAACGACCGAAATTCTACATTGACGTTTTGGCTTCGGGGTTCGATATCCTGATGTTGGATGCTGATACGGTCTTCTGGCAATCGCCTCTTTCCATCGTGCCTGCTGGCGGATCGGAGGCACGAGATGGGGTGGATATTGTGTACAGCACCGACTCGCGGGAATTCTACCAGGTTCACAATGCGTTTGAAGATGAAAGGAGACGAGGAGCGTATGTTCCGCCGATATGCAACGGGATTTTCTGGATGAAGAGTAGTAAGGAGACGATTGCTTTGTGGAGGGAAATGCTAGATACGTGGGAGGATTGGTGGTTTGAGACGCCTTTTGGGAGGAAAGATTTTCAGGACGATCAGAGGGCTATGGATGTTCTTTTGAATGACGGGCGCGCGCGGGTAGTGGCGCCTTTCCCGGATGGGATCGAGAAGGAAACTGTGCCGGTACCTCCCGGGGCTAGGTTGGGCGTGAGATTGTTGGACCAGACGCAGGTGGTTAATGGCCATTTGCTTATGAACAGGAATAATGTATATGAGGAGTATTTGGGGGGATTGAGGAGAGAGGGAGGGGATAGGATTGCGGCGCATTTCAATTGGTGGACTGTGGAAGTTTCCAAGGAAGAAGGGGCGAAGCAGCTTGGTATGATGTTTGTTGATGAGAAGGGGGAATGTAAAGCGGACGCCGGAAGCGTTTGAGTGAGAGACGAGGAGCCTGACTGCGAAGAAGAGTTGCCCATAGGTGTATAGGTGTCTGGCCTGTGAGTGGTCAGTCGGATACGGGAGCTAGTGGAAGGCCGGGTGGATTGGTGCTACCAGACAACTTCCATCGACCTACTCCACTACATCCTTGGCCTACAAACCAACCTGCTGATGAAAAGAATTCCAATGCTCGACTTCTTTGACGAACTCCCGCCCTGGCGCAAGAATATATCAGTCCATGTTCCATTCCACATGTTGACTGCCTCGCAGCTCATCAGACCTCGCTTCCGCGGCTAAGCTGATGGCGACATCACTCGGTATTGGTCCCGCACTACAGCTCCGAAGATGCATTTGTAATACAAGAACATGCCAATATCTCTATCAACATACATCCAGGACATATACGACACGATACAAGCGCCATATCAAAGTGTTACCATGGGCTCTCACGGCAACATAGGCCATCCAAACGGCACTCCCCGCCTCGCCAATGGAACCGGCCATGGCAATGGATACGAGGAGAAGAAACGACTCCATCTCACGGCATTCATGCGCCCCGTCTCTCTACATACCGGAGCCTGGCGCTATCCCGAAAGTTATCCCGACGCCAACTTCAACTTCAACCATCTCAAATCCTTCATTCAAAAATTGGAATCCGCCAAATTCGATGCCTTCTTCATGGCGGATCATCTCGCAGTCCTCAACATGCCCCTAGAAGCCCTCAAGAGAAGCCACACAACCACTTCCTTTGAACCTTTCACCCTCCTCAGTGCTCTCTCGCAATGTACCTCCAAAATCGGACTGGCTGCCACTGCGTCCACGACATATGACGAGCCATATCACATCGCCCGGCGATTTGCGAGTTTAGATCATATCAGTAACGGGAGGGCGGCTTGGAATATCGTCACGACGGGGAACCCGGAATCTGCGAAGAATTTTGGACAGGAAGAACATCGTGAGCATGGGGATAGATATCGGAGAGCGAGGGAGTTTTACGATGTCGTTACAGGGCTGTGGGATTCGTTTGCTGATGATGCGTTTGTGAGGGATCGCGAGAGTGGGATTTATCTCAACCCTGATAGGATGCATGTGTTGGGTCATAAGGGAGAGCAGTTGAATGTTAGGGGACCTTTGAATATTGCGAGGCCGGTGCAGGGATGGGTAAGTGTGCTCTCCTATTTGCCTATAACTATGCGTGCTTCTCATCTGCCAATACCTGCTGACCCACTCGTATAGCCCGTCATCGTGCAAGCAGGCCAATCCGACCCAGGAAAGCAATTAGCCGCCGAAACAGCCGAGCTCGTCTTCTGCTCTCCGGGAAACCTGGCTCGAGCCAAAGAACTCTATTCAGACATCAAGTCCCGCACCCAAGCCGCCGGACGCTCGAGAGACCACATCAAGATCCTTCCAGCGGCCATGATCATCGTCGGGGACAACTGGGAAGACGCCCAACGGAAACGTCTCGAACTCGATAGTCTGGTTCACTATGACAGCGCGATTGCTCAATTATCCATCTCGCTGGGAACGGATGCTTCGGTCTTTGACCCAGATGCTCCTCTGCCCAAGAACTTACCAGAAACCAACGCGAGCAAGACGGGAAGGGAAGGCGTGATTCAACTTGCTGCCGAAGAGAACCTCACCGTACGACAGATCGCTCAGAGGTACGGAGGGTTCTGGGGTCTTGCCTTTCTCGGTTCTCCCGAGAAGATCGCAGATGACATGCAACAGTGGCTGGACGAGGAAGCTTGTGATGGTTTCACGTGTGTCATGCCCTACCTACCGCAAGGATTGGACGATGTTGTGCAGAAGCTGGTGCCTGTGTTGCAGGAAAGAGGGCTTTTTAGGAAGGAATATGAGGGCAACACGTTGCGGGAGCACTTGGGATTGCCCAGGCCGGGGAATAAGTTCTTTGAAGGGAACAAGACTGGTATCAGAGCGGTCACAGGCGAGGAAACAGACGAGAAGAAGACGAACGGCGTTGTGCCTGCAGTTGCGATCAATGGTGCGCCGGTCAATGAGGCTCCGATGAAGGGCATCCAAAAGGCAGCAGAGGGCGAAAACGGGCATCTCAACAGCACAGGCCAGGATTGGATCCTAGAAGCCACGAGGTAAAGACTCTCGACGCGAACCGAAATTCCAGCCACCGACACACGACCCGATCACAGGGGTTCGCAAATTAGGATAGATTGACGCTAGTTGCTTGGCATACCACTCTGTATACAATCTCTACCAAATAGAGTCTTTTACACGCTGTCCACCATTCAAAGTGAGTTGTCTGCACCTCCATGGCATGCTCTGTATCCTATGCCTGATTTGCTCCATTGAAATCTCATTCCAAACACGTATACAGGCTGCTTTGAGAGCTTGATAGTCCATTTAATATAGGGCCTCTCCATATACCTTTTTTAGGCCTTCTTGAAGCAGCAGCCACACACCTTCAATTGGGTTGAGGTCAGGGCTTTGTGCTGGGTACCAGTGAAGCTGGATTAGCTGTTCTTGCCTTGTCTTTTCAGGTAGATTGTCCTTTGATCTGTGACCATATAATGGATCACCATCTTCCATCAAAATAGCAGGGTGGCCTTGATTCTTCATCCATTTGATCTATTCAATATGCTTTGGAAGGATATGCTCTGCATAGTAGAGCTGGCTTATTGAATTGCCCTTCTTCTGGGTGTGTGGGGGCTCTAAATTGGCCCATTCCTTCAACTCTGCTTGATACTGCTCTTCTGTCTTCTGCCTTCTGTTTCTTCGTGGTTTTTGGCCCTTCCAGATTTCTGTAATATGCCTGTGGTCCCACTATTCATCGTTATAGAAGATAAGGTCTGATTTGTGCTACCAAGAGACAGAGGCTGTGATATGGGCTATTAGATGGTCAGGCTCAGGTTGCTCGTATATCATCCCTTCGTGCTGGCCCTGCTCACGAAAGATTCGCTTATGAAGAGGCATAGCCCTATCAATATGAGCTTCGTCTGTCCAGTGGATCCATTGCCAGAGGCTATCCACTGTCTCTGACCTATGTTAGTGCCCATACTCAATCCTAAGCCTCTTGTTGGTTTGTGAGATCTGTGTGGTGCTCTGCCTCTTACTACGCAGTATTGGTGGCTGCCTTTCTTTCATCCTCCTTCTTAAGGTTGCATATGAGCTTTGTGAATGCTTTTGAAAGAAGCTATAGTCCTGCTTCCTCAGATCTTGGGGCCCCTTAGCCATTATCTCAATCCAGTAGCTAATATCCTTCTTTTTAGGTCCAGGAGCTTCCTTTCGTGGTGGCCTTCGGGTAGGGGATAGCTCAGCTTCTGCTCTGAGTTCTGTACGTTGGTGGAGCCATTTGCTAGCTGTTAAGTAGGCAGGGCACCATTCTTCGTGGTTATATAGCTGGCAGAAGTATTTGAGTGTGTATTGGTCTCTACATGCATCCCAATGGTTAAAAAAACGGGTTCTGTGTGGTGTCTTGAATTGCCCTGGTCTCTTTGACCTTTCTGAATGATTTCTGAGCATAGGAGGCATAGTGGTAGTGATACAGAGCCTTCAAAAGTGGTGTTGGTAGGGAGGTTTGGTATGCCAAGCAACTAGCGTCAATCTATCCTAATTTGCGAACCCCTGTGCGATGATTCTCTTGCTCCTACTCATACCCCTGCAACTCTTCCATCCACAGTCCCACGGTAGCCTCCAATGCGCACCTAAAGCATCTACACCGCCACGCCCGGGCTTGGATTTCCTATGCGAATTTGTGGCGAAGGCACTTTCAAATCGATCGCGGACTGCATCTTCCTCTTACATGTTCATGGTCATACTTGTTGAGCCAAGTAGGGCCTTCAATGTCGCATGGACCGTGAGAAGCTAAAAAAAGACTGTTAGTGAAATCCGGCTTTGGCCAAGGGACAAATGTTCGTTCGTGGTGTCCCTGTTCATGACTTCCTATCCAGAGGTGCCGTTTTTCTCAGCCCTTCTGCAATGCATCAGACACCGTGGGCTCTGCTTCTATACAATATCCAAATCATCATCGTCATCGTCATCATCCAAAGCGGCACCTGCGGCTGCATTGCCGGGTAAGCTGTCCCTGCCGGGCTCTCGAATACCCCTTTCAAGATTGAAACGAGCCTTCTTCTTGGTCGGACTCGAACTCCCGTTGCTCCTTAAACTACTCTGCTGAGAACGTGGACGTACGAGATTGGGTCGTGGTATCGATTCAGCCGAAATCTTTGTCTGTCCTCTTTCTGGGCTGCCCAGACGATTCTCCTTTGGTTGCAAGAGGCCAGCTTTTCTGGCGCCGCCCCAGCCCATCGGTTCTGCAGATCTGCCGTTGAATATCGACATCGAGCCCAGACCGAAATGCTTCTTTCGATCTTTTGCAGGTGACAGCTGAACGTCGCCAGATTTCTTGCCAAGCAAACCCTGCTCGGCGGCTTTGGGCTTCGCGAAGAGCGCGTTGCGGGCGTCGTCTGTAGCGCTGTCTTTCGTCGAGGATACTGTAGACGAGATCGTTGTGGTGGAAGTCGTATGACGATGCTTGGCTCGCATGTATTCTGCTCCGACGCCTCTGCCCATTTCACCCAGCTGCTTCGCGAGGTCCCGCTCCTTCTGCGCATTTGCTATTCGCTTGCGAGAAGCCTCTGCTGTTGTCATGTTGTGTAGAGCATCTGTGTCTTCGGCGTCCAGAAGACTCGCAACGCCTTTGCCGCCGCCACCAGGAACCGAATAGAGCTGCCCGTACTCCCGATGATACTTACCACCGATCTGGTTCTTGTCGCGGTTCTCTCTAGCAGCCTTGCTCTTAACGCCGTCGTCAAGCTTGCCGAAGTCTCGAGCCATGGTGTTCACTTCCATTCTTCCTTTTCGACTCTTCTCGATCTGGAGGTTGATGTGGAACTCGCAGGCCTCTGTTTTGCGTTTGTCAATCCATTCACCACATGGCTGGCCGTCCTTTTTGATGGCACTGCAGTAGCCGAGATCTCGTGCAATGCCAACTTCCATGACCGCATCTTCTGAGCTGCCGAGCTTCAGTGAAAAGCGACCGTTATTCTGGTTCCCTTTTGGGGGAAGAATCGCGGGATTGAGAATCGCCAGAAGAGTCCCGGGGGTGAGTTTCCAAAATTGATTGAACGCAGTGCCAAACAGGAAGCAATCGACCTCCCATTTCAAGTCGCACAGATGCAGTACCATGAATTTGTTCCGTGGAGCTTCATAGTCATCTTTCACCTGATCTGTAGTCTTGTGAGACTGTGCATGATCCAAAGGGTTCGATTTCGACGCCAGTACCGCAAACACGACATAGTCGGACTCGCAATCGGGAGCATCGTAATGCGGCGCTTTAACCTCTTTCAACAGCCGCGGTAGATTGTATACTTCTTTTCCTTCCATCTCCCTTGCGATTGCAGAGTGTGAGATGTGCCGTGTCTTTAGGTGGATCTTGGAGAATGGATCGTAACCAGAATCATCGTCTACGTCGCCAATGTGAAGAGAGGTGTCGCTTTCGTCGTATGCATGCCCTGTTCCCGAATGGTGCCCATATGCTCCAGGATTTACGCCGCCTTTTGAGCGGCTCCGGTCTGTGTCTCGCGATTCCCGGGCGGAGGCTGATCTTGAGAGACCAGATATCCTCTGCGTGACAGAAGAATCGGCTTCCTGTCCAGCTGATGAGGGTCGGGTACTCGAAACATTGGCAAGTTTGGAAGCCCGTCCTGAGGGCGTGGGTTGCTGCGTCGCTCTTGAGGGTGTCTCGGATCTGGTGTGATTGAAACCAGAACTGCGCATACGCTCTAACTTGTCCTTCTTTGCCTGCTTCTCCTCTTCGTCATGCTTGGTCTGCGCCAGTCGCTCGCTGAAACTCTTCGGCTTCGGTAGGTCCTCTTGCCGCAGAGAAGGCTGCGATTTGGCTTTCCTCAATTGACTTCCATCTCGTGCCCTCTTAAGAGAGACGTCCCCGGCTTTGGGCACCGAAGTCAGGCCCAACCTCTGCCTCGCTGGTGACAAGTGCTCCTGTGGTGCTCGCGCGTTCCGTACTGGAGACACTGGGACATCCACGGCGGCTCTGTACAATCGTGTAGGCGAGACTGGTTGCTTTTCGGCCTTTCTCGGACTTGACGCTTTCTCTTGTCTGCTCGATCTTCCACTCCCAATGCCCTCATCCGCCGTTTTCTTCGCATTCTGCAGCTTCTTGAGCTTCAACTTGGCCTGGATAGCTTGCAGCTTCAATTGCAGTGTTTCCTCATCCTCGTCTTGATCATCATCTCCGTCGTCCATATTGGCAGCTTCCTGCAACGCGCGCGAACTACCCATTGTCCTCTGCGTCGGGCTGGGTGATATACTTCTTTCAGATGCGCGACTTCTGTTTTCCTGCCACCGCTTCCTACCGCTTGGCGAAGAGAGGAGCGCTTGGAAAGGAGATTTGGGCGGCCATTGGGCGAGGTTCTTGTCGGGTGAATGCTGCGCGTGCGGTGATTCGCGGACGACGACCATGATCGCGCTGTCCGAAGCGGTAGGAATAGTTAGCTCATACGCGCAGTGTTCCGGATATGTATGTTTGTTGTAGAAGGGATGGCCGTTGTTGGGTCGCACAGTGCATGGATCCGTGGTGTTTCATCAGGTGGAAGGAGAGACGCGACTTTTCGCGCGGGGACGCGTCGACTTCGATCCTCCCCCATCGAAGTTACATCCACAATACCACTTGAACGACTAAGCACTCCTGGAAAGCTGAACTGGATCTCTTGGAAAATCAATATATACTAAGTGTATTATAATGCCTCCCAAAATACGCTCAAAACCCGCCGCACCCAAGAAGAAGGACGAAGAGCAGGAGACCTCCAAACCCGCCATCAAGAAACTTGACGCGAGTGTAGACAACCCGCCGCAGGTCTTCATATTACCCCGAGACACTTCATCAGATGCGCGAATAGCGACAATACCTAATCCCTCGACCGACGTACCGAATCGATATTTGGTGTGCCCGGAGAGAGGCTTCTACGAATTCACCAAAGTCGCAGCGCCGAAAAGCCAGCAAAGGAGTTGGCTGTTGGCACCAGACGGCGAACAGAAGCCTGATGCAAGTGAGAGACAGGAGAAGGATGAGTGTGAGGATGAGAAAGACAGCAACGCGGACGTTGGGTACGTACTACAGGCTCCAGATATGTTGGTCGCAACACCTGTGGATCCGCTATTTCTCCTGCTTCCTTCCTTGGCGGGCGACGGCAAGAGCATAGGACAAGAATACCTCGCGTCTTCAGACTACATCTCAAGCCTCATGGAGTCGTCACGTCAACTGTCACAAGTGCTGCAGCCGCGGATAGAAGGCCACCTGGGACGGACAGTGGAGAGCCGATTGGACGCAGTATGCGATTGCATGGATATGGGTGAAGAGAAGATGTATGCTCTGTCGCTGCCAAAGCTTGTCAAAGAACTCGTCTCCAAGGCCAAGAGGATGACGAGTCGAGGTCTGCCGGCCAGCTTGGAGGAGCGATTCGTCAAGCAGGCTTTGGGAACACCAGTCTTGAGCATCAAGCGGGAGGAGAGCAGTATCAGTATCGCTACGGATGACTCGTCCGCTGGTGCTGAGAGTCAATCTGCTTCTGAAGCTCAATCTCAGGAGACAGATGCCTCGGGTACGACAACAGCTACTGTGTCGACATCTGCCACATCAGTCTCCGTGGGCTCAACGGGTAATGCTCAAAGTGCCCCAGAGGAGATCACGAATTTACTTCGGCTTCGTATCGCGATAAACTTCATCACGACTTCGTACCTCTCGCCTGCTTTGCGAACAAGACTCGAGCCCGTCTTCTCGGATAAAAAGATTACAGAGATCGACTTTTCGCCTCTAGACAAGCACCTTGCCCACATTGCCTCGTTGAAGAAGGAAGCCCAGGCCCTTCGATCATTGAGTGACAACATATCCCGCAAAAGAAGCACAATGGACGACGACGAGGCAATAGGCAAGGCAGAGGCGAAGAAGCGCAAGAAGGAAGAGGAGGAGAAAAACAAGAAGAATGTCTCTCTTGGCATCAAGAAACTCGCCAAAGCGGATACAAGCGGCATGAAGAAGATGAGCAGCTTCTTCACCACGGCTCCGGCCAAGAGGTAGTGGTTCATCTGCTACACCACTGGCGAATTTCACTCAATGCTTTATGCGGCAACGCCCATGCGTCGTCACGGTCGTGAATGTTTTCCTTGTACCGGCTGCGTATTCCGCGTAAAAAAGGGTTTCGCGAGCTCACCTGTCACGCAACAGGTTCTGCATTTTCCTTGTAAGGAAAAGATGATTGCTTCAATGATGGCTAAGCGATTCTTTGACCCTACAATCGCCTATGCGGCTACGAGCGAGGTCTGAGCTGTAGCTAGGTACCCTCTCGCGTTGGACCCTTCGCCGGTGCTGAGTGACCTCGGGAGCTAGTTTTCGAGAGCATCCATATGAAGTGAGCTCTCCATCTCCTACTTATTCCTCGTCCATCAAAGAGTATATCCCACAAAACGACACCCAAGCTCGAGAAGACGACACAATGGCTCCGGCACCCGTGGACACAGCTTCTCTCTCCGCCAAGACCAACGGAAATGGCCAAACCACTGCCAACAAGAAACGCAAGATGGACTTTGAAAAGACTGCGAACGTCGAGATTGGTTTCCATGGGCCGCCGGAAATGGAATTCAAAACCCAAGGGGAGCACAGAGAATATGTCAAAGCCCGGCTCGCCGGCGCCTACAGGATTTTCGGTCACTATGCATTAAACGAGGGCGTCGCAGGTCATATCACAGTTCGTGATCCTATTGAGCCCGAGACATTCTGGGTCAATCCGTTCGGAGTGGACTTCAATCTTATCAAAGCCAGTGATCTTCTCAGGGTGGATCACAGTGGTAACATTCTCGAACACGGACGTGTGAAGATTCTCAATCGCGCTGCCTTCCTCATCCACGGAGCTATTCATGCTGCGAGACCGGATGTGAATTGTGCTGCACATACACATAGCGTGAGCGGTAGGGCTTTCTGTGCTCTTGGGAAAACCTTGGACCCCATTGGCCTGGAATCTTGCATCTTCTATGACGATCACGCGGTATTCGACGGAAAGGGTGTTGTGTTAGCGGAGGATGAAGGCGCCGATGTTGCAGAGGCGCTCGGCGGTAGGAAAGCTGCGTTGTTGAGGAATCACGGAATTCTAACTGTGGGCTCGAGCATTGAGGAGGCCGTCAATTGGTTTTACCTTCTGGATCGATGCTGCCAGGTTCAGTTGATGGCGGATGCTGCAGCGCTTGGAAAGGGAGGAGAGACCGTGAAGATGAGTGATGAGGAAGCTGTCTATACAAGGGGGGTGGCGGGAAGTCCTAGGGCTGGGTGGTTTGGAGGACAGATGATGTTTGACTTGATTGATGAGATTACCGGGAAGAGATACATGGAGTAGGCGTGAGGGTGACGAAGCTTGGGAGATCGAGATTGTTAATTCGGTTTGGAATGTGGCAACGCGAAACGGAGGAACATGATTTAGATGGAGTCCAAGAAGAAAGTGGTTCTCGACAGTCGCTTACGGTATTCCCCGAGTGATTATTCCGGCTCCGTAGTCCGAGTGTCTGCAGGATGGTTCGGCTTTGTTTCGTGTATTAGGTTGCGCTGAAACGGAGAGCTATCTGACACTTATTGACAGCCGCTAGCGGTAAGATTGTTTCACCTCATTTCGACTTCACCTTCTCAGTTCCACCATACGTCGGCGGTCGAAGGGGCATGAATATGCATCTCCTCCCCATCTCCGTCGATTGCGGATACCGACTATGCGAAGCAGACCTGCCGTTTCACGTTCGTCGGCAAGCAAGATGGTACATACCTGCTTCAAGGCTATGGCTAACGTCACCTGCGGATGCCGCACGGGTTCCAAATGTGTCCCAAACAAGTTGTCGGGCAGCGTATGTATCGGACGGAGCCTTGGACATCAGATGAAGTCTAATCGATGGATATGGGTCTACTTCTGATCTAAGCTTGCTGATCTTCCAGCATTCGTGTGCCATAGTGAATGCTACTGGGCTTGCTACGATAGGATGACTTCTCAAGATCATTTCAACGGTGTCAAGTCAAAAAACACTGGGATTTCTTTACAGATCTGCCGGTATTTCTACATATTGGCAAGTCTGGAGCAAGCCACGGCCATACACGCCTGCCTACATTGATACCACCTCGGACCATGAAGACCTGGTCCTTAGAACGCTGCCCAGCTATACTTCGCACGACACGACTGCAAGCCGCGTACTTACTACGCGCGCTTTCTTACGAATGGCTGCATACACGATGCCAGGGTAGTCTGGCGATGCCGATGAAACAGATCCATCGTTCAACGCCATATCAACGACTTTACATTGCATCCGAGGAACATTGAGCTGTTTCATTGGATATCTTTCTTACCATTCCGGCTTCACGTCTGCGAAATTCTTGATGCTGGCCGATGAATGTCGAAAAAGCCGAGCCAATAGCTCTGCAACTTGATGTGGACGGAAGTGTCTTCAGACAGGACTCGTAAGCCGATCTCTTATCGAAAGTCGTTGTGCTTGATCTTTGCAGGGAGAGCAGACGAGTATAAATATCGCTGTCTCTCCCTCCAATGTCTCAAACACTTATCCGCCAGCGCTCATTGCAAAGACCATCACTCAGTCACAGTCAGAACTACTCCAACATCATGCGTTTCTCCATCCTCGCTCTCGCCCTAGTGGGCCTAGTCGCCGCTGCTCCATTTGCCATGGAAGAAGCCAAAGCCGTGGACACTACTGGTACTCAAGAAAAGGCGGCAGACTTCAGAGGCTCAGGTCTTAACAACGGTGGATACATCAACGGCGGGTACGGTGGATACAACAACGGCGGATACGGTGGATACAACAACGGCGGATACGGTGGAATCAACAACGGCGGATACGGTACCGGAGGCTACGGCGGGTACGGTGGATACAACAACGGCGGGTACGGCGTCGGAGGCGTCGGAGGCGTAGGAGGCGTAGGAGGCGTAGGAGGCGTCGGAGGCTACGGCGGGTACGGTGGATACGGCGGGTACGGTGGCTACCCCAACGGAGGAGGCTACGGCAGCGGCGTCGGACCCTACAACTAAGGGAGATGCAACAATGGATGCATCGTAAGTCACATTCCTCCGAATTAACAAATAGCGCTTCGATCGCTGACTGCTACAGCAAAATGGATCCAACAACTGGAGCTAGTGAACCACAAAGCGGTATGCTGCAATGCATTGCCACTCTTTCCAAGCATTGGGCGTCCACTCTTGAGCCTCTGCCGTTGAGATTGCCCCATGCCAGACTGTAATTGGGGGAAGCATCGAAGAGAGGAGACATTCGCTTGGTAGGGAGGACTCGTCGTTCATAGCGAATCAGCAACATAGCTATGGAGTATCATATGAACCTTTCAGACATCGAACTCGCAGCTCTGCTGGATTGCTCAGCAGTAGCTCGATCACGGCTGAGATGCTGTTGACCGAGCATGGACCCGTTGAGGCCTTAACGCTTGAAGAGTGAGACCCTTTGCGCCTACTTTCGCGTGTCGTTCGTTGCTCGGTCATCTCAAGGGAATCTGCTCATGGAGATCGAAATTGATCGTACGAATTTTAGGCGGCGACGATATAATTTGTGGTCTCATTTCAGTAATGGATGGGTTCCTGGTGAAAATACTCCGCAGATACCCTGCTGACAATCAAAGCGTTCGTAAGATCGGCAGAACCTTCTTGTGTTCTCGGCACTTTTGAAAGCTGTCGAACTTGCACGTGGCGACTCCGTCGTAGATATGCGAAGCGCTATATTGCCCTTGTGATATGTCAGCTGCTTGGTACTCGGAGTTGAGCGCGTCAAGAAATGTCGATGCGCAGCGTCTCAAGAGAAATTGCAGGTGTTCAGTTGATGGCCAATGGGCAAATGGCGTTGAGGAGACAGAAAGACAAGCTCATCACGAGCACAGGCTTCCATACGACTGCCTGCCGGAGGCAACCAATAACGATGGCCTTCACTCGTGAACGTGGGATAAGGACTCCACCAAAATACTTGCCGTTCCTGAATGCCCAGAACAGATCTGCATGGGCGGAGCCAAGGGTATGCTCGGGAAAGGCAAGACTTGCCCGTATCCAGTGTTCATCGGTTTAACTTTCGTGTTCGAAATGAGGCACCCAACTCTGTTTAATATAGTCTGAACATTCGGTCGTCTTCTACGGCGATGTTTGTTCTGGTAATACCAATTGTTGATACATCCACTTACCTGTATTGTGAGGTCTTCTTCAGGCTTTCAAGCGCTCAGTTCAGCGGCTGTAGAAGCGGTCTTCAACAGATCTGATCAGCACAATGCTCGAAATATGGCCCTTGAGGTAGTCAGCAGTACAGATTAGGTTAGCAGAACCAACAAGCGTGCATTTGTCCGAACCAAGCCTATGGACATGGCCCAACCCGACATGGAGGGGTATTCGAAATTGCAGACCGGCTGAGTGACGACAAACGAACTCACGAGAGGCCAAGTCGTGGAATAGGAGACCAACATACAAGTAACTTGGGCCTTTCCTTCTTGCTCTTCCTTCGCCATCACTCCTTCTGCCAGAGGTGTACTCACCTTAGTCATTCGTTGCTCGCGCCTAACTTTGTCATTCATTGATTGTAGAGCAGAAGTGAGATCATGCGTTATACCTTTCTTTTGGGCCTCGGCTCCCTCGCCTTGGTCGCAGCTCTTCCCATCGACGACGGCCAGAAGCCGAAGCCTCCAAGCTATGGCGGCGATGGTGGCAGCAGCGACAATTCACCAGTTCCAGCACCAAGCTATGACGGTGGCGGCGGGATGCCTCCGAAGTCTGACAGTCCACCACCACAGCCTGAGACCAACTCCTCACCATCAACGCCTGGAGAAAAGCCCAAAGAGCAGTCATCGCTGAGCCCTCCGTCCAGCGGATCCGGGGACAAATCACCCGAGATGGCAGCGCCACCTGTGCCCGAATCAGGTCCTTCAGCTGGAACCCCTGGAGGCTCAACGACGGCTCCAACTCCTGAACAGCAAGCTCCACCACCAACGCCACAGTCTCCCGCTGGTGCAACATCTGGACAACAAGGAGAATTGCCTTGTCCTGAGGGTGAGGCCGCCTCTGGTGCCAAGCCAGATGCTCAGAGTCCATCTGGTCCAGCTTCTGGACAACCGATGACACCATCTTCTTCCGGCGGTAGCAGCTATAGCGGTGGCGCTCCTCCGCCATTACAGCAACTCTCTGGGGCAACTGAAGGTCAGGCCCCTCAAGGTGGAACGTCGCAAGGCGGTACGCCGCCGCCAACACAGCAACTCTCCGGATCAGCTCAAGAACAATCACCATCAGGTGGAACGCCGCCGACAACACAGCAACTGTCCGGATCAGCCCAAGAACAATCGCCATCAGGTGGAACGCCGCCGCCAACACAGCAACTGTCCGGATCAGCTGAAGGACAATCGCCATCAGGTGGAATGCCACTCGCTGGAGCAGGACCCGGACCAACCCTCGGCGATACCGGCAGTCCTCAACAACTCCCTGGCGGCACGACCGCAGGCGGATCTGGATACACGCCACTCGCCGCAACTGGTGGTGGCCCATCACCAGAAGGTGTCGCTTCTCCCGGACAAGGCACATCACCTGGAACAGGTCTCCAGCCAGGCTCAGGTGCGCTTGGTGGAGCCGGAATGGGTCAGCCGGCTGTGTCAGGAATCATGCCTGGCGGTACGTTGTCACAACTCAAGCTCGACCATGTCGACACTGACCTATTTGACAGGCGGAACCGGCGGCAGCGGAATTGGTGGACCTGGAATGGGTCCCGGTCCCGTCATTGTAAGTCGTCTCTCACTGCCGTTGATTTTACGCTGAAACGCGCTGATATCCTTCACAGCCTCAAGGCACGGCCGGCAGCGCTGGTGGCTCTCCTGGCGCCGGCATTGCTTCCCCTGGCGTGGGAGGATCTGGCATCGGCGGTGGTACCACTGTAAGTCTAATATCTTCACCCGTTATTCATCCTCATACTTACCTTCTCAGCCTCAGAGCGCGGGAGGAGCAGGAGGCTATCCGCCCATTACTGGTCCCCAAGGCGGAGGAGGCTACCCTCCTGTTAGTGATCCTCAAGGCAGTGGATCAGGCTACCCGCTGGTGACCGGTCCTCAGGGTGGAGCAGGCTACCCGACTGTTGCTGATCCACAAGGCGGAGGAGGCTATCCTCCTGTTACTGATCCTCAAGGCGGTGGAGGCTACTCTCCTGTTCCTGTTACTGATCCTCAAGGTGGCGGAGGAGGCTACCCGCCTGTTACGAGTCCTCAAGGCGGTGGAGGAGGCTACCCGCCCATTACTGATCCTCAAAGCGGCGGAGGAGGCTACCCGCCTGCTACTAGTCCTCAAGGCGGTGGAGGAGGCTACCCGCTAATTACTGACCCTCAAAGCGGCGGAGGAGGCTACCTGCCAATTACTGACCCTCAAAGCGGCGGAGGAGGCTATCCACCAATGTCAGGCGGCAGCCAGGCTGGTGGTTCTGGCTACTAAATTCAATTAGTCTTGGGTCAGTACCGTCATTACCCACGACAAGGGGGACCAGCAGCTAATATAAGCAATCAGGATATCCACATTCAGTCTTGCACGCTGTGCATAGAAGCATCACCAGAGGTCTATGAGGGACCGAGGTTTTTCCATTGCAGACGGTTCTGCGCTTTGTTCCATACCTAGCATGTGTCTCTCACCTGTGTAGAAAGACTTCGTGCGGAGGTCAGCGGACTGTGGCGTTCCAGCATGTAATATAATGTTTTCAGCTGGTTCGTCTTTAATAACAGTCTGGCTGATTTGGATGCACCTCTTTTCCTTTATCAATCGCACCATCTGCTCGCGTCCCTACTGGTATCTCGCAGCTTTCCCGCCTGTCGGATGTGGTTTTGCGTACGCTCTAGTATGGCCATCAGCGTGATCAATGCCGCTGTTTCCACTGCATCTCCAAACTCGTCAATCCAGTCAATCTGCATGTGCCTTGATCCCGTTGCGCCGTGGACGCCGTGTTGTAGGTAGACGGCAATCGGATCGCCACCGGCAATGACTTTTGGTGTCGCCTGATGGAATACGTGAGGGTGTGCCTTCTCGCCAACTCGGGTTTCATCCAATAGCTTGTAGTCATTGCTCGCAAGCTTGGAAGAGCCGAGCGCCGTGGAGTGAGTCTTCTTCCATACCAAAGGTCTCCCCATCACGGTAAAACGGTACGAGTCTGACTTGTGGAGCAAGCCACCGTCTTTCGTGTGCCGAACGGAGATCCAGTCGTTGTCATTTGGGTGCTGCATGGAGCCAATGTGAATCTCGAAACCGCCGTTCTGGCGAGTTGGCAGTCTCGCTCGAGCCACGATATTCCGTGACTGATGGCGACCCATGACCAGTTCGTGGACGTTCATCTCAATCTTACTGGAGACGTGAAACACGGCTTGATTGCATCCACTTTGGTTGATCGTGAGGCCGTTGTTGCTTTCCCATATTTCGTAGCCGTGCTTTGATGAAGCTATTTTCTCCTGAATGGCGTCGAATGTGTGCTCGTCGCTCGCCCTATGAGAAGTGGTGTCGACAGCTCTTGAATCTGCCAGGGCCGAGTAAGCGGGTGGCGGATATGGAGGCGGCTCGTCGTCCAGGAAATGGTCTTGAGAAGTCAGCATTGTCGCGATGGGCCCGCAATGGGCTCTGCTAGGAGTCTCGAGCAGACAAATTGGCGATGGAAGAGGATTTTCGAGGTGTGTAGATGTGTTGATGGTCTAGATGCGGCGTCTTATCACGGCGGGTAAGGATCGCACTGACGATGACGAATCGCTTACCGCCGACGCTTGGTCAATTATTATATCGTCTCGTACTGAGACAAATTTTCTGGCGATACATTTCGAATTCTTGTGAGCGCCTAATCAGCGCTACAGAGGGTTGGAAATGGATACGTCCGCCGTTCGAATGGATATGAAGAAGAGCGGATGGTCAATAAGCGGAGCGTAAGGCTTTTAGTGGATTCTATGGCGGGCAATATCTGCTTATTTCAATAATTACAGTACATTTCGATCGCCGAGCCGCACCCTTGTCCGGGGTCGACGACATCATCTTCATCGACGATGCCCCTTCCACCATCCTCTTTACCGCGCACAAACGATAGATGAACAGAACCGCCCTCCATGCCGCCTACAAAGGTCTTATCCAGCGTGGCCGACTCGTACCAGACCAACACCAAGCAGCCCTGGTGACACGATTAGCCAACCTACAAGATGAACTCCTCGAAACAAACGACAATGGCGCCTCGATCCTCCCAAGCACCCGACCTGTTGACGCTACCAAGGGCCTCTACATCTACGGCTCAGTCGGAACAGGTAAATCTCGTCTGGCAGATCTCTTCGCCGCGACCCTGCCATCTTCCGTCTCCAGACGACGGATCCACTTCCATGAGTTCATGATGGACGTGCACACCCGTCTCCATAGAGCTCGTTCCCGACCAGGCTACGGCGGAGACCCTCTGGTGCAGATTGGACGCGAGATCGAAGCCGAATCCCACGTTCTGTGCTTCGACGAGTTCCAGGTGACGGACATCGCCGATGCCATGATTCTGGGTCGGCTCTTTGGTTCCATCTGGCGGCAGGGAGGCGTTATGGTCAGTACCAGCAATCGACACCCAAACGGCTTGTATGAAAATGGCCTGAATCGGGATCTCGTCCTACCATTCATCCGAGAGCTACAGAGGCGCTGTGAGGTCTGGGAAATTGGTGGTAAGGATGACTATAGGATGAAAGGGATCCAGGAGGAAGACGCATCTGGGAGACTGGAGACGTTCTTTACGGACCCGTCGGCCTTCTACCAAAGCTTGGAGCGTGCGCTAGAGGGTCGAAAGGTACAACATGTCTCTCTGCCTGTCTATGGCAATCGCTCCCTTCAAATCAGTGCCGCCCCTTCGCACGACGTCGATCCGAGCAACGAGAAAAGAAAATTTGATCTCGTACACGGAACTTTCCAAGACCTGTGCGAAGCCTCATTGGGCTCAGGTGACTACCACGCTCTCTGCTCTTCCACCGAGAAGATTTTCCTCTCCGGCCTTCGCCCATTCCGTGCCGGAGAAAAAGACTCCGTGCGACGCTTCATCACCATGATAGACTTGGCCTACGAAACCAGAACACAGGTCATCTGTCTGTCTAGTGCACCCTTGGGCGAAGTATTCGCCAACATTGTGCCGGTGGATAGCCGATTGAAAAGTAGACTTGCCGAAGGCATGACTGTCAAAGGCGAAGGAGGCAGCAGCTCGAGTATGATGAGTACGTTCATTGGAGATACCGAATGGTCTGCGACTGGCCTCATGGAGGCTTCTCTCGCTACCGGGGGTGCTGGAGAGACGGATGTTGGGTTTGCTATTGGAAGGGCCATTTCACGCCTGTATGAGATGGGTTCGAGAAGCTATAGCACACGTGATTGAAGTAATATCGACAGGGTACTCATCTCGTGATAGACTTCCGAACTTCGCTTGGTTTTCTTCCGCTTGTTTGGACGACTTGTTGCTGCTGGCTCGAAGAACGGAGACGCGAATGCAATGCCATCCGTGGCGTGGGCGCGGGCGCGGGCGCGTAGATTTATACTCGAACCGCTTGGTTCCTGGCGCTATCGAATTCATGTCGCGGACTCTGACGCGGAAGGAGTGGATGGATTAAAGTCAAATGGACAGTATACTCGCCTCGCGCGGTTGATTTCCATTTCGTACCGTCCGATTCGGGATAAAACATCGTCACGTCCACACGCTCTTGTTCTCGAGAGGAGCTAATCTTCTCGTACATGGATGAAATTGGTAGCTGCAATTGGAGCCTACGTGATGGGAATCAACGGAGACTAAGCGTTACGGACGTGACTGGCCTTTCGCTAGCAAAACAAACGCGTCGATGATAAGTACAGAGGATGCAGAAACCAGCTGCGTCTCATGTGGCTTTTGGCTTCTTGGAGAGGCACCAGCCAGCTGCGACTCCCGTGGGAAGAAGAGGCTTCCCAGTTACACAGGCGGTGGAGGCGAGCGGGCCGGTCTTGGAGGAGGGGTACTCCTTCCATGTGAGTACGGCACCGGGGCAGCGTGCTTCGCAAGCGACGAGTCGTCGCGATCCCGGTCCCCAAGATCTGTAATGTCCACGGCGATTGCGGCCTTGTCTGCCCGTTCGCCAATGAAAGTGTCCGAGCCTTCATCATTCCCGACGACGGTCTCCATCGTGCTGTACTGGTCCCTGTGGCTTCGCTTCGAGCGTTCCAAGTTCGAAAGTTCAGCGGAAGCATATTCATGCTTTTGTGCACTCCGACCTGGCCGTCCGGTTGCCGCAGTGCTGCCGTATTCGCCGATGAGGCGCGGTGCGACATTTTGTAGGAAGAGACGAAGGATGGGTAAGCTGCCGCAGATGACGATGAGGTTACTTTCGATGCAGATCCAGATCGCTGGTTTGAGAATTGCCCACGACATATCTGTAGCTTTGACGAGAGGTGGCATTAGGCACAAGCGAATCATGCTGGTTACCATGGTCCTGGGCACGCGTCAGACGCCGTCAAGGCTTGAGTTGGAGACTCGACTCACGTGCTCCCGATGCTGAATATGAACAGTAGGCCAAGCTTTTGTATGCGCTTCACCTGGAGCTTATATATCATAGGCATTGGTAGGATCTGCACATCTTGGTAAGTTCCGCTCAGGTTGCCAGTCTGGGGCTGTGGTTGGGCTCACCAGAATCACAATGTCGGTCGTCGCATTGAGTCCGGCCGTGGCCAGATAGATCTTCCCACGGTTGATACAATGCCCTTCCGTCACGGTCACATCCCAGACCCTGACCAACGGCGTGCAAGCGAAGATCAGACTGCAGGCGAGCGCTATGCCATACGAAACAACCACGCCCATCGCAGCATATGTCGCAAGAATGAACCATCTTTCCCGAGCAAGTTTCAAATAGAAGAGCAGAATGGCAATCTTCGCCGTGGCCAAAACGATAAGGTAGGTGACAGAATCGACAGACGTAACCAGTACCAGATTCTTGAGTTGCTGCACGCTGATGTCCCACACGTGCGTTCCCATGGTCCTGTCCGCCATATAGTAGACAATCGTAATTTGTACAGACAAGGAAGCGGCCCAGGAGATTATCAGGAGGATGTCGTCCAGTCCAAATATCCGAGCCAGAAATGCTTTGGTGTAGACTCGCATGGCCAGGAAAGCGGTCGATATAACCATCCCCACGATTGCCAAAGTGATACCGGGTAAGACTTCTTTGCGGACAGGATCAATGAGATTGGAGGTGAAGCCTGGAGGCGCCGAAGCCGCCGGCGTGTGGTTCAAATCCGTCGGCGTGGGTGACATGGTATGTGCTGCCCTTTCCCTTGCCCTTCTACTCTGCTCCGTTTTTTCAGGTGCCAAATGTCCGAGGGCGGCAGGTCGACAAAGCAGACTCACTTGTTACACATGTATTTAAGAGCAGCAGGAGACAGGAGAGGTCCGCGGATTATCGCAGGTTAGAGTCGGGTGATATCCGTGATCTTTGTCACTTGAGTACAAGATACAAGATCCAGGGACGCCAGCAACGTCCCCAGCACAGTAACTTCATTACGACAAGGTCGTTCGTGAGGCCAGTGTGAGCGTGGTGCTTGGAACTGCACAGACTGTTGTCGCCACATTTAGTCTTGGCATCACAAGATTGCAGACCATGCCGCTGCTGAAAAGCGTATTCAACCAAAGATTGGAATTCCGTACGCACCCCTTCGGTCGGAGAGCTGCAACATGTCATCGAAAGTCTACACTCGAAAGTCAAGTATGAAGCTTCATGGCAACCGGGTTAGGGGGAACGCGGGCATGGGGAACCTCGTACCGGAGTCCGAATTAGTGGTGACAGACCACCATGACACTGCGTGAGCACCCTCTCAGGCGGCAGATGTAAACAAAGTGGACCTCTACAGTCGGAAGTCTCCAACCTCCAGCTTGGGCGATATGCGGCCTCGAAGGAAGGCGTAGTGACGCTCCGGAGTGTGCAGAGCGCGTCTTGGATCGTCTCCTGGGCAGCCCGCCAGTAGGAGACTCTCCACGATGCTGCGAGATTGAGAAGCATGGGAGGAGAGGTGGACAGGGAAAAGGCTGGAGCTGTCAATCTGCGCCCCTTAACCCACTCCTCCCGACCGGCTTCTTCAGATATCCGTTGTGCCCGCAAAAGAGCTCGTGGCAGCTGTTACCAACAAAGCTACAATTGAGTTGCTTGAGGATGCATTATTTGATGAAGGTAATGTAATATGAGGAAGAATGAGATTTGGTACGAGGAGGAAGGAGACATGACTAAGCTGAGCACGGAGACGTCCCGTGCACGTGTCGACGCGTGCACGAGAAAAAGCGGAGAATCTGGGACTAGCGCGAAACATCGCTGCAACCTCACCGCGTCTCTGATCTCTTTTCATCTGCAAAACTTCCATCTCTTTCTCTCTCTCTCTCTCTCTCCACACCAATGCAGACATCATCGACGCCCCATGAGCTGTCGTTGATCATCCTCAGGCTGAGCTGAGCGAGAACGGTCTGGACCACGCGTGTCAGGGTCGTTGCCAGCCAGGTTAGGAGATGAATCCACTCTCCGCGCGATGGGAACCTTGCCTTGTGGAGGCCGGTCCAGCAGACGTGCCTGAACATTGCATATCCGTATCCGTCCTCCATCATCCGGATTCATGCAAGGAGCCAGGAGAGATATACTGGCATACAAAGCATCCTCTCTTGGCGTTCGGGCCCTCTATGGTCGTGGAAATTTAATTCGAATGCAGCGAGAATAATCACGGGAAGGTCGTGCGGCTCAGAATGGATCGTGTCGGATCGCAACTGGATAAGTACCCCGGAATTGCAAGCAGTGGTTATCAGTTTGCGCCTGTGCTTGTTGAATTTCCTGTCCTCGACTGTACCATGCCGCAGCAACGAGGATGTGCTAAGTGTCATAGCTGCGCTCCCTCATTATTATCATTGAACGTGGGAGCTCTCTACTTGCCCACTTCCTTTCCTTTACTTTCTGCACAAACATACACGCGTGATCGAGCAAACATGAGGCTGCAGCTGCTTCTGTCCTCCGCCCTCCTGCATCTTGTAGCTGCGAATGAGTTTGGATCACATTCACATTGTGTACGCCGACGGACGCACCCTTCCACAAGAACCAAGATTTTGACAACTCAATAGTGCGAGGCTCTCCGAAAAGCCGGTCTGGGACAGTCACTCATATCTTCCACCAACGTCTTCGCTTTCCAGACCAGCCTTGCGAAATACTTCTCATTGTCCGCGAGACTGTCACCGCAATGCTTCTTTCAACCACGAGACTCCACGGAAGTCTCCGAGGGCATCAAAGCACTTGTGAGAGCAAACCAGACGCAGAGCTGTCAATTCGCAGTAAGGTGCGTTGAACAAACGACTTTTGTGAGACTATGTTGTTGACAATGCGCTCGTGCAGAGGCGGCGGACACATGCATTGGGCGGGCGCAGCCGGCATTGAGAAAGGAGTGACGATCGATATGGGAAAGATAAATCATGTCGCGTATCACGAGCAGAACAGCTCGGTCTCTGTAGGAGCAGGTGCCGTCTGGGGCGAAGTCTATTCCTACCTGGACAAGATCAATATCATGGTGACTGGAGCTCGATCATCAAGTGTTGGTACTACACCACTACTCTCCTCTCAATGCCTATTCAAGTGCTGACACACTCCTGATTAGGTGTCGCCGGCTCAACACTCGGTGGCGGAAACTCTTACCACGCCGGAAGCAGAGGTCTTATCTGCGATGGAGTCCTGCAGTATGAGATTGTGCTGGGCGATGGTAGCATTGTGACCGCAAGCAAAGACGAGCGAGCCGACCTCTTTCGAGCCCTCAAGGGTGGCAGCAGCAACATGGGACTCGTTACCCGATTCGACTACCAAGCATATGAGGGCGGAAAGATGTTTGGCGGTGTGATCAAGCACTCGCTCGACACGGCAGACCAACAATTCGCTTCACTACACAAGTTCGCCAACGCTATCAACTTCGACCCTTACAGCTCGATCATCGTGATCAGCAATTACTTCTCCATCATGAAGGATGGTTTCTTCTCGGACGTTTTGGACTACGCAAAGCCAGCGAAGCGTTCGGAAATCCCGATCATGAGAGACTTCCTCGCCATCAAGAACAAGCTCGGTGATTCCACGGGACTGAGAAACATGACGTCTCTTGCACACGAGTTCGAAGTGCCAAAGGACAGCCGGGTCTCCTTCAGCACCCTCACATTCAAGAACGATGTTCGCGTCATGAGGAAAGCGCACGAAGCATTTCTCCAAGTCGTCAGCAAGCTCAAAGCTGAAGCGAAAGGAAGCTGGGGTATTCTTACCCTCTACCAACCAATACCGACCATCTTCGCCAAGCACGGGAACGAAAATGGCGGCAATGTGCTAGGCCTGGATCGATTCAAAGACACATTGATTCTATATGAACCTTACCTGAAATGGGAGGGTTCCGATCAGGACGAGCTCTTCAATGGCCAATCTCATTATCTTCGCGAAGTGGTCTCTACCTACGCCCGGAGCATCGGAGCAGACAACGAATGGCTCTATCTAAACTATGCGGATCGCGACCAATCCCCGCTCGAAGGCTACGGAGCAGAGAATGTGGCCAGGATACGAGCGGCGTCGAGGAAGTACGACCCAGAAGGTGTCTTCCAATACATGATGCCTGGAGGGTTCAAGGTCTCAAGGGTAAGAGCGCCCTGTAAGCAGTACGACTTGCGCTGAATGAGATCGTCATGCTAACATCGCTCGCGTGCAGGTCGATGAGGAACTTCTACATAAACATCACCACGATTCTGTCTATGGTATTTGCTGGGCTGATGAGATGGCTAGAAAGGTGTTCGGGTATCAACTTTATGGGAATCGGGGCGACGCTGGTGTAGGCGCTGCCAGAGGAGCATTGCATGGTCGGAGTATCTAATACCAGCTTCACTTCGATCATAATAGCTACCTAGGTAGCACCTGACGATTGTTGCGTTGCGAATGAATTACCTAGGTATTTCAAGGCCGTCGCACATGGTTGCTCCCTTGATGCCTCAGGCTCGCAGTCTGGCGCCGCGGCATCTCCTTGCACCTTAGTCTATCTAATGTTTGAAATTGATCGCAGACTGTTGGACACAGCCACCATGCCAAAGATCGGAAAGTCCGTTTCCTCGTCCGCCATGACAACCATTACAGTCTTACGAATGGTCTCCAATCTGCCTTTACACTTCTGCCAGCGCAGATGATGGAAGCTTCCAGCCAAGATTCTTGAGCTCGTTTAGGTCCAAGAAGCATCGTAGCCATCTAGAGTCTGCAGCACATCGCTGATGGGTGTACCAAAGGGCAGCGCGACAGGAAGCACTGGAAAAGCCATGCCAAACCGTGTCCCCAGGACTGACATATGCGCAGTCAAACGGGGCGAAGAAAGAGCCGCTGAAGTCACAACGGCTACAATACCTGTCTGACTTACCGTAGCTAGATCAAATTCTGGTCCACGGATCTGCAGGACGTGCATCCGATTGGGGCTGGCAGGACGAAGAGCCGATTCAAAAATCGGAATCGAATATTTCGCAAAGCAGACGCTCTTCAGAGGTGATGTGTGTGCACCGGATACTACCTCCTATCGCGTTCTTAGTCGCTTACTCGCATTTCACGGAATAGGGGGTTCGCTGGAGCTGTGCGAGAAAGGTTTCCAAACTACATTCGGCTCTCGCACTTACTGATAAAGGATTCGTGTCGAGCTGGTGCCTGTGTATATAGCCCGACGTTGACTCGAATAGTCCTGGTGGGGAGTCATGCAGTGCCGATAGTGAACCTGACCAGAGAATTGTGGTGGTATACCATATCATTGACTATCCAGGATAGCTATATAAGCCTGCCATGTGCCAGAAAGAAGCCGTCATCGATTTGGGGGTGTTCGATGGGATCTGGGGCCGTCCGATCTCCAGCGCACATCAGCTACGCGTACAGAGATGGCGGATGTTAGCGTCAATCAGATACCGGACGCCCGCCCGAGCAAAGTTCCGGAGAGCCAGAGCGCACGCCGTGGAAAATGCACACAGTTGCAGTGCAGCTAAGGTGTGGGTGTTGCTGCGCGCCGGCAGCTCCTGCAGTGTGGCGGCGAGACACCTGATGATGAGCCGCGCATCGTCGTCGTCGGCGTCGTCGTCGTTCGAGTCAATGATCTGTAGAGGCACAGCACAGCACAGGCACAGGTGGCGAGGGCTGTTTAGCCTGCAGATCCTTGCTTATCATATCCCTGCCCTGTGAAGACGGACCTGTCGACGGGGCCTGTTCACGACTCTTACTCTACACCTATTATTATTACCTGCGTGCGAGCACGACTTCCTCTTCATCTCTTCGCCCTTCGCTTCGCCTCTCCCTCCCACTGATCCCGACGCCAGCATCCCCTTCGCGTCCGCAGAAGCACCATTCTCGGTGTGGCGATTCCATCTCTGTCGGCATCGGCTGGAGGACCGGGGACCACGGCCAACTGTGTCGACGTCATACAAGAACACCGCTGCCTCCCACCTACGTGCGAACAAACAAACGGACGAACGAACGATCGGGACCACGCCTGCTCTCTCATCCCGCGCATCTTCCTCGTCGAATACATGGAGGTGTTGGGTGACAATATTGCCCTTGTATGATTCTGCTCCAGGCAGGACGTTAGAAAGAAGCGCAGCTCACACACCCCGAGGAGCGGCCGCGGTCTCCCAGCCCTCGCGGCGCCGGTAGCCTTGATGATCCAAGATGGCGACATATTGGAGAAGAGCACCATGTCTGTCGCTCTAGCAGCGCACGAGGACGCGAGGCAACTGGTCCGACTGCTGCAGTGCACGCAGTGCTCCAGGCCATTCAGGAATGCAGTCACCCTGCCCTGTGGCAACTCCCTGTGCAGAGAGTGCTTGCCCGAGGCGCACGAGCGTGAGCACATCTCATATCCAGACTTGCCAGGTCGTCGACATGGCTTCGAGTGTCCTTTTGGAGACTGTGCCATCGACCACCCGGCTTCCGACTGCAATACCGACGTCATCTTAACCAGACTGATGGACTCCATCTCGCAAGTCGTGGCCAGACACAGCTCCCCCGTGAACCATGAGCCTATTCTGACGAATGAGGGAATGCGATATGACGAGGTCGTCAGCTCTCACCCACCCGACGAACCGCAAACGCTACAGTATTCTGGTGGAAGGCTTGTCGCCACATTCTCCTTGGCAGCAAAAGGGAAGCTAAAACACGATGCCGACCTGGCATATCAGAGCAAGACGAACGATGTTGAAGCGGAGCGAGCCGCGGACGTCGGCCTCTTGCAAGACATATTCGAGGCGACGCAGAAGGAGGTGGATTGCCAGGTATGCTATGGAATGATGCTGGATCCCGTCACGACATTCTGTGGCCATACGCTGTGCCGCAAATGTCTTGCGCGGGTTTTGGACCACTCTCTGCACTGTCCCGTTTGCAGGCGGAGCCTTGCGATTCCACCATCCCTGCTCAGACAACCTAGCAATCAGACCCTAGTCAGTCTCCTGAACGGACTCTGTCCCGACATGGTGGCTGCGAGAGCAGATGCAGTCACGCAAGAAGAGCTTGGTTCGGACGGCCATACGAATGTTCCCTTGTTCGTCTGCACACTTGGCTTCCCGAACCAGCCAACGTTTCTGCGCATCTTCGAGCCACGGTATCGCCTGATGCTCCGACGAGCATTGGAAGGAAATCGGCAGTTCGGAATGCTTATGTACAATCGGTATAACGAGCCTCAGGAGGAACTCGGAACCGTGCATTTCTATCAGTATGGAACGATGCTGGAAATCGTGCACGCTCAGATGATGGCGGATGGCACCAGTCTCATCGAAACCCGTGGGCTGTACCGTTTCCGCGTCAAGTCGCATACCACCTTCGACGGATATCTGATCGGAAACGTGGAACGCATGGATGATGTCAACCTCGCCGAGGAGGAGCGCATCGAGGCGGAAGAAACATCTTTAGCACCGGCCGGGGACGAAGCGGAGGATGATATCACTGCTCAGATCAATCGCACGCCAACACAAGACCTGGTGGCTTTCGGCCGAGAATTCATTGCCAAGATGCAAGGGCGGAGTGCGAATTGGCTCCAGCAGAGAGTCCTCGATGTCCACGGACAGCCTCCCGAAGACGCGGCGCTCTTCCCCTACTGGTTCGCGAGCGTGCTCCCTATCAGCGAAGAGGAAAAGTACAAGCTCTTAGGCACGCGTACCGTGAGGGAGCGCTTGAAGATCACAGCAATCTGGATTCGGAGAATTGAGACTCAGCGATGGTAAGTGCCAAGTCTTCCTTCCTCGCAGACGCAGTTGCTCTGCAAGTCACCCAGGTCTGAAGCTGACCGCCTGCCACCCAAGGGTCGCGCAATTGTTTTCACTGGACTAACTCATGACCCAGGTACCAGAGCAATTCGTGCCGCATCTTATGACTATCCGCGATGCATTACTTTGGACCAATCTGCTTTTTGCTTGTTGCCATGATCCTACACTGGTGCCGTTCGGAGGACCAGAAATGATTTGCTTTCTCCCTATTTTTGGACGACGAATGAGACTTTTTGAACCAGATTTGTACAGATCTGATTCGTACATGTTATGCACGGCGCTGGCGCATCTTCTCGAAGCTGCCTTTTTTTGGAGAATGGACAGACGGGAAAGAGAATGCATAGTGTGAGGCGTTCTTTTTGCGAGGGTTTGCATGGACTGCTCGTTTCGCTACTGCTACGCTGGACGATGTTGGTCAGATGGATGATAGCCAAGGCTACGGGAATGGAATGAAGGGACATTTTTCTTTTTCAAAGCTATCCCATGCCTCTTCGCAGTGTCGTCGTCGTCGAGCGTGATTGGAGGCAGTGATGTACCAGCGCACTATCACCCTCTTCGGCACGTGCGCCACCCTCCCAGCAGCACTACGCACAATGGTGCTGCAATCTACCGCTCACCAAGAACATTGGCACTTGCGGTTCCCGAAGCAACGTGGTCCCGCACATGGCTATGTGGAAAGCGAAGTCTTGGGAGAGTAATGTGATTGGAGAAATGTATCGTTGTACGATTGGAGTTCGGAACCCCGGGGATTTCATTGGCGGGGCAAGCGCCGAAGCTGAGATGGCTTGGGGTCTCGGTCTTGCACTCACGCTCCTTGACTCCTCCACACGCCTCGAGAGAAGCCACCGCTTGGTTGCGACCACTCGTTACGCGCGCAAGCAGAGAGCTCCCTTGATCCTTTCGTCTGGTATATGGCTCTGGCGCGTGTTCTACCCCTTCCATTTCCCCCAACTGACTGTACCGCTTCTTTGAATCTCCAATGCGCCTGGCAACCCCCCGATGCTCCTCTTCTCGACCGACGATCGTTCGTACTGCCTGAACAGGACGGCGCTTGACCGGGAACAGCAGTAGCATATCCTAAGACTCGAATCGTAGTACCGTGGGACTATCTCCGGGCATCGTCTGTCTAGTAGGGCGACGCCGCCATGTCGCTCAAGCAAGAGATTGAAACCTGGGTCACCGCGCTGGCCGCGTACGACAACAATGAATTCGGCAATGCGATCAAGTGCTTCGAGCAGATTGCGGATACATCGAAGATCTTGTTCAATTGCGGAGTGATATACGCGACACTGGGAGAGCACCATCGGGCGGTGGAATGCTATCAGAGAGCTGTCCAGCTGGATCAGTATCTGGCCATTGCATACTTCCAGCAAGGCGTGAGCAATTTCCTCATGGGGGATTTCGAAGAGGCGCTGGCGAATTTCAACGATACGCTGCTCTACCTCAGGGGAAACAACAACATCGACTATGAGCAGCTGGGACTGAAGTTCAAGCTGTACTCTTGCGAGGTGCTGTTCAATCGGGGACTGTGTTATATTTACCTGCAACAGACGGATGCGGGGATGCAGGATTTGATATATGCGACGAGGGAGAAGATGGTGCCAGACCATGATGTGATTGATGAGGCTATTCGCGAGCAGGCGGAAGGGTACACGGTGTTTTCGATTCCGGTGGGAGTGGTCTATCGACCGAACGAAGCCAAGGTCAAGAACTTGAAGACGAAAGATTACCTCGGGAGAGCGAGGCTAGTAGCACAACAGGATCAGCAGAACCAGGATGCCAGGCGGCAAGCGCTTGCGGCTATAGGGATCGACGACAGACCGGGGGAGAAGCTTTCGTATGCTGCATTGAACTTGGTCAGGCCGGATTTACGAAGCAGAGGCAGACAACAATCAGAGCCACCGCTCCAGCGTAACGTTTTCCCTCCCACACCACCGCCCGAGCCAGAGCGACCAGACTCAGCGCACGGACGGCGAAAATCGACCGAGAGCACAAACTCCGAGAGATCGAATAAATCCAGCATCCAGCAATCGCGACCAGCAGCGAAGCCTCTCCGGCTGGAACTCGGCGTCGCGGCCTTTGAACAGAAGACTTCTTCTTCGTCAGCAGCAGCGGCAGCAGAACGACCACGCTTGGGACCAAAGCGGTCTGAATCAGAACGCCCACCCATGCGACGAGAATACTCCGGCGGTTCGTCATCAACAACAACACGAAACCAACGACGCGCCGAAGCGCATCGCTCTCGCGAGATCCCGGAAGTGCGGATTGAAGAGGATCCGATTCAGGCGTACAGCGAGCAGGCCTCGTCACAACCACAACCACAACCGCATCACATGCCCAGCAGATCAAGTGCCCATCGCAGTCAGCCCTTACCGATCGAAGAAGAAGCGGAAGAGGAAACGTACGGCGTCTCGCCCTCCGATTACGCCCATTCACCGCTCGCTTTTGAAATTGTCCCACCAAGACCGTCCGGTGGCAACCACCATCATCCTCATCACCACCACCACCGCTCGCATTCACGACGCGCGCCTCCTCCGCCGGAGATCCGCAAGATCCGCATCAAACTCCACGCGGAGGACATGCGATACGTGATGACCACACCCTCGGCCACGTTCGACGAGCTCTCCGAGCAGATCCGCGCGAAACTCGGCCTGGGAGGCCAGGCGGATTTCAAATTGAAAATGAAAGACGACGAAGGCGATCTGGTGACTCTGGGGGATCAGGATGACTTGGATATGGCCGTGGGTATCTGTAAGGGTGTCGCTGCGCAGGCGAGGTTGGATATGGGAAAGATGGAATTGTGGGTTCAGGAGATCTGATTTTGAAATTTTGGTTTTTCCTCTTAACGAATGGATGTGATGGATGATATATGGTATGGTATGGATGGATGGAATGAGGGAATCAGGGATTCTTCTTCTGTGTTGTTGTTGTTGTTGTTGTTGTTGTTGGTTTTTTTGGGGGGGGGGGGAGGGGGAGGGTCTTTGTATATACCCGTTTCTTTCCCTTTTTTCGCGCCGCTTGTGCGTTCGTTGTAGGTATTATCATAGCATGTCCAACATCATCGACAGGACCAATCTGTACGACGGATCCCAGATGTGACAAAGTTTCCCCAAGTCTTGAACTTGTCTCGAGATAGTGTGCTCACATTTCCCTCCGACTTCATCGTACCTCTGTTATCAGTCCGTCGCCGTTGACGAGACGAGGTACGGAAGTTGGAAGATGCTATACCATTCTGGCGGCTTACGACGATTCTTTCTTTTTTTTTTTTTTTTTTTTTCAGAGCGATACATGTATCTACCGGAAATTCTGATTCTGGAATCAATCAAAAGGTGCTGAGGTATCTATCGGTCTTTCCCTGCCGCTGAGCCGTACGTTACATAACATGGTGGCTTGTCTTCTGACCTGACCTGACCTGACCTGACCTGAGGTATTGAATATTGTACTGCTAGGTATATTTACCCAATCTGGGGGAGTTTCCTTCCTTCCATCCATCCATGGTAAGTGGGTGGATATGCACGAGGTGGCCTTGTTGTTGCTCCTAGATACCTACCTTTTCCCAGGCCACTGCATAATAGCAGGGAACAATAAGAACTCCTCCAAAGCAGAACAAGTGGAAGTTACGGCGCGGGATATATTCCTCGGGATTTTAATGACCTTTTACTTCCCACTTCCCACTTCCCACTTCATTATGCAGAAGAGAGGGCTCTGAGACCGACTGTCGGCCGTCGTCGTGTAGGAGAGCTCGCCGGGTTCGTTCCAAAACGTCTTGGAAGTCCTCAAGTATCAAAGTGTCAAATGTCAAGTATGAAGGATCGATAGTTCATCATCATTCAGTCGCCGAAGCATGCGTGTGATATCGCTCGCTCGGTCGGTCAGTCATCGGCTGCGTTTGTGGATTTTTCTCTCATCTCATGAATCATGTAACTTTTTCACAAGGTACTGAGGTAGGTAGGTAGGTATGATAGGTAGGTAGGTGCCTTTATCACATGATAAGGTAGATCCTGCTGCTGCTGCTGCTCCTCAAAGAAAGGAAGGAAGGAAGGAAGGAAGGAAGGAAGGAAGGAAGGAAGGAAGGAAGGAAGAAAGATAGATCACTCATCATCATGAAAAGAAGAACGTCGGCAGCGAGCGAGCGGAAGACGGCGGAATCCAAGTACCATCATCATCATCATCCTCCTCTTCCATCGCACAACAATCCGGGAAGAAGAACTTCATCATCTGTTTGCTTGCTGGCTCGCTGGCTTGCTTGCTGGCTTGCTTGCTTGCTGCCAGAGAAGAGAGAAAAGACGTCATCACAAGATTTCCAAAACCCAGAACAACATCATGCATGACGAACGACATAAGATACCAACCAAACCATACAGTATCTAGTACAGTGCGATAGCTATCATAGAATACGGCCGGAGCAACCCACAAAAAAAAAAAATCCGTACCCTTTTTCGTCCCCTTCGTCCCCCCTTCGTACATACCCTTTGTCTTCTTTGCTTTTATTCTGCATAAAAAAAGCCAAAAAAGGATCAAAATCAGAAAAAGAAACGACTCAAGGTTTGTTCCTTGTGTACATGACGTTTTTTTTTTATGCACGCATGCACGACTGGCTGGAAGACCACGTTTTTTTTTTCCTTCTTCGCGGGAGGGGTCCAGCGCGGAGTTTGAAACGCTCCGATGTCCCCGTTGGGAAATTATGGTTGTTGGCGTTTTGACAAAGCCCCGAGCCCGAGCCGTTGGGTTGGGTTGATTGTCTAGACGCGTGAAGGGGGAGATTGCCAATGCGACGAATTGGAATGGAATGAATGAAACGGAAAAAAGTTGAATGGTGCGATGTAAATTGGAGAGGTTTTTGGAATGGTTCGATTTTTTTTTTGATTCGAGGCGAGGGCGTTCTCGACCTTTTCTAGAGAGGAAGAACTGCCACTGCCAGCCCGCGTCACATTTGCAGTATAATTTCCCCCAAATTCGTGAGATGAGAATCCCTTCTGTTCCTTTCCAATGTGAAATCCTTCCCATGTGAAAAAAATAAATAATGTTCCTCCCAAAACGCCTTGCTGGTAGTAGATGGTGGTGGTATGATGCTTTCAAGATTCGCTAGAACGCTAGACAAAGACCGACAGACAGACCGAATAGAAGAAGACAGGACGCTCAGCAAGCCGCGATGAGAGGTTGCTGGGGTTGTCGGAGGATGTAGTCTTCCATGCCTTGTGTCGATTTGATGTCGTAGAAGCCGGTCGTCGCTATGGATTGGCGGTCCTTCTCGCTGAGCTCGAAAGTGGGTTGGTCGGGGGAGGAAGGCATCGATTCGTCTTCCGAGTCCGAGTCGGAGTCGAGGGTGAGTTCGGGCGGGGAGTGGTGCGAGACGACGCGAGTGAGGGAGTGCTCGTCGTCGTCCTCGTCGTCGGCGTCCATGTCTGCGTCGAGCTCTTGCGAAGAGATCTCGATGGGTGGTAGTCGGATGTTGCGGAGGGGGATGTTGAACATGTCCTCGTCCTCGTCCTCGTCGTAGATGTCGGAGCCATCGTCCGATTCCATGTCCGAGTCGTCACTCTCTTCCTCCTCCGCAATGGTGTCGATCCATTGGATGTGTCGCGGTTCCTCGGGCTTGGAGGCCTTCTTGACGGATTGGTTGAACCAGGCCTCTTGTTCCCTCTCGGCGTCGGCGAGCTCGACCATCAAGGTGTCCAGCAGGTTGGCATGACCGACGAGCAATCGCAGGTTGTGGTCGGCTCGTTGTGCCTCGCGGCCCAGCTTGGAGCGCGCGGTGGACGCGACGTAGTATGTCTGGGTGAGGGACATCTTCTGCTTCTTGGCTGGACGGAGGGCGGGCGATGTCTGGGTCTGGTAGGTTGCGTTTGCTGCAACGGGTTCGAAGGAGGATTGAAGCCTCAGATGGGAAGACATGTTGGAGATATGATGCGAGCCCGTGAGTCAGATGTCGTTGTATGAGTGTGCAATGGCGGGATAGTTCTGCCTGAGTCACCCCAACCAATTAGGGTACCGGTATGGTGTTTAGGTTGGATGGGATGCCGAAGTTGTTTGTGGGGAGTGGCTGATGTGGATGCGGGAGAGGAATGGATGGTTGCTGGAGGTGCTCTGGTTATGATTGTGGCAGACTGCGGTTGTCTATGTTGGATGGTGATGGTGATGGTATGGAAACCGGTTCTGACGACGGGGAGCGGGAGACATATTTGTGTGCGAGGCCTGACGGAGTCAACGGGCTGAGCGCATGTTCCTTCGGAGACAATGCGATGCCAGAGACCGCTTCATCCGCGTGCAGACCCCTGTCATCAGTGGCCGTGGTGGGAAGCTTGCTGTGCTTTGCGCCTGGGGACCAACGGACGGCGCTCAGAGACCGGCCGACGGAGACTTGTCATCCGGCGCAGCGATTGGCTCCTCCTCGCAAAGCACACCGGCGTGGATTACTGTACTGTACACTGTGCTGGCGGTCGGTCAATCATCATGCCCTGTACAGCAGCACGCTGCTTTGCAATTCAGTCGTCGGCCGGCGCGGATTACTGTACGTACACTCATGCTTGATCATCACTCACCGCGATCGTTGATGCGCGCGAAACACTGTCTGCCCCCCCAACCAGGACCCGCGGCATGGACGAGCACTTGGAGGACTGGGCAAGATCGCCCGTAGTTTCAGGCCGCCGCCCACTGCCTCGACGAGCGCTGCACCAGTACGTGTGTCGACGACGTGTGCGTGTGGCTGTTGCGTATTCGTCGCGGGAGACGACTACGGTGGAGTCACTACGAGAGTCACTACCTAGTACCCCAGGCAGCCGCTGTTCGAGACGAGAGGGTGGTCGGTCGCGTTCGGCTTCGTACCCTAAACGAATCGAATGGAACCCTTTGTTCGGCTTCACCGTTCAGCGAGGCAGCACTTTAGCAGCTTGCACAATTGATGAATGCCGTCTGACCGGTGGTGTGGTGACTACTACTACTGCTGCTGCTGCATCGTACCAGACCCAGCACGGCCGAGCTGCAAGGGGCACAACAGCCAAGTAAAGTCCGACGGTGCAATCAACAATCAATGTTCGGATGACTCTTCGTCTCTGCATTGCATCTCACGCATCATCACTGGCGGTATAGTTTCAGTACACAAAGCGCGAAGGAAGGATTCATCAGATGCAGATGCGAAGCGCGAGCCGGAGTTTGCATAGCTCCAGCGGACACACCACAGCCCCTTCTCCCCGACCGGGGAAGTACCAAAGTCCTGTCCTGTCCTGTCGGGTGCGCTGGGCCTGCAGCGGCCGAGCGACCGAGCGACCGAGCATAATGACAAAATTTCACACTTCGTACCTTTCATGGCCGTATCTACCGTCATCCTGCTGCATCTTCTTCTTCGTCTTCGCATTTCGGTTCCGAACGGAAGAAGATAATAATAATAATAATGGTATCCACGACACATGTTGTTTGATGATCCAGGCGTAACACCGACCACAGCCCAATCCGGAGACCGGTCTGGTCGGTGCCTGGCACTTCCTTCTGCACTGCACTGCCCTAGGGCATCCATTCGTCGTTATCCTGCCTGCCTGTCTGCCTGCCTGCCTGCCTGCCTGCCTGGGGAGTCATAGCGTGATTTTAACATAGATTGCAGCCTTCGCAACGGTCGTAGTAAACAGCCTCCACTACTAGCCCTGATGAGATGACAGCTGAACAGTCATCCCTGCTGCATCATCTGTTCCATCCATCCGCCAGATGACCTACTACCTGTTCACATCTGTCAGTCATCCGACAAATCCCATCAGGGCATCAGTCAGGACGTGGATCTATCGGGCAGGGGTAGAGGGTATAGGGCTGTCCTTGACTCCTTGCTGGGCGCGTGCGTGCGTGCGTGCAACCGGGCGGGGCCCACGCGACGACGGGATCTCCGTGCCCTCCCTCACTACCAGGATCAAAATCCCGTGTGAACGCCGAATAGACACCTTCTTTTTTTTTTTAACGTCTTCTTCTTCTTCTTTCTCGTGGGTTCTCTGGTTCTGCTTTCAAAGCAAAAATTAATATCTCTATCTCTCTACCGCTGATGACGGTCTCGCTGAGGAATCCAGAAGGAAAAGAAGCTTCGGCATCTTTCTAGCGAAAAAAAAGGGGGAAGAAATCTGGCGGGCAACAAGACAGAAACTTCATATGCATATGCGGGCAAACCGGTCCCATCGATCGGGCTGGCCGGTGAGCTGGACCTTCTTCTTCTTCTTCTTCTTCTTCTTCTTCTTCTTCTTCTTCTTCTTCTTCTTCTTGCTTCATCCAACAACAACCTCTGGAAGCACAAGAAGAAGAAAGAAGCTAAAAGGAATTCCTCTCCGATTCCAAAACTACTACTACTCTAAGATTTATTTCACGTGGGAAATGCGGAAAAAAGGAAGTCGCATCCGCGCATGGCCGAGAACAGGTCTCACGTCGTCGTCGTCGTCGAAACAAGCGAGTCGGAGAGTCCCTTTCTCGCGTGTACGATCTGATGATGCCTGATCATCGATGACAGGTGGACAGGCGGGCATGGAGCTTGCTTGCTCATGCTCCCCTTCTGCCAACCTCAAACATGTAACAACCAACTGACAGACGACAAGCGTGCGGATGCTGGCAAAAATTTCACGCAGCGAATCTTCGAAAATCTTGCATCGATGGACCTTGTTCATTCATCGATCGATGGCACAGCTCGGAATCAGACAGAGGAAGGAAGGAAAACTGCACTGCAAACGAGTTTCTTTCGATTCATTACCTGCAATCTGCCACCTTTCTTGCTAGGGATACTTGCCCCACGTGAAAGCATTCTCGCCCTTCTCCTTGGCCTCCAGCGCCTGCTCGAAATCGCCCAGGAACAACCACGTCACTTTCTTCCCGATGCCCTTCTCATACCAGTCGTTCAAGGTCTTGGGGTAAAAGTCCAGCTGCGGCGGATCCACCACGGCATCATCGTGGGCCATGAGCATCAGGATGTTCTCGTGCGCATCGAACTCTCCCAGCCCATCGATGGTCCAATCGGCGATTTTCTTGTCGTGCGCGAAGCTCTCGGTCACGTAGAAGAAGGGTGTCGTCGCCGATCGATGCGGGTGGATGTCCTGCATCAGGTGGCCGGGGCATGCATGTCCACGGCGTTTCAGGGGCGAAGGTTGGATCTCCTGGGGTATGGGCAGGTATTCGGTGGGTCGAAACTCGCCTCCGTGATGCGCGGCGTCACCGCCCATGAAGACGAAGGAATCCGGATTCGAGGTGACGCGGGCGAGGCCGCACTGATGCCCGATGGTATGGCCGGGCGTGTCGAGTAGGTAGAAACTGCCGTCGCCAAAGTAGTCGTAGGCATGGAAGCGGCCGATTTTCAGACCTTTGCCTTCGGCTTTCATGTCTATCTCACGGACATTGCGGCCTGCGTGGTCAGTTTCCAGAAGTGTGGCTTCTTTTCGTTTTGGAAAACCCGGGAGATGGGCTTCTTTGAAACCAGGTCCGACTATGAGACCCGTGGAGCTGGGAAATGTTGACGGATCACCGACATGGTCCCAGTGGTGATGACTCCAGACGATGGCTCCAATCGCGCCCCCATCGACATCAACGCCGTGTTCCTTCAGAATGGTAGCCGTATCCTTCTCGACGTGGATTTTGAAGTTGAACTGCTTGAATCTGTCAGATGAAGGGAGGATCTGCCAGTCTTTGCGGATTCCAAGATCAAAGAGGATTGGTTTGGTGGACGGGTGCTCGATCAGAAAGGAGAATGAAGGGCCTTTCAGCTCGGGGTGGCCGACGTAGTCTGGCTGCACGTAGTTGCTGATTGGGATTCGAAAGCGTCCTGTGCTGCGTTGCCGTGAGCAAATGATTTCTGTTGAATGCTTCCTTTGCCAACTTACCTGTCAATACATGATACCTTGACTGTGCTGTTCGAAGCCGGGATGTTGAGGTTCGGAGGCGACTTCGGGGCCGTAAGGAATTGGTCTGCCATGATCGATAGAGGGAATTTGCCACGTCGCTTCTGGAACGAGGTATTGTGCTAGACTGAAGTTCACGAACTCACAGAACTGTTCATCAATCGGACCTAAGGCGATGACGTGGGAAGCACTTGAGGAGCTTCCATCCCCACTCACCTGAGACCTTCTCGCATGCCGTGTAGACCGTATTCCGCGCGAAGGGTCAAAGTAAATGACTATCTCAGCGGTGGCCAGAGCCACTGGCAACTTCAGGCCTTCTCTACATATCGGGAGAGACCGGACAAGTCAAATGTCGATATGGTCACGTCGCCTTCGCTGAATCGTTCCTGCCAAGCCAAGACTCCAATGGAGACGTCACGTGATCTCGGAGCGGACTTTGGAGAAATTTCTTCTCCGTTGCCCGCTCCCGAAACTTCCTTCTCCAAAATTTCCTTCCTCCAACGTCACCTCGATTCCCAAACACCATGCAGCCCAGCCAAGCTACGCATGGCAATCGTATTCATACGAGATCCCGCATGACTACGAGCCTCATGACTACTGCAGCCGCTGCCGCACGCATTCGGAGACGGCAGTCCCACGACACCGAGCCGAGTGCAAAGAGGAGACACTTGGCACAATTATTCCCCTCGTGGCTTCTACTAGGACGATGATGATGTACAATGGATTGGTACTATGGATACCGCCTCGACAACAGCCCTGCGAAGAGATTTCCTTTTCTGAAGCAGCTGTAACTGTTTGCTTGTCACTCCCATGAGCCTACGGTACTCGTCACAGGCGGAGAACGAATTTAACGATCACAAATAAGCCGGAGCGACTTCGAAGATTTTCTTTTCTTTTCCCGTGGAGAAGCTTGTGCATAGATTGGTCTGACAGAACTCCCAAGGAGAACAACGAGGGTACTTCATGGGAATACGGTTTCTGATTGTATCGTGAGCGAGCTGGCTATGCCTGTTTGATATGACCAGCAATTCAACAGTTCCTTCGACTTCCTCCTCTCCTCTTCTCTCCACGTCATGATTCTTGTTGCCCACGGCTGTTGTCGAGGAAGGTGGTGGCAAGAGAGGTCGATGAAATTGAGACGGGTGTAAAGAGTAGAGTGATGATTACTCTCGCTCGCATTGCCAAACCGCAAGCGGTGTGGCGCGCTTCCATAGGGTCTGCGTGTCTTTATACTAACTAGTTACCTACAAAGTGGTCTGCAAAGCGATCTTGGGCACCGAAATTGGCCGTACCATTCTTGAGCGACTTAGGCTGGAGGCTACAAAACCATGTGACGCCTCCAAACATTACCCGCCGCCTCGTGGACATCCCCAGCCTCTCGGAAGGCGTCCACAGCCGTCTCGTACAGCTGTGCTCTTCTTCTCGAAGACCTATCTTTCTTCACTGGAGCGTTGTTTATCAGTCTGCCCAGATATCCGTTGATCTTAGAGCGGCGAAGATTCCACTTCTCGCGGTCCTCTTGTGCCAGCTCCTCCATATACATAAACGTGTCAATACCAGCTACAAGTTTCTTGAAAAACGCAGCGGCATCGTCTACGTTTTCGGAAACTCTGCCAGCACGTGGCTGGGAGCCGGAAGATCCAATCTTGGACCACATGAGCTGCGCAATGTTCTCCATCCGGCTCAGAGCAGCGACAATCATTTCCGCATCCCTGGTCTTCAGTGCCAGCACGAGGTAGCTCTCCAAGGTCCGAGAGTCGGGGAATCGCAGATGGTGCTCCATGCTATCAATCATCTCCGAGGCTGTCTTCACGACATTATGGTTCTTCCAATCACGCATGCAGCAGCCCATGGCGATTCGGTAGGTTATGCGAGAGGGCGCGACGCCCACTTCAGCCATCTCCTTTAGTAAGCGGAGGGCGGCTGCAGAGCCACGATTGATGCTGAGAAGGCGCAACATTTCTTCGTAGCTAGTCAGATCCGGTTGTACGTCGTATTCGCCGGTTAACTTCTCCCAGTACGCGGCAGCAGCCTTGGGACTGCGCAGATTTGTACATGCTCGAATCAGCACATCGAGCATATATTTGCCAGGCGTTACCCAGACGAAATTCATGGCGCGTCTCGGCCTCTCGGAATCTTGAGCGTGGGGCGATATGGCTTTGAAAGCGTTCCTGGCCGGCGTAGGGACCCATCCATTGGCGTCCTCGTCGGCTGTGAGCTGTGGCTCCTGAGCATTCCCCAGTGGGACATGGCTTGTGTATCTGTCCGGCGAGCCCAGTTCTGGAAGCTGGCGCTCGACACGCGTAGTCTGCTGCACCAAACTGAGTACATCATCCCAATCCTGTAGCTCGCTGCCGAACAGCAGCAGTTTTGCCATGGCACAGACAAGAGCTTCGTCGATCTGGATCTCTCCACTTCGCCACCTCGCGATGACTTCTTGCCATATCCTTCTGCCTTCGTCGACAGCCTGCTTCTTCTTGGGCTCAAGCTGTTCCAATAACACGTGCTCATTCTCTTCATGTCTCCCTTCGTTGCCTCCAAATGCACCAGTCCTAATCGCTGAGAGCAAGATGGTGTAGGTGACGTTGTCCGCAGAGCCGGAGCCGTGCTCAGGTATCTTGCTTGCGACTCCCCACATCGCATCGAGATCATGAGCCAGAGCACAGAGTCGTAGAACCGCATTAGTGTGCTTGATGTTTGGCTTGACCCTGCTTGTGGGGCTACTCATGGAATGATATATGTTGATGGCCTTGAGCATGTACGTGTACAGATCCCGAGAATTATCAGTCATTGCATTGTAGCTTCCCCATCCCCTGAATATCATCATGTACGTGAAGGCGTCCGGGAACTGCCCCCGCTTCTTCATCTCATTGTATATCTCAAGCGCCCTGTTGACCTTTCGCCTTTGTATGTGCCAGTTGACGACGTGGTTCCAGGCGACCACAACATTCCCTTCCTTGGAGGCGAGACGACACAGTTCAAGAGCTTTATCGGGCTGCTCGTTGCGTAGAATGTAATGGACATGATTGGCAAACTTGACAGGATCCCGCAGCCAGGCGATTTCCTTGCGTAGTGCCCTTTCGTTTGCTTTCGTCAGCGCTTTTCCCCCAGCCCTTCGAGAGGCGGAGAGTTCAGGCTCATTGTCAGCAAATCTCTCGTCGGCGTCGAAGTCGATCGGCGGCTTTTGGGGAGTTGGACGTGCGCGTGTTGCCAGTCGTCTGCGAAGAGGGTAGTTGTAGCTTTCGATTCGGGGTGTCAGCACCAGTGGCCGTTGAGGGGAGAGAGCATCTCCCACGATAGTACGAATGCAGCGCAAGACGCACGCGCGGCATTCGAGCATGCTCTCCTCACTTTGAGATCGAGGTGTAAGTTGGGGGGAAAGATCCATTCACCTGCCGCACGCTTTACACGCGAAGCTACTTTTCGCGACAAAGCTTCCTTAGTAAGCGAGCCTGATCAGATTGTTGCCCGGCCAGCAGAGCATAAACACAGGAAGCTTTCGGCGAAATGCATATTCCCATCTCGACGACAGCACCACCTTCTGCCCTTCGACGCCCCAACTCGCACTGACAGACAACGTTTGCGCCATCATGGAAGGCCAGAGATCTTCGGCGGTATTTGACGTCTTCCTTCGCCTACGACCAAGCGCTTCGGATAGAGAGCGATTCCTCGATGTCGAACACACGAATGAAGACTGTCCGACGCACATCACCATTAAGCCTCCAACCAGCGACACGCGCCGCAAAGCAGTCGAACGATTCGCATTCACGAGGGTGTTTGAAGAGAATGCAGGTCAGAAAGATGTCTTCGAGGCGACAGGCGCAGTGCAGCTCGTGCAGGGCGTGCTCGGGCAGCCGGGAAAAGAAGGACGCGATGGTCTTCTGGCGACATTAGGCGTTACAGGATCTGGAAAGGTGCGAATGAAAGATTGTGACGAGGCAAAATCAAAACATGGCTGACATTGGGTTAGAGTCATACAATTCTCGGCTCAAAAACGCAGCGAGGCTTAACACAACTGGCCCTCGATGTGCTCTTCCAACACACAGAGCCGCAGCTGGTCAGCGATGGCATCGATCACGTCTATTCGTCACTTTGCGCAGCAGACGTTTCAGACGCGCAGCTCTACTCGGCAGATTTCTTCTTGGACAGCCTCTACGGCAATGGCGATACTACTCGCCTGTCCAGAGCCACCACGCCAGCATTTGTACGCGATTCCACGCTTCCTCTCTCTACCTCTACATCTACTATCCCCGGCTCATTTCCCACATTCAACATTGAAGAAGAAGGTCACGAGGCAAAGTCACCACCGCAGAGCTCCAAGAACTCTGTCTACGACCGTCTCTACCCCTCGCTGCACAAAATATCAACATCATGTGCAGTCCCCTCGCACCTCTCATTTGTGTCATAGCCACAACCCTCGTTCGCGATCTTCACACAAGCCCCTTGCACGTATATCAAGCTTCAAACACAGCATGTCCAAGCTTACTCACAATTTGCAGGAATCTTCATTTCTCTCTGCTCATACGGTACCCCCGAAGCGAGTCGTACCGCGAACCTCAACTTTGCCGGCGTCACCTTCCGTCGACGACATCGATATCGAGATCGATGAGGATGCCGAATATGCCATTGTCATCAGCATGTATGAGGTCTACAACGATAGAATCTTCGACCTTCTCACCGCTTCGGTGACGCAGGGAAAGAGTCCAGCCAAGAGAAGACATCTGCTCTACAAGTACACCGAAGGTAGTCCATATCAGAAGGTTGTGACAGGGTTGAGAAAGGTAGTGTGCTCCAGTCTTGAAGAAGCACTATTGGTGCTGGAGACTGGTCTCCAAGAGCGACGAGTTGCCGGTACTGGTAGCAATGCTGTCAGTTCGCGAAGCCACGGCTTCTTCTGTGTCGAAGTCAAGAAGCGACTTCGTGGAAGAGGTATACCTGGTCCATGGTATAGCAGTACTATGACCATTGTCGACCTAGCAGGTGAGCTTCTACGCTCAATACTTGACGTCAATTCTCCACTGACACTTTTTCAGGCTCTGAACGAGCTCGTCAGGCCAAGACCGCTGGAGCAACACTCGCAGAAGCCGGCAAGATCAACGAATCCCTCATGTATCTCGGCCAATGCATGCAAATTCAAGCCGACAACGCCCGCACCGTCAATTTCCAGAACGTCCCATTCCGGCAATGCAAGCTTACGGAGTTACTGTTTAGCAATAGCTTCGTACCACAGCACCACCGCAAACCACCTCAGAAAGCCATCATGATCGTCACTGCAGACCCTCTTGGAGATTTCAACGCCACAAGCCAGATTCTGAAGTACTCGGCCCTGGCAACGGAAGTCACCGTCCCTCGTGTCCCAAGTGTGACGAGCACCATCCTTGCCGGAACGGGAGTGAGACAACATAGCAGGCCTACAACTCCTGCAGCCGTTGTCGAAGAACTGGAAGCAGCTCTGGCGGAAGTCGCGAGACTGAGGGAAGAACTAGAAATCACCCAGCTACAACTGGAGGAAGAAACTCAGCGACGCGTCGATGCCGAAGCTTCATGGTCCGCAGCCGAGATGAAAATCGACGAAGTCGAAGCCGAGATCCGCGAGGAAGTCTGGTCTGAGATGGAGACCAAACTCGCGCAAGAACAGCGGAGATGGCGAGCTGCGCGAGACGAAGAATTGGATCGTGCAGATGAGCATCTGGATCGGAAGCTGGAAATCATGTCCCGTGGGATCGAGGTGTACGAAGATCCCGAAGACTATGGCAACGAGGAAAAGGAGAATGTCAACGTCGATGCTATCAGTAATGGGCTTGGCAAGCTTAGCTTCAATGGGAAGGTCAAAGATTCTGCGAGAGTACAAGAGTTGGAAGAGGAGAATGCTCAATTGAGAGAGAGATTGGCTCTTGCGGAGAGGGAGAAGGGGTTGAGGAGTCCGAGCAAGAAGATGAGGGTCCTGAAGTCGAGGAAGTGGGATGGTAGTGGGATGGGTATTGATGGTGAGCTTTGAACGGCGATTACATTATGCATTCAAGCGCCTTGAAGGTATTTCATCAGCGTTCCTGGGGGTTTGGTCTAGATACTGTTGGACATGGCTCACAGGACATACCCGTTATTTCGTATGCTATGGCAATTGTACAGGCGCTGGCTCTGCTTTGAACATGTAGAAAGGCGCCGAGACGCGACTTTTGTGTCTACTGCAGTCTGTTGCTGTGAACCCCTCCTCCACGCTGAAGTAACGCGTTCAAGTGCAACTTTCGGAATCCTCTTCGCCTACCTTTGCTCAATTTTAGCCCTGGAATGCCTCAAACTGTTTCGCCCTTGTCTTTCTGCTTGTCTTATCGAGATGCGTTGTCCTTCCTCTCCAGCTCCAACTTCTCCTCGGTCGTGAAAATGACACCCCAGAATCTCATGTGGACGTCCCTGCCCTCTGATGTGTCGATCTCCATGGTTCCACCGAGATTTGTCTCAAGATCTTCGATGAAGTCGCGCAACGTTTCTTTCTCGAGTTTCTCGGGCTCGAAGAGCGAATCCCATTTAGATTGGCCCTCAATATTCCGGCAAATCCAGGGTTCAAAGTGCTGCCTCGCTGGTGAGTTCCGTATGGCATTGAGCAATGCGCGAACGGTCATCCCCGTTTCTGAACGATCGCCATATGCATACATTGGAAACTCGACTTTCCTCCCATCAGTCTCGATTGTGATATGGAAGGAGATGGACCATCTTGCGTCGACAGCCGCGCTCAGCACTGGTGTCTCGATGAGAAGCATGTTCTCCCACGTCTGCTTTGGTCCATCACGCAGGCCACGCAGGAGGAGTTCGGGAAATTGCCAAGGCATTGGTTCTATCGTCCGCCTCGCCACGTCACTCAGACGCTCGTTTTCTTCGTAATAGTATCGTCTCAGCAGCATGGGATTGAATGTAGCGAGAACAACATTGCGCTCCAGGGAAAGCTTCGGATCAGAATCTCTTCCGGTAAGTCGTTCCAGATGGCCGTCTTGAAGCAATGGTCCGCCGTTGACAACCCATACATCCTGATCTTCTGTCCGAGAGCTGACACGATACCACAATTTCTTTTGCAGCGTGACTGAAGAATCCACAAGGTCTCGGAATTGGCGGCAGACACGCTTGGAGAGCAGAACCTTCTTCGGTGGAAGAAAGTCGAGTATCGCCTCCAGTAGCTCGGCTGTGTACATGACAGCACCGCAAGCTTCACTGATGGCCGTGGAGTCTGTGGATGGGAGAATATCGGTCGCTGTCATGTCGTTCGCGTCTGGTTCGCGGCTGTCCATAGTGAGCGCACAATTGTTGTTGTGCTTATCGTCGGATGCGGAAGGTTTGCTGTTTGTCATTTCGCTGTACTTCCGTGTTGATGTTTGTGGGTGAAGAAGAGGAAGTTGCGACTTTGAAGGGGTGGTCAAGGTTACGTAATTGGCATGGTCTGTGCTGAGCATGTGACTCTGAAGCATGTGAAAACCAACTAGCGCGCATGAAAGATAGCGTTCGCTCTCAAACATTCCAATCTCGATACTAAAGTGATCTGTTTGGTCTCACCACGCTCCCGTCGAGCTCGATTTCGTTCTGTCTATCGCACCTTTCCCCTGCATGGGAATATCGTACTTGAGCAAGCGTACGTCGAAAAGAACCATTCCACCTTCTCACGTCTTGCGAAACTGTCGCGGTGTTGTGTAGAAGCCCTTGTGCGGGTCCGAAGGAAAGAGACGCAAGCTTGATCGTTACTGCGTGGAAGTCTCGGTGTTGTGTTGAAGTATTTGTGTGGACCTTGAAAATAAGAAAGGCACTGCGAGCCTCAGTGAGTCCCGTGCACAGACCATCCAGGTGATAAAGATGTGGAAGGCCGGGGCAAGCGCATTCACGAGTCTGCTCACATCCTGGTTGCCCTTCCGCACATTCGATTTCTGGCCCGAAAAGCGTGGCGCATTCCATTATCTCACTACAAGTTCCGCCTACGCAGAATTATCTTATACGCACCTCGTGAATCCCAGAAGGTCCTTGGTCGTTGTAATCCGTCCTCGTCATGTATCCTTTGCTCGCACCGCCGTCCACAACGAATAACAGCTTACCAGCCACCTGTGCGCCAAGGAAGGCCGCCTCATCGTAGCCCGCCTCTTTCCACTCTGGAAAGTACTCGGGAATTTTGGCAAGCTTGATGCTGGTGGGAGTCTGTCCATGCGACGAATGCATATGTTGATGCTGCATCTGGCCCATATTTGAGGATCCAGGCTGCAGCTGCGGATGTTGCGCAGTGAGCGCAGCATGTAATAGCGGATTGACGCTTGAGCTGTGCTGCTGACCAGGTAACTGTGGTTGCGGTGTGTTGGTACCTGTGGCCATGGGCGTCGACATACTTGACGGCAGCTCCGAGGTGAAAATCGTCGCAGATGAAGGAGATATGATGTATTTCGCTTGCAGGTTTGCGAGCAGGGCCTCTTTAAACCCTCGTACTTTAGATCCGTTACCGAGAATGATCAGGTTGTCCCATAGCTCGCTGCGTTTGCCGATCTCGCCGCAAGACTGCACAGTCCTGTGGATGGCATCCGCAAGTCGGTCCAATATCCCGCCAGACGCCGCCTGGAATCGCTCAGGACCAACCTCGATCTCTCGTCTGAATCCACCTGTTGGAGAAGTATCTGTCGTGACTTCTTGTTGCTCAAATCCTTCGTCTGCAGGCTTGTCCGAAACGGCAGACTGCGGCTCCTTGGTTGGGCCATCGTCCATGGAAGACTGCATGTCGGTCATGGCTTGAGACGACATGCCAGCTTGCTTCATGGCATCGTGCAGAGCGAAGTCCTCGTAAATGAACGTATTCCGATTGCGCTTAACATTTTGTATCCGTGCAGGACGATTTGCTTCCTGTTGCTTGTCGCCCGGCTTCTTCTGCTGCTTGGCCGCTGCTTTTTCTTGTTTCTCGCGCTCCTTCTGTGCTAGATATTCGCTCATGTTGCCGCCTGCTACGATGCTTGCGATGTCAAGCACGCCCTCTTCATTTTCCAACGTCTTCTCTTCTCCCACTTGAGTACCAGGTCCAGGTCCTCGTGGTAGCTCACCGGCTATCGAAGCCTTGCTCTGGCCAGGAGCTACTCCATCTGCACCCGTAGAAGCTGCAGCGGCCGGATTACCTGCTCCTTCAATGGCATCTGCTTCTGGAATCTTCTCATCCGGACCAAGAACCTCGCAAATGGCACTCCTCTTCAACTGTTCGCAGACATCCCGATTGAAGCCTTTCCTTCCCTTTAGCAGTTCCACCAGTCTTTCCGTCATAGCCTCGCCTCCACACTGCGGTACCGCCAGTGATCTTCCAAGATCTTGCAGCATGAAGTCTGCGATGCATGTAATGTCTGCCTTCTGCAATCCTACGTCCACCACAGTTGCATTGGGAATGCCATATGCATAAGTGGCCGCCAATGCAGAGTCCATGATCGTCAATGCCGGGGTTTTAAACTTCTCGAAGAAGAACTGGCACACTTTCTCGTATTCTTTATGTGTCCATACCGGCTCCCCAATGAGCAGTATTGGGGTATGAAATGGCGGATTGATTGTGTTGTAGACATGGTCCATAAGAGCGTAAAAACATGGCCAGTCAACAATGCTTCCTTTCTGAATTGGCCAGATCGCGCCTTCCTCCGATATGCGATCCTCTTCCCATTCCTCCTCAGCTGAATGCTCGCCATTTATCACTGCTCCATCTTGTTGCCTGGTGGTTTGCTTATCTTTTCGCCGTATCTTGACAGGTTCGTAGCGTCCTTCTTCTTGGGCTGGGAACATGCGCGACCGTAATCGATATCGTGCGGGCGTGAAGGATTCAGGCAATCCTAGTTGTGCAAGAGTCGTTTGAGAGCCAGGGGCAATGATCTAGAATGCGGAGTCAGCGAAGTGGATCAAAATTCTCGCGGCGAGGCGTATGTACGAGTATTTGATCATCCCGAAACGGCGGCATCTTGAGGGATGCGTCGCGCGAATGTCTTCAACGCGGCAAAGGCGCCCTTGCTCAGCAATATCTCTCCCAGTGTTTCCAGGAAGCGCAGCCCAGTAACAGCAAATTCGAAGCTTGGATCAGGGTCGCGTAAGTCTCAGTTGGTCTCCTTATAAACAGTGGCTGGTAGCGACAAGTGAAAGGCGGGATATGCGGTGTTTGTCGAGGGTGTTGTTCGAGCGCTGCAGGAAGTCACGACGCGCTAGAGCGCGAGGCAGGAACGGTCCGATGGGTGCTGATTAAGCCTGGCAAGACACGTCCGAGGTCTCACAACATTTTCAACACCTGACGATCACTCTTAAGGCTCTCCTTCCGCGCAGAATGGAATTCTAGAATACAGCATCCGCTCAAGGATCTTCATGAATCCGCAATCGGAAACGTTGCACTTTGATTGCACCTTGCAAGCGTCGGGCTGCTAGATGGAGATGGCTGGGATGCTTGGCGGCGAACGATTCGACAACGAGTGGCTGAGTCGTCTTCTTTCACGAACACGCAACACGAACTCCTTACCACTACATTTTGAGCCTGAAATTCTGACTCTCCTTCACCCTCTTTATCCAATTTCTTGATGATGCGACCTAATAGAATTCCTCATTCGGCAGCGATATTCGTACCAGCGCAACCTACTGCTAGGATCCATGTCCAGACTTTCGGACGTTGAACCGAGTGTGCATAACACTGTCGCCCGCAGCCGCTCGAGACTCCGCGCTCCGCCGGGCGGAGGCAGACCTGGAAAGCGCATTATTCTGTGTGAGGATGGTAAGCTACGATTTTCTCGGGGATTTTGGAACCGGAGGCTGATGATTTGATAGGATCGTGGCTGAACTCAGACAGCGGCAGTCTTAAGGCCTCCTTTAATATTCCGAGCAATGTCACAAGACTTTCCCGAGCCATCAAACCACTCAGCGCAGATGGCATTCCTCAAGTTGTATATTATCACTGGGGTGTTGGAGGAGCAGGCGGCATCAGCAACAAGATTCTTGGGATCAGTGGAACAGGTTTGCCACACTCCACTGATATCAACGGATGACCACTGACATTCTATCAGGACTCGCGGAAATAGTACGCGAGGGATACACTTTCATCGCAACCAATTACCTTCCGGGCGACGAAATCTTCATCTTTGGCTTCTCCCGCGGGGCCTTCAGTGCGCGCAGCATATCAGGCTTGATAGATCAAGTCGGCGTCTTGACCAAGGATGGCCTACCATATCTCCCAGAAATCTTTCGCGACGTACAACACCGGCACGACCGCAGCTACGTACCAAAACATCCGGACATCCCATTTCGAGACAAGCCGAGTACCATGGATCCAGAGTACGGCCGCGAGCTTCAAAGACTGCGTCTGACCAGGCTTGGAGTTTCAGTGAAAGTCGTCGGTGTCTGGGACACGGTTGGATCTCTTGGTACACCAAAAATAGGCTGGTTGACTCGGCTTGGACTTCAATCGAGGATGGAAAGGGAACTCTCTTTCTACGATACTGCAATTAGTGATTGCATCGAGTATGCATTTCAGGCCCTTGCGCTAGACGAGAGACGATTTGCTTTCCCGCCGACACTCTGGGAGAAATTCGAAGGCAACCAGACGACTCTGCGACAAGTCTGGTTTCCAGGAGCACATTCCAACATCGGTGGTGGGTATGACGACCAACAAATCGCAACCATAAGCCTCGCATGGATGATGGCACAATGTCAGCCATTCATAGACTTTGATCTCGACTACGTTCACGACCAGTGGGACGATGTCGAAGATTACTACGAGAAGACGGACCAGAAAATCAGGCCATGGTCCTTCGGAAAGATTTTCAGTGGGCTGGAGGGAATCTATGCGCTTGGAGGCTCCAATGTGCGGACACCAGGGCGATATACTGCGACCGATCCTACGAATGGCAAGCCGACCGATGATCCGCTGATGGACACGCATGAGTATATTCATCCATCAGTGCGCTGCCGGATTAAACTGCACGGCCCCGGCTTGGATGATCGCGGGGAATACGAGTGCAAAGCTTTGCGAGATTGGAAGCTTGTTGTTGAATGGCCAGATGAGGGGGCCAAGAGGCCCACAGTGTATTGGAAAGCTCGCGATAGGCCATCCGAGGGGTTCGTCAAGGTGCTCCCGGAAGCGCCGCTCTGGCAGCTGGAACAGGAGCTGCTGAGATATGATCCGGAGACAGAGAGCTATGTGACCAAGCCCTCCGGCGTGCGTTCACGCAAGAGCGAGCGTAGAGGCCAGCGTAGGAGTAGGAGTCGGAGGAGCGATACCCTTTCGCCGCGATAGCATTGTCGTTTAGCTTCTGTCCCATTTCCTATAGGTGCTGTAGATACCCCAAACAGAAGCATATGCAGCATGACGCAGAAGCTCTTCAGGATTTCGATTTCGGCTTCCTTATCACCACATTGCCATTTTCCTGCAGCTGCCAACCCACACCACCCTTCACCAGATCTTCCCATCTCGCATCTCCGCTTCGCTCCACAAAGGCTTTGTCGGCGTTCATGTAACCTTTACCCAAGCATTTCAATGCATGCAAACGCATTTGCTCCACTGAGAAGCCCATAATGGCGCGCTGATACCCGTCAACAGCTCGCTTGATCCGCCAAAATCGAACCCAATCATCATGCACCAGAGCTTTGAGCGTCGCGGCGACCCTTCGATCTCGATGCTTGAAATCAGTCTTCACCTCGTATGCCTCGAGTAATTTGTGTTGTCGACAAGCTAGATCCAGGATGTAATATCCAACGAACTCCTGGAGTTCCGGTGCGGAGAGCGGGGTGTGTGGGTGGATGTTGTGGAGCAGGTAGACGAGAGCTGGTTGGTAGGATTCCCAGGACTGGGTGAGGAGGCTGGCGTGGATGATGAACATGTAGGCTCTCTGGGCGAACGAATCGCGTCTTCGCGAGGCGAGGATTCCTTCGCGGAGTTTGCGCATCGCGAGGAGAATGTTGGGGAGGTCATTTGAACGATCTGTTTCTGAAGCCCGGTGGGGCCTGGTTGGTCTGCTGCCATCCAAGTTTTGGGGGCCGGTCTCTTTGGCCGATAGGGAGCTGAAAGCTTCTTCGAGTCCATTGTCTCCGTTGGAAGAGGCGCAGAACTTCATGTATCGTTCTACGATTTTGCTGTAATAGCTCTCTTGGGCTTTCGGGTCGTGTAATCTTTGTGCCGAATCAGCGGCATAGTCGTACGGGCTGTCATAAGGGCGTTTCCTACCTCGGCTCGCCTTTTGACGGCAGACCATATACGTCGAGAGGGTCGCTTGGTCCAGGCTTGAGTCTACTCCATGCTCCTGATGGACCTCGTCTAGCCTGTGGACGAGCGGACGTCGCCATGGTGGGTTGTGCCTTCAACCTTCCTCGTTCTCGGATTCGAAGGACTTCTTAGTGGAAATGGGTCATAACCCAATGCCAGTCGCCAAGGAGAGCCAAAATCGGGACTTTACGTGATCTAAAGGTTCTGTTGTGTTGTTGTTGATTGGAGAGAAGGCGAAGGTTGACGGGACGTCGTTGCTCGTTCTCGTTTTCGGAGGCAGGAGCTTATGCCGAGCCTGCTACCACTGACCTCAGCCTCAACATCTTTCATCAATTTTCAGCGATACACACAAATACTGGCCATGTAAAAGTTTTACGTCCTGCTACATTCTGGAATAACTGCACTTCGACCTCTCCGTAGGTCTGTCAGCCGCCGCCAAAGATGGACGACCGCGAGGAAAAAAGTGCATCCCATTCAAGGGAGACAAGCAACCTCATCCAAAAGACAGAAGCCAAGGCCAAAGAAGCCCTCACAGTACTTTGGCACGACCTTCCCACATGGATGCAAGACAATCACTACATTCAGAGCGGGTACCGGCAACCTTCGAACTCCTACTCTAAGTCTGCCGCTAGTATTGGCTACTTGCACAATGAGAGTGTCAACATCTGGACGCACCTGATCGGAGCGGTGCTCGCTGGGATTGCCGCGAACGTCCTATTCCTGGCCGCGAAGCCACGCTTTCAAATGGCGACTAGCGAGGATGTCATGGTCTTCTCATGTTTCTTTGCCGGAGCTGTGGGCTGTCTTGCTATGTCGGCAACCTATCACACGATATCCAACCACTCGGAGGCAGTAGCGAGGTTTGGCAACAGACTGGATTACATAGGCATCATATTCCTAGAATGGGGGAGTTTCATCCCTTCGATCTACTATGGATTTGCGTCTGACCCTGGATTGGTGAAAGTGTACTGGTCTATGGTAAGACACATTGCGAAGGAAGCAGCTCTGCATCCAGCTAATGCAAGTTTCAGATCACCACAATTGGAGCTGGTACACTCGTTGTGATCATGCATCCAATGTTTCGATCACCAGCCTGGCGCCCCTTCCGAGCTTTTATGTTCGTGGCAATGGGACTCAGCGCGGTCGTTCCGGTTCTGCATGGCCTCCAGATGTATGGTTACCGTCGACTTGAACAGCAAATCGGCCTCACTTGGCTTGTCAGTCAAGGTGCTCTGTATATCCTGGGAGCTGTTCTCTACGCGGTGAGTGATAACAACTGTGAAGCTGATGCCAGCGCACGAGCTGACTGTTTGTAGGCGCGGGTGCCAGAGCGCTTCAGTCCAGGTTCATTTGATATCTGGGGCAGCTCACATCAAATCTTCCACGTTCTCGTGGTCCTGGCAGCTGCGTCTCATCTCGTTGGATTAATGAAAGCTTTCGACTACGAGCACAGCCTTCGAACTAGCGCATCTTCCAGCTCTTTCAACTCTTGGTATTTGTTTGGCGGCCGACAAGATTGACAAGGAATCCTCCGAAAGTCTGAGACAACATGGCTCGTGGTCTTCGAGAGCTTCTCAGATGCGCCAGAAATCCCGAAGGCGTTGAGCGTCCGAAGCGGCAAGAGGGCCACCTGGAGACGCCGACGGGTGGTGTTCTCGTGAATGGCGTCGCCAATGGTCCGCAATGAGGGTCGGAATGGGGACAGAATGGTGCAAGCTCACTTCACCGGAACAGGTGGTCCAGCGGTGGCGGCGGTATACGCACTCCAAGTGGCCCATTGCGGCCAAAGAGCTTCCATGTTGCCATCCCTGCAGAGACAATAGCTTCAACAGTACCCGGCCTATCGAGCAGTCGACTTCATGTCCAAGCCTGCGTTGTTGATGAATGCAGAGACAAGATTATGCAGCAAGAAGCTCGTTGAGCTGCATCAACAAGCGTGTGCTTTGATGCCGTACTACCTCAATATCGGCGCCACACCAAAAGCGTGCTCGGATCTCCACTCATGCGGCGCGCTATTAAGCGATAGTAGCAGACATTGCAGTCAATGCACCTGCAAGATTAGGCAGGGAACACGCGTTTCGCGTGGATACTGTATGGTGAGATGCACATGCACCATGTGCCTGAAGAGGGCTTATATTGCTTCGCAATACGTTCAAGGGTCATGTGGATTCCGCGAAGGGTATGCTCATTGATGCATTCGATGTAGCTTCCAAGAGGCTATAAGGGAACTTGGAAGGGGGGGAACGATAGTGGTGGGGCGTGAGGTAAAATACCGACGAAGACAGCATCAAAATTTAGTTGAAACCTGGGCATCCTAGTCGGCTTTAGACGGTGCAGGAAGAAGAGGCGACGGCCTCAGGACGACGGTCAGATGGCACCTTCGCACGTTGCACACCTCGTCACTCGTTGATATTTCAACATCTGAGATCCTTTCCCTCGTTGCTTCAGCCTCAAGGTTCGCAGATCCGTTTCGTTCGTGTTTCCGCGCCGGTCCTCCCACACCAACCTACTAACGCATTACGCACCCGCCTCTGCATTTGCAGTATACCTCTCCGATCCAGCTGCACGGCTCGGCACCCCGAACGGCAGCATAGCCCTCGAGGCCGCGCTCGACTACATCCTCGATGCTCGTGTTGAGCACCGCCACTCGTTAAGAATTCCGTACCATGGCCTAGCGCTGGCAAAGAAAGAGTTGGACTTCCTACTTCTGCGTGACGACAGGCCCTGCGGGCAAGGCTGCGTCTTCTGCCAGACTTGCGAGGATGGCTACAGTTGCGACTGAGAGACTCACCGGCCATCCTATACACCCTCGACACCCGAGCTTCGAGCCGAAGAGACGTGGCAGCCGAGTGGCTTCGCCGGCAGACAAGAAGGGTGTAACGCAGCCGGAGCGGCTCAATAACGAGCTCCCCCGAGCGGCGTCGTACACTTACCTACCCGATTCCGAGAAGGGTCACTATGGACAACATACTGTGGTGGATATCAAGAGCTTCCCCAACGCGCACTATGTCTCCCATCCTGGTGATGTTGAGGACCTCTCTCCACCAGACGACTCCCCTCCAGCATCCTCTGGCTGGACGACCCCCGACGAGCACGGCCTCGCCATAGCACCTCCGCCGGCACAAGCGATCATTTCACAGTTACGCAAGAGCTCGACTGCGCCCCCGTCGCATGGTATCGAGAGTGCCCGCAGCAGCGTGAACTCCTTCGTGAGGCAGTCCGGCACAAGCCTGGAATCAGAGCGCACTGAAGCCTCGACTGCTGCTTCCACGCCCGTCTCCAGCCATCGTCCGTCACTGAGCAGCAAGTCATTCTCTCGGCGCTTCTCCAGGCAATCATGGTACCAATCGACAACATCGACGACATCGACACCTTCTCGGTCACCGTCCCCGCAAAAGGAAGAGCCTGCTTCTCGGAAAGGGTCAGTGGTCAAAGATGCGGGTCCTCCAACGGAGACGGGTGATGGACGGAGGAAGTCGCTGATCACTCGAACTCTCACTGGGAAGACGATGAAGGAAGGGAGGAGAAAGAAAGCGAGCAAGCAAAATGGTGAAGAACGGCAGCCCGAGAAGTCGGTCACGCGCAAAGGGACTGTCTTACGGAGGAAGGCTACAGCTCGTGCTTCTGGCAATCTTACAGAGCCAAGCTCCAATGAAGCCACTTCCGTGCGCTCTCCTGCTTCGCTCGATGCGACTCCAGCACCAGCGATCCCGGCAGTCCCATCTCTGCCCAAGTCGTTCTCCACAGATAGACTTCCAACCCTGCGTACTTCCAAGTCTGCAGTGTCCTTGTCCGACGACAAGTGCGAGGGAGCAATGCCAAGATTGGCTTCCAGAGATAAGGTCTATCACCCGAGTCCACTGTCTTCTGTTACCAGGAAGAAAGATGAGCTGTGGAGTGTGTTCCGGACACTTGATGCCGATCTGAGCAAGTTCACGTCAAAGACGACTTCACTAAAGGCAAATGTTGTACGCTCCTCGCTCCTCCCCTTTCTGCGGACATATGCCCATCACCCATCCAACAAGACTCTGCGGCCCGAGGATTTGGATCGAAGAGCCAACATCCTGAACAAATGGTGGACTGGGTTGATTGAAATGCTGCACGGGCGCAACAACCAGTCCATCTCAGGGACGGATCGGCCTGTTATCCTCGACGGCATATCCGGCATTATGGAGAGGCCAGAATGGAGATCTTCGCCTTCGCCATTTTGTCCACTACAGGACCGCCTCAAGGCTTCGTTCGCTCATGGCAATCGATCGAATACCTCCCTTGGGTCCAGCTCGTCGGACTTCCTCGCAGACTCTGTTCATCACAACGTTCGCAACATCTTCATACAGAACCTCAGCTCCCAGATGGCGTTTGTAGTTGATAAGATGTCGCTACGACACGCTTCTGCTAGTTTGGTCACCTTCTGTGGGAAAGCTTGTGCATATGCCTTTGTCTTCGTTCCGGGAATGGCCGACGTGATGGCTCGTCTGTGGGATCTCCCTATGGATACCTTGCGCCGGGTGCTGCATGAGAATGGGGTGGGGAAATTCGAGCAGATGACCGATTCGACCAGGGACATTGCTGCCAACTTTCCACCCGCACTGCATCAGCTTGCCTTTACCTCATTGATGAAGTACATGCGCAAGTTGATGACGCCTCCAGCTCTGCCCGTTGGAACTCAGCACGTCCAGTGGTGGGGTTATTGGGTAGATCGGTGGAGTGGACGGGATAGCGACCTGTTCTATGTTTTCGCAAAACACTTCCACATTCTGGCCACGGACTTCTTGCCATCGAACACGACAAAGAGAGAGCGCATGTGCGCCCCTGGTATGCTCTTGGTGCATGCGCAGATCCTTGCCAACCTGGACGCAACAATCCATCGAGACGCAAACCAGTCGTTTCAGGATGCTACCCCTTCCGCCACATTTGACGAAATGCTAGGCGATCCAGACGCAATAGCGTCAACACTTCCTATACCGCCTACTAATGCAGTACGACTGATGGCTGAGAATCGCCTCATAATGTTAATCCGAGATTTTCTTTCCGATCGGGATGCAGACCATCCGATCGCGAGAGAAATCTTTGCACAATCGTTTAGCGACCTTTTGCAGGCGACAGCGCGGGGAACCTCCATGTTCGACCACGCTGCCTGCTACACACTCCTTGACTTCCTGGAAGAGGCACTGGTAATACTAATAAGATATGAGGTTTCGAGAGAAATCGGTGACGCGCTCATGGACTCTGACTTTTGGTTGACTGTCTGCAAGAAAATGATCGAGAGCGAGAACACCCTCACAGAGATCCGGCTGTATGCTTTCTTGTACACCGTGTGGCACACGATTGTCTCTCGACCTGGTCGGAAGAGGGAGCTTTGCCTTGGTCTTCTGTTGACGCCGGATGATTTCGAAAGCCGGTTCAATCACTGGTGTCCGATGGTCCGGGCTTACTTCATGCGGCTGTTATGTTGGCGTGTGGCAAGACATGATGGCGAAGCGGGCGAGGACGACTTGCGAATACTGGAGACCTTAGAAGAGCGTCTTCAGGAGACCTGGTCGAAGCACCTTCATCTCCGCGAGAAGGCGCAGCAGGAGGCGAGCTTGCTCCCCGATACGGCCCCTTGCCATCCTGCGCCGGGAAGACGACTGCTGATTGTCCGGACCGACCACCAGGTCAACAATGCGGGCACATTCATCAATTTCGATGGACTTCTGAATAACATACCGGCGGCAATGCAGAAGCCCGCATGGAAACGTACGTCTCCAGCAGCGAGCCTCCTAGATGGTCCTGATGCGCGGCCGGAGTCATCATCGACGATGGAGTCTGACTCTGATTCGCGCGAGAAGGGCATTGGTGGGTTCATTCGCAAGATGATGGGAGGGTCGAAGAATCGGTCCAAGTCTCGAGAGCCAGCGAAGCGGCCGGCAGAAGCCAAGGGTACGCCTCCGTTGCCCGAAGGAGCTCAGTCGATCTCGCGAGCAGCAACAGAGGATGGCAGCCATTCCTCAGCGCCAGAGGCTCCCCGAGAAGCCTTGCAAGCACCGTATCGGAGTCTGAGTTTCAAGTTCTCATTGGAGTACCACCCGAGCAACAAGCAGCTCCCTCCGATGCGTCTACAAGCTCCGAGACTGCCACCACCAGCGCAGAATCTCCTCCGAGCGAAGACCAGGAACTCGGCTTCGTCTGCGACAAGCTCTGTGCAACCTGTGGAGCCCCGCGGGGAAAGTATCGCACGGGCACGGTATAGTGGGAGGGCTCTCGCTGAATGGACGGTGGTGGTAGGCGAGTGCCACAGCTTTTTCGAAAGACGGAAGCATGAAGGGGCGCCAAGTAATCGGCACGTAGAGACGCCGACGTTGGGTGTGGAGGTCTTTAAACGGCCGTCGTAATGGACACTCTGTTGTTGATTTGAAGCGTTCAATTAGCGAGTCCTCCTGGTGAGCATCTTCCTGGCGCTGCTATGTGTATTGAACTATGGGGGAAATGTACGGCACAGAGGGTGGATGGGTAATATTTTTCCCCTCTCTGTGGGTTGCTGCATGGGATGGCGTCGTTTGGACCAAGAAGGCAGAGGGCCTCAATGGAAGCAGCCATCTTTCGTTTGATTCTTTATTTTCTTCTTTCTGACACCTCTTGGCCGTATTGCACTGTGAGGTCGCCCATCATGGTGAGACTGATATGGCGGCGTCTTACATGAAGGGCATGGATACCCTGAACATTGGAGGATGAGTTGAATCGCGGTTGCACATGGCTGGAAGGGTGGGATGCGCGTAGAATCCATTATTCTTCGGCAATTTTGTGAGGGGGGAAATTTTTTCGTGTTGGGCAGCAGTGCACCATGGTGGTGCTGATGAACGTGGACCGGCTGGATGAAGACAGGAGGTAATTGGATGACGGGACGCGAGGATGCTGGTCCTTTTGCTTGCTTGCTTGCTTTGCTTGCCTGCCGGGTCTGGTTTCATACATCACACACTGTGTGCTGGAGACTACTAACTACTTGGGTGCTGACTGGTACACGTGCTCGAATGGCGCGGAGAGTAGTAGTGCGTCTTGGTTGTGTGTATCTTATATGTCCAAGAACATCGTAGGCTGCCATAGGCTGGCCGGTGGTCGTTCTCCACTGCCTGCGTACAGATGCCGCTTGGGCCGCCTTCGCACGCAATGCTTTCGTGTCTGTCTGCAGGCTCCGTGTCAAAGATAGAAGCCGTGCTGGCGTCGTGCTCGGACGCGACGAGTCGATGCAGTGGGCGTCATCGGAGTCGGTGCTCGTTTGGGATTGATGTGTGAATGTCAACGCTGAAGCCTGTCTCGAGATCGATCGGGTGGGCGTTGTTGGGCTGTTGGCTGTGGTTTGTGGGCTGCTGGCTGTTGGGCTGGCTGCTGGCTTGGTCCGCTGGGCTGGCTGTTGCCGAGAGCTCAGACAGCTCTGCGTAGTATCTTGGCCAAGGTTTCGACATCACCTTGGAGCACCGTCAGTAGTTCGCAAACGGCAACAGCAACAACGGCAACAACGACAACGAGACAACGAGACAACGGGGCGTGTCCAGTCAACGACGACGGCAGCGCATTCGCATTCGCATCGCATTGTTGGAGAGGGGGCCTCGAGCCTTTGTTCTCGACTGACTCGCCGAACTTGTCCCGCGTCGAGGTCGCGCCGTCATCGTCGTGGAGAGAGAGAGAGAGAGAGAGAGAGAGAGAGAGAGAGAGAGCAGAGGTCGGTGGTCTGTGAAAGAAGCAGCAGCAGCAGCAGCAGCAGCAGCGACAACCAGAACTTCAACCGGCACTGCTCTGTCCTCCCTCTCACCTCCTCGCCGCTCGCTCGCTCAGGCCTGTCCTTGGCCGCTGTCGCCGTCGCCGTCGGCAGCATCAGCACCTCCGCCCTTCTGCACCGCAGCGCTCTGAGCTCCGCCCTGCCCTTCCCTGGGAAGGCACGACAGCACAGCAACAGCAGCAGCAATTTCCTGACCCGCTGCTCCGCCTCGCCTCGCCTTGCCTTGCCGCTGCCGCTGCTTGTCTGGAATATTTGCATCCTCGCCTACTTACTCACCTGAGGCCACCAAGTCGCCGTGCTGCTTGGTGCTTGTCGGTGGTTGCGCACTGCGAAACAAGCAGCACCTCAGGCAAGCGCTCCTCCAACCGCGCTGACCTGACTGTGACTCCAGCTGCGACGACTGTGAGCTCGGCGCCGTCGACAGATGGACACCGCCCAATTCGCCGGCACTGCCAACCCTCCGTCGTCCTCCCACCCCGACTCCGCCGCCGCCGCCGCCGCTTCCTCCAATGCACGATATGCCGACAACCACATAGCTGCACTGCACAACTCTAACGCCTCCGCCGGCGTCCTCGCCCAGAGTCAGCCAACTCAGCAACCGCGCGAACTACCCACCACTCCTTCCACCGCTGCTGCCGCTCAGTTCGATCCCGCATACCACCACTCCCCCTCCATTGCCTCCAGGGCGGCGTCTATGAGCCTCTCCACCCCGACGTCAGGTTCGAACGCGCGCCTGCGGAATACCACCACCATGGACTACAATGGCAGCGACATGGACGTCGATATGGATGCCGATCCGTTCAACAAGCAGAAGTATACACGGCCCGCCAATACGAGCAGGCTGTCGTCGCAATATCTGCCCACACACCCGCAAGAGGATCCCAATACGAGGCAATCGCGCTACTCACCCATGAACACCTCTCCCACCTTTCTGTCCAGCCCGCCGCAACCACAACCACAACAACAACAGCAACAACCACAGTCCGGCTACACTTCATATACACCCCAGCAATCCGCTAGACAGAGTCCCAGCCGGCAGAGCCAGTACGCTTCGCCCACGCAGCAGAGGTACTACGCTTCCCCGCCATCTTCTGCTCGCGCACACAATGCGCAGCTGCCCCCTCTGCAGCCCACCATGTCGCCCAATGCGTACTACCCCCAGTCTGCCACGCAGCAGCTGAACGCAGTTTTCGGGAATGAGATGGAGCCGCAGAAACAGCCGCTGTCGCAGCAGAGCTCTCACACCTTCTCGTCAGCGCAACCTGACGTGGTACCTCAACTCACGAGGGTCCATTCCGTGAATGATCTCGAGCCTCGGATCAACGCCCAACCACCTTTCCGGAGAGCAGCGCCGGAAGGAGGCTTCATTAGCCCTCTACAAGCGCTCACGAGCCATCTCCCTGCGACCTACCGAATATGCAACCCTACATTTCAGTATGAGTCGTCACGGAACCCGCGAAGAGTGTTGACGAAGCCAAGCAAGGGTACCAAGAACGATGGGTTTGACAACGAGGATAGCGATTACATCCTCTACGTCAACGATATTCTGGGCTCGGAGGAGACGAATCACAAGAACAGATATCTTATTCTTGACGTGCTGGGTCAAGGAACATTCGGACAGGTGGTCAAGTGTCAAAATCTCAAGACGCAAGAGGTGGTAGCTGTGAAGGTGGTCAAGAACAAGACTGCATATTTCAACCAGAGCATGATGGAGGTGTCGGTGCTGGATCTGCTGAACGGAAGGATGGATAAGAATGATGACCATCACATTCTACGACTGAAGGATACCTTCATCCACAGACAGCATCTTTGTCTGGTCTTTGAGTTGCTGTCGGTGAATTTGTACGAGCTGATCAAGCAGAATCAGTTCCGGGGTCTGAGCACCACACTGGTGCGCGTTTTTGCACAACAGCTGCTGAACGGGCTATGTTTGCTCAGCAAGGCGAAGTTGATCCATTGCGATTTGAAGCCGGAAAACATTCTGCTGAAGAAGTGAGTCCATGAGAAGCTGCGTATGGAAGACCAGACTGACAGTTTTGCGCAGCCTTGAAAGTCCAATCATCAAGATTATCGACTTTGGATCCGCGTGCGACGAACGACAAACCGTATACACGTACATCCAGTCACGCTTCTACCGATCTCCCGAGGTATTGCTGGGTCTGCCCTACTCGGCCGCAATCGATATGTGGTCACTGGGATGCATTGTTGTCGAGCTCTTTCTTGGCCTGCCGCTCTTCCCTGGATCATCAGAATACAACCAAGTTTCAAGAATAACGGAGATGCTGGGACTACCACCGAATTGGATGCTCGAAGTGGGCAAGCAGTCCGGCGAGTTCTTTGAAAAGGTTCACGACGAGTTTGGGCGTAGGACGTACCGACTCAAGTCGATGGAGCAGTACTCTCGTGAGCACGGCACGAAAGAGCAGCCCAGCAAAAAGTATTTCCAGCAGACACGATTGCCGGACATCATTCGGGCCTATCCGATGCCGAGGAAGGGCATGAAACAGAATGAGATCGAGCGAGGTGCGTTGGTAGACGTGGCGTTTGTGACATGTGACCGACGCTGACATGCTTTAGAAATGGCAAACCGGGAGGCGTTCATCGATTTCGTCCACGGCCTGCTTAACATCAACCCCCTTGAGCGCTGGACGCCTCACCAAGCCCGAACACATCCCTTCATCACACAACAGAAATTCACTGGACCTTTCCAGCCTTCGATGACCCTCAAGACCACCAGTCGCTCGCCCGCCCCAGGCGTTCAGCAACAGCAGCAAGCCGAAGCACTCTCGCGACAAAGAGCGCAGCAGGCACAGGCCGCTCAAGTACAGCAAGCTGCCAATAGTGCTTACGGAAACATGCACATGTCGCCAGGCTATCCTACGAGCCCACATGCACAACAACAGATGGCGCAGGCTCAGGCGCAAGCACAGGCTCAAGCTCAGGCACAAGCTCAGGCTGCGGCCTATCAGAACATGTACAGCCCCAGTCACCAGGGCGCACCTCCGCCATACCCTTCGAACCCGCCCTCGGCCTCGGCGTATGGACAGCAAGTGCCGATGATCCAACAACCTCCACCAGCAGCTTCGATGCATCCGTACGCGCAGCCACAGCAGCCGAATTTGTATGCTCAAGCTACGACACGAGCAGGAAGACAACGAGCGAGCACGATGGATGGCAATGGCATTCCACCGGCATTGCAGCGAGTAGTCAGCCACCTGGACCCCAACGCGCCCATTAGACTACAGCCCAGCCCGGCTTATTACCCGCCGACTCAGGATGGGCAACCACAATCTGAAGTGGCTATTGGCAGTCGAAGACGGACCAGCAGAGCAGGCGGAAGCAGCCGACATGGTGCCGCTCAGGATCGCAACTTCGTCAGGATGCTCGAAGACCGGACGTTGGAGGAAGGATGGAGTGGAGGGAATGGATGGCCTGGTGCTTGAGGATGAGGGAAGCGAAGGCCGTCGATCGTGGACATACGGTAGTCCCCAAAAGGGGGTCTTTATCGTTATGAAGACGAACAACAAAGGCGCTGAGGAAGAACGATTATTCCTAGCCGGATCCGCCCGAGATGGACAGGCTTGAGGTTCTGCACGGGACGGTCGAAAACTACCTCGTCCCAGACCCAGAAATTGGCGCATTCCCCGTAAGCCTATCGAGAGTCTAGCGACTGTCTGGAGCCTCGGACAAAGAAAGTTGCAGACCCTTCGTGTCTGTGCGAATGAGATTGATGATGAATGCCACGAGAAGACGAAAGTCAAAAATGCATGCACGTCTGGCTGGTCCTTGGCTTCTTAACGTGGGAAACGTCGCCCCAGCAGCACCACATTGCTTCGAAAAAGAGATGAGTTTAGGAGAAAGGTGGGAAAGGACTGGTGCCGACAACGTTGATTCATTGGGGATTTTTTCGATGCTTCTTGCGGGATGAACGTGGGATTGATTGGTGGATTGGTGTGGGAAGTGGAACCGGAGCATGTAGTGGATACCCCGTTATTTTCAAGCATCAAAGTTCGATGTGACTCCAGCCTTTTTCTTTCTAGCCTTTTGCCTCCCCCTTCATCCTGGTCATTCTAGTCAATGGCTTGTGGTGGTGGTGACTTTCGTAGCCTGGTTGCTCTGCTCTGCTGTCTCCTATGATTCCACTTATCCTACGCTGCTGTGTCTGCCCCGAGCTCTGGTAGCACATACAGGAGGATGCTGGTCGATACTGACTGCCGGTGGATGATGTCGAGGGGTACATAGATCGCGCTTGACAGACCTTCTGTTTTCCTTGCCAAGGGATCGGGAGATCTAGGCCACGGGATTTGTTGGTGTATCTGGGCAGGTCGACGTCCCTCATCATCACTTGTTGTTGACTTTGACAGTCTGAGCGCCTAGGACTGGCGTAGCGATTGCTGAGGTAGTAGCGGCAGCTTGCGACGATGCGACGGAGTTGCTCGGCTGCGTCTGGGGTACGGGCGTGACGGTGACGGGCAGAATCTCCGTCTTGAGTTCTCTGTTCTTCTTGGGTTTCGGATCCGGCGCTAGAGTAAGGAAAATCGGTCACATATTAGCAGCGTTGATTGATTGATTGGGAAAGGAAAGGAAAAAGCAACACCGTCATATTTGGGCTTTTTTTTTTAAAAAAAAAAAAAAAAAGAAAAACTCACCTTTCTCATTCTCCTGCACGTAGAATCTCCGCAACAGCATGATGGCTTCCTCGCGGAAGAGCCCGCCGTAGACGGGGTACGACCGGTCGACCCCTGGATCCGCGTGGATGTTCATGACGCCCCCACAGCCCCCGAAGCGATCATTCAGACAACCAAAGTAGACCGCTCGGATTCCGTATTGCCGCAGCGCCGAGGCACACATGATGCAGGGCTCGACGGTCACGTAGAGGTCCGTTTCGCGGATGACGGTCTGAGGGTGTTTGGCCATGATTTCGGCGAGGGCGACGAATTCGGCGTGTCGGGTTCCCTGTGGGGGGGGGGGGGGGAGCGTCAGCAGGCGTAGGAGTAGCAGGAGGAGGAGGAGCGGAAGAGTTTTGAAGGTGAAGGTGAGGGGGTTTACGTTGAGAGAGGCATTCGTGCCGTTGATTCCTCGGCCGATGACTTCGCCTTTGTGCACGAAGACACAGCCGACGGGCGTCTCGTCGGATTTCAGGGCGAATTCGGCCATGTTGATTGCTTCGCGCATGAAGCGCTCGTGGTACTCGCGGTCGGGGATGATGCCGAAGACCATCTTGTCGCTTCGCGGTGGAGTTGAAAAGTAGTGGTGTTTGGATGGCTCGAAAGTTTCTCGATGTATATAGCGTCTTTGGGAGTGCGGTGGGTTTTCAGCGAAGATGGAAGTCGAGGGAAGAAAACATTTTCTTTTTCCAGCAAAGGGCAAAGGGAGAAGGCGGCTGTGCTTCGAATGATCTCATTCACTCTGCGGAAGTCACGTTCTTGCGACTGGGAAGTGGCGTGGTGAGCATGAAGTCGAAACAGAAAGTACGGCTTGTGAGTCGAATGGAGAAGGTGCGATGCTTGTGATCGTGCACGGACGGCGCTAAAACTCTTGGCGAGACGTTCGAGACGTTCCAGTGCACAAGGTGTGTATATACACTACTGCTCGATGCAGAATCAAAATATTTAAAAAGGGGGGAGCCCGGAGGCTCTCATCGTACAACTACAGATATCCCTGAGAACTAAGCCACCTGCGCAACCTAGTAGATCATCCGAGTTAAACTTGTTAGAAATCGAAGATTCGAATTGATTCCAATCGACCATTCGCCCAAGCCCGATGATAGAGGTGCAGGTGCAAATATTACTTATATACTTTTGGCTGTTCGGGTGGAGTACTTCGCTCCTCGCACTCGAAGCATTCTTGACTGCTCCATTGATACCAACCACAATTCCCGATTTTGTTTTCATGTCCTCGTTCATGTCCTCGCTCCAGGGTCGTGATCGGTCTTGACGATAGATTTTGTCTCGAAAATCTCGAGTTGTACGTAGGGCATCCACAAGGCTTTCTTGTTCCAGCATCACAGAGGCGAATGATACATCCGCATGCCCTCCGCTAATGTTTGCTTCACTCTTCCGCCCTCGCCATCTCGACAATCTCGCAAATTCCGCGATGACATCCTCGAGGAACGCACGACCGTAGAGTCCCTTGTATATGTCTGGAGACAGCCTGTCGGCTTGCAGATTTCCCACGACGAAATCAATGAGCTTCAGCATGTCCCGTGCAGACGTGAATCGGAACGAGAGCCGCCTAAAAAAGCAGTCCGCCGCGAAGCATCCGCACAATCTCGTCCGTGACTAAGTTTTGTGCCTCGGGCTCCTCCGTGTAGCAGGTCAGAGCCCATAGATCCAGCGTAGCTTTCCACCTGAGTACTTCGTTCGCGCTGTTTGGCTCATCAAGGGGACAACTTCATCGCTGAGAAGTACTTGGAGGTAGCGGTCGACATCTTCCAGCTTGAACCCGAAAATTTAGAGCCAGGAGTGCCATGTCGATCGTGCTATGGGACACTCCGTTCGTGATCTTGGTGGAGTCGAGAAACTCGGCCTGTCTTGATGTGAGTTGCCCGTACGCGCGAAAAGGACGAGGTTAGACTAACTTGAAGATCCTCGCTGATCTGCGTGTATCCTCGTTGGACTGTCCATCTGGGGCCGCTCTCTTCTCGCTGATGCTTGGAATTGCCATTGCGGCTTGGAAAGCCAGTATGTTGCCGTTGATGAGGAGTAGAAGAACTCAGAAGGGAACAAGAAGTGTTTGGATCCTCCGCAGAACCGACCGCATGTGACAACCCGAAGCATGTAAACGTACTCGCGAAAGTAAGCAATTGACGTAGCTCAGGGTGCTTTTCATATGCCACCTACCTACTGATCAGGGCCTTCACCGTCCCGCCGCACTCGCATTTCGGACCTCAACATGATACTTCTTTCCGGCTCTCTCCCCGACCTCGATCCTTCCTGCAGCATCTGCACCTTCATCTCGCCTCTTGGCCATTTCTTTCGCAGCCTCGGCCAGGAATGGACATTCCCCTCCGGTGAGGCTCTTGTCAACAAAGGCAGAGAAACATGAGCGTTCAGCTAAGTGATCCACGAGCATCCTCCGCAAAGGAGGGTTAACACGCCCTCGAGTATGACTGTCCACGGTCTCGAGGATCGGTTTCCACTTTGTCGATTCCCCCTTGTCCGTCATCAACACCAACTTGTCCATGACAAGGTTCATTGATTCTGGGTCCCCCAGCAAGTCGCAGAGAATGTAGACCTCGATAAGCCAGGACCAGCGGCTGTCCACGCTGTGACCGTCGTGCTCGTCGAGAGCTACTTGACCAGAGTGCAGAATTTGGAGGTATGTCGAGAATGACTGCTTGTTCACCGCCTTTCCATATGGTAGTTTGACGACCCCATCTTGTCCGTAATTATTGTGCGAACAAGCCCATTCAAAGTGTCGCGAGCGTCCGGTGATGAGATTTCTGGGGATGTGAACAACACAGTCATACTGATTGAAGGCAAACTTGACTTTGACCTCGTCGAAGTAGTCCACCCTGCAGTACTTGTTAGTGCACGAATAGGTGAAGGTAGCTTTGATCCTACTTGATCCTCTTGGCTGGTCGCTCACGCTCCGTATCCATGGTGATTGCGTCGTGTCGTTGAGATGTCGTGTTTCTGCGACCGTCGTGTGGATGTGATGTCGTGTGGATGTGATGTCGTGTGGATGCGATGTCGCGTGGATGTGATGTCGCGTGGATGTGATGTCGTGTGGATGTGATGTCGTGTGGATGTGATGTCGTGTGGATGCGATGTCGTGGTCATCAGAGTTGTACGAATGCGAGAATAGTGCGTATTTAAAGAGCGGGGCATATGCGTTTCCATGTGACAGTGAGGCCACTTTCCTCCCCATTGCCGAAGTGAAACGATTCTGAGTTGTCCATAAGCTACTCAGGATCGGAATGTCTGTAGCTCTGACTAGCCGAAAACCACACCGAGCGAAGGTACCTGTCACAAAAGAGTAGAAGATTAGCCAGTGGCTGAGACAAGTAACATACCAAAAGGCTCTGAGGTACATACCCGGAGTATAAGTACAGCTTTCGTTTCAAGTGAGATGAGGAGCGAGCGCCAGAGTGAGAGAAGCCTGCTTACAACATCTCTACTACTCTTTCTGTTCAAAGTGGAACGGTTCAAGCAGTGGAAGATGTGCCCAATGACTTGAGTCGAATTGCGCTTTCGAGATTGAGGATACGTACCTCCTCGTATCCAACACCAACACATTCTGAGCTGTCAATAAGATCTCTCCGCTGATCAAACAGATCGTGCATGTCTGAAGTATTTCATTCCAATCCAAGCAACAGTAATCCAAACCCAAGCCACGACTCCAGTGAGCACGATCAAAGCCGGGTAGTAGCCTACGATGGGCAGTGTCGGATCATCTTCCAGTTCGGGTGGCGCATATGGTGTCTCGCCAACATCCCAAGCCCAGCTCCAGATCTCCAAGCAGCTGCCCATTCCAACCGTAAAAGTCAACCAAGTAACGAACAGTATCACCCAGCCCCAGTATTCTGTCTCCGTGTAATCGTGCGGTTCTGGCTCCGCAAAATTGCTCAACGTATTCATATGCTGGGATAGAGGTGAAGATCGCGGTTGCTTGGCGCTCAGATGGCGAGTGAGCGAATCCTGGGAGACAGGGGTAATCGAATCGAAGTAGCTGATGGCCGCGGAAGACAGAGGTTTTTGCAAGCTCTCCCTACGCTGAGCGATGAGGCTGTTAGCTAGTCGATCGAAGGTGAGAGGATCATCGTCATCTGTCGTGCTGGTGTAGCTTGCCTGACTCGTCGGGCTTGTGACATTTTCAGGACTCGCGAGCTCAGCCGATGCTTTACGCTCGCTTTGCGATCGATGTTCCGTAAGGAGCGACAACCGTGCTGAAGTAGCCGGAGCAGACTCAGACCAGCCGCTATCACTGCTGTCATCCGCATCTACTTGCTCGTAGCTGAGCTTGTTGCGCAAGCTAATTGTGCTCTCATTGTTGGCGGAGTGCACAGGCTGATTGAAGTCGCCTCCAAAGATCTTGGCTGGACCAGGCGCGGGCACTGGTTCTTGGAAGGGCGGCATGGGCGGCTGCTTGGAAGAAGGATTTCGTTGAAGAAGACTATTCTTCCTTTCCCTCCCTTCCGTCACCAGTCTCCGTCCACCCAACAACGCTGTCTTCCTCAGCGAGCCTTTCCGTTTCCTAGTCTTTACAGGCTTCAACGCCGCTGCCATTGCACTCTCGCCCTTCTCAAGCGAGACTGGCGACACGGCCGGCTCATTTTCATCATCAATGCTCTTCCTACTCTTGATACTCTTCGCACTCTTCGGACTTTGCGGCGGCTTGTCCTGCTCACCATTCCTCGACGGTGGCCGCCCATCTTTGCCCCCAACTCCGAGAAAGTTGAGCCTCGCCAAGATACTTCCACTCACGCTTCGTCGATGCGTATTCGGCTTCCGCGCAGAGTTAGGCGCAACTGACGTGTTCGGTGGATCCTGGGAGCTCCAACCAAACCTCATGGCGTCCTGGGTGAATTTGATGTGGCCATCTTCAATGGCTTCATCGGTATTGAACTGGGGGAACGGACCAGAAACAGTTTTACGGCGGTCGCCGCTGCCGCCAGATGGACTGGCGGTTCCATTTTCCATGCTCTGGGAGCTGCAAGCCCATTGACAGGTGCGCTTGCTGGTAGAGAGATTATCGTTGCTGCCAGGTGTATAGCAGCATACGCGTATCTCTAGAGGTATCGATTCGACTCGGTATTCGACACGGCCTCGTTGTGGATGCCGTAGCTATAGAGTGTAAGGCAGATGTATCTCGCGTGTTGAATGGAGAGGTGTAGTTCGGCAGCTGGCCAGGCTGGCTGCCGTAGGTCATCAATATCTGATTGGGTCCATCAAAGTCTATCTTTATCCTTGCTAGGTACGCCGCATTCATTTTAGAGCAAACCTGAAACAATGGCCCCCTTGGAGACATCACAACTCCCAGGGACGACGGCAGTCCCTAGGTAGACACCTCGCCGTCGCCATACCTACGACTTGTGCAATATTTCTCGATGCTTTCGTAACGCTCCTGCTATTTGCTGCCCCCCTTAGCAGCCGAGACATCTAATCAATGGCATCTAACTTGCCAATACCGCTTCCACCGCGAACGCCTACGCCGCCCTCAGCCAATCCGCCGTCTCCCACTCCAGAACAAGGCGTTGGCCTGGGGCTGCACCCGGAGATTCAGACGGAGCATGACTACGACATCCAGAACGGCTTGAACGATTCTCCCGAGCGCGATCGCAATGGCCCACAGACCGGCAGATCCGACTCGACCTCTTCAATGCTCTCGCCCATCAGCGCTACCTTCAGCAATGCAGGAGGATTGAGTCCCGCAGGAAGTCTCTACAGTCCTCTCACACCGCAAACGGCAAGCACGGATGGTGGATTTGGGAGCATAGACGCCAGCACGACTACGAATGCGGTCACGAACCCTTTCAATTTCACTCCGGTTCAATATGCGCCTCCCACGTCTGCGACAGGTGGAAAGCATGAGCTGTTGGGGAAGAGAAGAGGACACAAATACAGGCATTCGTCCATTCATGCCACGCACATGAGCTCTATTGTCAAGGCGCCTCCGAGTCTCAAGACACCGCTCAGTGTGCCCGCTTCCCTGCCCATGCCTACGAGAAAGGAAGCTTGGTGGAGCATGACGCGGCATCAAACGATGCGGCTCAGCTGGTGTGCCTGTCACTTTCTCATTGCAGGATATGTCCAATTCAGCGGAGCAGGAAGTCTGGCCATGACAGCTCTGAGCCGCCTACTGCTCTTCGACGCAGCCGGCGCAACAGTCTGTGTGGTAGTGGATGTGATGGGCAACTTCGAAGTCTGGAAACGCAGCTCAATCAAGCACCCTTTCGGTCTTGAACGTGCGGATGTCCTGGCAGGCTTCGGTATGGCCGTGTTCATTGCTTTCATGGGCTTGGATGTCATCAGCCACGGAATCCAGCATTCCCTCGAGAATGTCGGTTCGCACGTTCCTCACACCGCCCACGATCATGAAAGAGTCGGCACAGCAAGCGTCGATACTGCTTCGCTTTCCGCCATTGCCAGCACTCTCATCTCCGCCATCGTCCTCAAGAACCACGCCCGAATAGGCCGAGCCATGCGCTTCGAACTCCTCGCCAGTTGGGGCAAAATCCTCGGGAATCCCTCTCATTTCCTCACGCTCTCCTGTTCCACCGCAATGCTCCTCCTCCCATTCCTCACCAACGACACCTATGGCTGGTTCGACAAAATCCTCTCCTTCGTCATCGCCATCCTAATGATCGCACTCGGAGTCCGACTTCTTACCTCCCTGGCTTCAATGTTGCTGATGAGCTACCGCGCTCCAGCAGACATGTCTCTGGGCGATCTGATCGATGAAATCGCGCAGTCAGATCCGTCCGTCACGAACGTGGACGAGGCGAAGTTCTGGCAGGTGCATTATGGGCTTTGCATTGCGAATCTCAAGATTCGCTACAGGAGTAGCAAAGGCACCTATGGAATGGACGATATGGCGAGGATAAGGCAGAAAGTGGCCAGCTTGATACGTCAGCGAGTGGGAGGCGTCAAGTGGGATGTGAGCGTGCAGTTGTCCATTGAGCGGGACTGAAGATGGTATTCATGATGATGCGTTTCAAGCGTGGCGTTGGGAGGAAGGGGAATATCTCTTGTGGTGTTGTACGAATATATGCTCTTTTTGGCGCCGGCTACCCGAAATCTTTTGCAACATTATGAGATGGTCATGAACGGTCGTTGGAGGATTCTGTTGAGCCTTCTCATTGCAGGCACATCTATTTCATCGACTCAATTTCCAATCCGGAACCCAAGGCGCCGGCAACGAAAGATAAGTCTGATTCAGAGCTCTCGTGGCTTCCCATTTCGCTTTTAATCTTGCCTCGTTTTCCTTGTCAGGACCACCGCAATTCGGACACCTCCCGCCATGGACGACGGGTTTCCGTCCTAGTCTATGGCCGCCGGCGGATTCTGTGGGTGCGCATTCGACGGTTTCGGAGACTTTGTGTTTGCATGCGATGTACTCGTGCGATATCAATCTGCACATGGTCGTTGTGCCTGTTGATGATGCCTGGAGACGAAGGAGGGTGTTGGTCAACTTGAAACTCTGGGGTTTCCCGTTGTGCTGGGATCGTCGACTTACGTTCGAGGCGGCTCGTGATGACGATGACGAGATGCTCATACTGTCTCCTGCTGTATAGCCCCTGGTATGCGGTACGCTGGTATGCTTGGTGTGATTGAATTGTGCTCACGTCGTCCAGGTGCCGTGAAAGCTGCAAAGCTTCCAGATTTGACGGCTTTCCCTCGTGCAAGATACCTAAAGCCAGCGGGTATCTCAGTACAATATGTGCTCGGTACGCTTGCCTCGGTGTAGCTCAACCTTGAGCTTATCCAGGAGCCTGGCCTACTAGTATCAAATCGCCATGAGTAAACATTTGACATTTTGGGCGAGCTCCAGCCACGATCGCGGAGTCTGGAATGGACTGCAGGGTGATGAATTCGTGCAGCATGTCTCTCAAGAAGCAAGTTCCTATTCTCCAGATGCCTGGCATATAACACGAACGATACGGAGGAGTGACAGGTCTTGCTGGCTGGCCCCGCAGTCTCTTAGGTTTTGGCGATGGCAGCCGGTGTGCGTTTGCGATCGGCACTGTCCGCACCCTTTCCTCGATTTCGATATCCATTTCGGCGAGGATGTTCCTCAAACATCGCCTTGGGTTGCATGTAGAGTTTCTTGGCAAAGGCTTCGTAATGCTTGTCCGAGCTGCAAGAGCCCTGGGATTTGCATCGACATGTACTCGTATCGTCTGTCCCTTCCCGCCCAAGCCGCCGTAGACGTATCGGCGGCAAGAGGCTTCAGTACGCGTCGTCTGGGGTGATCTTAGAGTTGGCGCCTGTGTGGAGCTGGAAGCTACGATCGCTTCACATACCAGTCCTGGCGTGTTGTGCAGAATTCTTAGTCCTGTCGCCGCGTCTTTGCGCACTGAAAAGTGATATCCATCCTGGGATTTCCAGCAAAGAAAGTGCAGCTATCAAGCTGGACTCATGGTAGGCTGGTAGCAACTGCGGGAATTTCTGTCGGGTGTACAAGGCACAAGAGCATAAGAGGGCTTGCAGCTCATGCACATGTGATGCATTTACAGAAAGGATACAAGGTGGCGCCGCTATCTGCCGCTGTTCTGCTCATCTGGTACGAGATGAGACCGACATTCTCAGACTAGCTTGACTGGACGATGGTCTGGCCTCGTGATGTGGGTGAACGCCGCTTGAAAATAGCGCAAAGAAGTCCCAGGCAAGCAATCGCAGATATGAGCAGATCGTCCGGAGTGTCCAGTGTAGGCTCCCGGTAGCTTGGGTCTCAAGTGGCTCGGGGCGACGCCAACGTCGCCAGTGATGTCTATGTCTGTCAGCCAAGGCGCGCTTTGCATGTGCTTGTGCTTTGCTTGACCGCTACACAGGCACACGTTCTATCGACGATGGAAGGTGTAGCAGAGGAGGACGAAGATGCCAGCAGTGATTTGGGGAGGCGGGCCAGTGAGTCTTGACCACGCTTGTTGGTGAATGATGTCGTGAACGGGCTGCGGCGTTGTCGTTGGTCAGAGATGCAGGGCGGACCATCTCCCAATGACGTGATGCGGTGGCTTTGCTGTGGCTGGCCCCGGTCCCCCTTCCGGAAACAGGGCACAGGGCAAGCGCGAACCGAATAATGTCGAATGGACGTGTAAACGGCCGGCTCGCATACAACTACACTTTCGCCTCTGCTGCTCGTCTGTTGTTGGTAACCTTCTTCCTCCAGCAGCACACGACCGAATCCGCATTCGCCGTGGAATTGCGACTGAGAGTCTGGACATGCGTAAGTCTTTCCTCCGTCACATGATCTGCGCCTCACTATCCCCTTATCAGCACTTAGCGCGTCGGCAAGCTCTCCGGGGTGCTTAGGCAGCGCCCGTTTGTCTCCACTGGACCAGTGGCAGTCTCGGGAGCCTTGCACGCGTCTGGCTTGTCCGTCCCTTACTTCCAGATAAAACACCCCCCTCCGCCTCCTCCCGCGACTCTCTCCTGTTCCCTTTCGACTCACACTCTCTGCCTTCGAGATCGAGGCTGCCGTACGCATATGGGAACCTCCGCTGACGACCCCGACCCAGACCGTTACCGCACCCAGGCACACCGAACTGCCAGCCAACGCAGCCTACCCACTGTTGCGAACCAGGGAGTCCTTCTCCCCTCACACACCACCTCCAACCTCTCCAAATCCACCGAAGCTGGCGGGCTAGACGAGCAAGATGGGCCGGGCGGACCACCGTCTCGTCTCCCAGCTGCGCGTGCGCGCCGCGGCACACCTGGAGGCGGATCACAGCTCGATGGAATTCGAGACATCCAAGGAGGCGATCTTGAGAAGCCCACGCACAACGACACCGCGGACTCAACATCTCAGTCCCGAGCTCCTTCAACTCCACCTCCGGATAAGTCCGAAGATGCGAGCCCTGGAGATTCCGCCATAGAGTCCACCGAGCAAGATCAGAACAAGAAACCACCTATTCCTACTCGCATGAAGAACGGATGTCTCCGTTTCATCCAGCACCTGAAGAATGCCATCTTTCGCAGCTGGATCAACATTCTGCTCATTGCTGTGCCTGCTGGTATCGCTGCCGGAGCAGCCAAAATCACCCCAGGCGCCATATTTGGTATCAATGCTGTTGCCATCATCCCTCTTGCAGGCCTACTCGCCCACGCTACTGAAGCTGTGGCCAGCCGCCTCGGAGACACCTGGGGAGCTTTGCTCAATGTATCGTTTGGCAATGCTGTCGAACTCATCATCTTCATTATCGCCCTAGCCAAGGACGAGATCAACATCGTTCAAGCTTCTCTCCTCGGCTCCATTCTGGCCAACTTACTATTGATCCTGGGCATGGCTTTTCTCTTCGGAGGTCTCCGCTTCCGAGAGCAAATCTACAACAGCACTGTCACTCAGATGAGCGCCTGTCTGCTCAGCTTGAGCGTCATGAGTTTGCTTCTGCCTGTGAGTTGTCTCGTTCTCAACCCAAACTAGATTGCGCTAACCACATCTCAGACTGCCTTCCACGCTTCCTTCAATCAGTCGTCCGCAGCGTCTGCCGATACTTCCGTCCTCAAGGTCAGCCGTGGCACCAGTGTTGTGCTGCTGCTCGTCTACATACTCTACTTGCTGTTCCAGCTCAAGTCTCACGCTTACATGTACGAGAGCACGCCCCAGGAAGTCATCGACGAAGAATCGCACCCTGGAGTCTTGCACGACATGATGAATTCGTCTTCTTCGGAGTCTAGTAGCTCTGACTCCAGTTCCGACTCGGACTCTTCGGACTCGGGATCCATTGCCACGCGAACGAAAAAGATGAAGCGCATGTTCAAGCACAGGAAGCGCCGCAAGTCCAGTGCTAGCGCTAGCAGTGGGCACACCGGAGATAAGTCAGTGCTTAGTTCGCCGTCAACGCAGGAGCGTCAGGACCCCATGGGCAGCGGTTCTGCGTCTCGACGTGGATCCCATCATGCCCCTATCACCGCTACTCCGGACGATGCAGACGCAGAGGACAATAGTGTTAGCCGCGTGTTTGACTGGGCCAAACGTCATCCGAGCAATGACGGAAACAAGTCCGTAGAGATCGAGCCGCAGAAGCGACACAAGAAGCACTCCAAGAAGAAGCACAGGAAGCATCGTAAGGAGCGAAAAGAGGAGATCGACGCCGAGAAGGACGTGATCGTCGAGGAGAAGCCACAGCAGGACGACATTCAGCCCAAGGTTGGCTTCGCTGACGATGTCGAGGTTGTGCCATTCCAGCAGAACACCACGCAGCCGTCGAAGTTGCCGTTTAACATGCGCCAAATTTCTTCGCGCACGCCCGGTCTCCGGCCCGTCATGCAGAAGATGCTCTCCAACAACGTCTTTGCCCAGCCTGCGCCACAGCCTGCTACTCGACCTTCTATCACTCGCTCGCAATCGGCCGGCAATTTGCGCCGCACAAACTCGCTCCCAGATCGCCTCAATCGTCAAACTACGCCTGGTAGTACCAGCGGCACAACTCGCAGCGATGCACTGCCACCATATCAGCACCGCCGTGTCCCTGTTCGTAAGGTGAACTCGGGAATGTCGCAGGAGAAGGACGACGACGACGAAGAACCAGAGGAGCAGATGTCTCGCACTGCCGCTACCGTCATGTTGCTAGTATCCACCGGCCTTGTCGCTGTCTGTGCCGAATTCATGGTCGACGCGATTCCCGAAATTGCTGGCGATTCATCTGGACTTAGTGAAGCCTTCATCGGTCTGATTATCCTGCCCATCGTCGGAAACGCAGCAGAGCACGTTACGGCCGTCACGGTTGCGACAAAGAACAAGATGGATTTGGCCATTGGTGTCGCAATTGGCTCTTCCATCCAGATTGCTCTGTTCGTGACGCCCGTGGTCGTCCTTCTCGGCTGGATCCTCAATACGAACATGAGTCTGTACTTCAACCTCTTTGAGACCATCAGTCTGTTCGTCACGGCTTTCGTGGTGAACTTCCTGATCCTGGACGGCCGCAGCAACTATCTCGAGGGCAGTCTGCTCATTGCGGCGTACATCATCATCGCGCTCGTTGCGTTCTTCTATCCTGCAAGTGGCTCTCAGAGCGACGTTGGTGGAGGTGCAGGGTCTGCTGCTTAGAAAAGTTCCCCGTACCCATACGAACCCCGACAGATGAAGCTTTAATCAGCAGAGAGCGGCAGATTTGTGCGCTCGATCTTGGAATGGCGTGAGAAAACATCATCAAGGCGTTCTGATGGAAAGGTAGCCACGTGAAATGACAGTCTCTACCGCGTGTCTCTCTCAGCCTGTTCCTATCTTACTGTCCACCCTTTTCTGCAACTCCAACAGGCTAGGTTTCTTCTTGAGCTGTGTTTCCGATATGGATTCTTGCTCTTGCTTTTGCTGTCCACTTTCTTTCTGCGCCACCTTTGTCGTTGCAGAACGCCAGCCCTCCTGAGGCGCCGTCGACTGCTTCTTCCCCGCGTCCCCTCTTCCCTCAAACCTCAGATCCTTGACCTCTATCCTCGTCTTCTCCAACTCCATCGCCTCCTGATACCGTCCCACCGCCTCCACTTCCTCTTTCAACTTGTCAACATACGACTCCAACCGTCCCCGATACGCCATCTCCACCCGATCCAACTCCTCCAAAGCTTCCTCCTTGGCTTCCTTCCCAAACTCCCCACTCGTGATACTCTCCCTCCAACTCTTCAAATCCTCATCTTCCGGGTACGGCAGCCGTTCCAGATCCTCCAAATGCTGCATAATAGTTTCCGAAATCTTAACAAATTTCGCCTGTGTGGATAGGAGTTCGCGGTAGAAGGTGCTCGTGGGGATGAGGTTGTAGACACCTTTGTAGCGGTTTGTCATGCGGCGCGTGAGTCTGATGTAGGGGTATGGGGAGGGGGTCGGGGGGTGGAAGCGCGGTAGGGGCACGGACGTGTAGGCTTTTATGGTTTGTGTTAGGGCTTTCAGGTCGGCTTTGGCTTTTTGGAGGAGGTGGGTGTCGGTTTGGGCGAGGTAGGCTTTGGTTTCGGCTTCGCGGGTTTCGTGGGATGGGGAGGTGGGTGGTGGTTGGGTTGATGTTGAGGAGAGTTGGCGATGGTGCGTGGTTGTGACGGTGGTGTTGCGAGTTGGTTTGAGATCGCGGAGACAGATCCATTGGTAGGGCTTTGTGGTGGACATGGTGGACATGGTGGGTGAGGTTGTGTGGGATGGAGATGAGATGGAAAGGAAGATTGGATGGAGATTCACTTGAGGATTCGAGGTGGCTAGCGCGGTGGTCTGTGCTCGCGGAGAGGACTCCACTCCGCGACCAACTATATCTTGGCATTGCCGTGCACAACATTATACAGTTCAAGAGGAAAGCATGCGGTTCGAGCGATGTTGTCGCAGTTCTCTCTAAATACGGTCTCGAGCTTCCTGAAGCAGGTACGCGTATGTTACGCTACTTGATCAGAGCTACTTATAAGTTTTCCTTGCTTCTCCTCTATCTGGCTGCGCTGCTCTAATGCGGCGCCGTCCTCCTGTGCCACTGTCGGGGTGACATTCTTCTTTTGCGCTCGGTTGTGGGCTCCAAGCCAGTCAAAACTGGCGTGCCGCAGAGGTGATAGCAGGCGGGAAGGGTCGTGGACCTAGCCGTTCATGGGATGAAAAGCTTCATGGCACTTTCCGCGCAACATCCGAACTTGTGTCTGGAAATCGTGCGATGGCCACGCGTCTCCAATTGAGCACTCAGAGTTCTCAGTGGGTGAGCAATTTGAAAAGCACAGGGCATGCTCTTTCAGGTATGATCGTCATTCGGTGTTCGCCCACCAGCCTCCACTTCTCCGTCTTGCAGCAGCTCGTACGCCACGGAACCGAACCGCTTATGCTTCAATGCCTTCAGACGCTGCCAAAGATGCTCGCTGCTCGTCGTAGCCGGCTCGCCGTGCTCGTCACAGTATCGAGCCATCCATCGTCGTAGCATCCGTGGACGAGCGTAGAAAGCGAAGACCAGGAAAGTGCCAAGCATGCCAATGCAGGCGTAGCCGACCATAACGCCCAAATCGTAGATGTGTTCGTCTTGGACCTTCATGGCTTCAATGGATCTGTGCCTCTCGTAGACTACGATCGAGCTTGGCTCTTCCTCTTCGGCTGATGTTGATCCGGAGTATAGGTTCGTCGTCGGCCCCAGGTCCAGAATCTCTGAAGCATGCAGGACATGGTTTTCGGAATCCAGCGCCAAGATACGCAGGTATTGGTACACAGCTTGATCAACTGGTATTGTAAACGTGGTCTCAAATCCAGTCTTGTCAAAGGTGGTGACGCGCTCGTACGTGCCGGTTCCGACCGGTGAGTGCTCGATGGTCCACTTGCGGACTTCGGTTGATCCCATCCACGACACGTACAAAACGTTGTCCTCGAGAAGTACGTCTGGCGGTGTTAATGGAATCCCAGTCCAGTGAAATTTGAGGTTGCGATAGCTTTGTACATCACCTGAGCTGAACCTTGAAGAAGGCTGAATATACATGTCGCATAGTACATCGCCCTGAGGGGAGAACTCCGTCATAGCACCAGTATATCCGTATCCAAGCACAACATTGCCGTTTGGCTGCGTCTGGTACGATCCCTGTGAGAAGGCGAAGATATTCTCCGGATGGACGAATGTCATATCAATCTTGGCTGTCATCCTGTTCAAGTCCACTTCGATCCTCTTGCCTTTCGATACGTGTTCCGCCTCGAACTCCCAGTCCGCCCTATTGTCGAACATGGTGATGTACTGCCCCTCGCCGTCCCAGTGCACATCGTGCTGTCCGACAAACTTGGTGGCCTCTCCATTTGAAAGGTCTGCAAAATCGTTGAACTCTCCTCCAAGGCGCCACAATAGCTTCCCGTTCTTTCCTGACACATAGGCAACGCATCTAAGGTGTCGGGCAGAGATCAAATAGTTACCCAGGGAATCTTTCTCGACCGTGTTGATATGGAACCAATCCCACGGCTCTTCCTCGCTTCCTGGCAACTGTTTCGCATATGACTCTTTCAACGAGAAGTGCTCTGATGCTCGCCATTCGAGCAACACCTCCCCAGTCTGCAAATCCAGTTCTTGGAAGAGACAGTCCATCATCCACTTATCGACCACTGGCGATTGGCCCGATGTCTTTGCGATGTCCGTTTTCACCTTGTCGTAGATTGTGAGTATCGCAGTGTTTCGGCTCGTGATGGTAAATGAATGCAAATCAGCGCCGAAACCATTTCCAGCGGTAACGCTTCGGACGAGGTTATAGTGCTTATCATACTGCGCAGACCATTAGATCGCCACACACCTTTGAAGACATCAGGGATGCTCTTTACCATGTAGAAGCTTCCGTTCCCATGGCCGCCTTGAGGATCGCCAGCCCAGAAGATCAGATAGTATTCGCCTTTGTATTGCTGAACTTGAAAGTTGTAGAAATGGCCAAGGTCCAAACTTGGCGTCCAGACCAGACTTCCACTTGCATCGTATATCACTGCGAGTGGCTCGTCGACGACCTCCCCGCGCGGGGTGACGAAGATGTAGGAGCCATCATCGCAGTACGTGAATGGCTGCTGCATATTCAGACGAGGCACTGTGACATTGTTGGATCGAAATGTCTGCTCGACATAGAGCCCATACGCGCCCTTGTTGAAAAGTGCATCTTGAACGAAAACTTCTCCCGGTGGCTGCTGGTCCTTGAGATACGCGACGGGAGATTCCTTAGCGACCGCTTTCGGCGGCACTGCTCTCACTCCGAATGTGGGAAAGGGAAGGCAGGCAACCACGAGCCACAGAAGCCAACTGGTTGTCTCGCCCATTGCGTGGAGTGTCGTTGTTGTTGGGGAGAGCAAGACGCCAGGCGCATCTTTCCAGCAGAATCACCATCTGAACTGTTTGTCCACGCACTCCGCTATCTAGCTTGATGCGGAATGGACGTGAGTATTACAGCAGCCGATACCCGGCAGCCACAAAAGTGGTCACAGGGCCCTTGCCGAAGGTGGACGCGTGGCCGGCATTGCTTATCGGACAATGAATCCATCGTTACGTGGGGCTACAGATATTTCTTGGTGTCTGCGTATCCAGAGGATTTCCAATGGTTGTGCGATGGCATGTGAAAGAAGTGAACCCAGTGTAGCAGGGAAGAAAAGCGTGAAGTGAAGGTCCAGCGTAGCACGCAAAGCCTGAAGTGTTGCAAGTTGGCCAGGGTGATGGGACAAGAAAAGGCCGGCACGTTGGGCCCGATGTGGACTTTTGGCTGCGACGATGCTTGCACAGCTTGCGCACTGTGAGCGATTAGCCAAGACACAGAGATTAGATATCCGATCAGACATTTCAACCATCCGTCTTGGATGTGGAGCAATGTGAAGTTTTATATCAACGAGTTTTCCCCGTGATGCGAGGTCTAAGTCAAGCCTTGCCAAGCTTCTCATGAGGCGCCAACTAGTTCTACTGCCGTGGCTAAGAGGCGGGAGCGATGCAGCCACGTGTATCATCTTCCACATTCCGGGCAATACCACCCGTGACACTGCCATCATCTTCTACTCATCGCATTCCGAGCGAGCGAGTGACCAGAATCATTGAACACATAATCATGAATGGTTGGATGAACCTGCCGACTCCTTTCATACTGAAATGCCGAAGCGGGACATGCCTAAAGTGGACTCCGCTGAGGAAGGAGAGAGATGTAACATCGACAGAAAGATAACAGGAGCCTATTTACAGGAGAGATGAAAAAACATACTTCTGAACATACTGGCGGATCGAAGTTCGTCTCGAACTTGACTCTACCTAGAGAAACGCACGAGATGGACCTCTCTGGCTCGAGCATTGAATTCCGTCGCCCTCAAAGTTCATTGAAGCAACCTGCAGCACAATCACACGTGCCGAGGATAGCTTTTCCCGTGCTATTGAGAGGGGGACACTACGAAGCTATGCTTATCCCTACCTGAATTGGCCAAATAACTGGACCTAAATCCTGAATCCTGAGTGCGGCAGTGTGGCAGTGCAGCTGCGTCTTTGCACCTTGTACTACAGCTACCGACAATAAGCAGAGATGGTCGGAGAGGTTTGGACGGGCGTCACTTGTCTTTCCACTCCTTTGGCTTGTTCTACAAGCAATGCCGGTCGAAAGCCTCTGAAACAGAAGTTCATGGAAGTATTTTCTACACGTCACAATGAATTCCGTGATTCCGCCAGTTGAGGTTCAAGGTCGCCTTTTGAAGACAGAAAACGATCGAGTACACATCATCATCTCATCGAAAAGCGGAACCAGAGCTGATGCAGTGCGGCAGTTTCTCGTGCGCGGTGTCTATTATCAGCGATACGACACTCCCCAGCCCATCGATCCTATCACCGACGAGGAGCTCCCTCGATTACAGCACGATGTTTCACTTTTCCAAGAACTCGGCGTCAATACTATACTTGTTCGTAAGTATACGCAAATCTCCGTAGCTCTGCTCCCATGTGCTTATGCGAACAGCTACGATCGACAACACAAAATCCCGAACTCAAGCCATGAATATGCTGGCAGAAGCGGGAATCTATGTTCTTTTCGTAAGTCATCATCTCTCTAACTTTACATAGGCGGACTGATCATTTCTCTGTATAATATAGTGCCTCTCTACCCCCCAAGTCTGCATCCGACGCTCCCATCCGCGCGAATCTTACAACGAAAACTTGATGGCGCACTACTTTCAAAGTATCGATGCGATGAGCCCTTTCCCGAACACATTTGGCGTTCTTGTGGCAGATTTGCTCATCAACAATGATCAATCTTTGGCTTGCGCTCCGGTCTTAGCAGCTGTGGTGCGAGACGTTAAGCGCCACATGACTTTGAGGCACCAAAGATCTGGCGAACGAGTAGTACAAGTTGGATATGGTGGCGCGTCGACGAGTCTCAGAGATAAGGCTGTTATGGAGTATCTATCCTCTGGAGATATTGGAAACCGAATCGATTTCTGGACTGTGGGTATCCCAATCGGTTGTGTTAATTGAAATGGAGTGACTGACATGACCCGAAAGTGTGCCTGCTTTTCGTGGGCTGGAGAGTCGGATATGCAAATGAGCGGCTACAACCACCTGGTACGGGCAAGGCAGTCTCCAACGTGCAACTGAAAGGATACTGATCATTCTGCAGATTCAGCAATATCGAAATGCCAACATCCCAATCTTCTTCTCCGAGTATGGTGCTGCTCTGGGGGGTGAAACAAGATCTTTCCACGAGACCAGAGCCCTATTCTCCCCAGAAATGACTCAAGTCTTCTCTGGAGGCTGTGTATATGAGATGTGGAACGGAGCAAACCGGTATGGTCTTGCGCAGCTGATCAAAGATGGACGAAGTAAATGCAAAAAAGATATCGTTGAGAGTCGACAGACCGAATTCGGAGAATTGGTGCTGTACAAGGACTTTTTTCATTACAAAGCTGGTCTTGAGGCTACGAAGGAGGTAGTGCCAAGTGAGAGTGAGAGATTCGGTGGTGCTGAAGAGGGAGAAGGAGGAGAAGTGGTGACAGCTTTGGATCAATGGCGAATATCCCAGATACACGGGCCTGTTCCTGCGAGAGCTGCGTGAACTTGGGTATAATATAGCCAGGCCGTCAATCATTGATATATATCTCTGCTAAAACCCTAGTCAACGAGAAGGGTGGTAATCCACCCTCTAATTCTCAACCGCCACTCTGCCTCTCGCAGACATATCAGCCCTAATCATCCTTCTCCAACCATCCCTTCCCCTCACAAGCCTCATGAATCTCCCTCAGCTCCGGAGCATATCGGGCAAAATTCGCATACAAATCCCCTCCAACTTTCCTACAACACTCCATCATCGCGCCAAAAATAAAATCCACATAGCAGACCTCGCCTCCCAACACAAAAGGTCCGGCATCCTTCTTACTCTCCCTCAACAGCTCTCGCAACTTCTCAAACCCTGGCTCGGCGTTGCGCCATGCCGCCTCGCCGCTGTTGGCTTCCATTTCCGCCATGGACCGCCCAAAGGTGGTTTCTTTATTCGCCGTCCATTCGGCGATGGATTCTTCGAGGAGGATGTTGCGTCGGATGAGAGGGAAGAACGTCCCCGCGAGTTGGAATAGGATTTGGCCGTAGAGTGGCATTACTTTGGCTTGGAGTTCGGGTGCGAGGTCGATCTTGGGTTGGGGGTACCGGGCTTCTATCTTCAATGCGATGGCGGCGGAGTCCATGACGGCCGAGCCATCTGGGAACTTCACGGCGGGGACAGTATAGGCCAATGGTTGAGGGCCGATGGTTCCGGGGGCCTGTTGGGGGTTGGAAGGAATTCCGACGGCGGATAGTGTCTTTGCGATTTCGTTGTTTTTGAGCCAGACGGTGGTGTATGGGATTCCTTTGTAGTTGAGTAGTAGGCGGGTTCGCCAGACCATGGGGGACCAGCAGCCCGCGCCTGGTGTCTTCTGGAGAAGATCGTAGAGAATCATGGTCTTCGTGGATGAGGACGCCATGGCCGTTGACATGTGGTGCTTCAATGGAGACTTGTGCGCGCGATGCGGCGAAAGGATATAGATGTTTAGCTTGGTGGAGTTTGTTCTAAAGGCTGCCTACCTGTGTCTAAGATGCGCATGCAGTTCATGAGAGATCAATACTACATTTCCTATCTAGGCCGTGAAAGTGGAGCCACGTTCTGTATAGGCCTGCCAAGCCACTAAACGAATACGGGTGTATAGCGCTATCTAGTACCTAATTTAGCGCCATCTAGTACTCGCATTCAGTGGGTGATGCTCGGAGTAAAGCTATTAGCCGTTAGTGGACTTTTGCCCGATGTTCACTAGGGCCTATACTACTGTAAGACGAGTGTGTTGTCGAACTCTGCCAAGCCGCGCCAAGCCGACCGACCATCGCTAAAAAAGAGTCGATATCACGTGGCCTCTATCGCCTACGTAAACCTCATGACGATACCTACGCGTACGACGCGTATATGCTTCGTCAGGTGAGCAATACCCACTACGAAACATCTGTTAGTACCTGCGCTTACACACGTCGGGCTATATACTTGAGCACCAGCTCGACAGTGATCCTTTATAAACTCACTCGATACGATGTAGGCATTCTTTTGAACTTCCTACCTTAGAATGGACTTGAAAGGATTCTTCGGGCGAATGACGTTTCTGAAAGGCCTTGCAGACAAAGACACCGCCTGTGTTCGCGATGCTCTTCTATTCAGAGTGAACGATTCTGAGGCGTAGCTGTCGGGCACACGGGTCAACTTTGGCTCCGACCATCTGAGGGCTGGAATGAATCTATCCGTTCCCAGACCAGCTGCCAGAAATCAGCTCAATCTGCGACAAGTGCCTCTCAGTTACAGCTGTCTCGCAACTGTGATTGGGTTCGCCTGTGATATGTACCATATACTTCCTCGGTGTCAGCTCCATATGTTGGGCATATGAACAGATGTCTGTACGGACGTCAACAGCATGAAACCCCTGTTAAAAAGACGCAACTGCAACATTGGGGAGAGGTTGAAAGAGTTCCGAAAGCCGCAATGGGGTCAATTCTTGATCTCAACATAGATCGATCACATGGCTTTGGGCAACATCAGAGCGCCATCATTTCGGACATCATTCTAGTCCTTTGAACATGTCCATGTCGGACTCTTCTTGATCCATCCACCGATGACATCAGTCATGCTTTGACCATCCAATGCATAGCTCGTATCGTTAGACTCTCTCTTCTCTCCCAGATATCGCAGAGCAAGGAGGACCCACTTTTCGATGAACTCGTTGAAGATGAGATCGACTTTCTCGGGATCGGTCGCTTCTCCTGCATCAGAGGTTGGGAAGCCGGCGTTCGATCCAATGCAGTTGGGCGTGTTATAGAACTTGATAGGCTGATGAATGGTATCATCGCCATCATTACCAGCGTCGTCAACGGTCGTGTAGCCAGGAACTTGGGGCTGGTCTGAGTCTTTACCACCAAGAACGGCTTGCTGCTGGGATCTCAGTGCCGTCGAGGATTCGTGTGATTCTGCCCAGCTATGCTCGAGGCTAGTCCGGCTGACGGGAGCGAATGGAGGAATCAGTGGATCTAGTTGATGCTGGTGCCCACCGACTGAAGCCTTGAGATCTTGGAGTAGAATTGGACCCTCATTATTGAGCAATTGTAAGACCCGACTGGCCGCTTTATAGGGCACATCTTTCAACACTTTGAAGCCGCTCGTAAACGGGCTAACCAAGAACGTAGAATCGATAGTGAATGGACCCTTGAAGATATCGAACCGAATAGCGCCACTGTTCGTGATAACAATGCTTGGTGTGTTGGAGGAGTTGAAGGTTTGAGGAAGGACATCATTCTCCAACCAGCTCAACAGACTGTCATCGGACGGATAGGGTGACCGACTTAGCCAGTAGTCATGCGGTGCACATCCGAAAGCCTTGTCCAGGTTGAGCTCCTTGCGTGCGGTCGCGATAGCCTCGGACGTGTTGCGACCAAGTTCCGTGTCGAATGTGGACTTGTTGGTGCCGGAGTGATGATGCAGTGAGAAGAGGTTGTTATCGATGTACATTCGCTCGTACTTGGGCGATGATTGCGGCACGATCGCACCCTTCTTGCCCGTACTCAGCCCGTCAATGGAAAGGAAGCCCAGTGTCTCCATATATCGTCCACTTTCGAGCGCCCAAGCCTTGTTGTCAAACTTGCGATAGTCTCTGATGTGTGTATGTCCTCCAAATCCAACGATCGGAGTGTCCCAGTTGGCCTCGCGGATGGCCTTATAGATTGCTTCGAACTCCGAGCTGTCCCTAACTGGAACATGTCCCGCAATCAGAAACAAGTCCACGTCCTTGTCATTGATAGCATCCGTAAACCACTGCTCCTTGATCGCGTCTTCGACGGGCTGTACCGATGTGTTATTCGCATTGCCTTTAAAGTTGAATAAGAAGCCAAATGCGACGATCCGGATGCCTTGATTCTTCGTCGTGAATTTGCGGAATCGCGGCGCAAGCGGTGTCTTCTTTCCATCTTTAGGGCTATAGATGTCCAGGTTACTTGCAATGTACGAATTCTTGAAGTCCGGCACGACTTCACTGTACTCCCGAATGCTCGTGTTCTTCAAGTATAACTCATGATTGCCCACAGTGATAACGTCGATATGCTGTTTGTTGATTATATCAAGCGAGTATTTTCCTTTCGGATTACTCGCATCGTATAACCCGTTGCCTTCTACCCGATCGCCAGTGTCTATGAGCAATAGATCGCTCCCGTCCTCGTCTGCTCGCTTGCGAAGGTGATGTGCGAACGATATGTAGTCGCCCCAGTCAGCGGAGTATTGTGCCTCTTGTAGATGACCGCCGTGCCAGCCATGTGTATCGGTTGTGTGGAGGAAATTGAGCTGTTTCCACGGTAGCTCTCGAAGCGGCGCGGCGATAGGCGAGGGAGCGGAGGGCTGCTCGGAGACGGCGGAATGGATCAGGGCGAGGAGAAGCGGGACACGCGAGAACACCATCGCGGTGTGAATTGCGATTGGCTTCGTAGGTCGCGGATATGGAAGAAGAGGTATGTTGTCTGTGAGCTCATGAGATGATCAATAACGGTACATGGATGTACCTGACTGCTGACCACATGCAGCCATCAAGGTGCGTCATAGTCCTGACGCCAAGGTCCGAGCTTCTGCACGACCCCAGGAATCGGCCCGGGCGGTGAATGAACTTCACCTTGACATGTAAACTTGGTCTCTATGGATATGGCCTCCTTTCGCTTATTCGACCTTCCTAGGGAGATCAGGGACGAGATCTACAGCTATCTGACGATCGATGCGCTCGAGGTTCAGCATGGCGTCGATGAACGAGACACCGGAACATACACCTTTGACGCCCCTCTCCTTCCGGTATTGCTGAGCAATCGCCAACTCAGCGCGGAGTACAGAGATATTCTTCCCAAGCACAGGAGGCTGCTCTTACAGGGCGCCAAGTGTGACTTCTGGACTGGATATCACCCGGTTCCGCAACTGCTAGCAAATATTGTGTCGGACATGACCGTATACATGCACGTGCTGTGCTTCTGTGACAACCTAGATGAGGACGAACACGAGGATCAGCTCAATTACCCATGCGACGCTTCCATTCAAGTTCATAGCTACGCTCACGATCTAGACAATTATCTCAATCACTTCCGCAACATCGAGCAGGTACATGTCAAGATGTGCATGTTTCTAAGAGAAGATGAAAAGAATTACAAGGCGACCGACAGCCTGGAACCACCGCGGCTATCTCATACTGTTGGATTTCCGAGAAATTTGGAGCGGCTTGTAGCTTTACCTGGAGTCAAAGACCTGGAGATCATGGGCTTCGGTAGCAACGCATACGAAGAGCGCGCATATGAAGATTACCTGAAATCTAAGATGAATAGGGACTTGACTCCCATTGCAACGTGGACTACGGCATCTGGCTGGATGTGCAATCTTATTGTTAAAACGGCCTCAGTCAAAAAGGAGCAGTAGCCAATCTCAATGGTCAAGACTTGCACTCAGCCTTGGTTACATGACTGCCGCGACTGGTGCCTCACTTCAAGGACTTTTTACGTTTGTACTTTCATTCGCAGTTCCGATGTCCCGTATCCGACTAATTTGCAACAACGGCGATTGAACATCGGACAATGGGCACGGCATCCGGACATGGAGAGTCGCGCGAAACGGGTCAAGTAAGTTCTATCCACCGAAGGATTTGTCATTTGATTCAACTTCTGACTCCTGCGACAGACTCGATTTGCGTAAGCACTTCAAGGTCCGCTGATACTTCTACGTAGCAAAAGACTACATGTTGCGACGATCAAATCTCTTCAGGGCGGCTAATAGGCCTGACGATCTGTTCCGGATCGTCAACATTCTGCAAGAGGAGAGCAAAAAGCCCTGCCCGTCGCTACTACGAACGATTTCGAAACTACCCTGCAAATGCTGTATACAGGCTACGCGCTATATCGTCACGCGAGGAGAAGGCGACAACTTGAACACCAGGTGGCGCGAAATTGTTGATCTCTACAACTTGACGCACTACCTGCAAGACAATAAATCTGCCAATCTGGTCATCCATGAAGTCGTGAAAATGGTTCAAGAGGCATCGCTTGATTGCGCAGTTGGCGTGGTCTTTGACGGCGACTATCGCAGCAGCAGCAACATCGAAGTCTTGCAACACATGCTCGTGGACTACGCGGTGGATGACTTACCAGCGGAGCGCCTTGCCGACCAGAAACAAGAGGAGAATGAAGCGTGAGAGGACTTCAATCGAGAGCTTGCGTCGGAGGAGGCGGGAGAAAGCTATGGAAGGGGCTTGTCGGTCTCTTTACATTCGCCATTTACCTGCAAGACTCGACATAGGCTAACATGAAGATTGACCGCGTTGCACAAGAGCCGCAAGACGCCAGTGGTGTCTCATCGGACGCAGTATTTCGTTGCTACGGTCCAGAGCAGCCGATCCTACGGCGCATGCTCGTCGACTTTGCCGTGGACTGCTACTCCCCGCTCGGGCTGCGTAGCATGAAGGACACAGGGGACTCTTGGAGGACAGATTGGGAAGCAGCCTTATTTACTCGATTTTGCAGTGGAAATTGCCAAGTGTCGCGAGACGCAGGAAGAACCTAGGAAGGGAGCCTTCCCTCAAGGACTGGACAAGTGCTATATCAAAGCAAATCAGATGGGACTCGCTGTTTGAAGGAGAACCGGGGAGCGAGAAATTGAAGTTGACGATGCAGTGGAGTTGTTCTTGTGCAAAGAAGTGGTGAAGGCGTCGAAAGACGAAGCACGCTGCCGCCTTCCGCGTTCTATTCGACCCCAAAGCTATGGGCATACCATACTATCCGAACATCATCAAGCATCCAATGGATCTGACCAATATGACGACCAAGCTCAGGCATGACAAATACTGCAAACTGGTAGAGTTCAAAATAGATTCCTATCTGATATTACAACAGCGTGACTCTCCAAAGGGTAAACCATGCAGTAAGTCAAGCGGAATTTGCATTGCAAGAGTGCTTCGGAAGACTGGGGGAAGACATAACGACTGGATGCACAAGCACTAGAACGGTGCTGGCAAGGAAGTCGTCTGCTTCTAAGGCTCGAAACCATGAGGGTTGAATGGATGGCGAAGTGGGCCATTGCAAGAGTATCGTGCCTAACGAACGATCCCTGAATATCATAGACTCCGTACCCACGCCAAGAGTATAAGGGGACGACAGCAACAAAGATCGAGTTGAATCTCGAGGGTAATCTTGCTGCATACCCATCCAGAGCGAAGGAGAGCTCTATCAATACCTTTTCTCGGCTGTTCACTTCTTCTCTGTCAGTGCTCTCCACTCCCCCTCTAGCATTCCAAACCGCACATCATCCCACCACCGGCCCCTCCACCAAAACGTCTCTCTCGCGACGCCCTCTAACTTGAACCCCAACCGCTCATACAACTTCCTCGCCCCTGCATTCCATCCCAGACAAGAAATACTAACACGATGCATGCCCGCCACATCAAACGCCCAATCCAAAATCCACCGGATAGCCTCACTTCCATACCCTTGCCCCTGATGAGCTTTCACAATATCTATAGCAATCTCCGTGAAACGATGATGGACCATGTGAGGCGACAGAGCACGGAGATGCATTGCGCCAATGGGGACGGGCTGTTCTGTCGGCGAAGGTGGTGGGAGACAAATCACGACCCCGAGGAGAGAGTCTTCGAGGTGTTTTATGTAGGACGCTGCGTCCTTTTGAGCTTGGGGTTTTGCTAGGATGGCATTGGCGTTTACCAATGCTATGGGATCTTGTTGGAGGTTGAGGAAGAAAGCTTCGTCTTCCGTGGGTTCTGCGGCGCGGTAGAGTAGGCGGGCGGAACGGAAGGGGTCTTCCATCTCGAATTGCATCGTAAAGCGGATTTGACAGAAGCGAAACATCTCACCTCGCCGCCGTTACCACACCCGGCGGAGATGTCCGTGCACACAGGCGGAATCGGTCCGAGCGGCAAGGGTGCAGACTTCACTTCAGCTCGACCATCACAAGACGATGCTTCATCATTTCCAACCATGTGCTCAGAAACTCAAAAGGAAAATAGAAGACACAGTCCTGGTCACATCGATGATGGGTCTGGACGCGCCCGTCTACAATGACAAGCCACTTGGAGGCTCAGCAGAGTGATCTGGCGATATGGTCACTCACGTGAACCATTTTAACCGAAGGTATCATCACGGACGACGCTATGAACACGCCTGAATATTGCAATGTTGGGTCTTAGCTCGACGGGCTTTCTCGGTGTTGGTCAGGCTTACTCGCGAGGTTGCACGCATGCTGACCATGAAAGGGCGTGACGGGGCTGAAATGGCGCTTAATACGAGCCAGCGGGCTTGGCGTCAATGCGTTTCATTGTTCTGCTCGCGAGGTTTTCCACCTCAGCTACAACATCGGTGGCCATTTAGCGCGCCTGGACTTCAAATGGATCTTTCCGTCGCCTCTTACTTCCTCCGGGCAAAGCTGAGCCATGGCTCTGGTCATATTACAGCAGTGAAGAAGCAACACAACGTCTCGAGAACGTGAGCAATAAATATAAAAGCCTCCAGATTTGGACCTGAAAAGGATTCTTTCAGGCTCACCAAAGCGCTGCGAATTGTTCTATCGATCGAGATGACTAGGACTTCTTTTTTAAACATCGCCTCAGTGGTCGCATCTCTGATCATCCTAGCCAAGTCACAGAACTCCGATTGCTCCGGACAAACAACATTGCCAGCTGGAAGCGGCCCAACCGCAACACTTGACACGGTGGTACGTAGCATGACTAAACCGTCTATCAATGTATTTTCGATTAAGCCGAACATAGGAAGCATTCTACGCCTTGCAATCGATCGACGATGCCGCTTTCAACGCGCTAATTCCAAGCGGCTACACCTCCGCTTACACGAATCTACGTGCTACCTCGAACGCGGTTGGATACCTGGGCTATTTTGCGTTCTCGAGCTACAATGTGACTGACTGTGCAAGGCGCTGCAATGCTAGCGACCGTTGCACAGCTTTCAACATTGCTTTCGAGCGAGATCCTTCCGTTGAACCATCCGCTCCAGACGGACCATGTCCACAACCGCCCTCTACCACCATCATCAAATGTGTCCTCTGGACCGGTCCTGTTTCAATTTCCAATGCTATCAACAGGGGCGAGCACCGTCAAGCGTTCGAGGTCGTCATTGCTGGATCCAACGGCTACAATAAGCAGACTCCCCCTGTAGTTCCAAGCTACACCGGCCCTTCCGATCTTGGAAATTTCGCTATCCCTACAGCCCAAACTTGCACTGACGGAACTAGACCCGGGATGCGGCAACTTCTTTTTCAACCTGGTGATCCGTACAATGTGACCGCTTGTGCTGCTGCTTGCAGCGCTGAGAGCGCTTGTCAATTCTTCAACGCGTTTGTCCTCACGCAGGACAATGGAAGTCAATTTGGGCAGATCTGTAACTTGTTCAGATTACCTTGGGGCGATGAGTACGCTACTCAGAGGAGAGTGTCTTTTGATGGACCGCCGTGGGCTGTGACCAACAGCTTTTCATATCAGAAGGTCGGAGCGCCGGGACAGTGTGAGGCTGCTCCTCCCGCTACTTCCTAATTTACATTCAACAGGGTACCAGGGTGTGAGGGGTCGTCGGCTCATAGCAATTGCAACGAATAGAAGAGTATCCAAAGCTTTCGTCTTCCTATTCTACTCATCATCGCTGTCCTCCAAAATGAATCCAGCTCTCACATTTCTCCTTGCAGCAGGCTTCGTGATTCGCACATCATCATCTTCATCATCACTTTCCACAGGCATTGCATGGGCTGCATTTGCCGACACTTCTTTCAAAGGTGGAGAGCTCGCATCTTTGGCCGGTGTGGGCGATGTTGACGGAGTCTCCTTCTTTTTCCCTGCCTGCACACCATCATCGTCCGATTCATCCGCCTTGTCACTCTCTTCCTCCAGCTCCGAAGACGACGGGTCATTGTCAGACAGCACGATAGGGACCTTCGCAGAGGAAGCAGATCCAGCATCCTGCATATCCTCATCGTCGTCTTCATCATCGTCACCGCTACCGTCGCCCAAGCTCGCTTTTGCATTTCGAGCCTGGTCCTTAGCAGCCTTACTCTTCTTCCCTTTCGAGTTCTTTTCCTCCTTCTGCGCATTCTTCACCTGCTTGATCAGAGTCTTTCGAATGACTCCAGCCGTCTGCTCTTTCCTCTCGCGTTCTTGTCTGAAGAACTCGGCGTCGCGCTCCTCGTCAGTCTCATCGTCAGAATCTGTAATGAAGAGCTTCGACTTGATCTTAGCATTCTTCTCCGAATCTTTCTTCTCCTTTGCTTTCCTCTTGGCATCGGCCTCTTCCTCCGTAAGCTCGGTTGCATCCCTCTTCCTGCGCTTCTTTGGTCGGTCACCTGCATCGTCTCTCTTACGGCGCTTCTCGCGGATATTTGGAGGAAACATGGCTTCGTCGAGGTCTCCACCGCTACCCGCCCCTTCACCTTCAGAGTCCGAATCGGAGAACGATGCATTGCGGCGGGCAGAGGCTTTCGAGCGAATGAAATCTTCGGCGTTTTTGTCGTCTTTGAATGTGGGCGGGTCAAATTCGGCCTTTTTGATTTGGTCGAGTGCTTCGTTAAGCAGGGAGAAGTTGAGCTCAGGGGGAATGATCCAGCTTGCGTCGACGTCTTCGGCGAGACCAAGACGCTGGATACCGAGGGTCGTCAAAAGAAGGCGAAGATGTTTGTCCTTGAACAAAGCCGTCTTGCGCTCGTCTGTGTCAGGTGTGATGAAGATCGAAGGAGGCGAGATGGGCTCGGGAGCAGCACCGTCTTCTGTTTCATCCATCACGCCTGCTCGGGCCGCTTGTTCATCTTCCCAAGCTTGTCGCTCGGTAGCGGCATTCTCGAGCTGCTTCTTGACCCAGCCGACTGCATCTGCCTTGGCTTGCTCTATCATCACAGAAACGGCAACCCCGATTCTTTGGTCTTCAACTACACTAGCCTTGAGCTCCAGTTCCGCCGGTGGCCGTGGCGGCCTCTTCTCTACCGCCTTCTCAAACCCGTTCTGGAGGTAGAACACAGTCGCCGGTATCTTACTGAAAAGCATCTCCACAACCATAGCCTCCTTCCAGCCCTGTCCCTCAGTATCACGCTCCATCCACTTGATGCAGCGGCGGAAGACTTGCTGAACCAGTTGTTCCCAGTCTCTGAAGCCTTCCATTGCAGGATCCAGGCCTTCGGGTCCTTTGATCAATCTGTGAAACAGATGAAGTATGTCGGCTCTAAACAACAGTACAGCAAGCTCGTGCTTGAAAGCTAGCCTGTAGAAGTATCTATGAGCACGCTTCAGTTGCACAGGTGTCAGATCGCGGTGATAGTGCGTCAGGGCGATGAAAGTGTTCACGCAGGGCTGCGACAGGAACTTGGCCGAGAACCTTGCGAAGTCGAACTTCCTCTCGGAGACGGCTCTATGAGCATCTTCGACATCTCCAGCATTCTCTTCCGGATCATCACCACCTTCACCATCGCCAGACTGCTGCTTCTTCCTCTTGCGAGCTCGCCGCTTAGACCGGATCTGTAGGTCGACATTCTGCTTGCTGTAGTTCTCCAGCATGCGGACGAAGACATGCACGCATTCCGTGACAGCATCTAGATATGCGAAACCTTGATGAGTGTAGCCTCGTAATATCTGCACCATCCGATCGTGAGTCCCTTCCTCGTAGAAGATGCGATTCTGAATATTCTCCGCAATCTCTTGGTCCTCTTCGTCTTTGCTTTGCGCCATACTTTGCACCGTCAACAGGATCTGGGTAAAGCAGAGGAGTGTTGCTTGTAAGTCCTGCCAGTTCTTGTTGTCAAACGCTGTCTGCATCTGTCTGTTGAGCAGCACAAACGTCTCCTGGTCCAGTACGGCTGCAATATATGCAAAGGTATTGTCTTCTGGGTTGACATGTGTCGCGCGGTCTGCATTCCAAGTGCTCTCTCTTCTAGACTGATCTCGTCTAGAGGCCTCGGCTGACAAAAACCACGAAATGAGATAGAAATATTGCTTATGGTGCCTCGTATCCTGCACGCGATCGGCTTCGCGCTCGATTGCCTTTCGCAGACTTGCGAATAACGGGTTGAATGATGAGTCTAAGAAGTCTTCCACAAACCGGCGGAGGTGGTGCTTGGCGTTCTCCGATAGCTGACCCTGGGATCCAAAATCAGAATTCTCGTCGAACTCTTGAGCAAGCTTGCCTCTGTACTGCGGCTTGTTCCATTTCTTGCTGCGGTCCATCTGATGCAGCGTGGTGCTCTCATCCGTAATCGTGCTCTGCCCGGAGACGGTCGACATTTTCATTTCGTCACGCTTCACCCAGATCATCGTGCCAAATCTGTTGTGCCTTGTCGGTGCATGCTTATTGTAGCTATTGTGCATGGCTTTCTCCTTCTGGAGCAGCGTCTTCAATTCTTGTGTCTCTTCGTTCGCTACCTGCTCTTTCTTCATGAATAGCTTCCTCGCATCGATGCCTTTCACCAGGTGAAAGAGGATTTCCAGCATGATCACGTCCTGCTCTTGGAATTCATCGTTCATGCCGGATCCAATAGTGAGGAGAACGCTGAAGATGTCTTGCTGTTGAAACGCCTCGATCGTTGCGCTTCGGCTGATCTCGTTCTCATCGCCCTGCGAAGGCAGACGCTGAGGTTGCGTGATCATTGCTATGTTGCGGAAAAAGTAGAGGACCAGTTTGATGATGCCTTCATCTCTCCTGCTCCTTTCTCTTCGCGGTTGCGCCATAGCAGGTAGGCCCACGCGGACGGCGGTCCGAAGTATCTTCGCATACTCGAAGTGCAAAACCGCTCTCTTGTACCCAACTTGCGCCAGTTGTAGATATGGAACGTGACGGTGGTGATTCACCGTCGCGTTTTCGCCCTCCAGCGCCAGAGGCCAAGTCAATGGCACAAGCAGTTCCAGACATGCCAGCGCCAATTTGGCCTTGTGCTTATTGTCTACATTCTCAGGCCACAGTGCCAAAATCTCGAGGAGATCATTCTTGACCAAGTTCGCTTCTGCCAGACATCTCTTCACGTCCAAGCGATTCGTCTTCTCGTCGTATAAACGGAGCCATCGTTGGAGATCCTTAAGAACGGCAACAGCGTCGTCTCCTACTTGGTAGGTGTTGTCGTATGTGGAGCTACCTCCGACAGCATTCACGAGCGAAGAGATGTAGGCTCGTACTTCCGGATCGACCGTCGTTGATTTCTCGAAAGGGTCCATGGTGATGATGAGCGCAAGAGCGCCTGTATTGGCAGCGCAAATAGCTGGCTGTTGGAGGTGTTTGAGAAGACGCGGAGCGCGTTGTTAGCGCGAGATCTCCTCGGTCTCGGCGAAACAAGACTCCGAGATCGAGCTGATCACATGACCAGATCCCGGCATTCACCTCCCATCAGATTAGTTCCACTATCAGATGAATGGCTCGGCTCCTTCAGCTCCTTCCTAACTTGGCGCGGCCGCTAAACGCGCGGACTCGATCCACTTCATCATTTGGAACCTTCCTTCTTCCTCGTTCGGCAACACAATGCACATCTCCTTGCCACGGGATGACAGATGTTCCTATCGTTGACAAATGTTGCTGCGGATCAGATGGCGGTTATGCCGCTCGCTCAATTGACCGTTCCCCATGAATCATCTTTTGGCCGCGTGCCCATCCTCGCACCTGCGAGATCGATGTGTCGTGCATTTCGTGAGATGTCGTTGGATCCTCGTCCAATCAGAGACGAGCCGAATCATGTCGGTCAGCAGAAATGTGCGGACTTCGCATCTCCTTCGGGTATGGAGCTAACCTCGGATTTGATCTTGCCGAGCCGAGCATCAGCGATCATACCTCACTTCTCCATCCTCCATCACTGACACTCTCTTCTCCCACAATTGGACAGCTCTGCAACTTCGTCATGTCGGCGATGCGCACACTATCCCGCGTCGGCTCTAAGCGGGTCATCCTGTCATGCCCTCCAGCCCGCAACTTCTCATCAAGCAGGAGATTGGATGATGCGCAGGCAGCCGTCGTCAACAAGCTGGGTGTCGTCGGCGCAGGCCAAGTAAAATCCTCCTAGTCACTCCTTTGATGCCACCAGACTAATGCGTTGCAGATGGTGAGTGCTCCTTAACACGTCCGACTGTCCAATGGTAACTTCACCAATGCAGATGACCGCTGATAGACACGAACATCCAGGGACTGGGCATCGCCCTGGTAGCTGCCCGTGCTGCACAGGTACCCGTTACGCTTGTCGACAGCTCCCAGGCCTCACTAGACAAGGGCCTTGCATTCGCGGACAAGCTACTTTCCAAGGATGTCTCCAAGCAGAAGCTCTCCCAGGCCGACGCTGACACCGTCCGTGGACGCTTATCGGCTACGACCAAGCTGGATGACTTGCACGATGTGGATATGGTCATCGAGGCTGTGCCGGAGATTCTCGATCTGAAGACTAAGATCTTCGCCGAACTGGCCAAGACTTGTCCCTCCCACGCCATCCTGGCCACTAACACGTCGTCTATTTCGATCACACGCATTGCGGCGTCCACGACAAAGGTACGTCCTCGTCTTCGTCGTCATGAGAGAGTGTGTCGTCTCAGACATGCCACATGAGGCGATGCAAGCCACCCGCGATTATGCAGCCTTGTGCAGCGTCATGCTAATTGTAATCACTATGATAGGACCCAACTGACCTCAGTGCGTCCTCTCGGGTGGTCTCCACCCACTTCATGAATCCTGTCCCGGTGCAGAAGGGCGTCGAGATCATTTCGGGCTTGCAGACAAGCCGCGCAACATTGGCCACCGCTATTGAATTCTGCAAACGCATGGGCAAAGTCACTTCGACTTCAGCGGACTCCCCAGGTTTCCTGGCCAATCGCATCTTGATGCCATATATTAACGAAGCCATTATCTGCCTAGAGACCGGTGTCGGCGACGAGAAGAGTATTGACGACATCATGAAGAACGGAACTAATGTTCCCATGGGTCCACTGACACTTGCTGACTTCATTGGACTGGACACCTGCTTAGCCATTATGGAAGTTTTGCATGGCCAACTTGGCGATTCGAAGTACCGACCTGCCGTGAGACTTAGGCAGATGGTTGATGCGGGTTGGCTTGGTAAGAAGACTGGCAAGGGCTTCTATACGTACTAGTTACGCTTTCAGCTTGCTGCAGCTGTAAGTGGGATTGCAGATTCACTGATTGGTGCCGGCTGGCTCGTTCGTAGAATCACACACATGAATGAGTAGGATTTCTACTTGCAGTGTGGCGGGATATACAGGCATACAGCCGTCGCTAAGATGTACAGCAAGTCGATTGCATTCTCTCGATCTATCTCTTCCTCCGCTACACGAGCGCCAAGTGCTAGAACCCACTGTTACAACGGCAACGACTATCTTTGGCAAAGCTAGCGAAGCAGTGTAGGACCCAACCTCCAGAATGAGTACTCTCGGCGGCTGGTAACTTTTTATCCTACGTGCACAATGCCGTCAAACGAAGAACGAGTGGCTGCAGCAACGAACCACAGCCATCGCCTCACCCCGAAAGGCCTGGTCCGTCACCAGGGAGGCCTTCTCCTTTAACCAGGCAGCAGTCCGCCGCGTCTTCATTCGCCAGTCCAAGTGCGGATACGCTCCGCTCCAACATGACTTCAAGATGGCAATACGAGCTTTTGAAAGCTTAGTTTGAGTTCGCAATCATTCTACTGCTAACTGGAGGCGAGGCGCACTCGTTGCTGTTTGGTTTCCAAACACTCAAGTCGAACGGCTGTCAAAATGTAAACCAAGCTTCTAAACGTCAATCGACATAGCTGAATGTAATTACAGGATGGCACGCATGACCATGGAGAAAAACATGATAACGACGTATGGCCCTTAATAGAGATTTCATTCGGATGACTCTGCGCTGAACACTACTTTCACCATCGAACACTTGCCTCTGCATTGTTCCTTCCTCTCAGGCTTTTCCTTACTGCAAATGACTAAAACTCTCTACCAAATTACGTGAGCATGCCACTTCGGTCTTCCCTAAAAACTCCGCAAACTCGCCCAATTCTTCGGCATTCATCATCTTCTTGACCGATGGTAACTGGCTTATCCCTGCACCCGCAGCATCCAGGTCCAATGGAAGCCTCATCGGCACGGCGGGACTTTGACGCGAGCCTAGAACTTCGTCGATATCGGTGTAGGTAACCATGGACTCGCTCCCAGCTTTTTCGAAACAGCCTTCTTTGAGCCTACATGCCCAATGTGCAAAGAAGCCGTAGGACGAAGTGGAGGGAGAAAGTCGCGGACGACTTCGTTGTGACGATAGTGCAAGTTGGGAAAGATGGGATCATGGGGAGTGATCACCTCATGTTGACTGAGTGCAAAAACGATTTCACAATGAGCGATTTTCATTTCAAATGGACGACTGCAGCTGCACGTGTCTACAGGTTCTATTCGGTGTTCCACTCCTTGTTCCGTTTCTGCTACTCATCCTTGCCGAAAAACTCCATCCACATGGTGTGCGCGTGCCACATTGGGTTGTCCAAGAACTTGGCCAAAGTTATAACGTCAGCATCTTCACAAGCCGTGAATTCCGGTCGCTCTTTCAGGGCAACAATAGCATCCAGGCGGTCCGAAGGCAAAGTCAATACAGCGACTGGACCTTTGACGTTCCCCGTCATGATGCCAGTGGGGATCAGCTCAGTTTCGACCTCCACGTTCATAGCTTGTAGCAACTTCCCAGATGCTTCAAGGTCCTCTTCCCATATTCCACGTTGCAGCTGCATAATGAACCTGCGCTTGTCCGATGGTGGCAGCACAGTGGATTTGCAGAGTCCTTCGACGTCGTGCTCTCCTGACTCCAGATGAAGCCTAAGTCGATGGAATTGGGGCGCATTGTAGTAATGAATTGCGATGGAGGCGTTCTTGAAGGCGTTCAATATGTCGAGCACGTTGAAAACTACGTAGGCTTCAGCGGGAAGTTCCATGCTGAAATGTATTGCATGTTGGCCGACAATAGTGTGCGGGCTTTCAGAAATCACTGCAGGGCGATCAAAGAATGGCTCCTTGGTATTGCTGTACAATTTGCGGATGAGTGTATCGGTAGCTTCTTGGGTCTTTCGAGCGCGCTCGAAGGTGAGATGCGGCTGCAGGTAAATGAAGAAGCTTCGGACGAGTGCCGGCGGTGCCGCGTGGAAGTCCGTATGAATCTGGCGTAGATGCGTTTGATATGTATTCAGCTGAGGAGCGGCGATAAGACCTTTCGGAGTCAAGTTGTTGGCTGGCTCGGTTGGCTTGGTTTTCACGTATCGCGCAGACCGAGGGAAAATGTCTCCGGAAGCGAATTGGCGAACATTGTTCCGCATGATGGTCTTCAGGTCGAAGCTCTTGCCGCAAGCTCGTGAGAGAAGCCGGGAAGTCTGCATGGTGATTCCTGCCGCAGAGGTTGTTCTAGGGTGATCATTTGCGGTTAGGGGACTCATCGTTTTAAATGTAACTTTCTGAGATAGAACAAAGCATCCACGTATAAAGGAGATCAAAGCTGAACGAAGGCAAATATTCCATCTTCCTGCAGTTTCTGCAGTGTTTGCTTGTGCAACACGGTCGGGCTTAGTCCGTTTGAAAACGCTGTGAAGTGTCAAGCCGAGTAACGACTTTGCCATGGTCTGAAAGGGTCGCATGTCCAATTCTAGCACTGATCAAACAGCATGCCGTGAGAGCTTGCCTGTGATACATTCTAGCATCATCTTCTACGATCTGCTAGCACCGGGCAAGGCCAGACTTATTCCGTTGAAAAGTCACTCTGGGGTCGAACAATTAGCCACGTCGCGGGTGTGAACAGATTCTGGATTTGATGATGTGAGCGATAAGAGTCGTTGTCCGTTAGCAAGATTGTGATGAGGGAAGGATGTGAGTGTAGAGGACGGCTAGGTGGAGTGAGGTTAGAGAGGAGGGTCTGTGCGCGCCAGCGTGACTATCTATTTAGAAGTTGCGTTTTGAGGCTGCCGACGAGTCTTTCATCTTGACATCGACATCTACATCTCCAGTATCATCGTCTGAATTTCATTGGCAGATGCAGCGGGTCGTAAGACGGGCAGAGAAATGTCGCAGAACAGCTGAACGCATGGAACAGGTCTCAAATACTGGCGACGCGACTTTCAGGAGGCTGACACGTGTACTTAAGGTTGTCATGTTCACCGACAGTCAGCGGCGCCGGGCTGGCGCTCCTGGACTAGCCCTTGAAAACTAGAAATCGACAAGATGATGACGAGAATCAAGCGAGCCTGCGGCAGCCGAGAAGGAAGACCCACGCAATCTCAGTCTGGATAACGACCAGCTGCTCCAGTTACTGTTGCGACCGCCAAACGAGGCTTCTCGTTGGCCAGAGATCGTGAAGAGCTTATCTGCCTCGGATCTAAGCTCCCGACGCCGTGCGAAACTAGGATGCTCTCCTGTGACCATCCTCCCCGAGAGAAGGTGCATCGCGTACGCCACGCTGCGCAAGGATGCCACGAGCGCCTTCCCAAGTGCCTGGGAAATCTTATGCAGGAAGATGTTTGTGTCCTGGAAGTCGGGATTCAGATCCATCGCTCCACTTGGCAAGCGTTGGAGCACGCTCCATGACTTGGAGTAGTTCAGGCGACTGGCGGGGCTCGGCTATTGTTTGTGCATGAGATCTGGTTGTTTGCAGTACACGGGACTTTGTGGCATTGCGCGAAGGTGAGAGTAGCATTATTACCCTGTACCGCTGACCTTTTAGATACCACATTATCTCCGGAATCCATGCCACCCACGCCATATCTAAATGCCGCTCTTGAAATTGAGAAGATGTTAGAAAAGTCAAATGTACACAATCCGGCGTCTCAAAAGTATCTCAAAACAACGTTTTCCTGCTCATCGCAGCTCCAGGCCGCGGATAGCGTCCTTCTGCTGTGATTCTTCGGGGTAGCCGAAGATGCTCTCGACCATCTCCCCGCCTCTGACAGCCAGGATTGAAAGCAGTGTATCAGACAGACCATGTGTCTTCTCATTGCATCCCTGCAGCCAGATGCCGGCCTCAGGCGAGACGGTGCCGGGCGAGAACTCCACTGCGTAGTCGCGACCAACGGTCCACTTCTTGCCGTGTGCAGTTTCGCCAGGCATCAGGTCTTGCAGACTGCAAAGCATCTCTTCATGTGAGTTGCGAAGATAACCAGTCGCAACCACGACTAGATCTGCGGTCAAAGTCTCCTGTCCGGAATCCTCGGACGCGCAGTACATGCCAGAGTTGTTCTGGATCTGCAGTTCGACGGCAGGCTTGCCATCAACGTTCACATCGCGCATGCCTGTCACCGATCGGTACTTGAGGATTTGGTGCGGCCAATCCTGCTCTCGGGAGTACTGCAGTTGGTATCCGTACATCTCGTCGTAGATGCGCTCGAGGAATTCTAGGCGCACGACGCCGTAGTTTGTGGCCTTGTCGGCAGCAAGAGCATCTTGTCTGAGGCTTGGTTCTTGAGAGAAGGTGTCGTCGACTCTCTCTGGATTGAAGACTTCATTGACACTACAAGCTCATTAGGAAACGCATTTCACCACGCGCAAGAGTCACTTACAATGGCGAGTCGTCGCTCGGCCGAAGCGCAGCGCGACGGATGAGTAGCAGGGACTGTGCACCTGGGAAACGAGAAGGAATATCGTGCCAGCACTCCGCAGCACTCTGTCCAGCTCCTATAACAGCAACAGTCTTAGGTTGCGAGCCTTCCGGAAAGATCTTGTGGACGTGGGTCAGATACTGCGAAGAGTGGATTATTCGTGGGTGATGCTCCGGGAGTGACTCTGGAATGTGTGGCCGACCACCGGCGGAGATGACAACATGCTTGGCCTTCAGAGTAAATTGCTTTCCAGTCTCGTAGTTCACGGATGTGACATTGAAGTACTCAACCTCCCCAGTCTGTGGATTTATCCGGCCACGCTCGACCTTCTGGACATTTTGGCTATAGTCGACGACGTCTGAGAAATGCTCTGCGCACCATCTCATGTAATCTTCGTATTCGGCTCGTTGAGGCAGAAAGGTGTTAAGGTTGCTGAAAGCGACAAGCCTATCTTTTGCATGAAGATAGTTTAAGAATGTGAATTCGCTCTGGGGGTTCCGCAGGGTGGCCATATCCTTCAGAAAGGTAATCTGCATCTTCGCGCCGGGGAGTAACATGCCCGCGTGCCAAGCGAACTTGGGCTGCTTCTCCAGAAATCGTACCTTGGGCGCTCTCGACCTTCGCAAGGACGGGTCTTCAAGCGAATCGTGAAGAGCTACCGCGATTGCGAGAGAAGCAGGCCCGAATCCAACAGCGACCAGATCCTGAACTTCATCGTCGCCGAATCGATGCAAGTTGGAAGAACCTCTGGAGTCGCCGACAAGGCTAGGAATGTCGTCGTCCATACTGCTCAGAGACGTCTCGTATGGTGAAGCCACCGATGGTGCAGATGAGGAAGGTGCCGAAACCGCGTGTGGCGACATTTTTTAATCAAGAGCGTATGAGGATGAGTTGGCTTGAACAGAGGACCAAACAAAAAGCGAGCTGGCAAGCAACAAACAAGTTTTCTCTGACGCGTGGAAATGCGACGAAGACAGAAGCCAGAAGGTATAGAGCCAAATGTCGATCGGTGCTTCCCTGGCGGCAAGCAGACGATACCACGTCGGGCTGGAAGGCTCACTGCAGGGTGTCGAGGAATCGGCCAAGCGAAATCGGCGTTTCTGGGGGATCGGGAAGAATAGGATTTGCTAATGAGATGCACCTGATGAGTGGGAAGACCGGCGACGACGTGGAACAGCACACGGCGATGGTCGGTCCTTGCTGCATGTGGAGAGGCTCTGCGAAAGTCAATGTCGTCAGCCCACAATAACCCGTGCTATCCACCGATTCGGCGAAAATCTGATAAACAAAATCTTATCAGATGGGGATCAAGGAGTTTGCGAGAGCAGGAAACGCGGCCGGACCTTGTCGCCCAGCGAATGTGGAGCTCGACCGGGATTCGAAATTTTTCCTTGGCTTGCAGTAGCTCTGACGAGGAGTGCTGTTTACTCCTCCTCCCTTTTACGCTCCGGCCCTCTGCCCACCCACGCATGCCGTGTGGATAAGGTTATCAGAGGATCTGATTATGCACAAGGTGCAGGCTCGGCTACGCCATGCCGTATGAGGCGTTGCCTCCGCTGCTTGGCTGATGCCGTCATCTCTAGCTAGGTCTCTCTGTACTGGGATGCTCCTTATCACCCCGCGGGACGTACGGGGACCAATCCGAACACGTCCCACGCGCGTACCGCGATTGCGGACGGAAAGATGCGACAACAGTAGGCTTGACGACATTTCGTATAGATGGAAAGTTTTGGATTGATGCTAATGCTGAATAGGAAGGCCAATAAAACCGAAAGATGCTCATGAGCTTTTCGATATCCCAACGCTCAACGCTTGCAATATGCAATCACGCAAGACTCTGGGCCTTTGCCATACTAGCGTAGAGCCCGTCTTGCTGCACGAGCTCGGAATGTGTTCCCTGCTCAACCACTGAGCCGTTGTCAAAGACATAGATCCGGTCACAGTGTTGAATGCTCGCAAGCCGATGGGCAACCATTATGGTCGTTCGATCTTTCGATGCTTCTGCCAGTAGCGCAGCCTGAACATGTGCCTCGCTGTGTGCATCCAGAGCACTCGTCGGTTCGTCGAGCAGGAGAATATCCGGGTTCCGGATGAGCGCTCGTGCGATTGACAAGCGTTGTTTTTGGCCGCCGCTCAAGCCTGAGGAACAGTTGGTACTGTAGCCCTCTGGTAAAGAAGTGATGAAGTCATGTAGACCACATTTTTGACATGCTACTTGGATGTCCCCGTCGGTGATTGTTTGGTCTGGTGCGGAGCCGAGCTTGATATTGTAGGCTATGGATCCGGGGAACAGGTCTGGGTCCTGGGTGACGAGACCCATACGGCTGCGGAGTCGTTGGACGTCGATATCTCGGTAGTCGATACCGTCGAACATCATTGTCCCCGAGGTAGGATCCAAAAAGCGTTCGACGAGTGCCATGGTGGATGACTTTCCCGCCCCTGATGGTCCCACGAAAGCCACCGTTTGTCCGCTGTGAATCTGGAGGTTGACGTTCTGTAATGCGGGACCCTTGGCGTTTGGGTATATCAATGATATGTTGCGAAACTCCAGTTTAGGGCATCCGCGGACTGGAGTTTCATCTCGACTGCCCGGAATCAAGTTCTTTGAAGATGAGCACAGTTGTAGCTTCGATGCGGACGAGGCCGACAGACTCCCACTATAGAGGCGCATGATTTTCGGCTCGGCGTCAAGTAAGGTGAAGACGCTTCTCGCAGCTGTCTTTGCCCGAGCCACCTCGGGGCTCAGGCTAAAGAATTGACCGGCTTGCTGCGCCGAGAACAGCAGAGCTGGCAGTACGATGAAGAATTCCGTGGTAGTATATGTACCATTTCGTACTTGCTTGGATCCCCTTTCCGGAAGCATTAGCAGTGTTGGAGTTGCTGAACGGATGAGACTTACCACCAGTAGGCGAGAGCATAGACGAAGTATGTGACTGAAAAGCAAAAGGCCAACAAAGTGTTGGCTATCAAAACGAAATTCCGGATCTGATGGTATGGCCTGTAAAGTGCCTGTCGATATTCGTCCAGTAAGTGCTGTTCGAGGCACAGCGCCGTTACGGCTCTTCTGTTCCGACAGGATTCGGCCGCGAGACTGGTTGCTCCGCTGTAAGCTTCTCGATGCTTAGTCTCAGATATAGTAAGTATTCGAAGCCTAAAGCCAAATCAGTGTACGCTTTAACATGATTCGAGAAGATAGTTGCTGACCTGAGAAACCCCGCGACCACCATAACAGGCATCATGGAGAACAATACGATTGCAATCTTCCAAGCGATGGCAAGAGCAAGGACTAGACCACCCACGACAGAGGTCATGATGGTGAATATTGCACCGAGAGCTACTCCACCAAGAGCTGCCAAATCGCCCGGGTCTTTGGTGAACGCACCCATCAGTCGATGTGTTGAGTGTCCGGCCTCGAAAAACCACTGAAGGTCGAGATGTAGAAGCCTGTATAGCATCTGCTTCTGCACTCGGCTCGTTAGTCTTATGGATATAACTCCGAAAACGCTCCCGCTCGTAATGTATGAAGAAAGAGCAATCAGCGCGAGTATGAAGAACATGAGGCAGAAGAACTCCGCGCTGTTGTAGTAGGAAGTCCCCTGTCTGCCTCCGTTGAGAAGCTGTGATGCGAGAAATATTAGCGCATCTTGCTTTGTCGAAGCTTGCGAGAGACTCTTACCTCGATGAGATTGCCAAAGATTATTGCTTGGCCGAGCAGAATACCGCCAGAGACAACAGACGCGAAAATACCGAGTAGCGACATCCAGCCTTCTGGTTTAGACATGCGTAAGATACGTCCTGCGACGTTCTTGAAGCTCATCTTGGCAGCGTAAGCGTCCTCCTGCTGAGGTGGCACATCATCGATGCCTGGAGGGACGTCGGCAGATGTTGTGAGCGCAGTGCTTACTCGATGCATTGATGAAGCTTCGCTAGCAGTTGGAGACTCCTCTCTGCTTGGCATATTGGTCTGTTGAGCGTCGAGTAAGCCACGGAAAACAGCACCCCCTTCAGATAAATCGTTTGGTGATCCCTCTTCAACGATTTTGCCTTCGCTCACGACGGCGATGTGGTCAGCAGCTAGTGTGGTTGACAATCGATGAGCAATCATGAGGACAGTGGTGCCCGAAGCAGCAACTGTTTTGACAGCTTCCATTACTGCCACTTCACTAGTCGCGTCCAAGGCACTGGTCGGCTCGTCGAGGATGAGCAGGGCAGGTCGCTTGATCAGCGCGCGAGCAAGGCAAATTCGTTGTCTCTGCCCTCCAGATAATTGCATCTCATTGCCGAGGCGTGTGTGCATACCATCCGGTAGTCGATCCAAGAAGTCGACGTTGGCTTCTTTCAAGGCCTGCTTGCACCGTGCAGATTTCTCGTCTTGGGTCAAATCATGCCCAATGAGTCCATAGCATACGTTGTCGAACACCGTTCCAGAGAATAAGGTCGTGTCTTGGTCTACGACAGCGATCTGAGAGCGCAAACATTTTGAGTCGATTGATTGAACTTCATCCGCACCGAACGTTATATGGCCGCGATACTCGTAGATACCGAGGAGTAGTGCAACTATTGTTGACTTTCCGCCACCACTGGTACCCTGACAAGCAGTTAGAAATAGTTCTGCTGCACAGTGTGTTTGTGCTTCGCAATTTCACATCGACAGACAGTAGCGCCGATTTAGTACTTCTGCATTCATGATCTTTGTGATGACAATAAGCGCATATAAGCGAAGTGTTCGATCCGCAAAGTTGAGATAAACGCTTGTCGTTGATTGGCAACAATGCGTTTAAAAGAAGCAAGAAGAGCAGAAGAACTCACCACGAGAGCGGTGAATGTGCCAGGTTTGAGGCAGAGATCAAGACTGTCGAGAACCTTGACATTCGGCCTAGCGGGGTATTCGAAAGACGCATCCCTGAAGACAATGTCCTTTCCTCGCAGGTTGGGCTTCAGACTCGATGCGCGGTATGTCGCCGATGTTTGCTGCTCGCTGGCATCGAGTAAGTCCTGTATTTGAGCCTTGGCTGAGGCAGCTCGTGCGAAGATCTCCAGGAAGGGCGCAAATTGACCAACAACGAAGGAAGCATCCAGTATCAGGAAGACGACTGCATAGACTGTGCCGGCATTCCCTCCTGTTGACAGTCGACTTCCCACATAAAACGCCAAGGCATTGGCAGCAAATGCAATGAAGTAGATAGCACCAGATTGGGAGGCTGCAAATGCTGCCTTTTTGACGTTCGCATCCGTCTGCGAATCCAGATACCCGATATGTTGTTGGCAAAGCTTTCCAATCATGTCGAAGGCTTGTACAATCTTGACCGCCCGTAAGGCACTCTCCACAAGTTCGTTCGCTTGGCCGTTGTACTGCGAAGCGACACGGCTGAACTTTGACACCGCTGGTGACAGAAACGCAAAGCAAAGAGTCAGAGCAGGGACCACCGATGCCAGCAGGATACCGGTAAGCTTCGCGTTGAGAATGAACCCCACAACGAAAGCTGCCACAAAGTACGACAAGCTCTGTATGAAGATACCAACCTTCTCCGAGCATCCGGCCTGGATGGTGTCCATCTTCTCGCTGAGAAGACCATTGACATCGATGTCGTGCGTGTCTAGGTATGCTTGATCCAGGTGTAGTAGACACTCTAAGAGCCTCCGACGTAATTTGACCGAGACATTCTCCGCTGTGATACCAAAGCCAATGGTGTAGATGGCAGTGACAACAAAATACGCAACTGCTACTCCAAGTAGCTGTACCAGGCGTTGATGCAAAGGGCCTGGTTCTGGCGGAAAGTCGTTGATAATCTTGCCGAAGATGTAACCGATGATTGGTAAAGGAACTCCTGCGACGATCGCGAAGAAAGCGCTTGCGATCGCAATGGATCTCTCCGCGTAGGAATCCAGCGGTTCATACAGGCTCAAATACGTGGTTTTGAATGGACGTAGTCCCAAGAGCCGGCGGTATATTCTGTGAAGAGGCGCTGTGGCTGCCTCGTGCCACGCGCGCACAACTTGGGGAGCGGGTAGAGGGTCTGCGTCCCAAAGTCAGCGGGCTTCACTTTGCCCTCACGGCGAGCAAATCCACGAGGGGCGATTGTTGGCAGATTACATACCTGCGTTTCCCAATGTCGATCCTTGACGGTCATCAATGGTATGAATGTTGCTGGAACGCCTGTCAAGTTCAAATGAGGCGTCGAGGTCCGCATCCCGAGGGCAAGTGGCAGGAGCCATCCAAGCTGTGTTTGTTTTGGGTCACTTCAACATGGACAGGAGGATCTGGGGAATGAGTCCGGGAAGGTGGCGGATTGTGATTTCTGCATGTCGCGTGTACTCCAGGCCAAACATCGCGCGCCCAGTAGAGAGTCGTGTTCGGCAGGTGGGCCAATATGGCCTGCAAGATTGACGCTCGCTGGCTTGTGCTCTAAGTGAGCCAGGGAAAACATCGTGCTTGTGACACGCACGAGTTATCAGATGGTAATTAGCTTTGCGAGATCGCTGGAAGGCCTTTCCCGCGCAGTAGAAGCGAGTCATACTCCTTGGGGCAGGTACTCCGCTATTCCGCCACCCGCGAATTTGAATTTCTCGATGTCATCTCGCCTTGATGGGGTTGGCGAGACCTCGGAGACGACGTCAGTGGGTCGAATCACAGAATGGGCAAGACGGCTCGGCAACATGGCATCTGAGCGTAGGGTGTCCGAAAATGTCGAGAATCGCTCTGGCACTGGAGTCTTACGTATCCCAATAGTCGACCACACAGCCCAAATCTGCCAACGGAACTGTTGGCACCCGAGGATGAAAACGCCATCCGCGGGGGTTTTTGGTCGAGCACACCTCCCGCCAGCGACACGTAATATGTCATGGCGAGAGGCGAACACAGCTGTGACAATTCTGGTGGACAGTGACGTGAGGTCGGCGGTTGTTCACGGTACGGCTTGGCGATTCTTATCAGATTCTCCGCTTCGAGTCTTCCCGTCGCCTTCTTTCCGTGGCTCATGGCTACCTTACTAGCCTGGACACGTGCTAGCGCGTGGGGGTCGGGTTCGGGTTCGGGTTCGTCCGAATTCTTGAATAAACAGCACACCATTCGAGGACGTAATCGAACGACCGTTCATCCCGTTCGGACTCACTTCATCCAGAAAAAAACTGGTGGCGCGGCACTCTCGTTAGGGCGGCAGGAATCCCTACTACAGGCGGCATGCGGTAACACCTCCGGAACATAACCTTCAGTGCGAAACATGCCGAGTTCATCTCTACATCGACCCATGAAGCGAACGAGGCCCTGGAGAGGATCCATTCAAGTCACCCGACGACTATAACAAACGACCCCTTTTTATCCAAACACGCAAGCAGTCCATCTGGCGTTGGACAATTCCGTGATGGCCAAAGATCTGTCTATCTCGAATCCCCATCCCCAGAAGCTCCTGGGTCCCTCGCTCCTCCACGAGTTGGTTCCACGCGAGGGCGAGCAAGACGTTGCAGCCATCGAGTATACGGGAGAGGATGGCAAGGTTTCTGCTTTGAGCTATGCACAGTTGCATACCCAAGCCGATGGGTTGGCACGTCAAATTGCCACAACACTCGCGCAATACTCGACGAGATCGAAGCGATGGATCGTTCCAATTTTAATACCGCAATGCCCGAGCCTGTATGTTTCACAGCTCGCGATTCTCAAGGCCGGTGCGGCATTTTGTCCAATTGTTCTCGACGCTCCAGAAGAGCGCATTCGTTTCATTCTCGCAGATGTGGAGGCCTCCGTTCTACTCACGACCGGGGACATCAAGTCTCGATTGCCGGACCTGAAAAGCGTCGAAGTTATTACGGTCGACGACTACACTGGCAGGCACAGCAACACTCACATGGCCAGATCGATATCTCCCCAGGACCCCGCGTACATAATGTATACTAGCGGTAGCACCGGCCAACCAAAAGGTGTCTGCCTTTCTCACTCTGCTGCAACCCAAGCGCTACTAGCTCACCAGCGACATATCCCAAGCTTCTCTCGATTTCTACAATTCGCCAGTCCAACTTTTGACGTCTCGGTCTTCGAGATCTTTTTCCCGCTATTTCGTGGCCGCACATTGGTCTGCTGCGACCGGAGACGGTTGCTGAACGATTTGCCAGCTGCCGTGAATGACATGAGGGTGGACGCCTGCGAGTTGACTCCGTCGGTAGCTGGAAGCCTTCTCCGCCGCAGAGACAGTGTTCCGTCCCTCAAGGTTCTGTTGACGATCGGCGAAATGCTGAAGCCAGCCGTTGTGGAGGAGTTCGGCGGAGACTCTGATCGGCCTGCAATTTTGCATGGAATGTATGGCCCGACAGAAGCGACGATTCATTGCACACTACAGACCTATTTTCCCAAAGACATGCCCTGTGGAGTTATCGGTGTTCCTTTGGACACGGTATCTGCCTTTGTCGTCAAGCCGCAAGATTCCAACGACGGGAAGACGCCCGATCTGGAGATATTACCACTGAACGAAGAGGGCGAGTTGGCTGTGGGCGGTCATCAGCTTGCAGATGGATACCTGAACCGAGAGGATCAGACAAAAGCTGCTTTCGTGCGGCACCCAGAGTATGGAATGCTTTACCGCACTGGAGATCTTGCGAAGATGCATTCAAATGGGACATTGGAATGTCTTGGCCGTATATCGACGGGTCAAGTGAAGCTTCGTGGCCAGGTAAGACCAGCAAAATCTTCGTGGTAAACATTTGGCTAATGTCGTCCAGCGTATCGAGCTTGGGGAGATTGAACATGCAGCTTCCAAAACATCAGGATGTCAGGACGTGGTCGCTGAGGTTGTGGCTGGCGTTCTGGTTGTCTTTTGTGTGCTGGAAAGCAACGCTGTCACCAGAGATGCTATTCTAGACACTTGCCGTAAATGGTTGCCGGCTTTTATGGTACCTGGGGACGCGGTCTTCCTTGACTCGATACCGTATCTTCCATCTGGAAAATGCGATCGAAAGGCACTTCGTTCGCGCTACGAGACGATGCAGCGTTCTGCCGATGGTGGCGATCGAGCTGATGACGAGCTATCAGAAAAGATCACCGGCACGATAAGCGAGGTTTTGCAAGTGGAAGTTCGACCAGATTCCAATCTCGCGGCCTTGGGTCTCGATTCTCTTTCCTCAATACGCCTGGCATCTGGTTTCCGGAAATGTGGACTCCCACAGCTTGATGCAAGCTCTATACTTGTTGCACGCACTCCACGCGAGATCGCAGACAAACTTGAAAGTCTCGACAATTCAAATAATGTAGATTCGTCCAGACGCTCCGATGAATTGTACAGAAAGGCGTTAGACGAAGCGTTGCAGAGGGCACTTGAGGCGAAGGTTTCCGAAGTTGACGAGAGCTTCTTGTGCACACCGATGCAGAACGCCATGCTCTCCGAAACTCAAAAAGATCCCCAGGCGTACTGCAATTGGATCGAGTTTCACCTACCAAACGTCTCGGGTCTGGAAAGCGTCGAGGCCGCGTTGCGAGAGCTTGGTGATCTGCATCCGCTGATTCGATCTGGTTTCGTTGCTGTGGCCGGTCTTCAAACCAGCTACGCCACGATCGTGTGGAAGACCTTGTCTAGCGACCAGCTCAACCGTACTGCCAACTTGAGCTACGATTTTGAGATCACTTGTGACGATGAATTGCTCCGGCCGTGCAATTTCCAGATCTCGCGAGCGGGAGCGGGTGCAAAAGTTCTCCTTCAAATCCACCACGCACTCTACGACCAGTGGTCTTTGGACATCCTGCGAGTTGATCTTGCAAAAATACTGAAACAGAGTCCTTGCAATGGCGCATTATCATTTAAACCCATCGCAGACTACTATGCACAGCGTTCCGGCGAAGCTGAATCGCCTGAAAGTATGGAGTTCTGGCAAGATCATCTACGCAACGTGGTTCCGACATCAATACCGCTCCTTAGAGGTGACGATGTTGCCAGTGGACTCCAGCGGTCGTCATGGAAGGAACTGGCCGTGGAGAGCTCCAAAATCAACGCCATGGCACGAGAATGGGGTTGTAGCAGCCCTGCGATCTTCCAGTCCGTAGTGGGATATCTTTTGTCAGCGCTTGCCGGAGCCTCCGATGTGACATTCGGTTCGGTATTCTCAGGACGAAATCTCCCAATAGATGGAATCGACGGTTCCTTTGGGCCTTGCCTGACGACTTTACCTCTTCGTTTGGACTACAGCACGGCAAGTTCTTTTCGAGATCTGGTGCATTTGGCAACGGACCAGAACCGAGCGCTCCAAAGCCGCATTCTGACACCGTTGCCTGTCGTGAAGAAAGCAGCAGAGGTCGCCCCGGGGAGCTCGCTTTTTGATTGTTTATTTGTCTGGCAGGAATCAACTCACAGTACAGATGCTTTGCAGGAGGACGTCCAGATTGTCGACTCCGAGGACCGGCTCGAATTCAATCTTGTCTTGGAGTTTGAACCTTCGGCGTCAAGCATCAAAGTCAGAGCGACATACCAACAGCGGCTCATGGACGATGGCTTCCTTCAGCTCCTGCTCCGTCAACTCGATTGCCTTATTTCCAAGCTTACGGAAACTCCAGGCTGCCTTGTAGAGGATCTGGCATCCATGCTATTACCTGAACTACTCTCCGTGCAGAATGCCAGCCCAACCGGATACGCCGCGACTTACGATTTGATTGAGCGAATCGAAGCTCATGCTGCAGCAGAGCCTTCCGCAACATCGATTTTGTTCGCCAGAAGTCTTGTAGCGGGCAATCATGACATGCTCTCCCTTTCCTACGCACAATTAAACCGCCGCGCGAATCAGATGGCACATGTCCTTATTACTGCAGGAGTCAAGCCACGGGACCTTGTCTGCATTTGCATGGAGAAATGCATTGACCTGTACGTTGCACTGCTCGCTATCTTCAAAGCAGGCGCCGGATACCTGCCTTTGGTACCAGAGACACCAGACGACAGGGTAAAGTCGGTACTAGCTCAGGCTGGAATTGGGCTCTGTATTTGCGACTCAGAATCTTTCGGCAGATTCAAAGAGCTCACTCCTGCATCCATAATCAATCTCGAGGGTCTTGATCTCGACAGTCACTCCGAGCAGAGCCCTCATGTGAAGCAAATTGGCTCAAGAGTTGCGTACTGTGTTTTCACGAGTGGCAGTACTGGAGAACCGAAGGGCGTGCCCATCACCATGGAGAATTTGAAGAGCAATCTGGCCGTTTTGGACGAGTTGTATCAGGTTCAGCTTGGAGACCGGTTATTGCAGTCGTGCTCACACGCTTTCGACGTCAGCGTCTTTGAAATATTCTTTGCCTTTTACAGCGGCATGTGTCTCTGCTCTGCAACCAAAGACGTCATGTTTCGCGACTTCGAGGAGAGCATCAGGACCTTTCGAGCCACCCATCTATCACTGACACCTACGGTTGCATCACTCGTGAGCCCCGAAAATGTCCCAACAGTGCGCTTCCTTGTCACTGCAGGTGAAGGAATAACCGAGAAGGTACACCGGACATGGGCAGGTCACGGCTTGCATCAAGGCTATGGTCCGTCAGAGACAACGAATATCTGCTCTGTCAAAATGAATATCGCGCCTAGCGACGTTCTCGGTAACATCGGGCCTGCATTCAAAAACACTTCGGCGTTTGTCCTGGCGGCTAAGCGCGATTTCAATATCCTTCCTGCAGGTGCATATGGCGAATTCGCCTTCGGTGGTGAACAGGTCTTCCGTGGGTACATAGGACGAGACGACCTCAATTCCGAAAAGATTGTTCATCATCCGCAGTTTGGGAGAGTCTACCGTAGTGGCGACATGGGACGGATGCTACCGGACGGGACACTACTGATCAGCGGAAGAATAGACGACCAAGTCAAGATTCGCGGTAATCGGATTGAGCTTGGCGAGATCAATGCCGTCGTATCAGACCATCCGGACGTGTCGGACTGCACGACCGTTGTACTGGGCGAGGACAGCTCAAACCAATCACTTGCTACGTTCTGGGTTCCTTCAGAAGAGTCAAAGACAACAGACGCGGAGCTATGTGCCACAGTACCGGACAAGGGCCTAACAACCCAGCTTTTCGACCGCCTCGAGAACTCGTTACCAGCCTACATGATTCCGAGCCTTCTAGTTCCAATGAGCAGACTGCCCATGACCTCGCAGGGAAAGCTTGATAAAAGGCTGCTACGAGCGACTCTACACAACCTGGACCACAGCGTGAGGGAGAAGCTTTCTCGCTTACACGATGGTCTTGGAGGCGATCCTCCCAACTCCGATACTGAGAAAACGATTGCCGCTATCTTGGCAGAGATCCTCGGTGTAGGTCCCTCCTCCATCTCGAGGCATGCTTCCTTCCTTGGGCTCGGTCTCAACTCGCTCAACGCGGTCCAGCTTGTGAAGTTGGCAGAGAAGAGGCTGGGTGTTACACTTGGAGTCGCAGCCATCATGCGGCACTCGAGTGTCGCTCGGCTAAGTCGTCATATCTCAACTTCAGTCTCGAGCGCGCAAGAAGCACGCGGGCCTAGGCTAGATGAAGTATTCAGCAGGGACTTTGTGGACGGCATAAAAGAGTCTTTCGAGCAGAATGGACAGACAGTCAGTGCTGTACTTCCTTGTACCCCATTGCAAGAAGTTATGCTCTCTGTTAGCAGGACTCAGCGCGATGCCTACCGCAACATCACGAAAATCCAGTTCGCTGGAGATTTGGAGAAGCTTCGTAACTGCTGGGCGGAAATGACAAAGAGACATGCCATCCTGCGAACGTCTTTTGTAGAAACGCCGTCAGCATCGCATCCACATGCTCAAGTGGTGCTGCGAGAGCTCGAAATCCAGTGGCACAATGAAAAAAGCATTGCGGAAGAGAACGGCGGTTTGACTGGACATGCCAATGGACATGCCAATGGACACGCCAATGGACATGCCGATGGACACGCCAACGGACACGCCAACGGATACGCAAATGGCCATTCAAATGGACATGCAAACGGCAAATCGAACGATCACGTAGCGCGCCCCGAGCTGGTGTCCGCAACACACCAGTCTCCCGTTCGCGTAGACATCTTCGGCGCAGACATCTACATACAGATGCACCATGCGGTCTACGATGGAGTTGCCATGGTCAACCTATTCGAAGAGATGAAACGCGCCTATCAAGGCTATTCTCTTCCCATGCCTGTTCCTTTTGAGCCTTTCCTGGAGCACGTACTAGGTCAAAATGGCCAAGAAGCCGTGGACTTCTGGGCTACGCGGATCAATGGGTTTCAGCCTCATCCACTGCCGCCGCAACAGCGCACTACTAATGGGAAAGAGGATCTTCTTAGCAGGACGATTTCTGTCAGTCCTACAGATGTTGATTCTTTCTGCGATAGACATGCCTGCACCAGTCTGTCCCTCATGCAAGCTGCTTGGGCGAAGACCCTGGCGTGTTTGCAGAACGTTGAAGATATCTGCTTTGGTAACGTCGTCAGTGGCCGGTCCGTGCCCGTACCTGACGTTGACCGGCTCGTGGCTCCATGCTTTAACACAATACCCGTACGTCTCGAGGTAGAGACTTCGCGTACAAATCTGGGCCTTGTGCAACGTCTGCATCGATACAACGTCGAGACATTGCCATTTCAACTCATTGCGCTACGCCGGATCCAGGCTTTGTCTAAAGAGCCTTCAGTGCGACTTTTTGACTCTCTGCTCCTGGTTCAACCTCCCCAACACGAATCGGACCTTTTCGACGCCGAAGAAGAAGAAATGGGCATGGGCATACCTATTGTGGTAGAAGTCATTCCACTGGATTCGTCTTTTGAGTTGCAAGTGCATTATATGCCGGAGAAGATGCCTGCTTCCATCGTACCGCAGATCGCTGACGCCTTCTGCGCCGCACTAGCCTCCTGCCTACGATATACATCGAGCCCGGTCTCGAATTTCCTGGACTTCGATATATCTTCCATAAAAGCTAAGCTGGCCCCTGAAGACAAGACTCCGTCGTCCAACGGACTGAGAATCGACAATGGTGATCTTGAGAACGATTGGAGCAATGAGCAAACCGCAGTCCGCAAAGCGATGGCCGATCTCGCTGGCTTGTCTCCTGAGAGAATATCAAAGAATACATCGCTGTACCAAATCGGCCTCGACAGCCTGAACGCTGTTCAGCTCGCTTCGCGATTGCGAGCGCAAGGCTTCCAAATCGATGCCGCGGACGTCATGCAGTATCAAACGCCTTCCAGGCTTGCTCCTCTTCTGCCGTCGCAGGGAAGTAATCCTTCCCACGATTCCACGTCCTCGTTCGATTTGGAGAAATTCGAAAACGAACATCGACCGAGTATCGAAAAGACGCTGAACCTCGATGAAAAGTTGCTTGAGGCGGTGCGACCTTGCAACTCGTCTCAGTGTGGAATGCTGGCACAGTCCATACAGTCCCAGGGATCCTACTATCTCAACCACAGATTCTACGAAATCCCAGACCAGTACAGCTTCGCGGACATCCAAACAGCTTGGATGACTGTGCAACGCAAGCACCAAGTTTTGCGAATGGGCTTTCGTCAGATGGAAGACGCTGCTTTTCCCTATGCGATGTTGATCTACCGTCCAGATACCTTTCAAGACGTTGTCTTTCCAGACGTAGATGGCCTCGACGATGATGCCATTGAGCAATCTGTCGCAAGAGAAATCATGCAAAATCTGCAACAGCCGGCATGGCGAGTATCACTACTCAAGTCGTCAAGAGAACGGAGAATGTGTCTTTCGCTTCATCATGCGCTGTACGATGCAGATTCGCTCGAAGTACTCCTGGAGGACTTCTCAAGGGCGCTGGAGACAACGGACATTGGTTCCACTACAGATCTGGACCCAGTTCTACAACATCAGCTCCAGGGCTTGACATCGCAGAAGCAAGAAAACGAAACTTTCTGGAAGGAAACGTTGAAAAATGCCAAGCTACTGAGGTTTCCAAGCTTGACACCCACTATCGTCTCCGAGACGAGAGCGACGTCCTCGATGCAAGTTTCCACTCTCGGCGTCCAAGCGATAGAGGACTATTGTAGAAGAGAAGGCGTCACCATCCAGGCACTAGGACAAAGCGCCTGGGCTTCATTACTCGCGGCCTATCTTGGTGAAGCAAGTGTGACTTTCGGCACGGTCTTCTCGGGCTTTGCACTGAATGCAGATCAGCCTACCGCATTTCCAGCCATATCAGTGGTACCTGTGCACTGCGACACGAGTAAGCCGGCATCCGAGCTTGTTAATAGCATGGTATCCTACAATGCTGCCGCTCAGAAACACCGCTTTGCAGCGCTCTCTGACATCCAGCGCTATGCGGGATCTATTGGGCAAGCTTTGTTTGACACAGTCTTCGTCTATCAAAAAGCTAGTCAGAAGTCGCCGGATCGCTTCAACTGGCGCGAAGTGCGCGGATTCCTGGGAGTTGACTATGTTGCATCGATGGAGATTGAAACTTCCGACAATGGCCAGCTCAGCATGCGTCTGACGTATGATATTCGATCCATCCCACAGGAGCACGCTATCTTGATGCTGCGGCAATATGACATGCTGATGCAAGGCCTCGTTAGCGATGATGGCGACTTCCAGCTGAACAACGTGAGCCTCATGTCGCATACCCCACCGAAGGAGCCCACCATTCCCTGCTCTGTAGAGCTCCTACATCAGTTCGTGGAGCGCGGAGCCCGAGATCATCCACATAGACCGGCTTTGGAGTTTATCAACAGCTTTGAGTCTGGCCAAAAAGGTCGTAAGACATGGACCTACCGGCAGCTTGATGAGCGAGCCAACCAAGTTGCCCAATTGCTTCAAGATCAAGGCGTCCAGCCGGGTGGCATCGTTGCTATGTGCATGAACAAATCAGCAGAGGCCTCGTTCGCATTCGTTGGCATTTTGAAAGCTGGCTGCGCATTTCTCGCTATGGACCCAGACTTGCCGCTGGCGCGTCGAAAGTTCATCGTTGAGGATTCGAAGTCTCAACTGCTCTTAGTTGACAGGCCCGATGCAGAAATGGAAGAGGTCGTCAAAGTAGTGGAACTAGCAGAAAGCGGTCTCTTGCACATGTCCACAGCTGCGGTGGAAATACTTCCGGTGGGATCCAGCGCTACGAGCTACTGTCTCTACACCAGCGGCACTACGGGCACACCCAAGGGCTGTGAGCTAACCCATGAAAATGCCTTGCAAGCTATGATGTCCTTCCAGCGACTCTTCAGTGGTCACTGGACCGAGTCGTCTCGTTGGCTACAGTTTGCCAGTTACTGGTTCGATGTCTCGGTTCTCGAGCAATTCTGGAGCTGGAGTGTGGGTATCACTGTAGTTGGTGCACCCCGAGACTTTGTTCTTGAAGACTTGTCCGGCTTCATTCGACAGGCCAACGTTACGCATATCGATCTCACGCCTTCGCTCGCTCGATTGCTTACCCCGAAAGACGTGCCAAGCCTTTGCAGTCATGTTTTCATCACAGGAGGAGAGGCCTTAAAACAGGAGATAATCGATTCGTGGGGCCCAGTCAAGACCATCTGTAATGGATATGGTCCAACAGAAGCAACTATTGGCGTCACGATGAATGCTTTCATTGGCACTGATGCAAAGCCTTCCAACATCGGCCCTGCTTTCGACAATGTCGGAGCTTACGTGTTTAAGCCTGGTACCGATGAGCTCGTGCTACGAGGCGCCGTCGGTGAGCTTTGTGTCTCCGGAAAGCTGGTAGGCAAGGGCTATCTCAACCGGCCTGACTTGACGCAAAAGGCGTTCCCTTTTCTGGATCGATACGGCGAACGTGTCTATCGTACTGGAGATCTCGTTCGGCTGCTAGCGGATGGCTCGGTATCTTTCATCGGCCGTGCGGACACGCAAGCGAAACTGCGCGGACAGCGACTCGAGATTGACGAGATTGACGCCGTCATCAAGTCCGCCTCGGATGGCATCTTTGAGGTGGCTTCACTTGTCACAAAATCCGCAAATGGAGACAGAGAAATGCTTGTATCGTTCGTGGTAGACGAAGAGACTATGGGCCGAGATCTTCAGTTGGTGAACACCTCCCACAGCCAACAACTCGTAAAAGTGGCAGATCAGGCGTGTCGCAGCCGCCTGCCGGGATACATGGTGCCAACGCACATTATTCCGATTTCTCGGCTTCCGCTTACTCCCAACAACAAGGTAGACTCCAAGCGGTTGGTCAGTCTGTTTACGGGACTGGCTACCCGAGACCTCCAGAAATTCAAAGATGCTCAAGCAACGAATCGAGCGATGACCTCGACTGAGAAGAAGATTGCTCAGGTGCTGGCTAGGCTTCTTTCTATCGAAAACGACGATATCGGGCCAGGATCCAATGTCTTCTCGCTCGGGCTGTCATCCGTCTCTGCTATCAACTTCGTGACATTGTTGAAGCACAGTGGATTCAAGACAGCCGGCGTGGCTAAAGTTATGAACCACCCGATCTTGGAGCGCCTCGCCCAAAGTTTAGCAGAAAAAGACGACAGTTCCAGCATGGAGAGGGACGCTATCAGACAGGCGCAGCTTACACTATCTGCCTTTGCTCAGCGATATCGAAATATGGCCGTGCAGAATCTGTCGTCGAAAGCATCGGAGATTGAAGCTGTTGCACCCTGTACGCCGCTGCAGGAGGGCTTACTCATTGAATCTATGAAGAGCGCTCACAAGCCGTACTTCAATCACTTCTGTTACGACGTGACCGACTTGGATTCAAAGAAACTGCGAACGGCATTGGCTCAGGTATGCGATGCGGTTCCTATGTTGCGCACTGCCTTTTTGCGCACCGATGATGGATACGCTCAAGTCGTCAGGCGTCTTTACGAACGCTTTGAAAAAATTTACGATGTTGAAAACGACCAAGTGGAAGACGTCTTGAAGGACAAAAAGAGGGAGTGGCTCAAAGGCACAGACCAAGACGTCGTCGAGCCGTTCAAGATTCTGATTCTGCGGTCGAAGGAACGAAGCATCATGGCTGTGCTCATTCATCACGCCTTGTACGATGGCATCTCTTGGGACCTAACGATGCAATGTCTCACGAAGCTGTATGAAGACCAGGGTAACGTGGAATACGGGCCCAAATTCCTGGATGCACTGCCATATGGACCGTTCTGTCATCGCTTGGATGCGAAATCTTTCTGGCAGCAAACACTTGGCAATCACGAGTTTGTGCCCTTATCAGAAAATGCCGAGAGAAGTTCGAAGCCCGGCTTGAGACTGAGAACTTCTATTGACGGCGCTAAGGCTCTGGAAGCCATTCGAAAGCGACAAGGTGTCTCTCATCAAGCAGTCTTCCAAACGGCATTTCAGGTAGCATTGCACCAGTTCTCACCGCGCACGCAATCTTACGGTGTCGTTCTGTCTGGAAGGTCCATCAATTTCGACAATGCGGACCGAATCATCGGCCCAATGTTCAACACCGTGCCGTTTACGATCAACTTGCAATCATCCGGCACGTGGGAGCAACATCTGAATGATTCTCAACAGCTTAATGCGTCCGTTCTGCCCTTTCAGCATTCGCCGCTGAGGGATATTCGGAAGTACTGCGGACGGCTGCCGAAGGATCCCTTGTTCGACGTGCTCTTCGTGTTTCAACAAGCTGAAAAATCAGGAGGGAACGAGCTATTCAAAGCAATAGATGTGGATTTGCCAGTTGAATATCCACTTGCTTTTGAGGTCGAACTCGATGACTCTGGCCAGGTTTCCATTGAGGCCGCCGCGCGATACGAGTTCGTTTCGGAAGACTCTCTACATGCTCTAGTGGAAGACTTCAAGACGGCACTTGACAGTATCACCAAGAACGCCCAACAAGTGATAGGCGACAGATTCACGATTAGCAGCAACAAGGGACGCCGAGTGACTGCCGGGCCTCAGCAAGAACAGGTACACTCTGATGGTGCAAGTGATTTCACTTGGACAAAAGAAGCGAAGCTCCTTCAGAATGTCGTCTCCCAACTTGCCGGCTGCGATGCGGCAGATGTCACCGAGCAGTCAACAATCTTCAACCTCGGACTTGACAGTATCGACGCAGTCAAGATGGCCTCAAGACTCAAGAATGAGAGTCTCCCAATACCAGTCAGCACGATCTTGAAGGCCCAGACGATTCCTCGAATGCTGGAAAGCATTCAAACGCACGATCGCGAAGAAGCTCAGACGATGGAGCCAAGCAGAATGAGGGACCTAAAACAACAATTGCGGCCCGTTGAAGAAAGGGTTCTTGAATCCACGCCTGATGTGGAAATGGTCTTGCCCGCTGCACCCAACCAAGAAGGTCTCATTGCTGATATGCTGAGATCTGGTTTGCGTCGCTACTACAATTCGGATGTATTGCGACTGCGGGAAGACGTCAATATCGAGGAGCTGAAGAATGTATGGCAGTCCGCAATAGCTGCGTCTCCTATCCTGCGAACGTCCTTCATCGAGATTGCTGATCCGGAGGTCGATGTGACTTTCGCTCAAGTGGTGTTTCGCGCGAACTCGATCCAGATCGAGGAGTTCTCGACAGATAGCCTCGAGGCTTTGGACACCTACATGGATCGAGCTCGGATGGATGTGAAAGATACTTTCGAAGTGCAGCCACTGCTTCGTCTGGCTCTCGTGTCTGTGCAGTCTGAGAGGTACTTGGTACTTTCACTTGCACACGCACAGTACGATGGTCATAGCTTGGCTATGCTACATCAAGATATCGCCGACGCATATCGCAGCTCGTCAGGGTCTCACGTGGGCCGTCGCCCAGGATTTGACACAGCCATTGAACTCTCTCTCAGCGCAACAAGCGAGGAAGCAGTGTTGTTCTGGCGAAACAATCTTACCGGTGCGAAGGTTAAGCACCTAGTTCAGCAGCAAGAAGCCTCTGATTCTATCACCTATCGATCTGAGTATGTCTGCGAAGTCTCCGAATCTTCAGCAAAAGAGACGTGCAGACGTGCAGGAGTATCGCTGCAAGCTCTTGCGCAAGCTGCTTGGGCATTATTGCTCGCTTTCTACGTGCGGGAGCTGGAGGTTGTCTTTGGCGCTGTGCTTGCTTGCCGTGACAGCGAAGAACTGGAAGCTGTCATGTTTCCGACGATGAATACAGTCCCCGTCAGATCTGCGATCCATGGGACCGGATACGAAATGCTCCGGTATGCCCAGCAACGCATCAACGACATTCGGCCATACCAAAGAACACCACTCCGAGCGATCCAAAATGCTTGCTCGTCCTCGGTACAAACGAGCAGCCCGGTACTTCAAGGTGGACTTTTCGATACTCTGTTCATCTTCCAAAATCGAGGAGATCAAGATTTGCACACGGCAAAGCCCCTGTACGAGTCTGTGGGCGGTGAATCCAACGTGGAGTATCCAGTGGCCGTCGAAATAGAGACGATCAAGGACAAGATTGTGTTACGAGCGGCGTGTAAGAACTCTGCTATGGACCGTCAGGGCACAGACATGTTGCTACAGAACCTGGACAAGGTTCTCCGTCATCTGCTCAGATTGCCTGATGAGCAGGTTGTTCAATTCTTGGACGACAAAGCCTCGATATGCGGGTTTCCTGCATTCGCGACACACGACGAGAAGCTCACAATACAGACAGCGAAGCTTGAAGAGACCGCTGAGGCAGAGGAGAACGCGTCCGATGAGGGAACTCCTCTCACAGACTCTATTCGCTCCGCTCTGGCCAGGGTGGCGAAGATCCCCGAGGATGAAATTACACTCAGCTCTACGATTGAGAGCATTGGAGTCGATTCCATCTCGGCGATCAAGGTGTGTGCCATCCTGAGGAAAGAGTCCATCGGGCTCTCAGTTAGTGATTTGCTCAAAGCCCAGACGCCAACAAGAATGGCTCAGGCAGTCGAAGCAAAATCGGGAAACTCGTCTGGAGACGACGATGCCACATCGAAGGCCCTTGCACCGGTCTTGAAGTACATCCCGGCCGCTGAAGTCTGCCGCATAGCAAACGTCGAAGAGTCCGACGTAGAGGCTATCATGCCAGCAACGTCGGGACAACTCTACATGCTGGCGACGTGGCAAAGAAGTAAAGGCCTCTTGTTCTACCCGACCTTCCGCTGTAAACTCCGATCAAGCGCATCAGTGGAAGATGTGGAACACGCATGGACTCAACTAGTCCATCGCAACCCGATCCTTCGTACGGTCTTTGTCGCTCATCAACGCTTGAACCATCAACCACCTACTATCTCGATCTCGCAGTTGATTCTCAAATCTGCGCCACAGAGCTTCACGACCGGAGACGCAGAGCGTAGCGGAGCTCCCACTGTCCAACCACTGACAGGATTGCATGCTTCGAAACGCAGCGATGGCTTTGACCTGAGTCTCCACATTCACCACGCACTGTACGATGCCGTCTCACTACCAAGACTCGTGCAAGAGCTGCAAGTGATAATGGAAGGCTCCGTGCCATCAAGCCCTCCCATTACCTTCGACAAATTCATCTCCACGACTTCCACGCATACCTCAGAAGAAGCTCGCAAGATCTTCTGGGTCGAATACCTCAACCACACGGAACCAATTTCTCTGCCGCAAGCGGGAAGCGACGCTACAAGGAAAGTCCAGCTCTACAAGCCGGGCTTCGTCTCCCATGGAGCCGCCCTCGAGCAATACGCCAGGAAATCCGAAATTACAATCCAGGCACTGCTCTTCGCGGTGTACTCCAAAGTCTACGCACACTTCGCCGGCAGAGACGGGAACGTTGTCTTTGGCATCTACCTCGCCAACCGGTCTCATCTCCCCGGCTTGGAAGAAGTAGCAGCACCGACTCTCAACCTCGTCCCTCTGCTCGTCCGATCGCCCCGAGAGACGACCACGCTCGACTTGGCGAAGAAAATCGACGCGGACCTCAGACTCATCGGGAAGTTGGATAATGCCGTTGTTTCTCTGAAGGAGATTCAAGAATGGACCCATGTGAAGGTGGATTCCTTTGTCAATTTCCTCAAATTGCCCGAGCCGGAGGAAGAAGCAGAAAGGGGCAGCAGCAGCAGCAGCAACATCATCTCCATCGACAACGAATGGGAGACGGAAAAGAGTCAGGTGCAAGACCTCGTCGAGCCGAGAGATTTTGCCTTGCCAGAGGGATTGGCGGATTTCGAGGCAGGGGATGCTTATCAGGTGAGTTCTCTCCTTCATTTTTTGTTATTCTTGGCATCGCCGTTGACTAACAGTTCAATACAGCATTCCCTCGACGTGGAACTCTCCCTTGCCAACAACAACCTCAACATCGGCGTCTTCTGCCTCGAGAGCATTCTGAATCTCGGACAGGCCGAAGAGCTAGTTGCGAAAATGAAAACAGAGCTGGAGGGGGTTTCTTTCTGAGTGTTTTTTTTTTTCTCTTGCCGTTTTCATCAGAATGGGATGCTTTCATGGGCGTTTTCCCGGGAGCGACTTTTGAGAGAGATACAATACAATACAGGAACGGGCTTTCATTGTTTCTTTCTAGGGAATTTAGATGTCGGTGATTATTGCGAATCCAGCTGTCCATATGATGATATTATATTTCCGCCTTTCGAGAGAGATACAATAGAGGCATGGGCTTTCATTGTTTCTTTCCAGGGAAATTTAGATGTCGGTGATGATTGCGAATTCAGCTGTCGATATGATGATGATATTATATATTTCCATCTTGCACCTGCAAAGTCCAGTTGTGCTTCATTGCGAGAGTCTGCTGATCGGGAGAGACTTTCAAGAACTTTTACTGTCTCTTCATCTGTGGTTCTGATCATAAATGCGTCCGCCGCTATATTAACGTTGCCCCTGTATTTCGAATCAAGATCTTACGCGGATCACGAACCGGATAAGGGGTAAAGAGAAGATTCCGAAACTCGGTCGTGCGGCATCTCCAACATAACATATCCTCGAGGCTGCTTTGTTATGCCGGACGGATTTGTTTTCTGGGCAGCGAATGTCGAAGCGGCCGTGCGAATTCTCGAGTATGGAGTCCAGTTGCTTGGATTTCTGCAGGCAGCGAAGATCGTTCTTCCGGGGAGGGGAGGCGGCCCGTGTGGAAGAATGCTCGTGGAGAATTGCACGACCAGAGCGCGGAGCGACGGAAGTCTTCCTCTGATGCCTTTCCAGCCGTGAGATGGTGTTCCCGTCGTATATTCGCACAGTACAGGAGAAATGTGTGTTTCCACCTCTCTTCATGGGCCTTCATGCTCCTCCCGTCTGTCCAGCACCCCAAACACTAGCCCTCAATTCCTTATCCAAAGCCGTATCCAAAACCTCCCCTTTGGCGCGATGCCTCTCTTTCAATTTCTTTTCCGTCTTCATGAATTCCCGAATCCCCACCGGAATCCCCTGTAACGGATCCGTCGTGGCGTCTGACTCTCCCGCGAGCATTTCCGTCTCCGACGCACTCGACCAGTTCGTCTCACTCCCGCCCCCATCGTCATCCATGCTGATCATTGTATGCGCCGCGTCCTGCGCACTAGCACCCATCATCCCCGTCGCAGTCCCCCTCGTCCTCTGTTCAATCACCTTACGTCTCGCTTCCGTGCTCTTGGCGGCCCATTCTTCCAACTCTTCCCTATACCGTTCCCAGACGCAATTCACGCAGCCGCTCATGCAGCAGTTGTCCGGTTCTTCGGGTCGAGGGGGTACCATGATCCCCGCGATCCATTGGGATTGCTTTTCCAGTTCTTTCTGGCGTTCTTCTGGGCCGGCAAGACGGGACCCGAAAACGACGCGGGCTTTGGCGAGGGTTTTTTCCTTTTCGGTTAGTGGGAGGTTATCTGTTGGGGGAGGGCTGGGTGGAGTTCTGGTGGCGTGTTGAACGGAATGGAGAGGTGCGTCGAGGAGGTCGGCGTAGTAGCCTTGGAGGGTGTTGTCTTTGGTTTCGCTGGGGTCTTCTTCTTTATGGTGGAATGGGGAGGTGGAGAGATAGCGGGATTGAAGTGGACGAAGACATTGCGTAGTTCGTAGCGAGCGTATTTGGGCTGGTGATGTGTTCAGGAAGCGAAGAGCCGGTCGCATTGTTGTCCTCAGGAAGAAGGTGAAAGGTGAGTGGAGTGTTTCCAATGACTGTCATGTAGAGCCGCTATGACGTAGCACTTGGCCGAGGATCACATGGGGCTGGATTACTAATTAGCGCCATCAACCCAGCACGCCCCAGATTTAGAGCGGAGAGTCCCGCCGCGTTCCTTCTTAGACGGGGTACAACATCACCTCAACCTTGACATCGTCACATCAACGTTGATCAACCACAGTCGCACCGAGTGCAATTCCAGTACCGTGGCTTGGAGAGACTCACGCCCGCTCACATGGGCGGGCATCGGTATAGGGAAGATGGAAGATGGAAGACCTAAGAGTGCTACGAACTGGTACCAATATCTCAGCAGGAGGGAAGAGAAGCGGTGGATGGCGAAGGTACAGTGAAAAGGGCGGACGGACGGTCGCAGGTGCGGATGACATGGTGAAGGCGGATTCCAGTTCACATGCGGCAGGTAGGACATGACAGAACATCCTCCCGCTCTTTCCCCTTTCCCTCCCACACGAAGACCCATCACTTCCTCCCTCCAAGTCTCAGACACACCTTTTCATCCCTTCATCCAACCTTAACCACCGTAACACCTCCACCGCTCTCTGCAACATTGTCCTCTGGAAAACTGATCTCTAGAAGACCGCCCTCTGCAACATCGCCCCCTGCAACATCGCCCTCTGGGACACTGCCTACCATGCTGTTGCCAGCCCTCCTGCTGCTATTTGCGGCAGCTCTTTCAATGCGCACTTCTCAACATTGCTGCAACGAGCTCGGCCAGTGCCTTCCGGCTCAGGTCCTGATCCCCAATATGAAGAACTACACCGCATACAACAAGCGCTGGTCTGACACGGCTTCCGCCCAACCTGCTTGCATTTTCCTCCCTCGCTCCACAGACCATGTTGCCACTGCTGTCCGCGTCTTCACCGCCGGCGGCTTGCAGAATCATACTTGCCACTTCGCCATCGTCTCTGGCGGCACATCTACCGGCCCAGGAGCAAATGACATTGATGGCGGCATCACCCTCGACCTGAGCCTCATGGACCGCGCCGCACTCAATCACAACCAGACCGTCGCCTACATCCAACCTGCTGCTTCTTGGCCAAACGTCTACAATGCTTTCAAGGGCACTGGTCATACTGTAGCCGGGGGCGACAATACTGCAGTAGGTAAGAACAATTTCATAGTCATATCCACAAGCTGCCTTCCTCCCTACCTACGCTAACCAATTACAGCCGGCATGGTACTTGCCGGTGGCATTTCTCTCTTTCAAGGCCGTATGGGATTCTCCGCGGATAACGTCGTCAACTACCAGATGGTCGATGCCACTGGAGAGATTCTCAACGTGGATCGTTCCTCCCACCCTGATCTCTTCCTCGCGCTCAAAGGCGGAGGCAACAATTTTGGAATCGTCACTCGCGTCGACATGAAGCCCATACGACAGTCCTCACTTATTTGGGGCGGAGAGACTACTGTGCCGATGAACGCCACGAGCGCTGTTCTTTCCTCTTTAGACTTCTTCGTTCGAAACAGCGGGATGGATCCTGCATCTGGCGCGAGAGTCACCTTCAGCTGGAATGGCACGGCTGGTGGTATCACGAACTTCATGTGGAACACCATCAACGACCGGTCGCAGACTTCGCTCATGCCATTCTTCGGTATCGGTCCACAGATCTCCAGCAAGATGCAGAACAACATCTCCCTGAGCGACCTGATTCCACACAACCAAATGAGGAATGACCCTCATGTTCATCGCTCCATGTTTGCTACCGTCACAGTCATCAGCAGCAACTGCACTCTCTTTGACGTGAACAGGTGGACTAACGCTATAATCCACAACTACCAGTACCTGAAAGGCGTGGAGTGGCGCTGGAGTTACGATCCACTTCCGAACTTCTATCGCAACGGTGGTGTGAATGTGATGGGTCTCAATTACACAAAGGCCGATCTCATGAGTAAGTCAACGCAACCGCGAACATCTCTTGTCCATGATTCAGCTTCCTGGCGACCATGGCCACTATCAACAGTTTTTGGGAGCTTTCGCCGACTTGTCTCACAGTTGTCTCTTTCAATCCGAGCTGGAGTGACCCGGCGTACGACAAGGACATCACGCTCGCAGCCAAAGCTTGGGTCAACGCCATTCAGCAGGAGACGAATGTGAGGAACACATCGTACCCATTCGAGTATCTCGGCTACGCAGCGCCATTCCAGGATCCTTTTGCGAGCTATGGCGCTTCTAATTTGCAATTCCTCCAAGACACTGCGAAGAAGTACGATCCCACCGGCGTGTTTCAGACTCTGGTTCCTGGTGGCTTTAAGCTCAGCAGGGCTGGTCAGAAAGCGTCTCGGCCAACTCTCAACCTACCACCCGCCTAGAGCAACACGATGCCGAAGAAGAAGTTTTGAAGGAAGCTGATACATGATCTACTGTCGATAGCTTCTCAAACGACGGCTCTGGGTTTCCATCCGCCTTTCTTCCTTCTCGCAACGATGATCAGACATCCTGCTGCTAATGTCATCAAGGCCCCAAAGAGCTAGACGTATGTGTAGCTGCTGGCATCTAGGATCGCACCCGCGGTAGGCGTACCCTTCAGCTTTCCGATTGACATCGCACTTTTCACAGGCTGGCACAGAGCGCGACGGCAGAAGAGTCGTGGTTGCGAAACGCCCATCTTGCCAAGCAGTCGGCCGTCTACTATGGTTCAAATGCAGTAGTCATTGGAAGAAATTCAACCAGCAGCTTTAGCAGTCGAGATGTCCTTTTACCCGGGACAACTGCACCTGCGTAGCGTGTAGCTTCTGTGGCGGCGTTGGCTCGGAGATACACACAATCATCGACAAAGACTGGGATGTCTACCAGAGTGCATCACTCCCTGATGGACAATTCTCACTGCGGCTCTTGGTTTGGCGATTTGGAACGTCATGAGTTGCTCCCTCACTAACATGTGAGAAAATAGATGGTGGTTAAGTTACTGTACTGCTGAACCAGGGCAGAAATCGAAAGCGCCTCCGGAAGCGCAAGCATCAGCCAGCCGTCGAACTCGCTCGATACCCTTCCTTCTACTCATCCGGGACGCCCACGCGCATCGCTACATTGACTGAACAACACATGCCGGTGCCGTTGCATCATCATGCCTCGAGAGAATAGCAGAGGCGTACTACATGTAGACATCCTGATTTCGATAAGAGCTTGTTGCCCTTTTCCATTCTTTTGTAGGTATCTATCGCTGATACACTCGCGTACAGCAACATCGCAAAGCACAGCACAGTACGTACGATGAATCGAAGACGCCGATAGCCAGCCCATCCAACAGGGCCAGCATTCCTTCGAAAACGAGCACATCGCTTTGTTAACCTTCGCCTCTCTTCTTCCCAAATTTTGTTACCGGAAAAGCAGAAGAAGTCACATGGAAAGTTGTTCCCCTTTTTCGTCCGTCTCAAATCCGGTCCCAGAGCGCCCCACGATGGTATCTCAAATTCAACCCATTTCGTTCCCAGTAATCCAAACTCATCTCGGCCCATTTTCAGCCGGGATTAACGCCATTCGCTGAAGAAACGCCGTTCGCTTGCAATGCAGTTGCAGACATGGTCTCGTAGTCACATGTCCATGATAAAGAAAAGTCCCAGCGCCGATGCGTAAGCAGGCCCAGGGATCGAAGAACAGGTGAGGTTCAATCATTTGACGCGTTCGGACTCAGTGCCCGAGCTCGGGGGAGTGTCGATGCCTCGGCGTCTCCGCGCGAGGCGACATCCAGCGCGAGTCTGGTTCGATTGCTCGACGAACTCCTCCCACGACAGGTTTTGACTCTGACATGAGTCACCGACTTCCAGCCCCTCCATAACATTTCGCGCCTTCTGCGCCTTCTGTCGGCGAATCTCGCGCTCGTTGATGACCTGTCGCATGATGCTACCAACAGTATCAGGTCCTAGGCGGGCCGAGAGAGCAGGGTGCTCAAGGACAAACTTCAGGAGCGGAAAAGGAAGAGAGAGCAGGATGCTGGAGATGTGCGTGATGACTGAATCAGGGCGCTGCTCATGACTTGCAGGTGCCTCGCCGAAACGAATCTTGCTTAGCCGTGGATCAGAGCGAGAAGGCTTGCTTTGGTGGCCGACAGGCGCGGCCGGCAATCGTGGAAACTGCTCAAGCTGCGGCGCCGCTGGATCGAGATAAAACTCCGGCGGAAAGTTGTGAACAATGTAGTCAGCGGTTCGGTGTAAGAGAGTAGAGGAGTAGGGGTCGTATGTCGGTGAGCCACCCGCTTCAGGCTTACTGAAGGAGTCCTCACTCGAGCAGGTACTGGTCCTCTCCTCGGCGGCATCTTCAATCGGCCACGTTGACCCGAGGCCACCGTCCAAACCGAATGCCATGGCAGCTGGAATGGTTTCCCATGTGAGCATCTCCAAAGCAGCCCCCATTCCGCGATCGGCAATTGGCATAATGCGCAAGTACATGCCCATGGCGATGTACTGAACGGCAATCTGCATTCGCTCGTCGGGAGAGGATGAGGCTGTGGCGAAAGTCGCCCTGGATACCGAAGGCAGCGGGCCGCCATAGAGGAAGGCGACAGCAGCGACGAACGGAGCTACCCGGAGGTACTGACCTTTCAAGACAACATATACCTGTGTTCGAGGCGTTGCCGACGCTGGAGGTTCGCTGGTGTTGACGAGGTTGAGTAGAGTAGGGGAGCGAGCAAGGACGAGCTTATGAGCATCCATGTATTGCCTCCCAGAGCCCGACTCCTCTGAGATTTGGAGGTGGCAGTCAGACAGGTCCGGGTTACGAAAATGCCACAGCAGGTTGGCCCGCAGTGCCTCCAGGTTTTCCATATCTTGAGCGTAATCAGGATTCGGCGGCGTCCCCTGAAATGGCATGCTAGGGTTGTGCTGATGCCGAGATTGGTTTTGCCGTGGAGGTCTTCCATCCCGGAACGTCGCGTGCAGATTTTCCGAAGAGTAGTCGATGCCGATGGGAGATTGCAGTTCTCCATCGGACCTCACGGTATCGTGAGCGGCGGAGGAATGTCGCGAGCCTTGGCGGGAGCCCAGGCCGTAGCCATTGGGCGTGTGGCCGTTGGTATAGTTGTCGCGGTGAGGAGCAGCTGGAAAGCGGGGAGGCATCTGACCGTGCGGGTGATAGTAAGGCTGAGCAGGCGGCGGAGGGACGTTTGCGTAGTCGAATCTGCCCGATGGCAGCGCGTGCGGGTAGGCAGGTTGATAGACGTGCTGGGAGGGCGGTTCCGAGACTCGGCTGTAAGGCAGCTGATGGGGCTGCTGAACAGGAGGAGGCGGATAGGCCGAGCCAGCGGACATTGGAGGGGCAGGCGAGGATGTCGAGGAGTCATGGCCGCCAAAGACGATGCTTCCAGCACTGGGGTGAGATGGATGTGCGTGCGAAAGGATGGGCGGTGGACGGTAGTGAGAGGTGGCCGAGAGCGGCGTCTGCCGGTCGCTGGATGGCACGAAGGCCGGTGGCAGCTCAGTCCTAATCTGACGCATATCAAAGCGATCGGTTGGCTTGCGTGCAGATGGGGGAGCCACTGTATTAGCAGTGCTCACGGGTTCCTCTTGGCGCTTGATGAACGGAGCAGGCTGGTGCATCAACGCAGTTGAGGGAGCTTCAGGTGTTGCACCATTCGACAGCGACATTGGAGCGCTGCCGCGAGAACCTGGTGTCTCGAAATTGCTCTCCTTGGCCTGATCGTCTCGATCCGCAGTGGGCGTAGCTAGGGCGGGAGTGTCGTCGAGCTTCATATCCGATGCTTCTGAGGCTTGCATGGGTTTGGCACGCACACCGTTGACAACGTCGGCCTTGACCTCTTCTCCGCCTTTTGAAGTACCGTCCACAGCAGCAGCTCTTGTCTTGTCCTCAGATTTGGGTGGGGACGGCCTGGCGGACTTGGGTCTGCTCAGAGCCAGTGGGATGGCAGGAAGGACTCGATTCGGGGGATTGCGAGTATTCCTGGCGGCAGACTGAGTTCGTCCCGCGCCGTTTGCATGGTTTGAAGGCATGGCCTGACCAAAGCGGTGGTAGCTCGAGGTAGGTTGAGCTCGGCGAAGGCGGTGCAGTGACTTCGGGTTTGGGGAGGGATATGCCGAAGGGTGGGTTGGATTGCTGACCACGCGCGTGCGGAATTGATCGAACGGCGATTCAGCGTCCCCAGGAGCGGGTGGCGATGGCGGAAAGCTGGAGACTCCTGGAGCGCCTGGCAAGAATGCCAACGGGGCGTCGACGATGGACGGGGGGCGGCGAGGGAGTGGTGGGAGGGGTGGAGGGAGGGAGGAGGAGGAGGGGAGGAAAATGAAAAGCTTGGGCCACA